ATATATTCACCCAGAAAAACTCACTCAGGACAGTCATCAACTTGATAGACTTCAAGATTTCTTGCAACATCCTGTTTTGGCAGGATTCCTTGGAAACTCCCACCCTGGCAACCCTTTTACAGAATCTACACTTGGTTTTGTAAAATTTTGTGATTAATACTACTTACTACTGCTGTTCAAAAAGTATTACCAAGGTCATACTTAGAAGCAGTGCTGCAAGTACTACCATGGCAATATCATGGTTGTCACACTGCGGTCCTGCTCCGGTCCCTATGGCAACATTCTGATCCACACAGCCACCTCGCTACTCTTCCTCGCTACATGTTCGACGGGCGTTGTCCCTTATTACCTCCTTTTCTACTAGTCTCATTGCTACCTGTCTACCTTTGACACTTTTTGATGTTTCTATCATTCTGCAGTTGCTACAATATTGTATCTGACCTTTCATATCATGTTTACTTACTAATGATCTGTTCCTTCCGCACGTTCCTTACTCATTGTACATTACTGTAGATTTTCGACCACAAGTTCACAGTGGTGTAGGAAAGTTGCGCCTTGGAGCTATTACCATAACCGGATGTCCCCCCCTTTTGGTTCAGAGGGCTGGACCATGGGGGGACACTAAGTTCATACCGGCCCTGAACGTTTGAACTGGACCTGTCGCCCCGTTGGAAGCCGAGCCTCGAGGTCACAAGGGCTATGTCACCGGCGGCAAACCAGGTACGTTTCCTTCATCTCGGTGGTATCTTGGTTAACTCTAAAAGGCAGACTGTGTCGCCTTGTCCGGTACGCATGATCATCGATGTCATCCTCAGTGAAAATGTTTTGATTTTTCTCTGATTTCTTGCTGCCTCTCTTGCTGCCGGCCGGCCTGTTTATTCAGACTCTGCAAGACCTCTGCATGTCTTCAAGGATGTGTTTACCTCAAGGCCGATGTCTCGCGTTCAGCTGACTCAGTCAACCTGGTAAGCTCACCCTTCCCTCTCCTCGTCTCACTCACCCATACATGGACCCCCTGCTCAGGAAATGCATAAATACAGCTGAGGTTTGTCGCAAAACCTCAGCCTACTCTAGACTGTCTCTCACTTCACCTAGATCTCGCTCTCGCCATCATTTTATCCACCCACACCTTAATTCTTTCACTATCTCTAGCCCCCCCTGTCTTTCCCTTGTCTACTTACTATCTTTTTCTAATCCATCTTCCCTAATGGCAGCTCTCACCGGTTTTCTTTCTAACTTCAACATTCCAACTCCGTACAACTGCGTCGTCCCAAGGTGTGCTCTCCCAGTCCTCGATTTTCTTGAGTGGCCATTCCCGGACGCGCACTTTGCGGAAGAGTACAATGATCTCTCGCCATTCTTCTCCACCTCCCCGCCTGAGCTCGGCCCGTACGAGCTTCAACTCATCCTGATCCCTGATTTCGGCCACCTCTGCACCCACTCCAACCTCGCCCAGCAATGGTTACGCGGCATGCGTTCCATCTGCATCAAGGTTGATGGTGCGCTCTGCCATTTGCCATTCTGGCATGGCCATTACTGGTCTCTTGCGTACCCAGCCGTTGTCGCGCAACGCAAGTGGTCTCACGCTCATGCTTGGGCTCACAAGCATCTCCACATGAGCCCCGCCCCTACTTCATTTGCGCACATCCCTGCCGCTGTCAACAAGTTCTTCAAGATCATCGGCTGGAACTGCCCTCTCGACGGGACTTCTCTCCATTCCCTGCAGCTCGCCGACCTCTTCTCAGATGAGTACCTACCTGGTGATCTTATTGATGCATGCATGACAATGATCCGCAGCTGGGCGTCAAGATCTCCAACCAGCCACAATGTCCTTATTGATTCCCTCAACTTTCAGATTCCCTTTTCAGATCAGATCCGCCCTCTGGTGGAGTGGGACCAGTTTGATAGTGGGGAGGCTGGGCACCTGACTCATCTTCACAACATTGCAGATCAGTTGCGCAGCCGCAATTTTGATGGCATCATCTACCCTTTCCATGACCATCGAAACGAGCACTTCGTGGCAGTGTTCTTCAACACGCGCACCGGCCAGCTCAGCGTCAGTAATTCACTTCGACCCTTGCCCAGAGCCCCCATCCCACGTCACAATCTTGCTGGCTATCGCAAGTTTGCCCGCAAGCTCAACCTTGACCTACAGCACACTATCGGAATGATCCCACACTCCATACAATATGACACCTTCTCATGCGGTCTTGTCACGCTCAACACGATCGAGCAATTTTTCTTCCCTGCTGTTCGCCTGTGTTCAAGCAGCACCAGCTACCTAGAGCGTGTCGAGTACACCCTCCTTCTGGCAACACAGCTGGGGACTCAGTTCGATCTTGTAAGTCACCATTCCAATCTTTCTCTATCATTCTCAGATCACTAACTCATTTTCTAGTCTGACCTTGGCCTCAACAATGAGCTCGTGCTCCAGCGACACAACAGAGCACGGCTCTACTTTGATCTCCCCACCAGCCTGGACACTGACACTGAGATCGACGAGTCGAAGGACAGCGACTTGGCAAGTGTCAGCAGCAAGTCGGATAGCAGCAGCGACTCATCTGACGGCAACTCAGACGCCCTCCAACCTCCTGTTCAACCCTCTTGCCCCTACCCTCTTGCCCCTCGTTCTCCCAGCTCAACCTCGACACATTTTTCCCGAGGACTTCTCACGATGAGCTAGAGGCTGAGCGCCTACGCACCAAACCCAATCGCGAGGCTGAGCAACTGGAAAACACAGAGAGAGCCAGGTGCGAAGCGTCACTCAGGGCTCTGGGGGCCAAGGAACGCATGAAAGAGAAGGCAAGGCAAAAGAAGATGCGCTATCAGCAGCGCAGGAGGGCTAGAGAGGTGCGTAATTATCTTGATTTTCCTGTGCTCTATTGCTGACCAGATTTACAGGCTTCATCTTGTTCAAGCAGTACTTCTATCATCTCCAGCACACAGCTCTCCTCGCCCTCACCCTTGTCTGCATCCATTGCCCTCCCCATCCCCTCTGCCAAGATTTCGCACCCCCATTGGCAGTTCAGCGAACTGGCAAGATCGGACCGAGATTCGCGTGGACGCAAGTGCACGCGTGAAGTCCTGGAGGCAGAGCGGTTCAACTGGACCCACCCTATCCTTTTCCAACAAATTGACTGCGCAGCTCAGGCTGTTGGCTGGTCTCCCACTGCTATTGTTTGCTACCTCCACCTCAACAACCCCAAGCAGTTCTCGAAGCTCACGTCTCAGGTTGTGGGTTGGTGGATCGACCGAGCTCCCGGTTGTCTGCCTCGCTGGAAAGACGTCATCGTGATGCACGTCTCAGTGGGATACAGGCCTCATAGTTCATCCACCAGGAGCGGTATTTTGGTATGTGTTTTTTGTTGCCTTATCTTGGCAATTGCTAACCTTATCATTTTTTTTAGGAATTTTATCCCAATCTCGTTGCAGTGATCATCGATCAGCTGCACTATCTTCGAGCCAGCGGCGTTGCTGTGACGGTCACCTCCATTCGCACCCTGATTCTTGCTCGCATCACCCACCATGCCCCACAGCTTCTCCGCACGATCGCCCCCGATAAGAAACCCTTCCTATGCTCCAAATCATTTGTCCGCAAGTTCGTCTACGAGAAGCTCAAATGGGTCATCCGATCATCGACCCGTGCAGCCCAGAAGACCCCCAGTAACGCAGAGGAACAGATCTACGAGCTGTTCCTCCGCCTCGCTTTCTGGTTCCGTGACACTGACACCCGCCGTCCTTCTCTCATGATCAACTTCGACCAGACACAAGTCATCATGGCCGACACCAGCGCGAACACTTTTGACGTCGAGGGCTCGAGACAAGTCTCCGTCCTTGGGAAGGAGGAGAAGCGCGCCTTCACGGCAGTGGTAGGCGTGTCGGCGTTGGGCGATGTGCTCCTGATGCAATTTGTCTTCAAAGGAGCCACTGAGCGCTCTGCACCTTCTTCAACCGCACGAGGACAAGACAAAGCCAACAACCTGGGCTTTCTCTACTCATTGAACCCCCTCACGTACTGGTCTGACCTTTTGACGATGGAACTTTATTTTGCCAAGATCATTGTCCCTTACTTCTCCCAACAGAAGCAGCTCCTGGGCTACCCAGATGATCAGGAGTGCATCGTGCTCCTTGATTGTTGGTCAGTCCATCGGAGCAAGGCTTTTCGTGCCCTCATCCGATGTTGCTGGCCTTGGATCCAGCTTCAATTCATCCCCGGAGGTACCACCAGCATCTGTCAACCTTGTGACGTCAGTGTCCAGCGTCCATACAAACTTGCAATTAAGAAGGCTCAGCTTCAAGACACTGTTGACGAGGCCCTCAACCGTCTTGCCAACAACTCTGATCCCTCCTTGTTCACGATCGACTCACGCGTTGGCACGCTCAGGGATCGTTCAGTTTCGTGGGGTGTCGAAGCCTATCACACGATTGATCACCCCGAGCTTATCAAACAAGTAAGCTTCAGCACTAACAATTTCTAACAGGCCTTCGCTCGTTGCTCGGTTCGGGGAGGTTTTAACCTTTCTTTTGAATCTCTGACTGATCCAGCCACTTGCAAGCATCTTCACGAGCTACCCCGCACGGCCCCTGACCTCTACAAGCGCCTCTCCGAGTCCATCATTGATGATGAGGCGCTTGAGGTCAAGGCACCTCAAGCCGACAACGACGTCTCTCCCAAGGACGTCAACCCTTTCAAAGAGGACAAGGAGCACAACAACGACGAAACCTGGATGGAGCCTGCCGATCTCATGTCGCAGATCCTCCATCCGGGCAATGTCAACATCTCTGCCACCCCGGTCTCAACTCCCGGCATGGTGGACAATCTCGACGTGGACGTAAACGTCTTACAGGTCCCTGGCACCGAGAATTTGGGTCAAGGGAAGCGCCAGCGGGTCTCTTCGAAGTGTTATGATGAGTTCTTAGGTCATTAGAATACATTGTAGCGCTTTTTCTTAGGTAATTCATCAGTTCTACATCATATTTCATGTTCTACCAAATGTCTACCCTTTTAAGTTCACGACCCCTCCATGAGGGTGGACTGTCCACCCCAAAGGTTCAGTTCAGAGGGGGGGTGAACAGTGGACTGAACTTAAGGTTGAAAATCTACAGTACCTCCAACTCCAGAGCAGTAGTATAAATACTTGTATAGTTCAGCCTGTATTCCTCAGTATGAATATTGACTTACTTCTGCCCTCTACTCCTCTTTGCCTCTAAGTCCTTCTCGCAATTCCTACTCCAAGTGTCTTCCGCGATATTTGTGTCTTCATCTATCTTCAGGTCTACTCTCTCTCTTTGTACTTTGGTACCCTTCCGTCAACCTCCGGTGCCTACAGCACCTTTGCTCTCTACCTACCGGTCCTCCGGTATTGTTCCCATCCCCTCCGCATCACTACAGTCAACTACTTACCCTACGTTTGCCCTCCAAGTCCTTACACTAGCATTCCGGGACACATTATCCCTAGTGGAGCTTAGCTCAAACATCCCGCATCCTTCCAGCAGGCACGGAGTTAACAATGGTCTCCTTTGGGAGTACTACTATTGCTGTGTATAAATTACTACCAATATCATACTTAGACATGGTACTGCAAGTACTACCATGGCTGTTGAGAGTATTATCAAGAGAGGTACCTTGACTCATATTTTGGTAGTACTTGCGGTAGCACTTCTAGCATGACTGATACTGATAATATTTTCTACACAACCATTGGTAGTACTTGCAGTAAGTACTACTATCAAGGTCATACTTAGAAGTGGTACTGCAAGTACTACCATGACTGTTGAGAGTATTATCAATCTAGAGAGGTACCTTGACCCATATTTTAGTAGTACTTGCAGTATTGCTTTTTAGCATGACAATGGCAACATCACAGTCTTATTTGAAAGTACTACTATTGCTGCAAAAAGATTACTACCTGTTGGAATCTGGAGGATTGGGACAACATCAAGATACATGGAAGTGTAGCATCAATAGAGGGTAGACAGCAGTTGCTTCTTATCATAGAGATTATGCTTACACATGTATCTAATGCTGGTGGTAATATTTACAGTAGTGCCTTCTAGCATGACCATGGTAATAATACTGAATGGCCATGGTAGTACTTTTGAATAAGATTGTAATATTAGTCATTATGCCTCTCTTGATAATGCTTTGAACAGCCATGGTAGTATTTAAGTATTACTTCTAAGTATGACCCTGGTAATAATTTCTACACAGCAGTTGTAGTACTTTTGGATGAGGCTGTGATATTGTCACAGTCATGCTAAAAAGTAATACCGTAAGTACTAGCAATGGTTATGTAAAAAGTATTACCAACATCAGTCATGTTATGAATGCAAAGTTAATATTCTAAAAAAGGAAGCTAAAATAATTAGTATGATTGCAAGTAATACTAAAACATAGGTCAAGGTCCTCAATCTCAACAGCCATGGTAGTACTTACAGTACTACTTCTAAGTATGGCTGTTATAGGGATACTGTGTCCTGGAACCCTAGTGTAGGGGCTCAGGGGCGAGCATAGGGTAAGTAGTCAATTGTAGCAATGCAAAGAAGGATGGGAACAATACTGGAAGGCTGGCGTGTAGAGAGTGTTGCAGGTGATCTGGGACCTTTTGGTGGCGGTGTCAGCATGTGTCGGCCGCGTGTTGGCACTATACTTATGTGACGGCGGAGCACCTCACGTTAGCTATCAGTTAATGATCTTCTTAGATAGTTTTGCATGTCTCTCCATGGACTATATCGTAGTCTATTTCCTTGTAAACTTGTTTATCGAGCTCCCTGCCATCTATAGTGGTCCAAGATTTCATTGCCAGCCTAATCATCGGTCAATCTCGGCTCATGCACCACAACTTTGTCATCCTCCCTGGCCTTGGCATGGGTGGCGGTTTGGAACTTTGGACGACAGGACAGTTTTGAACCTGACCGAGCACAAAATAGCCACTTGTCCACCTTCTGTGGTTACATTGATTTATTTCCGTTTGTTTTATTTCATCAGAACACCTTTATGACTGTATGATTGAACAGGACAGTGTTTGATCATGTTTCAGACGAATAGTCCGAGATCTGCGCGTGATATTGAGTGGAAATTGACGTCAGCTTTGGACTTTGTTGGTGACAGCCAAAAAAATCCCCGCAGCTTGCAAAAAATGGCTTAAATGCTGAATCGAACACAAGCCTCAAGGACAAGAACCCTTAGACTTACATGCTACACTACTGTGCCGCTTACAAATGACGTGATGACATAGATTATAACGAGCGTCATCATTTATATCCTGTCCGACTAATTGGTAGTATGACAAGAGCCATTGTCTGAGTTGATTCTAATGTGGCCTGGATGACACAACGAGCCATGAGTATTGCGCCGACACGCCGCCGACACACCATTACCTAGCCGACACGCCGACACCAAAAGTTCTGGATTCTCCTTCATCCGCAAGCGTAGGGTAAGTAGTTGACTGTAGTGATGCGGAGGGGATGGGAACAATACCGGAGGACCGGTAGGTAGAGAGCAAAGGTGCTGTAGGCACCGGAGGTTGACGGAAGGGTACCAAAGTACAAAGAGAGAGAGTAGACCTGAAGATAGATGAAGACACAAATATCGCGGAAGACACTTGGAGTAGGAATTGCGAGAAGGACTTAGAGGCAAAGAGGAGTAGAGGGCAGAAGTAAGTCAATATTCATACTGAGGAATACAGGCTGAACTATACAAGTATTTATACTACTGCTCTGGAGTTGGAGGTAATGTACAATGAGTAAGGAACGTGCGGAAGGAACAGATCATTAGTAAGTAAACATGATATGAAAGGTCAGATACAATATTGTAGCAACTGCAGAATGATAGAAACATCAAAAAGTGTCAAAGGTAGACAGGTAGCAATGAGACTAGTAGAAAAGGAGGTAATAAGGGACAACGCCCGTCGAACATGTAGCGAGGAAGAGTAGCGAGGTGGCTGTGTGGATCAGAATGTTGCCATAGGGACCGGAGCAGGACCGCAGTGTGACAACCATGATATTGCCATGGTAGTACTTGCAGCACTGCTTCTAAGTATGACCTTGGTAATACTTTTTGAACAGCAGTAGTAAGTAGTATTAATCACAAAATTTTACAAAACCAAGTGTAGATTCTGTAAAAGGGTTGCCAGGGTGGGAGTTTCCAAGGAATCCTGCCAAAACAGGATGTTGCAAGAAATCTTGAAGTCTATCAAGTTGATGACTGTCCTGAGTGAGTTTTTCTGGGTGAATATATGCCATAATAATCTGGTATATTGTGGAATGCAGTAGCTAGCTATACTTGAGGCTTTCATAGCTAAAAGCTGGGTAAAAAGAAAAAGAGGAAAATGGCATATTTTATATGGCTATAGATGTGATGCGCACAAGGTGTCATTACATGCGCATCATTACCCAGCTGAGGTGCCCACAACATAGTGACTTTTGGATGAGACAGTAATATAAAATGGTGATAGTAGTACTTCCAATACTGTTTTCTAGCACAACACTGGTAATACTTTCTGCACAACCATGGTAGCACTTTTGAGCAAAGATGTGGTATTACTTACAGTAGTACTTCTCTTGGTAATACTTTGTATTATGTATGTCTCTCTGGACATCAGCTTTTACCCCCATTCTCTTCCCCTCATAGCCACAGGTAGTACCTTGTAATCAGACCGTGGTCATAATAACTTATTTCTTGCCATACAGCCATTTCAAGGGAAGTACTATAAACCATCAAGATGGTTTTATTTTAACAAGGTAATACTGTAATCCCTATAAGTACTACCTTATATTTTGCAGACAATCCTCTACATAAGAAATGTAGTACATAAAGTAGTACTTTGTTCACTAGAATTATGTCATTGAAATGCAAGGTAATACCTTGTTTAATATCTTGTATAAAATGTAATGGTCAAAATGATCAAATTGAACAATTCTTGCAATTATCACTTGAATTTGATCAACTTGATCAACATGTCAGGGATGAATTGATAGCATTTCAGCCACTCAAATTGTCAAATTGTTAACACTGACAAATTGATCAATTCACCCTCCTTGTTTTTACCATGGTTTTGTTGTCAATCATTTCAAAAACAGATAACATGTTGCAGCCACTCAAATTGTCAAATTGTTAACACTGACAAATTGATCAATTCACCCTCCTTGTTTTTACCATGGTTTTGTTGTCAATCATTTCAAAAACAGATAACATGTTGTTGCCATGGGTTTAGCAGAAAAACAGGTATAAAATAACCTTTGGCCAGCATGCAAACAAGTTAACATGATTTGCAAAACATATTGGATGTTTTTCTCTTTTATTTTTGCATGATTTTCCCCTCATTTATTTGATTGATTTTATACTTATTTTGGGTGAAAAACATGGTTCAAATATGGTAAATGTTTCTGGCATGTTTTGTTGCCTGTTTTGGCCAAAATCATTGTCTAATGCCCCCAGTGAGAGTAGTGAGTAAGGGGAGCTACGAAAACTACTCACCTGAGGTGGCCAATCCCTCGGGTTTCGTTCGCGAAGCAGTTTTGCGGATAGAGGTGTAAAGTTTTAGAAAGAGTTAAGCGAGAAGAGGTCGTTCAAAATATGTGGCAGTCGGAACTGTTCACACTAGAGGTTTATCGAAGTTCACGTGCAAGGAGAGAACGGGTCCAAACTCGCGGGATCGATTCCTGCCCACTCGTAACGTACATCTTGTCCTTAAGTAGTCTACGGGTGCTGTACGGGTAAACTAGCTAAGCTACATTACGAGGATGGGCCGGGGGAAGTAAGGAAACAGAGAGAAACAGTAGCGAGACGCTACAAAAATCCTGTTGCCCGCATAGGTGCTTATTTGACAAGGTATTCACTCCCCTGCACCCTAGCTAGGCAACTTTTCGACGACTTTGACATCCATGTCAACTACTGTTGCAGACGAAACACCCACCAAGACAGCGGCAGCTCAGCCTGCTGTACCTGGCGCCAGTCCAACAATTCCTGAAGATACCCTCGACAGATCTGCCTCGGATGTTTCTCCTCCACTTCCACAGGCGGCCGCAGCCCCTGAACCATCTCCGGCGCCAGCCCAAGAAACAGCAAAGCCCGAGCCTATTGCCACAAGTGAAGAGGAACCACAGAATCCGCTGACAAAAAAGTTTACGGAAGCTGAGTGGAAGGCACTCAAAGAGTTCAGGGTCAGTTCACCTGCGCTGATCATGCCAGTCGGACTCATCGCACTGACACTTTAGCCCAGACACAACTGCCCAAGATATTCTCTGACGCGTTTCCCGACGATCCCGATGCCGGAAACAAACCCTATACCATGTGGGGCGTCACCATCGATCCTCAGAACCCTCAGAATGCAAAGGTCAGCGTGGTGCTTATGAAGTTCTTGCGTGCGAGGTGTGTGAATGAGTCGGTCATTCCTTCAGTTGCTAACTTCAGACCATTTCCACAGGAACCTCAGTCCATCTGAGGCCGCCGAAATGTTGCAATCCACGTTGCGGTGGCGACAGTCCTTCAATGTCGAAGCTGCCATGAAGGAAGAATACCCCAGCGGCGTTTTTGATCGTCTTGGTGCAAACTTTGGCAGGGATAAGGAGGGACGGCCTGTCTCGTAAGGCAGCTATACGTTCTGATATTCTCTAGAGCTGACACACTTCTTAGATACAACCTCTACGGTAACGCGGGCGCTGCATTCGATGACGTGCAACGTTTCCTTAGGCAAGTAGACTGTACACATCCTTCCCTAACGCCCCTTCCGACCAATAGGACGTAGATGGCGCGTCGCGTTCATGGAGCGCGACATCCAGTTCCTCGACTTTGAAACTGTAGATCAAATCCTACAAGTACACGGTCAGATTACTCTCGTTTGCTATTGATGCGTTTATGCTAACATGTATCCTTCGGCAGACTACGAAGGCGTGTCGATGTCCAGCCGGACGACAAACTCGAAGAACGCTGCCAGCGAGGCGACGAGCATTTTCCAAGGGCACTACCCCGAGCTCCTTGTGCGTGCTCAAGTTACATTTCTCGTCGACTACGCTCACATTGCCTCTTACTCAGTATCGCAAGTTCTTCGTCAATGTCCCAACTTTCTTGACCTGGATATTCTGGATCTTCAAGCCGCTCCTGTCTGCTGCCACTCTCGCCAAGATGTCCGTCGTCGGTAGTGGCCCCCGTGCCATCGGCCCAGTTCTCCTTCCGCTCATCGACGCGTCAGAGTTGCCGACACGCTATGGTGGCAATGCCCACCTGCAAATCGGAGAAGAGAAGGCGAAACACTGACCTCGCGATCGTAACGACTTGTTGAAATGAATGCGCACGACTTAGGATGACTCACTATCTCGGAATTGGCCAACGACGCTCGATGTGTTCGCTAACATGTACCAGTATTACACCCATTACACCCAATGAATTCGTTTATGACATATTTTGTATATTCCATGACTTCTTTATCCCATACAAAGCTCCGTACAATCCAAAAACGGGAGATTTCTACATAATACAAGAAGAGAACACAAAGTCCCAATTTTCACCGCCGAACACGACAGTGGATATTGACGATTCCTAACTCTGGACAAGTTACGTGTTTGATAAAGGAAGCTCGTTCAAGTGGTTTACTCCCCGGCAACACTGCTACCACTCGCAACAGTAATTGCATACTCCTGCTTAGATAAGTCGTAGTCACCAAGCCAGCTAGAGGGACGGGTGTTGCGCGCCCAACGAGCAATGTGAGGGGGGTACGCCGTCGCTGGAGCACGTGGAATCCGTAATTTCGGATTGCTGTCAAGGAGTCACGATATTGTTAACCTGCTTTGAAGGTAATTCAGAGGAACGGGGAACACTCACTTGGCGCGCAGCGTCGGCCCGACAGCCAGTCTCGCAAAGTTGCTCGGGAAAAGTGGGTTCCCTGGAGTTCGTTCATTGAGGGGGTCATAACCGCGGTCGCTATCCTCTCCAAAGTCGGATGCCGCATAGCTATATGTCCTATTGAGGTGAAACAACGTCATGAGCGACAAGCGTCTAAGGAAATTGCAAATTGACAAACTTACGAATGCGGACGCCCAGCGCTTCCGAGACTAGTTAAGCTTCCATGGGAGCTATTGCGCGAGAGGCCGCTTGACCGTAAGGCTGGAGGTGAAGCGCTGGGGCTGAACGTGTCCATAGACCCACTAGGGCTTCCCGGGAAGTCCCAGCCCTTGAAAACGGAAGGACTACGAGGCGTCGGGCTAGTGCAGATCCTGATGCCGTGGACCTGTAAAGGCTCCTCTGGTACATCCTCCTTCTCCTGACTCTCAGCGCTGTCTTCATTTTCCTCCTCTTCACCGATATCCTCCAAGCCATCGCCGCCACCAGAAGAAAGAATGGATGGCAACGACAGCGGAGGCGGGTTGAGCGCGCCGGGTGTGACAGGCTGACCAGATGCAGGGGTGGCCACGATTGGCTCAATCGAAAGATAATCCTCGGGCTCAGTCTCGGGAAGGTTGACTGGAGTGGAAGGAGAGAGCGCCATCGGGGTGTCAGCATTATCGGTAGATCCCTGTGAGTCGAGTCGCTTCAGCGCCCCCGCCGAAAGCCTGGCAGGGTTGGTTGGCTCTGATGCCTCAGCTGGCGACTCTGATTGTTTAGGGGCATCTTCCTCATCCTCTGAGTCTTCTTCATCGCCAAATTCGAGTTCGGGAGGAACTCCAAGCGCACCCTTGAGGCGCTCCCAAATGAGTTCAGAATGGCTGAGGACACACTTGCGCGCATTCTTGACCCAAAGCCTGTCGTCTGCCAGATCACGGTCGACGGTGGTGAGCCAGAGGCGGAGAGTTTGGAATGTCCATTTTGTTGGGTTCTCGGAGAACGAGTCCATGGTTGGTGAGGATGAAGTGTCATTCTTCGGGAAGGTCTGGGCCAGCAGATTTATTAGCTTGGTGGTCGGTGGAGTGGCGAGAAGCTGGGAGACTTCTGCAGGACGATCGATGAAGGGGACATAGATATCGTCGGGGAGGGGAGTGAAAGAGGCAGAGACTACTGATGCCGAGCCATGTGAGCAAGGAGAGCCAGGACTCGGCTGAGGGCTGGTAGGAGTAAAGTTGGCGCTGGTGGGACAAGGAGTGACGTAACGGGGGCTGGAAGATTGACGCGCGAGTTCATAAAGTTGGTCAGGGGTAAGCGCTGGCTTTGCAAAGGGCGACACGCCTCCGACAGATTGCCGACGATGGTGAATAGCTATAGGAGATGTCGGACGGAGATGAGGTGATGTTGTGGGGCTCTGGCGTGGAGAGGGGGGAAGGTTGCTGGTCGGATTCGTTGGGGAAAAGGAGGGGAATGCGAAGCTGAGGCGGGCATTGTCGCGATCGCCGCCATTGGAAGACGCGCCGCTTGCCTGGCTCTGGCGCCTGAGGGAGCGACGCTGATGTAAGACGGGAGAAGAGGGAGGCTCCGAGAGGTTGATGGGGGTGGAGGGTGGAGTGGGGTCTAAGACGCGTACGATGGTGAGACGGGACGATGAGGTGCGGGCGGGGTCGTCGTTGAAGGAGGCATGGCGACCGTGCGGATCGCTGGCACTGGCGGACCCCCGTCTTGCTGACAACTTTCTGTGCGGGGAGGGAGAGGAGGCCATAGATGCTTGCCAGATCTCCTCTGAGGAGACATGGTTGGATTCCTATATAGTACCTTCCAATAAGGAAAGCAACTCCAGAGTGGATCACAGATTTCCCATCACATCATCTGTGACTCTCGCCATTTCCAACCTCGACTCCAGATTCGGTCGAGATTCGACAACATTCCTCAATCCAACACATTCCTCCAACAGCCCCTCTCCTTCGGCCAATGCCGACCACCCCACTTCTACCCTCCCATTCTATCTTCCGCAGCCGTGCATCCGACGTTCACCCGCTGCCACTCGCAGGTCTCATGTTAGAATAGTCTATTTTGTCTCTACAGAGTCTATTAGCGTCTTGTTCTATCTGCAGTCCACAAATGTCCTCGAATAAAAAGGTCCTGCTAACCAAGTAATCTACACTTGGACTACGCTGTCACCCGTCCTACCATCGCTGCTTCCACGGTTAGCTGTTGGCCAGCCCCTGCTTGCGTGTAATCCACCGCCTTTGTCTCCGACGTTGGCGAGTCCAATGATGGTGGTGGCGACGGGTACAGCCCGCTTGGCGACACCACATTCCTCTTCGACAGCACCGCACTTCCATCTCCTGATGTTGGCGAGATCTCGATGTGCAGGTGCGGATGGGGCCCATTCCCGTGACTGCCCGCGTGCTTCGGCGGCGGCCCCAGGTGAATGCGCGCCCGGCCTGGGCCTGATGGAACAGCCGTAGCCCCTCCATTCGTTACCGCGTCACTTGGTATCGGTGTAGAGGGTCCGCTTCCAGCAAGCATCCGCTCCTCATCCCGGTTCAACGGAATCATCATCTCTCTCTTGGCCTCCTCTCGTCGAACTTTATTTTCTCCCCGCTCTACATCGCCCTTTGCCCGGTTGTACATCCATAGTCCCATAAACGTCATCCCAATCCCAAAGCCCTGCACAGGATGTACAGATTGTGAGAACCACACGATTGCAATGCATATGACCGCGACACGTTTGATCAGACTTGCAATCGAGTACGTCACCGGGGAGACCGAGCTGAGAATCACGAACGCGATGATGTTCTGTGCGTAGTGGACTGTGCCGTTCATGAAAAAGTAGTAGACGAGCGAATGGGGCGCTTCGTGACCTGTCTTGGGATGCGGTACATGCATCGGCTCGTCAACGGCGCGCATCAGCGCAGGCAGGTCGGTAAACAGCCAGATCGGGATCATGAGCGCAAACGCCATACTCGACGAGTACAGCAACAAGTTGAGCTTGTCCAGTTTGTGCGACGACGTGGACGAGCCGCTGGGCATGATTTTCTTGAAGAAGATGTTCGAGCTCACGAAGATGATCGCGGAACCAAAGGCACAGAGCAAGCCAACCGGATTCGATGCCGACACATCGAACGTGCATGCAAGCATGACGCCGAGCGTGAGAGGAAGAAGCGAGATATAGGTTTGTGCCGAGTAACGCACACCAAAGAGCATGGCGTACGCTGCGACGGTGAAGAGAGGTGATAACGCCTGCGAAATGAAATCTAAGAAATGACTCTGTCAACCAGCATACTGACGGACCTTTATTGTGTGCGTTGTGCTGACGGGAATGCGGGAAATAGCCATGCTAGAAGCCATGTGTCCCCCAACTTGGAAGAGGCCCATGTAGAAAGTGCTCTTGAGGATTTCTTTGGAAGGCCGTCGGAACCGAGAGAAGCGCACAATGGGGGACATAAAGAGAATACAGTACGAAGCGACAAAGAAGAACTGGACTAGTGTGAGGGTGACCGGATAGCGGAATTGGTTGAGGATTGCTTTCCCGGTGTTGGACGATAAGGCTGAGCTCATATACCAGAGACCACATAGTAGCACGAACCGCACAGTAGCTGCATCCGCAGCTGGTGCGGTAAGAGGTCGAGACGAAGGACCGTGGGATGAGAGACCACGACCAGAAGCCACATCACCGAGCATACTGCTCAGCTGCTGAAGACTCCTCCGCATGCTCGCAAATACTGCATGAAAGTGATGCATCGTTGGCGAGCTCATCTCCTGTGACATTTCCCTGCCCATACCCATCTCTATCCCCTCTAGGTCGGCGAAACCTTTCTCACGAATGGGGGCGGTCTTGAGCATCGGAGAGGTGGCCCGCCATCCCCCACCGACGTCGCTATGTCCATGCCCATTCGCACCTGCTAAATAATTCGAACGTGGTCCATCGGATCCATCTTCGAATGCTTGTATTTCGGCAGGACCACTTGGTGGTTGCATTGCAGGGGCGTCGATCTATGTGCTTATTAGGTATTATATAGCGCGTTTGTTGGCAAGAGGGGCGTTTAGATGATTGTATAATAGCTTGAGTGTACGAGGGGCGAGTGTAGGGAATGTGAGCTGGGGAGCAGGCGGAATTGCCAGGGGGATTATCTTGCCAGCAGAATGGTGGGGAATAAAGCGGATGGCTTGAAGGTCGTCAACGACTAGAAGTGAGAGGCTGTTGCTGTCGCGCCAACCAGTCCACCGATTCCGCAGCCATCAGTTTGATTCTATTTGGCAAGTGGAGCATTAATGCCTTGTACTACTGTAGCACCTCGTAGCGTTACCCGTAAGAAACCCTGCGTTCCGTGTCTGTAACAGAGGGTGTGGTGGGTGGTTTGCGATGTCGCCGACGTCCTCGAGAGGTAGAAAAGATAAACTTTGAAAGATATTATCAATCAAGGCTCAATGTACTCAAGTGAACCGCCAAGCAAGCTGAGCCAGCACCAGATAAGCGCCGGAGAAGCAAGCCACGTGATGTGTGGCCTACCCTAAACCGCCTTCCGGTTGCGGGGGACGCTGTCAGCCACAACGCGAAGAGTTGGAATCGACATCAAGACCGACGCCGTCGTCGCCGCCCACATCTCAAGAATCTCATCATGGTTAGTCAAATGCCGTCCCAGTCACCTTGCACCCCCTCTGCCGCTTGTATGGAACGAAATGAGCGAGATCCCCACGTTGGAGGGGGTGGATGCTATCACTATGCCCAGGATGCACTTGGGCCCACCCGCAAAATCTCGTTGCACATTCGTCTCCTCAATCACCCCTCCCTTGCGATCTCCTCCTCTCTACGATGCTAACCGTTTGTTTATTCTCACTGTAGGCCCGCGGACCCAAAAAGCACTTGAAGCGCCTTGCCGCCCCCTCCTCATGGATGCTCGACAAGCTGAGCGGCACCTACGTGCGTATTGAATCGATTAATCCTACGAAATCTGGCTCAGTGCATACATGGGTTCTCGTAGGCTCCCCGTCCCTCGCCTGGCCCCCATAAGCTCCGCGAGTCTCTTCCCCTCACGATCTTCCTCCGCAACCGCCTAAAATACGCCCTCTCCGGAAGCGAGGTCACCAAGATCGTCAAGCAGCGTTTGATCAAAGTCGATGGCAAGGTCCGCACTGATAACACCTACCCTGCCGGTTTCATGGGTGCGTCGGATTTAACGAGGACACACAAATCGTGTTCACTCATCTAAATGCGCAATGAACCAGACACGATCTCCATCGAGAAGTCGGGCGAGCACTTCCGTCTCCTCTACGACGTTAAGGGCCGTTTCACCATCCACCGCATCACCCCTGAGGAGGCTTCTTACAAGCTCCTCAAGGTCCGCAAGGTTGCCGTTGGTGCCAAGAGCGTCCCCTACATTGTCACTCATGATGGTCGTACCATCCGCTACCCCGACCCTTTGATCAAGGTTAACGACACCGTCAAGTTCGACCTTGAGCAGAACAAGATTCTCGAGTTCGCCAAGTTCGATACCGGCAACCTCGTCATGGTCACCGGTGGTCGCAACATGGGTCGTGCCGGTGTCATCACTCACCGTGAAAGGCACATTGGTGATTTCGACATTGTCCACGTCAAGGACTCGCTGGACCGGACATTCGCTACGCGGTGAGTATCACATCAAGTCTTTCATCACGAACCAGCCTCATATTCTCCAGGATCTCCAACATCTTTGTCATTGGTGAGGGTAACAAGCCCTGGATATCATTGCCCAAGGGCAAGGGTGTCAAGCTCACGATCTCGGAGGAGCGCGACATGAGGAGGAGACAACGTTCATCTGAGCAATAGATGATGGCGGGTCTTGGGATTTTCATACGCCTTTGTCCCCTTTCGCTTGTATGCTTCCATGTGTATGCCAGATTACGCCACTAAAAATGCAGAAGACATGGTGCTATGAACGCGACAGAGCTACGCCTTCGATGCAATCGCTTGTTTTGAAAGCGGTATGATAGAATGCGACATATCAAGCTTTCATTACCAATAATCAGGCATCCTACATGGAACCATGTCGCGAGTAGATTTCTTCTTCTCAGCTTCCCATCTCTCGACCCACTTTGACATCTTGGCCCGCGACGTCTCCTTGCCCACGTTAACGGTGGCAATCATCTTGCGCCAATCGCATGAGAGTGCGAAGCACGTCAGCTCGAAGAACGAGCTGTGCTCCGAATACGGCACGCCATACATCTGCAACTCAAAGGAAGACTTTTGCATGGGGCGCAAATCGGCACAATTGAAAACCTTGGCTTGTCCGCGCGAGATGATCGCAGGTATTGACGGGCTCATATCGCTCCCAGAGGGAGGCGTATATCTGCGAAGTTGACATTTACTTCGGCATGACATCCAGTGAGGGAAAAGGCACCCACGTCCAACCAGTAGGCCTGAAACCTAGCACACGTGAGTAAGTACTCTTGAACCGTTGCAGGTACGGCTTGAGCTTGTCCGACACGATCATGCCTAGCGGAAGGAGGTGCACGCCGCCCTGGACAGGATCTTTGGTCAAGAGCGCGTCGAGCTCGGGATCGTTCTGACATCGCAGGATAGCTGCCTTGCGCGCATCGCAGTAGACTTTGGTGTTGAGTGCGTTGGCAATGGCTATACGAGCTATTGGTCATCTTACGTTAGAACATAAAGGAGCTTCGTACCTTTCACAATACGTTCCTTGCCAATGGAATAAGTCCTTGTCGACTCGTCAGCGCACAGATTTGTAGACGAGTACTCGGTGACTGGTAATTACCCAACAACAACCAGTGTTCGCTGACCTGTAGGCGTCTCTTCCGCCTCTCGTTTGACTTCGCTGGTTGAGGACGTAAAGAACGAATTCATCGTGCGATTCGCTCCATGCCGGTTGCTCGCTCCTTCTCCATGAACAATCTTCTTTGCGAGCTCTGCGCAAGAGTCTATGACCATTGCCTGTGGAGGAAAAGTATACTAAAACGGATGGTCAACAAATATGGCATCTGCACTACCCCGCAGAGCTGACCTTAGGATCAAGGTACGTCGTATCCAGATACACTGTATCCAGCGGCTTCCCCTTGACAGCTGGATGCATGACATGCCTCGGCGACGCGCGAAAGTCCCCACAGTGGAGGTATCTAAACACCCGCTGCGTGCCGACAAAATGCGACCTGAACGCACTGTCGCCCGCGTTGACGGTCTGCCGGCCCTCGAAGAGAAAGAGACACGAGCCAGGGCAGTGGTTCGCCTCGATGAGCGTCACCGTCACACCGCCCGTGTCGGGAACCTCGACGGGTGTGTCCATGGGCAGTGGGTGCACCCACTTGCGGTCGACGGAGAGCATGTGGATAATCAGGTTCGCTGTTCCCTCTAGCAGAGACGGTTAGCAAAGCTACGGGTAATGGCAGAGTTAGGTTACCAGAACAGTATATTGGCCCACTCTTCCAACTCGAAGATAGGTTTGTGTAGTGGTCTGAATGCGCATGGCTTGACGCTCGGGGTAAGCTCTCAGCCACCGACGCCAATACTTCCTGACACTCACGTTAAAAAATAAGCTGTTACATTGGGTATCGTGCCGTAGCGGAAAGCATCCACTGCAATAGGCATGCCTTGAAGGACCTTGTAAAACGGTGCTTTCCTGCGGCTGCCAGGAGCACGCGTTGGCCGGAAACTTCGATCTTCAGCAACGTCGGCCTCTTTCCATGCCTCGTTCTCCTTGCGTGATTCCATAAGGACAGAGAACATGCTGGTCGCACCGGCTTTCTTGACATCAGCATCCTTGACATCCTCGTACGTTTCCGTGTCGTAGCCATCGGCTTCGTCCAAGAGCTTCAAGTCATAATCCTCCTCCTCTAATTTCTCTTGTTTCACCGTTGCAACAGGAGAGTGACGATTCGTGTGAGTTTTTGAAAGCGGTTTTGACTCAGCCATATTTTCGGGCCACGATGAGCAATCTCTGGGCAGCGTAGGTCGGTCTAGCGGGGGCTTGCCAGTATCTTCGATAGAAGAATCGATGCATATATTAACGTGATTTTGGATCTCCTGGATGTTGGTTAATATTTTGGCTAGATAGCTCTGGAGCGGAAGCTTCGCACCGAGGCAAACATTGAACCGAGATTACGACCGCAGATAGGACATTGTGGCTCATCCTTGGATGCGGATGCATTGTTGGATGTGTCTTCGATTTCGACCTCTGAGTTGTTGTCCCCGTTGTCTATGACAAGTTCATCGTCTCCCTGCTCCCATATTTCCTCGTCTATTATTCGACAGCCATCTGTAAACTCTTCCTTCACTAGGGTATTGCCTGATCCTGAACTGCTCTGACCAGGCTTGGTGTCTGCTGGCGGCTGAAGGAGAGTATTCGGATCACCAAAAGCAACGGGCCCTTGAGAGGTGTCCGAGTCAAATGAGATATACTCTGGTGGGCTGAGCAGTCCACCAGCCTTGCCAAAAGAAATGCTGGTCTGTGTTGTGCTGCAGGACGCGTCGTTGCCTGTTCGTTGAATATTCGACGCGGTTGACAAAGGACCAAGCGGGGAGGCAACAGGAGACGTTCGAGGCGGGGTATGCTTACTCTTTCCCTTGGAGGTCTTTGGTATTGGTGCTGAGACGTGTACATCTTGGTCACTGTCAGAGTCAATGACGATGATTTCGTCTGAGGGCAACGGTTTCGTCTTGGGACGCGTCGCTGGGGCGCGCTTGGCTTTCTTTGACGAGTCTGGTTTTCCAAAGAAATGATGCAGCGTCGGTCCTCCCAATGGTTCCTTGCGTTTTGTTGAGGTAGTCATGTTATGTTATTGTAGTGAGGGTGACGGCGGGTGGAGAAAGGCGAATAGGGGGATCGCCCAAGGTAGGTGATGACAGGTAGGAAGTTCGGCGATAGCCCCTGAGTGACCGAGGGCTGCGGAATCGTCGGTATCCTTGTACTAGCAGTCACGGTACTGGTGATTGACTCCTGTCGTCCGCTCAGATGCAAAACAGACCAGACAGACCCTTGGTCGTAAAATGCTCCTTCGACAGACGCAGCAAACGAATCTCGTTCCAATCTGCACGCCATTGCTCTTATGAGGTCCTCAGAAGAAAGGTCCGCAACTTGCTGTATAATCTCTAGTCTCCTACCCCGTGTTCTCATTTACCTGTTATCCGCACCCAGGTCGAACTATGCTTTTCGTTCCATGCAATGTCCTTCATGATCACCTACAAGGATGACGATGGAGAAGTCACGGACATTGCTTCCGACACAGATCTCACAGAGGCCATCCTCTACTTTCAGGCCGGCACAGACGATCCTCCACTCTCCTCGGCCGCTTCCATTCTCTCAGGTAGGAGCTTCAGAGGTCGCGACATCATCCTACGCGTTCAGGTCACTGTCGACTACGATGGTCCAAGCTTGTCCGATACCTCATCCCTCGCCAGCATCGAGGAATACCGCGCCAAGAACACTGGCAGCGAAGCCTCATTTTCCTTTGGCGCGCCCACAGAAGCAGACCTCGATGACGATGCAGTCACCGTCAGCTCAAAAGATACGGGCGGTCGCCGCGCTCAGCGCAATGGCCATGTAAATCACCTTCCTCGGCATATTGAGGACGAGAACTGGGACGACGAAAGCATGGGTGACAGCCTCTCTCTCACTCCGAACCACAATCTCGAGATGTCAGATACACCTCCGATAACCACCAACGGCAACCACGATGAAGGCCCCTTCTCTGATCGCTACCAGTACTCCGAGGCCGACGATTACAACGAAGATCGCAACGGTGTCTTCAAGCGACTGAAGCTCGAAGAGCAGGTCGATAATTCACATCCGCCAAACGACCGCGGCGTTGCTTGGCTTCGTGACCAAAACGCACGTGCAATTAAGTACAAGCTCGGCGCTTCTCCAGAGCCCTCCGAGTCGGACGGCCTCTCACTGTCGAATGGACAAGATGGCATGAGCGGCGACCTCGCGCTTGAACGAGATACCAGAGGGAAATACTATTACACCTACACATCATCCGGCGGATCGCAAATTCAGGAGGCAGGCAATGATGATGGTCTTCAGGAGTTGGGCAATGACGATGCTCTGAGTATGCACATGCAGGCCGAAGAGCCTGCTATGGACCCTACGCCGCGACCTAATTCCATGCAGCTTACCTGGCTTGCTTCCCAGCAGAAGGTGGCTGGCGCGTCTAGTGCTCCCGCTCAGAGCAGCTCACACGCAGAGCAAAGTCGTCCTCCTGTCCGAACATCAATCTCCGAACCTATACCCGAGATTGACTACTCGCAAGTGTCACCTGACATCCCTCCAGAGGTCCTGCAATTTCTCCCTGTCGAGCCACCTTCGTCCGACCTAATTACCGACTGCTCCGAGTGTGGTGTCCTGCTTGATGCTATCCGATACGTCTGCTCGACCTGTGGCGAGAAGAGACCTGCTATCGAAGCGCGATTAGCCGCTCGAACGAACTCGATCAAGGGCAAAGCTCGCGAACTTTCCGAGTTCAACTTCTACGTCAATGGCAACTCCACTTATCCTCCATCTTCTCACAGAACTCCCGCCTCTTCGTCGCCCACCTTGCCTGGTCCCGGGTCTACGGGCTCGTCAGCGTATCACCGGTATGGTCAGCGTCATCCTAAGCCCTTACCGTCTCTGCCTCCCACTGCATCGGCCACCAGTCTGACTCTTCGAAACGACGGTCCACATCTGTCTGTTGAGAGTGGCTACGAGCTCTGCTCTGGATGCTTGGAAGCAGCAGGTGTGATCCATGGCCTGCAAATGAGCCAAGCGCAGAATGGCGACATTCTCAACGGTTCACCGACCTCGCCTCAGGATCTATCTCAGTGGCGCCGGACCGCACCCCGTCAGAAGGGCCAATTTAGGCATGCATACATCGAGATGGTCTGGGGCCACATGGGTTGGGACGACGTTGGCACGTACTGTCTCCTTGTCCTATTTTAGTACACCTTCTAACCCGTGTTCGCAGAGCAAACTGACACCCAAAGCTCGAAATGCTCCACCTGCAACTCAGCGCTCGTCAACAAACACTACAAATGCGCTTCCTGTCAGAAGTTTAATCTCTGCCTCGCATGCTATAGGTACGCCCATCTCCCCTTACAAAAGGTAAGGCTGAACCAATGAGCATACCACAAACTGTCCAACCAACGGAACCTTTTGGTACCTGTCTGGCTCTGCTGACGGCGGATCGCGGACGTCCCGGCCACTAGCCAAGTGCACGACATCCACCCCTCACACGCGTTCCTCGTGGTGCAGGATAGACCCAGCCGGTCGCGGAGTGAACCGGACTTTAGTCAGTCCGCAGCAGCACGGGAGGGCGTTGATGAACCTTGTGAGTTGCTGCCGCAGCTTTACATCGCTGCGCTTCTTCTCCCTGATCCTGTACTTACCTGGCATCTATGAAAGCACTGAAGCACCCTGGGGTCAAGTGCGCACAGTGAGTGGCAACGTTCACATCTGTCTATATTGCGTGAAGCTGACTTTTGTCTAGCTGCTTGCAGGATATCGTTGGCGCCCGATTCCACTGCGCGATATGTGACTCGGTCGACATCTGCGCCAACTGTGAATCGGCAGGCCTACCAGGCAACCTCGACTCGAGCGATGGCGGGCACACTACGTCGCATATTATGATCAAGGTTAGATCATCCTCTCGCTTCGGAGTGGCGTCATACCAAAACATAATATATTTCTCAGATCCCTTATCCACTAGAGACAGACGAAGTGCAAATAGCCAGTCGAAGAGCGTTCCACCTGTGGACAGGACGCGACGCTGCACACGTCATGTCGTCTTCGCTGCGGTCAAAACCAAGTTCGATTTACTCGTCATATGCTCAGACAGTCATCGGCCCGCGGTCTTCAAAGTCGGAGGAACCCGTACTGGATCATCATACATCATGTAATGGGTGTCACAAGGTGGAATTTATCACTTTCAAGCCCCGAGTCCAGATTGAAGCTGACTAACGCATCTCGCAGAATATCGTGGGCGACAGGTACCAGTGCGCCACTTGTTCGAGCTCCCCAACAGCGTACAACTTGGTGCGTCTCTCCTTAAATCTCCCGTTCACTTACTCACAGAGATGATAGTGTGCTGGCTGCGAGAAGCGGTCCTATGCTCTCCACGATCCCATGCACGCCTTCTTCAAGCTCCCCAGGCCAGTTGCGAGAGCATTGCAGTCCGCGACTGGCTTCCTTCCCAAGCTGTAAGAAATAGGCCTTAGTGCATGCGTTCCTCTGCTCATCCCGCTCCGCAGCTACAAGACACCTGCTGGCCCTCCCCAAGGTGCCTCGGATATCGGTGATCCGGAAGGTAAATTATGGTTCTTTGGGTACGCGAAATACAGACTAAGCATTGAACAGACTACCTGAACTTCCTGATCCATTCTACGGCATGGTGCGACCGGTGCATGGAACCCATACACGGCGCCTGGTACCGCTGCGCCTACTGTGCCAAGGACCTCTGTGGCGACTGCCAGGCGCTCGACACACACGATACCTCACACGTGTTTGTCGTCTTCAAGGCGCCCGTGGACATTGCACCCTTCCGGTACGCCGTCCCTTACACTTTTAGCTGATAATAAAGTTGTGTAACGTTATATGCAGACAAATTGCTAACCTGGAAAACCCGAACGAGAGTCCGCCCATTATCCCTTATGCTGTCTATGGCTAATCTGACGCTGCTTTGGATGTTTATGTTGTCAATCCATCTGTTATGACACCATGTCACCTTATGTTCGTTGCTTTCGCTCTCGATCCAAGTAAATGTAGATACCGGCTTGCATAGTATCATATCTCAGCGCATCACACAGACGTTGTTAATTTAATTGTACATCATAGCAGTGCAATATTGGAGGAACATTCGAGAAACATGTGTTGGTACCATTGGGCACACAACGTCCACGGGCGGCTAGCCTTTCTTGAAGCCTGCATACGGGGGATCAGTACACGCTTTCAAGGGTAGCAAAGTAGATATGAAACTCACCAAGCCTGCGCCGCTCGTAAAACAAGTCTGTTCTGCTCGCGCCGAGATTGACAATCTTTGGGCACCCGTCTCTGTCCTTTTCCAGCCTCGTGCATTCAGCGCAGTAGTACGCGTCCGAGATACCTTGCGTGCGCCAATGCGAGTCAGCCAGGCAGACTGCAGCAAAAGGACGAAAGACACGCACCAGGAGAGCCACAGATGATGCACCTCCCTCCATATGTCCCAAAATTACACTCGTCGCAGATGCGGACTAGCGTTTCTGGCCTGACGTATGAGTCGCATACCGGGCTGCTCGGGAGGTCGTCCGTCAGAGACAAAGGAATAAAAAGAGGACATGGCCCGACGCACCACTTTCCGTCGCACTTCTCACATAGACGGCCAATCGCTGTATGCACAGAACGCGTTTGAGCAACGCTGACAACTATACGAAACTCATGGTATACGCACCAATGCCAGGCTGGCGCCTGCACATGATCAAATCTGTCCTTGCAGTCAGCTAGGCAGCACACAACGCGGCCAGAAGTGCATACCGGGATGATGCTTCGACATCCTGAGACAAGTCGAGCGTTCGCGTGGTGGTGGTGGACGAGGTCAAAGTCACCCCCTGACGTTGACTAACAAATTTGTAAACCTTCAATGCAAGTCGCGTGGCCAGGCCAAAACAAGTCGGGTTGCGGTGGGAATAATAGAGTAGCTACAATTGACTCTAGTAAATTTACAGCTTGAAATGATATAAGTATGTAGTGAGTTAATGATGTTTTGCCCTACGCCAGCTCTGGCTGGCCTCGGTATGACCGAGTGTTGTGATATGGGTATGGATGAAATCATGAGTACGTCGTGCCTCCAAGGAGCCTAACAGTATCTATCCACCGTGATCTCCGCTGTCCACCAAATGCGCCATGCACTCCGTCCGATCCCACAAGCCTACGATCCCACCATAATCTGCTGTGTTCGCGTCCCTGCGTCGTCTAAAGCGCGCTTGAACGCCTCGAGATGCTCCTCGCAGATCTTCCTCCCGTCCTGTCTAAACCCAATATTCTCGAGCTGACCCGTCTCCCACTGCTCGATCTTGTCCCTGCTCTTCTCCGCGCTGTCCCACTCCGCCCTCCAGCCGCCAAGCTTGTTCTTGAGCGCACGCAGCTTGCGCCCCGCCTCGGCGGTCGCGGCGCCGTTCACCTGGGCCTGCTCGGAGATGACGGAAAGCGAAGACATGAGCGACGCGCTGAAACCGCGGAGGTTCGTCAGATGTGCGAGCGTGCTCTCCGGTGGGGCTGTGGGCACGATCGCCGATGATACGGACGACGAGCGTGCGACATGTGTCTTCTTCGTCGGCGACAGCGGGGACAGTGGGGATGCAGACGGGCTCCGCTGGTGCGACGATGACGGCGGCGGCGTCCTGGTACCGTCATTGTCCGACTTGAGAGGAATCGACGAGTTATTTGGCGCTGCTGACCCTTCTGGCGTCGTGAGGGTGACAGCAGCAGATAGCAGCGCCTTGGAGGGCCGCTCCGTCTCGAGCTCGTCGAGCTGGCCGAGCACATCGTTGCCGCCCATCTCGGCCTCGATCTTCTTGAGTTCGCGATCATAGTCGAGTAGCTCGCGCAGCTGGCTCTCGCGATCCCGTGTCGTTTCGTCGATCCTGCGCACGATGTCGGCTGCACGGGCCTCCAGGGCCGGCTGGGAGCTGCGCCCAGACTTTGGATCCTCCGAGGTGTCGATCTGGCGGAGAAGGGAGATAAACTTGTCCGTCAAGTGTAGGTTAGCTGTGAGCATCTCGAGCGACTGTTGGGTCGTGTCCTGTTCCTCCTCTTCCTCTTCCTCTCCGTCGACCTGTGACTCCGGATCGGGTTCCTGCTGGTTCTCTTCCTGAGGAATGCCCCATGATGCCTGTTGTGCGCTAAAGGTATAAGCAGTGGTGGGAGACATGGGCTGATCCATTGCGGGGTATTGGTCATCTTGTGTCTGGAGTTCATTCGCCAAGTTAGCTGACGATGAAGGGTATGCTGCCTCATTTTGCTCGTCGATGCCCTCTGCGCCCTCGTCGTACTCGATGCCAAACTCTTCTGCGAGCAGCTTTGAGCCCGAGCTTGGCTCTGGCATAAGCGCTGCTGCGAGTTCATGAGCAAGAGAGTGTGCACCAGAGTCAGCCATCCCATGCGAGAGGGGGGAGGACGTGGCTGGCTGGTGCGAGCGGAGACCAGAGCGGGACGGCTGTTTCTTGGGGGCAGGGGCAGAGAGATAACGAGACGAGTTGCTGGAAAAGGCGTCGTCGTCGAAGGAAGACATGGCAGTAATCGACTCAAGCACGGGCGATAAGGAAAGGACTACAAACTAGAAAAGTAAAGTAAAGACGCGCGGTGCCGGTAACAACTTGGAAACCGCGGATAACATATCGATTACGTAACGCGTCTTTCTTCCATCTCCCCCTCCAATCAAAGATCCCCGTGTCCTCGTCTCTCCGCCCTTAACATATAATTTATCTATAATGTCTTATTTCTCAAACCACTCCCAGTCCACCCGCCACTCCGCCATTCCCTCCGATCCGCAACACCCATCCGCGCCCTCCCTTGCCCCGCGTTCTCGTGCTCCCTCCTCAAAACACTTCTCCACCTCCCTCCAGACTTCTTTAGAGGAAAAGTCGCAAGGAAAGGACAAGCCCATAACGCCTTCTATCAGTGGAGGCGTCCACCCACTCAGGCACACGTATGTTCGTCAATCCCTTTCATCCAAAATACACCTTCAAACGTCCGTCTTTCATTCTCCAGATGGGTCTTCTGGTTCCGCCAACAGCGCGCACCAGGTAACAAAATCACAAACTATGAGGAAGGCATAAAAAAGATCGCCTCATTCAGCTCGGTGCGCACACCTCCTCGTCTTTTCTCCACCCGATTATTTAACCGCTGTGCACAGGTTGAATCCTTCTGGTCTCTCTGGACCCACCTCTATTCTCCCTCTGCCCTCCTCCCGACCACCGATTATCTCCTCTTCCACTCCGGCATCCGCCGTCCCGTGTGGGAAGACCCTCTCAACATCGACGGCGGTAAATGGATCATCCGCCTCAAGAAGGGCGTCGCCGACCACATCTGGGAGGACCTCGTCCTTGCCATCATTGGCGATCAGTTCGAGGACTGCAGGACCGTGACTGCTTCTTCCGAAACCACCAATGGTGACTCTCGCAGCACTCCGAGCGAGTGGCCCGAAATCTGCGGGTGCACAATCAGCGTACGCCAGAGCGAGGACATTGTCACGCTCTGGAATCGCGTCGATGCTGATGTTAAAGTGCGCGAGAAGATCAGGTACGTGTTGTGGTTAAACACTACATGTCCCCGGTCTGCTTATGTCTATGGTCACTAGGGACACTTTAAGAACTGTGCTAAACCTACCGCCTTCGACGATCATGGAGTACAAGTCCAACAATGGCGCGTTGCTCTCCGCTGCTCAAGAGTTAACGGTCTGACCTTATGCACTCCAGATTCGATGCAAGACAAGTCCAGCTTCCGCAACTCGGCGATCGACCGTACACCCCTCGCATAGTTAAAGTGCATTGTGACCGTGGTCGACACGCGACGATGTCAACTCACGCGGCTAGTTTGCGTGCTGCACGAGACACGTCATACGACAACGAGAAATTGAGAGGAGAGGGCTCCGAATACAATCAATACACTAGTACAAGCGAGAGATGATCTACGTAACAGCACATGTACGTGTCGGGGGCGTCGCTCAAGATCAGTTGTTCCGGAGGCCGTACACGGTCTTGCCGTAATACAGCGCGGTGACGGTCGATGTTGCGGCGAGCACCTTTGGCACGGGGCCCTTGGCGACTCTTGGGAGCGAAGAAAGGAGAAGGAGGGCAGAGGCGCCTGTGCATACGTTAGTAAGAAAGGGGAGAGTAGAAAAGAGGAGACATACCGAGGGCGCCTTCGAGACCGTTGGGGGCACCCTTGCGGATCTGATCGGCACTCCAGAGGTAGAGAAGACCCACGCTGCGAGAAAGCGGAGTGGCAGAGAGTGAGATGAGAAAGAGTAGACTGACTCAGGAGGGGACATACCCAACACCGGCGACGAGGGAAGGAACCGAACGGGTTTTGGCGAAGCCAGTCACGCCGCCAACGACACAGAGGCCGCCCATAACGTATGCGGGATATGCAGACTACAACGGGATATGTCAGTATGAAAAGACATTACGGGTGCATGCGCACCATTTTTTGTTAGTGTGGATGATGGAGAGGAGGAAGGAGTCGGGAGATGTGGGAGACTTGCAACAGGAGCCAACGCGACCAACCGGCCAATCCCCTAACCACATTCCCCGTACCCCGCGTCGCGTAACTCCAGCTACGTCAGCACCCGCATTCACGTGAAGGCCACACTCCGGACCGGGCTACTGATCTTGAAGCAATCAGTCACTCGTTTCTCAACATATGGCGCTGCCACAGAACAACAGCGAATATGGCACAAAAACTTACTGGTATGCTATTGTTTTACGCATCTTCACCCAACCTCATCGCATGTCAGGGACCTCAGATATCGCGAGTAAGCTCACACGAAGCAATCTCATCCCAGACAACCTCACAATCACTACATCAGAGAAGCGCCAGACGCAACCTTTGACTGGTTCAAATCCTACGCCGACATCGCAGACGTCCTCAGGCAGTACATCCCCGACAAATCCGCCCGCATCCTCATGCTCGGCTGCGGCAACTCCACCCTCTCCCAGGACGTGAGCACTCGCCCACATTTACTCCAGTTGGGACACCTCACGAGCGCGCCAGACGCGCCTTCTAGATGTATGACGACGGCTTCAAGAACATCGTCAATATCGATGTGAGCTTAATCCACAAGTTATGCTCATCACTTGCGAATTGACGACACGACCAAGTTTTCGGGCGTGCTTATCGAAAAGATGAGATCACTGCATGCCGGGACGCGTCCAGAGATGGAATGTAAGACACCTTGGCGATTTAGTGCTGTGTGCACACTGACTCCTCTCGAGGGCACGAGATGGACATTCGAGACCTCAAATTTGAGGACGGCTCGTTTGATGTTGCCATCGACAAAGGTATGTTAACAAGACCAAATACTTTGATCTTGACAGTCGCTGAATATCGACAGGCACCATGGATGCGATGATGACCTCGGTCAAGGACGTCTGGGTTTGTCCCACCCACTTTTTTAATCACTCCTTCGCTAATATCGCATCAGAATCCCCCAGAGCATGTCATCGAAGATTGCTCAAGAGAAGTATCAGAAGTCGTGCGGTAGGCTTTATCCCGAACCCTACCGTCAACCCTCCTACAACTTGTTGCAGAGTCCTCCGAAAGAAGAGTGGCATCTTCCTCTACCTCACCTTCGGCCAGCCCCATTTCCGGAAACGCCACCTCACGATGCCATCCTGCACGCTCGAAGTCAAGGAACTAGGCGACAGCTTCCATTATTACCTATATATACTCCGAACCTAGGTGCCAGCACGAAAACATTGTCAAAAGGCGATATAAAAAATGCTGTGATATTAGAATAAAAATTTGACATTCTTGTAAAAGTCGACCATCGGGTTCTCCCCACTCCGGAGCTGTGTACGGCTGAGATCGCTGTACGTCTGGAGGAACTCGGCGTGCGTGAACACGCTCGACTTGCGCTCGCCCACGGGCAGCCCGCTCGCCGACGCGATCCCGTCCATCGGTATCCGCCTCGATGCCGGATGGAACGACGAGAAGTATCCTGACAACACCCCTGGTGATTGCGAACGTGGTGACGACGCGTCGGACGGCGTCTCGCTGGCGTCCGAGTCCAGATCTGCCCCCCAGCCGGCTATGTACGGCTGCGAGAGTACATGCTCATACATGTCCCGCAACTGCTCAAAATTCGTCGGAAACATGATGTCGAAGTAGCCCGGTGTGACGAATAAAGTCGTGCACGGGACCATCGTGCCGTCCAACCGTGTTTGCACGACCGGCGCGTTGACGCCTTCTATTGCATCGGGAAGCGACGAAAAGTCAGAGAGCAGGAGCCGGTGCCGCGGGAAATGGTCCCGCAGCACGCGGACAAGCGAGTACAGCCGCGTGGGCACGTATTCCGGTGTGGACATGTTGGGCGCGAACGGCATGTTGGCGAAGGCTTTGCGGAGGATGGGGACGCCAAGTAGGCGCCCAAGAGACGGAGGATATCCAAGCTCGCGTTGTAGTGACAGGTATGAGCGGATGGTAGGGTCGGTGAGTTTCGAGTAGAAGGGGTTGAAGTCGCCATACTCGTCGATGGCTACCAGACCCTGGTAGGGTTCTAGGGTATGGAGGTCATACCGCACAACATCATGGGCGAAGTTGTCCTGAGGGAAAACATAAAAGTAAGGGGAAGCTAAGTTCGAGGAATACTACGTGCACGTACCACTACTTCCATGGCTACAACATAACATGGAGACTCTTCGCGCTTGTCCCAGTGGAATATACTCTTGTTGATGACCTGTATACTCTTGTGCTTGTTGTACAATCTCCGTCTCTGCTGTCTTGCCAAGCTCGTGCTAATCTCAATGATTGTATACCGCGTGCGTTCGTACACTTCCGGATACTGCACCCGTATGAAGTCGAGAATGTCTTCAGCAAGCGTCCCGTTTCCGGCACCTAACTCGTAGATGACCAAGTCTTCATAGGGGAAGTACTTGAGCAAATATTCCGAGACCAAGCACTGAGCAATAGCTTGACCATACCATGGCTATGGACACAACCTGACCGTCAAGCACGGACGCACAGACACCGAACCAACAGCCCACCTTGAACAGCTCCGTCGGCGTGTGCCACAACTGCTTCCCGCCCGCACGCTTGTCGCCCTGAGTCAACTCCACATAGCGATTCGCCACGGCGACCTCAAACTGGGTGCTGTCCTTGTACGCGCCAAAGTCAAAGTGCGAGCCGCCTGGCGGCGTGAATATCTGCGCCTTGCGGGAGAAGTAGCCGTAATGCGGGTTGTAGAGCGCGTCCTCGATGTAGTCCCGCACGAGCATCTTGACGCGCGTCGGCGGAGCAGACGAGGCGCTGAGCTCGTTGGCGGTGACGGTCCGGTAGTTGACATATTCACCGGGGTCCTCGGTGAAGGAGAGGGACGTGTTGTAGTTGATCTTGTCTGGCGGGCGGGACGGACGTGAGCTCTTATTCGAAGTGTTCGAGTTGTGCAACGGCGGGGTCGAGGAGAGAAAGGCCCGGAGGTGGGGGCGGCATGTTTGTCTTCGCAGTGCGTGACATGCGGAGGAGGACGCGAATCTGGAGAGTGTCATGTCAGAGAATCCAAATGGCCATGGGGCGGGACTTGTCAAAGCTCTGACGACACGCGACTTTACATATTTGTAGCCGGTTGACAAGTCCCGCTTTCGTCGATCGCATACTAATAACACAATAATCTTATCTTCTCACTCCTCGGAACGCCATTCCGGAGCACTTTGCTTTGGTACAGATCACTCACAAATGGATCTAGCAGGGCGATACGTACGCTCATGGATAGCGTCCAGCAAGGATGACGAGCTACAAAAGACAGTGCAAAGTAAGCCTGATTTCATTCATCAAGCTATTCACTGGAACGCGATTTCAGGTCTTTCCAATGGCGAGATCAAACTCCTAGACATCGTCAAGGCCCTTGGGGAGTATCTCACCTCAGAAGAAGACTACCTGCGCTCCAAAGGTAGTCTCCCTTGCCTGAAGCGAAGCCCGATGTTCTGAGATAATGGCCAGGGGTTGATTTCTTGTCCTCGGTCCTTGAACGCTGTCCGGAGAGCCAGTTCAATCGCCAGTCAGGTATGCCTCAACGAACGCAGCATGTGACAGATTCTCAATCTCATATACAAGCTCGTGTCCTTGTGTCTTTTTACTGCAGCAAACTTGATGATCACGAAACTGTCACGCCTGCTCTCAAGGGCCTCGTTCCTCTCTCCAAACTTTCACTCTTGACCTCCACCGAAGTTGAGGAAATTGTATCTGCGTACGCTTCTGCGTCAGTTTAGATATACTGGCTTTTGACTCCCTCCAAGCATGTTTCAGCATGTCAAGATGAGAGCTCTCGTACAAACCGAGCGGTTCCACGTCTTTACCGTCTTCGATATCCTCCTGGGAAGGCATCGTCAAAGTAATGCCTCCGCCGTTCTTTCTATGCATAGGCTCATAGTATTTCGTTGCAACAGCCCTCAAGAGCCTCGGCCTGCCGTTTCTTCAGGGCTTTGTTGCCCTTGCTGAGGGCGAAAAGGATCCGAGGAATCTCCTACTAGCGTTCAAAATTGACAAAGATCTCCTCGAAAACTTTGACGTCACCCCCGTCCTTGAAGTATGATCTTCCTTATGATGGTTTCGAAGGCACATCAGCTCTAATTGTTTGTAGGACTTCTATAACGTCACCTTCTGCTACTTCCCAATCACTTTCCGCCCTCCACCCAATGACCCATACGGAATCACCTCAGAACATCTCAAGGATTCGTTGACGTTCGTCGATTATCATGCAGATCTTCTCTGATGCTAAGGAGACATATTTCCAGAGCTTGTCTAAAAGCGACGCCTGCCTTTGCTTTACTGGGAATACCGCTTTTCTTGGAGAAGCTGAACGCGGGGTCACCTGCGACGAAAGTGGGTTGCGAAGAGTATTGGATGATCGCCATCTCTTATGAGTCTTTTGAACAGAAAGACACCTTGCAAACGATGTCCCAGTGCATTCCGGTATACGGCACTCGCATTGGTGCGGAGAACGCTCGCAAACTATGGACGAACCTCAAGCTAGAGGTTAAACCTCCCAACTCTTAGTGTTCGCATCTTCTAACAGACCTCCAGATTTTCCAGCCGATCGACGAAACCCTCCAAGAGCTCTCCCTCGAAGCTTTGCAGGTGTTGATTGATACCCTCCAGGCCGGTGAGCCTGGAGAAGGCGGTATCAACCCGCTCACCGAAACCATCTGCTCTGAATGCATCAAGTCCTTGCGCGAGCCAGAGAAGGCCCCAGCGCAGGGGTCCATCAAGGTGTTGTGCTCACTGTTGTCCATCTCTCGTAAGTCCATATACCACTTCGCCCGTGAGCTGGCTTACACGGCCGATTTTAGGGTCCGTTGCCAGTCACGTTGCCAGTCAAGCAGCGACTACCCTTGTCGAGGTCTTCCACACGCCAGACGAGGTCTCCAGCAGGCCTGCAACGTCGACATTGCTATCAGAGCTTGTCGCTCAGACACACATCAGGTGGTCTAAACTGACCACCGACTCTACCTCTAAAGATGTAGAGTCACCCCTGGCACCGCTGAAGGAGGATCTTCTTGGCGTCGCGAGGATTAGCATTCAGGACCGGACGATCCGCAAGACTACGCTGACGATGCTCGAGAGTCTGGTTCTTACGCCCCAGCTTCTCAGCACAGAAGAGCTCCGTGTCATCATTCAAAAGGTAACTGAATTCATCTCACCCGACTTTGTCGAGGATGATGAAACTCGGTACGTCTGTTTGCCTGGACCCAAACTGCAGTCTAATTTGCTCTAGTGATGCGAGCATTGTGTTGTTGTCCGCTATCGCCAACACTGGTCGTTCTTCGCTTTTAGCTGAACTCTCTCTACCCGTCTTGTTTGAAGCCTTACCCGATCGTGCTCCAGCAGTCTCTGCCGTCGAGGAACGCATCCGTTACTGGAGAAGCCTGACATCTCTAGGAAAACTCTGCCTCGCATCCGAACTCTTCGAAATCTTCATCATTCGCCTGACCACAAAGCTCGACCTCCTCTGCCAGCCGGATGACCTCTCGTCGCACCGCGAGCCCACGGTCGCGTATACGCACGCTATCTTGATGACGATCGCATCCGCTCTTTCAAGCAAGATCGACCAGCGGCACACAGACTTGCCAAAATATGCGGATCGGCTTCTCCCTCCCTTGTACAAGCTCTTCGTCGTGTCTTCAAGTGTAGAAGAGAATTCCATAGCCTCTGATACGCGTCTGGTCGAGGAATGCTCTCGCGTGATCGGTCTCATGTCGGAAGCTCTTCCCACAGATCGGCAGCAACGATTATCGTCAGCTCTATGCGACGCTTACATGTCTGGCAATACTCTGGACTTGATTGGAGTGTCTATTTCGGATGCAAAGTTCCAGCCCTTCTCCGTATGTCTGCTTTGGCGCGACCTACAACGAAACCTTATCAGTCCTTCACAGACAAACGCAGACGCTGCGCAGCGGAACACGGTCGCACTTTTCTCTGCAGCCCTGGTCACATTCGACAAAAAGGTAAACTCCCCTATCCTTCTCTGTAAGCTTCTAGTTTCGATCCAGCTCAGGTCTCTCTAGCGACAGCAGGTGTCGAGAGTCTACTGAATGCCGTATTAACCTGGGGATTTTTAAGCAGCAATCATCTCCAAGAGCGAACAGCGTATCGCCTTGCAACCGCCATTGTTAACAAATGGACAAGCGGTAGGGAAACATCTCTCTTGCTACGCCGTTTGCACTTTTTTGACAGCCCTTCCAGATGCGGAGCCCTTCCTCAAAGGTTCCCTAGAGGAACAATGGTCGAGCAGGCTGACGAACTCAGGTGCTCTGCTTAGCGAGCGGAAATACTTGGTTCAACTGTGGGCATGGGTAAAGCTGGTCCTTCGATCTGTTTGGATTATGATCTGACATCCTGCAATAGATAACGAAGGCGTTGCTAGTGCAGAACCACCCGCTGACAACGCGGTTCTCCGATGGTCTCATCAGTTTGCTAAGAGACAAGCAAATCGGAGAAGACGCTGGAAAAGCATTCAGCATCCTTTGCAGTAAGGATGACTTACTGACGAAGCGACTCCATGCTGTCATTCGGGTTCGTGGCGAAGACGCTTACACCCTCCGTGACCTCATGCGATGCCTCCATGCAGGTGCTTGCCGTTCAACGATATTTTGATAACGTGTTGCCTCGTCTGGTCGAGGAAACCAACGCCGGCGGTGGTAAGTGACCCTGTATTATCAATAGAGATGCATATTCATCGATGATTAGCTGAATCTATGTCATGGCCTCATCTCGTCGCAATAACCTCCCTCATCCACTCCGTCCCGAGAGGGATGTACTTCACCAAGCTTTCAAGCGTGCGTCTTTTTTCGTCTATCCTCTATCTCCTCTTACGTGGTATCATACAGCTCATTACACTGCTCATTCGGGCCCTCGAGAGCCCAGACACGAAGATTCGCAACATGGTCATCGAGATACTGCTGATCAACCTGAAAGAGCCATCTGAGGACCATCCCATGTCTTCCTATGCGTCGACTATCACCCGTGCTATGCTCAAGAACTGCACAGTTGCAGAAGCTACCAATCCTGTATGTCACTAATGGGGCCCAGGCGAAGCATACACTGACAAACATTATAGAGCGTCCGAATCGCTGCACTGAAGGTGCTAAATGCGCTGCCGGATGCCGTGCGCTATGATATTCTTCATCCGTACAAAGCACAGACTATCAAGGAGCTTGGCAAAGTTGTTGACGATCCCAAACGTGCCGTCAGGGAGGAGGCCGTGTTGGCTCGGACGAAGTGGTGGGTGTTTTCTCAGATCCTTTGCTTGATTCCGTTTTGAATATTATGCAGGTTCACGATGAGTAAATAATTTCAGCTCGTAAAGGATAGAATACTAGATGCTGGGTGAATCCTCAGGCATGGAGTGAGGGTTGGTTGATTGAACCTTCTTGAGGGTACTTAAGGCGGCTTTGATAGACTTGTCTGGAGACATGATTGTCATGTCATGTTGCATATCCGAGAAGTTTCAGGTGCTATAATATAAGGATGTAGATGCAGAGAAAACAAAGTTCTACATATTATATCATGCTGTATACCTTCTTACGAGCGGCATGACAGAAAAGTAAGAATAGGGGCATCGACCAAAATAGTGATGTGAGCAAACACAGCCAAACAAATTGGCATGGCCGAGGCAGGACATCTAACGCCAAGCTGTAAGTCGCGGCTTCAGGTCCTCTACTCTACTTCTTGACATTCGTCGCCGAGCTCATGTGGGTAAGTCGTCGATATTTTGAACGCCTTGATCTCTGCTCATCAGTCTCATTGCATCGTGTTACCAGACCGAGCACAGAAATCCCGAAGGACGAACCTATTGGTTCAATACCAGTACTCGCGAGAGTGTTTGGGAGAAACCTGACGGTAAGCAGTCATTTTCCGTCCCACACCATCCCTTCCTCTTAGACTGATGTGTTATCACATTTAAGATCTCAAGACACCATTTGAGGTGAGCAGGTCAATCTATGCGTCATGACGACACTAACCCACAGGAAAGCGCGCGTTAGGTGAGACGAAGTGGAAAGAGTATTTCTCGGGCGGTCGCAAGTATTACTACAACGTACGTTTTCATGCATCAGACCTGATGTGATTACGCGTCTTATTAACGTCCTTAGACCGAGTCGAAGGAGTCGAAATGGGACATGCCAGACGAGCTCTTGCTTCTTCTGGAGAAAGTAGAGAAAGAATCTAGCCCAGCGCCTGCGCCCACTGCCACTCCGTGCGTACTTTTTTCTTTTCTTATTATGCTCACAAGCAACTCATACACTCCCCCTTCGTCATTAGTAGCGCCCCTCTTGCAATCACCTCAGGCCAAGCGACCCCAGCGGTCATCGATAACTCCAAGGCTTTAGTGTTGCCTGGCCAGGTGAACGGCACCGATGCACTAGCCAATCAGGCACCCTCCGGAGCCTTACCCGCTCGCCCAAATCTCCCCGAAGATCCTGTTATCCCCCATAACGGGTTTGCTACCTTTGAGGAAGGAGAGAAAGCGTTCATCCACCTGTTGAGGAAAGCTGGCGTTAGCGCAGACTGGAGCTGGGATCAAACAATGAGAACTATCATCACTGATCCGTTGTATAAAGCACTAAACTCTCTTGCTGAGAAAAAGGCAACTTGGCAAAAGGTGGGGTTCCTTTCCTTGCTCATATGATCGCTCAGATACTCACATGCGAACAGTACACAGAGGGACTTAAGCAGAAAGAACAAGAAGAGCGTGATTCACGCTTGTCTAAGCTGCGCCCTGCGATAAGGAATATGCTAAGAGGCAATCCCAACGTATTCCATTATAGCACGTTTGCGACCGCAGATAAGCTCTTTTCGCAGCACCCCATATGGCAGCAAGCCAAGATCGAGACCGAACGCAAGCTTATTTTTGAAGAGTACGTCGATGAGCTGAAACAACGTGAAGTGGTATGTCCACAGCGTCTGATTTCCCTTATACTTGTTTATCTCCCTTCCCTGCAGCAAGAAAGTCGGGCGGCCCGATCTCGCAGCGTTGCCAAAGTGGTACAGCTGTTCAAGACGTTGGAAGTGGATGTTCTCACTCGTTGGAGGAAAGCTCATGATCTTTTGGTAAACTCTGATGAGTGGCTGACTGATCTTGAGCTCCAAAAGCTCCCTACTCTCGACATCCTCCTCGCGTTCGAGGATTACAGTCGAGTGAAGGAACGGGAGTTTGACGAAGAGATGCGGCGCACACAGCTGGACAAAACTAGAAGAGAAAGAAAAGCAAGGGAGGGGTTCAAGGTGCGCCATTATCTTAACATGCATACAAGCATATATCCATAATAGAGTGCAGGCTTTATTGCAGGAATTAATTGAGTCCGGGAAGATCAAGGCTCGTACCAAATGGAAGCAAGTCTATCCTTCATTTGCTTCTGATGAACGCTACCTGAACCTGCTCGGCAAACCCGGTTCGAATCCTCTCGAACTTTTCTGGGACGTCGTCGACGGACTTGACCAGAGACTAGACGAGAAAATTGCGACGGCAGAGAAGGCCATTCAAGCGTACAACGACGAGAGGGCTGGCAAGGATGGCGTTGAAATATTTAAGCTCGCCGCTTCGACTGAACTGTCTGCGTTCCAAGCCATAGTCACTCACGACGCGGAAATTGCCAAAGATATCAGCAGCACTGACATTGAGGAGGTTTTCACCACTGTGAGTGGCTTTGACTATCTCTCTCACTGATGGTCTTAACTCCCTCCGAGCTTCACGATCAGGCGGTCAAGAAACAGAGTGACGAGCGCCGGCGTCAAGAACGGAAGCAGCGACATCTCCAGGATGACCTGCGCTACGCTCTCAGGAAGCTCCCCGAACCTCTCAACCTCGACGCAACTTATGAAGAGGTCAGTGAATAAACACATAGCCCATTATGATGCTGACAGACTGAAAGGCTGTACCATTGATCGAGCACCTACCCGAGTACAAGGCTCTTGAAGACGAAGAAGGACGGCGTGCGGCATTTGCTAAATATGTCAAGAGGCAGAAGGTTGGTATCTGATTTTTTTCTGTTCAAATATCTGATGAAAGCGCAGGAACGTATCCGTGAGGCTGCATCTGAGGACGGTGGTTCGACCACCAGCAGGAAACGCAAAGAGCCAACTCGCGACGACCGGGACCGGGACAGAGACTACCGCGATCGCACTCGAGAGTACGACCGTGATGGACGAGGCTCGCGACGCCACCGTGGTGACGACTACGACGGCTACTCTCGCGACTCTCGTGACCGCGACCACAAGGACAGTCGCAGCGGGAAGGATCGTGAATACCGCTCGCGCCATGCGAGAGACGACCGCGACGACTATCACAGGTCGCGCCGTAGCCCCCGCTCGGATCATGGACGCGGAAGTCGACATGACGATGCACCTCCTTACGACGATGAGCGCGACCGCAGTCGTGACCGGCAGGAGAAAAGGCACGAGTCGCCAAGACCTAGTAAGCGTGAAGCTTCTCGCCACGAGGAGCCTGCCAGGTCTGAGAAGGTGTGTATGAGCGTACTTATGACGCGGTGAGTTTATTCTGACATTTTTCAAGCGTCCGAGATATGACCCCGATGTGGAAGACCGCAAGGAAAAGGGCAGGGAAGAGACGCCGGAGGAAGGGGAAATTTAGTGGCGTTGGTCTCCTTCAGTCCGGTTCACGACTATGCTCTAAGCAAATCAGTGTCAGTAGCTCGTATGTTGGTGGTCAAATATCATGCTTTAATTGTGCTCCGTTTGGTCCATGATCATGCTTGCTGTTCTTCGAAGTATGAAGGTATCAGGCACCCAGGACACGTCCTGACCCAATTTTTATGCAGCATATGTGGGTTATATAAGTGGCAGAACAAATAAAGAACAGCGCTGAAGAATAACGCCTAGGGTAGTAAAATTTGATTAAGTCTTCATTAGTCTTGGACATAAGCGACATAAAGTAAATGCTATGGCTGCGAATCGACGATTTCTATTTGACCTATGCGAAGACGGGTGTATGGGTGCTTGTTCTTGATGGTCTTCTGGTAACCCTTTCGTCTCTTCTTCTTGAAGACGACCTCCATTTTACCCTTGGTGTGCTCGACGACAGTCGCGTCTACCTTGACACGAGTTGAAGGAATGGTGGGATCTCCGCGGAGGGTATACTCGCGCGAACCAATTTCGTGGATGTTGCTCAAAGCAATACTGTCTCCGACGCGTACATCCTTGAGGTGAGGGACAGTAAGAAGGTCGCGTGGTGCAAGGATGTACTTGCGTCCGACTATGGAGGCAATAATGTACTGTGACGGTTGTGAGCGGATGAGGTTGAGCGCGTCAGACGCAGAGCCTGGAACTGCTGGCGTATGGAATGACCGCGCTGAGACTGAGAAAACATTAGAGAGAAAGCCATCATTGGAAAGAGGGAGACTGACTGTTGCGCAGACCTGCCAGCCAGCTTCGCATTTTCCATGCGGCCATACTGAGGGTAGTGCAAGACGTGACAAATTATTGCCGCGCCGTGTTCCCGCGTGTTGATTTCGTTGTCGGTTGTGGCCGCACCACGGTCGGGTGGTGATTGAATCTCCGCCTAAAAAAAGAGGCTTTCATGCGTCCGTCCCGACAATTCCCTAACACCGACTCACTTGTTCACTCTCATCCCACTTTCCCTTATCCTCCATGCACAGAATCGCACTTAGAAACTCGGCACGCAGAGCTGCGCTCGCCGCTGCCCCCAAGGTACACAACAACCCTTTTTCTACCGTGCCACGTCAAAAACTCATCTTTTTTCAACCTACTTTACTCCCAACAGAGCCAGCTTGCTACGCGCTCGTATGCAACTGCTAAGCCTGGTTCGTACACCATCCAACCAGGACTACTGCGGCCTTACTCACCCGCACCCGTTTCCGCTTGCTCGTTGCCTTTTCGTCGCGAAATGAACGTGTCGCGCCCGTGTAGCTGCATCGGAGGTTTCCTCGATATTGGAGTCCCGCATCTCGGGCACCTCTGTCGCCGGCAACGTCGAAGAGACTGGCCGTGTCTTGAGTATGCCTTCCATACATGCTAGCCTCCAGGACGTGTAAACTTACATGAATTCCAAGGCGTCGGTGACGGTATTGGACGTGTCTGGGGTCTCAGGAACGTCCAGGGTACGTTTCTTTTCCACGCTTGCTATTAAACCCGCACACCAACCCATGTCTCCCTCCAGCCGAGGAGATGGTGGAATTCTCTTCTGGTGTCCGTGGCATGTGTCTGAACTTGGAGGCGGACAACGTCGGTGTCTCCATTTTCGGTAACGACCGTCTCATCAAGGAGGGCGACACCGTCAAGCGTACCGGCCAGATCGTCGACGTTCCTGTTGGCCCTAACCTGCTCGGCCGTGTTGTTGACGCTCTCGGTAACCCCATCGACGGCAAGGGCCCCATTGAGGCTGCTGAGCGCCGCCGTGCCTCCGTCAAAGCACCCGGCATTCTCCCCCGTCGCTCGGTCAACCAGCCCATGATGACTGGTCTCAAGCCCATCGACGCTATGGTGCCCATTGGTCGTGGCCAGCGTGAGCTTATCATCGGTGACCGTCAGACCGGTAAGACCGCCGTCGCCATCGACACCATCCTCAACCAGAAGCGCTGGAACGATGGCCAGGATGAGTCTAAGAAGCTCTACTGTGTTTACGTTGCTGTCGGTCAGAAGCGTTCCACCGTCGCTCAGCTCGTCAAGACCCTTGAGGAGAACGACGCCATGAAGTACTCCATCATCGTCGCTGCCACCGCCTCCGAGGCCGCTCCTCTCCAGTACCTTGCTCCCTTCTCGGGCTGTGCTATGGGCGAGTGGTTCCGTGACAACGGCAAGCACGGTAAGTTTTGGAGTGCATGCATTCGCGGGTTACCTAATTTACGTGAATATTTCAGCCCTTATCATCTACGATGACTTGTCCAAGCAGGCCGTTGCTTACCGCCAGATGTCCCTCCTTCTCCGTCGTCCTCCCGGTCGTGAGGCCTACCCTGGTGACGTTTTCTACCTCCACTCGCGTCTCCTTGAGCGTGCTGCCAAGATGAGCGATAAGTTCGGTGGTGGATCCCTCACTGCTCTCCCCATCATTGAGACCCAGGGTGGTGATGTCTCTGCTTACATTCCCACTAACGTAAGTTTCTACGTTACAAAGCATGACACAGTGAATCTGACAATGAAATGGGTTTCATAGGTTATCTCCATCACCGACGGTCAGATCTTCTTGGAGGCTGAGCTCTTCTTCCGTGGTGTCCGTCCCGCCATTAACGTCGGTCTGTCCGTGTCGCGTGTCGGCTCTGCTGCCCAGACGTAAGCTCCGCTTTATGATCATATATATGGGCGCCTTGAACTGATCATCCTATCATCTTCACAGCAAGATCATGAAGAAGTTCGCTGGTTCGCTCAAGCTCTACCTCGCCCAATACCGTGAGGTCGCCGCCTTCGCCCAGTTCGGTTCCGATCTCGATGCCTCGACGCGCTTCCTGCTCTCCCGTGGTGCTCGTCTCACCGAGCTCCTCAAGCAAGGCCAGTACCAGCCTCTCTCCACCGAGATCCAGGTGCCCATCATCTACGCCGGTGTCAACGGTCTTGTGAGTATATTCATGCACTATCCATTATTCTTGGCTCATGTTCTTGCAGCTCGATACCATCCCCGTCGACCAGATCACCCGCTGGGAAGCTGAGTTCCGCCAGCACCTTACCTCCGCGCAGACCGCCCTCCTCGAGGAGATCTCGAGTGGTAACGTCACCCCCGAGGTTGAGGCTAAAATCAAGAAGGTCGTCGAAGACCACGTTTCCTCTTTCACTTCGTAGATTTCCTATAGATAAGCTGGACACCAGTATTATTGTCTAGTCTATCCCTTGCAATACCATTATGAACTTCATTTTGGTTACACTAATGATTCAATACACTCACTTGGCCTGCAGCCACATGAAAATCGTGCGAGGGGTTTATGTATACCATATGGTTATGAAAAGATGACGAGCTTATAATGGTACTGCCTAGTCCTATTCTTCTGCCTCATCAAAATCCTCATCGTCGTCAAACTCTTCATCCTCTACTTCATCCATGGATTCTTTCAGCTAAAAGGAGGGTGAACTCGATGAAGATGTCAATCTACGGAGATTGACGCACCATCTCCAACAGTTCATGGCACTCATTCAGATGCGCCATGACGATACCCTGTCCTTCAGGTATATTCCCGTCCACCCCAACGAACTTTCCCTCTTTACGCATGGATTCTATCTGGTGCAGCGCAAGTTGATACTATACAGTGGTGACGTGCGGCGATTAGCGTCTACGCGTGTCCAACGCGTTGATGATGGAAGAAAAGAACGAACGGGATATAAGTCGCGAGGGCTGAACGGGCCGCCATATTTCAAGACTTCGTTCAGACACTTCTTGACTGTGGAAAGCTTATTTGCTACTGGCATAAGCTCTTCGGACACCGGTTCACTCGAGGACAGCAGCCTGTAGATCAAGCCATAACATCGTCTGAGCAAGTATAGCAGTACCTGTCCACATGAGGCTTGTCAGGCATCGCTCTGGTGCCACCTCGTAATAAAATACTAACAAACTGTCCCGGCGGTCGATTCTCTTCCGAGTCGATAAACTTGCCGTCTACGCGCATCTTGTCGATCTCTTGCAGACTCAGCTGATAATTATACAGGTCGGTCTCGCGGAGACTCCACCGGTGCGTGAACACGAGGTTCTCGAGCTCCTGGCGGATCTGGCTGAGCCGGTCGTATATTGCCTTGAGAGACGACGCGACGTTCTTTGAATCCTCTCGCGCCTTGACCTCCTGTAATATCTCAAAGAGCTCTTCTAGGAGCGACGAGCAGAGCACCTGGGACGCGGGGACGATGCCGCCTGGACCAAGAAACTTGCCGTCGACACGCTGCCTGCGGAAGGGCGAGGAAGATGCATTCCCGACGTTCAGTACGAGCGAATCACATCATTCGGATATCAGGCTGAACACTCAACGAATCGATCTTTCTGAGCTCCTCCTGAAGCGGCTTGAGCTCAGTTTTATGCGATCCTTCCTTTGAGGCAAGGGCAACGAGCTGCCGTCGTATGGTGACCAGCCGTTCGTGAATGGGGATAAGCTCAACGGAGAGGACGGAAAGAGATTCTTGCAGCGATTCCACGATAGCATCTTTAGAGCCCGTTTAATGAACTTGGTCCGCGAGCACGAGAGAAGGTGCAAGAGCAAAACTGAATGGAGGAAATGAAAAGGCGGACACGCACCGCATTCGTTCAGCTGGCGTTCTAAAAGGGTCGTCATTGCTCTCGGATGCTTCCCGCTTTCAGCGTCATGCTGAACTATTTGGCGGAGTTCCTCAAGCCGGCGATGAAAGGGGGCGAGGTCGGATTCGTTGTAGACTCCGGATTCGTTCATGTGGTTGAGGATTTGCTATACATAGCGCAGAGGCGCATAAAGGACACGTCTCAGTCAGCATGTCGAGCCAGAAGCAGGGTGGCGTCGAGGTGACAAGGGGATGGGATGAAGGCTAGAGGGTGTGCATTACCTCAAGCAAGTGCGGGACTCACCCTCATGGAGGCGATCTGGGAGTATACGGCGGGGCACTCTTTCGTGCGGCCGAGGGTAAGATAGCATAGAGAGAGAAGCTGGAAGACATCGGCGAGAGTGGTGTCGACGCGGTTGTTGTATGTCTGACTCTCGTCGCGGACGTCGTTAAGTTTGGTGACTAGGGGTTGATTCCGGCTCGTTATCTATGCCGAGGGTGAAGAGAGATGGAAGTGCGGACCTTGCTTGACGACTTGCTGGTAGAGCGTGTTGACGTCGGAAGCCTTGATAAATTCACCGCGATCTCGTTTGAGAGCGGTAAGACGGTTGCGGATGCTAGCAAGGCAGAGGGTTAGGAGCGAGGGTTATACGCCATTAACGCGGCATACTCACTTGATTACGGCCTCGAGGATGGGCAGCTCTGCAGGTACATAAGAAGAGATCTGAGTGCTAGACAATACAGAACTTGCCCTCCTGTGCGACTGGTGCGACCATTCTGTATCACTTTCCTTGTTCTGTTCTGTGCTGCTCTAGTCTGTCGAGCGCGTGTGCGGCTCTTGCTCACGTAGGTGACGGATTAAACGAGGTATCATGATCGTAAAAGGTAGCGTCTGCGCATAATCGCATCTTTCCCACGGCTTATTCCCGCATAAATATTGTCTTGAATTACTTAAATCAACCTTGCCCTCGCCACCGCCAGTCCCCGTCTACCCATCCCGCTTCCCCCAACAGCCTACCCTCCCCGTCCTCCGCCAGAACCCATCAATGGATAAGATCAAGGATGTGTGTACTCCGACTTGACGCGCTCAGATTCTCCGATCCTCATCATTTCATCCTCGCAGAAACTCAACTCGCTCCGTGCAGAGGCTGACAACGCAGTAGCCCGTGCAGAGGAAGCAGAGACCAAGACCAAGAAGTACGAACAGCAGCTTCTTGAGAGGGACCAGGAGATCACCTCTCTCACCCACCGCAACGCTGTTCTTGAGGAGGAGCTCGAGAAGGCCGAGGGCAAGGTCAACGAGCTCAAGGCCGCCAACCAGGAGGGCGAGGGCGCGCGCACCACCAACGAGGGTCTCAACAGAAAGATCCAGCTTCTTGAGGAGGAGCTCGACGCGGCAGAGAAGAACGTCAAAGAGACTATGGAGAAGTGCGTGTCCTCCCTTGCTGCGATCGTTATCATCTAGATCAATAGCCCCTGATCGCGTCTACCCTCTAGGCTGCGTCAAGTTGATGTCAAGGCGGAGCACTTCGAGCGCCAGGTGCATGTCCTGGAGCAGGAGCGCGACCAATGGGAGAAGAAATTCGAGGTACGCGCATTGCACCTGCGGCTACTTTGCCCGACGCGATTATTACGTATATTAACGACACGTGTGTTTGGCAGGACATGCAAGAGAAATACAAGAAGTCGAAAGGCGAACTCGACGAACTTGTGTCCAGCATGGAAGGCCTCTAGGCACATCATCCACTTCGTTTCCTCATTTCCTCATCAAGCTGCAGGGACGTTCCTATCTGTCGCGCATCTTCGCCCCCTTCTGTATATCAATCAACCTACATTGCGCTAATGTCTCCGTCGGGTTTGCCGTACGAGTTCACGACGTCTGGTCACGACTTTTATACCATGCTGACCACGAAATTTCAATGTAAATCGTTCAAATTTCAGTCATCTCATGCATCCAGAACTAGTAAGGTTGCGGTCCCTTGAGTGGGAGGCCCCTATATCGTATGTATCTAAAGCCCACTCAAGGCTCGGTGAACTTCAGCGAGATGGAGTTGACACAGTGTCTCTCGTCCGCTACAAAGATTTCAGTAACAGATGGTGTGGGCGCAAAAGCAAGCACTCACTTGGTGTGGGGAAGCCTTCTCCCTTGAAGACATGGCCGAGATGGCCTCCACAAGCCGCACAAGTGATCTCTGTGCGGGTTATGCCCATAGATCGGTCTTCGTGCCTGTTCACTGCACCGGGGATAGCTGTAATGACGCATACATTGATCAATCGACTGCGGTTATCAGCGTACAAGCTCGCGGAATCCGGTGCTCACCGTCAAAGAAGGCCGGCCATCCACAACCACTCTTGAATTTGGTCGCGCTCTTGTACAGGGGTGTCCCGCATCCAGCGCACTCGTAGGCGCCCTCCTGGTAATGACTATCGTACTTGCCCGTGCCGGGAGGCTCCGTGCCCTTCTGCCTTAGGATTCTAAACTAATACAAATGCCTGCCGTCAGTCTATGCTCAATCAAGAGATGCCTATGGCCGAGATACATCATGAGAAAGAGTCAATCACCTGCTCAGGATTGAGGATGGCGCGCCATTCGCTCTCGGGCTTGGTTTTATCGGCCATGCTTCTGGTGGTTTGAACGATTCGGGGTGCGATTCGCGCTGTTCTAAGTGCAGTCGTTCGCAGTGCTCTGCCCAACATATATAAGAGCTGAATGGCAACTCCCATGATCCACTCCGATTTCTCTCAGCCAGATCGGGTACGGGTATACAGCTATGAGTAATACATGAACACAGCTATCGTGCCAAAAACGTGCCGCCGGATGCTTGCTTACTATGCAACTAGGCCCAGAGAGCAGCTAGCGGTGCACCAACAGTGCAGAACAGCAGTGCCTGTCACCTATGATTCAACATCGCACGAACATGATGCAGCACGCATTTAATCAAGTTTAAAGCACAAGGATGCACGTGCACGGCTTATGCGCAAGGCTTACTGCGTTAACGTCATTAATTACCGAATGAATGTAAGTAGATGAATAAAGTGGTCGTAATTACGAAGTCCCGAACGATTGCCGGACTACTAGGTACGTATGGGACCATACATGCCGAGTCGACGACAGTTCGCATCATAACCAGTACCAGCTCACCGAAAAAACAAAAAACCTCCCCAAATTGCCCGCTTCACATCCAGTATGGTGATCCAATATATAACAGATCCAAAAACTACGCGGCAACCAGAGAGGATGACTGAAGACGCAGGGATAAACAGTAATTAGAATAGGACTTCGGACAAGACCGCCCACCCAGAGGCGTGTCCTCCCGTCGTCCGTGAAAGCGGCACTTTCCTTCGTGCCAATGCCATGTCTCGACGAAGTGTGAGATGCGCTAATATTGCAAAAAGATGGGGTGGTGGATGTGTGATCACAAGGTAAAGGTAAGTACAGAATAGAGACAAACGAGAGATGGGGTATATTGGTCCATAAAACCTGAAATTGGGACGTGGATAGATATCAAATATCATACTGTCAGCACCACTATCCATTGTTCAAGACTAGCACTGACCTACGTGTAGTGTCATGAATAAACCTTCTCCGACATGTTCATGTTCTCCATTGGAACATGCCCCAGGCCTGCTCCGTCGTAATCGGGGCTCTGACGACTGTCGAGCATGGCGGAAGCCAAAATATCGCCGTTCGGTTCAAGCGTAGCAGGCGTGACGGGTCGTGACGGGTTGGTGGTAGCGGTAAACATGGACACTATTTGCTGATTGTGCGGGTAATATGACCGGCGTTGCATCTTCTTGAAGTCGTAGCATGTAAATCTGAGGGATCATGTTAGTAGGCATGATATATCAGCAAAAAAAAAGACTTACTGCTCCTCCATCTGTCTCATTTCTGCGCTTAGCGTGTTGACGTCGCGGTTGGCTTTCCTGTGTTTCGCCTTTAGAGGGTTATCCTCCAGGAGAAGTTCTTCCAGCTCGTGCGAAGCGTCAAAGTTGGCTTTCTTTGACTGTATCCACAGATCAGTACAGTTAGCATCTCGAGACAGAATAATGATATTACATCAGGCGTGAAAGGAGGAACGATCTCTTTGGTGAGAAGGCCATCCCAGTCCACGTTCTGGAACCAAGGGTGTCTCCGTATTTCCTCGAAGCTCTCGCCGTTCGGCCTGCAGCCCAATCTCCTGGTAGTATCCCGGTCCAAAAACTTGTGTCCAGTCAACATGCGATTCGCATGATTATTCTGACCCACTCACTCCTTTAAGTGCCTGAAGACCAGGGCGGCTACATTTGCGTTCAGCATCCTCAGGGAACCTTAAAGAGTCTCTGGAGATACTATGCGTCAAGTCACCGTTCGTCTTGCCCCGGTATGGCCGCCGTCCAAAGAGCAACTCATATGCACAGACGCCCAGTGACCACCAATCAATCTGATAAGAATAGCCCCGCTTCATCAGGATCTCGGGGGCCATATATGCCATCGAGCCAGCCACGCCAGTCAGCGGCTTTCTGTCAGTGAAATGGACGGCAATGTTGAAGTCCGTCAGGTGGGCGTGACCACGCTCGTCAAGGAGGATGTTGTCAGGTTTCAGATCTCTGCGGGTCGAAGAGTAAAATTTGTGCAAGGTACCAGGGACAGGCTGGAAAAGGGTTCTTACCGGTGCATGATATGGTTTTCGTGCAGGAAGCAAAGAGCAGAGCCGATCTCGGCGACATAAAAGCGGACAACTTCTTCCGGTAGCGATCCCAGTCTCTCCAAATGGACTACACAAGAACGAAATTAGACAAGGAAAGGCCAGCTCCAGAGACGGAATAACGTACACCGGAGATCACCGCCAAGCATGAGGTCGAGGACGAAGAAGCAGTTCTCATCATCTTGGAAGGCATATCGCAAGTTGACGACAAAGGGGTGGTCAACCTAAGTAGGGAGTTTGAGCGCCCGCATTTCGATAGCACGATTATCGGTACTAACCTCCTCGAGCAGACGGCGCTCCTGTATGACGTTCGCAACAGCTTTCATCTTGACACACTTGCTCTTGTTGATGTACTTGAGGGCGTAGAGATCCCGAGTCTGCTTGTGCTGGACCATTCGGACCTGCAAGAATATTGGACGGATGAGTACGTTTTTGGCGCTATATTGGAATGCTACGTACCTTTCCGAAGGCTCCCTTGCCCACACATCGAAGAAGAACAAAATGGAAAAGATTTACATCTCCTTCAAAGTCGACCGGCTAGAGTGGATAATATAAGCCATCGCGATGAGAGTTGGCGAGAAAGGACAGACCGTAGGACGACAACAGACTGCTCCCATCGTGTCGAGGACCTATCTGAGGTGAGTCGAAAGGGGTAGGACGGGATGTGGGCTTATAGAGTAGTGCGGGGAAAGACGTGACAAAGGTCACCGTGTGATGGGTGTTGGATAAGTGAATTAGGAAGCGGAAAGTCACGGGGAATGATACAAGGAAGGAGAAACGAGTGTTCGTAGGTCGCTCGAGGCTGTGGGGAACGGGGGCGAAGAGGGCGTGGGGCGGGGAGAGGGGAGAAAATGGTGGGGGCAGCCGCTCGCTGGCGTCGTGGGCGTCGTGGTCGGACAAATTCAGTCTTTGGCAGACTTGGTACGGGAGGGAAATGGCAAATGCAGCCGTGACTGGCGGGCGTGACGGCAAATGATGGGACGTGTGATATCCGTCACCACCTACTCAACATCTGCCCATCTATATTTGTAACGTATCTCTGGTAAAATATATTTAGCTCCTTGGCCATCCAGAACGCTCACGTACAAACGACAGTAGCCTACTTGGTCCTCGGCCGCGGTAAGCTGCAGACATTTCGCCACGTTCTCTCTAGCTCATGTTTGGATAGAAACAATGTCACTAAATACCCTCAGACCCCTTGTCCTCTCAGGTCCATCAGGGGTAGGCAAGGGAACGCTGCTCAAGCGTCTCTTCGCAGACTTCCCCGACAAGTTTGGCTTCAGTGTCTCTCGTACGGCCCTCCACGCTTTGTGACCGCATTCTCTCCCTTTGACACAGATATACGCGCCTAAGACACAACCCGTGCTCCTCGCCCCGGCGAGACGGACGGAAGAGAATACCACTTTGTCACCAAAGACAAGTTTGAGGATCTCATCAAACGTAACGCCTTCATCGAGTGGGCGCAGTTTTCTGGAAACTATTACGGCACCAGCATACAGACCGTCCGCGACGTGGGCGCTACCGGCAGACGTTGCGTGCTCGATATCGATGCTCAGGTAGATTCATTCAGCCATATCGTTCTGTCTTCCACAATGATACTGACCGATGTCAACCCAGGGCGTGCGATCCGTTAAAAAGACCGATCTTTCCCCCGTCTATGTCTTCATCTCGCCACCGTCCAGGTCTGCTCTCATAGAACGTCTCCGCGGCCGCGCGACCGATACCGAAGAATCGATTCAGAAGCGGACTGCAGCTTCTCTCGAAGAACTTCGTTATGCCCAGGAGCCAGGCGCGTACGACTATGTCATAGTGAACGATGACCTCGACCAGGCCTACGTGAAATTTAAGCAGCTTGCTCTCGGCGAACCCTTCAAAGGAGACGCGCTTCCGCACTTAGACAGCTAGACCAGGTCCGACCTTTAACTCGAGTTCATACCCAACACGTGTGTCCGATAAGCACGTGGAAACCTTCGAGGCCGAGGGAAAATCTAGAGAAATATTATATATAGCTACAAGGGCCGTACCTCCGATTATAACATAGACTAGCGGTATTTGGCAGCCTCCCTCTCCAAACTGCCAGGGCCAAATTAAACAAATGGGCCAATATCTACGCGAGCATCGAACCGCAGTCCGAGAGGAGGAGGAGTCTTTCTGTGTCTAAACTCTGAAGCGAAGGTAGGCCATGAGCAGTGCAGAGCAACCGGTCACTAGAGTTCGCCGTGGTCAGCAGACGCCTTCTCTGAGCAATGTGAGAGAGAAACGACCCACCAAATCCGACTAGGTACTGCAGTGTCGTTGCCTGGGGAGAACAGACCATTAGCACCTCCACAAGCCCGACAGGACGGAATGGAGACATGCCACTGACCTTGGATTGTTGTATCGCGGTCCGCAGGTTGTTGATCTCCTGTTCAATGCGAGTGTCCACCTCCTTAATCTTGAGCTCCTGCTTTCCGCTCTCTTCGCGTAGGCGGCCTTTCTCCAGGTTAAGGTCCAGGCGCACGCCCGCCTGCGTACGTGTAATCTCCTCCCGCAGACGTTGCTTCAGCTTCTCAATATCCGCCATGAGGCGATCGTTCTCTGCTTTGATCATCGCGAGATCGTTCTTCTCCATTAGCTGAAGCTCATTTTTCATCTGCTGAAAGTCAACTTGCTGGGTATATTGATGCTAATATGGACCGGGCCGTAGGAGGGCACATCCGTTAGCAGTCTTCAATTCCGACAGACGGCCAACACACCTTTTCCTGCTCGGCCTTTGTTACCATATTGTTCGTCATGTTACGTATGCTTTCGTCGATGACCTCGGCCATGGCAGACATAATACCTTCAGCCTGAGCTCGGTTCAACCCTTCTCGCTCCAGCCGCTGAACGAAGTGGTGGGTATCGAAGTGGAAATCATGAACCGGTCTAGTTAGGTGGAAATATCTGGCGCAAAAGGATGATGAATTAGGGATGCGCCCTGCGCTGGTCCATGACGTGCGGGAGCGGAGGAGGTTAGGTAGTACTGAGGACATGGATCGAGTGCAACATGGTCGTGGGAATTAAACCTATCCCAAGATGTCTCGAGACAGGGGCACATGTCATCATCGACAGAACATTAACGTGACTGACGCTACGCACAACATCCACACCAGTACCAAGAATTCATCCAGTGGTTAATTTATGAGGTGCCACCAGTCAAGATTATTGTACGCTTGTCACTTATGATTCATATGAGGGCGGCAGGGATTATTAGTTTCGGCTAACAACTACTTCAGGTTCATTACTCCGAGTCACTTCGGAGACTTGTCTTTTCACGGTTTCTTTTCATCTCTCCTGCCGGACTTCAATTACAAAGAGGCTAGAAGACACTGTACGAGTCTTATCTCAAAGTCTAGGACTAAATAGGACTACCACATAGCGCGTTTAATGCTTCTTTAGGCCTGGCTATCCTTCGCTTTGAACGTTTGAACCATTGCCTCCGGGCCCGCATCTCCGACTCGATCCAATAGAGGATAGTCGTAGAGTAATCCGCCGGAATCCGGGAATAACTGCATTTCACTTCACTGCAATCCTCATGGATGGCAAGAGCGGCTCTTGATGTTGGGATAAAAGCTAATAGTGTCTACTTTACGACATTTTCTCGCAATATCGTGATACCCACTCGATCGTTCAATCCACTACGTCGAAATCGACGATCAGGTCATCTAAGGCCTTCCGCTCCTGATCACTAAAAAAAGCAGAACCTCCGAAGCTCCAACCGGCTCAACGGCGAGTCACTCAGAGAACGGGCGGAGAGACACGGTACCAACGACGTGAACATTTTGAGTTCGCTTGGCTTGCCATACTGGTCCTCGGGTAGAAAATCAATGCAGTCGAGTGCGAGGTCCTTCAACTGGGGGGCAGGGACCAAATACGCGCCACCTGCGACTGGCGAAGGCCGTAGCACTTGAACAACGTCTTCAACGCGGACCCGTTTTGTCCTGAGGTACTGGATGCATGGTGTCGCCTTCAATATGAAAGCTAAAGTCTGCGCTGAGACGTCGAGCGAGCTTCGATGGTTGTCCGTCCCGGAAACGACGTCCAGCGAAACAACTGATCGGAGCGGGAAGAGCTGCAAGATCCCGGAGGTGAGCCGGTGCACATCCACGCAAACGTGACCGCTTGCAAAAAATTCCGGGATTGTTCAAGTTAGGGCGCAAGGAGTATTTACGCGCGGATAAGTTGATTCGCTCGCGGAGCGATGAGAGTCCCGAATCACCACCGGATGAACACCTGCGGGACGCACCGAAGAAGAAACTAGAGCTGACTTCTTGAGTACGATACCCACCCGTCGTAACCAGGGCAAGAGCAGAGTAATAACCTGGACGATCTACCGCGAACTCTCCCGCTTCATTGACCCTCAATTCATGAAAGGTTGTAAAGACGTCTTGAAGAGCGGGAAGAAGGATGGATGTGTCAGCACAAGGGTAGTACGATTCCTCTATACCCAAATACTCGAGAGGGGCACGGAAGCAGAGTGCAGCTAGGAATCGTTGGCAAAGATGTAGCGGATCTTCGAGGTTGAGGCGAGAAAGTTGCAGAAGATGGATGCTTCTCTCTCCTAGGACTCCGATATTGTCTATGGTGCGGGACAGGGATAGCTCACGAAGATTCTGCATACCATCCAACGTAGATGAGCATATGACGAGGTAAGGAGATGATGTAAATGCAGCCGCTTGAGCCTCGATGCGTAAGATAGCCTGGTATCAGCTGGAACAGACCAAGCTTGATCACGATGGCCACACCAGAGTCCGAGGGAGTCAAGGACGAGTGGACTATCGCCTGTGACAGTGTAAGGTCTTCCAATCACCGTGACAAGGTCAGCAATGTCTACGTCGGCTGAATGCACAACGAGCTCCTTGATATATCCAAGCTTCATAGTTATGAAGTTGAGGATGCCGCAAATGCCCGATTCTCGCATCTAATCCCAAAATCAGGGTAATGCGATGGCAAAGTGGAGATGACGAGCGGAGATACACCCGAGCGTGCGAGCATCTCCTTCATCCAACGCCTGGATCCTAGCATGGGACGGTCCCAAAGCCTCGGATTTGCGAGGGCGACAGCACGCCAATAGCGGCAGACATGCGTAATGTGAATCCACTCTCGTAGGCACTTGTTATCGCAGCCATGCTCCTGCCAAGGACACCATCCTGATTCGTAAAAAGTGCTATGCAGTCTTCAAAGATGAAAGACATTAACTCCACAGGCACCAGATGCATGAAAGATGCCATATTGCCGCCTGGAGAGAATAGCAGGTTTAGTCGATTGATAGTGGAAGCCTGTGGTACAATCTAGGCGAACCATGCCGCAGCTGAGTCACGGCAAGCGTATATATATTCATACTCCCCCTGTATACACAGCGGGAATAGCCCGATAAGTTCTCGGGACTTATGGTGGAAATATTGAAGACATATTTTAACTTTGTTTTGCAGGAAAAGCGAGACTTATGTGGTACTTAGCGGGGAGATATTCTGATCAAAATATCTTTTATGACCAAATTGGCCGTGTCAAGTGTAAATCGCCAAACTTTATTCAAAATGCGTCCCTGGTAAGTTCCAAAATAAGTCTCGCTGTCCTGGCAAAATTTCATTAAACTGCATCCACAATATTTCCACAATAAATTCCGAGAACTTATTGGGCTACTCCCCCTGTGTATATATTTGATAAGCTCCTATGGATTCTATCAGCTGCTGATCTTAGCAAGTAACCGGTGCGCACTAACCCGATGTCGAGCTTGCAATTGCATGTCCTGTTTGATGTACGAGAATATTGACAACTAGAGCTACTTCCGCATGAGTCAGACGTACACGTGGGGTTCTCAGCATAGTGCTGTCATAGTAGTCTCCCATGGGCAGCCCAATACTTGCTACAAAGAAGATAGTCGTTCCTTGATGTATTCTGTCATAGCACGATTGAAGAGACAAGTAGCTTTGGAGTTTAGCATTAGTGCGCGCTCCGGACGATAATCGTCTATAAAGGTTATGGTGAGATCAGAGGAGAACGAACCCGCTAAATACAATATTCGAATTCCCCTTAAATAACAACTATGCCAAATGTATAATCAATAATTATTCTCAAAATGTCAACTTTTCCGGCCCCTTTTGTCAACGCGGTGGCCATTCACCTCTTCAACCCAACTTCACACTCTGTATTTTTGTTTGTAGCTCAGCATGTCCTCCAGTACAAGCCACGCTCAGTCGTCGAACCCATGGGGAAGTTCAAGCACGTCTTCAGCGCTTGGTTCGTCCCTTACGGACACCTTTGGTCAGTCACGAACACACTACCAGTCAGGGTACATGATGGTGAATGCTTTACTCAATCCTTGTCACCCCGAAACAATACTAACTGACCCGTTAACCCAAGTCCTCTGTGCAAAATAATGTCAGCGAGACCGTGTCATGACTCGAAGCACGCTCTGACGCCTGATTTTTGCAGGTTATGCCACAGAGCGCTCAGCATGTCGAAGAAATCCCAACTGTGCAGACTAAAGCCAAAATGAATATGGGTCTCTCCCGTGGCGCATCAAACTTTGGTGTCGAGTCCATGTTTGAGTCATCCTCGTAAGTGACGCGGGTGCTCAGCGCGTTGCCGCACAGCTAACAATCTTTCGCAGGCGAGGCCAGCCATTTGCCGACCAAGACGCGCCTCCTACAATGTCCATTCACGACTCATTCAATGACCCGAACTTTGGCATGTCGGAAAGAACTTTCCAACGCGTACGATCACCTTCTTTGCCTACTTCGCCAGCCTACTGACATGAAGGATAGAGCATGTCGGTTGGTCATAACCGCCTCATTTCCTCCACATCTCGAACGCCTCAACCCGAGTCCTCGCAGCAATCTCAGACCTACTACGTCATCGTCTTTGGGTATCCTCCCGATAAATACAGCCTCACTGTTGAGTACTTCCAAGGCATCGGTGAGGCCACCCATGCAGAACGGCACACCGAGCTTGTCAACTGTTTCAGAATTGGGTACAAAGATCCTGCGGAAGCGATACGTGCTGTTCGCCGCAATGGCGAAGTTCTATCGGGCAGCTGGATGATTGGCGTCAAGTGGGAGGTGAGCACAACATTTAATTATACACCGTCGCCTATGTGTTGACTTTATACCCACAGGACCCCTTGCAAGCGGACGCCCTTGGCCTGTCCATGGCTGGTCGTGCGCTTAAAAGCCCAGAATTTGGAGCCACTCCGTCACCAAATGGCATGTCCGTCGATACCTCGCCCCTGCATGACCCGCATAGCTCGATAGGTACACCGATTAAGCTTGCCCCACCGATGTCAGCGTTCCGGCAAGGAGGTCCTCAGCCCTCACCCCCAAAGCCTAGCACTCCGCAGTTCAAAATGCCTGCCCCAGCAGCTCCTGGTCACGCAGCCACGCCCTCAAAGAGTATGATAGGCCAAGTCTCGGACCTCCTGTTTGGCTGGTAGAACATCTTAGAGATGTTATATCCTAGATATATAACGACACTTTTGGATTTAATGATGATTATGCTCGTGCGCTTTGGTCCTTGCAGTTGCGACATGCTACCAGTTGACAAGCATACTTTGTGTAAGTGGTACGGTCTCTTCCTCTGGTTCGTACATGACCTTGACTTTTGGTCCACCTGAGCCCAAATGTGAGCCCGTGCGGCAGAGCTTGACAAAGGCTGAACTCACTTCTTTTTGGTTTGTCTGCCTTTCTCTTGGCTGGTGGTCCTGACGGCCCTTTTGCTTTCCGCTTCCCAAGCGTCGGTGGCTGCTCCTCATCACCGTCTTCTTCAGAGCTCTCATTATCCTCATCATCGTCGGGACCACGATCTGGCTGCACATAGCATAAAACACGGAAACAAACATAGATACAGTAAATCACTCACCTCCAAGTCTTCCAGATCACTCAGCCCTTCCTCATCCCCACTCATATCGCTCACGAACTCAGCATCTTCATCCCATTCTTCCTCAAGCTCCTCTTCATCTTCTCCGTCCGTCTCGTCCTCCTCAAGGCCAAGCTCATCCGCATCCTCGAGCTCACCCTCCCTTTCTCGATCAAGGACGGCTTTCCACACATCCTCGTTGACGTTGAGTGGCGCATCCCCGTATGCCTTGGATTTGAGGCGCTCAATGAGCTCTTTCTCGATTGAACGCTCCAGATGAGCCGCGGACAACGCTTTGCGTTCGCGTGTCGCTTCGCGGCGGTCAAGCTTCTTCTTGACTCCCACTAACTTCGGCCTGTAGAAAATATGAGGATAATTCTAAATGACACTAAGCCGGAGAGAACGCACTGTTGACGAAGCTTGAGCCGGCGCATTTTGATGAGATACTGAGTTATTTTGGTGACACGCTGCTTGCATTTATGAATGGTAAAGTTCGGCCAGTACAGCAACTCCTTGTCAATCTGCCGTATCCTATCAGCAATGGACTTCAGATATAGGTAACATGCACAAGCTTGACCTGCTGTAGTGCTTTGGAATAATCCTTCGATAGTTCAACCTTCTCCCACATATGTGCAGGGGTGTGTGCTCGCTCAATGGTCTTCATGCATAGATACAGAACGCCTAAATAGCGAAAGTCACCAAGATAGATTCGATGACAGAAGACAATATGAGATACCTTCTTTCTCCCGAACTGTGGCATATCGTGAGTTGGCAAGAGGACATGACTGTCGATTACATAGACCGGTAACGTTGTATTCGTTCCGGCAGAAATTTTGGGTGGTTGTCCTGCCTTGGTTTAGCAAAACATACTGAGTCTGTCAAAAGTCTACTCACTTGACCTTGTAGGAGCAGAATTGCTGGTTGATAACTGACCAGATCACGTCGTCGCTCTGCATGTTTTCTCGGATCCAACGCTCAAGAGAGGGGGAACTTCTTGATTGCACACTTGCTACCGGAAATTTCAAAATTCCGATTCCGATTCCGAAACAGATCTGCTCTGAAAGACTCTGAATAGTATCACGCGTATCTATCTGTCTAACTCGAGATCTATTGCAACAAATTAACTACTACCTATAGCTATTATTTATTACACTTTAGCTCGTCTCCACTGCAGCTCCTTCAACCTTGTCCACCTTATCGGCGTCTTCCTCGTAGTCCTCGACCTTCATATCGTTGAGACCAAGATCCTCATTTTGCTGCCATGACCGGTCGTATGTCTCAATCGTCATATTTGGGTCAGGATCCGGGGCATACAGATTTTGCAGGTAGGAGTTTGCGAGCGGATCGTCTAGAATCAGGGTGAATGGGTTCGCAGCAGACTTGACCTGCAAAGTACTTTAGAAAAATCACCCGCATGACGTAAATGCGAGCACAAACATCCTTGAGCTTCTGGAGGAACTGCTCGAATGATACTCTGTCTTCTCCAGACACAACAGAGTCTTCACGTGTGAATGCTTTCTCTGACAGCTCTTCATAGACCTGATCGAGAATACCCTCAAGAGTGGTGAAGCGACCGCCGAGCGTCCCGGGTTGCAGCACGAGGTCAATCTCAGGTATCGTCAACCCTGCAGTCTCGCTCTGATGGTGGCTCGCGTGAGCTCCTCCACAACAAGTCGCTACTGTACATACCTTCAGGATATCGCGAGCAAGGTCCTCCTGATCCTCCACTTTGAGCGTAATCTTCTTGCCTTGCTCTGATATGGCGGCACCCGATTTGATCTCATTATCACGATATCCGCAATTCTCACAGTTTGTCGACATGATCAGTGTATCCTGAGGTTCAAAGGCGTGTTACATTATTAAGGAGGCAGAAAGTCCAATGCTGACCTTGAAATAAGGAATAGAAACCTTCTTCATCCGCGTTATTAAGGGTTGGTAGCACCGCGAACATATCCCAGGAAACTCAAACACTTCCTCATTCTCCAGTGTCGGCGCTTCTTCATCCGTTCCTGTCGACACGTCTTGGGGACCAGAAACTGTCTTAGGCGCTTCCGTGTCAGCTTCCGGCGGCAAGAGACCTAGCGCAATGTTTTGCTTCGTCGTCCGCTCATACGTCTTGAAATTCCATTTCGGATCGGACATGCTCCCGCTGAATTCGATGAACGAGTTCCCCGACGGATCGTCAAGCTTGATCGTCAGCGACGGGTTAACTTTGTCTTCCGGCACGGGCTTCTCTCTCCCCTGCTGCGATGCACTGCCCTCCCCATCCTCATCCTCCTCCTCGAATGCGATTGTCTCCTTGAGGCTTGTGATGAGCTTTTCAATCTTGTTATATGTATTCTCGTCTTGTATCCGTCGTAATGGTTGATCCAAGCTCAGATCAGCGATAATATCCCGCAGAAATCCCTCAACTGTTGTGAGCTGGCCCCGAGATGGAGGGAGTATGAGTTCATATTCCGGGATTTCAACCGTGCACGCCTCGGAGCGGATGATTTGGCGGTCGAGGTCGCCGAAGTTGAGCACCTTCAGAGTATATGTTGTACCTTCAGCTAGATGTCACGGTAGTCAGTTCAGCTAAGGAGCGCTACTAAGACGCTTCTGGCAAAGGACCTACGCCGTATTTGGCCTGCTGTCTGAATCTCGTTGTTGGCTGTGCCGCAATGATCACACCTAAATGACATAACAATGACTTCTCGAAAGAACGGGATTGAAGTCAGCAGCATCCGGGTGATACCCTGTGAGCGGAACAAATATGAGATTGGTACTAGTTAATGATATTTCAGAACTGCTCACCTGCTCCCCGCATTTCATGCAGAGAGATTCTATTTCCTCCAATGGCTTCCCGTCGTTCTCCACGGCGTCCTGAACATCTCGAGTGTTATCTTTCGCTGCATCTGTTTGTTCAGCCACATCGCGGAGGGAAGGGAAAAAGTTCTGCGGGTTCGACATTGTTGTCTCAGTGAGGCCCGGTGCAAGTGAGTATTGAGTTGATGCAGACAAAAAGTTGAGAGATCCTGACGAAAAGGGGTTCGGAACGAGTCAGGGGAAGAACCCCGATTAGATAAAGCGATCCGATCTATTTGGCGAATATGCGGAGAAGTTGAGAAGGCCGTGTTTGAATTACGCAAAGCAAGTAATAAACATTAAAAGTAATAATAATAAAACAATAGGAAACGACGACAGAGCAGGGAAGACGAGGTATACTAGAAAATATGTCTATATCACACATTCTCGAGAACTACATTAGATATACTGTATGTTCCTTTCCGCTAGTTACATATAAAAGCCAAAAACAAAGAGGATCAAGGTGAGTCGGCGAACGAGTTGTGTTCATGCAGTCTTTTTCCGCCGGTCTTCGATGTCCTTTCGAGTCATACGCGTGCCCAGGATTGCATCCCAATGAATGAAGAAAGGCTGGGAGAAATTTGACTTGATCCCAATTTTCTGGATGATAGCAAAGTTAGCTAGGCTCCAAATGCAGGTAAAAAGTCATACCTGGTGATGTATGTCGTGGTAATCCGCATTGTTCCCACTAACCAATTGGAGAGGGTCGAATGGAAGACTATATCCGCAGTGGTCGTCGACGGTCTTCAAGGTGCTGAAGGCAAAGAACAAAATCGTCTGGCGCACTGTCAAACCCGTAAGATACTCGGCAATGACGGCGCCGAGAGTGTCGAGCAGGAAGCCCTCGAGTGGGTGGTTGTACAAAGCCCCAAAAGCGTATGGGACATAAAGCCTATGATGAACGGAATGTATGTGTCTGTATAGGGATTTGTTGACGTGCATCCAGCGGTGAAGGAAGTATTGCCAGGTGTCAATGACGAGCCTGGCAAGTTAAGCTCAATAACATTGATGGATGGCAGAAACAACCAGCGTACATGGCGAATAGGAGTTGTGTTGCGGGCTTGCCCCACCAATATATCCAATGTGCCCAGAAGACACCTCGCTCCTCCATGAACGCTGCACCAGCGTCCGAGCCTATTATCCTGTATACCACCGAAGCAAATGTGTTCTCCATCGACTGTAGTCCCAGAGCAACTCCAGATTGTGTCGGAGGGTGGCTCTCTGAGAGACAAAGGTACCCAAGGATGGTTTGAATGACATGTTGAAAGATGACCATTGAAATTACATGAGTTTGCGAGGCTCGGTTCAACGATTGAGCTTCGGCAGACTCGTGGATGCGGTACTTGTCGAGCCACTTCCATTGGCATTGGTCGAGGAAGTGGAACACGAGGGAAAGCGACCAATACGCGATGACGGGTGCGGCGAGGGCGGCGTAGTGGTCAGGAATTCCGTCGAACACGGTGGGCTTATACGTAAAGTAGAAGGGGACATTGAGGGAGGGGTCTTGACCGACGAAGCTTGTGTTCATGGTTACGGAAAGAGATGCCACGAGAGTGCTCTACGCCGAGATTTGAACAATGAATTTGAGCTCTGAGCCGCAAAGCGTACTTGGTGACAGTATGAGACTAACTGCTCCTTTCACGGGCCCTATGGAGAGTCGCGTGAACCTGAAGGACAAAAAGAAAGAGAGCCGAACCGCCGCTGCTTCAGCTCACGCTTTTACGCAGCCCACAGTAACGGCTAGAACGCATCAGGCGATTTTGCCCTTGGGAAGAATCATTAATCATTGGTCATTCTCGGCCCCGGCAGCTCATTGCGGCGTAGCCGTCATCAGCCATGCATGTCAGCGCATCCAAGTCCGATGGCGCTCCGTCTCGGTCCTTGACATTCTCATCCCGCGGCACATTGCGCTCTCTACCTACGTGTTCATCCACGAGATAATCTCATTACCATTGGTTATGTATACAAAATGATGCTGCGTAACAGCCTAAAGTATTTTATAGTACCAGTCCGAAATACAATGCAGCATATTAAACCGGAGGAGCAGCTCGGGGAGTCCAGATATTGGTAGATACATCAATTGAAGTGCGAGTGTCTTGTGCGCGTGTCGCCATGCGGTCTAATCGTGAATTACTTTTTCTTCCGGTTTACTGTTCGTTCAGGTTGGTGAGCAGCGTGGTGAGGCACCGCTTCGTGACCATGTCGCCCTTGAGAAGTTGGCTAAACGTCTGGTCGCGGAGAGGTTCTGGAAGGCAAGCACGCAAAGCCTCGCGAGCCCTGACATCGTTGAGTAACAGTATAAGCTGATGATTGTGTTACTTTACCTCGTATTATCGCTGAGACGTAAGTAGCAGCGAACCACGTGCTTGAGCAAACGGACAGCCTGAGTCTCAACAAGCTGATTAACCATGTTGCTAAGAACGGTGCCAACCGCGTAGAAGCGCTCGTAAGTATGACATATGTATGTCAGCCCCGTTTCATCGAGAAGAATTTTTTGAACGATGAAGATGGCTACGGTCTTGGAAAGCTCGGAACCAGTTTCCATGATTCTAAGACAAAGGGGTATAATCTCAGTAGAAAGGAGGAAATGAATGACGGCATTGTTGTCATTTTGCTGAAGCAAGGTAAGTTCAGAGAAAATGATGGTCAGATTGACCACAGTACCTTGACAAGGGCCCCAATGACACCAAGGGAGGTGAGACGAAGATATTCGAAGGGACGTGTTTTAGAGGTTGTGTTCAGAAATGGGTATAAGAACAGAGGGATATGGGCTACGATTGTGGTGTTTACACAGTTATAGCATTTCTACAGCGTTGCTTACCATTGAGAAAGAGTTGACGGGTCTCGGAGTGGGAGGCAACGCATTGGAGGAGTGCCAATGCGTTGCAAACGCGGTTAGACACATGTGCGGTTAAGTTGGGAGGGGAAAGTAGAGGGTACACCGAGACAATCTCCTGGAGCAGCGCAGGCATAATACCTAGCAAATGATGAGAATAGATGGTCAACTAGAGACTGCTACTTTACCGAAGGAGTGCCATAAGACGAGGGCGAGGTCATCGTATTGCTCTCTTTTCTTGCTGAGCTCGAGGAGGGCACCCTCGCGAGTCGCCGGATCCATCAAATCGATGACGAGCATGTAGATCCTCTCCTCCTGCATCGCAAGGGCATTGGGTATCATGCCTGCTGCCAGCTGCTGGTGGGGGAGATGATGAACGAGGTTGGATGAGCCGATGGAGGGGGTGTCGGAATAGCCCGACATAGCGCGCTGCTGATACGCGCTGAACTGATGTTGTTGCTGCTGCTGGAGGTAAGAGAGTGGCTTGGGAGAGATAAGCCCCGCCATGACGGCGAATGTCGTGAGCTGGTAAACCTCAGGCGGGTAGTTGAGTTGCGGGTCGGGGTAGAGTACGCTTCCAGCCACGGAAACGCTCGTTCCATGTGCTTGCATGTGACGCGGCACATCCCGAGCTCTAGCCCTTTGACGCTTCGCTTCGCTGACACATGTCCCTTTCGTTCCTAATAACGTAGGGCCACGCATGCGCAGCAAGAGCCCGCTACCGTAGATTGTTTGAGCCACACCTTGCAACCCTTGAAATGTGTATGACAATAAGTTACTGTAAAGCTAAAAGATACCGCCCTTTCCCCCCCAATGAACATGGCACCCATAATCTAACATGCGCTGAGTGCGCTCTCCCTGGCATTTTTCTTAAAAGTCTGTGTCATATATTTACCTATAGGCTTGGATAGATGTATTTCACCAGCCCACAAAAAAACTCTATCGTGGATAAAAGAGCAGACACCCTGTTACATTGAGGGTGCCATGTTGCATTCAATAGGGGTGCAAGGGCGGTATGACTTAGAATCCGTCAACCCGGTTGCCTACTACGTCCCCTGTTGTTCGCACCTGCCTGCACCTGCCGATGAAGGAGATGGCGGAGACAACACTTCAAACTTGTCCTCCCCTTTGTGTAATGATGAACCCGCGCCCATGAGCCCATTAAAAACTCTGAGGTCCCCACCTTTCTTTGTCGAAGCTGCAGGCCAGAAACCTGCTAAATTTCAAGCAAACACTTGAAACATCGCATGCACCTAGTTGACAGAGTCTGACATGAAAATACGTGATTGAGTACGTATCCAGAACAGCTTCAATGGCCCAAAACCAAGCGCAAAACCGCATGTACAGTGTGAGCCATTCAGTCTCATTTGATACCTGATGAAGAGAGGCAAGGGTTTCTGACGTCAACATCGAATATAGGACGAGGGCCAACATATGATTGTCGAAATCAAGCTTTTAACCACAGAAATTAACAGCGGCATCCATGAGAGTGGTGATGGTTCAGTTCTACGCGAGAAGTCGAGGACAGATTACCACTGGCAGCTTGCATCATGGACTGGGAGTTGTCTGTATGCACGTTCGCTTGAACAAGCATGCATGGACTATGGGAATCACAGACAGTATGCGTTTTTCTGCCAACTCACGAACAAAGGTTCTGGGACCGGGAACGCTTGAAGAAAAGGGAGATCTTGGGGTATGTATCAACAAGAAAAGAACGCTGTGGGGGCGAAACGAGAACAGGGGACCTCACGCTGACGTTGTGTCGGAAGCTCAAGAGATTGCCTAAAGAAGAAAATGCGCGCGCGGAAAATGAAGCGGGGACCGAAAAATCACGTGATCACGTAGGAGCTGAGTTTTGGCAGAGATCCCTAGCACAAGAGTTGCGCTGAGACCCACTATAACGTAGGGCCACGCGCGCGTAGCAAAAGCCCGCTACCTAGACATTGGTGCAGTAGTTCGAGTGTAATTTGTGCAGAATGGAGAGTATGCACAGGTTGCTCATTCTAAATTGGTACCCCATGAAGAGAGGCAAGGACTCTGACAGTACAATCATCAACATTGAAAACACTGGAAGGGCCGAAGAACAATTGTTGATCCTCAGCCCTTACATCACTGTCAGCAATTGCTTTGAGAATGGGATTATCAATGTCCAGTGTCCACGGGGTCAGTACAATGGACAATTTCCGCATAGGATGTCAAGGACATATTGGTAGTTTGCATTGACTGAGAATTGACCGCATGGACAGGCATATAGCACGTCCGCGTGGACTGGCATATATGGAATATGAACATCACAAACAAAAACATTGTTACAACCACAGCGTATAGATGAGGGGTCTGACGGACCGGGAATGCAAGAGGAAAAGGGAGACATTGGGTGGAGATATGAAAAGAACGCCAGCAAGATGCAGAAGGGGGCGAAACGTGAACACACCACAGGCAAACTGCCATGTTTTGCCAGAGAAAATTGGGAGAGAAAAGGCTGTGGGTGAAAACCTTTTTCGCTGAGTTTTCACTACAAGAAAAGTCAAAGGAAAGACTACCTTTGCACCCGATCGCGAGAGAGCCCCTTTTTGGGTGAGAAATGGATAAATGTCTAGCCATGGATCCCAAGTTTGGTAATTTAGCAAACTTTGGGACGAAGCTATCCTTTTTCTGTGTAGGAAAGATGCTGTATTAGGTGCAATAGCTATCTTTCCTTTGAATTTTCTCGCGGTGACAACTCAGTAAAAAAGGTTTTCATCCACATGCCTTTTCTCTCCCTTTTCTGCAGCAAAAAATGGCAGTTTACCCGTAGTGACAAGGGAAGGGCAGTGACGCGCTGACACTGTCGGAAGCTCAATAGATTGCCTAAAAAAGAAAATGCGCGCGCGGAAACCCAATCGGGGACTAAAAGATCACGTGATCACGTAGGAGCTGAGTTTTGGCAGAGATCCCTAGCACAAGAGTTGCGCTGAGACCCACTACCTAAGGTAGCGGGAATTCCGAGATATGTAACGCCAAACATCCCAATCAAATGTGTATAGTGCAATTGATGTCATGGTAATGTACAGTGCGGGGTATGTCAGATGAAAAAAGAAGGGTATGTCAAGGAATAGGCAAGTCCATCCGTTTAAATGTCTCCGGCGATGTCCATATGCACGTCGTTTGGTCCATTTGAAGTAGTACCATGCTCAACTATACCATGCTCAACAAGAATCGTTTGACCCCAGGATATGTAGCCAGAGAGGCGACCTTGCGACACGATTTCCGGGTGGCTTAAAACAAGTTGAAGGACCTCGCTGCAAAGTTTACCGTACCTTTTGCGCGACGTATCGGTGGAAGACTAAAAGCAGCCATTGGCAGGGGTTTACTCACAACAAATGGACAACTTACTGTATAAATATCTCGCATCGCTGTCATCATGGTCGCCAAGAAACCGGCATAAAGTTGACTTTGGCTGCTTCCCGCTCGAAGGCATTGTGCGATGTTGATGAGGACAGCTGGGAGTGCGACTGAGCTCTTTGCGAGTGGTGAAGGGGTGTATCACGCACCTCTTAGAATCGTAACACGAATTACGGGAAAATCAGCACGGATGATCGTCAGGGGAGTAGTGATCTCTTTGCTCAGCCCCTGAAATAATAGGTGTCGGGATTTATCTAGGTCAATAACCAAGGCCACGTATTCCTTTTCGATAGTGATCGTATCAACTATCAATGCCTCCAACATGTTTTCCACGAAACGGTCAGAGTATTTCTTTATAAGGGCAAAAATCACACTTTTTTAAGGAAAGGATTGCTGCATGAAAAGAAAAAAACGTACTTCGTAGGCTTTGGGGTCTAGTCTTAAGAGCATGTAATTGAATCGCAAACCGACTCGGCGCCGCCACGAAGGATTGATGATCTTCTCCCAGGCCGGAGGGCCAAGCGTAAAGAAAAAATCCCAGGTCTACGATCCGTCATTTTGAGTGAGCGTGCGATTAAAAAAGTGAATGGCCCACTCTTTTTCCGTTCTGGACTGAGACGTTGCCACAGCCGACCCAGCAATCAATCCACTGATCTGCGTGGAAGCAGAAGTCTTCCATCGACTCGGCGGTATGATCATCATTGAAGTACCTGCACACGAGCCTGTATATAGCTGGGGTGATAACCTCCTTAATGACCTACATATGGTCAACTTCATAGCACAAAGAAGCAAATCATCCGTGCTCACATGGCTTAAACTTTCCTCATTGCCCCTCACATCCGCCTTTTGAGCTTGCTCCACTCTCATACCCGTCTGCTCGAGACCATCCAGCTGTGCGAGCTGAGATTCATCAAAGTGCGTGTCGAAGAAACAGTCCCATTCGTCTTGACTCTCTGGGGCATCGATGGCAGGCTCAACGCCGTTCGGAGGGGTAAGAGCGCTGGCACGAGCATCCAAAAACGCCTGAACGAAACGGCGGACTTCCTTCCTGGCCATCGAAGAAATCACCAGATTGGTGGACGTGGCGAATACGCGAGTGATCCAAGCTACCAAGAGTGATCAGAGCAGGTACGCGTTCAGATGAAGATGATACTTACGGCCTTGAAGGAGAAGAGGGTCAGGATAATCTTGCCGCGGCTCACCATCCAGAGAGTTTGTCGCCATCATGCGACGCACACAACCGAGAACCGCAAAGACTAGCAACGCCAGTAGTTCTTTATCGTGAGCATAAATCGCAGGCTTGTTCTCTTTGTTCGTGCTAGCTTCCATAGCTGTGTACTCGTCCACAAGTACATTTGTAATTTCCGACAACCAAGCGGTGAGGGGCTTAATCGATAGGCGATGATGTCGAGCAATGGTAGTGAAAAACATGGCGGCGCGGATACACGCCATGCGAGTATCTTTGTCAGCTGCGGCGAAGTCAAGGTAACTCTTTGCTTGTCTGAGGCGATATTCCAGGTTGCTGGCGGTGGGATCGACATGGATTGAGATCGCGATAGCGTTGAATCGATTGATCAACATAGAGATCTCGTGCTCTTTGGGAGGATTGGCTTTCGTGAAATGCACAGAACTGACTGGCACCGCTAATTGAAGAGCCTTCTTGGCACGGGGGAGAAGCTTTGCAGATGCGAGGCCGCCACTGTGCTCGCTAGATCGCGCGGCTTGGAAGACTAGCTTGAGGAAAAGCTCGCAAGCCGTGTCTGTGGGTTCGTGGAATGAGAGCGATTTTACGTCATCGTACAGCATAAAGCCCATGAAGTCGTCCTTCTCGTTGCGTAGGTTTGCAAAGTTCCTGCTCCTGAAGATTTCGACTAGCTTGTTGAGCAGAGTCAACGCATCCTCAAGGTTCCAATGCCACCGGCTCCACAGTAGGAAGCACCTCCGAACGACGATGGCGATGTAGCCATCCCGCGTATCAACGCTTTTTTCATCCACAATGAACTCGGAAGGTGACTTGTTGTCAACAGGTATAGCTTCCAAAGGGACCTGCCCCAGAGCCAAGGCTATTGTGCTCCAAGATGGGGGCAGTCGGCACGTGGATGTCGACATTCCGTTGACATTGAATTGGGACAAAGCACACAACCCATAAACTAGATCCCAAGTCCTTTCACTGGCATGAAATCCAGTATCAAGAACGCCTGCGTCGTCCTTGAGTAGCTGTTGCACAAGTTGCCAGAAAGGGTGAGAAGAGCCAGAGGGTGCAGATTTCCCTCCTTGAAACCGGTCATGGCAACCATCCAAGAGATGAAAGATGCAAATCCACGACTCCGCAATCTGAGCCTCGATCGAAGCCATTTCCACCTGCGCGTGGACGTCTGTTAGGAAGGACACGGCATCCCGGAGAGTCCCTTGTTGGAGGTGCTGCATGAGCATGACGATGAACTTGTACAGATCATTGGTGGTAAACGAAGAACGTTCGGGTCGATTGTTCTCGGCAAACATAATCCTCGCCGTTAACTCGATAGCGAACCAGAAAGCACTTGGAGAGAAGGAGGTGAGTTGATGCTCAGACAAAGATGCTACAAATCCCCGACAACACTCTAGCGTGGAATTGCTCAAGGTCTCAAAGTCTTGAGACGTTGCAACGCTGCAAAGCCACGAGAAGAGTCGCGTCATTGATCGCATATTTTGGAACCAATCATTAGATTCAGATGTAGGCGGGAAGTCCTGCTGCTGCGCAACGGAGTCGACCACACGATCGCAAAATGGAACGAGGACAGACAAGAAAAGGTCTGCAGAAGCGCTTGGTCCAAGCTCAAGCCCGTTGATGGCGAATGTAGGTGGAACGGGGCCATCACCTTGTCCCGACATGAGCAGCACGAGTTCATACAGACAACCCTTGCCAAGATATGTAGTCTCTGCAAACCTTATACCAGAAGGAAGGAAGGATATGTTTAGATCTGTTCTGATGTGGACTTGCCTCTTGTGAAGTCGCTTCGCAGAATTCGGCACGCTCTGCTCCAGCTCGATGTCGACATAAGGACGAGGAACCGCCTTTTGTCGAGTTTTTGAGGATGTGCGAGATGGTGGAAGGCGTTGTGAGCGAGATGTATGCTGGTGTTTTGGAGCAGGATCTAGAGCTTGAAGTATATCGGCAGCGGACTGATCAATAACCAGCGTTTTTTCCGGACGTCGACGAGCCCGCTCCCGATATCGAGAAGCAATCCGGGTAGATTCTGACTGGAAGTGGTACACCTCCTCCTGCCTTGTGCGCTTCTTGAGCTTCTTAACTAACTCGACGTTCACGTTTCGACGGCCCTTTGAAGTAGGTTCATCGTCGGACAAGTCATAAGTTTCATAGTCAACAGCATGAAAGGTACGGTCCGAGTTAGCGTCTTTCCCCCCCTTTGAGACGGTCTTGAAAGGTAGAAGGGTCTGACGCTCTGTCCCATATCTCTTCGCGCCCTCAGTGATAATATGTAAACGTGGCTTGTCGTTCCGGCGGGATTGCTTGGAAGTGCGATGGTTAGACTTGGATTTTGCCGACGATCCCATTGTGCGTGTCCGGGAGATCATCCAATCGATCTGACTTTGGTCCTGCATTGTCCTCCGACGTGAAGGACTTGACCCGTCTCTCATAAGGTCGGCGTAGTACGTCTCGCTGACATGGTCGTCGCTGTCTTCGTCGCTGTCGCTGCTGATGTTGATTACGTCACTGTTTCTTCCTATATTCATGTCGACGTCGTCACTGTCCCGAAGAGAAGGGCGCCTATGGTCAGATACGGTAACTCGCCTTGTACGGACTTCAATGGCTTCTGGATCTGACATCGGAATCGGGCTAGGAAAGCGCAAGGAGGCAGGCGAATCGTTGCGAACATTTCGAGACTGATGCGAAGGGGGTTCGTCGTCAGAGCTCTCCGAATCACCTCTAATTTCGATATCTCGGCCTTTGGTACCAATCCGAGTCCGAGCGTGACCCGGACCAGGAGTCCCATCTTCATCCCTGTCATACTTGCGCTGATGGCGCTGCTGATCCCCAAGGCGATTCATGATTTTTGGGAACATGAATTTAGGGTACATGCGCTCAAGGGCCTTCCGACGTTTCCTGTCCTCTCTACTTTCCTTCGTCACCGGGTCGTGTTCATCTGCCTGAAAGATGCCATGCTCCACCGAGGGTGCACGTTCAGGAGACATGCTCGCAGATGATCCATCACGAGGACTTGCGAAAGAGAACTGATGATCCATGTCAAGATATGAGAAATCTGGATCCGGTTCTTTGTCGTGACCATCATCCCGAGGGAAATATCCATCAAAAGACAGGTCTGGCGCTGACGAAGGAGCAGGAGTCGTAGGAGGAATGTCGCCAGGATCGGTGTCGGTGCGAGGCCCTGGGGACCCAGGAGCAGAAGATGACGCGCCTTCGTCGTGATAACTCATTGGAACCTGCAAAGGCGGGGAAGGGCTAAATACCTGAGTATATAAGCTCAGCATTCGCGTAGGTTTCTCGCTAGTGCTTACCTCTAAGGGGCGTTTCCGTCGGGTTCGAGGTACAAAATGGGGGAGGCTTTCAGATGGCTCAGTGTCCAGCTCGGGGAAAGATTGCAAGCGCTTCTTCTTCATCTGCTTCAGGCTCTTATCTTCGTCCTTCTTTACATTCTTGTCCTTTAGGAGAGTGCGCACCGCATGTCTGGCCTCGTCATCGCTTGCAGACAGGTCCACAAGCGAATCAAAATTGCGACCTTGATCTCTAGTCTCTTCTCCGACACTGTTTGCAAATGATGGTGAGCTACGACGGGCTGGTCGGGGAGTTTCCTCTTCGTAATCTCCATCTTCCTCGTCTTGATTCATGGCCCAGGTTTCCTGACTGTCACCTTCATGCTCGCGCCTCCGGTTGCTGTCTCCATGGCGGATGTTGACGACTGCGTCGGGATGCTGTTCCATCTGCATCCGGTACTGAAGCTGGTCATGCTTGTACGGGTTCTTTTGCCTTGGCTGCCTACTGCGAAAAGAGTACCTCGCCTGTCGCTCCTCTTCTTCCAGCCGTTGGGCAACTGCTGCGGAACTATCGTCTGCAGTATGCACCGACACATACTCTTCGCGTGCCCCAAGCTCGTTTTCTACGGCATGCTCTGACGGACCAGTACCACCAGGTTCGCTGAGCGGAGAGGAGGGTTGCTCATTGAGGACAAGGCCGACGTGTTGGGGATTATCCAGCGGTTCATGGTCATCCTCCTCTGATAATGCATCAGGGGCTTGTGCCTGAGGAGGAGAGGACCTAATGGGAGAGGCTGAATGACGAGAAGTCGCGGAGAATAGAGGCCATGGCTGCGAGAGTGGCTTTGTTTCCGATTGAGCTAAAGACCTCGAAGGTGGTTTTGAAGTAGAAGCATTCACAGTAGATTTGTCCGGGGTGTGAGGTGTACCATCAGGGTCCGCAAGCGAAGGCAACAGAGAAGGCTGGGATGGTGATGCAGTCAGGAAGTCTATCGGGTCCTGGGACTCCCCAAGTTCCACACCAAGGACAGTCGGAGCAGCATCTACAGGAGAAGATGATGCGAGCGCCATAGAGACCAGATGGTTGCCTTCGAGCATATCCTGCGTGTTCTGGGTTGTAATGATGTGACTACACAAGGCAAGCTCAGGCAAATGATCAAGCTATACATGATATAGCATGTTAGTTAGCAGTTAGTAGACTAGAAAGACGTTCTTCACATACCTTGATCCGCTTCCGAGGTGAAGAATTTTCCAGGTCCAGGACATGACTGCTGATCGTTCGCCTCGGCGTATGGTGATCAGGTGAAGGCGGATCTGGAGAGACATGGAGAAAAGGTTCAATCCTGTTATTATTGATTAGCTCAAGTTCCTCGGCGTCGGACGTCTCTACGTAGTCATTACTAGCGTCCATGAACCTTTAGCACTTCAGCCTTGATGCGTTTGGCGATGCGTGCAGCGCGTGCAGCGCGTGTTGGCAGCGTGACAAGACATGGCCAAACGCGACGTGACAGGTGTCACCTGACTCTCGTAACATATCAACGTGACCAAGACGCGTCTGATGGTCATTTTCAAGTCATTTGTCAATAGCTTGTCCGGAGAAATATATCGTCACCTCGAGACCAAACGATATGAGCATGACCTCAGCCGCGATGACTGCCACAAACAGACTAACATTCCTTACCCTACTTCGAATGCCAAGGTCAAGGGCACAGCTGAAACTCTGCCATGGCATCATGATGTCGTGGCACATGACACGAATATTGTAAGGCGGCCCCCTCCAATGGTTCACTTACGCGACGAAGGCTGAAAGCAGCTGGGTGTATCACCGTTTTCCGTAAATCCACGGCATTATATTATGTACATATGGGTCCGCTATGGCCTAGCCTCCTCTAACTGGATAGTCAACTCATCCAGACCGGGTATCCTGCTCCGCAAAAGTGCGCTCACGCGCTCCAGGACCCCATCAATCGCAGAATGCTTGCTCAAAGTCCCAAATCCGACGGGTGGCAACGGCTTCAGCTGTAGATGGATCGAGCCCACCACGCTAGCATCATCTTTCGGCCAGAAACGCGGGGAGGAATAGGACACGAGGCCATCCACATGTTCAAGCTTACGGCAACCCCCATGAGCAAGACGACGGTCCATGATTATATCGAACGAGCTCACCTCAAGCAATGCCTGCTCAATGGAAGCCTCCCGATTCCCCATGTCGAGACCTAAGACCTTGCCAGTGTCCACCACAAGAGGTACAACACTTGCGACAATCAGAATGGCAATGAACAACGATGCAATTGGGTCAAACCCGGTCCATCCGTAGTACTGTATCAGCAGTGTTGACACAATGACACCCACAGAACCAAGGGTATCCTGTGAAGGATATTTCAGCAATTCATACAGAGAAACCATTACTCTCGACTTACTGCCATGACATGTAAGAAGACTCCCCGCATATTGTGGCTATGCCCTTCATGGTCATGACCATGCGAGTGGTTATGGCCATGAGGTTCGTGTTCATGATGATGGCCATGGTCGTGGTCATGCACGTCACTATGGTCGTGACTATGGTCATGGTCATGGTCATGGTCGTGCTGTTTGAAGTAATGACTAGGGTCTACAGGCGAATCAATTCTTGGAGATCCAACGGGGAATGTGACAGAAGATGGCGAAGTCATTCCGTTAGTCTTGATTTGCAAGGAGGGTCCACGGGAATGAGGCTTGCGACCTCGCATCGTAGCACTTCGGGGCGACTCGCCACCCCTCTCTGTCTTTTCCAAGAAGGCAGAATTGGGTAGTGGTGACGGTGGGGGCGAATCAGTCGAAGGATATTCGTGGTCGTATTTATCGGCTGGTTGTGGGTGCGATGGAGAATGCGAATGCGAATGGTCAGAACAACCCTCATGTAATGGAGAGTGTCCGTTGTGATGGTTTTCGGAATGTGACGAATCGTTCGAGTGGTGTTTGGGGTTGTGTTCGTCCGAATGAAAGTGATGAGAATGGTCGTGGCCATGTGAGTGAGAGTGGGAGTGTTCATGCTCATGCGAGTGATCATGAGAGTGAGTTGATGGATGAGACTCTTCGTGACCATGATCATGGTCATTGCCATGCGAATGTCCATGGTTATTAGCCTGAGAGTGGTCGTGATCATGCGAATGCCCGTGGTCATGTCCATGCGAATGACCCTACAAAGCATGAGGTGGGAAGAGGAACAGCACGAATGCAACTTACATGATGATGGTGGTGCCCACCCATGGCGAACATCCCGAACAGATTGACACCCAAGCCCAAAGAGCTGATCAACAAAAGCTGACCTGTAACCATCTCAGGAGGATCGAGGCTAGTCTTTATTAGTCCATCGTCCCCGATATAAAAGAACAGGTTGCCTCACATTCGCTGAACAGCTTCGAAGACGATGAAGACAGAAATGAGAAGAAGGAAAATCCCGTTTGCGAACCCCGATAAAGTTTCAATACGGCCATAGCTAATAGAGATGCTGTCACTTTCTTGTAGCCTGCAGATACCGTCCTACTTACCCATAAGTAAATCGGTCATTTGGAGGCCATTTAGCCATAATAGAAGCCACGAGACCAACACCAATAGCCATACAATCGAACGCCATGTGAATTGCTGTGCAAGTTTAGCTTGCCAGTACCGGCGAAGAATGGCGAGACTTACCGTCGGAGATGAGACCAAGACTGTTGGTCCAGACGCCATACAGCATCTGGACTAGCATATAGCACAAATTAAGCAGGAGGAAGTAAAAGATCTTCCTGGACTCATTGTCGGATAGTATTGACTTTATGTAGAACCTGAATAATTTGGACAATGGAGTACTCGGGGGACCGGCAGGTATACCATCGTCTCGGGGATACAAACCTATAATATCCGTCAATAATCAAAACACCGATGCAAGGAGATTGTAGCGCACCGTAATAGAGAAGACAGCCGATTGCAAAATCAGACATTCCAGGACGTTGCGTGAACCCGAGGAGACCGACAGCAAGAGAGACAATCAAAGAGGAGGGATAAGATAAAATGAAGTACTGCGAGGTATATGTTGTATTGTATTGAGCGTCCGGAGAATCAGGAGTCACGAAGACCATAATGTAGGTCAGGAACGGTACGACAACTAGCGATGCCAAAGGGAGTATGGGGGAGGACGGTACGTTCATCTTATCTACGCATTAGAACGATGAAGCACACACGCTCGAGTTTAGATGACAACATACAAGGGTTTTCCTGAGGGCATACAGAGGAAGCGCAAACAGTGCTGCGCCGAAGCAGCTTGCAGCCGTCATGAGTCTAGGGGAGATGGAGGATGCAAAGGAAGTGCGCATTTGCTCAAGCCCATATGACACTAGCGCATACACGACCAGCGCAGCGTAGCCGGGCGCAACAGTCTGGATGGCTCGCCGAGATACAATGATGTCGGAAGCGAGCGAAAGAAGGAGTGACAAGGTAAAAAACAAGGCTTTCCGTAGCTTTCCAAGCAATGAGTTTCAAGACTTTGCGAGCCGCATGATTGAACTTACCGAAGTCTGAGGATCTGCCCTTTGCAATCTCGCTACTGAGAAATGAGAAAACAGAAGAACACTAGTTGCGGGATGAGGATGAGACAGAGTTTATATCTCTGCATAATACATGCTTACCGAGTTACTGGCAGTCTGTAGAGTGCTGTGAGTAAAGCTGCCTGCTGCAAGAACAGAAGCAACGATGAAAGCCCAAACGCGGACCACTAGCAAGAGCGTAAGGCGTGCAGACTAGACAAAACGCATGGTCGTACCTCTATGTTACCCCGCTTCAAGATATCCACAGTCAAGCCCTCCCAAACTAGTGTGCCCAAACCTCCTACAGCTAAGACCCTGATAACCACCCAGAACACGCCGACATCATAGGAAAGCAAATGTTCCTTTGCCAAGTAGAGACCGAGGACAAAGAAGACATTGGAGATTAGTACTGGAGGCAGGAGCCTACTAGTTACACTAGACCAGGGGAGAGTCGTGATGTCAGGCAGATACCGAGCGTGCGCAGGGAAGTTGGACTCACGAAGCTGAGAGAACTTTGGCTGGCTTCAGACTGACTTTGCCGCGTTGGAGAGCATCTGGAACGGCCATTCCAGGCTAAAGAGCGTGAAAGATGGGAGAAAGAGGAATGATGATGAACGGACGTGACTGAAACCTTGCTGCTGAAGCTTGCCTTGCTGCCCAATCTCATGCCAACTCCGAGAACACGTCTCGACAGGTCCCGGCCAGTCCCAACAGGGCAGGTCGTTCGCACGACCTGATGCTCATAAAATTCTCTCGATCCGGATGTTCACTCCCGTTGATATCGTTCTCCTGTCCTCGCCGTCGAGCATCATAGGTCAGATTCACTCTAGCTATCTCTCATATGATGAGCCTTTTAGATGACGAGTCCGATCACATTGTCTTGAGGTTTCCTCCTGTCAGTGTCCATGACGAGTCTTTCAAATTTTTACCATTCATGCTTTTCTGAACTATTTTCCCCCTTGCACTTGGCTTCAGATCTGATTTACTCATTCCTCTCTCTTTAGATCTGAAATGGCGCCAGGAATTGACGAAGATTGGTCTGACTCTGATGATGAGATTGAATCAGGTGTAGAAACACAAGTCTTGCTGGGTGTCCCCGATGGCCCAGTAGACACACCGGCCGATCTGCACGATGCAGCTGTCTCTCGTATCGGAGGCCTTCCTGTACGAGTGATATCCCTTTCTATCTGTACTTTCATACCCAATACAGAATTACCCTCTGTCCAAGGCGCTTCTGCCTTCAGTCGCACCGTCGTTTACTTCTTCCCAATGCAAGAACTGCTCATTCCCTATGGAATTGCTCCTCCAAGTATGGTGCCCGCTAGAAGACAGCCCCCATGATCGCGCGCTGTATATCTGGGGATGCTCGAGGGGTGCCTGCCAGAAGACAGCGGGCAGGTAGGTGTGTCAAGGCTAGTTTGTTGCCGAGGAACTGCTCATACGCGTTCTCTCGTTAGTGTCCGAGCCTTCCGCGCCCTCAGATTCAATGAAGAGTATGCAGCGAAATTGAGCACAAAGCTACAGCAAAAAGCTGCCCAGAAAAAGACCATAGAACAGGCAAAACCAACGGCTAACCCTTTCGTTGCCGGCAACGTGAGTGTGATCTAGTTCGTACTTTCCACGACAATGACATGTCAGCAGCATGCTGCGCCTCCGGGGATGTTTGGCCTGGGCGATCAGATTTTTGGTCAATCCGACTCCGACAAGCAAGACGAAGCTGGCGAAAAGCATGATGATGACGCTAGTGAAACTTCGTCGGAGCATTCGCTAATCACCGCGATGGCATCTACCTCGTTAGAAGATTCAGTGTGGTCTGTTGCTCCTTCACATCCACCTTTGTATCTTTCGACCATATCGGAATATCTGCCACCTCAACCAAAAGCAAAGAAGTCTTCGACCGTTGCTGCCGAAGATGCACTAGGAGACGATGACAAGGGCAAGGATATCTCGTGGGCGACCGAAACGTATGAAAACTCGATAGACGTGGACCATGCTTTTGAGAGGTTCACCAAGCGGGTGGGGTATGCTGGTGAACAATGTCTGCGGTGAGTGGAGTAATCGCAGACACGTTCGGCTTCTAACTTTCGTCCAGCTATGAATTGGGCGGCACCCCTCTGCCCTTTGCGTCGGACAAGGTGTTCGAAACATTATTTCCAACGCCAGCTCAGCCTCCTCTCCCTGTCACGAAGGCGGATTTTAAAGTGGTTCCGGTAGTGAAACGCTCGTACAGCCCGAGTTCGGTTCCGCGATGCCCTCATTGCAATTCTGCTCGCGTCTTCGAATGCCAGTTGATGCCTAACCTCATCAATGTCTTGCGGGAGTCGCCTGCGGATTCAAAGAAGCAGACCAATGAACAGCGGATCAAAGAAGTACAGGCTGCACTCAAAGGTGGGAAGACGGAGGGACAACGAGGAATGGAATGGGGCACTTGCATGGTATTCTCATGCGAAAAGGACTGTTGCAATGCAGATGGAGAGACAAAAGCGAAGGAGTGCTGGCGTGAGGAGCTTGTGATGATCCAATGGGACGAGTAGTGTACTAGAAGTACTCAGTTGAAAGCGGGCAATGTACTTGGTGACAGGTTGCATTATTGAGCAACGTTTGTACAACATGCGGGGTTGTGTGAATAAGCGAAACCGATTTTGGGTCTGCGTCTCTGTATTTTTGTGGTCGCTCTGTATCACTTTCTTGTCTCTCTCCGATGCGTGGGCATCTCCGTCCTCTGTCTCACCATTGACCATAACACACTGGCCCCTGCGGAGCCATGCCACCAACGCTTACTTTCCCCCCGCAGCCAGCCCTCGACCCAGACGTCGCTTCTGAAGGCGCCCCTGCTCAGCCCAAGTTTCCCCACACGCGTGCCCAGCTTGCCGCGATCGCCCGCCAGCACAAGAACTCTTTCGATAGCTATGACGGCGATCATGAGAAGGAGGACACTGGTCACATTAGCTCGTCCTTTGTCTCCAGGATAGCTACCATGCTTGCCAATGAGCAGGAGGACGAGCTTAAGCAGCTACTCAAGGCCACCTATAACGCTGACGATGAGACGGTTCGTCTCCATGCGCAACATTTCACCTGGATACTTGTTAAATTCATGTGATAGGCGGAACAACACGTCCTTGATCTCATGCATAGACATCGTGATGACAGCGCTGGTGTTCCCTTCTTGTTCTTGACGCCGACTCGCCGCCCGTCACGTCCTTCATCTCGGGCATCTAACCATTCTTTCCGTTTCGTTCCTAATAGACCAGAGACACCCGTCTCGAACCCTAGTTCCCCTCTCACCATCGGCTTTCGCAGGCCTCACACACCTGTGGGCTCACCCCTCGTTGGGGGATATGCGACGTCCTACGTCTCAGCTCATAGCATCTCACCGATGCAATCCCCAACACTTGCTCATGCCCAGGCCATTCACGCGCAGGCTCAGTTTACGTCCAGCCTCCCCTCGTCTCCTATTTCTTCACCACGCCTCCTGAGCGCGAAAGCCAACGAATTCAAGCCTATCCAGCGACCCCTGTCTGCAGCATCCTCCAACCCCGCAGCAATACCGGGTTACAATAGAATGGATACACCCTCTCCAGACATGTGGTCGCATAGCCCCATGAGAGCGAGCTCCAATCTTGCCATCGCAGCACCTCTCATTCCCGAACGCTCGCTTACGCCCAGCTCGCTTCGTGCGTCAGCCCGGCCCCACGAAGAAGACGAAGAAGACGATCCATTTGATCCGTTCGCACCTGCTCACGGGCCGCTCAGCTTCGGTCCCATGGGTGCATCCGATTTCGACACGGAGTGGCCGGAGTCGATGTCACCAGACGATCCCCGCGCCAGTGGCCAGCAGATGCCCTATGGCTATGACCCCAGCTTTGAAGATTTAGAAAACGGAGAGGATCAGAGCTATCTTACGGATGGAATGACTCCATTCGACGTGCTGAGTTCGGTTTTTGGCACGACACTAGCACCTTCAGAACTTGAGGAAGCTCTCGCGTCCAACGGATATGACTTTGAGATGGCGATGGCATGGCTGATTGAGAGGGCCCTCCCTGCTCCCCCTCAGCACCAGGCGCCCAGAACTCAAGCCATGGGAAACCGCGTTACCTTGGTATCTCGGGATAGTGCGACAAGAGGAGGTCGCGGTGGAGCAAAGGGAGTCAACGGCCGCCCCAACCCTGGTGGGAACCGAGTGTGTCGCTACTACCTAGCGGGCGAATGCCTGAGGGCAGACTGCCGCTTCAGGTAACGAGGAGAACGGTTCACTAGTGCATAAGACTGACTTTATTCCCATAGCCACGATCTTGAGCGCGCGCTCTGTCGGTTCTGGCTGCGAGGCACTTGTGCCAAACATGAGGCCTGCGAGTTCCTGCATCACCTCCCTCAAGAAATGGACCCTTCTGGTCTCTCGGGCGTCATGGGGCGCATGAACGTCGGCAATGGTAACGGTAGCACCATACCAACATCTGCGAGTCCACCCTCTGAGGATTTTCCTGCGCTGGGTTTCGAACGCAATGGCAGTGGTACAGCCGGAAGAGGAGGTTATGGCCGAAATGATAACTGGCATCAAGATCCCGGCCGAACTCGGTTTGCCGCCGCTGTCAAACGCCCAGCACCTGCTGCCCCTCCTGCTTTGAATGACAGGACTCTTGCTGCACGCAGAGAAGTCATGGGCCCCGCTGCAGACAATTTGCATACTCGATCTGCAATTGTCGCTCCCAAGCCTTCGCCTCGCGTGAAACTACGTGTACCCACTCTCCTGCCTACACTTAAGACCGGAGAAGCTATCAACTCGTTGTATATGACCTACAGGTCGCGTGCCCTCCAGCTCGGCGCTGCACGAAACGCCTGCCTTTCACGTGCCGCAGATGCCTGGCGTCGAGGAGACGGTGCCGCTGCGAAGCGATTCAGCAGGGAAGGCCGTGACCTAAATGCAAAGATGGGCAGCGAGATGGCAGAGGCCGCTGGCAAGCTGGTCCGTGAACGTGCGGCGCTCGCAGAGCAGGCTGTCAAAGCTCGTGACCTGAATTGGTCGGACGACATGGGAGATCGCACTAGTCGCGGACGTACTTGTGGAGGGGGCTTGGGTGTTTGCCTTGGAATTGCGAGCAAGAATATTGGCGATGGCAAACTGACTTCTGAAGAGCGGATGGAAAGCGTGCTTGATTTGCACGGTCTGCATTCCAACGAAGCTACTGAAGTACTAGAAGAGTTCCTGCTCGCGGTAAGAAGGATCTTTCGTTTTGCCCTTTTCGGTGCTTATACGCTTATGCACAGCTCGAACGAGAGCATTTCCTTGGTTTGGGTAAGTTCGACCTGCGTCTTTGGCGAGGCTTCGAAGTGTTCATTAATTTCCCAGCTTTCGTCATCGTCGGTGAAGAGAAGCATACTGGAACGCAAGACACTGCTCGTGGGTCATCGCGTGCTCGCCTGGCCGCCGGTGTTCGAGAGTGGCTGCACCGATGGAGCTATCCATGGAGCGAACGAGACGGTATTATCTGTGTGGATGCTCTGACCCACCAGTGAACACCGCTAATGTCTGGCCTCCTAAGAAGGAACAGGTAGAAGAAACGTTTTAGTGTTTCAATGTTTATTGTCTTGTTTTCTCGATTTTGGGGTTCTCTTTGAGCTAATTATTCGCTTTCCGCTGTCTGATGTTTGCAGTTGTTCTGATATATTCGAAATCAAAGATGTAAATATACATGTATAAAGTACACGGATGGAGCTGTTTGAACGATTCTGCCTTCACTAGTGTTTTTTCTGTCGTGTCACTTTGATGCGCTGCAGACTTATGGGGCAACTCAATAATGTGAGGAGCGAGGTTGCAATGAGCTGGAGCAGCATGGCAATGCGGAACAGCGTTGGTGGCTGATAGGGCGGTTATTGGCTCCGCAGTGCAACGCGGACGTGCAACCGAGCCAGCCGATTCGTGTCTCGTCGCGAGGGCCAGTTGGCAATCCCGACGTGGCTCTACGTCAACACAAATATCCCCCCAAATTTTTACTTCCTTCACCACGAACCGCCAACATGTCCGCTCACGATTCCGCCCACGACAACGACAATGCATCCCAGCACTCGAAACGCTACTCCATCGACGGTGCTCTTGAGCTCGAACGTGAGCTAGAAAACGAACCTGTCTCACCCACTTCGGGCTCAGCCCCAGATCGCCCCCAATCACTCGACCCACACGTACTTGCGTCCATCATCACACAGCTTCAGCAGAGCGTCGCGGACTTGACCCGCGAGCGCGACGAACTTTCGCGCTCGCTCAACGAGTCTCGTGCCAACGAAGCAAGCGTCCAGGAGTCCCTGACGCTCATTACCGAGACGTACAACCAGACCAAGAATGAACTTGAGGCCGCCAACACCAAACTGAATGACAACGAAGACGCCATCTCGCTGCTCAGAACCAAAGTCGAAGAAAGCAGGTAAGAATGGCCACATTTCCACGGTCGGCGTTCATCATTCAACTTACTGTTCCCATCATAGACGGGGCCTTATGCGCCTGCAGTCAGAGAGCCGCAGGGCGTCTCAGGCGCCATCCTCAATGGACCTGGCCCGCGCTGGTCTCGGTGGCTTTGGCTCTCCTCCGCCTGGCAATAAACGGTCGTCCTTCGTGCCTCTGACAGGGACAGCCAACGGACGTGCTCATCGCCGAATTTCATCCGTGTCGGACAATATGTCTCTCTTTGACGCCTCAAACTTCACCTCCCCCAACTCCATGATGACCACCTTCGGCGAGCAGACTGCCTTGCCAGCGACAAGCAAGAGCAGCAAGCGCATGTCCGGATTTTTCAACCGAGCCTCACCTCCCCAGTCGATCTACCCTCCGGAAGAATCGGCAGAGCTGGAGCAATTACGCCGAGAGCTTAGCGCTCTTAAGACCGAGTTGGAGGATGTCAAGGCCGAGTTGGCCGAAGCTAACGAGGCCAAGGAAGCCTCCGATATGTGCGCCAAGGCGCTGCGGGCGTTTATCGAAGATAACAAAGTCGGCGAGAAGTCCTACGAACAGATTGATCTATCCGTCCAGCCGATTGCCATCCCCAAGACCATGAACCATGATTCACAGCACTCGAAGAAGCCATCCGCCAACGGCAGTGCCAGTGCAGGCTGGGGCCTGAACAAACTGTGGGGAACGGGCGCGCCGCCCAAGAGCCCGCCGACGAGCCACTCCGTCTCCACCTCCCCCACGACTGCACTTGGCAAGAAGTTTGGTGACTTCTTCTCGCGGCCCGGCAACTCACTTTCTCACCAGGCGCCGATGTATAATGGCATGTCGGACACGTCCTCCATCCCGGAATCGATAGAGCCCGTCAGCCCTGCTGAGGAGCATGCCGGGATGAAGATCGACGTCCGGACCAACAGCACCACGTCCTCCAGCCTGGTCGGCAGCCCCGAGCCCTCCAAGCCCATTACCCTCGCTCACTCACCCGCTCTTGAGATGGCATGAGCAACTCCGCCATCGTTTTCGCATTCATCACCTTCGATCTTCATGCCCACACATCTTGGAAGGAAGCTTTTCCGTCGGATCTATCATCGACTATGGCTCGCAATAACATATACCATGTAATCTTATAAGCGGATCGGAATTTTTGTGCGCCTCTGCCATCAGTGGACACAACGTATATGACCAACGGGGACGGATAAAGGATAGAACGAATTTTACGACTACACTATGTGTACATATGCCTCTCAATAATCATGGGGTTCGAATAACCTATATATCTTTTCAGCTCGTACACCTCATGTTTGAGCGCACGTTAATCTCGTTGCGTAAGCTACGCATGCCCGATATGTCGGACTTGGTCGCACAGATCTTGGTGTTTCCATGCGAATACCGTTTGTAAGTACTCGTCGGTGAGGATCGGACATCCGCACCGGGACGTGCTGACGTAGCAATCCTGCCGCTGATATTTAGTGCCTCCGCGGAATGCGAATACACAGGGATCGTCGGTGATTTGAAAGTATGGTTCCGACAGCTTGGAATGACGAAATCCGGGGCTGCATACCCAGACCCTGACGCGCCTGACGACGCAACCATATTGGAGAGGCGGTACGTGGAATTTGGACTAACCATGAAGCGAACTCTGGAAGGCCTAAAAGTAGTCAAAATAGTGCGCAGCAACATGCTTGGTCTATGTTATGATGATTCCCGCGCAGGCACACAACAAACACATACGATGTGAGCATTGTGATCGACCGCATTTGTTTGGCCCATTTCTGCGAGCGTGATGTGCTTTTACGCTACAAACGCCGCTAGAGTCAGGACCCGAAGGCTGCCGGTAAGACACTGTCGCAGCGGTTCGTAGGTAACTCCAGATCTCCGGCTCCCTATCTGTTTGAAGAATCTTGAACAAATGTTTTATTATATGATCGCATGATCGCATGCTTGTGTCCGCCGGAAGCTTTGCGGGGTTCGCGCACCTGTGAGTCAACCTTATTGCCCAATGGCTTCGAACGTTCCGGATACCAGACTACTATCCGGTGTACGAATACTGATCTATCCAAAGATTTAGTGTACCAGAGTGAACCGAGCAAGAGAAGATAGCGGGTCACGAAAATATAACGGCATACCGCCGGCGACCCACTGCGTTATCCCCCTTCGCGTTATAGTATGGGTGGCTGATCCCATGGCGGAAACTCCCCAAACCAGGCCCACGTATATCGATCCTGGAAAAGGGCAGAAACCGGCGGCGCGGTAAGTAAGGCCGTACTCTGGTTCGCACAGAAGCACGCCTCGTGCTTGTGAAACTAGGGAATTCCGTACCGGGACCGTACACCAATGCGTATAACGTCCCTGATAGCTGGTCCCTTTTGCACAAAAACGACTTTGCCCGTCAACCTGCGTTATCTCCTGTTGTAAGGACCATGCTTACTATAGCAAGGCGTTGGAAGTCGATGGACACGCTACGTGCATAGTGAATGTCCTCCTTTGAAGGAATTATTGCACGGTCATCCGCGGCGAGTGTGGCGGAGTACCTCTTGCTGAGCTTTACAGTGCTATCTACCGCAGAGTCAACAGGAGTTGAGAAGGGTTTGTGCAATTGCCCGTTATCACGGGTCAATTGAACATTCGTAGATCTGCCTAGGTCATTGACGGCCGTTTTTGTCACGACAGGCCAGTCGTTCGCTGGTTAAATCGGACACACCACTGGCTCAGACAGGGACGCGCGGACGGTTGACCGAGAAGTTTCTGCAAGGTCAGAGCCGCCGGACTGCCTAACTTGGGGTCGGGTTTCGCGGGGAGGGCTCGGACACGGCAGTTGTTCGCCCCGCCCATGAGCAAAGTAGGAAGCCCCAAATGCAGGCTTAGCATTAGGAAAGGCATATGCCGCCCATGAATGAATTCACGAGATGCTTTGATTTTGCGAGCTTGCTGGTAGCCAGGGTGATATCGCAATAACGCTTTTTCTAACGAAAGCAGAGGCACTGTTCGTGTCGCGCACCCAAACTTGTCCAAGGTTGCACCTCTACGGAAAGGCTGTGGCATCAATTTTAAGTAGCGTCTGAGTCGAGCTCCCATGATGGTGGGCCTGATGCCTACCAAAGTTAGGATGAAGGATGATGAGTCGGCTCCCACCACTTGACCGAACAGGTTCAGATTAAGATTGGGGTCGAAATAAGGTTTGGTGGAGGCTAAGCTGATGGTAATGCGACTCCAGCTTGTCAGCCAGTCGAGCTATGAAAATACACTGCTCGGATGTAGCTCGACGACGCAACGAGGAGGCCAGAAAGCTAGACACCACCAGGTTTCTGCAGGGGTGCAGTGGCGGGCGTCGTGCCGGCCGAGGGCACGCCACATTAATATTGGAGATTTCAAGGGACGAGGTGAGCGGACCGGCACGGGGGACGGAAGCAAATGGGGAGGATCGAGAATGTGGGGATTGGCTAAAAACGTTAGCCCGGCGATCGATTGACGGCATGCCAACATGTCATGGCGTATTACCTAATTGTAGTATTGAAATTGGTTCCGTTGCTGTTTTGCTGTTAATCGAATCCCGTGTGAATGGTGCGAGACGGCCAATTCCAACTTATCTGTTACTTAACCCACTTCGATAATTATGCCCCTCGGCCTTCTTCCTTCCTGCCATCAGGCTGCTCTCCCCCCAAGCCATGTCCTCCCCGACCCTCCCCCGCCATCCCGACTCGCCCTCCTTTGCAGATCTCAGCAAGAAACGTAGAAAAGGCGCAACACGCCTCTCTTGTGCCGAATGCAGACGGTATCCGCCACTTGTCCTCCTCCGCTCCTGAATGTGCTGACAGATCAACCTCCCGAACTGCTAGACTCAAGCTTAGATGCGACCGAAACATCCCTTGTGGCTCTTGCATCAAACGAGGATGTGGCCCTATTTGTCCGGACGGTATGTGCAATCATCTTCAAGTAGTCCGACACGGGCATCTGTAGCATTTGCTGACCATAACTCCAAACTATCAGGGTCTCTGACTACTGGGCAGGGCAATAGGTGAATTGGCACGACGTTTTTGACTGAACACCTTTTTGATCGCACTCCAAGGTTCGTGTTGGCTTCAACACAAGAACTTCACGAAAAGATCTCCGAACTTTGCATGAGAACGCGTGAGCTTGAGGACGCTCTCCGATATTCTCATTCCCTAGTTTCCCATGATCGTCATCCCCTCCTCAGCGAGGACCTCCTCCAAATTAAAGCACCGCTTCAACGCGAGCCTGCTATTGCCCGAAATGCAACTAAAACTGAAATAAAGGAGGAAGAACAAAGCCCCGACGTGGTTGACGCTTTTGGCTCCTTGTCGATTAGTGCTTCTGGTGGTGCCAAGTATTACGGTTCCATTGCAAACTCATGGGTATGCCTTTCATTTTGACATCCCACTCGCATATAATTGATGTGGCACAGTATTTCCTACAGGTCGGTCTATCATGACATTGATTGCTGGGAATGGAATTGACATAGAAGCCAGAACGAGAACAGTGACGACCAGGAAGCGGAGAATGATCGCTTCTCTATTCTGCAGAATATCTTGCCCAAGGACGTACTTTTCCGAAGCGGGGCGTTCCCCATCCTTCCGACGGGCGCATCGGCGGAAATTGAGAATGCCCGACTCCGAAGCCTCTATTGGTATTTGCCTCAACCGGACAAGGCAAATGAACTCATAACAACATACTACCGGATGGCCGCCTGGATGTGAGTCCTGAATCTGATCTTGGTCGCAACATGCAGCTCAAATGTCTTCAGGTACAATCCAATAGGTCAAGAACAGCTTTACGAAGAAGTGTACCCCACTTTTTACAACGCTGACCTGAGCTATGGCTCTGACGATCCGCTCACTGCACATCGCCTCTCTGTCTTGTTTATGATCCTTTCCATCGGATGTTTGATGGACACTTCGCAACCAGCCTATAACATCGAAGCCGAGAAGTATCATCAACTCGCTCGCGCGGCGCTTTTCCAAAGCTCCCTGTTTGATGATCCTACTATCAGCGCGGTGCAAGCATTAGTCCGTGGGGTTCATGCCCTTTCTATAGACCATGTGTTCTGACAGCTGCACACAGTTTTTGATGACGTTCTATCACTTCTTCTCCGACAGAAACGGGACGAACTCTGGCACCCGATGGGCTTTGATGGGTGTCGCGGTCAAGATTGCACAGAGCGTAAGTAGTTATTGCGCTCCCCTTGCGCTCCCCTCGCTCAAGCACTCATCACCCATCTTGCCATAGATTGGACTGCGTGAGTAAAGGGACTATAAATGGATGCAAGCCATTTTCTAATATGGTAACTTGCAGATCGCGACCCTGGCCGCTGGGGCGTGGATGAAAAGGAGGCACACAGACGAAGAGAACTCTTCTGGGAGCTGTACACATATGATTCCTGGCAGGTGAGATATCGCAGCATGCCACCGTCGCTGAGCAGCACCCTGCCGGCGGTACTCCGAGAAGAGGTATGCTAACTTATTATAGTGCCACACATTCGGGCGGCCACCATCATTTTATCTCGCATACGTCGATTGCAAGCTCCCATACCCGGCTGACTGCGCAGACGAGTATACTTGTAAGTGTTGGAACGTTCTGATGGCGGGTTGTTTTTATCCGTACTGACAACGGCGTCACTTTAGTCCACTCATGGAAGCACAGGTTTACATCGGAATGCATGAGCGTCGTACACGACCAGTCCTTCAACGCGAAAACACCGACGTATAATACCGTGCACCAGCTCGACCGCAAGTTGCGCGCGTTCCCTGTGCCGCCTATCCTTCAAGTCGCCGGCTTTGGATCAGACCCTCACCAGGGCGCATTCCCAGAGAGCCTCGCTCTAACACTGCAACGTCATGTTGTCCTAGCGATCCGTGAGACGAGTAAGTATTGGCCACATCTGCGCATAACTGGACTTTTCTCATCCCCCGCGCTATCGTTAGACCTCCTATATCTCCACCGCAGCTTCTTCGCTCGCGCCATCAGTGATCACCCCAAGGACCCATTGGGCAGCCCCTATGGCGCTTCTGTCATCGCTGCCTACCGTAGCGCGGGATCCCTGGTAGCTCTCATGGGCAACCTACATGGCCAATTGAAAGAACCCAGTGAGCGCATATGGTTCCTTTGGACACACATGTTCTCTTGTGCAGTAAGTGACCAGGCGACTTCGCCTCGGCATTCAAGTTAACCACCGACACCGCTTATAGATCGTCTTGGGTTCGGTTGTAACAAGATGCCCGTCGATGAGTCTAGCACCATCGGCATATGTTCAGCTAAACTCGGCTTGTGAGTTGTTCTCGCACGCGGCTCGTGGTTTCCGTGCCGAAAAGGTGCTGGTGCGTGATAAAGTATTCTAACGGCGTGACCAAACATACTCATGGGTGCATTTCACGGGGTCCACAGGATGTGATGAGCCGATTAAGGGAGAAGGCGCACATTAGTCTATCAGAATTCCGGAAGGGTAATTTGTCACCGAGCCGTCAGCTGACGGGAGGCTCCGACATCAGCTCGCCTGTGGATGATAATGACGAGCTTTCGACGTTGGGAGGCAAGACACGGCTTGTCACGAAGAAGGAGACTTCATTGTCGCCTTCACCGGCTGCTCTCATGGATCGTTCCCCAACATCAATGAATCCAGTCGTTCCACTTCCACTTGGGTCTGGCCAGAACCAACCGGTGCATCCATACGTTGTTGATTACCTTCGGACATTCAACCCAACGCCCGCACCTAATGCTACGATGAGCGCCGCCTCATCGTATGCCGACGCCTCTTATACCATGTCACCTGTGCAAGAACATCCGAGCCAATACGACATGTCGAATGGCTATCACCAGAACTCGCAAGACCAGATGCAGTCGATGGAACTCGTTGCAGGGACGTATCCCAACTACTTCCCCGTGTACGACTACAGCACGGGTGGGATCAACGGATACTCGCCTGTTCAAAGCACAGCGATAAATGGCTCTCAGAACGGTGTTCAACGGCTGCGGGACTCGCCCGAGGCGAACATGTTCCAGTCAACATGGCAAGACCTAGTGACCCAGATGGGCGGCGGCCACCAACATTAGATGGTAAACTCGTTCCTCGGTAGATCTGAAAGCACGCTTTGGACCCTTGACCGCATGCTCGCTTGATATGTTCTGGCTAATTACTATAAGTATTTCAGGTGTCGCATTGCTTTCTTGTCTTTTGATATTATTACATGATTTCTTGCTGGATATCCTCTTTCTTTCCCAGTGTAACATTATGCATATGGCAAGCTTTACACCGCCGCATTGTTATCGTATCTTACTCTACTGTAGTCTGTGAATGTTATCACATTAATGTTTGTCTTGCAATGAAATTTCTGTTTGCTATGGTTACTGCTGACAGGTGGATCACTGGGCTCGTTGACCATGTCCTCGGTCGGCGGTATTCAGATGACGTCTCGATAACGAGACAATATAAAACAGATGTAAACAAGTAAACGGTGCACGAGGGAGCAACGGCTAGTTGAAAGTGCCGCGCGGGGCAACACCCTTGTAATTGACCGATTCCCGACAGACAGCTGTCTCGACATTGCTCAGCCAATATACACCCGCACTTTCCTCTCCTCCCTCCTAACTCCCCTCCCTCTGAACATGCCCGTCTGCGGTTCATCTTCGAGTTCTGGCTATGGCCGCCGAGCAGTACGTTATTCTGACCCAATCGTCGCGTTATTGCCAAGTTAATGACGCGCTCTAGCTTCAACGTAAGGTTGTGGTCTGCGGTGATGGCGCCTGTGGTATGCACCCCTTTCCCTCGATCATCCACGTTCGTGTCTTCTGAGCCAGTTTATGCACCCTTAGGAAAGACATCTCTCCTCAACGTCTTCACCAGAGGTTTCTTCACACAAGTATAGTGAGTCAGCACACATGCATCGCCCGTTCACCCCGGGTCTCAAGATAATGTCTCCCAATCAGCGAGCCGACCGTGTTCGAGAACTACGTGCACGACCTATATGTCGACGAGCAGCTAGTCGAACTCAGTCTGTGGGATACCGCAGGTACGCCTCGTCCCTGCCTCCACGTGTTGCTCTGCCACACATCAAGTTAGCCGCGACGTTCTGATGTCTCAAGGGACACCCAGGCCAGGAGGAGTTTGACAGATTACGCTCGCTCAGCTACGCAGAGACGCATGTTGTCATGATATGTTTCTCGGTGAGTGAGACCCTCTGCCCCGTCGCATCCCACGACTGAGCTCATGGATTCCACCAGATCGACAATCCCGTCTCCCTTGAGAATGTCGAGACCAAGGTGCGCACTCTCATCTCACCACATATGCTCAGTTTCTCACCGAACACCGTAGTGGATAGACGAGATACTGGAGTTCTGCCCAGGCGTCAAGGTAATATCCGCCCGTTGCTTCTACACCTGTGTCACTCACACCTACATCTCAAACTTAATCACAAAGCTCGTCCTTGTCGGTCGGTCTACGATCACTCTATCACCTCCTCGGTGTCACTCACCCCCACCTTTCACTTCAGCTCTCAAATGCGATCTGCGAGATGATCGGAACGTCCGAGAACGGCTTTCACGATATGGGATGCACGCGGTCCAGTACGAGGAAGGTCTCGCGGTCGCCCGACGAATACGGGCCTCGCGCTATCTTGGTGAGTCCTTGATTCTATGGGCGCTGTCTCGTTCCAACCCCCGATATATCATTGGTAGAATGTAGTTCAAAGCACAATCGTGGGGTCACCGAGGTCTTTTACGAGGCGGCGCGGGTATCACTAAGCACTCGAGCCAAGGGCTCAGGAGACGGTTGCATTGTGGTTTGATCTTTATCCTTGGGGGTTCTCTGATGTCATGGACTTCTCTCATCTGTATCTATTACGCGGCAACTCATCCATTCACTATCATTTATAGTTTTATCGTAATCAGAGATACCCACGTACTGATCCACAAGACTTGCATTGGATGCAGACAACCTCACACCAATTTTTTGAGAAAGCATAGAAATCCATTAATATAGTAAAAGCAAGCATGCGTGGTACAATAATATCACTCGCGATAGACATGGTAACTAGAAACCACCGAAGCCAGTCATCATCTAAGGTAAAGGATGATTAGAAGGGCTATTATCAAACAAAGATGGAAACGGGCTCACAGGCATCATACCCATTCCTGTTCCGTTGGTCATCGCAGGGCCCTGGGTGGGATAACTGCAAAATCTGATCAGCCTGCAAAGTACAGAGGCAGCCGAGAAAGACGGACCCGTTCATTGAGCCTTGCGTAATCATGAGGCGATTGGCGGGATTGATTATAGGTGCCTCAGCCTCCTGCTCTTCCTTTTGTGCCTCTTTCTTGGAACGTTCGCGAACTTCCTTCTCAAGTGCAGCCATCTGTGATTCGTGTTTAGTTGACATCCCCAAAATATCTTGAATCAAAGATTCACCTTTTCCACCAAGGAACGCTGAACCTGGATACGGAACGGCATGTAGAAGTCGTTCAAACCATGTTGCCAGGAGAGCTCTTCTACAATATCGGGGCGAAGGAGATCGAAGCAGATAAACAGCATCGCAGCGAAGCACTCCTTATTGCCAATGTCGACGAAGTATGACAACAAATCCTCCGCAACTTCGGTCGATCCCGAGGCCGAGGCAGTGACCATAGCATCCTTATAGAGCTTGTCCTGCTTCGACATTGATATTGACTCTTCCCAGCGAGAGTTCTTCTTGTATAGATGAGCAGCGAGCCGCCTGAACTCCAAAAGGCCATGTCGCTCGAGACGTTGGGCCAAGCCAATGTTGTCAAAGTTGTCGAAGCTGTCGATTGAGTCGCGGAGAGTCTTGTAGTCTTCCTCTTCGATCAGTAAGTCATTGTATGCGTCATTGACGGCCTCAATATTGAGCTGTGTCATCGCGATGTATTAGCTCTGTATAACACCTTTGGCTCAAGCCCGCTTACCTCCTGGACAGCGATGAGGTAGGCCCGAATGAGGGGAATGTGATCAATTTGGCGGAACATGCGGACAACCCGAGTGTGGTCAATACGAGGAATCATCACGGAGAGCAAGTCTGTCAGCAACGTCGGCTGCTCCTGAAGGTAGAACGACAAAGCCTTGTAATAGCTGTGCGGGAATTTGTGAGGAGTAGGTTTGAACGATCCAAGGGAGTGCGTACATTTCGATGTTCGCAGAACGGACGATCGTGTCCTTGAACTGGTTGTGCTCCCATGCATCAGCAGACCGCTCAATCATCGCCAGAGCGGCATTGTCCTATAAAAGTTCGGTCAGCGAGCAGCTCCGGGCCGTTGCCATTCGGAGGGACTTACAAATTCATCATACTTGATGTACAGGAAGACCAGCTCTGGCCATAGGTGGGCTCTTTCGGTGGCCTTGATGACCTTAGGGATGTTGATGCGGGCAACAAAGAGTTTAAGGTGTTCCATGACTAATCACATGTTAATGATGCAATGCGCGATGAGACTACAGAAAAAGCTTACGTTTCTCGGGACGGTATTTGCTGTAGAGGACAGCGAGTTCCGTGAAAATACCCATCTACATAAAACCTTAGGATGAGTAGATCATGGATCCGGAGCACAAACGTACATGAGCACGCTCGAGACTCAGGGCAGCCTCCAGCAGAGCAAGAACCTCGTCGAAATGGCCACGGCGTTCATACGATGCGACGATGCCTGGCAACTCTTCTGCGTGGACGACGATGTTCAGACCACAGATTTGAGCCTAAATCCAAGAGTTAGCAAGAAAGAACAGCTCCATTACAGTCTACATACAAGTCGGAACTCTGTCTTCTCGATACAGGCAGCGTGTACCTGTTTCCAGACTCTAAAGTGACGTTATTTTATGCATGAGCAACGGACAGAGGAGCACCCACTGAGTGTTGCCAGCCTTGCGGGCACTCTCGACAGCAGCCTGATTTTCTCCGAGGTAGATCAAAGTCGTTGCAAGACGTGCCCAGTTGGAAATGCTCGTGAACAGAAGCTTCGCGGCTTGGTAGAGCTCGTCTTCGAAACACTTTTCCCCAACCTCAAGGATGTCAGCGACGTTGGTCATGGCAAGGAAGTCCTCCATGTCATGTAGACGATCGGTCTTCGCGTAGGCGTATGCCAGCTCCGTGTCGACCTTGGGTTCCCTGACATGCTTGCGAGCCATCTGAAGGAAGCGAACGAGATCATCGTGTTTGCCAGCGTGGTTCGAGATTTCGATGACTTCGGCATAGTTAGACGGATCCTCGGCCTTGATGTAAGAGTCTGCGAACGTCTGCATGAGAAGCTGAAGGAAAGGTAGAAGTCATAGCTAAACTCACCGATGGCATCCTTGACGCGCAGACCGTCCAGCTGAGCCTTGCCGAGGCGGCTCCAGACCTCAGGCTTGTTTATCTTCTTTGCATACTCAAGACCACGGTCGATAGAGGCAATGTGCTCCACGAGGACGTTAATAGCCATATCATGTTGCTCGTATTTCTTGTAGATTGTGAAGGCCTCTTCGTAAAGACCATGGTCGGTAGCAATCTTCGCAATCTCTCCAGAGTCGTAGTTCTGGAGTTTATTGATGTAGCCAACGACTTTGCCCTTGTCTGCACGAATAGCTGTGAGCAACAACAGATTCTGTAGATTGCGGTTGTCGCTGAAGGGAGAGGGCTCGATGATGATCTTCTCAAGCATCTCGATCAACTCGATAGGCAGGTCAGCAGTCAGGAAAGCTTTGACAGTAATCGAGACGTCGTCGGGATCAGTGCACTCCGGCAAAGCGGTTGCGACGACCTGGATACGACTAATGAGTATGGAAAATTCAATGTTTGCACTTGATAAACCTGATCAATGAGAGCCCGGCGGTGCATGTTGTCGCCGACGAGGACTTGAGCCCAAAGCTCAGGCTGACGGCGCTTGACGAGGTAGCGAGCCTGCTGCTTGAACATGGAATTCTCGTTGGTAATCGCAATGAGCTCATCATCGCAAAAGCCCTTAGCATATGCGATGTATGCAAGGTAAGGATCCCGCTTTTCGCAGAACTTGCCGACCACAAGAGGCTCGTACAGCTACAGGGGATAGTGAGAAATTCGAAAGGCCTGGTATGTAAGTTAAGACGTACGTTATTCTCCTTAAGGAAGGCTTCAGGGTTGTTGTTGCTGTCAATATAGATTTTGGCCATCGCATTGTACACAGCGGGATCCTGGCTGCCTGACTGAACACGGACTTCGAGCCAAGGGAGGATCAGCTTCAGACGATTGCGCTGCTCAACCTCATGCACGAGCTCGTCTATTGGGAAGTTGCCAGTGACAGATGCGAGCAGACCCTTGATTGTAGTTTCATCACAGTCCACGTCCAGCAAGCCACCAATGACCTGGGGCGTACGGACAGAGTTGACCCGCTGAACGTAGACCTCAATGAACTTGGTGAGGCCGTTTTGGTATAAGTAGAGAACGAGATCGTGCACAAAATCGAACCGGTCGCAAACAATGATGAGAGGAAGTTGATCCTGAAGCTTAACCTCCTTGAGGAAGTTCTTGACCTTCTCAGGGTTGTAGAAGTTACTCTCGCGGCATATACGCTCGACTTCGCGGATTTGACCAGTGCGGGTGGCGGCTTGAATGTACTTGAAATGTACCTCAGGGTCCTCGCTGAGGTTGACGATGGAACCAAGGTAGTAGTACAACCCTATGCTGTATTAGAGCAAGTACAAGCTCTAGAAACACCACACTCACCTTCGAAAGTCTTAAAAGACTCAAACATCTCGATCAACTTCACAGGGCCAAGAATATCAGAATACTTGGTTGCAATCTGGATGACAGCCTGGAGATTCTGACGGATGTTGACGCGAAGCATCTCTTGCATGCAAGCCATAGACTGCTCAGTCGTCAAGCGGCTGAAATAGTTTACGAGCCACTATATCATAGACACTTAAGACTAGTGAACAACCTCGCAAGTAAATCGTTACCTCAGGCTGAAGAGCGTTCGTGTGTACGACGGCACGCTTGATATCCGCGAGGTCCTCATAATGTTCCAAAGCCTAGAACAGTTATTCGTTAAGCGGTATTCAACGTGAATTGGGCTGACTACACTGACTCTTTGGAGAAGACCAGCCTTCTCGCAAAGGTTTGCGATGCGAGGCCTGTCGTAGTGCGAGAACATCTCGTTGCCGAGAATAGCATCGGCGACCTGAGGAGCATGAACTAAGTTCATCTCCAGCAAGCGGGTTTGGAGATGGCCTTGCTCGGGTTTATTCTCCTTGAGAGCGTCCAGCAAGAACGACGTAGCAGGTTGGATCATGTTCTGCGACATGAAGATATCTACAACCTGTGCATATATGGTTAAGAAGCCATGATTAATGGAGACTGAGATCAGACCCACCCGTTCAATGTCGACCAAGGGGCCATTCTCGTCGTTAACGAGCTGGCCAGCGAGCTCAGCACCCTTTTCAGGGCTCGTGCGCATGACGTGTTGCAGGAGACCAACGTAATCCGGATTGTATCCGACCTTTTTCGAGTACAAAACGATCTTGTCGATCTGACCGGTCTCTGCAAAGCAGGCAATAACCTTATTGGGCACGTTGGCCCTCAGGTAAACGCTCAGTGCTAGAGTCATGTCATGCGTCCGGACGATGTCACCGAGCTCCTCACTGCAGGTAAGCTGTGTGACACATTAGAAAGCTGATCAGCGAACAAATTCCCGACAAGATGTACCTTGTTCTCTTTCAACCATTTCTCCAGCAACTGCTTGCGACCTTGCTGCAAAACCGGGCGAGCCAGTTCAAGCGACTCAAGGTGATTGAGTTCACCCTTCTCGAGCAGAACACCGAAGTACTGCAGGATCGGGGAGAGCCCCCCTGTTTGAGCAGGGGCTTGTTTAAGCGACTCAATTACCTGATTCGTGCGAAGAATGCCCTGAAACACAACAAAATGAGCACGTATTTCGAGACTGAATTACAAACATACTCTGGGGGAATTGGCTGCAATCTTGGCGGCTTCACTGTACTGGCCGCTGGAGAAGAGTTGCTGGTACTGCTTGACATACAAGTCGTCGGCTCCAGGTAGGTTTCCACGGCTAGCGAGCTTGAAGGCCAACTCGGTGTTGTTAAGAGTTGTTAGGATGTAAGGAATGATAGTCTGTTCGTCAACGCTGACGGAGAGTACTTGACCCTTCTTGTTGACGCCGATGATACCGTTGCTTGCTTCGTGTTCCGCAGTAACGAAGATGGTCTCGCCCGAAATTCGGTTCATGTAGACGCATGCTCCCGACTCCAGATCGTACAGATGAATGAAGCCGTACTTTGTCACCAGATAAACAATGCCATGGCGCTTTGACACTTGCATGGCGACAGGAAAGTCATTCGTCGCTTCCGGGGGGAAATACACATCGATGGCCTTCTTGGTAAACGGTGGGTCCGGTGCTTGGTGATCAATCTCAACTATATGCAGCTGCGAACCAAGGGTAAGCAGGCGGGAAACAAGAACGCAAAGAGGGTTAACTGACCTTGGCCCCAGTGGCCGTCCGGACGGAGAATGCGAACAACTTCGTCACATTTTGGTGACCGTCTAATTTGATCTCGGCAAAGGACGCGGCGTGGCCTTCGATCGGCTGACTGACGCCTCGTTCCCTACTATACAGCTGCATGGCACCCTTGACTTTGAAGGCGGAAGGATTTGTGGTGTTGCCAGCGATGCCAATTAATACCAACCATTTCTCGTCAGGCGAGACGCGATAGTTGATGATTTGAGCGCCAGACAAAGTAGGATGGCGGTCGAAGATCTTGGTGGGAGCGGTGGTTTGGTCTGCTATTGACCAATGGTACACAGCCGTATCGGTGACCATACCGATCGTCGTCTCGGACACCCATTTCCAAAACACGATGTCTTCGTTGCTGGAATGGGACTTCACCTTCTGCTTGGTCTCGATGTTGAAAATTTGAAGCGTCCGGCCAGCTGTAATGGAGCGTCAGCTGAATCCGACTTCATAGGTACACGTCTAAGCTTACCCTTCAACGCCAGGATTTTCTTGGAAGGATGCATTATTGCGGAGTCGGCGGTGATCGGTCTTCGTAGAACATTGTTGGCGTCCGCGAGGTCAATTATAACGACTTGATTTTGTTCATTAACCTTCTCTCGTACGCAAATAAAGTGGTCGGACTCTAACGTCAATGTCTACGATTTGTATGAGAAATGAGACATAGAAATTCACTCCGACATGATCAACGCACCTAATCCCACATCCGTTTCGATCATTACACCGAGGAGGTTCGATCCGGGATTGAGAGCATGACGTGAATGAGTGAGGAAGCACGCGTACCTGAAAGGAGATGGACGCAGGTTGTATGCCCAAGCTTGAGAGCTGCAAGTGCTCGCAGAACTGGATGGGCTTCGACGCGTCAGCCATGATGATAGTCGCCAAGGCCGGTGAGCGACGTGAAGTGGGAGGGAGGGGATGGGTAACGGGTTGACGACAGCGGACACCTGTTGGGTCGCGCGGGCAAGCGATGAGTTTACGTATATTTGTCTTGATACTACGTAGCGCAGTACTTTTCGATCTCAATCTGAAAGTTGAAATCTTGGTTGAAATTTTGAAACACAGGAACTACTGACATTGACTGACAAAACGTCCACGTCGAAGATACAATATTTTGTGTAATTCGTGGCATTACATCGTTCATCTACTAAGCAGCGAAGGCATTACAACAAACGGGCATGTGGTTTATGGCTCCTCATTGAGTGCCAGCGCTTGCTCAAGGTCATCCTCCTCCACCAAAACGGGAGCAGGCGGTACATTACCATAATAGAGGCGTTGAGCAACGATAGCTGCTCGCGAAATTGAGCATAATATATGAGTGGAAAGTTTGGTATCTCACCGCAGTCAACGCTCAGCTGAAAGATGGAGCATACTTTGAATTGAATGGGCGAATGGAGCAAGAAAAAATACGCAGTCCTAACCATAATGTTAATTAACCCATACGCTTGATGTTCGTAGTGTTCTTCAACTTACTTGAAAGCATCACCACCTGCCCAGCCCAACAAAGTTGACGCCCGAAAACCATACAAGGAGCGTTGTTTGAAGTTGCTGAATATAGGGATAACATTGAGATACAGAGCATCTTCAAAAGTCGTGCTTTCATACCTAATCAATTGTGGTATAGGGAGCGTACTTTCGAGCCCAAGTGCAACAAAACCAAGTATGGAAACAAAGATTTTGGAGCGACTCAAGATCAAGAATAGAATAGTCTGGCACAGCCTAGAAGTGATCCCGACTTCAACCGTCACGCACCAAAGTGAATAACGACCAAAACTTACAGGAAGCCAGCGAGGAATTCTAGATACTGCACATACGATGGCCACTGCCAAAATGACAGCGGCCTTGACGAGGTCCCGAGGTTTTCAGGACTAACTTTGGGACGGTATCGTATGCATATGTAGAGAAGCGCAAGCTAGGAAATCGGCATCAAGCAATCTGGCAATGAAGTCATGGTTAACACCACATACTTGAGACAAGATCATGAATATAGACTGAAAGAGCAGTGGCAGCTCAAAAGGCTCCCCTAGCCAGAAGAAACATCTCGTGATGTTCGCCAGTAGCCTGAGAGAATGTCATTGAATGTGTCTATCCTTGAACGCAATGGTAGGGTAGGCGCTCATACAGAATAGCACAGACGTCTCTTGAGAAGCCAGTGGAATCCCTGTATTAAAGCAAGTGTTGCCATGTAATAAGCACACCACGCTGAGACAAACTGTAACGAACGCACTCTCTGCGAATGATCGAAATAGCTTGATCTGCATACACCAAAGGCGGGACCACCGCCATGGCAATGGAAGACACAGTTTGTATCCAAACTGGCAGCATGTTGAGCTCGTCGACTGGAGAACGGGGAAGTGTAGGACGCGCGACGTTATTTCGAGTTACGTAGAGGGTCGTGCCAAGGCGCGTCACCGTGTGCAAGTAACCCTGTAACTGCCACCGCGATGAAGTGGCTGTGCTTTGAACCAATCTTGGGCGCTTGAAAGCTTGAGCTTGAGCTTGAACCAGGACCCCCGAATGCCCCTATTGAAGTCCGAGGTTGACCCACGACCCCAGCCCAACCCAGCCCCGGGTTTTTCTTCGTCTGGGTGCCCCCCAGACCCCGGGTATCCTACCCTAGACATAGGCCTAAGGCCGGTCCAAACCCCGGGTTCTACCCTGGACATCAGAAGCCCAAATTTGGGATCTGTGAAGGCCAAAATCGCATTTTTCGCCCTAGGAGCGCAAGCAGAGACGAGTATTACTTTACTGACACGACATATACTACTAATTTAATGTTTTCAAAATCTGACAAAATATGGGTTCGAACCCGAGACCTCGCGAAAATAATTAAACGACGGAACAATTATACCGTTGCACCACGGTGGCTTACTCGATGTTGCCCTGTTACTGTATATGACTAGCTACCTCGAGTTCACTGGCACCCCCTGCTTTTACCCAACTTCGCGGGCAATTGCTATGCCTATTGTCGCTATAGGTCAATGATTGTATGGCTATAGACAATCTGAGAAATCTGTTTTACTGCTATTTTCTAAACCATCTTCTGCCTGGTGCTGAGAAAATATATTGAAAACCTATAATAGTTGCGCGGGTTAGGTATCATTTAAGGCACTGGATCGTGGGATATAACCCTAAATGTTGATAAATGGTTCAATTCTACTCAGATTAGGAAGACTTCATCTCAAACCCTTAAATCTACCCTGATAACAAGGAAAAGATCTTGAGTATTTGTCCGATCCTTCCCTGAATATGGAAACTTTAGGGTCCTCGTATGGATTATACCGACCCCAGCCCCGGGTTCTACCCCTGACATCGGCCTACGAGGCCTGCCCGCCCCGGGTTTTACCCTCGACATCTGGCCCAAAACTTGGACCAAACCCTGGGTCCTACCCCGGAGGTCGGGCGCTGACGCGCCCTCAAACCCCGGGTCCCAACCCTGGACTTCCATAGGGGCATTCAGGGGTCCTCTTGAACCCTGACCTCACTGAAACTTTGACTGCTTTGCGCCGAATGTGTGCCAGGAACAACGTTGATCGGCATGGTCTTCCATCAATCCAAGTCACGAAGATAAACAATCGACGGCGTCAGTATCACAGTCAATACTACCAGTGACCTCATTTTTGACCTCATCTCAAAACTTAACATGAACACCTTGTTCCAATCAACCGTGATCACCTGTTCCCGAGTCCGTAATTCCATTTTCTTTTCTCGCTTACATGCTAGGAGGCATCGTCCGCGCATCTTCAAAGCACGCTAATGCTTGTCTAAAAAATTCATGGCGCCCTATCTTATAAACTACTATGCATATCAGTGCGAATAACTTGGCGGCTGGCACTGGTGGCTTATACAACGAGCAGCGTCCGCCCCATGCCTCGCCGTCATGGATGCACGAGGTCCTGACTGTGCTAACTTGCCTTCGCGATGTGACCAAATCGAAGCTGGCTTCTCCATGCTACTCCCCAAAGTGTGGGGAACGTGATGTGATCATAGAAGGCAGCACCAATGTTTGAAGGTGTAACCCACTGATGGTTGTTCCACTGTGCTTCCTACTTTGATACATGAGCTCAGAAAATGAAATTTACCTCGACGTTTACAACAGGTCTCTTGGAGGAATGAAAAGCAGTGAGTCTTTAGAAACGGAGCCTCGCCCCCACATGCGACATCCTCACTGCTCTAGATGATTTGACGTATTGTGAACAAAGCGCCATTCGCTACCTAGAGTCTGTGCATGGATCTTGCGTGTTCAATGTGCGAACAAGCATTTCCGACCCTCCAGGATGCCAAAGCTTCTCGCGATCAACTTTCTCACCTCGCATCTAGCATCAAACGTGTCGGATATGGTACATGAGATGCACCCGGAATCCTCGCTAGCAGAGCACGATAGACATTGCACGCAACCTAGACAAACACCGAAGAATGATAAGGCCCTCACATTTTTGGGAAGCGACTCAACTGATATGTGTATGCTGTGACGAAGACATGAGGACTCCACTTTAAGGTACGGTCACAAATACTCGCCATGCACAACAAGCACTCGAGCCGGTATTGCAGTGAAAAGTCGTCAGCGTGTAAAGCTGTTCGAACATAAAGGAGTTTCATTCAAGTCCTGCGGTGTGATACTGACTTGTACAGCCTGTGTTTCCAAGAAAGCTCGAGGACGACGCAAGCCCCGGTACATCGCGCTGATCTAGTCACTCCAAAGCGGGTAAGCATGGAAAGGTCCTGTATGAATCCCATGCATTATTGCACCGCAGAAACATCAAAGTTCTTGCGATCACGAGGAGAGGCTTCCATTCCTTCAAGTCAGTAGACATCCACTATGTCTCATTGCCCTTATGCGTATATTTCTGTGGGTTCAGCCCACGACCTTGCGCGCCTTGCGCGGTTCTTTAAACGGCCAAGAACCATCGGTTGACAGTATGGATAATACAATCCACACACAATTTGCAGAATATTAATATTGAAGCGGGCAACGATCAGCGAGTCAGTGCTAGTCTCCCGATTTCCTTAGGCTTCAATGCAAGCAACGAACTCTGGAAACATCCGGGTTTGACGTTATCTTTATAATAGATCTCGATCGTCAAAGTCAATATATACCAGTTCCAACCATTGGTTCCCCACATGGCCTCCGCAGGCCACCGCGTGGCTATGAGCCACGGAGAGCGTGTCTGACTAGCTACACAGAGGAAATCACGCCGTCGCACAGAATTCCTGGATTATACAGCCTGAGGAATGCTCTCTGTCTTGTAAATTATCGTGAATTATGCGTGAAAATCTTTTAATTCAGGGTTAGAAGTGGTGCGTTGTAGGTCCATCTTTACGCGTGCTTGGGGTATAATTCAATTAAGTTGATGATGTACAAAATGGGCCTTGCGGCTGGTTCGTCTTTCTCAAGCCTTATACCCACAGCTTCTTCGTCTGCCTCTTCTCTCTTTGACCACTATTTTCTGTCTGTAGCGCAGGCAGATCTGAGCCGAACAGGCCTCTAACGTCCCCTCCTGCTTGCCTGTGTTTGCTCCCTCATTAGCCATCCATTTCAGCTTCATTTGGTCCCATTTCGACATAATGGCATTCGATCATATGCACACCATGGCGCTGATCATGCCCCCCCGTGATGACGGCGAGGAGGAGGTTCAAGACCTTGTAGTGAGATATAACACAGGGCATCCCCTTCTAGGAGACGCAATGTTTTCCACCCGCCCGGACCCTTTCGACCCGCGCAACGTCAGTGGTCATCAACGTGATGTCCATCGCCCGGTCTTCGATCCGACCGGCAGTTATCACATTTACCCTGCCAACGCGGTACGGGATGGGTCATTGACAACGGACGACCCCGAGTATTATCAGGACCAGGTCCTGCCATCAAGCTATCTGCAACCCAATTTCCGGAGGGTACAATGCGATGGCGTGCCCCACTTGGTAAGCACGACACCAATCCCTCCACTGTATCCGAACATGGCCAACGGCTACATTACAGCAGTATCCAGAGGTAGAGAACCATGCTTTTCTACATAGCTCGACCCCCTTCACATATCACGAGGGGTTGTATCAGCCAACACCATGGAACCAGGCCCTGTATGACCCAGCGTGCGGGGCGGACTCAGCCTCTGAGGAATATAGGGCAGCATTAGCTCGGCAAAGCGATAATTTCCTCGCATCGGCATTCTCTCTTACCGAGTTTGCAACCAACTCATATGTACCTTCTCCACCACACGAAGCATATACAGTGGGTACAAATGAACACTATCGTTCATATACTCCCCAGTCTCCTGGGGTCAAGCGAAAGCGGGAAGAAATGAACAATGATTACGTACTTGGAGAAGTGAGCAAATCCCGTTCCAGACCCATGACAGACCTCTGATAAGCAATAGGATTTTTCTCCCGAGGCTGCAGGACCACCCGTCAACTATCGTCAGTTCAAGCGATCGCCTAGCAGCAGCCCAGGAACACAGTTCCTACACGACCTTCCCCGTCCCGCCAAGAGCCCTCGCCTGTCCGAGGAAACTCGCTCGCCTGCTTTACATGCTCCTAAGATTGAACAACCACACCACACCGTGCTGCCTCCAGCAGCTACCCAGCATCAGATCCATTGTGACCGACCATCCTCATGCCGACCTGCACTCGAGAGCGGGACTAGCAGTTCATTGGTGACCACCATAAAGAATGCTACCGGCCATCAACCTGGCAACAAGTCTACAGCTCTTTCTATAAAGCCTACCACCAGAGTTCGAGGAGATAAAAAGCAGGCTCTTGCCTGTCTCTTTTGCCGAGAGCGGAAGATTGCGTGTGGTCGGCCACCTGCTGACAGTCCTGATCGGACATGCAAGTGAGTGGACCTTGGGTTAAATGTAGCGCTGTCGCTTATTTGTTTGAATTTCAGCCAATGTGCTCGCCGTCGTCTAAAATGCGACTACCCCACAGAGTCCCGGCGTGGCCAACACAAGCGAATTCGTCGGGCTGAAACCGGTGCTCCTACCGCATGAGTCCAGCTTTGCAGGATTACTCAAGATATGATTCTTCTAATCCTTATATCCCAAAGTCCAAGGGATTGTAATTATTACTCCTTACGGCTTGGTATGTTTGCTTCTTTCACGATTCAAGTTGATGCTTCAGTCTATACCGTGCGCGAACTCTGCATATATCCTATCACTCCTTTATTGCATACCCCGTATTTGCCTGGATCTCCGTCGACAGAGATCTTTAATATTGGCTATTTAATTTAGCCCGTGTCTTCAAGACCGTTATCACGTATATATGTATCTATAGGCTTTATGACGTATAGATACATGCACTGGATCCAACCGCTTTAATTTGGATTTTTCAATCGAGCTAGCCAGCCTTGCGTATAATTAAGGAATACCTTTAACATGAGCTTGCTTGTATCACACCTATGCTTGTTGCGTTCATAATAATGCAAGGGTTCCAGGAACTCGAGCCAATGGATACAGATGAAGTCCTTATTACATGAAGAAGCGAGCCTAACGAAACGAAGCATAAAGTCGAAACTAGTTCACATTATGTAGCTCGGAGAAAGTTTGTCAGCGTCCGTTGACTGTAGTAACCGAATCTCTCCGAATTCCTGACGGCGCCGCGGTGTCGGCTTTCTTGCCGTCCTGTGGTGGTGGAATCTTGTTAGGGTGGTCAGGTATCTTCTCCACCTCAGCCTTGGCCGCTTGCCAAGCCTCCAGGTTCTGCATCTGAATTAGCGTATGGGGTGACAACAGAAGGTCGATGTGGACGTGCCTTTTTACACCACTCCCTGTGGCTTTGAGCCATGCGAATTGACATCTCCCTAAAGTCGGCAACCTTTTGCCGCTGGAATCTATCCAGGTCGGACTGGATTGTCGAATTAGAGTATTTGAGATCTTGGCTCGAGAGTCGGACTGCTTCTTCCAACTAAGATTTCAGAGTTAGATATACTACTTGGGCCGAAGAAAACGCTTGCCTGAGAGATTGTCTCTCGAGTTTTGCCAATCCCGTTCCTCCGCGCAGTCTCGGGGTCCACGTCCATCATCCCGTGCAAGGTATAACTCAATGCGTTCAAGAAACCCATGCCTGGTGCCCGTTTACGGAGAGGACTGGGGCCAGGGTGGGGTGGCAGAAACGACCTAGACGGTTCTTCGGTGGCATACTCGTTGACTTCGCCGGTATTGTCCCCCTCTTGCCCATCCTGGTCCTCTGGCGTAGACGTGCGTGGTGTACTACTATTCGCACGCCCCCTGTTGAGCGCATCCTCCAATCGTTGCGCCTCTCGTTCGCTCTTCTCGTACTGCTCAAGTAGCTCACGCTTGTTCTCTAGCGTGTCTTGCGACATCTCGTATTGAACATGCTTCTGGTGCCTATAAACAAGGAGCTTCTTGATGATGGATGCGAACTGCGCATATTCATGCAGTGGTTCAGACCAGTTTTGCTCGAGTTCTTGTACCTAAGGAAATGTCAGATATATTATTTTCATGGACTTGAAAGAAGGCCTGCCAGTCTGGTTGTTGACATGTAACTAGTGTCAACCGCCTGACCAGTCTTCTCCAGGGCGGACGAAAGATCTCCAGTCTCGTTCAAACTAAAGCCGTTCAAGACGGCCCCCAGCTCTGAATAGTCTTGGGCGATGTCTATGCAGTGATTTAGTTATCGTGCAAAACATGAAAATGAATTGTATTGACCTGCCCAACGTTTCAGAGTGCGCCGGGAGACCTTCTCCATGGGACCACTGAGGTGATTGGCGAACTTATTCGTGAACACCTCAGAGTCTACAAAGCGCTGGTCAGGAGTTCTCAACGGATGGGTGGCGGAGGGGTTGGCGAGTACACTGTAAGACGGCGAGGCGTTCGGGTCGGTCGGGTTTTGCGAAGGTGCCTTAAGCATGTTCCTGGGGAGGTTCGTTATCGGAGGTGAGTTTAGGACTTCTGTCTAGGGACATGTCAGACTGTGTGGTTTGAGCTCTAACGAGATCACCTTTACCCATGAGACCTCGCCGTCAAGGAAGCGGTGGAAGATATGTTCGTTGGATAACACGGGGTGATGGGCAATCCGATTGAGGAACGTCTGGAGCATCCGTATCCGACGTGCAATCATCGCTGCGTCCTCCTTCGCCCTGGCCTGCTTTGTGGCATAGTCCCCGATCGTCTGCTTGGAGGGAATAGGAGGGATAATCAACGTAGGGTACAGTTGAACTAGATGGCTCCGCAGCGACTCGAATTCTGAGTAGCGATGCCTTGCTTCAGCATTCTGACAGCCTCCTCGTTTAGCATCGCCTCCTTAGAGTGTTAAAAAGATACATACCCCAGCACGAATCACATAGGTAATGTAAGGGGTTGAGGAATTCACACTTGTCTTCAGAGCATCCAAGATCTGTACGAGCAGTCCAGTAAGTCACGGTTCCTTTGGGGGAGCATGCGAATGTTCAAGAGAGTGCACACCTGAATCTCGTTGTCCTCTCCCGAATGTAGCCACCGGTCCCGTTGACAGCAGAAGTCTGTCTTGGTTTGCTGCGGTTGCTTTTGTGTTCCCGGCGATGGGAATGGGCGGCTTGGAGTAGCAGAGGTCGGTGAGGCAACACGCGAGTGGTTCGCAGGGGGCGATGACGGTGCCGAGATGTTGACTTTGGATGTGGAAGACGTCGCTGATGACATGCGGTCAACGTCGACTTCGAATGGGTTGTCGTCTTCAAAGCCATCCATGATCCTAGAGAAGCTTTGACACTGGCAACTATGAAGTTTCAAGTACGAATGTAGGTTCAACGCAAGTGCCTGAAGTTTGACAACAAACAGCGAGGGGAACTGGAAAAGCTGACTCGAATATGGATGCACAGCACTGCGTAGGTTGTGCAGGAACAACAAACAGTTAGCTATGCCGGTCTCGACTCGCAGGCACTCGCAATCGTCGGCGCGCGAGTCTGAGAAACGTCACTGCGTACGCCTAGATCTATAACCGGCTCCTCTCAAGCTCCTCTAAGTAAGCTTGTCTCGACGTTTGTGATTCGTCATTTTATAAGATATAAGCGTTCACAATACATATCAATCACGCCAGTAGAAAAATGAGGCATAAGGTATTCAACAGATGATCACATCTAATTGCATCCCTGTTTCACTACAACATCGTATGAAGAAGACAACTAAGAAACTTGCCATCACCCAAACACACGGAAGCCATCCTGAATAGCAATGTCTGCCTGCATCAGAAGCTCTGGATCTTCTTGAGGTTCGTCAGGTGGCATCGCGTCCTCAAATCCTTTGCCTAGTACAGATGCAAACAACTCGTCTATCTGCTCCTCATGCCAGCTTCCTTGTAGTGGGATGGGTACCATGAAGTTTTGAACCTTTTCCTGGACCTCGTATCTGTAACATCTGAATGAAGTGTTGTATTCAGGATTAAAACTTTAACATACCGCAATTTGCGCCCTTTACTTGCTTTCGTATCGACCTTCTTTTTGGCCTTCTTCTGTTTCTGGATAGCCATCCAGTCATTGTTTCCGCCAGATCCGTTCCCGCGTGAATCAATCACGTCTCTGAGTAGCTGGTGGTAGAAGTCGGTGTCATCGAAAATCTCCGCGTCTTCCTGTCCGTCTTCAACATCGTGGTCAATTCTTGACCCTTTACCCCTGTATACCTGGGTTCGAGCGAGTACTTTTGAGTGATCAGATAGGGTTTCATCAATGAGCTGGGATGCAGATTTAAGTTGATGCGAATTGCGATTGAACGCATTGCGATTTGAGGGTAGAAGGACAGAAGGCGCAACTGCCTGTATTTTTGATGACCACTTGTTCAAGGTCTGGATGAAAAACGGATGGTAACTGCAACCAAGCTATCAGCGGGGCGACGGGTATACATGCAGAAACCCTACACATTCTCAAGGGCAGAAGCTGAGTTGGAAGCATCTCGGAGTTGTTGTGTAACATCGCCCTCACGGGGGCCGTCCGTTTTCAGCTTCTTACGGGGTGGTGCTTGTATCGATTCGTTAGATGAAAGCAGCTCCTACTTGTCATTAGCGATAGATAATTGATAACGGTTGCACGCACTTCTTGGAGTTCCATTATCTCCTCCGACACTTGTAAGGCCTCTACCAACATCTTATTGAGAGAAGCCTGAACCTCGCTGACTGCGGAGTATTGAGAGAGCTAGTATCGACGTGAGTTTAAGCAAGCACCGCAATAATTTCTCGACGTACGGCAGGTAGACGATTGCCTGCATGAACGGATTTTTGTAGGCGTATGCGAGAATCAAGGAGGGTGTCCCATAGGGCCTAGCATGGTTAAAAATTCGTGAGGTCGGGTGTAAGCATCGCAAAAACGTACAATCTGTCGAGAAACAGCTCGACCCTTCTTTCGGTCGTCTTCCCGAGTTTTGTGCAAATTGGCGGACAAGTCTTCGGACGTAGCAACTCTGACATTGCCTATCGTAAGGGAGGCTCGTAATTGAGACCGCTGCGGGGTTTCGGCCTCACTATCCAGATCTTGCGAACTCTGCCCTTCCTCCTCCTCGGGGTGGTCGTCAGAAAGTCCGCTCTTGTCGTCGTCGCTTGAGCCGACAGTGTTGCGATCTAGGTCGTCGTCATTGGATGAAAGTTCCTTACGCGATGCTTTCCTCCCTCCATACTTGGGATCTGCTATGCTATCTTGTGCTTTGCGTAAAGCGGATGGACTGCGAGGCAATGAGGTGTTTGATATATGAGGGACACAGCATCAAGAGGGCGCACCCGACATCAAGGTAGTGTTCTCTAGCAGCTGATGGATCCCCTGAAGCCAGCTCTTCGTCCGGATCGGCACCCGCAGCTTGCACATCCTCCGGATCGAAATCTGGCACTAGTATTAGCTTATTGTGGCAAATCAAAAATCTAGATCGACTTGCCTACTGGTGCCGCCTCTTCGAGCTGGGCTATTTGCTCTGAGAGAGAGAGTCCTACGAGGGTGTTAGCAGGAAAGTGAAGAGTGTAAAATAAGACGCACGTTGCATGTTGGTGGGAGTGAAGGACAGAAATTATGTTTGATGAGGAGCATGTCATCGTTGCCTGTACGTAAGCGAGGGCAAGCGCCGGCAAATGATGGCAAAATTATCTGTGGTTCGCTGCTGAGCTACCTTCTTCCTCCACCCTCACGACCCGTCCCAGCGACATCGCTTCTGTGGCCAGGCCACGCCAGAAAAAAGAGATAGCCATCCTGGATTTCCCATTCTCTTCATGTTCTACAGCTCACAATGTCAAAAAATCGTACCTTTGGTGGGTGCTCCATCTCGTAGTCATGCCTTCGGACCCGTTCAGCCGTTGGCTCTTCGATCGTCACGCGACTTTTACAAGGCCTATGCCTCGTTCTTTCGCTAAGATTCGTATCAGCATATGCGATCACTGCACATGTGCCATTTCATATCCTCGTCCCCGTTCTTAACTTGCTTTTTGCGTCCTACATCTCCCTCGAATTATCCCTCCCGGTCCACACCCGATTTCTTTATACATAATACTCCTCCCCTGACTTCATCCATTCTGACGTCCCCTTCGCTCCAGGTTATCAAAATCAGCCAGCTCCTGCCATGTCGCCTACTCCGTTCTTTACCGCAGGCGGTGCCGTAAATCCTCTCTCGCCAGACGACGAAGACGACAACGACATCTGTCCGGTTTGCGATGGGGACTGCACTTGCGACAACAGACCACGAGTTGTCACCGTCCCCATAGCCTCCACCAGCACTCACGCCCCATCCACCAATGCGCATTCTGTTGCTACACCTGTCGCTTCCACCAGCTCATCCTCTCACGCACCCGCTGTTCAGTCGTTGAAAATCAAACTCACCGTCCCCACCAGCATGCAAAACAGGGTACGCGCTCAGGCTGCTCACCACAAAAAATCCAGGGGAGGTGTAGACCGCGCATTTACCAGCAATGCTGGGGAAAAATCCAGCTCAAGTCGCATCCCACATCTAGGCACCAGCGTTCACGGCCAAGCCACATCTTCAGACTTGACAAAGCGCAAGGGGCGCAAGCTCGCCACAACTTCACAAGACCGATCCAGACTTTCGGCACAAGAACGGCTAACTGGTGCAAGCGAGCAGTCCACGTTACCCCATTTCCACTATCAGTCCCAATCGCACCATCACCGTGGACAGCAGTCATATGGCGCCAGCTCTCGGAACGCTGCTGGGAAACAGAAGATCCCTTCGAGTGCCTCGAGGCCCCCTGCCAAATCTGCCAAACAAAAGGGCAAATCTACGGCTGTCAAAAAAGGGTCTTCGTCCAAGAAGAAGTCCGCCGCTCGTGACGCCTCGGATTCTGACTTTGCCTTTGAGGACGAAAGCTTACTAGACGATGACGACGACAATGGCAGTTTCCCTACTTTCTTGTCGGCATCGGCGCTTTCATCTGGTGCTTCTTCTGACTCCTCTTCGGAATCAGTGTCAGAGTCGACAGGTTTCGACTCCGATTCATCACTAGAAGCCGAGGAAGAGACCTACATTCTTTCCGAGCAGAGACGCCAAGAGAAAGCTCGCGTACGTCGTGAACTTCTTGGTGATGAAACCTATCGCCACAAAGACATTCATAACAACTGGGTCATCCGTCCCCGCAAGAAAAGTGTCGGTCTCTCCGATGTTGAGATGGACAGTGACAACGATGATACATCGAACGGTGAGGAAGAGGAAGAGGAAGGGGAGGATGAAATGGAAGCAGAGGACGACGACGAAACTGATGATCAGCTGCCCTCCCGTCGGTTCAAGGGCCTCGTGACGGGTTGGTCAGAGTCAGAAGAGTCGACTTTTGATGCGGACATCTTCTTCGCCAACTTGTCAAGCTCTGACTCTGAATCTGTTGACGACGAGAACCCCGAACAGTATGTTAGGAACGCAGAGCAAGAAAGCGCGATCGCTACTCCGGTTACGCCCCGTACTATGGACTTCGAGGTTACCGAAGGCTGGGATGGCCAAATCGTCTTTACGAACGGTTTGACCTCCAATCAAGTTGTCGATATGGATTTCGAAGCACATACAGTCCAGCTCACATCCGAAGACGGCACATCAGTTACCCAGTCCAGTGATGTCGAGATGCGTAACAGTGAGGGCGACGAAGGAGGCTATGAGGAGGAGGACGAAGAGTTTGATGACGGTGAGAGCGGTGATACAACAGAAGAGGAGCTGGTCGACGAAAGGGGTCTACCGACCTCCCGCGCCATGCGCATGTTCCGATGGCCAGCTAGTGTCTCCGCAATCAACCCTCTTTCTACCGTCAGCCCGACAGTCAGTCCAGCCCCCAATAATCGGCGTACCACCAGCGCCTCTCTTCGACCTATGGGCTCCCCTAGACCTGCCGACATACTTGCTGGTCGGGTGTTCTTCGACGAGTCTGATGAGCACCCAGATAGCGGAGAGGGCAGTAGCGGTGGCCGTGTGCGTGTGGTTTCGCGCGCTGGCGAACCTTTGATGGGCCAGTTCGACGTCGAGCCCGAAACCCCCCAGAAGGCTGCGATTATTACTGGGGCCAATAAGGACGTTCCATCTCCTTTCCCTCGACTTGGCCATCGCAGGCGATTCTCAAGCAGCGCCGGAAGCTTCAGTAGTGTGAGTGTGGAAGGGAGAGGATGTGATCAGATCACTCATATATGTTTGGTGGTTTCAGATGGACTTCCGCGGTCGTTCTTTATCTCGATTCGACGTTTTTACATCCGGACCAGTCACGCTTGCGTCTTCCGAAGATCCTTTCTCCGAAACCTCGTCTGAGATGCCGCTCGGTGAGGAAATCGATCTCGACGATGTTTTAGATCCATCCTACCTTAACGACACTTCCGCATCGGAGTATCCTGCCATGTCGAGCACTGCTAGCGAAGGCGAGTCAAACCCTCAAAACTTTTACCGCTGGGACCGTGTCCCAGTGGGCGCATTCCGCCTTACCCGAGAAGGCGCGGGAGACGTCACATCGTCCCCCGGATGGACGTCAGAACCTCCGACCTCGACTATCGACGATCATGTTCTGTCGTACTCAAATATGATGAAAAGCAGCCCTCTAAGCACCCTCCTTTGGCACGATAGACGGCCGGACGTCAACGAGACTCCTACGAAGTCTCGTGGTGGTGTCACCGTCTCCCCAGTCGTGATCCCTTCTCGCGATGGCGATCAAACTCCCGTGCCTGCACCTCAACCGGCCGCTTCCTCCTTTAATCACCAACACTCGCAGAAAACACGAAAAGAGTCGCGTAGAGAAATGAAAAGAGTCAAGCGGAAACTGTATGGCCCCGTGCACAGCCATTACAGTCACCATCAGCAACATCAGTTCCGTCAACACCATCATTATCATCATCATCACCACCCGAATGCAAAACCGCGCGGCGCTGCTGGCGTGCAGCGCATGAAATTCAGTTCTCCGTCCACCATTCCCTCCTTGAACATATAGGCATTGCATCGTTATATCGCCTACTCATCCTTGGTTCTTTTGGTCTCCTCTCCTCCCATACTGCCTCATGCTTATGGTTTTACTCTTCTATTCTGTTGTATTCCTCTTGCCCATGATACTCATGCCCCTCACGCACATCATTTTACCTTCCTCAAGTGCATCGACTCTTGCAATTATACCTATACTCCTCAAGTTGTATCTATGGATATACGTCCATTGTGTATCCGCCTCTATCATGTCACATTTGGTTTCTGAAAATAGCCACTTCCATGACTTCGTCTACTCAGTACTGTTTCGCCGTTTCCTTTTGCCGGCTTTTGCGCATTACACACTCCCCGTTGTAACATTTGCGCATTCTGGCTTCCTAATAGCTCAGTTTCTTCTTGCTTGGCTTCAGTCCCCTCTGTAAGCTGCATGTACCTCCTGTAAGCGTATCAAAAAACATGTGTTCTTCCTTCCTTTTTTTTCCGTTGTCGAATGGTACTATGAATGCCAGTCACGTGATGCTTAACCAATAGAACAACATCGCGGCGTAACGTTTCAATGGTGTACTCAGTATATTGCAACGTGTATCTACGCCGATCCCTCTCAAAGCTCAAAGTTGACAGGCTTGACAGCTCGGATTAGCTGCGTGCTTGCTGGCAGGCTTTTTCTTGGTCTCGTCACTAATTCTCGGCCTCACAGACTGTCGAGGTTATTCTTGGGTCCACCAATCTCGCTAACGTCGCGTCTGGATAATGTCCAGCTCTCTAGCGAAAGGCAGAACAGAGGAAGATGAGGCTGAGCTCAGAAGAAGTATAGCAACGGGAGGGGGAAAGAAGGATAGTGATGGTGGAAACGCTGGTGAGCTTTCATAGTTTTTTGCTTTTGAAGGCTTTGACCTTATGCCTCTCGAGTATCCTCTATTTTGTGCTACTGTGTCGCGTCTATCATGATGACTCTTGTGAATAAGGTGCATAATCTGAGCCATCTTTCCGTATTCTATTTGCTGATGCGAACATCTCGGCAGTTTGTCGTGTCTGGTAGCCAGTTCAATATGACATTCCTGCTGCTCACACTTCAATCAACCGTCTGTGTCGGTGCTGTATGGTCTGTCAAGAAGATCGGAATAATCTCTTTCCGTAATTTCGATACCCATGATGCGAAAGCGTGGTTCCCTATCAGTTTCCTCCTTGTTTGGGTTATATATACCGGCTCTAAGAGTCTTGTAAGTGGGATTCCCCTAATGATCGGCGAAAGCGGCACTTATTCCTCCTTAGCAATACCTTAGTATACCCGTTTACACAATATTCAAGAACCTGACGATCATCCTCATTGTAGGTGTGACCGGTACTAGTCAGTACAGACGGCTGAAGTGGTTGTCCGCAGGCATATGGCGAAGTCATTTGGTTCAACGGTCGAATTTCTAGACTTACAATGGTATCTTTCGGTTTCATGGTGAGTAGCAAGTTACAGGAATGGTGGTCGTGACGTCTGGCTGAAGTCACTGTACTGCGCAGGTTTTCTCATCAGTAGTCGCAGCTTGGGCCGATGTGAACGGTGCAGAAACCGCTGTTGCCGCTATACCAGTCAGCGCAAGCGCTGGTCTCGAAATCATGACCAACATGGTACAACGGCTTGATATCGGGTACTTCTGGATGCTTCTCAATTGTTTGGCAAGCGCGGGCTATGTGAGTAGCTCGGTTCATACCTGGGTAATACCTAATACCGTATCCACAACTAGGTACTTCTCATGCGCAAGCGCATCAAAGTTACAGGGTTTTCGGATTGGGACTCGATGTTTTACAACAATCTACTCTCCATACCCGTGCTCGCTGTCTTCTCTATTATAGCAGAAGATTGGGGTACTGCGAATTTAACTCGGAACTTGTGAGTTGCACCCTCCGGCGCCTGCGTAACATTGACGAATTTGGTAGCCCTCCCGAGACTCGAACAGTGCTGCTATCAGCGATCGCGTTTTCTGGGGCAGCGGCCGTTGGCATTTCATATACCACTGCTTGGTGTGTTCGCACGACAAGCTCCACCACGTATAGGTATGCATCGCCTGATCGCCAACCTTGTCCCTATCTTACTCATGTGTTGTCAAGTATGGTCGGTGCTTTGAACAAGCTACCTGTTGCAGCGTCCGGCATGATCTTCTTTGGGGATCCCGTGACGGTTGGATCTGTATCCGCAATTACTATGGGGTTCTTTGCTGGAGTAATCTACGCGGTCGCAAAGAATAACCAGAAGAAGCAGGAGATGCGCGCTCAGACTGGCGGCGTTCTTCCAATGACCAACCGGACCTCGTCGTAGCCTATTCAGGTCTCTGACCCTCATTCCTGGAGAATGACCTCGACCTTTAGTTATCCTAAACCTCAGAAGGACGTGCGCGTAATAGCTAGCGTCATGCTCAGCCTCATTTATAGACGGTGATAATTTTGCCATGGTTGATCAGCGCTTGCGACGGCAGAACGTCAAGGGGTTCATGAGCGGAGGTATCTCTACTCTGATGGAGCTTGAAGCCGCAACAGCATGGTCAGCGCAGGTGTGTGAAAGGTGCTTACGCATGGGATAATGGAGATAAAGGCGGGTATCCGTGGAGATGGTGCGGGGAGCCCGCCCTAAGACCGGATCGTGAAGACAAAATCACGGAGTCGCCGCAGTCCTACGACGACGGGGACGCAGGTGAAAGTGTACACGATAACAGACTGATACGGCAAAAGGACTAATGGGTCATACATAAGTTGATAACGCGCCCGATCGCGCTAGTTTGTTATTAGGCCCCGCATACCAGCGGGCTGATAATCGGGCTTGATTCCAGACCAGCATCTAAAAGCTCCCCTGCTTCCCTTACTCAAATTCCTTCTTCACCCCGCTCTTTCCTACTCTCTTAATCCCCTCCCATAGTTCTTGACAACCATGGCGGGTCAGCAATCGCAGTCGCTTCACCCGCCCCGTCTGGCGCACACCTTCGTCACGTCTCCGAGTGCACCTGGCACACCGGTGCACTCCATCCAGACGATGCGCAGGAAATCAGCAGGCCACAGCGGCCCGCTCACCAAGATCCTTGTCGCCAACCGAGGCGTAAGTCGCTAGCTTCATTGAACACATCCGTCCGTGGCAGAACGAGCGCGCATGTTCTATCCAGAGGCAATACGCATATATTCATGTTTTTGCCCACCCTCTAGGAAATTGCCATCCGTGTCTTCCGCACATCGCATGAGCTTGCGATGCACACTGTCGCAATTTACTCCTACGAGGATCGCCTTTCAGCTCACCGGCAGAAGGTATGTCACGCACAAAGCCTCAGTCGAATCGACATCTTATCATTGAACGCCTATCTAAGGCCGATGAAGCCTACCAAGTCGGCAAGGGCCTAACCCCAGTTGCTGCATACCTTGCCCAGGATGACATCATCCGGATCGCTCTCGAGCACGGCGTGGATATGATTCACCCTGGGTATGTCGGTCGCCCTTGATTATGCAGTAAAATTCAATTATCGCACAGTTACGGTTTCCTGGCCGAGAACGCAGAGTTCGCTCGCAAGGTCGAGCAAGCTGGAATTGCGTTCGTTGGCCCTTCACCAGAGGTCATCGATGGACTCGGTGACAAGACCAAGGCCCGCACAACCGGTGAATCTTTATTTTACATTGTATGTATGCAGCATAGATTCTGACCTGGACGACAGCCATGAAGGTTGGTGTCCCCGTTGTCCCCGGAACCCCCGGGCCAGTCGACACTTATCAGGACGGCGATGCTTTCATCAAAGAATACGGTTTCCCAGGTATCTTAATCTTTCCTCACATCGCCTCGCGTAAGTTACTGAGATCGTGTCTAGTCATCATTAAGGCCGCTATGGGCGGTGGAGGTCGCGGTATGCGTGTTGTGCGCGAACAGTCTGATTTCAAGGACGCTTTCGAGCGAGCTGTCAGCGAGGCTAAATCGGCTTTCGGCGATGGCACTGTCTTCATTGAGCGTTTCCTTGAACGCCCACGCCACATTGAGGTCCAGATTCTTGCTGATGCCGCCGGAAACACTATCCATCTCTTCGAACGCGATTGCTCCGTGCAGCGTAGACATCAGAAGGTCGTGGAGGTTGCTCCCGCTACTCACCTCCCTGAGGAGCTCCGTCAGGCTATCCTGGCTGATGCCATTAAGCTTGCCAAGAGTGTGGGTTACCGCAATGCCGGCACAGCCGAATTCTTGGTTGACCAAATGGGCCGCCACTACTTTATTGAAATCAACCCTCGTATTCAAGTTGAACACACCATTACTGGTAAGTCAGTGACATGGACAGAACTGAACAAAAACTGATGAACTGTACAGAGGAGATCACTGGCATAGATATTGTCGCTGCCCAGATCCAGATTGCTGCCGGAGCCACTCTCCCTCAGCTTGGTCTGACCCAGGAGGCCATTACCCGCAGAGGCTTTGCCATCCAGTGCCGTGTTACCACCGAGGATCCTGCTCAGAACTTCCAGCCAGACACCGGTAAAATTGAGGTTTACCGCAGTGCTGGTGGAAACGGTGTCCGTCTCGACGCTTCCTCGGGCTTCGCGGGTGCTCAGATTACCGTATGTGCTTTGCTAGCTCTAAAAACTCTGTTACCTGACATCATTCTAGCCCCACTATGACAGTTTGCTCGTCAAAGTGTCAGTGAGCGGGACGACTTATGAGGTTGCTCGTAGAAAAATGCTTCGTGCTCTTGTTGAGTTCCGTATCCGTGGTGTCAAGGTATCTAACACAGTGATTCTATGCCATCCAAGTGCTAATTATCCAAAAGACCAACATACCCTTCCTGTTCCGCCTTTTGACCCACGACGTCTTCATTGGAGGCAAAACCTGGACAACTGTGAGCTGCGTCTGAAACCCAGTGAACTATTCGCTTATACCCTTATTCGCTTAGTTCATCGACGACACTCCCGAGCTTTTCAAGCTTGTCCAGAGTCAAAACCGTGCCCAAAAATTCCTTGCTTACCTTGGCGACCTTGCCGTCAACGGTAGTTCCATCAAGGGACAGACTGGCGAACCTGGTCTTAAGGATGACATTGTTATCCCCAATTTCCAGAACCGTGATGATCCCCAAAGTCTCACACCCTTAGATCCGTCTGTTCCATGCCAGACCGGCTGGCGCAACATCATCGTTGAGAAAGGCCCGGAGGCCTTCGCCAAGGCCGTTCGCGAGTACCCGGGTACACTGATCATGGACACCACATGGCGCGATGCCCACCAGTCTCTTCTTGCTACCCGTCTGAGGACCATCGACATGGTCAACATCGCCAAGGAGACGAGCTGGGCTCTTCAGAACGCGTTCAGTCTTGAGATGTGGGGCGGTGCGACTTTCGACGTCGCCATGCGCTTCTTATACGAAGACCCTTGGGAACGTCTAGTGGGTTATCACTCTAGATTGTTGTAAGTTATATTCTCATTTGACCGTCCTACAGCGTACCCTGCGCAAGCTCGTCCCCAACATTCCCTTTCAGGCTCTCGTTCGTGGTGCCAACGGTGTCGGGTACACTAGCTACCCGTGAGTAGCATCGATCCTGCATTGTAACGTGCTTTTCCTCATAACATAAAAGCGACAACGCCATCTACGACTTCTCTAAGAAGGCTGTCGAGAACGGTCTGGACATTTTCCGTGTCTTCGACTCCCTTAACTACTTCGGTGCGAGTTGTTTGCTGTTAATCCTGTGACAAATGCTAACTGCGGCACATAGAAAATGTATGCCTCCCGTAAAAGCAAGGGACTCATTGGACTGACGCTTTGTTTAGATGCAACTCGGTATCGATGCTGCCAAGAAGGCTGGTGGTGTCGTGGAGGCCGTCGTCTGTTACAGCGGTGATGTCGCCAACCCCAAGGAGGATAAGTATACCCTGCAGTATTACTTAGACTTCATCGACAAGCTCGTCAAAGAAGGCGTCCATATCCTTGGAGTCAAGGACATGGCTGGTCTCCTGAAGCCTGAAGCCGCCAAAATGTTCGTGTTTCATGCAGTACTGGCCAATATACTAACGACGATTATCACGTAGTCTTATCGGTGCTATCAGGGAGAAGTATCCTGATATCCCCATTCACGTCCACTCTCATGACACTGCTGGCATTGCCGCTGCCAGTATGATCGCTGCCGCCGCCGCAGGCGCAGACATCGTCGACGTTGCCATTGACAGTACGTAATGTCGGTGGGTGTATAGTTCTTATATCTAACGATCAACGCAGGTATGTCTGGTTTGACCTCTCAGCCTTCCATGGGTGCCATCTGCATGGCTCTTGAACAGACCAAGCTCGGGACAGGCATCCGCTATGCCGATATCCAGGCTCTTAACTTGTACTGGAGCCAAGTCCGCATGCTCTACAGCTGCTTCGAGGCCAACGTCCGCGCTTCGGATTCTAGTGTCTTCGACCATGAAATGCCCGGGGGTCAATACACTAACCTCATGGTATGTGGGGTTCTCTCTGACATGGAACTTTACCAATGATCCCTCTTAGTTCCAAGCTTCTCAGTTGGGTCTCGGCACGCAGTGGACGGAAATCAAACAGAAGTACATCGAGGCCAATGAACTGGTATACTAATTCATGCTGTTGATGATACTCCGAACATTCATATTTATCCCCACAGTGTGGCAGAATTGTCAAGGTTACCCCTTCCTCCAAGGTCGTTGGTGACTTCGCCCAGTGGATGACTTCCAATGGTTTTTCAAAGAAGGATGTTCTTGAACGCGCCGAGACTCTCGACTTCCCTTCCTCCGTGGTTGAGTTCTTCCAAGGCTACCTCGGTCAACCTACCGGTGGCTTCCCCGAGCCTCTTCGTACCGCCATCATCAGGAACAAGAAAAGGATCGATGGCCGCCCTGGTGCAAGCATGGAGCCTCTGGACTTCAAGAAGATCAAGGCTGAACTGCGCAGCAAGTTTGGCAAGCATATCACTGATGCTGATGTTACCTCCTATGTTATGTACCCGAAGGTCAGTTACAGTGCTTACTCTTCCTCATACACTAGAGCCCACAATTTCCTTTAGGTGTTTGAGGAGTACCAGGGCTTCCTTGAGAAGTATGGTGACCTTAGGTAAGATCATCACTTTATCGTATGATTGTGGGACTTATTCTTTGTCTCAGCGTCATTCCCACGCGGTACTTCTTGGGTCGACCACTCACTGGAGAGGAGATGCACATCTCGATTGAGCAAGGCAAGACTCTTATCATCCGCCTGATGGCCGTTGGCCCCGTTGTGGAAGGTCGTGCGCAGCGTGATGTGTGGTTCGAAGTCAACGGAGAGGTGAACTTACTTGACCTGTTTCGTAGTTCGAAGTTCTCATCACTAAAACTACACAGGTACGGGCGGTGTCTGTCGAGGACAAGAACTCCGCAGTGGAGACGATTTCGCGGGAGAAGGCGTCTTCCGAGCCCGGTTCGATTGGTGCGCCTATGTCGGGTGTTGTTGTCGAGGTCCGCGTCAAGGAAGGCCAAGAGATCAAGAAGGGAGACCCCGTCTGCGGTCGGTCATTATGTTGGATTTCTGCTTTAATTTCTTCTAACGGTCCGATTGCGGTTTTCTCTCTCACAGTGCTGAGCGCAATGAAGGTATGCAATATCTTGCACTGTTGAAAAAGCCCTTTTACTAATGTGCATTCACAGATGGAGTCCCTCGTTACCGCTCCGGTTTCTGGACACGTCAAACGTGTTGTCGTTGCCGAAGGTAGGATATCTTGCTGGAGCTTTTTCTCAAAATACTGACGAGAATGATGTTCAGGCGACTCAATCAATCAAGGCGATTTGACCGTGGAGATTGTTCACTAGACCATTTGCTTCGTACGTGTGTTTGACTTAGAGTCGGGTTGAGAAGCCACAGCAATTTGTACATTGTATCATACCATTCAATAAATCACTTCAGTGTTTCGCTCGTTCCCTTTTCTCTTTCCGAGACGAAGGCGGATTTTCAGCATGGTGCTCTGATTTGCGTATGGACGTCGGTTATTATTTATCGTCTAAGCACGTCAAGCAGAGATAACCCTATATCACTCGCTGTCAACAAGGGCAGACGTTCCGATCAGTGTCCGGAGAATATCCTGATGGATCTCCTGGACGATATCCTAGAGAATTATCCTCAGCACGAAAAAGACGAGAACCTAAACCATCACTTACCTTCGCATTAAGAACAACCCTGTTCAATCCCGCGCTGGCGCCAGCCCAAACGACCATACGGTTGGCGTCTCCCTCCTTGGTTCCAGCAGCAAGTTTAGCCTTCACAATATCTAGATCTGTGCCACTGTCGAAGTCTTTCACTAGCTCGTTGTTGATACCTCTGCCGTCGATTCCTGCCGGCCATCCCAGGGATCCACGAAGCTCATCGAATGCCATCGTACGTTTTGTCGAACCAAGCACCACTTGGCATATGGCGTCTTTTTGAGTCTTTTGATAAGCACTTTCAGTCGCCAACAGAAAACGGGTGCCCACAACGGCACCAGCTGCTCCCAATGCCATCACAGAGGCAATCTGACGGCCATTTGCTAAGCCACCCGCTGCCACAACCACTGGTCCATTCTCAGGTAGCGCATCCACAATAGCAGGAACCAGCGCGAGAAGAGCTGGGGCAGCACCCTTGCCGTGACCACCGGCCTCGTTGCCTGTAAGTTTACGAAAGCAGATCAAGTTCTCAGTATTATACCAAGCCTAAACGTGCTAAAACTAACCTTGTGCAACGAGGACGTCAACTTTCCACTCATTCGTCGCGACGAGAGCGTCTTCCGCAGAAGAAACGACGACGAAGATAAGCGTGGAATGGGGTCGCCCCGCACTTGCGTCATGTTCACGCACCAACCGGACCCAATGTCCAATATTCCTGCCGAAGGAGAACCAGACGGCCCGCACACGATTCTCAAGAGCAGTCAAGACCGCTTCCTTGGAGACTTCGGGGTTTGCTTTCGCTTGTTCTTCCAGTCTCCACACGAGGAAACCGATACCGACGGGAAGAGAGGCATCATCCGGAAGGTCGAGAAGCAACCGAAACTGGTGGATTTCTTGTTGCACTGTTTGTTTATCATAGGTTCCTGTCCATATCATCAGATCTCCATGCTGGGAGCGTATAAGGAATACATTCACCGGGATGAAGAAACCCGAAGCCACCTGAGCGAAAGACCTGGGATGCAAGAGCGGGTGTTGCGGCACCATGCATGGGAGCTGAGACGACGGGTGTCTTCAATCCTGACGGAATCGTCAACATGAGTCCAAGGACTGCAACAGATCATAATTACCGAGTAGACGAGTGAGAGATGTAGTGATGCGCGGCATTATGGAAGATGGGTTCAAGAATCAAGATGTTTCAAAAGTGGTCGATCTTGGGTTGGTCAAACAGTGAGCAGTTCGCTGCCATTTTGTACCCGTCAGCAGGGGTGGAGTCAATTAGTCTAGTAAGGATGCGGGGTTCAATATAAGTCCGATGCAAACCGATGAGATTGACGTTGCTTCCTGTTGCTTCAATGGGTTTCAATGCTGCTCGCTCATCTGTACGGATTGATGCCCCGATGACGCAGAGATCGCTTAATCAGCTGCCCGAGCTGTGGCCGAGGATGATATAGACAAGAATCAAGCAAGAATCAAGTCTATAGAGTATGTTGAGCTAAGTTGAATTCATATCGACAACAACGTTTGTGAGGAAAGGACCAGAGCCGTCCGCGTCAGGGGCAGCATAGTTTGTTTACATCTGTTATTGCTCTGTGGTCTGCGAGGCCAACCCCAAAGAGCCTCGTTGCAGCAGACGTTGATCAACAAGATAGTCCTAACCGCTCAACATGGTGAGTAGAGTAGCTCATATGTAGAGGTCTAAAAGCTAACGGATGGCAGCCTCCCCCAAAATCAAAAGGTGGCAAGATGCTTGGCCTCATCAACTGGAGGCTCAAAGTCACTATTAACGATGGACGCGCGTTCATCGGTCAAATGCTCGCGTTCGACCGCCACATGAACCTCGTCATCGCAGAATGCGAAGAGTTCAGACGCGTCCGACCGAAGAAGAAGGCTGGTGAAACCGAGACCCCCCCTGAGCAGGAAATGAAGCGGACGCTCGGTCTTGTGATCCTTCGTGGAGAAACAGTCGTGAGCATCAGCGTCGAGGGACCTCCTCCGGTTGTCGATGACGACAAGAAGAACGCAGTGCGTGACACTGATACTGTTGCTGTGATTAGCACTTACTAGTTTGTTTTATTCCTACCAGCTTCCAGCTGGCCCTGGACGAGGTATGCCTGCAGGACGCGGTATGGGAATGATGCCTCCCAGTAAGCTTTTTTTCGTTTAGGTGACAGCATGTGTAGTTTAATCACGTCTCTCAGTGGGCCAACCATCTTTGGCTCGCCCGCCGATGCCTTTCCCTCCCCCGGGCATGCCAGGTCCACCTCCCGGTTTCAGGCCACCCAATATGCCTCCCGGCATGCCCTTCCCTCCGCCACCAGGCTTTGGGGGCGGTCCTCCACCTGGGTAAGTCGATTTGAGCTATCTCCAAGATTTCTCTAATAGGCGTTATATATAGCTTCCAGCCACCCCCGCAGTAAAGGACAATGCCACGATGGTGAGGCACCATATGTGTGTTTTTCTGACTAGTCCATCGGCAAGGCCAAAAGTGAACTTCGGAAAAGCAAGGGCAACTTGCTTGTGTGGATATAATCTACTTCTGTCGTTACCAGAACCATACAATGTGTCACCAAATATCGACAATACAACAATGCTTGAGGTTTGTTGTTTTGCTCCTCACTGACAGCCCAGCATCACCTCTCAAGTCGGTAGCGGGCTCGTGTAATGATGACATCTTTTGTGGCTTCAATGAACGCACACGGCGGAATATCAACCTACCTTGAGTATCGCTAAGGTAAACAAAAAAGGGCTTAACTTCAACGTGGCGGCCTAGCCTGATCGCGAAGTCGACGTACATCATTACACAGATCTCTTTGAAGATTCACATGCTGCTCACACAGATGCTTTGCTGCGATTCTCCGTTCTATCTTCTGATTTCAACTTGGTGTGAGGTTATCAAATTTCTCTGTCGAAACAAGGGGCTGGAGAAAGCGTATGCGAAGGCACCATACTCCAGCCACGTGGTCTTTTCATAGATTCAACTTAAAGCGTAAGCTGGACTTCATCTACCAGCAACAACTTCACGGGACGTCGGAGGCCTGAAGAGCTTATCATCCCTTTGCCTCCGTCACTTTCGATTCCCCCATCCAACGCTATCCAACGCATCAACAGCCCACGTTTGATACACGCCTCAGTGTGGAGCCCGTCCAGGGATCACCCTCAGTCACAAACCAAAAGGCAATGGCCGAGTCTACGTCTTTCGTATTCTGTGCTTCTCTTTCATCATGGCAGCAACTGACCATCACGAAGGCCAGGGTTTGGCCATTAAACTTCAGGTGTACAGTGAATCACTAGGTCTGTAACTCGGAGTGACCCGCTTATCTTCAGCTAAAGAACCATAGCCTGTGAACGTCATTCAAAGGAGGCTAAACCCTGAGTAGGTGCATATCTTCTTCTTAACCCACAAGAGAGAACGTGACCTTTCAGACCAGGAACACGGGCAGAACGCTTAACTATAAGCTCCAAATTCCGACCACCGGATCCTTGTTTTGTGCACCCGTGATCACTTGACACCCAAACGAACATATAGAGCCCTTTTATGAGAACAACCATAGCACTCAGTTCTGTATCAAGATTTACAGTACCATACTTGATGCAGCCACAGTGTTGGAGGACAACACCCGCGAAGGGCTCCTGGACTTGAATCGCGTCTTTAGATGACCGTCTTATTGCCTCATGTCTGCTGCATCAGGTAATTTCTCGTTTTCGTGATATAGCTCTAACATCACCGGCCACAGGTTTCAGATTGCATGGAGCTGAAGTGCGGCAGAAAGTTGATAGCGCAAAGAGCGGCTCACAAGTTCCTCTTGAGCCTTTCACCCCGCAGCATACTTGTAGGGAAATGCCCTGCTTTAAACGGAACTAGTGCGCGGCTGACATCCGACGGCCAAGACTGCTTTTGTAAACACAATTTCTAAAGGTAGAGGAAGTAGCAGCTGACCAAGCAGATAACCTTGGGATAACTCCCAAGATGGCCAGGATAACCTCCCGGTAGACTCCGGTAGGTTCATCATACTTGACAAGCCGTTGCGGTGTTAGTATTCGGGAAGAGCGCAGAAGAAGAAAGAAAAACGGTGCATTGTGGCCGAGTTGTCGGGATTGTGGCTGGCCGCCATTCTGTTTCCGTCAAGTCTCCAGGATAGCAGTCCTTTACACGTGCTCAGATAAGTAGAGGATCAGTTTCTCGTCGCAGGCTCGGTGCCGACGTCGTATACTGGGATAGACCCCGTAAGTTCCCTTCCGTCGCGTTGATCTAAGATTCTTAGTTATCACAGATGGATGGAAGAGCCATTCCGATGTAAGTCGATATCGTTCAGCCAATGTCGTGTTCGGGCCAGCCTGAAAGTCCCTCCCAAGAACTTTTTCGTGCGTTCAGACACTACAGTGTAAGAACTTATTCGACGCTAGTATCGGGGAGGCGAAACGACCCTCGGGACTGGTCGTTATCCTTCATAAGTATTCATACACATCCGTTAGGCTTTTAGCACCACACACACTTATGACAAAGTTTCATTTCAGGACATTGCACTCCGGGCGTGAGTTTACACTAAGTTAACCCAGATACTTCCGTTGCTGTGCCTCATGCTCTTTGGCTCGCTCGGAATAGGTGAATCTATTCATTGCTCACCAATGCCCGGATCTTGAGATGTTCCTCAAGTCAATAGTAACTGATGTTGTTTTCCGGTTTCTTGGCTCCATTTTTCATAGCCTTGACCTACAGCGACACCGCTCGTCCGTTCTTATCCCACTGATGATGCAATAGTCGAGTCTTACCGGTTCTTGTGCTGTCGTCATTCCTTCTGGCTTATCCAGGGTTGTACGACCGAGGAACGCCGCCCTCAAACTCGGATCCGAATTTCCAGTTTTCACCTCTGATGGCGTCGATATTGCTTCATGACATTTGCGATCATCCCCTCCCCGCTTACTGTGCATCGATCCTTGACACTGCTAATCACATATGGCGCTGAGCGACGTCACTATGCCAATTTGGTTCCGTCTGACGGCGCTTAGTAGCAGCTTATATGAAGTCCCCGACCTAAATATGAACAAATGGGTATATTGACGCCCACGATTGTGCAGTGTATCGAACTTGAATCGCTTACTGTGGGCGGGCAGTCAGTCAATTTCGCCTGACATATCAAGTATTTAAGTTCAATTTGCAGTGTTGCTACCGTTTCTCAAACCCTGAACTGTTGTATTTGATGTTGATGGTCTACTCTAACAGGCCGTAGGTGCGTAAATGAGGCACCAGCGGGTAAACAGCTCGCTGCGATTGGTGATTTCAAAGCAACATACTTCAAGTTAGCTCATACACAGCGGGAATAACATCAACTGTGCCGGCTCCAGCGATGCCACCACACCGGTCCGCTCGCTATATGTTGGCTATAGGAGCTATCGACAGTGGATACTCCCTTCCGCTTGCAGCGCAGGGCCTTGAAGGTATATTTCGGGGCCGATGCATAGGCATCCAATTCCGTCCCAATGTGCTTGTGCAGATTGATGGAGTTTAGGCACAAGTATGCTCGCCGTCGCCAGAGTTTGACTGGGCATCGCTCGAAAGGCAATTATTTAGTGACATCGCATAGCTGGGACGAGGCTAATCGCGGCTGCGGCGGTGGCTCCGAGTCTCTCCGAGTCTGGCAGTTCGATATACAGTAGATCAACAGATGTCATACTCATGCTTTGTTTGTCAGCATGTGCTCATAAGCGGCGTTGAATGCAAGGTGAATGCTCCCCGTACTGTATCCTGAGATTGCACTGTACAGCTCAGCAGACGGAAAGTAATCCTTAGCACTATGAGTATACGCACTGGTGTCTTGCAGCGCCCCCTCGCTATCAGGGAAGAATACTAACCACATTTCCTACATAACGCTTGACTGTTCATACATCATAGCGCTTACGCGCATCGAATTAGATCGAATTTCACGCCGTCGACCTGTCGTTGAGTGACAGCGACAGGCACTGTCATTGTGAACATGAGGACTGACGTCATTGGCACCGATTGGCACAGAGCGGAAGTAGAACGGAGAGAATGATTTCGAATCCCGCCCACGCGCTGGTTGTCGAACCTTCACATTGACAATCGAAATACAGCAGAATACAGCACCATAGACTGCGACATCCATCAGCCTCAGGTCGACATCATCTATAGACCCTTGATCAACTATTCCATCAGATTTCCTGCTTTCTAGGACCTCATGGCCCGGAAGCATTGCCCTAAGTAAGCATTTACCAATCCTAGAACTTCATTCACTTTGAGTGACTGTGATAGGTTTGAAGGCTCCACCGGCCTCAGCGCTCAGCCACGGTGACCTCCGTCGCTGGTGCGCCATGCGTTCTTATATAGATGCACCACCGCAGTCGTGGGCCATCGTCTACCTAGTGGCGTGTGATGCTGTCTCTCCATTCAATCCGCTTATTGATTTTTGGTCGAGTACCAACCTCATGCTATCGAATCTCGTAGAACATTCGCTGCGCATTCAGTTTCTGACTGATGTTCTCGAAGCTCTGGGCTCCCATTGGCTTCCGACGGCAAATAAATTGGTTGGTCCTAGCTTTGACCTTGAGTTTGATCGAGGAGGATCAAACTCCCACATGAATGGTAGGCAATGAAAGATGCCTGTCGCCCTTATGCCGCAGCATATACATGTCTTTGAAACCCTATCCAGACGGCTGGGATGCCTTGATCAGTCTTTGGACTGCGCTGGGCGCTGCTTGGCACCATATCATATATAGCCATTCAAGACAACACTTCTTGATTAGATTCGTAGAAAATCGACTTAAACCACTCCCAGTCACAGATTTTATAACCCGCCAACGGCGAAAGCAAATTTTGAAGCTTCGGGTGAACGTTCACTTCTCGTTTGCGACGGAATGTCTATATTGATTTCATTATGCGACCAGAAAAAAGTACATATGTTGGACTATGAACATATGATGCAAAAATGTTGTATTTTTATGGCCTGTGAAGTGTCTATGATATAAAGACAAGCAATCGAACACTCGAAGCCGAATGGGCCGACTTCGAAGAGGGCCGGAGTACCAATCTTGATAGTTCTTGTTTGATGACGAAAGCTACATATTGAAACAGAAGGATCAGCGGGAATATATGTCTGGAACATTGTGCGCCACTGCTTCTCGGTTCCTGCCCTTCATAAAGATTGGCACGCTATGTACGCCATAACATCCGGGGTCAGACACACTCAACATCACCTCACAAGTGTTATGTACTCCCAAATAGTGTGTAACTGTTGTTTCCCTATCATGTGCACATAGGTAGTCGATGTTGTTGCTCAATATGAAGTGTTGTAAGCAGAGGGTATCGTAATATGAGCGATTTTTGGGACTACTTCAGCTCGTGTTTATAAGGCTCCTTTGCTGGACATAGTAGGCGTTAGGACTAATAGAGATGTTTTTCGCCAACTAATGCAGAGATTGCCATGTATAGATCCCACTAAGGTACGCCTCTCATGCGACCGGCGACGAGCCAAGAGTTCAGGCCTATATTATAAGGTTCAATTGAATTGAGATAGGGCACATAGCAACGGCGTGCTGACACTGCGTCAGAATGTCATCCTCACTAGCTTCCGGGGTCGAATTTGGTCGAGGTTAATCACTGTTGGGTGCAGGTGACCTTTCTAAGGCGCGCCCCTGGCGCGCCCTTGCCATGTCGGGTTGTGCCCCGAAAGTGCATAAGCGCAATCAGTCATCTGCAACCCCTCAAGACTCCAGGCCGCCCCCACAAATCCCTTTTTCATAACAATCTAGCACCCACAAACCCCGAAGCTGTGCCCGGTCTCCGCACACCAACGAACGTGATCGACTCGGGTCCACGTCAAATTAGCTTTGCTGTGCCTCCGAGAATGCGGGGAAAGAAGATGAACTGAATGCAAGTTACTCATGCAAACGTTGTTTTGCATTTTCTCCCGACCCCGCAAGGAAGTCGTCCGATCGCAATCCCCGCATTAAGCAGCGAGCGATCAATTCAAAAGAGAACAAAGATTTTATCACCGAACCCCCGTGTAGAGTTGTACTGGAGGACGCTGGAGACCATGGCGACAAAGTACTTGTTGGTTGCAGTCCAGGTCGGAGCATGGGTCCAGATCTACTGGCCGGCCCCGCCCATACTTAACCCGATCATGTCTAGCGGTGAAATACCGATGCGGGACTTTATCGTGAACTCGGTCAGCGTCGGCAGAGGTATTTGATAACCGTGCCCAGTGACTGAGTAGTCTTTCAAATATGCACAGTGATCATCTTTACGTTTGCCTCGGCCGGCGGGTGCTCGCTCGCGATCGACCTTGCCTTGCGCATTATTTCAGAAAACACCGTGGCCCGAGCAAGGCCTGAGTACCAGACCCGACGATTGACATATAGCGCCCCCCGAAAATCAAATTATATCATAACAAATTCTCGGATGAGTCTCAGGTCCTACATTTGTCGCGCCCAGTGGACCCAGACCAGTTCCACGCCCTGACCATGATTGACGCGACAAAATCGTTGACACTGCTGCAGAATAACTTTGGGCCGGGAAGCTGGCGCCTGTCGGCGTCCAACACCGGCATTTGCGAAAAGGCGATGAACGCGGCACTTGCTTCGTCTGCAGACCAAGAGTATCATGATGTATACCTTACGTCAAAACAGCCTGAGCGCTTAGTACGGCTGATGCGCATATGCTCACCCGTAAGTACCGCACTGGGTCTGAGTCAATCGCCGGCTTCCACGGTACTCTGCGTCGATTGATCCTTCAACAACGTCGATCGGCATCTGCGGTGGTCAATCCATCACTCGAGCAGCCACGCACAGCCGGAGTTTGCACCCGCCAACTTACGTCGAGCGCGCGTGCTGGTCGCGATCTGGACCTGCAACTTGTTGTTCGGGCCCGTCAAGTTCGGCTTCAACGCTGCTCCATCTGCATTCAGGCCACGATGCATCAAACCTCCTCGTGGACGAAAATGAATCATGATTTTCACGGCATTCACAAGTGGAGACCTTTTGAGACTCGAAATCACATCAAGGTGGTGATGGTGAACGGATGCATGTTATTATTCCCATCCTTCCAAGATAGCACTATAAGGCGTTTATGGTTTCTGTCTATCTAATATGACTAGTTGATGCTAAAGCGTGGCAAAAAGAAACCAAGAAGTGTGCTCGAAGCTAACCCGAGCGACGTATAGCAAAAGGCAAGAAAGATCATTGTGGCGATGGTGGGGTACGTGAATGATGAACAGGAGAGCTAATGATGAGAAAAAAGAAGACCGACATCTAAGTGTGTGTATGCGCATATATACAAATGGGATGCTGAGGAGATTGAGGAGTGATGATATGGGTGACGAGGAGAAAAATGAATGTGGGATTGATGCGTGCGAGAGAACATGAAAAGGGAGGGAGGGAACGTTGAAGAGGCTCGTGCGAAGCTGCAAAACACGAATATGCAGTGAAAAATAATGTCCCAATTAAACAAGATCGAGTGATCTTGCATGCAATTTTGGTCATCGAACCGCTGGACTGTGAAGCACGTTTTGCGCGATACGAGTCGAGAGAAGAGAAGATGCGAGGAGGAAAAAAGAGTCTGTCAACCACGGATGATCATGCATCGACAGCGCGGACACCGCGACGTCCTCGCGCACCGCTCCACTGGGCTCCAGCAGGCCGGCGACGAGGCTTGGTCTTCATCTGGACCATGGAGCAGCTTGAGGAGTCGGATTGATAATCAACGGGGTCTGGGCAGCGTGTATAACAAGCACGCGTCGGCGGTGAGGGCGCCACGAGGATGTCAAAGTCGTCTTCACACTCGCCAGTTCGGCATGAGGGAAACATGACGGGGGTCGGCGTATGGGAGCTTTCACACCTGGTATCCTCCTTTGAGAGTGCGAAAGAAAGAGGGACTATTGAGGAAGGCTTGCGCTCAGGCTTGCGCTCACGGGCAGTCAGCGGAGGCGACTGGAGCTGAGCAGGAGATGTCGAACGCCGTGGGCGTTGGAGCCGAGCGGGTTGGTGAGAGGCATACTTGAACGGCGGTGGTGATGAAGATGGAACCTTATCCTCTTCATATTCCCAGCGGTGGTCAGCCTTATCAGACTTGCTAGGGTGTACCCACGCCTTAACATGGGTGGCGATGGCAGCAAAGCCGAAACTGGAGGAACAATCGGATGGGGTGGCGATGAGCGGTTCGGACAGGAGGGAGGTGAGGGATGTGGAGGCACCGCTCGTGCTGGCGATCATGTCACCTGAGGTTGAAGAGCGTTTGTTGATAGCGCTCGCTTGAGCTGCCACCGGGGTGGGGTGGGCGACAGGAGGGCGAAACTGAGCAGGCGTAGAGACACAGAGGGTAGGAAGGGGCGTGGTGGCAGAAGTCCGGTTGATCAGTTTTGGCTTCTGCTGGGGACGGGGCGAAGGGGAGCGGCGGAGTGATGGCGAAGCACGTCTTGGGATTTGAAGGACACAAATAAGCTCCTCGGGACAATCGTCGGAGAATGGATCGATAGGTGCGCCTGCAGGATCGTTGGAGGGGATGGCAGATACCCATCTCCTTATACGGGAAGAGTCGACGGGAGTCTCCGAGACGTTGTTCGAAGGGGAAGGATAGATGGAGATGGAGGAAGAAGTGGAGGCGAGCGGTTGGGCGGGCTGCGCGGTTGAGAAGCAGTCGGCCGAGCAATAAGGGGCGTGCGGGGAAGCATACTCCTGGACGGTCGCGTCAGTGTTTGGCGGAGACAGGGTGGGGTGGAGTGTATGCGAGAGGGGAGATAGACTCACGATGTGCTTCTCGCAGGAAAGACACCAATCAATGTCCATAGGTGCAGGAGTCGCTGGCTACGACAGATAAGGGGGGGCAGTCGTCGTCGGGGATGGCGTCGGGAGAGATGAGCGAGAGGGGACTATCACTTTAAAAATCTGGCAGCAGTGGAAGACGAAGGCGATTCTTATATGTGCCACAGCCCAAATGAAGGGTCCCCACTGAGGCCCTCAGATCCAGATCGCCCCGATCCACTCTCACCCCAATAATTATTAATTACTTGTCACCTCGATATACGGTACCTAAATAAATAATTTGTCCCCCTGAGTCGACCTCGCAATGCCCGATCGACCGCTCTGGCTCAAATCAGGTTAGCTTCCTCGTCTCTTCTCTGGGCACCCTCCCGCGCAACTCGGCGCCCCCCTGACGCGATATGTTGCACAGCTGCCGCCAGTGTCCGCCATCCTCAAGCATCGCCCGCCCTCTTCCTATCCCACTTCATCCCTTGACTCCGCAGCTCCAACGTGCGAACTCGCTGATTATCAGACTCAAGCTGAGAGGATACAGCCGACGCCCCATCCGCATCACGCATCAAGCCCACGCCTGGTGTGCACCCCTTCCTGGCCTTCGCGAAGCAGTCTCTTTCCAGTAGCATCGGTGAAAATAAAAGCAGCCGCAAACACAACTCACATCACAGGCACACAGTAGCCACAACAACTACAAGCTCTACCAAATAACACCTGATTTGGCAGGAGATCCAGACGCAGATCGAGAAATGTCAAGATGGACTGCCGGTGCCGTGCTTCACGCTCCCGCCACTAACGTAAAGGGGCGGGCGCGACACAGTCTCTGACAAGAAAAAGTGGAAGGACGCGTCGAACGATGCTTAAAATCGATCGATACCCTGTTGCAATCGGCGGTAAAACGTAGCTGTCCCAAGAAAGTTTTTTATGGACGACTCCTTCGTCAGAGCACAGGCACCCTCACTTTGGCTCGCACGGACACGCACAGAAGCACCTCCTTCCTGCTGCGCGGAGTTGAAAATTCTGCTGAGTTTTGGGTCGGAGTCAGACGTGACCAGGGGGGCGCGCTGTCATCACACGGTGCTCTTTTTGGACCGAAGAAGCTTCCGCCGCTTCATTTGCCAAATGCACGATCAGCGCCTGCCAAAAGTAGGCAGCAAACTTTGGACCGCATCATCTATCCTTGTTCGGTGGGTCCGCTCTCACCGCCCCTAGTCGCGAGCCAATGCCACCGACGAAACACGTTCCATGATGCGCGCGCATCCCGCCCCGTTCCTGCTCTCGTCCGACCGCCCACTCCGTCTCGGAGAAACTGCAAATCGGCACCCACTAGAATACATAATTCTTCATCAGCAGATTTATTGCTGACTCCTGTTCTCTGCCTCGTCTGCCGTCATCGGGAATCTAACACCGTGCGTCGCTCCCCGAGCCAACGCGACGGGGCAGCATCATGATCCTTCCGGAAACCTTAGCTAGGCTGCCGCCCAAAGCTTGTCGGTCTCCGTCGGTGACCACACCGACCTGCCCGCATTGCCGCTGCCATCGTCGTTTCCAGATGTGATCCCAACTCCCCACACGACTTTGATATCCTTGACAACGGCGAAAAAATCTCGCTCGTACCATGAACGTCGGACGACTGTGCATGCATAATATATCCGTCGCTGAGTTAGGCTAGGCATATGACGCTGGCCAAGTTAATGGACGCTGATCTTGCATGAAACTAGACAATTAGGTTCCGTTTCTATTGAAAAACATATAAAATGTGATTATAGAGCATATCGTGCAACCCCCTGGAATATGTCTACATGTCTTCGAACCCCTCCCCCCCAAAAGATCCATCTTCCCCATCCTTTGACGCCCAGCTCGCCGCACAACTTTCTACGACCGATCTTTCGCCTATTGCTAGTCCAAGCGCAGTGCGCGTCCGCCGCATCCATGTAGGCGTATCCTGTAAACCATTGTTAGCAATGCACGTATCATAAAAATTTCGGACCGTGGAAGGAATGCTAGCATTGCTGTATAGATAGATCAGCCCTGCAGCGGTCTGTAGGGAAAGGGGTTCTACAAATGCCTTCCACAATGAGAGAACAATGCGACAATATAGGCAAAAGCCTCCCGTGATTGCCACCGTCATGACTCGGACGAACAAAGAAGAAGTAAGAACAATGGTAGCTTGTCACAATATTATCACATAATCACAGATGTGAGGCGAGTCAAGCAGCAAACCGAGAGACAACGTGAACGAGACGGCCGTCGACCCGTTCTGGCGGGGCGGGCACCGACGGTTGCCAAATAAAGCCCACAAAGAACGCAGTCATGCGCCACCGTGGCAGTGATTAAGATGGCTGAGGTCACGTCCATAGTAAAAAGGACAAAATGAACCAGAGCCAGGGAAAGAGAAGAACGGCGTTCATAACAAGGAACAACCATTGTAGCACAGCGGCACAGCATGATCAATGTCTGATCATCATAGCACAAACTGCAAGGTAAAACAGTATCCTTGTTGTCCAAACGCTCAAAGGAGGTGGCTTTCGAAGCCGCCGACGGAAATTGCGCTTGCCATGTGCCAACAAAGCGTCACTGATCGTGCTTCGATGTCCAAATGAGCACCGAGCACAGCAACCCGCATTCCTCCCTGCCCTCGGGCCTCCCGCCTCGGAGAAAATGTGAGGGAGGTGCAGGGTATGCTTCTCGATGGACCAAACACGATCAGATCCAGTCGCGGCCGACTCGTGCACGCGTACACCCCATTCACACAGGACCCCCTTACCTGGTCCAACAAAAATTGATGTGAAATATCAAAGGATAAAAAAAGAAACAATCGAGTCAGCTTGCCCGCCCACGGGCACCCTCACGAGTGCGCGGGCAATCGAATTGTAAGAAGCAGATGAAAAGCGAAAGGACACACGACTGGTCTATGAAAAGGGTTACTCACATCAAGGAGGTCGCCCAGCTGAGCGGCGGTCATGCCGTATCCTTGTTGTTCCTCGGTAATTGCTCCGAGCGACCGATAGCGTTCTTGACATAGGAAGACGACTACTCGTATGAGGGACGTCCCAATGTTGCAGCAGATTTCGCGTTCGCTCGGGGACAACGGGGTATCTTTACCCGGACGCTCGGCGGAGACCAGTGAGGCATCTGAGGCATCGTTCAAGTAGAGTTCAGCCACATGTCGTCTCTGTGGGTATAATGTTTCAAGGAATAACAGTGGACCACGTACCTTGATCTAACTGGAATTCTATTTCTTTCCTATCAGTTACCTCACTTGAAGGTCCTACTGGACATGTCCGCGTCACGCGTTCGCCGCCATCGCGGTCAAGACGTGCCCTCTTTGAAGGACGCTCTTCTCCGGTACCCACGACCATGCCGCCAAAGCCTTTCGGGGGACGGTCGGCTGACCCGAAGGAATTTACCGCAGCACCGGCCACATCCCGAGATCTCGAGCTAATGATTTCGCTCGAGTTTGTCTCTTCGTGTTCCCCAGGAGACCCCAAGAGGTTCTCAGCTTGCCCATCTCTGGAACCACGAGCTGATAGAGCGCCTAGTCGTTCCCGAAGAAGGACCTTAGTCTGTGATCAGAAAACAAGGTTAGCTCTTGTAAGATCTTCGTTGCCATAGGCCCGCCTACAAATTCCTCGTTCGGGTGGTCTAGATCGAAGGAATATACTCACGTTACGCTCATTCTCCGCAGCTTTCAGTTCCTCGTCTTCGATACATTCAATCTGTTCCTCCTCAACGGAGAGTTCGAAACCTTTCTCGACCCATTTTTGAATGGCCAGGAACAGCGTCTGTATTCGGCCGATCACGTCTCGGAAATTGTCACCGGAAAGCGCTAGCAGCGAACCCAAGTCTTGCAAAAGAGACGGAGGATGGACTGGGGTCACGTGAGTATCGCGTGACGAGTGTATCGAAGTTGCAAACGCCGCAACGACGATGCAGTATAGCCACAAAGGGTGTGATATCTTGCCGTCACAGCTCACGATGAGGTCCAACGAGTCTAGGGCTTTGATTTTGGGGTGCTCCGTGCTCTCGCGATGACACGAGGGAGTGTTGTAAATCAAGGGTCCGGTCTCTTCGTCTTCTTCATCCCAACGGGGTTCAAAAGGCCAAGCGCCAGCAAGTGTCTTGACAGTCTCGATGATCGAGGTAGCAACGCTGTCTAGACCTGTGTCCAAAGGCACTACGTTAAGTGAAATAGGGACGTATGAAAGTGTAATTCATCTGCACTTGCCCTGGAAGAAAGCTGATGCTCCAGTGATGGCCGAGCTATCTTCGAGCTTAACGTCATTCAGCGCACTGCACGCTTTCGTAACGCCTCGATCTAGAAGGCCGTTATGACCGTGAGCTTTGCGTCCTAATAAATGGACCTTTCCACAGACCTGACAGACGCTCAAGCACCACATTAACGTCAAGATCGCACGCCGCAGCAAGCAATCTTGCAATAAGATCTTTGTTTGAGAGTAAGGATCCTCCGCTCGAATCACAAGTATTCACATTGACGACGTCGAGATCGTTACCATCAAGGACGAAACCGTAACGCGCGAGGAGGGTGGCGTTTGGAAGCGATCCATAGGTATTGAAGACCTCGCTATTCGGCGGTATAGGAAGAACACTGTGCATTTCCATCACATCCTCTGCTTCGCTAGATGTAATTTCCATGCGGAAGGGAGGGTACGCTGCTCGATCCGCCGAGCCGCTCAATTCGCGACTGGGCTCATTAATGTGCTCTTCCCTGTCGTGTTGGCATTCCACGAGCGAACCACACTCGACGCAAACATCGTAGTCGCTCTAAAACACGGTGTATGATTAGTACCGCTTCGCGTCAAATGAGAAAAAGCAAGGTGAAGTAGAGTGTAGCGTAGCTTGTAAGAAGATTGATGTGGAGCACCACAAGAGACCAGCTGAAATACAGTGGTGCAACGTTAGGTTTCCAGGGAATGGAGAGGCATTTCCGCGGACGCAGTGCACGGCGAATGATACGGATACGAGAGGAACCCGAAGACCCGGAGGCGCGCCTCGACGCAGAGCAGCGGCAGCGCATCGGGATATGCGTTGACTAGAACGGGAACGAACCTCGAGATGTACTTGGTTGTCAACGGTGTGATTAAACCTTCAAAAGCAATCAGTGGTCTGAGTCTCGGAACTGGATGCAGATCGAGCTTCGATGTTCGCCAAAATCAAAACGTTACGTGAGGCGCGCACGCTTCTCGAAGGGCGATCGCGTCCCCGAAGAGACGCGCTCTAGTCAAATTAGAGTGAGGTCTGTGGGCCGCCCGTCCTTCTCCCGCCGGGATGCGACCGAAGAGCCACCGAGCGTACCCGCTGCTCAAAAAGGAGGAATAGCAAACAAAGAAAGGATACATCAGAGCGGGAGGCGCCAGCAGCCTTTGCCGGCGGCAAGTGGGAAAGAAATTCAGGGATGCGCAATGCATGCGCGCAACGGGAGAAGCGACGCTGCCAGCAACCCCGCGGACGCTTCGGCGGCGCTTAGTGCTGTACGAATAAGGACAACACTTGTCCATAGCCCTTGCACCATGCTAAGCCTTGGCAAGCGGACTCGGAGTTGGAGCACGGCAGGAAAATCAGTATACCGAATGTGCATGCGCAAGTATAAGCCCCTCTTCCGAGGATAAGCATGCGTGGACAGAAGTATGAATCGACCACTGTGGGGCTTATAAGTCCCCTTTGGGGAATCCTCGCAAGTTGCGTTCAGTCTCAATATAGGATGTCGTCGAGTATGAAGCGATCGCGTCGATCAATCGAGGACATGGTGCCAAAACGAGTATGCAAAACCGATCCCATCGCTTCAATGCTCGGAGGAAAAAGAGTGACTCACGCATCAGCTACGGGGACCATCGCTAGCCCATGAAACGAGTCGACCCAAAAAGCCCGTGATGACACGAGTGAATAGGCATAGTAGAAGAGCCGCGTCCTTCCTTCCGAATCCTGAATACGTCAAAGATGCAGACCCACGATGTCAGTGGGCACATCTCCAGGCCTAGAGCAATCATCTTACGGTCGCAGCAGACATCTCAGGAAAAGCTTCTCGCAGTACAGGACCGGCATCCTCAGCAATAAAGCACTCGGTCTTAGTCTAGGTGCGAGTGTTAGCAAGCCCTTCAATAATCACATAACTAGGTTCAAATAGGCCAAGCAGGAAAGTGCAGCATGTTGATGCCATTCAATGCAAGCTATTCGAAGCCTGAGGCTACGGATAGCAAGCATTTCATGGATCAAAGAGATCAGTCATATTAGGCACATTCGACTGTGCACCCGGAATGGACCGCAGAGACCAGTCCCACTCAAACCAAGAATAAGCCCCAGCACGGCCTTCATATACCGTTGAAGCGGTGGAGGCAACCTGGCTTGGAGATAACAATTCGGTGCTCCTGTCCGCAAGCTCATCAAGAAGCGACAGGCTGAGGAGAGCCACATGGGAATCTCCGAGATTACTGGGGCTATAAGTCACTCTCGGAGATCTGCGATCAAGCAGAAGACGACAAATGAAAGAGATTGCATCGAACAAAGAACCAGAGCATCCGATGCCAACGTAGGCCACCAAACCTGGATTGAACGTGTATCACCACTTACCGATAGACCGAGGATTTCACTATTGACTTCTGTTTGTTTTAGCCACGAGATGGCTTCGGACCCATCCCACCGGGCATCGCACGCTGAACATCCACTTTGCGTTGGCCAGATGACATCATGTTCCCTGGATCGTGCCGAGTCACTCTTTGTGTGTTCTTCTGCTTCTGCTTCTTCTTTTTCAGTGTCTGACGTCCATTGTTTACGCCCTTCGCAGGTGTGAGAGCCAGTGGCGTGTGTAGAGCCCCAAAGCAATGGGATGTCCACAGCATTCTGTGGCAGGCTGCGGAGGTAAGCGTACCAACGAGATCGTGGGCCACGCAACCTTCCAGACAGACAATGGAGGTGATGTCCGATTGGTGAACAGGAGAGGGACGAGATCCCGCGTTTCACAGGCACAATCGGTTCAGTTGCCAACGAAGAGTGGTTGGACGTGGATTGTGCGTTACGCCGGCGAAAAGGGACGTGAGAATGACAGCAAAAGACACATGCATGATGTCGTCAGCAACAGAAGGAGCAAGGATAGCGGAGTGATACTTACAACTCTCCGCATACAGCCAGCGCCAACATGAGGTGGGCTTCATGGCCGTACGGAACGAAGGTTAGGTAGCTCGCGAGAAAGCACGACCTCACTGACAAGACCACGCGCTTCGGTATGTGAACGACTGAAGGAATCGATCAAAAAAACTGTCAGATAATAAGCTTCTAGGGTGTGGTCTGGAGCTTCAGGATTTAGACTTCGAGAACCAAGTGGTCGAGGCGTGTGTGATGTCAGAACACGCTGTCATCGTAGCCGTGCCAGTGGCAAGGAGCATGCAGCTTCAATACACGGCCGTAGAACGAAGTACTCAGTGCCGCATCAACAATTTTAATAGGGAGGATTTGGATGGATAACAAGTGGAGCAATTGACTCACGGGTAACGCCAGACTCGATGTATTGATCCTTGGACTTTACGAGAATCTCGGTGACTTGGCTACGAGCATCAGATTCGGACTCCTGGTCCTGGGTGTCATGTATTGAACCACTGGGCGTGCAGTTATGGCGGCCTGATGACTGTACGACGGCGATGCGTGGATCGATGTGAACGCCATTGTCGCAACACCAAGCGAGCAAGTGAGTTACAGCATCTTCCTGCATTCGGTCCCAGTGAATGACGGCTGCAGCAGCCAACGTGCAGTCGTCTCACGTGGAAGCGAGAAGAGGGGCGAACAAGGGAAACACAGGTCGGGAGTTGCCGACGGCACAGTTGACTGGGTCCGCTTGATGGACCATGCAGCTGGCAAGAAGGGTGATCCTCAACCAAGCGACGCAAGCCAGCTTCTTTGCACTTCCTAAAGCTGCAGTTGCATGGCCGTGGTGGCGCAACGAAGGCGGCCATGGGAGTACAATGGCAGTGGACATCAGGATAACTACAAATTTGGACTTAGCTAAGACTTAGCCGGGACTTATCCCACCGAGGGTGAGAGCACACACACCAACTCGTCGACGCCCCCCGAGTCCGAGGAGAAAGATCAACGGCTGCTTGCGCATCCGGAGCAGAAAACGAGGGAGCCTATTCTCGACCCCGGCCCCAGAAATAAGCGATGGGTTATGTGCCTTTTTATTTACAGACATGCAACGGAAGACGAACTCCGTTGAACGGTGATGCACGGCGCACGCAGTCCCTGGACTTTGGTGAACTTCTTCACGCGTCATGGCCTACTCAGTAGCAGGTTAAAACCTGTGAATTATCAAGAAACAAATATCTACACTATTCTCGTCTCACCCAGTACGTACTTAGTCCTGCTTATCTTTACCCGCCTTCGCTCCCGGCTTCCCGCCCGCCTCCGCAGGCCGCGTCTTCTTCGTTTTGCGCTCCTCCTCCTCGAGCTTTGCAAGCTCCTTCGCCATAGCACGCGCCGCGTATTCTTGTCCTCCCTGTTCCCAAAACACAACACAAAAAGAGGGGGCGCATCAGCAAAAAAAACTCGAGAGAGGCATAGCGGCACAAAGGAAACCACGCGCGGCAATCACGTCTGCCCACACCCACTGCACGGAACGTCGCTTCGAGTCCAAATATGGATCACTGACGACATGTCCCCCAAGAGCCTGAGTCAAGGGGCCAGTCCAGACCTAGCCATCGAGCCAGGGTGATGACGGACAGGTGCCTAGGGCACAATGGCAAAAACCTCGCAGCGAACTCTCACCTGAAGGACTAATATAGCACCCAATACAGCAATCATAATCGTGTTTCCGGCAGAAAGCACTCGCATAGCTTCGATTTGGTCCGCACGCGTGTCGACGCCTTCGACGGGGGTGACGATAGTGCGCAGCGAGGGAACGGTCACAGCCAGGTAGACGGAAATGGCAAAGATGTACGCGGCTAGGAGAGGGGCGTTGAGGGCCGAGGTCGCTGGGTAAACGGTGGGGTCTGCTCACCAAGGCTGGAACCATCGAAGAACATGGCGCTCTCATCCCATATGCTCAGCTTCCCCACTAGCGCTAGGATGCCAAAACCAATGAAACCATGCAAGAGGGCCTGGAAGGAACGTTAGAACACACAGGATGTTGGGTTTCGTTAAAGAGATAAGAGTACCTTGATAGCGGGAGGAGCATTGAAGAAGGTGGTATAGAACTGGAAGCCGTTTTCGACAACCTCTTCGGTGAGGTCACCGAAAAGAACGGGATAGTCGACGAAAAAGCAAATGAAAAGCACGCCTAGGAATAAAAGGGCAATTCAGCACAAAAATATCCCCGCGAAAACGTCATGCTTCACTGACCCAAAAAGAAAGAGCAAGAAGCAAGGACTGCGCCCTGCCGGAAGCCCATGGTTATAACTTTGTGAGTGTAAGAGGAAGCAAGATAGGCTACAGATAAGTAGATGAGAGTGTTAGATAAACCGGGGCTCGTGAAACTCGTGCAAAAGGGACTTGGAGTTGAGGGGACGTGTCAAGGATTCTCAACCAAACAACTTTCGCCCCCTTGATGCGGCTCAGTGTACGGCGCCTATAGCCAAAACGCGTGCCTGAAACGCGCGCCTATGTACAACAAACAATGGATCGTCTGTTTCGTCAGGAGAACTTCACGTCATCACATAGATCCCCTCTTCATATCCTCACAAATCGCCTTACACTCACAAATTTCACAAACAAACGAATGGATTAGGTGAATATAAACACACCAAAAAAGTTGTAAACAACGTAGTATATAGAGAAGTGCGAGGCAAATCAGCGCAACAAGTTCTTGTCAGCTCATGTCTAACCTTAGCACGGCCTTGGGTGGTACAGCGACGGTAGGACTCGGACAAGCAGATTCAGGATCGGTGGCTTCGGTGGAACTTGCACGATGCGAAACAGCCACAGACGAAGGGCGACTTCGAGAGAACATTGACTCGTCGTCTTCGAACTCGATGACCGTGTCAAGCTCTTGAGGTTGTTCTTGGCCACCTTGCGCTTGTAGTCGCTTTCCCAGGTAGCGTTGAACGTGGAGCTCGAGTCTGCCGGACTGCAAACGAGGGCTCGCGATAAGGTCATGAGGATACACTCAAGAAAAAGCTTACCATCCACCAGAGAATGAAAAATAGCCAGCTTGTGATAAAAGGAACAATGGTTAGAACCCTCTCCCGTGCTCCTAAAGAACAAAGTAAGCGTACCTATGACCAGCATTCGTCACCTGCACAGAGCGGATGGCTCCAGTACAACAAAGTATCATCAGGATCATGACGACTAGACAGCGATGAGTGGTACGAAATCTCGTCATGGCAACAAACTTACCTCCCAGGGCGGCACCGCATATATTGACATCCCTCCGTAAAATCCTGGCAAGCTCGTCATCTCCATACGGGTTGCGTACAAGGCGCCACACAGAGAACGACTGGAGGATAATGATGATCGTGAGATTCGTGGCCCTGCAAAACTTCTCGTCAGCGTCGACGAACAGGAGTCCTTCAGTGAGCAGCCGCACATGTACACCAACGCGCCGGGGTGGGCCTCTTCGATGAGACACGACTTGGACAGCCGCGCATGTGGGAAGGAGATGCGGGCACTGACTCCCATGGATGCAGCACTGATAGCGCCAATGATGAGAAAACACCATGAAACAAAGTTTTCCTTGTTGAAAAGATAATAAACTGAATCTCAGGCCAATGAGGCCAATAACTGGAGAATGGTAGGCAACAACTTACTTCTGTTCATCACGAGCACAATTGCGGTAACATTAACGACACCCAATGAGACGGCCTGGTACCAGTACAAAGCCTGGCACGTCCCCGGGCTCGTGTGTGTGCCGGCTACCATTCTTGTTGAGATATACAAGTTGAAACTAGGTTTGGTGGCACAGATATCAGTGGCACTGATGATACAAAGGTGGCGGTGGTGAGCGTACCCTTGAGCGAGCATACCCGTATACCTAACGAGCATATAGACCTTGAGCCGATGCACTTGTTTCGTGAAGACCTTACTAGAATGCCCATAACCAGTTAGGAAGGACTTCGCCACGTCGTAGGGGAACAAAGGCTTACGGCCACACGTAGCGGGCCTCTGTCGGAAGCATATAGACATATTCGGCTACCATGGCTATGAGCGCAGCCACTGAAGCAGACATGCGTTCAACATTATGGAATGGGGAAGCGGGAAGAGGGACTGACTGATCCAGTAGATGATCTGCCGAGTATCGCCTACATCGGACAAGCTACTCATGAATGCTCCCAGTGGCAGGAGGTGGGTAGGTTGAAGACGGTCGGATGGGATGGGGGCAGAGGACAAACGAGGGACTGGAAAGATATGAGAGCTATGGTGGAGGAGTGGGTACCACACAATGATAGGTGGACCAGACATGCGCGTTTTGACCTTTTCCGATGGCCGTTGGGGGTGCGGAAATGCGCGAATAACAAATGTGGTGGTCACGGTGCATGTTTAAAGACGTCGACACGCGCTTATTTGCTCCCGCTTTCGTGATCGGTCCAATGCCCAGATTCAATGTTTCGATTTCAGGGACGGAGTAAGCGACAGGGCGTAAGATCGGGTTACCCAATTCACGTAATTGCATGTGGGTACTTGTTTGTCCTCGGGAAAATCCCCCCTTCGTGCCGGACTCTCAAAACACACCGTAGCAAGAGGACTCACCGCATCGTCCAAGACTCCAATATTTACCGATGCCATCATCGCTCTGCTCGTACTTTGTTCGGCTTAGCCATAGGGGCCGCGACCGGGCAACACGCAATTGGCGCTTCCTAAATATACACCTGTCAACATTTCAATTCGCTCAGGTGCCAGTATGAATACACCCCATGAGCGCTTGTGATGATCTTCGCGGGCCAGATGCAGCTTGGATGCAGCACCGTTTCGTATAACGGAACGTTCCGCAACACACAGTTATCAAGCGGTGATCATGCTAGAAGCCCGACATAAGACCACCTCACTCCTTTCCTCACCAGAAACCACTAGCCCTACTAGCCTGTATGTTGGCCCAACCCCGGTCCAGAAAACCTCAGAAGAGGACGCTTCGTCGAATCCCCAAAAACTCAATTTCTCACCTAACTTTAAGTTAAGCTCGCGGCGTTTGTTGTCGGATGCGTACGCCGCCATGAACACAGCATACCGTAAGGCGCCTTTTCCTTTTTACGTGCTTTTTACCTAAGCCAGTGTCCGGAACGGGGGTAGAGTTTTAGGCATCGTCACACCTGCCAAGGCGCCTATCGAACGTTTGATCATTCATGTGCAGAGAATATGGACCCGCAAACGCCGCCAAAGAAGCCGTCCCGGACGCGAGTATCGCGGAGGCGCGGTCTGATACGGCTTCGCGCAGGCGATAGACTACGGCGAGAACTCCAGGGGCTCGCTGGCACCTCTGCGTCTCTTGGAGCGCATGTCCAGTTGTTCGAGTTTATGTTCCCATTCATCCCTAGTGCGTTCCCTTTTGGGTGTGCACTTGACCCCCGGACTAGCCACTTTACCCCATACTCCCTTGCCCCAGTCGTCGATATCCTTGTGAACCCTGTCCTTTCCAACGGAATCCAAGGCGATGCTGTCAAGGTCACGCAAGGAAAGACCTTCGCGCCAGTGCCTTTCCGCAGGTCGGAACACTTTCGTTATCCGTGGGAAGCGTAGCTCGTAGTACTTCATTGGAGCAGTTAATTGGTAATGGTGATAAGGCACGGGCAGTGGCATGAGCGTCTGTTGTTTTGGGGGGTTGTCGTAACACACACCTTGCTCTGAGATGATTTCGTGAATCCCGCTCCGCACAGTTCAGCCAGCAGCGGCTGACGAACGAAGGCAGAAGGTGCGGGAAGACCGGGCAGAAGACTGTACGAGTACTCAAGTTCGGCGTCCTTGACCTCTTCGTGGTCAACAGTGTCCGATCTAATCCAGAAGTTTAATTCCTCCAGCTGCTCCCTGGACAGGCCGTACGACGCCGTGAAGTACACCTCGAAATGCGGCCGCGTCTCGACCTAAACATGACTTAGCAACTTCCTCCATAAAAGCTGGTAAAAATAACGTACGCCACTCTCCGGCGCCGAGCTGTTGGCTAACACGCCGATATAAAACGTGGTGAACGTCGTGGGGGGCACTGCCAGGAAAGAAGGCAAAGATAATCTGACGCAGCAAGCAAAGGCAAATCACCCAACTTACCCCTTAACTCCCTGCCCCGGTCCTTCTCCCAGGCGGCGGCCACGAGTACGAGGTCAATAGTGTCTCCATATCCCGGGACATAGTCCTTCTTCAGCTGCGGATGTGATGATCAGCACCACGTTCGTGCGTCTGAGCGAACATCAGCGGGCACACCTTGACCCACGGCAGCCTCCTATCGTTGTAGCGGCCGTTGGACGCCTTCAAGACAAGCCCCTCCTCGTGATCAGCAATGCTCTCCGCCCATATCGAGCGCAACATCGGCAGCGAATCGTCTCTGCCGGCTTCAACACTACGACGTTTGGCAAGCATCGAGCGCCCAGGGACGACCTTGATCACAGACTCCAGCATCGAACGGCGGGCAGAATACGGGACATGGAGCAGGGACGCATGTCCGATGAACAGTACGTCGAAAAACACGAGCACCAGGTGGCAATTAGGTTCCGTCCTGTGTGATTAGGACGAAGGATATGATTCGATGCAAGTTATCAGCGTTGCGACATAATCAAGGTCGGTGGCTCGTATCATCTCCGTACGTACGTTTGAGTGTTCGCCACCCCCCCTTCATTTCCATCGTTTCCATTGTTTCGTAGGAACCGCGCTCTGGCCGTATGGGCGGTGTTGGCTATCAGGCCCCCTATGCGCCAGAACTCTGGGGCATGATCAGCGATAGCCAAAGTGGAATATGAGAGCCGGATCAACGCACCATCAACAGCGTCCCTATCCTCAGAATATGCGACCATTTCGGCATCCAGTATAATGTTCTCCCGGTTTCCAATGCTCAGAGCTTCCAGAATAATCCTGAAGGAGAACAGACAGCGTTGAGAAGAAGAAAAAAGATGTGAATCGCAGCGGACGGGTCTCACGGATGAACGGCGGCACGGTCCTCAGTCGAGTCACGCTTGCTTTTACTAAAAATCTTGATGCAAGGTCCATCGTCGGTGTACCGGACGTGGATCTGCGCACGCTCCCCGTCATACTTGGTCTCAGCCCATATGATGTTGGCGTCATCAAGTATACTCAAAGCATGAGCAACTCCTCTACCCTTGGCACTCTTCGGAATCTTCGCGGAAAAAGTTATGAGCATGAATAAGACAGCAACGCACGCCCCACCCACATTAATCATCGAACCGACCTGTGGGTGCGTGTCGAGCGTGTAAAGGCTGGCTTCGTGTCCCAGCGCGGCGTGATTCTCGTCAGACCGCATCTCAAACACACGGGACATTCGGCCGCTGGGGTCCCAGGTCCACATAAATTGCGCTCGTGTCAGCGTCCTGATCGAGCGCGCGTTAAAGTCTACCAGCGCACGTGTACTGTGCGAGCCGGGGGTACAGTAAAGGAGCGGTCGAAGATCCTTGAGAATAATCTGGGTCACGTAGCAGGCCTCGGGCCCCGAGAGGGAGCCGTAGAGCGAGTTTAGTACCGCCCCTTTTGTGCGCCGAGAAGTGGCACTCCTGTCCACAATATCTTGACCGCTAAAATGCGAGGAGCTTGCGAGTTCGTCAAGCAGCACGTCCACGTCAGATACCGTCAGAGTGGAGTGAGGCTGGCCTCATGGTAAGCACGACACAGCACGAGGTCCCGGAAAGGCGGCGTACAGTTGACCCCTTAGCCAGTCGCGCGACCTCTAAACCGAGACAGCCCGTGCCCTCCCAGTTTGACCAGCCCGTGAGACGTGCCTTGGTTGTCGGTGCGAAGTTGGCCGGATTCAGACACGCGCTGATGTACTGCGCCAGTCGGGGTTCCTGCAGGTCGTATCGACGGTGGGCGTCGTCCTCCGGGAACAGAAGCCTCTGGATCCGGGCAGCCACCTGAGGCGATTGAGTGGCATAGCGTTTCCTTAGTTCAGTAATCCAGTCACGCAGTATTGCGAGTGCCGGATGGGCTCCACGCGCTGACTGAGGAGCCGACGCGTCTTTAGGTTTGATACGCGCAATTGCCTCGAAGAGAGAGACAAGACTGTGCAGGTAGTAGTAGGTAAGGGAAAACCCCAAAAAACGCGTGCATATAGGGAGCGCACAAATGGAAGGGCACCTCGGCTTTGCTGTTGCCGCTCATTGGCTCGCTGATAGAGCTGGGAGATCGAGCGTTGAGATAGGTAAGTGGCAGAGTAAGCACATTGTCCTCCCTGTATGTACAGGAGCTTGCGGCCCTTTACGCGATGCGGGGCAGACAATGAGTTTGACAGGGTGAGACAAAAGAGTGAGTCGTGACTGTCCCAGTTTATCGCCGGCATTCGCCGAACGTATTCGTCAATCTTTCGGTGGCTGAGATCGACAGCCACTCCGAGCGCTGACATTTTAATTTTTAAGACTTAAGTACTCGACAGGATCTGTCCTGGTCAGCTCGGGCGCTCTATGTGGCGCTATATCAAGGTAAGCAGATACGCGCCCAGTGAGCTCTTAGACTGATTGCACCGGGGACTCACAACCAAGACTCAGTCTGCCCAGACATATACATGCTACTACCAGAATGTAGAATATAATGGCGCAGCCTCAGTCAGTCTCTCTGTGAGTCTTCAACCGAATTGATAGGCTATGACAAAGCTACCACGGTAATCAAACCACGACTCCTTGCTTTCGCCCTCGTTAGCCTTGTGCAGAGCTATAACATGGCCGACGGACGTATATGGCCTGCTGAGAAAACTAGGCTACCGAGTAACCGAAGACTATCGTGACTACGCGCAGCCCACTGACTTCTGCACATCCAGGTTCACAGAATCTGTTACAAGCCTCAATGCATGGCCTGTGACCTGCAGACACTGATTATAACGTCTAGAAAAAGAACGTTGTAGGGTCCGAAGATGCCAAACAACACTAAAATATCCCGTTCGCGATTGAGATTGTATTTTGCTCTGCCTTCGATGAGGGCAGTGAATGTTCGCGATCTTACTCAAACCTTACTTATGATGAATGCGAGAGCCCAAATCAACATCAAAGAAAGCTGAGAGCTTTTATAACGCCATCGGTTGTTATTCGTCCCAACATGCAAGTGTCACAACAAAAAAGGCAGTCGTATAATAAAGGCAGTCGTAGTATCCAAGAGCTCGCTAATTTCCCACAACTCTCCAGTCCCACCAGAATCTCCAGCTCCGGGTCCCTAGAGTCCTTTGTCAGTAAAGAGAAGAAACAAAAATTCACCTTCAAAGTGACCTTCCCGCCAGCCCGCCCGGTCACTTTGCCGCCAGTTAGTGACCACTATTTGTTTATCGGCGACCCTAGTGCATCCCATCAGCTAAAGGCAAGAACAAGAAATAACTCACCTCCAAAGTGACCTTCCCGCCAGCCCGCCCGGTCACTTTGCCGCCAAATAGTGACCACTTGTTTGTTTACCGGCGACTAGCCTGGCTCAGCCATAGGCAGGAACAAATACGCACCTCCAAAGTGACCTTCCCGCCAGCCCGCCCGGTCACTTTGCCGCCAAGTAGTGACCACTGTTTGTTTACCGGCGACTAGCCTAGCAGAAATGATCCCGTCAGCCCCAGTGACCTTCCCGCCGGCCCACCCGGTCACTGTGCCGCCAATCAGTGACCACTGATTTTGTTCTTCCCCGGCGACGAGCTAGGACTCTCAATCAGCCAGAGACAAAGGCAACAAGCGACTCACCTTGGGGGCACTAGCGCCGGCCATTGGGCGTGCAAGCGGGCAAGGATCGGATCTCGACGGATATCGGTTAGTGACTCGGAGACTGCCCCGCGACAAACGTAGTCAATGGGTCCAGCCGAGCACATCGCCACTCCAGAGATCAACAATCCCGCTGTGCGAGCAGGTGGTAAACCCGGCCAGCGCCGGGCGGTCTGCGCCGCGGTCAGGTGCGGGCAGCAGGCTCGACGTGCGCGCGCGTTCCCGACGAAGCGCCAGTCGCAGCAGCAAAAGCTCGCTGACGACGTGGGGACGCGAGAACACGGCAGCACGGAGACGACCACTGCCGACACCGTCCCACACTGCATGTGCAGACCGACCAGGCCCCATAGGACCGGCGGAGGAGAGGGAGAGGTAAGAAGGAGAGAGGTGGGGGAGAAGAGATGGGGAAGGTGGGAGGGAGAGAGGTGCTGGAAGAAATGGGCCAACGCAGGCCCCTCTATATACCTCTCAGCACTGGGTGGCTGGTCTGAACACGAATTTCCTCGGTGAGCAGGATGCAGCTGGCCGCGGGGCTAGCTGTACGTCTTGACAGCGCACTAGAAGCCAGTCTGAATCGTAATGACGCGCGCTAAGGATCGCCACGGCAAGAGCCACACCAGTCGTCGAGTTGTGCATGGATTCCGCTGGCCACAGGACAAGTAAGAGGCAGAGTCGACTCAGAAACGAGCAGGCAGCATAAACGTGGAGTACATGCGGGGCAGAGGAGGAGGGGAGCTGTCTGAAAGGCAGCCCGGTTGGATCGGCGAGCACCAGAATTCCATAGACGAAAAGAGCAAAGGCATTCTAGACAAGATTCCAATGGCGGGCTGGGCTCTGAGTCGGCTTCCGCGGTGATCCTGGTGTGCTCGGTCGGTCTGTATGTCAACGGAAATCCATGGAGTCACCGTACCGCGACGAGCGTTCAGAGGAGTGTGACAAGTCCAACAAAAAGCAATCAATGGTATAAAGCATGTAAGATTATCGATAGCAAACACAAAACCTGTCCCATGAGCTCGGATACATGTCCATGCCCGTGCTAACCATTGCGCTCTTGCTCTTGCATCTTCTTGAGGCTATGAAACACCGCGTTGATGCAGTCCTTGACGAGCTCCAACTCATCCGGCACGACCCTCTCCACGACCCCGCCCAGCTTGTCCGGATGCCATCGCAGCAGCGCCGCACGGATCCTCTCCCGCCTGCTAACCGTGTTCCCTCTCAACCCAAGACTCTCAAACAAGAACCCCGCAATCGCCTCCACCCCAAGCATACCCGCCGCACCCTCCGCCGGGGGCATCGGCAGCGGCCCATGCACAGGCCACGGTATATCCCCAAACGCCACCCCGCCCTCGGACGCGACAAGCGCGCCCCACGCACGCTCATGCGCATCCCAGCGCGCGCGCACACGGCGCTCCTCCGCCTGCAGCTTCAGCTCCGCGCGTATGCGCTCCGTACGCACCTTGTCGCGCCTCCCCTGCGCGTCGCGCAGCGTCCCCCCCGCGCGCACCCACTCGACCTCGCTCGCCAGCGCCGCGGCCCGCGTCTGTGCGCGCAGCTGCGCGGCGGTGCGCTGCGCTTCTTCGAACGTGGCGCGTGCCGCTGCGCGGCTCGAGTCCGGTTGGGATGTGGCGGGGCTGAGGTCCCGCGGTGCGGGGGCGGGGATGGTGTTCGTGTCTAGGCGGAGACCGGGGGTGGGTGGCGGAAAGGCTAGATAACCAAGCATGGTTGGTAGTTAACTTGAGTTTTGAGCTGCACTTGGGTATCCTGTATTGTCCCTGCAAAAAGCTAAGTACTGGTTAAGACGAAGAACTCGAGAAACACCGACGGGTTCAAGGAATCGCGACCGTTGATAACGAGACGCGTTCAAGGGGTTTATGTCACATGTCACGCGTTCATTTCGTCATCCGTCAACTAAACAAGCGCCCACAACACTCAGGCACGGAATGAAATCAAGGCTGGTTGAAGCATTAAATACACAAAAAACTACAACAGCGAGGGAGACATCTCAATGACCGCCTTTGGACCCTTTTCGTTATAGTCCGACTTTGACGCAAAGTTCTTGCTCTGCGAGTCGTGGAACGATATCTGCAGATCGTTAGTGCCGGTGTAAGTTGGAAAAAACAAACATACTTTTGCGACAATGCTCGTGCCGAGGAAAGCGGCCAGCCCATCGCCTTTTTCACGGTATTCCGCAAAGTACTCTGGTACACTGAGCACTTTTGTTGAGCGCGGCTGGATCTCATTGGGGACTTCGGAAGAGGTGCTCGCAATGAGATAAGAGGATATCCGCGACTGCAGGGCTGACGGGATGCCTAGAGAGCTTTTAGCGCAGTGAAAGCAACCGCATCAGAACGCTCACCCTTTACGTGGTTCGAGAGGTCACCAGTGACAAACAGACCCTGCCAGATATACTGGCGCTGGTCCACGTCCGCCCCAGCCACGGCCATCGCCACAGTGTCCTGTATCGGCAACACCTCACTAACATCGCGCCCCGGATCCACGCCAGGCAAATTCCTGAGCAGCGTCGGGTCAAACAGCGGCTCGCACAGCCGATGGCGCTCCTTGCCAATCGTCAACGCATGCCCGCGGAACTGCACAGCGACAAGATCCATCGCCTCGATCTCCTTCGCGCGCGCCTGCTCCGCCGCACTCGCCTTCGGATTCGCCTTCTTCTTATTCCCCAGCTCAATCACCGCGCGCTCCTTGCCCGCCATAACGACCGCCGCGATGTCCGTCACACCGTCCTCCTCCGGCGCGAGCTCAAACGCCGTCTGCCCGTCCGACGGCACACGCACAAGCCCCTCCTCCCACAGATACCGCGCCAGATCGCACAGAAAGTTCCACGCGGCATTGAACGCGGGGTCCGCGCGGTCCTCGGGGAGCCGCGCGGCCTGTGCGACGCTCGGGTTCGCGCGGAGGAGGTGCGCGAGGTACGCCTGGCAGTCGCGCGCGCCGACGGGGGTGCTCGCGCGCGCGGGGGCGACGGGGGCGCCCTCGTAGAGCGGCGCGACGTCCGTGAACTCCATGCCGATGTCGACGACGACGCCGCTGAGCGCGTTCGCGGCGTACAGCTGCGCGGCGGGCCGCTCGAGGAGCGCGAAGCCGGCGACGTTGAACCGCTCGAAGAAGATCTGGCCGATGCGCTCGCAGGCGTCGCGCGAGAGGCCGGGGGCGATGGAGAGCATGACGGGGGACTCGTTTTGCGCGCGGCGGAGCTGGAGTTGCGTGAATAGGACGTGTTTCCTGCGGTGGGCGGTGAGGTCAGGAGCGGGAGGAGGGGGAGGGGGACGGACCAGATGGCTTCTGCTTGGACCCAGTCTCTGACGGAGCCATCGGCGAACGGCCACGAGACAGCGACGTCTTGGCCGGACGCAAGTGCTTCGTCGAGCTGGGTGCCGACAAGATAGTCGTTCACTTTGGCATGGGGGCTGGGCTGGTGCGGGAGTGAGGATGCACGGGCGGGCGAGGAGCCGCGAACGTTGTCTGCGCTGTCCTGGGGATGTAGCGATGGACGGCCATTCGCATTCGAGCTCTCGCCCGCACTTTTGCGCAGACCTACCCGCGCTTGGATGTCCTACAGACGATGAGCGAAACGCAGACACAAGTGAGAGTGCAGACTAACCACCGAAGGCGTCTTGAGGAGCTCATGAAGACCAAGACCGGCCTTGACCTGTGTGCGGCTCGTCTCGATGATGACGACCGAAGAGTCACGAAAGCTGACCATGGCGGGACTAAAGCGTGGCCTCGTGCGTCGGCGCGTTGTTTGCCTTCCCGAAAGAGACGGGGTCAATATCCACAACGCGTCCCAGGCGCGTCCACCAAAAAGTCGTAAGACATCCACGTCGTAAGATACTTATAATATCACAAGCTTTACCCTCCCCCATAATTAAAAGACAGGCAAAGCGACGTCATTAATATTCAACAATGTACTCTTTGCTCGACATCCCAGACTCGGGCGAGCACCCGTTCACGGACTACTCCCGCTGGCGCCTGCTCTCCAGCGACGGCGGGCGGCACACATGGCACTACCTCCGCACCGACGACGAGGTCGCCCGCTGGCCGCAGAACAACATCGACAAGTACTGGACCGGCATACCCCTCGTGCGTCTCCATCCTCCAATACCATCCCAACAACTGACCTCCGACGTCGCAGAACCTCCCCGCGCTACCTAAACCCACCGACGCACTCGCCGCCGCGCGCAACGGGTACGAGTTCTACAAGCACCTGCAGTCCGCAGACGGGCACTGGGCGGGCGAGTACGGCGGACCCATGTTCCTCCTCCCCGGGCTCGTCATCGGCTCGTACGTCGCCGGCATGGGCTTCACGCACGAGGAGCGCCTCGAGATGGTCCGCTACCTCTTCAACCGCGCGCACGCCGACGACGGCGGCTGGGGCATGTGCGTCTCTCCCTCTGCTCTGGCCATGCGAACTCTGATTGTTTGCTTTGACAGCCACATCGAGGGCCACTCGACGGTGTTCGGTACCGCGCTGAACTACGCCGCGCTGCGTATTCTAGGCGTGGAGGCTAACCACCCCGTCATGGTCAAGGCGCGCGGGACGCTGCACAAGCTAGGCGGTGCCGCTGCAAGCCCCGCATGGGGCAAGTTCTGGCTCTCAGTGCTCAACGTGTACGATTGGGAGGGCGTCAACCCCATCCCGGCTGAGCTCTGGTGAGTCTTGACGTCACTCGCCCCGGCTGTCGCTCACGCCGTCCAGGCTCCTGCCAGACTGGCTCCCGTTCCACCCGCACAAATGGTGGATACACACGCGCACCGTCTATATCCCCATGAGCTATCTCTACGGCATCCGTTTCAAGATGGAGGAGAACGAACTCGTGCTTGCATTAAGAGAGGTGCGCCACATCCAACTTGTTATTCCGGATACTAATGCACCACCAGGAACTATACCCGCAAGACTACAACTCCATCCACTGGCCCTCGCAGCGCAACAACATCGCCGCCGACGACATCTACTCCCCCCACACCGCCGTCCTCGACACGATGAACGCCCTCCTGTCCACGTACGAATCCTGCGCGCTCCCTTCCCTGCGCAAAGCCGCGCTCGACCGCGCTTACCACCTCGTCGTGCTCGAGGACGAAAACACAGGGTACCAAACGCTCGGGCCCGTCTCCAAAATGATGAACCTCGTCTGCCGCGCGCACGTCGAGGGCGCACAGAGCGACGCGTACAAGCTGCACGCGCTGCGGCGCGCGGACTTTATGTGGCTCGGCGCGGAGGGCATGATGATGTGCGGGACGAACGGCTCGCAGCTGTGGGACATCGGGTTCATCACGCAGGCGCTCGTCGAGACGGGGCTCGCGGAGGAGCGCGCGAACAGGGAGAGTCTGCAGCGCGCGCTGGGCTGGCTCGATGCGTGCCAGATAAGGGAGAATCCGCGGCATTATGAGACGAGCTATCGGCATACGACCAAGGGCGCGTGGCCGTTTAGCACGAAGGAGCAGGGGTATACGGTCAGCGACTGCACGGGCGAGGGGCTCAAGTCGGTGTTGTATTTGCAGAACCAGGTCAAGTGAGTGGCCGTGCAGTACTCCGGCGAGCATCCTCTGACGAGGAATCCAGGGGGACCACAAAACTGCTCGAAGACCGGAGACTGTTCGACGCCGTCGACGTGCTGCTGACGATGCAGAACGGCAACGGCGGGTTCGCGAGCTACGAGCTCGTCCGGGGCCCCAAGTGGCTCGAGTGGCTGAACCCAGCCGAAGTATTTGGTGCGTTCTCGCGTATATGCCTCACACGGCGTGGACCTGACACGATGAGACGCAGGCGACATTATGATCGAGTTCTGCTACCCCGAGTGCACGACGTCGGTGATCACGTCATTGTCCATCTTCCGCAAGCACTACCCCGCCTACCGGGCGGCTGAGATCGAGTGAGTCGCTGCCCATGTTTAGTATCTCGACGCTGACATGAAATGTACAGGAAAACGATCAAGCACGCGATCGTGTACCTGCACAAGGTGCAAAAGGCAGAGGGCGGGTGGGTGGGGTCGTGGGGCATCTGCTTCACGTACGCGACAATGTTTGCGTGCGAGAGCCTGTCGCTGGTGGGGGAGACGTACGGGACGAGTGCACATGCGAAGCGGGCGTGCGAGTTTCTGATCTCGAAGCAGCGGGCAGATGGTGGGTGGGGCGAGAGCTACAAGGTGAGTCTGGGTATTGAAGCGAAGGGTTATTATTAAGGATTGTAGTCGTGCGAGCAGGCAGCGTGGGTGGAGCACGCAGACACGCAGGTGGTGCAGACGTGCTGGGCGGCGATGGCACTGATACACGCGGGATATCCAGACGCGGAGCCTATCAAGGCAGCAGTGAAGCTGGTGATGGAGCGGCAGCTGGCGGTGAGTGGAATTCGTTATTTGGGGATGGCGCGACATTGGGCGGGAATTGCTCATTGTATAATTATGGTGTGCTGACGTGATCCCAGGACGGCTCGTGGCCCCAAGAGGCGATCGAGGGCGTCTTTAACAAAAACTGCGCCATCAGCTATCCAAACTTCAAGTTCTCCTTCCCGATCTGGATGCTCGGACGGGCACACGCGTACCTGAACGAGCTCGACGGCAAGGCGTAGGTCGACGGAGCGGCGGGATGCGGGCACTGTGTTCCGATGTTAGCCGAGTGTATAGATCACGCCGATGCTGAGTGAGGACTAGAATTTGGAATGATAGACAATATTTGATTGGACGGAATGTACGAGTGTCTCTGGTGATCATGAGACGGTGAGCACGCCATAGCTGGAACGCGGGACCAGGACGGTGAAGGTCAGAGGGAATTCGGAATTCGAGGAACAAACAAATAGCATATGGATGATGTGCTAGTCAGCAATACTAGTTGACCCAGTCTGCTCTTCAGCCCAGCCAACGCTCGCCTCAGCTGCCTCCTTCTCTCCATCTTGTTACACCCACTGCTCTCGAGAGGTATGTTATGTGTTGTGGAATGTTGATTGATGACCGATCTTGGAACAGATGTCGAACGCGCTTTCATCTGTAGCACGCATCGCCTATCTCTCCTCAGATCTCATCGTCGACTCCCGGCCTCCCTTCCCTTCTGTCTCGCCCTTCGCAGCCCAGTACGACTCCCTCCATGCCACATCCAGCCGCCGCCCGACTGTCTACCCCGTCCCCGTCGCTGGCGATCCCGGTGCCACCCTCCTCCGCCATGGCTCGGCAGGGCTCGCGTCCTTCACCGCGGTCGCCACGGCACAGATGATCATCCGCCTCGTTCTGCACGCCGCGGAGCTCTCCTCTCTCCCACTCGTCCTGCATCTCGCAGTCACCGACGATCTCTCCGACGTCCTTCTCCTCCGCTCCGCCGTCCCCTTCTTCCTCGTCTCCTACACCCCACAGCAGGCACACGACAACGCCCTCCTCGCATCCCGCCTCGCACGCAGAGAAAACAAGGCCGTCGTGCACGTCTTTTACAACTCGGATGACCACGTCGCCGAGATCGACTCTGACAGTGTCCTTCCCTTCCTCAACTCGGAGAACCTCTCAAATGGCCTCAATGGCGCAGAGCATACACCTGGCGCTGAGCTCTACAAACTCTACCAAGCAGCAGCTGCCTCCACATCCGCTCGCGTTGACCGCACACTTTCGTCATTGTCCAGCTCCGGCCCGTCCACGGCCAGCTCCGTCGTCTTCCTTCTCGGCCAAGCAGAGGGCTCGATTGAAGTCGACGATGTCCTTTTTGCCTCCGTCAACCTCCTCACTCCCTTCACTGCCTCCCAGATCATCGACACCGTCCCCGAAAAAGCCGCCCGCGTGATCGTCCTCGAGCAGGTCCACCGTTCCAACACCAAATGGTCGCCCCTCTACCTCGATCTCGTCGCCGCCCTCCAGCAGCGCGAGGGCACCCGCCCCCACATCCAGAGCGCCTATTACACAAAGGCGTCCCAGGTCACCGCCGAGTCTATCGCCAAGCTCGTGCAGACCGTCGCAGAAAAGCCTGCATCCGCCCCCATCCAGCTCGGAGATGCCATGCCCTCGCCCTCGTGCCCGCCCCAGACCGCACCCCACGTCCCCAAGCACGAGCTGTCGTACACCAAGATCCTCGCGTATGTCTTTGGCCAGAGACTCGAGATCTCCAACTCGCCAGAAAACGTCTCGTCGCAAGGCGCACACGCGACGACCCCCGAATACGCCCTCGGTCGCGTCCGCGCCCAGGTCGAGCAGCGCGCCGACCTCATCAAGGCCGTGCAAGAGCTCCTCGAGGCCAAGGAGACCGACGCGGACCTGCATAAGCTTCTTAGCCAGTGGCTCCTCAAGCGCGACGACGGCACCAAGAGCCGCCCGCTCGCCGACGAGATCGTCGCCGCCCTCGAGGCGTCCACGCCCTCTCACCCCGCCGCCGCGCGCATCCTTTCCCTCCGCCAGTATCTGCCTTCCCAGTCGCGCTGGATCATCGGCTCGGACGCTTGGTCGTACGACTTGGGCGCCTCGGGGCTCCACCATGCCATTGCGTCTGGTCTCGATGTCAACATCCTCATCCTCGACACCCTCCCGTACTCGGCTCGCAACAGCGGCGATCCCCACCGCCGCAAGCAGGACGTTGGGCTGTACGCCATGAACCATGGAGACGTCTACGTCGCCTCTGTTGCCGTGTACTCTGCGTACGCCCAGGTGCTGCAGGCCGTCATGGAGGCCGACCGCCACAAGGGCCCGTCTGTCATCCTCGCCTACCTCCCCTACACCACGGAGGAGACGCCCGCGCTCGATATTCTCAAAGAGACCAAGCTGGCCGTCGACGCCGGCTACTGGCCGCTCTACCGCTGGGACCCCTTCAAAGAGTCCGAGGGCAGGGAGCCGTTCGCGCTCGACTCCGACTCGGTCAAGAACGACCTCAAGGAGTTCCTCGACCGGCAGAACCACCTCTCGCAGCTCGTGCGCTCGAAGCCGCAGCTCGCGGCCGAGATCGTCGGCAACCTCGGCGACAACGTCAAGGAGATCCGGCGCAGAAAGGCCGCGGCGGCGTACGACACGCTGCTCACGGACCTCGACGCGCCGCCGCTCACGATCCTGTACGCGTCCGACGGCGGGAACGCGGAGAAGTTCGCGAAGAAGCTGGGGAACCAGGCCAAGGCGCGCGGGCTCGCGACGACGCTCGCGACGCTGGACTCGGTGCCGCTCGATACGCTCGCGGGGGAGGAGTACGTCGCGTTCGTGACGTCGACGGCGGGCCAGGGCGAGGCGCCGCAGAACGGGCGCCAGTTCTTCAAGGCGCTCAATGCCGCGGTCGCGCGCGGCGAGACGCCGTTGTCGAAGCTCAGGTACAGCGTGTTCGCGATGGGCGACAGCCACTACTGGCCGCGGCCCGAGGACGCGGGGTACTACAACCGGCCCGGCAAGGACCTCGACGCGCGGCTGGCGCAGCTCGGCGGGGAGCGCTTCGCGGAGCTCGGGCTGGGCGACGACCAGGACGCGGACGGGCCGGCGACGGGGTTCAAGGTGTGGCTGCCGAAGCTGTGGAAGACGTTCGGTGTGGACGCTGTGGAGGTGCACGAGGCGGAGCCGGCGCCGATCACGAACGAGCACATCAAGGCCGCGTCGGGGTACCTGCGCGGGACGATCGCGGAGGGCCTGGTGGACACGAGCACGGGCGCGCTCGCGGAGGCGGACACGCAGCTGACGAAGTTCCATGGGATCTATCAGCAGGACGACCGCGATATCCGCGAGGAGCGGCTCGCGCAGGGGGTCGAGCCGGCGTACAGCTTTATGATCCGCGTGCGCACGCCCGCTGGCGTGTGTACGCCCGAGCAGTGGCTCCGGATGGACGAGATTGCGGACGAGCATGGGAACGGGACGTTTAAGCTGACGACGCGCGCGACGTTCCAGTTCCATGGGGTGATCAAGCGCCATTTGAAGCCGTCGATTCAGGAGATCAACAAGGTGCTGCTCGATACGCTCGCTGCGTGCGGTGATGTCAACCGGTGAGTTGGCGCGCGTCATGGTCGAGTGTCTCGAGGCTTATGTGTTCTAGTAATGTGACGTGCGCTGTTATTCCGACGATGTCGAAGCTGCACAAGCAGGTGTTCGAGTTCTCGAAGCTCGTCTCTGACCACCTTCTCCCCCGCACGACGGCGTACCACGAGATCTGGCTCGACAAGAAGATGGTCGCTGGCGGTGCCATCAAGGACTTTGAGCCCCTCTACGGCGAGTTCTACCTCCCCCGCAAGGTGAGCACAGGGCCGGCCTTCACTACGGCGCAGTACTGAAGTTATTATGTCCAGTTCAAAATCGCAGTTGCCGTCCCGCCGACAAACGACGTCGATATCTACGCCAACGACGTCGGCTTTATTGCCATCGTCGACGACAAGGGCGAGCTCGCGGGCTTCAACGTCACCATCGGCGGCGGCATGGGCGTCACGCACGGAAACAAGAAGACGTACCCCCGTATCGCGGACGTCATTGGATTCTGCACCGTCGAGCAGGGTCCTCTGATCGCGGAGAAGATCATGCTTACGCAGCGGGACAACGGCAACCGTGTCGAGTGAGTCGTTATTCGAAGTGCTCAGCGTTCCAGCTCATTTTGATTGTTTTTAGCCGCAAGAACGCCCGTCTAAAGTACACCATCGACCGCATGGGCCTCGACGTGTTCAAAGCCGAAGTCGAGAAACGGCTCGGATTCACGCTCGCGCCCGCCCGGCCGTTCGCGTTCGACCGCAACATCGACGAATACGGCTGGCACGCGGGCGAGGACGGCCGGCACCACTGCATGCTCTACATCGAGAACGGGCGCATCCAGGACGAGCCCGGGCGCGACTACAAGACGGGCCTGCGCGAGATCGCCAAGGTGCACACGGGCACGTTCCGCCTCACCGCGAACCAGCACGTGTGCATCTCGGACATTGAGCCGGCGAACCTGGGCGAGATTAAGCGTCTGCTGGCCAAGTACAGGCTCGACGATCTGAATTATACGGGCCTGAGGCTCGGGTCGCAGGCGTGTGTGGCGTTCCCGACGTGCGGGCTTGCGATGGCGGAGTCGGAGCGGTATCTCCCGTTGCTGGTGGACAAGGTCGAGAAGATGTGCGAGGAGAATGGGCTGCGCAACGACTCGATCGTGATGCGCATGACTGGGTGCCCGAACGGCTGTGCGCGGCCGTATATTGCTGGTTAGTACCCTCTTTACTTCATCCTGAACAATTGTTAACTGTCTCTGCAGAGGTCGCATTCGTCGGCAAAGCACCGGGCGCCTACCTGATGCTGCTCGGCGGTGGCTTCCACGGCCAGCGCCTCAACAAAATCTACCGAGGTATGCGGCCTTGCATACACAACATTACCCTGTAAACTCACAAACTTTGGTTGCGCAGAAAACGTCACCGAGCCAGAAATCCTCGAGATCCTGGGCCCGATGATCAAGCGGTACGCGCTCGAGCGCAACGACGGCGAGCACTTTGGCGACTTTGTCATCCGCGCCGGCTACATCGCCCCGACGACCGAGGGCAGGCTCTGGTACGACCGCATGGGCGGCGAGGGCGAACACCGCATCGCCGCATAGTTGTTTTGTTTCATTATCAATATCAATAGTTTCTGTTTCTGTTGTATCGCTAATACCATTATATAGACGCATCTCACGCATCTCACTATGCTTTACCATCTTACTGTTTGGTGTGATCAACGTCTCCCGTTCTTTCTCTCAGTCAAGCTTTGTGGGGTCGACCCATAGTGATTGTAGTCATACATAAAAACTGACCGCAGAGACAGATTGTAACAGGGGGTATAAGTGGACAGGAGATATCGATACCAGACAACGGATGGATACTGCAACAGAGAATAGTGATAGGATAATTAACGGACACGACGAAAACCGGTTGAAGACGTAAAAGGGGAACAACACGATTAAAACAAAACAAACATGGTTCGAAAAAGAATCCCGATTATTGTCCCGATTATTGTGGGGGGTGGGACTGCAATCATCCCTGTTTTGCCGTCGCCGGCGAGGGCGGGATCGGCGAGTCGACCGCATCTGGTGGAGGTCGCGGCGACGCAGGCAGCCCGATCATCCGGCTGTGTCGGTTGGCGCGCTTGTTCGCGGCGGTGGAGATGTTGAGCCCACGGCTGGCGGCGACGTCAGAGGCGTGCGATCGACGCATGGTCGAAGTGTCCCCCGGGCTGATGGGCGAGAGCATCTCGCTGCTCGACGATGACGGTGCGTCGTGCGGTTGATGGACGTGGACCTGTGGCCGAACGGGCGTAAATGCGCCCGACTCGATAGTCTCTTCGTCAGCGGTGCTTTCGGTCTGGATTGATAGGCTGTCGTTGTCCGAGGGCGACTCGTCCGTTGAGGCTGCATACCAGTGTCAGAAACGAAGACGATTTAACCAGTATATGTGTACTCACATTGAAGACTTCGACCAGACAAGCCTAATAACTGGTCGGCAGCTGCATCATTGTATTGTTGGCTGTTCCGTTTAAAAGTCTCGGATTCCTCCTCGTCTGGGCTTTGCGACTCTCCTCTCTCGGAAATACCATCGACATTGAACACCCTGTTGAACTCCCCGAGCATCAAGCTGAAGACACCAGCAGGGATACCGAGCGTTGGGCTGAACACAATCCCGACGTTGCGCATGGTCATCTTGTTGATAGAGCAGTTCTGAACGATCAGGATAAGGTGTGCCGTCAGTGCTCGCAGAAGAGTGTAGTTCGCGAGGGGTAATGATGCAATGAGGTGCGAAAGTTCCATAATGCGCTCCTGTGCATCGACAAAGTCTATTCAAAAGTAAGCCTCAGTTCAGATGCTGAACGATACGTATAATTACCGATAACAGCCAGGAACTTGAGATGGAGTTCCCGAGTAAGGATGCTTGCGGGGAGCTCACGCAGGAAGCTCTTCAGTAACCCGGCAATAGCATGTGGATCCCAGTATTCATCAGACGCCAGCAGATCCACGTCGCCCTCCATATTGAATCGATCCTTCAAGCCCTTGATGACCGCCGAACTTCCACTCAGCCGATAGATACCCTCCTCTTGCTCAGCCTGCTTCGCTTCGAGATACTGTATACAACGGAAAACAACGGCGGGAAGTCGAGCGATCTCGACAACGTCCAGCGACTCCTCCAGAGGAACGCCGAACACCGCCCGGGGGACATGAACGACAGGTTTTTCTGTAGCTTCGACATTTAAGTATCAAACATAATATAATAAAAGTTTCCAACGTACCAACAGACTTGCCAAAGCCCCAGAATGACCTGCCCTTCTGTCTTCTATCGTTTTGTGGTGGAGCCTCGTTGCTCTCCTTCTCCTTGCCACCGAATTTGTACCCGGGTGGTATAGGCGCACCACTGAGGGGACCCGAGATCTTGACCTTGCCGCTGACAGCTTCTCGAATGGAAGTGGTCTCAGGGGACATGGGTCGCTCGCCGCTCGGAGCAAGCGAAGGGTAATAAGATTTCCGGTCCTTGCGCTGTTCTGGAGAAATTGGGTCTTTCATCACCGCACGCTGGTCCACTGTGTCGTGGTAGTGCCCGAGCTCAGAGTTAGCCCTGAACGACACCAAGTTCGGGTTGGCAGCCTCCAAAGGTGACCGCTCCGGCAGCGAGCTGGATAAGCCCTCTGGGCTACCGCCCGTCTGGGAGCGCTCAAGCATACGCCGGGCATTCTCTTCTGCAGAAGGATAGTCCGAGCTCGTACGTTCGAGGGGGGAAGGATCAGAGGATTTTCGGGGAGCAGGGCTCTCGGAACGGATATGGTTGTCCGGTGGTATTGGTGCAGCCTGGAAGAACTTGGCGTTGTTTGGATCTTGCGGAAGGGACGATATAGGCACAGCGGGTCCGCGAGATATATCATCCCTAGACATCGAACGAACTGCTCGTTTGCCATTAGGTGTGGACGCTACAGAGTCTTGGTTGGAGCTCGTGCTGGACCGCGATTGGGCAGAGAGCGCTCCTTGTACACCTGCGACATTGGTCGATAATGGACTGGGCCCGATTGTCGGGTACGTACTATTATCGTCGTTGAACGTTCCCGACACGTAGCGCACGAGAATATCGACCCAGCTGTCGCGCTCGGCATCGCTCTCCGCGCACAGCACATGGCGTGGGTGTCCACCCTGCCCTTTCCTTGCTTCAATGATGAGGAAGGCGTGGCGATAATTCCTCTCATCCTCGTTATCCTGGGAGCGTTGTTGACGTCCAATTTGAGCACCCGTGATTGTGATCGAACCAAGGTGGGCTCCACCTCGCTAAACGAATGTAAGCGACTGGTTTCCAAAAGAGAAAGGAGGGGACATACACTTTCATAGTACTCGAGGACTGGTCCCTGAAGGACAAAGTAACGTCTCTTCCAACCACCAAAATTCTTGCCACGCTTCGTGAGGTAACCCTCTTTGTATCCTACCTGCGACACCGGACCCTTGTCGTTTCGGACAATGTCTGACGTGAAGAAAGCAATAATGTCGTCCTTTTCCTTGACTGGGAGATTAATTAAAGATTGCAAATACCCTTCAAGCGCGTTCTAATTGCGTAATATATTGGCGCATAGTGAGAGCAGGCAGCATGCAACACGTACCCTCCGTTGGTCCACTTTCGCTGGCGCATGGTCCTTCCACATCTTGCTCTCCGGTAAGTGCGCCATCTTTTTCTGCACCGACCGCGAGCTGCTCGATCGCACCCGTTGATCCAGATTAAGGACGTCCGAGTACAGCTTCTCCACCTTCCACGGCTCCTTGTTGTTTCCTGGGTCCACTTCTACGACAAAGGAGATGACCTCTTTTCCTTTGTCATTCGCCTTGATCGATGAGTACAAGACGTTGATGTGAGTATGCTTGAGATCACCGTAAACTAATCGAAGGGGACGGAATACGCTCTGGGAGCTGGCAAATGAGCCGGATGGTTTTGGTTCGGGTGTGAGGTATGAAGCCCGCAGAGGAGACTCGGGAGACATGTCGATGTCTGCGCCAGAAGGTACTTGCAAATTGTGCGATCCAGAGGAAGAAACGAGCGTTGTCGTGCTAGCCGAATGCTGCGTGTCTGGCACTTGCATCTGGTTATGTGATGGCGGAAGAGGAAAGTCATCAACGCCAGCACGTGGCTTCTTCTTCTTGAGTTTCCGCTCCGCCCTAGCAGGTTCTTCGTCTCCGTCCTCTTCGCTCATGTCGAGGAATGCGACCCCGTTCATGCTATCTTGACTCCTCTCTCCCTCCGCCTCGGCGCCAGATGCTTGGAATTGCAAGTGGAGAGGAGAACTATTTGTAGGTACCTGCCTTACCCAACTGTCACCTGATGAGCCTTGTCCGCCAAATCCAGCAGTTCGTGGACTAGGAACAGGACTGTCACCCATCGAAGCGATATAGCGCTTTGCTTCGTCCGGCAGGGATACTCTAGACTCTCTCGCGGTCGTGTACTCCTTGATAGGGGCAAGCATGCCTCCGGGCGTTGTTAGCGAGGTCTGGGAGCTGCTGGGAGGAGACAAGGACGCCTGCGAATGTCCAGCGGGCAGGTCTCGGTTTATGGATGGTGGCGAAGTCACAATCACCGGTGACGGCTGTGGAGATGGAGATGCGGTGGCGTTTTCGTGGCGAGAGATTGGTGATGTTGTGACTTCCGGTCGAGGCGTCCGTTCGAGATCACTTGATCGACGCGCACTTTCACCCATGGATGACTGGGAAGGTCTCGGTGAAGGTGTTTTGGAGGACTTCGGGGAGGGAGGAACCATTGCAAGAGATGTACCTCTGGGAGGGACTAGGACAGGGGCGTGCGTCGAAGAACCGGAACGACTATTGGAAGGAGTGACCTCCGTACCCATATCGAACGAAATGGACGTTTCCGAGGCAGGAGGGGTACTCGGACGATCTGCTTTTGGAGAGTCGCTCGCTGTGAAATGAAAGTCTTAGATCTACTTGCATGATATCAAGACTGAAAATAACACACCAGTATGGTCGGATAACGTCCTGACCATGCCAGCTCGAGAGTCTGACACACCTGAGTGTTTACTAGGGAGAGTAGCATTTGAGGACGATGTGCGTAAACTCCTCGAGCGCTCCTTCTCGGATCCGCCGAGACCGGCTGATTGCAGCCGAGACTTGAGCACATCCCTCTCGCCCCTGACCCGTTCGAGTTCCTTGAGAACCTGTGCATATGCGGTACGCTGCTTCTCAATTAACTTCCACATCTGTGAGTTGTGACCGGCAAATGTGTTGCGTTCAGACACGATGTGTTCGAGGGCAGCGAGTGTGGGGTCGGGTGAAGACGCGTAACTCGCGAGTAGCGACTCCATGGACACCGGAGCATGGGACGGGGCAGCGGCGGAGGAGTTTGCCATCGAGGAGGAAGAGCCTGACGCCGAAGGACGTGAGGGCATCGGGGACGAGCTGACGGAGTTGGATGTAATCGTGCGGTCTCGAACTGGAGTGCTGACCACTGCCATTGGGGGCTGCGGGCTCATGATTTCTGTTGCTCAAATGGCCAACCGACACACGTAGCAGGCCGACGAAGGCGTGGGCGAAAAGGATATGTTGAAGATCAGATTGGGGTGATCCTTTGGTGACGAGTTGAAGGCCGAGTGAATTATCAGGAATGCACCCTGACTAAAACTGCCTGTGGTAATATCTCTTGGGCTTTTGCCTCGTGAACGTTGACTGTCACGCGTGCTCGGGGCTGTTGGGCGTGTCTGGGGTGGGCGTGAAGAGTCGTAGCTGAAGCGTCAGAGACAATCGTGGCGAGAGGCAAGAGTGGCCGCCAGTTCTGCTGGCTGCTTGTTACTGTGTTCGCGTCGACCACCCAAGTGACCCCAGTGGCAACAGACTGACCACCCCGATTCTGATAATTTTTGATCTCAACAACTTTGCCTGCCGTGTCTCTTTCCCGTACTGTGTCCGCAACTCCAATCACCATCAGCGACGCTCGCCCCAACGGTCCTCTTCCCCGTTCATCCGCCTGCTAAGTAAAGTATGATTGACGTCTCATCTATACAATTCCAAGACTGGCTACTTTGCTACCATTTAATCTTCATGTTCCTACTTACCAGAAAACCTGTCTCCGAAGGACATGTACACAGATGCATGTTACCAAGGTAGTGGGAATACATCTGTTGTTCTCGCACCAAGTCTCACGAGAAGACTGATTTCATGCAACATTCGGCCAATCAATGTCAGCGAGCGAAATGTCCTTACGGTCAAGGCAACCAATCGGCCATAGCGGCTACATTTATCGAGAATCGTCAGTGCGTTGTGACGGCAACTCTCATTCATTCGGCCTCAGAATAGTGCACAAGTAGATCGTCCGCGTGCCTGCAACGAGTGGTCACGATTGGTCTATTTATGCAGAGCCTTTTGTTTCAGCCATAACATATCGGGGTAGAACCTGTGGCATACGGCGACGGTGTGACGTTGATCGCTGAGACGGTGGAAGACTGCCAACGGTGGTAAACAACTAAGTCACCAGAATCGAGTACAGGCTAAATGGACATCGGCTAAACGTCGGTTTCTCTTGTAGTTCACATCGTTTCTACGATGTCATCATGACGAATACTCAAGTATTTATTAGCACTCGAGTAAGTTACTCGAGAGCAACGACCTGCAACGACCTGCACACGGAAAAGCGAATTTCTTTGATTGGCTTCTTATACTGGAGACGAGGATAGGAGAAAGTAGATCATGTTGACTTCAAAAAGAGGATTTTGAGCCGCTAAGGTGGTTTGTTGAGAGATGTGCGAGAGGCACTTGTCGCCCCTAGGCAGACCCTGTGTCAGAAGATAGTCGTTCCGGAGGGACACGTACTCTAAGTGAGCAGCTCTACGAACAATAACGAGCGCTAGCTTCAACTTGAAGGACATTCAATCGTGGTCACCCTCTGGTACTCAGCGTCCTCTTGGATCACTCAGCTTATGACAATGTTCTATTTTTCAGACAAAGAAAGATAATAACACCTCTCATTGACAAGTGCTACTACGTTTTGCTGGACTGAAGGTTAAAGTGAGGCCACTGAAGGAAATAAGGTTCGGAACTCGGGCCGCCACGCTGGAGGAGACGTCAACTTACCCCGAACCGCGAAATCAGAGGCACGGGTGCGCTGGCCAATGTTCCATAAATCACAAGCACATACTTCCCTCCAAATGAAGTTCGTGAAGAACGCCAGATGCATGCAACTGAACGGGAAGCCTCTGGCAGCACGTTCGGACCTAAGCTATGCATGAGCAATTTCACTACGTCAACCTGCCTTATGAGGCTGGCTATATAAAGATACACCAGTACGTCGCCGTTCGGATTTCAAGAAACGGACTCGGACCTCCGCTGCTTCGAGCACTGCAGAGTACCCCAACGTCCTCTACACCGAGCACTTACTTGACTCTCTTTCGACCACCCAAAGGTAACCCGCACCTCTCTGTCATGTTCCTGCGTCCGGTTCGCGCCACGGCGCGCCATGTACGCGCTCTGCGCGTTCCGTCCGGGATGCACGCGTCAACCTCCCGCCGGACCATCTCCCAGTCCTCGAGTGTCTCGCACCTCAGCGATATCATGGCCAAGAAGGAGAACAAGAAGGACCCTGAAGGCCTGACTGTCCAGGTGCTCGAGGAGAATGTTCAACCCGGGCACGCCGTTATATCCACCTTTGATTTGTTCAGTATCGGAGGTAAGCACTATACTGCCGCGTTGCATGTACAAGAGATTTCAAGCGTTGCTTGTGCTAGTCGGTCCCAGCAGCTCGCATACGGTGGGTCCTATGCGAGCGGGAAAGATCTTCATAGCCGATCTGCAGGAGCTGGGGCTGTTGGATCAAGTGAGTTGTCGTCTCGGTGGCTGTATGTGCTCATATCGAAGGCTTGAAGGTCAAAACCGTGAAGATTGCACTGTATGCCATCATATATGCGCCGTCGTGTTTTTGAGCTGACCCCTTGCGGCTATGTAGCTACGGCTCACTTGCGGCCACAGGTACGCACTGTTTCACGCCTCCGAATTATGCCTAGCTCATATCTGGTCTACGCGTCAAGGGAAAGGGTATGTCGTTACCTCATAAGTCGCACAGTGGATTGACTATCGCTCGTGTTCTCAGGCATCATACACCGCAGGCTATCCTTCTAGGTCTTGAAGGTGAGATAGTCCATACAGACAGGTGACAAGGGTTCATACCTCTGTAGGCTCTGACCCGGAGACTATTGATACGGGAACGATACCCTCGCGTTATGAGGCTATCGTCACAAACAAGTCGCTACACCTTGGTGGTAAACATCATGTTGTCTTTGATATGGACCGAGACATGGTCTGGCGCTGGGACCAAGTCCTCAAAACGCATCCTAACGGAATGCGTTTTTCGTGCTTTAACGAGGGCGGTGACCTTTTAGCTACAAATGAATACTTCAGGTAAGGTTTACAGTGACGGTGCAGTGGCTTGGGCTACCCTAACAATGCATCGGAACAGTGTTGGTGGTGGCTTCGTTGTTAATGATAAGACGAAAGGTGTGAACATCTTGTTTTTTGTCGCGATTCTCGGAGCAGAGCCTGAGTTTCAATCAGTGGACGAGAATATGTTCTACAAGGGCGTCGACAAAAGCGCGGTTCATGGGGCCAGACTGAACCAAACACATAGCCTATCGGATCCCATGACAGAAGTTGCGCGTACTTCGCGTGACGAAAATGATCCCGGGCATCCGCCTTACCCCTTTGAATCTGGGGATGCCTTGCTCGCGCTCACTAAGAAGCACAATGTACGACATCACGTTTCAAAAACATAACATCACTTCTGAACCCCAATATCAGTTGACCATAGCCCAGATTGTGCATGACAATGAACGGTACTTCGGGTTGAGTGAAGATGAGATTCATGAGAAGGTGCCACCTTATCGTTTCATCTCTGCGGCGTTTTTTACAGCGGGCTTCTCTTTAGTTGATGCGCATTTGGACCGTCATGGACGAATGCATTCGTTCAGGCGTCACCACGCCAGAGAAGACGTTGCCGGGACGCTTGGGACTTCGCCGCCGAGCACCCATGCTTTACAGAAGACTCATGCGAGGGTGCGTGGACAGGAACACCCGTGTCCCTCCCTTTGACATATGTTGCGACTCCTAAAATTGGTGCATCCAGGTTCTACCCGGGGCTTGCAGGGTCTCAGAACCCCATGATTGCATCGGGCTCCCTTCCGGTCGGAGCGATTGACTCACCGCACTCGGATGATGATTCAAAGCCAGAACAAAAGGCGTCGAGCAAGGTCGCCAATGGTGGAAGCACGCCTTCACGGGCTCCATGGGTTTTGGGGTCCTTCGATCATGCCATTCTGCCTATGCCACCGGTAAGATACGAGATCTATGAGCGATAAAGTTCTGAACAAAATTTGGAACAGCGGAAGACGATGATTCCTGCCGTCGACTTCCTGTCTTGTTACGCAATCGCCGTGAACGAAGTGAATGCCAGCGGCGGACGGATCGTCACTTCACCGACAAACGGGGCCGCTGGCGTCATACCGGCTGTTCTCAAGTACATTGTAGAGGTACGCCATGTCACAGAATTTTCGACAACATGTTTAGTGAGCTATCGACGGACTATCCGCTTCAGTTCGTGAGCGATGACCCAGAGAAGACCATCAAAACCTTCCTATTGACCGCTGCGGCGGTTGGTATGCTTTTCAAGCGCGGAAGTACCATATCGGCCGCTGAGGGTGGCTGCCAAGCTGAGGTCGGAGGTACTACCATCCTCATATCACTCTGGCTTTTGTTCACTGAACACGTTTTGCAGTCGCCTGCTCAATGGCGAGTGCAGGCTTCGCAGCGTGCATGGGGGCATCTCCGGAAACCGTTCTTCAGGTATTCCTTTGCTTCTTCTCATCAAGGGTCAAGCCTCTGACCCCGAGGAAATAAACAGGCCGCAGAGATAGGAATTGGTGAGTGCCACAAAGACCTCTGTCTTCTAGTTCTGACCCGCGCAGAGCATAATTTAGGTTTGACCTGTGACCCAATAGATGGGCTGGTCCAAGTCCCGTGCATCGTGGGTCCCACAACTTCCGCTCCGTTCTATTTCAGAGTTAAACTTAGCTCCTTTCAGGAAAGGAATAGTCTTGGAGGTTAGCAGTTGCCGCGCCCTGAACATGCGAGTACGGTGTTGATTGCTTCAACAGCCGTTAAGGCCGTCACGGCCGCTCAACTCTCCATGGCCAGCGACGGTGTCTACCGTGTTACATTGGACGAAGCCATCGAGGCCATGCGTCTTACCGCCGCTGACATGAGTGTGAAGTACAAAGAAACCAGTCTTTCGGTAAGCGCCCCTTTCACTTTCCGCGCGCCGCTTCGTAATCAGGATTTCTCTACAGGGTCTTGCTGTATGTCATTTCTGTGATGTATTTGTCTGCTGAGATGTTTGATCCGACTTTTTGTATTTGCAGACGACGGTTAAGATCCCGCTGTCGGTGCCCGCATGGTATGCACCACAGAATGCATCAGAACTGCCGTACACTGACTTCTCTCAGCTGAGATATATCCGCCACTTGCAGAAAATAGATAATCAGTCAGCCGACGACGAACTAGACCGCCGCAACGATGTCGAAGCCCGATGTCGCTACGGACATAGTAGAAGTTTACCATTCAATTTATACCTTTGCGCTGTTGCTATCGTTCTCGACCTACCATAGAAATTTTCCTGACTTAGATGTTGCCGATAGATAGAAAGCCATATACAAATGTCATGGACCATTGTTATTCCATTTATTGAGGTTTCTGTCCCGAGAGTTTTCCCGTCATTCTACGAAAGCCACTTCTCAACAACTACGACTTCCATGATGGTGTGTTCCGACTCCCGCATGCTTCGGACCGACCCTGGTCCATGACGCGTGGGAACCACGTGCTACGAGCACTCATTGCCGGTCGGAGTTTGCATTGCTTCCGGCTTCCATTGCAAACTTGCTTACCCCGAACTCTATCTGCCGCTGTCAGAGATCTGTGAGTCCAATGTCCACCGAACGCCCGTGCAAGCTCCTCACAAGCGTTGCTCACCGCAAACCGTCGCCAGCGCGCAACTCATGGAGAGCGGTCCGTCTTCAACACAAGGCCCTAGGTCGCTCTCAAAGCACCACCATCCATACTTCTCTGTGGACGAGGTCGAGTACCTGTCAGAGAAGCAGCGAGGCAAACTTTCCACCGGCCAAGAAGAGAAGGCTCGACAACAAGCTTGTGGGTTCATAGAGCTGGTGGGGACAAAGATTGGGTTGTGAGTCTACTCTAACTCAAACGTGATTGCAAGGTTTGACTGTCTCAAGCCCCCGAAAGACTATTGCGACGGCTCAAAGCTTATACCACCGCTTCCACCTGTTCTTTCCCCGGAAAGACTTCCACTTCCATGTGTGTGCCTTGCACTCGCTTCATAGTGTCAACAGTATTGTTAACTCGAGGTGCGCAGGATGTCTCCTTGGCAGCGATCTACGTTTCCTCGAAGATGCACGACACGCTCAAGAAACCGCGAGAAATCCTCATGTCGTCTTATCTAGTCCGATTCCCAGAAGTTGCCGCACGGTCAAAGTCTATCGGCGGAGACGTAGACATGGACCCACAGGTCGAGGCGTGCCTTGAATCAACGTAATGAAACTCATCCCTACCCATAGACAGTAGAGCAAGACCGGCAGCGACTGCTTGCCGTCGAACGCCTCATATTGGAAACAATATGCTTCAACTTCACGTCCAGAATGGCCTTTCCCTACGTCATCAAGCTGGGTCGAACGTTGAACGGTGCTTACTCTCCTTGACTTTCTACTTTAGTACTAAACCTCTTGCAGCATCAAAGGCACTGATAAAGCTCGCTTGGAGATTATCCGTCGACGTGTAATGAATGTTCTTTGTCTCTATCTGTCTCTATGCTGATATGGTTGTAGCCACCGGACGCTAGTCCCTATCCAGTACCCTCCTCATGTAGTCGCCTTGGGGGCTATCTACACTGCAGCACTTTTAGCATGCATGGACGTGTTCGCACCCGAAAGACCTCAGCCCACGGCTACGGATCGAAAGATTGCCTCCATGCTTCAAAGACCAGGCCCATGGGAAGATAATTACATGACTCACGCTAAAGATCTGGACGGTATAGCTCTTTCCAGCGTCCTCATCACGAATCTAGGCCTCTAACGCTATCACTTCCAGAGATCGCCCACCTAACCCTGGACCTCCTCATTCAGGCAGCGCAAAACCCATCGGCAAATACCTCACCTCGAACGCCGTCCTCGCCGTCACCACATCCGTCGCCAATGCACGCGTTTTCGGGACAATCCGGACATGCTCCAGCTGTGCAGATTCCATACAAGGCGGACTCTCTCATTCAACTGAAGATTACGCTCCGGGAGAACGAGGCAGCGGAACAGAGGGCGCTGCGCCCCGTGGATGGCGCGGCAAGAGCCGATGTTCGTGCGGCTATAGCGAACGAGGCGAACATGCTGGGCCGCAATGAAGGTACTGTGAGGTTTTTGTTCGCCCCAGAAAGTGTTGCAGGAGCGGTGTAATAGGTGGTCAGTTTAGGTTAGGTAGCACATAACTTTGGAATATCCAAGGGGACTTGGCTGAGCGAGTCTCAAAGGCAGCTTGCTTGTCAAATACGCTGGTCAAATACGCGAGCGCGTCGGCGACTATATAGTGTGACATGTCGAGGAAGCATGGCAACTAGTCTACAGGGGGTCATGCCATGCACTTGTCTCGGGGTCAATGACGGACCATACAGGACCATATATATGCGTCTGACATCGCGCGGTCATTATCGACCTCTCTCCTAATGTCATTAATGACAACTCCGACCCATGCGCACAACTCGGACGATGTAGGCCATTCAGCCTCTCAGCAACACCCCGCCCAATTCAGCGATGGACCAGTGGTAATTATGCTTGTGGGACTCATAGCCTCGGGAAAGGTGGCGCAACTCAACTCTGATTAACGATCCTCGTTTGGAACTTACCTTGCCTGATCCGCACACAGTCCACTTTTGCTCAGGCGCTTGAGAACCGACTGCCACATTTTCGGAGGTGCAATCAAGATGAGCTTGGAAGCAGACTACGAGTGGAGGTAGCCGTGCGACAGGCCCTCGCCGAGGGACTGTCTGTATGTGTCGACCGTACGAATGTTGACCCTACGTGAGCTTCTCTCCCTCAGATCCACGGGCGAGTGAATCAATGCCCTTGATTAGCCAACGTGCCCATTGGATTAACATTGCTCGCGAGTTTCCTGGGACACGTGTAGGCGTTATTGTTTTCGATACACCCTACAATGTGAGTGAATCCGTACCCCCACCTCGAGTTCCGGGGATCGTGATTAGTCTCATCGCTCATGTTGCCAATTTATTCTGAAGGTCTGTGCCTCGCGCCTTCACACACGTACGTTCTTCCAGTTGACAATGTATTTCAATAGATAAGTGTCAAAGTATGACAATGACTCCTCGCAGGCACGTCCCACCCGACCATAACTTCTCCAGAGCAGGGTTTATCCATTCTATCTCGCTTCGCCAGGGACCTTGTCTGGCCGAGGGCCTACGAGGGTCAAGATCACCTCTTGCCGTTGCAGCCAGCTGACCATCCTACGCCATTCTGGACTCGCGATGAGCTTGTGACGGTCCTTCGGCGGCTCCTGGATTCGCCCCCCGAGGATAACCGGCCTGGTACGGTGACCAACTACTTTCCACGTGTGCAAGGATTCCATTCGCGCGGTGACACGGCCAGGAATTACGTCGCATCGTCGCGGGCGTCTCCGAGAGGTGTGGGAGGAGGGAGAGGCCCATGGCGTGCGTCGCCTTACCATTATGCCTCTCGTGGTGGGGGCGACGGCTCCATGAGAGCGCGGGCTCGCCCTTGGGGCAATTCTGGGATCGGTCAAGGGTTGCAGTCACAGTCAGCTCGTGGAAGCCATCGTCATCACGACACAGCCCTAGCTTCGTCGACTTCGCCCGCTTCCGTTTCCCAACTTTCCTCCAGGTCGTTCCCGCCTCCTGAAAGCTCTGAGAATCGCGCAGTAAGCGAGAGAAGCCACGGTGATAGCACCCAGAATTCCGCTGGACATACATCCCTCTCAGGATCCGGTTCAGCGAATGACCCTGTCCAGATTGACTAGCGCGGGCGAATGGCCTTTGTTCGCGCACCTGCGCAGTCACACTGTCTTCCATGGTCAGCGTGGTGTCCTCCAGCCTGCGACTCGGCTGTCTGGTGGACCCGATTCTTCCTCACGGCGAACTCTGTTTTGGTAGTTCGTGATTTTGGCCCACAAGATCAAATCCTTGAAATAGCCCAGCTTTGCTGGCTAAGTCCGCTAACTTGATCTCACAAGCAACTGGCAATTACGCTGCCGAATACAGCCGTTGCATAAATTTTGTCAAATATCTAGGATTACTGATTAGCATGATAATGCACAGTAGGCAGTAATAAATCGCCGCTGCTCTATGTAAATTCTATATACGTGGCGCGTCGGGCGTAGCCTCGTGAATTGCGGAGCAAACCAGGGTGTTCCCGACAGCAGGTGGGTGCGATGTTCCCGGTGGGCGCAGATGCAGTTAAGAACTTCCATCCGGCGACTTGGAGTCTTTCTGCTCCTTCTCCAAATCCTTCATTTTCTTACCCAGGATTTTAGCGCTCACCTACGAGATTTGATCGCAGGGTCGTCAGATTTCGGCAGATAAATACATCAGAAAAGACCAAATACGCACGTTGCGCATATGCATTCCAGCGCGTTCAACGCCCGCGTCGAGAGCGCGCTGATAATACTTCAGTGACTCATCAAGTTGATCAGCTGTGAGTATACATCCGCGGTGAGTCCAGAGCCAGAGCCAACGGATTTATGTAATGTCGAGCGCCCAAGTGGAATAAAAAGATGCGAAGTCAGCATATAGCACGTCAATAAATGAGGCACAGAGCGAGAACAATAAAAACCATCCCAATCGAGGAGATCGAGGATCGTCAAGTCGAGAGAAAGGCACCGGTGTGGATGTATCCGCAACAGCGGAGAAACCATGCATCCACACCGATATCGGACAGAGACAGAGAGGTAACTGACTGGCTTCGAGAACTGCGGCAAGGTTAAATGCGATCTCGGGGTCCTCCGGCGCGAGGCTAGCCGCTATGCTGGAACACAATAGTGAGCGGACCCGTTATGGCAAGTAAGCAAGAAGAACGTGCTGTAGATGGTGCAATGCGCGGTCGGGACGTGGGACGGGCGAGATGATGTATGCACTCGCAAGGTCTAACACAGGAAAGACGGGTACAGAATGAATTGCCAGAGACAGTACGAGATTAGAGTCAGATCATCCGCGGCCATGTAGAACGTAGGAGATCCAGACGTCGTTGGAGCGGCGGCAAACAAATGAACAAAGTTCCAGAGTGGGCGTTGTGATCGCATCCATAAGAACAGAAGGACAGTCAGAAGCTGCAGGAAGGAGTCATGCAGTACTCACTCGTGTGTGCATCCGGACTATCAGGCTGGAGCTCAACTGACTCGTTCCACGATTCGATGGCATCGTCAAACTCCTCTGTCAAGGAAAGACGCGCATATACGCGTCGCGAATTTAGACTTTGGGGAGGGACCATCCGGGAAAACCGCTTACTGAGGTGATAGTGTGTAACGCCGAGGTTGAAGAGAGAGCTTGCATTACGTTTGATGGAGACGGAACGCTTGTAGAGTTCTTTTGCGGCCTCCACGTCGCCTTCTTCGAGCTTTTGAGTACCCTGCTCTAGAGCCTGCATGGCCTCCTGCTCAGCAGGATCAACCGCAGTGGAGTGAGGCGTCGTGGACGTCGCGTAGCCTGGATCAGCATCGTTATCAGAACCCGACGAACAATTGAGTCGTGAGTCTCCTATATGACAGGTAACAGGAACAGAACTAACATTTCGAGCTTGGAGGAGACAGAAAGACACGGTTTTGACGGAGGGCAGCTGAGAGGTGGGGTCTCGAGAAAGAACGTGTATGTAATGATGCAGTGGCGGACCGGCGACTACACGTTGCGGCTGCCTGTCTGGCTGAAAGATGCGATGTGCGGGCGAGTCTGGTGAATGCGAACGACATTTCTGGATGTACCGTCCTAATTGTCTTCGTCCAAACCGGCAGCGACGGAATTGCCTGTCACTCACTCTCCGACGTACCCGTTAGGAAGGTGCTTGGTCATGTTTTCCCGCGCGTCATCCCGTGCCGCCAATTTTTTGCTGCCCACAACCGCCGCGCGCCGCTCCTGTCTCCGACGCATACGTCCTCCACCCCACTCTCCTCCTCGCCGACCGTCATGTCCTCGAACGAATCGTCCAGCAACACTTTCTCTCCTCAGCAGCAGGATGCCGCCGAGTACCTTCGTTCGGCTTCCTTTTCTCGTGACAGTTCGCCCCCTGTGGAGACGGCTGTAACTGCGAATGATTTGCTCATGGGCGCATACGATCCCGCGAAGCTGCACCCCATGGCTCAGCTCGGGGATCAACTCGACTACCTCGTTCTTGACGACGACAAAGTAAACGACCTTCCCGGAGCAGACACCGCTATTCCTTCGCGAGGCTGGTCGGACGATTTGTGTTATGGCACTGGTACAATGTACCTCGGAGGTTAGCGTCCCCTTCTTTTCCTCCCCGCTTTCCCTTTTCGTTTTTCTTCATGGGCTTGCCGCGCCATGCTGCTGTGTCGGTCCGTCCGTCCTGGACCCGCAAGCGGCCACCGTTTTCCTGTCCCTTCAACCTGGCTCTGGACAAACGGCAGGACGCCCGCAGTGCCCCGGATCTCCGCGTGTTCTCCCACCCACTCCTTATCGCTCCCTTCTTGGGACTGTCTTATTGTCTTTGCACATCACATGTTCCGGCGCTGATGTTGACACCATTTTCGCGTTCATACAGGCTTGGCTTTAGGTGGCGCATGGGGCGTTAGCGAAGGAGCACGACGCCCACTGGCGGTGTCGAACGCCCGGCTTCGGCTAAACAGCGTCCTAAACGCTGTCACGCGGCGAGGGACATTCATAGGGAACTCTGCTGGTGTGCTCGGTACGTGCATATATTCGGTTAAGGAGGGACATATCTGATATGCTCCTTTGTGTTTTCTGTGATACCTTTCCTGGCCTTGGACGACTGACGGAATGGCGGTGATGATGATGATGTTTGATGGAACGACGTTTGAATTCATTGTGGGGACCTCGTGTGTGATGTGGGATGGGTTGGTTTATCGACCCACAGCTCTGGTATACAACGGAGTGAACTCGTCGATCGACGCGTGGCGAGGAAAACATGACACAGCCGGGAGTATGGCGGCGGGAGCGGTCACGGGCGCGTTGTTCAAGTCGACAGGTACGTGTTTGTGTGACTTACGTGTTGGCTCGCGTGTGTTGAAAAAAAGTTTGCTGTTAGCCGGGGTGAAGCCCGCGTTTGTTGCGGCTACGGTTGTATCTGGGATGGCGGGACTTTGGAGCTATGTTAAGAAGAGCGTCTAAGGGGCGGTAATTGGCTGGATATCGATAGACTAGACTAGCTGGGACAGATTCGACGGATTCGAATTGAGTGACCACATTTACGGATACATAGTTGCTAATCAATGATTTCTCTATTCTTTTCTTTTTCCGTCGAGTGAGATTCCAGAAGCCGGTGCTGGAGTGATTTCGCATAAGCGGTGCGGGGGCATTATGGGGGTGATTCGGGAGAGTGATCGCTCGATGGGGGAGTGTCTATTGGCCGAAGGAGCCTTTGCCATATCGGTGAAAGGCAGATCGACTTTGAGTCCCTGGTGGATCTGGTGATCGTGATCCAGTTACACTCTTGCGGTTCTCTCTCGATGAGTGCGAGAGTCAGCCCCCCAACAGTCTCTCGTGGTCCGCTGGCGGTAATACGATCATCATCCATAAAATGACTTATATACTCTTCCCTCTCCTCCGATCGTTCGTCAGCTTTCAACTGCCTCTCTCAGAAAATCACCTCTTATTGAACCTTGCTTGTTATATACCACATACCAGTATACCATATTGTCCTCTTCTCCACTTCCTCCCAAACCTTACGCATGCTCGCGTCCGTGCCACCGAGTATACCTCGACAGCACGCTATCCAGACTATCGACGCGTCCGAGCGCCACAACGCGTGCCCCGTACCTTCTCGCCCCGTCCGCCACCAGCCGTATCCAAAACACGAACACTCGCTCATCACTCACCTCCATTCTTCGCGCCAGCCGAAATCCACCGCAGTGAGTGCCATGTCATGCCGTACATAAATTTAAAGTTAACGTTATGTCTAGCGCCCGTCGAACGCGGACGCACGCGCCCGCCCTCATTCAAGACCCACGCACCTACTGCGTCCGAACTTGTCTAGCACACCTGCCATGCCTCCGGCTATCACACCTCTAGTCTGTCCTCCACCCTCCTCGTAAGTGTGCTGTTAATCTATCACCTCGTTCTCCACCTATATGTCGTATCCATGATCTAAATATACCTCGTGTTGCAGCAACGGCGACGGAGAGCCGAAGGCGAACTTTCAGTCGCTATTTACGCGCGACGCGTCGCCACGCTCAGCCTCGAGCAATACGTCGGTATCGCGTTCGCCACCCGCTGCGTGGGCATCGATGTCCTCGGCGGGCTCGTCGGGGACGCGACCATATACGTCAGGGTCCTCGGCCGATAATAATGGCTCCAGCACGTCCGCTTATGCGCCTCGCGTCCACCTTTCCTCTTTCCTGAACGACAGTCAAACAAGGTATGTGACCGCCCCAGTGGGCATAAATATAGCTTACGGTGTCGGTGCATTTATCTGACCGCAATACATCTCTTTGGAAATGTTCGACGGCTTCTCCGAATGTAAACAGGTCTTATGAGCTGGACGTAGTGCAGCATCCCCAGCGGACGGCTGAGTTTGGATCGGCAACACTATCGCGATTACCACTCTCTCCTCCCATAGTCGTGCAGCTGATAGTGAAGGACCGATTCGGCAATTCAATAATTCCGTACGTGCCACACCTATCCACCATCATGTCTCTAACGACTTTATTTGCTACTCTCGGATCTTGTCCGCTCACAACGACGTCATGTTGTCGCGTTCGCATTTATTTGCTCACTTCGCTCACACTTACCCAACCTTATTCTACAGTGACGTAGAATTGCCTTTTCTCATCGCACACCTGTCGCTGTACTCAGAGGATGGCACACGCCAGCTTGACATGGGCACTTCTCCAGATGCAACATCGACCACGGCACCCAGGCGGCGGCTACTTTACGGCAACCTTGTGAGCTCACCGCAGAAATTGCGAGATCTCCAGGGTCGCCTTGGTCTGTATTTTCTTTTCCCGGACGTAAGCATTCGTTATCGGGGACGCTTTCAATTGGGCATATCCTTGCTGCGAATATCCATGTGCGTGCCCTGTCATTGTCTCGACCCTGTTGAGCGGAAATTTTCATGGAATGGCACTTTTTACCACCAAACCTGACGTTCAGACCCTCATGTAGGACGGACGCAGCGGGGGTGATGAGTCTCGGTGAGCAAGGCACAGTGCTCGCACAAGCGCGAACGCGTTCGTTCGACGTCCTTGCCCATGAGGATTACGTAGCCCCAGGTGAGCGTCTTTCTGTTACAATTTCTTCCGCGGATCTGCCAGGGAACAGATCTCCGATTTTCTTGTTTTCTGTTCTGCAATTTTCAAAGATCGAAGTCGAAGACATAGCTCGCTTTCCCGCGGCCTTTGCTCTACTCAATTGGCGCTTCGTCTTGCTCCCGGTGTTTGTACCTTCGCGGGCTTATTTTTGTTCTTTGCAATACCCGTTTTCTGGTTCTATTCTCCTGCTTTGAGTTCGCCTTCTGGCCTCTTTTCGCTTGCCGCTGTTTTTTTATGACGTGTTTTACCGTCGGGATTATGCTGATATCTTGCATTCACAGGGCCAACGCGCCTGACGCAGAGTTTCCTCCGCCAAGGCGCTCGGATAAATGTGTTCACTCCGAGTAGTCCCTGACCCAATGACGATCAGCACTTTACTGGTTTTCACGCCTTTTCACGATTTTATCGGACCGTTACTGTAGATCTCACACTTTGCATGCATCTTCGTTCGTCCATCTTGGTTCTTCTGTGCATTTTTTTCATCACTTCGCTCACGTTACCACATTGCTCCCTTTGCATTCGCTGTCAATCATCTGCCATGCTGTCCGTGTCTTAGCCTGTTGCTTTCTGACGCCTCTCGGCGGACACAATGCCGTTCGCGGCAGTAATTACTCGCAAACTACCAAGTACATAGTCCTAATTTGCTTTCCTGCCTTTTTTACTGGCGACGATCCCTACGCAGTACTTATAGACCATACTAGTCGACTTCTCTGCGTGTGCTCTGAGCCAAACTCTGAGCACTCTTAAGTGGTCCCATGAAAAATTCGCTCGCTGACGTGCCGGTTCCCTTGTCTACTGTGCTAGTACATATACAGCCACCGTTCGTGCTTCTTCGTTCCTTCTCTGTCGAAAGCGCATCATTCAGGCGCGCGCCTTCTTGCGCCTTCGCGCCGCTCCATCATAGTCCATCATTCGCATCACCCGTCAACCTGAAAGCTGAGCCTGAATATAACCTCATCCCCGAAAACAGCCTTCGGCGTGTCACGTAGTTCGGTTTTTGTATCGCTCAGAGCTTCGAAAGTTCGCAGCTCCAAGTTAGTTTACCAAATTCCGGGCTCACTCACCGCCGGACAAATGATCGCCCCGCTGCCATCCCCGAACTGTCGGATATCCCTTCTCAAACCACGGTCGTCGGTGACGTGGTCGTGCGAGAGCTCGCCTCTCCTTCTCTCGCGCGCGTGTTCGGGGTCGCCGAAGCCACATGGTTATCACCGGTGCGACCGTCTCGAGGAGGTTGCACAACGTGCTGGTGCCACTGAAAAACTCACGAAAGCCCGCTTCTCAAAAGAACGGGATGACGATAAAGTCCGCGACTTCATCTCCGCGTAGCTTTGGCCTCGACTGCGAAGGTTCAGCGAACAACCGGAAGCCTCCGAAGACGTACAAGGTATCGGATGAGAGAAGGCCAATGGAGACGCGTCTCCCGGCGGAGACGACATACGTTTTTGTTCAGCCTAATCCCAAACCCCCGACTGCCATGGCGTCTGCGCACTGAATTGTAGTGGTTGGCATCATAATAACGACCGAACGGCGGTGGCACCGAAGTCCGACTCTCGCTCCCGATCCACAAACTTAGGTTTACGGAGGATAGCGACGACATGCTAATAGGCTATTCGAAAGGTACCGCGTGGAAGCTCCCGCTCATGGGGACGCCACGACTCCGGTGGGAACGTGTGGGGAAGCCGCCTCTCCGTCGGCATGAGCTGCGCTGAGTTGTGAGATAGTGAAATATCAGCCAAAGTTCATGGGCCCGGACAAGGTTTCCGTCCCGCGGATGTACAAGAGTGACTGATTGGTCTCGAGAACGCAAATCCCGATCGAGGGGTCGAAGGGCCAAAAGCTAAAGGCTAAAAAGCTGAGACCGGAAACGCATCGAGCAGAACCGGGTCGGGTAAAGATAATCAGCCGATGACGCATGGCTCTCCCTGCTCGACGCCGGCGGGATGACGCAGCAGACGAATTTGGGGACAGGAGCCAACGCAATAGCGTACGTTCCCGCTCCGCTTACCGCGGAAAGAAGAGCGTGTACGGGGTCTTGTTCAGGCGCCGGTTTCCGAGTCAAGAAGAAAGAAATTTTGGTCGTATGTACGTATTCGGGCGCGCTGGTGGGTGTGCATGACGAGACGGGCAGCAGAAAAAAGGTGTCACTGGGGTCTTGCTGTTGGGATGGAGGATACCCTTAGACGGACGTGTACATAAATAGAACGCAGACGTGGACAGCGGGCGTGGGGTTTCGGACGTTTCGACGCTTTCCACCTGGGAGTAGAGCAAGATGAGATTTGATGGTGGGTAAAGAGATCTGTCTCTTCATCTCATGTGCCCAGGGCCCACAAACTTAGTGGGCGCTCCGCGAACGGTTAACTCGCACCGATAAGTACCAGCAATTTGGGTCCAGGGTCTGAGGGTGACCCGGTGAGTCCAGCCTCTTCATAAGCAGGGGTACGCTGAATATGAGGCTATGGTCCATGAAAAGCGCATGCGCAGCTGAATAGGGTGTGTACACTAGAACCAATATTCACCAAGAGCAACGTTCAACCGCAGCAGTCAGCGCCTCTGGCACTACTTGTAGCAAAATTCGCTACGGAGAGAAAGTCGACTTCTGAGAATGCAAGTTACTGCGCCGGCGTGTATGCCCATCGGAGGGCTGTGTCGTGGAGACTAAGGCGAAAAGAACATGTTCCGCGAAGGTGCGAGAAGACGAGAGAAGACGCAGTGAGGTGCCTAGGGTAGTTTCTCAACAGGGCAGAGCACAAGTGCCGCAGGCTGAAACGTTCAGGCATTGGGCAAGGTTAGGAATTTCGAGATTCAGTCGTGTAAACCGTTCATGTTGACAGACTCGTTGATTGGACGACTAGGAAAGCCAGCAGCAGCCAATAGAGACGAGAAGACAATCGTCTAGTGTGGATGGTATGCTATCCGATAGTCCCATCGCAAGGTCCAGCAGAGAAGAGCTGAGTGCAAGGTCTGCTCCCCGCAGCAATGCAGTGTGTATCGAAGATGCTGTCCTCCTGGGCGAGCCGAAACCCCAAAAGCGAGGAGGCAGAGACTGGGGTGCATCGCCGCGTCAGGTCAGGCAGATCACAGCCATCGGCCCAGCGCTGGCGCCACCATGAGGGGCGTGGGAATGCATTACTTATATACAAGCCCTAACCGGCGTTGCCCCACCCTCGGTTTTACCACATCCACTCACATTCTCATCCACAACCATGTCTAACAAGGATTACTATGGCGGCGGCCAACAGCAGCAACAATATTATCCGCCTCAGGGTGCGTCGACTTATGCAACAAGCCGTCTGTCCCCGAGAATCTGACGACATACACAGGACCTCCGCCTGGTCAGGGGGGATACTACCCGCAGCAGCCCCAGCAGTCGTATCAAGGCGGCTACCCCCAACAGGGTCCCCCACAAGGATACGGTGGCCAAGGGTATCAGCCTCAGCCTCCTCCTCAGACCGTCTATGTGTGAGTCCCTTACGATTTTGACCATAATTGCCTGCTCGGCTCTTGTTCGGCGTTCATACTCGGTTGCTCACAATTGTGTCCAGCCAACAGCCCCAGAAGAGCGGTGGCGGCGGAGGTGGAACTGGATGCCTAGCCTGCTTGGCTGGAGCGTGTTTGTGTTGCTGCGCTGAAGGTGAGGCACCCTCTCAGTCACTAGCGCCGAAACGGAAACGCTGACTTCCATTTTCAGAGGCCCTTTGCGACTGTCTCCTGTGATGAAGCGTGCGGCAAACCGGCATGACCGGACGATGACCACGCTGCAGCGTTTAGCACGCTTAGGCGACTCGTGTTGATGGACGTTCTTCTTTTCCCTGCGATGCCACCCGTGATGATGACTCGAAAGTACCTTTAACCTCGCCTAGTGCACACGAATCCGACTATTTTTTATACTTCCTATCCTCGATCTTTCCCTTTCAGTTATGACCATGAGTTGCGCGCTCGGATATCTCGAGTCGGTACATATGTTGGAGTTGGGCCAGCGGCACACAGCATGTGTTTATTACTAGGAACGCTATGTATCTCATATTACACTTGCGCAAACAGACTTTTTTTTGATTTCGTGTCGTCGATGGGATCGAATGAAAGAATTGCAGTAAGATATGAAATGTGCAAGTGATCGTTAGTTTTGTTGATGAGGTCAAAGCGGCCAGTGGATCGGGTAGTGGTGTTGAGTCCGGTTCGTTCCGTGGCGGGCAGTTACGCGTGACAGGTCACTCTGCGCTCTTCACCACTTGTATTCCTCGTCGAAAATCTCGACGCTCTACTCACCCCAGCCAAAATGCTCACGAGGCTTCCGCTCGCTGCCCTCAGAGGTGCGAGGGCTTCCTCTGCATCCAATGCCTTCGCCGCCGCTCGTTCCGCCGCACCCAAGGTGACCAAGACCACCCATTTTTCGCGCTAGCGGCGTTAACTGACATGGATTATTCGTCTGACAGCAGGCCCGGTTTGCATCGACCAGCGCTGCCCCCGGTGCCTTCGAGGTACGTGCTCTACGTTCTAACTGAATGACTACGTCGTGTACTAAAAATTCGGCTCAAGGCATTTGTCGGTTCGCGCGCGACGCTCGCCGGTGTCACGCTCTTCTCGGCTGGCTCGATAGCGTGGTATACCCATCTCTACGGCTCCCTCCCTTTCGTCGGTGAAGTGCACGCCAACTCCCTCGCCGACGATGGTCTTCACCCCGGCGTGTACCCTTGGCCTCACGGGGGCTTGTTCGACACTTTCGACCACAGCAGGTTCGTCTCCGCTTTCCTCCGCGCACCCCGGTCCTATTGACCCGGTGCCAACCCGCTCTCTCCTCCCATCCAGCATCCGTCGTGGCTTCCAGGTCTACCGCGAAGTTTGCGCGGCATGCCACTCTCTCGACCGTATTGCTTGGCGTAACCTGGTCGGCGTGTCGCACACTGTCGACGAGGCGCGCACGCTTGCTGAGGATATCGAGTACGAGGATGGACCCGACGACAATGGCGAGATGTTCCAGCGTCCGGGTAAGCTCGCGGACTACATGCCCAAGCCCTACCCCAACGAGGAGGCCGCTCGTGCCGGTAACGCTGGTGCTCTTCCTCCGGACTTGTCCTTGATCATCAAGGCTCGTCACGGCGGTGCTGTACGTGCTTCTCTTTCGATAATGATGCGGAAGCGGGACTGAAAGATAGCGCAGGACTATGTCTTCTCCCTCCTGACTGGTTACATTGACCCTCCCGCTGGCGTTGAGATCCGTGAGGGCATGAACTACAATCCGTACTTCCCGGGTGGTGCCATTGGCATGGCTCGTCTCCTGTTCGACGGTCTTGTTGAGTACGATGACGGTGGGTGGAACGAATGATCATGCATGTAGGCATCTGGAGACTGAAGATGACTGGTGCAGGTACTCCCGCCACGACTTCACAAATGGCCAAGGATGTCGTCACATTCTTGAACTGGGCTGCCGAGCCTGAGCATGATGAGCGGAAGAAACTTGGCTTGAAGGCTGTTATCCTGTTCTCCTCTCTGTTCGCTATATCCATCTGGGTGAAGAAGTTCAAGTGGTCGGTGATCAAGAACCGGAAAATCTGTAAGTATCTGAAGCGCTCCGATAATGGCGACGGCTTGCTGACGGGAGCCGGACAGTGTACAACCCTCCGGTGGACAAGACACACCATTAGAGCTTTTCATAGTGCTGTAGATTTCCTCACGGGGCGTTTGCGTAGAACAATTTGTTATAGTCTGAAGGCGCTGCGAAGTAGTGACCTTCTAATACAGAACGCTTACCCTAGAATGACATCTCGCTTGATTATCGATGGCTGGAGTGAACAATGGGGGGACATGGTCGTGGTAGAGGACCAAGAGCGAGGAGATGAATCAGTCAGGGCGTGCTCTGAGAAGGATGGACTAAGGGATTGGGGTAAGCGGGATTCATGCGTGGGAACATCAGGAAGGAGAGGAGACGGCGGCCTGTAGCGGCTGACTCGCAGGTGTATTGAGAGGCCAGCAAGTAATATTCTTATCCTTCTTCTCTAAGACAACACCCACACGTTTCCTGCTTCTTCTCATTCTATCGCCTGGCTGTTATTTTCACCCTTGTTTACTTCAACGTAAGCACCACCCATGATCTGGCTTCAAGAACCTGCCTAACATCGCTTCCTCTCTCCAGCTAACGTCCTCCCAGAATGTCCTCGGAAACATGGCCGCCCCCGCTCAAGTAAGCATCCTTCCCGTCTCAAATGCTTACCGAGCCCGAATGATCGATCCACTCTAGGGAATGGGTCGCAAAGTGTCTTGGCCAGATGACAGACACAAACCGTGCAGAGGCCCAAGCTGAGCTCCGACAGGTCATCGCTGACGCTTTCACCGCTAAGACACTCTGGACCACCGACTGGGCAGGTGTCCAGCTCCAATGGTGATTTCCTCTAACACCCATGTTTCATACATTTAATCTTCCTTGTAGTTTATTACCCAAGCCTCCTCCAACCCTCAGCGGACTAAACGGATTAAAGCGCAAAATGTGCGTCCTTTCTCCTCCCAGCTGCACTCAACCTCGTGGATCCACCTTTACTCACGTGCCGTATGCGTTCTCCAGGAACGACAGCCCGACTTCGAGCAAGAAAGCCAAGAAGGCCGCCCACCAGCAGCAACGAGCGGCAGCGGCAGCGCATGACCTCAATGACCAGGCCGCCCTGAATCGTCGTGCTGCCCGCTTCCAACGCGAACACGAGCTCGAACGTCAGAAGTCGCGGGGCCAGCAGTACGGCAACGGCAACGGCGCAAGCAACGGCTCGGGGCTGCTCAATCGCATTTCGGGCGTGCAGCCATCATATGCGATGGACGTAGATGATCCGGAAGGGGATCCGGTCAGTCCATCAGGCCTAGATTGAACTGACGAAGGTCTGAAGATAGCTTGCCAGAATGTGCCACATTGGGATAAGTATACGATCGTTGGGACGAACCAGGAGATCTTCAAGGATTACCTCCGTCTTACATCAGTGAGCTGTATTATGCATGACTCAGGTAGACATGGTCTCTTACGAGAGAACAACAGGAACCTAAGCCAGAGATGATACGCCCCTACCATGTTTTACAAAAAACGCTAACCGCTCTCAAGACCCGCTGGAAGGAAAAGGCGTCCTATAACTGGATACGTAACCAGTTTAAGAGCTTACGCCAAGATCTCACTGTAGGGCTTATCCATAACATCTCTGCAGCAAGTTGGTCTGACCTCATGTACAGGTCCAGCGTATCAAGAACGAATTTACGGCACAAGTCTACGAGATACACGCCCGTATCGCCCTCGAGAGCGAGGACATGGTTGAGTATAATCAATGTCAAGCTTCGCTCAAAACACTCTACGATCTTGGCATCCCTGGCAAGCTCGAAGAGTTTACCGCTTACCGCATTCTGATGCTTCTACATGGGCGTAATAAGAGCGGTCCGTCGGTTTCTACATCGATTAGCTCAAGTCAAGATTACTGATATCCATGTTTCTGGCAGAGCTCAACTTGTACGTAGGTCAACTAACACCCAGACAGAAAGCAGACGGCGCCGTAAAGCATGCTCTGCAAGTGCAGCGTGCGCTTGCCCTTGGAAATTACCATGCACTGTTTGATCTATATCTCAACGCACCTAACATGGGCGCGTACATCATGGATCACTTTATCGAGCGCGAGCGGCTCAGGGCATTGATGATCATGTCGAAAGCGTATGTTTGGACTTCATCCTTACACTATTTTTACTGACATTCTGATATCTAGATATCGCACTCTCGCACTGAGCCATATTCAGCAAGAACTTGCCTTCGACAGCCTGACTGAAGCCCGCGAATTCCTTGCGACTCATCGTTCCGCTGTCTTCACGAAACCTAACGACGCTGACAAGGACAAAATCCTTGACTGTAAGGCGGCAGCGCCTCTTTTACTCGCCGCCTACGAGGAGAAGATTCGCAAGGTCCAAATCAAGGGAGCTATATAACCCATGGCTCCCGTCTGGTTCCTTAGGCCTTATGTCTGCGGCGCTCGACACTGTCTTGTCATGGCTGTCGGGGAATATTCCTGGATTGTCATGGATTCGAAGACAAGGGATGACAATGTGCCCCTTGCAAGCTGACTTGGCTTTGGAATTTTACTATCATCAACATGCTCATTTCATTTTATATTTCACTTTTATTTTTCTACCTCTTGCTTCTCTCGGAGCGCCACTTGGCACGCCGCTCCATCTGCGGCGACCACAGACGGGCACAACAACAGGATATCAAGATCAATACCGCGCGCGCAGGTCTCGGAGGACAAAAGCGTCGAAGAAGATGGGGATGTTCTTCAAGGTTGGCACACCACGGTTCGTCAAATTTGCATTACTCTGTCTATCCTTTCGCAACCGTTACGACAATGCTGAGCTCTCCGCGGGTGGCGGGCCGAGCGGAGAGTGCGGAGAAGGTGTGCGAGATGGCGAATTAGAGTAGGATGAAGCAGGTGTGGAGCTAGTGCTCCATCGATGTATGTTTTACGGAATACGTTCCATCGACATCAACAATATACGGTATACCAGTGATTAGGTGTGCGTGATGGTTCGAATATCGCCCTTGTGCAGAGAATATACTCTTTGCACTTTTCTACTACCCTACAGGTCGCAGCTTTGCTGAAGGCGAGGTTTGGCCGGAGTTGTAGCTGTGGCAATTTTTGGCTGGATGACCGGTCTTGACTCTCGCCGTTAATTGTTTCAGCGCTGTGGCTTTTATCCACAGCCGCCCAGTTGAAGAGCACCGGGCAAAATCACTGCATGCGTCCGACTTCATCCTTGATCAGTCGCGCATGCGAGCTGGGATGAACCGTCGAACTACGACCTCGCGGACGGAGTAGTGGGTAAGGCACGCTGGTGACGCAAGCGTACTTGTCGATACGCGGGAAGAGGATGGAATCGTGACGTAGGTTAGGACAAGGGTCTGGAAGACGCGCATAGTGAGTTATCGTGTGGTGGATAGCTGAGACGGAGTGTGTACCTTCTGGACTTGTGAGTTGACCCGGTTAATCGTGGATAACCACGTCCAAGAGAAGGGAGCGGTATTTTGGAGATTGAATGGCGATGAGTCACGATCGGTAGGGTCTTCGTATACTGGACAAAGAACAATGGCGAATCTAGGAGAGCCTCAGAGAGTGGGGGAACCAGGGGGTCGTTTTACTTACTCGGCGTGGTGAAAGACTGGCCCTCGTTTGTACAAAAGCAGATCGCAGCAGAACTTCACGCCAGAGCGCACAACCCATCCCAGGGAGCGGTAGTGATGATACGCAGCGTATTGCAACAGGAACGGGTTGTCGAACCGCGGCTGCGAAGGGGGCAAAATTGATGGGGAAAGGGACGGAGAAACGCATGTATTTGGGATATGGGCGTTCTGGAACGCGTACCAAGTCTGTTGGAGGGAAAGGGGCTTTTCCTGCAAATCAAATGTCAAGGTGACTCATGGAGGATAGGGTAAATTGAAAATACCTGCTCTGGTGAAGAAATGGAAAGTGAATCAAGGGCCCAGGACAGAAAGAATGCCTCGGGAAGCGTGAGCTGGAGATGCTCAATGTCCATGTCCTCGAAGTCGTTGTTTGGTGGTCCCTCTGCTTTCTCTGATTCATCGTCTTCATCCGCAACAGGAGTATCTGGCGCGGACTGAGATGGCTTCCAGGTAGCAGCGGAAGGAATGACGCGAGCACCATCAGGAGCAAAGCCGAGAGCTGCGCCAGTCGGGGGTGTGCGGCCCTCTGCAAAGGCCACCTCCGCTTCAGCAGCTACGGCGGCGATGGCGCGAGCACGATCAAGCTTAAACTGTTTGCGCTCTGCACGACGTTGCGCAGTAATTTGCTCAGCGGACGGACCTAGGTTCAACGTGAGGTTAGTTCTTACGATAGCTGAGAATGAGCACGAACCTGCCCGTGCTGCACGCTGCCGTGCAAGCCATGTCGGCTCACTACGCGAAAGCGCGCCCTTTCCGTAGAAGCCACGCCGCCATAAGAGAAGGGAGTCCTGAGGCGAAGTAACCCAGACAGAGCGCGAAGGACCATCGAGTGTGCCAGCACAATGAGTAGGGATCACCCGAGTTTGCGCAAGCCCGAGCGGGGCAAGCAGGCGGGTTGCGAGCGTGTCCGGGGGAGGCTCTAGTAGGAGTGGAAGAGGGAGCGCATATATGCGCGCGTTTTCGGCCTTTTGGCCACCACCTTTGGAGGGACCCTTCCTATTTGATCGTGCGTGCTTTGGAGTGGAGGCAGAGGTAGACATTGATTGAGGACCACTGGGGACGCGTAGCGGTAAGATTTTGGCGCTTGCTGACGATTGCGATGACTATTATGTCTCGGCCAGGTATAGTCCTGACTTGGTCGTGACTCCTAGTTGCACTACTTATCTGACTCAAAAACGCGAGCTACGAGTTTGTATATATATCCTTCACGATGACACCTGCAGAAGAAGAGGAGCAGCTCGCTAAGCTCGAAGCAAGACGAACGAAATTGATGAAATGGAAGAAGGAAAGGGAAGAGCGTCAAGTCGCTCAGGGGGATCAAACAGTGCCAGTGAGTGTTATGAAGCGACGTCACCGTGAGCTTTCACTCACATAAACGTTCACTACAGGCAACTGCCAATGTCACTTCCGAAAATCAGGACGCTCCAAGTTAGAATCTCCACGTCTGACCTCGCAGTTGGGAAATGAGTAACGTCTGGCCAGGCAACTTGGGTTGCCATGCTTAGTGCGATCTGACCATAGCTCGACCATGAGGGTAAATCGTTTATATGCATGCAGTCCTCATATTGTCAATCATGATCATGTATACTGCAATGGATGTGATGAGCGCTGAAAGAGACATTCGAAAGGTGGCACACACGCCAACTTCGCGCGCCAAACGCACTTGGACGCGTTTGATTTCCCCCCACCAGCTCAGATCAGAGGTTGCACTATACCCCACCCACTCGTTCGGATATCTCACCCTCACCGCTGACAGTAGCAACACATTTTACGACTACGGGACGACGAGGCATCCATGTCCGACAAACGCAGAGCTGAGATCGAGGCCAAACGCGCCAAGCTTGCCGAACTTCGCAAGGCCCGGGCAGATCGCCAGAAGGCAGAGACGGAGCGTAGGCAGTCCGAGGCATGTTCGCCTCACCCCTTACATATGTCCACACATTAACTCTGTCTCTCTCTCTCTATGACAGATTGCGGGCCCCTCGACCGCTGCCCGCCGTGATGTCGACGACCTCATTTTTTCTCTCGTCGGACCCACGTCGCCTGGCCGTCCACCGCCTTCTGATAACCTCAGCGGCGACGCGACACCTAGTTCGTCTGTCCCAGGTACTCCTCCACGCCCTACATCATCCCTTCATGCTCTTCTTTCAGCTTCGGGGCGTGTCAGCAGACAGAGCGATGTTGCGTCGGACAGGTACAGTCTCGGCACGACGATGGTGGGCACTGCGAATTCAGGGACGGACCATGTTGTCGATAGGTAAGCTTGGCTTATGGACACGGAGAATGTTCAGGCTCACAGTTGGGCTTTAAAGGATCATGACACCGCGATACGTGCCTGACCTTGTGGATGTTGAGCAGGAGTTGTTTGAGCTGCCACAACGGGTACGAATCGTACAACACCAAAATGATTGCAAAATACTGAATAACTTGCACATTTGTAGGAGCGTGTCATATACAACAAAGAAGTGCAGACAACAGCAGTGGATACCGAGACGAGTACAGCACAAGACGCGGAAGATCAACTTCGAGCGGTATTTCAGCGTGAGCGAGATGAAATCGATCGTGTCCGTGCGCGAGAGCGGGAGCTGGAGGAAGAAAGCGAAGCACTCGATCGCGAGATTGAGGATGAAATACGGGGTGAGCTAGCGTGTTCATACTGATTGTCATTTCCCCGAAACCGCTGACCCATTGAATAGATTTGACGGAGGATGAACGGGCAGCAATTGTTGGCGAGCCCGAACTACGTGACTTCGTCGACTGGTCATCTCGCATATTCGGTCGTATATTGAGCAGTGGATATGACTATATCCGTGACTACACAAGTGGTGCTGAGGCAGGAGGGTAAGGAGTTTCGGACTACAATCTCGCTGTTAGACCTTTACTAACTATGGCATGCGATGAGCGCAGGGATGACACCGAAGGACGACGGGTGAAACGCGTATGTGCCTTCTATGATGAGCGGTATGGCAAGAACCGGAGCGTAACTGATATCGACTGGTCACCGAAAGTAGGTCTTCTTAAAAGCAGATATACATTATCTTTTGACTTCTAATTTCGTAGTATCCCGAACTGAGCGCCGCTGCATACAACAAGAATCCAGCGGCCCTTAACGAACCGGATGGCATTGTCGCAGTGTGGAATCTTCACCTCCTTGAACGACCCGAGTTCATCTTTCACTCGCAGGTAGCCAGCAGCTTCTTAGTTTCTTCTCTTTACTGATTTTATTCGGTAGTCTGATGTGCTTTCGGTCGCCTTCTCACCATTCCATCCCAATCTTCTCTTCGGCGGCACATATGCAGGCCAGATTCTGTTATGGGACACGAGAGCACGGCATTTACCCGTCCTGAAGACACCTTTGTCTGCCGCTGGACATACCCATCCTGTTTATGCGCTGACACTAGTTGGTACCCAGAACGCACACAATCTTGTCACTAGTAGTACCGACGGTACGGTGTGCAGCTGGCTTGTAGACATGCTTGCCCAGCCGCAAGAGACACTCGAGCTCGTGCATGCAGGACACAACAAGACAGGAGAAGTTGCGATCACGTCGCTCGCCTTCCCAGACAACGAGACAAGCACATTCTGGGTCGGTACTGAAGAAGGCAATATTTACCAGGCAAACCGACATGATCGCGCGGGTGCCAAAGCCGGACTCAACGCACACGAAATCTATCGAGCCCATTCCGGCCCTATTCTCGGAGTGCATTTCCATCCACTCGCCGGGCCGGTCGATTTTTCGGACCTGTTCCTGAGCGCCAGCGCCGACTGGACGGTCAAGCTCTGGCGGGCACAGGGCCTCGGGCGGGCAGGAGGATCAGGGGCGGCTGCGAAGGCGGGGGCCGCGCCACACTCTGTGTCGCCACTGTACTCTTTCGACGAGGCGGATGACTACGTGTACGGAGTCAGATGGCACCCGCAGCATCCTGCTATGTTTGGCATTGCAGACGGGGCTGGTAGGTTTGATCTATGGAATCTCAACATGGACACCGAGGTGGGTATCAGTAGTATTTTCGGAAATTTGTCCGCAGCCGAGCTAATGAACTCGACCCATGTAGGTTCCTGTGGTATCTACTGCCGTGTGCGCCGGCCGTGCGCTGAACAAGCTTGCTTGGGACCGCAAGGACGGACGGCGTGCTGCTCTGGGCGGGAGCGACGGGCGGGTCTACATCTATGATATTGGAGATATGGGCGTACCACGTGAGACGGAATGGGCGGACCTCCAGCGGACGCTTGCCGGGATTTCGGGAGGTGCACAGACGAACGGGACGTCCGACGGGGACAGCCGCGGCATCGTCGCAGGACGATGAACCAGCTGTGACGGAAGGCAGTTCGCCTCTAAGAGCGCGTATTGCCGATTGCCGGTGATAGAACATGGTTGCTCCAGACCTTGCACTGCAAAGGCGTGAGGTCTGGGTGCTGCGGGGAGGTGTATTCTCGTTCATGCATATGAAGAGGTCGAGCAGTAGTGGACCGACTCTCGGGTTGTATCTAGATCTGGGTATGGATAAATTCGGATTAATTGAGAGGACGTGCATGTCATGGTGAGGCAAGCGTATCGCGTAAAGGCTAATTGCCCCTAAAACATGTATGGAATTAGAGTGGGAGCGGATTGGGTGCGGAAAATAAGGGAGGAACAGCGCGTTCCGCTCTGCGACGGCCGTGCCGGGGTGCTGGCTGCTTTTCACAGGGATAGTGCGGCAGAGGCGGGGAGAGTCAGCTGGTGACTTCATCCAGTCGCTCAGATTCAAAGCCATGCCCTCCTTCCGCTCCTGGCACTTTAACTTCTCGTCCAGATCCCTCATCTCACCTCGTCCCACTTCTCTGCACAACCTTCGCCCAGTCATCCACCGCAACATGACCAAGTTTACTCAGGTCAGTCTCTCTTCCTATCACTTCGTGTTCAAGAATCTCAACTAGTCCATCTTGCTCGCTGCTCGTTGGTGTTGGTCTACAGGAACCCCATAAGTGAGTGACAGACCGCCTGATCGGCGCGCCAACCAAGCTCACATCAACCCTTTTCCTTGTAGACTCCTAGTGTAAGCCTTCGCAAACACCATGCGCCCTCGATCGTTTTAATCAAGCCCTTGCAGCATCCCAGGTCCCATCGAGGTCACCGATGAGGTGCGTAGGCTCTGAAGCCCCTGATCCCCGGGCCGTATCCCGAGTTTAACCTCAACGCCTCCCCATGTTAGGTCCTCTACGCCAATGCGCACCCATCCATGTCGCATATGTCGCCAGATTTCGCGAAGGTATTTGGAGACTGCATACGCATGACGAGGTGCGCTATTGATAGATTCCCTGCTGCCAGACGGATCGACTGAGCAACATGCTGCAGAGAGGTTTTGTACTCCAAGGAGGGCCAGCCGTTCCTCATCTCTGGTTCGGGGACTCTTGGATGGGACCAGGTGAGCAGCAGAAAGTCAGACATCAGAACACGGGCTTACTTTTGGCGCAAGGTTTCAGCTAACCTTGTTGAGCCCGGTGAAAGCGCACTCGTGCTTAACTCCGGCTACTTCTCGGACGCCTTTGCTGACTGGTGCGCACGTCTGTTCTTAGGGTATAAGTGCGTATCTTACTTTTACTACAGCTTGCAAGTATATGGCGCCAAGGTTGATCAGGTCAAGGCACCGGTAGGCGGTGCTGTCGATCTTGGCGACGTCGAGGCCGCACTCAAGGCAAAGAAGTACAAGATTGTCACTGTTACCCACGTTGACACTTCCACAGGCAAGTAGTCAGGACGGCGCTTAGAATTCATCTGTTTTCTGACCAGAGCATGCAGCTGTGCTCACAAGCATCAAGGACGTCGCCGCCGTGGTGAAGCGCGTCTCGCCAGAGACACTCGTCGTTGTCGATGGCGTATGCTCGGTTGCCAGCGAGGAAATCAAGTTCGATGACTGGGGCATCGATGTGATCCTCACCGCTAGCCAGAAGGGTCTCGGTACGCCACCAGGCCTCAGCGTTCTCGTTGCGAGTCCGCGAGCGATTAAAACCTTTGAGACACGGTCCGTGCCCGTCACGTCGTACTATGGTAGCTGGAAGAAGTAAGCTTTCTACCTTGTGTCAATTTTGTCTTCTAGGTAATAACGCTGTGGCTGCGTAGGTGGCTCCCTATCATGCAAACGTACGAGAAGAACACGGCAGGCTACTTCGCCACGCCTCCCGTGAACCTGGTCTACGCATACCACGCGTCCCTCAACCAAATCCTTCACGGCAGCGTCTCTCTTGAGGAGCGCTTCGCGCGTCACCGTGAAGTGAGCCAACGAGTGAAGGTCGAGGCAGAGAAGTTGGGTTATCGGGGCGTCCCCCTCGGTGCCGATGTGGCTGCTAACGGTATGACGGCGGTGGGTGATATGCAAGCTACGTCCCGAAGCCTCGTGCTGATTTACGGGCGCGATATTACAGTTGTACGTGCCTGAAGGGCTGAAGCCCACCGATATCGTCCCGCGCCTGCTGAAGAAGGGTATTGTCGTTGCTGGTGGTCTTCACCCCGCAATCAAAGGTACGCACTGATGGCTGAACAAAAAAGTTGACCATGTCTTCCTTACACACATTTGTCTAGAAAAATACTTCCGTGTCGGCCACATGGGCGTCAGCGTCGTCGACCAGTCACGAGGGGACATTGACAAGGTCATCGCTGGTCTGAAGGAATCGCTCGACGAGGCGAAGGCGGAGAAGGCATAGACATCTAGAAGATAGATCAAGAACCGCTTGACATGTACATTAGGCATCTTCCCTCCCCCGTCACAGAGCAGTCTTTGCGACACCAGTTAACCAAGCGATGTGGTGAGCATTTTGGCATGAGTCGGATGCACTGGCACAATACGTGCAGTATTCTTCGTGGTTGGCGCTCAGAATCAGAGTCTTCAAGAAGCTCAAGTCGAGCAATTGATGCGCCAAACCTCGCCCAGTGGCTGTGCACTCGTTATGGACATGGATGACGATTTCGGCTTGCGCGTGCACGTCATCACCCATCTTTGGCTCACTTCTCTTCTGGAACATCCTAGCGATCACCTGGCCAAATAAACCACAGTATACATCACCGGTGAGCACACTAACACGTTACGTCGTTCCCTTGTCCTCCCACCATGTCTTACGATATACCTGACAAACAGCAAGCATGGCGTGTTGTCAGCCGTGGGCACCCATCGCGTGCGCTCAAACTCGAGGAGATTGACGTACCGAAGAAGCTTGGGAAAGGCGAGATTCTCGTCAAGGTGCAAGCGGCGGCACTGAACCCTGTGTAAACATCCCTCGCTCATGTTCGAGACAATGCACTCATAACGCTGCTGCTCGCCAATAGGGGCTGGAAATTGATGAGCTACCTGCCCAACTTCATTGCACGTCGGCCACTTGTTCCTGAACATGACCTTGCTGGTATCGTGGTTGATCCGCACGACTCTGACTTCCATGTCGGAGATGAGGTATTTGGCTGGATCCCTACCAGTGCGTCACATTTGCATATTCTCGTTCAGATAGTGTGACAAAGAATTCGTCATACAGATATCAACATCTCCACTGGCCAAGGGGCACTGTCGCAGTACACCCGTCTGCCCGCTATCAACGTCTTGCGACGCCCGGATAATGTTACACCCGTAGAGGCTGCGGGCATCCCGCTCGCTGCAATGACTGCCTTGCAAGGCCTCACCGATGCGGCCAAATTGCGAGAGGGTCAAACGGTCTTTATCAATGGGGGTAGCTCCTCCGTCGGACTATTTGCCGTCTACATTGCGAAAGCGATGGGTGCAAAAGTGGTTGCAAGCGCATCCGGCAGGAACGAAGACTTTGTACGCAGCCTCGGGGTGGATGAGGTAGGTCCACTGCTCCCTATTAGCTAAAGGAACGTTGGTCAACAAGATATCTCCCGGATTTTCTCTAGTTCGTCGACTACACCCAGGTGCCCTTGTATCAACATCTCACTTCAAATCCACCTGCACCTAAATTCGATGTGATATTCGATGCCGTAGGACTGGTGGATCCTTCTCTTTACAAACACAGCGAATCATACCTCGCCCCTGGTGGAGTTTATGTTAGCACAGGTCCGACTCCGGACTTCACCTCATGGGGAGGCTCAAGTGGTATGAGGAACATGCTATCGACCGTGCTTGCGATCGCTAGGCCCAGATGGCTTGGAGGTGTAAAGAGGTCTTGGAAGTGAGCTATTAACCAGATATATGACACCTAGCAGTCAGCTCACATGCAATGGCAGACTCGTTACAGTGACGCATAAGGAGAAGGATTTGGCAAGGTTACGGGACTTACTCGCAGAGGGTATGCGTTATTCATGTTCAATGCCGAGTTTCAAGTTGACTGATCACGTTATCAGGCAAACTCAAGCCTATCGTTGACTCAGTTCACGAGTTTCCGAACGCGTTGCAGGCCTACGAGCGTATCATGACATCGCGGGCGACAGGTAAGGTTGTTGTCAAGATAGCCGATAGTTAGGTATGGCTGGCGGGGCCAAGTATGAGTTTCACTTACCGGAAGCATTATTCACGACACAGAGCTATTTTATTCAAGAACAGATCAAATCCTATGTAATTACAAGTCAAACGGCTAACTTTTCTGATATCAAGTACATTGTTGAACGGGTTTAACAATAGCAGAATCTGGCCAGTCTTATCAGTAATAAATCCGCCTCGATTAGTTGACTCTCACCTCTCGTTAAAGGCCCAGTTAATATCCTTTGATGCCTCGGGCCCATACCACTTCACCGAAGGAAATGTAGTCTGTCGCTCGGCGGTCTTGCCCCCTAGCGTTTCCGCGACACTGATCAACGACCTCTCCAATCCCCACATCTCCATCTCCTGTAGGCCCCCACGTCGTGCCAGTGTCATTATCCTTCTGACGAGGGCTGTGAAAGTTTCACGAGTTGCCCGCACGCGCGTTAGAATTAGTCTAGGCGGGCTCTTCATCGGATCCACTGCCCACGTCGCAAACGTAGAGGGTGAGGATGAATCAAGCAGCTCAGTTCCCCAGATATCAAACGTATACAAGTGCTGCGTGTGGCAGATGGAACGGGGGAGTTGATACGCTGCAACGCCAACGTCCGGAAGCAAGCTGATAGTGGCTCCTTCGGCTCCTTCGTCCTCGTCAAGTTTTCGGACAGTGAGATCCTTCCTTAGCATCCTGGCGTCCCTGGTCCACAGCGCTCTGAGGCCTTCGTCGTCGCCATAATCCTTCCAATGATGATCTTGGACCTGGAGATCATCCGTATTCAGTGCACCGTCTGAGAACTTCCAGATTGTAGAGATCGCCCTCTTGACCGCCCACCCCTCACTGTTTTCCTCCGTTGGACCACAGAGTGTGTAGAACTTGGGCCCAACATCGCTATATAGCAAGGAGAACCTGGCGTCACCAGTACCAGGCACTCTGGCTGGCGGCTCACCCCACGCTTTGGGAAAGTCGTCCGGGTTCAGCGAGTCCGCGGCGAGAACCCAGTGAAGTAGCTTCATCATGTGGGACGCATAGCCCTTCTTGCGGTGACGTGACGGAGTACACACTGCGAGGACGGAGAAGCAGGGCACTTCTTCGGGCTCACAAGTAGCCGCTTCAGCATCATGCCGTTTGACAAGGCCTCGCCTCTTGAAACTGCACTGCTGAGTGAGCTGAGAGATTGCACGAAAAAGGCGCTCACGTTAAGCAAGAACAGACGAAGTCCGTTGTTGTTGGATCCGATCTTGGGGCCAATACCCTGCGTGATATCTCCGTGAACACTGCAGTCCCGAGAATGAAGCACGGATTCGCAACTCACCATATGTTAACCTGGCCAGCGCCAGGATCCATGTACTGCTTGTAGAGTTTGTTGAGTTCTCTGTACTGCTCGTACGTGAGATGACCACCCCATTCGCCAAAGATGCGCTTGTCCAACTCGGGGTATTGCTCTCGGGTGATAGGATAGAGAGAAAACGATGCAAGAGGGTGCGTCGACATTGATGAGCTCGTTAGGAGTATTGGTAGAGATGATACAAATCGCTGCTGGTTATTGCGAGCTCTAGAAGAGCTCTGCTCCGCTATTTATATGTTCATGTCGTCTCGCGCAGCTGTTCACAGCGCAGTCCGCAGGTTCGGCAGACCGTGTTCATCGTATGTAGTTAGGACAGGGAAGGGATATGACCGAGTGGTACCCGAGTGGTGGCCGCGTGTCGACCGGGTGCTGACCGATTCCAAGGACATGGGGAAAGCTACGGGCGCTGGGGCGCAGCTTGCAATGGAGTGTTGGAGTCGGCGAGAATGCAACATATGCAACACCCGAACAATCATACGCGAGATAACTCCAGCTTCATCGCCATAACCTTAACCCAGTTCTAGGGGCAACGCACCAGCTCGGAGACGGCCGCGGGAGAAATGAACTCTAAACTCGCAAGCTGTACAGTTCACGGCGCTGCGAGACAGACAGAAAGTTAGTTGGGCGATCGCGCCGGCAATCCGCTTCCCTTCGTCCCTCAAGCTCAAAATCCCGGTCAACGCGAGTCGATAGCACCAATGGCTCCCTCGAAAAAGTCCAAGGCTACCAAGTCCACCGAGTCCATCTCGTCCCGTCTCGCCCTCGTCGTCAAGTCGGGCAAATACTCCCTGGGCTACAAGTCCGCTCTCAAGCAGATGCGCAATGGCAAAGGTACGCATCTTTCCTCGACACTCACACCGGGGACTGGAGCGTGAGGCTGAGAAGGTCCCTTGAGCTGACACCGTCTCCCCCTCCCTTGTATAGCCAAGCTCGTCTTGATCGCTGGCAACTGCCCACCGCTGCGTAAATCCGAGCTCGAGTACTATGCCATGCTTTCGAAAACGACCGTGCACCACTTCGCCGGCACTAATGTTGCCCTCGGCACTGCTGCCGGCAAGTTGTTCCGCGTTGGGTAAGCATCGCAGTCACTCTGTACTCTCTGCTCGGACGTACGCTTATTGTTGCCCAGTGTCATGACCGTCTCTGACCCCGGTGACTCTGATCTCTTGACCTTTGCCGAGGGCGTCGCTGCTTGAGGCATTGGTTGAGATTCTTGATGCACTGTACGGTTCATCTACCCCTTACTACACACCTAGGCATCTACTATGTTATGTGATTCGCAGTGTAGCTCACCTACACAAAAATGAATTCAACCCTCGGAGTTCACCCCTGTACTCACACATTGTATTATATGATATGATTGATTAATCATCAGGCCAGAAAAATCTGGGTTATCTAAATGTCCAAAGGTAATATTTCGACAGCAAAGTAAAAGCAATTTGAAAGTGTAACAAATCGAGAAGCAACAAGCTGGATGAAGATAAAGTCAGGGGCTACTACTGTGGCAGTGCAGGCTCTGCTACCTGGGACACAGCAATGTGTACTTGCTCCGGAGGTGCAGGCACCTGGTCAACTAGATCCGACAACTCCACATCCAAGTCGTTTTCATCTTCTTCTAAGGCCAAGCTCCCTAAATGTTGCTGCCTTTGACTTGGCATTGCTTCTATACCATGCCTAAGTTTCTGCTGTGCTTGTTGAGAAGGAGCATGCAAGTTGCCAGGCCATAGTGCAATGGTGTAAAATCTAGTGAGAGGACTCCCAGACACACTGCTGGATATGATGCTGGGCTCAGCTGCTGTCAGAGCAGGGGAGCACATTGCCTTCAGATCATAGAGGAGTTGATGTGCACTTGTGATATGATTGAGTAACTTCCACCGGACCAAGTGGTGGTTACAGTCTAGTATCCAGCCATTAGCAATCCAAATACTTTAAAGCATCTAGAACATAGTCACCTTTTGCAGGGCATGGGTACCGCATACTTTCAATATGTCCAGTTCTGATATGGTCCTTGAGACCCTGAAGGGTTCTGAAAGATAGAGCCATGCCAGCGCAGCGGGGCAAGCAACATTGGTAGGAGTGTAAAGTATTCTAAATCCATTGTATCAATAAACTGTCTAAGCCCTGTAGAGAAAGGGTAACCTAACCTTTCTTTGGTTCTGATCCTGGATATGGCAGTGCCTGTCAAGATGCTGTCGAGAAGTAATGAGTTGAAGTGGTCCAAAATAGTCTCAATGCATCAACACCTCCAAACCAATAAATAGAATATATCTGTCTTTCTTGGTGACGTGGCCTGCCAGCTCCAAAAAAGTTCTTGCTAGCTTTTGGCAAGCTAACTTGGATGTACCCAAGGATGTAGGATGTCCGAGTGTGAAACAAACAATTTACCTTATGCAATGTCTCAACAGAATTAAGCTGCATGCCACATCTGTTCCTCCCGGAGGTAGTCCAGTCACATTCAACAGGGTGAATGGCCATCTTTGCCTGATGGATGGCAGATTCAGCATCAGGATGCGAGAGGGTAGGCATGTTCAAACAATATTCGAGAGCTGAAGCCAACACTCGGAGTCACTGCCAGAGCACCAAATTGGGGCAAACATCTGTAAATAAATGTCGGATTCAGGTTGTGCTCCCACAGCTCCGGAAGGGAAGGAAAAGCCATCTTCCGCACTAAATGAGGGTCTGCCTATGGGAGACCATAGCTCCAGAGCTGCATTAAGCTTCATCCATGCCAGCTTCTCTGGTTCCTTGGAGACTTCTCAGCACTGCAAGCAGTATTGGTGGATGCACTTCCAGAGGTGCTAAATGATGCACACATCACAGCTGCCAGTGTGATAATGACTCAATTACATTCTTGTGGTCACAAACTTTGCCTTTGTTGCATGCTGGTGGAAGATCATCAAAGGGCATGTGTGGGAACTACTACATGTATTGACAGACCGTGCTGTAGAAGCTGAGGATTCAGCACTGTCAAAGGTCCCAGTCAGCACTGGCTCCTGACATCAGCAACAATACATCGTGCTGTTATAATTGTAATCAAGGTCAACTGTCAAACAACCTTGCCCTACCCCAACAGTGTAGAAAATGGCTTGCCAACAGGCCAATTCTAACAGTTCCTGATGAATGGTTGTGTGAGAACAAACTTCACTCTTGAGAATGATGTTGCATACAAGTTGCATAAGTCCACAGTGATTTGAGCAAATGACAATATACTAGCTAATGATGCTACACAGTGCACACGGAATGAAAAGTCTAGCAGGTACAGGATGTTGTTTGAGATACACCATAATAGCATGCTGAGGTACAGCTTGGATCCATATATTATCCATTGCAGCCAAAATACAAAGATCTAGTGTGGTGCATGTTCAAGTCTACCGCAATCGAGCCTCTGCAGCTCTTGCACGGCGCTCTCTTTCAATCCGGGCTCGTACATCTGGTGTCAATCCCAAAGTACTCTCTGTAGTGGCCGAAGCACCCCCAAGACGCTGAGGGCCCGACGGAGTGCGGGCCGGACAAGATGGTGGCGGCACCTCTGCCGGCTCAACCATCACTTCGGACAAGTCACGTTTGTCTGACTTCTCACGTTGCTTCGCTTCACGCTCTCTTATCTTATCCTTAAGTCCCTTCCGCCGTTGTTTCTTCTTGTCATCGCGGTCAACTTCCATCTCCTTAGTCAGTGCACTTGGCACATGTGCTGTTCCGAACCAGTCCCACCAGTCGGGATGTTCTGCAGCACACCGACGAAACACATTCCGAACGGCTTTCGAGTGTGCGAGGTCGTAGGCAGTTCGGCCAGAGGTTTGTGTGGCGGGGGTATCAGAGACATCAGATGCATTGGCATCCTCCGCGTCGAGGATGTGTCCGGAAACAGGGATCGTTGGGTCGGCGTGTAGATCGTACAAGAGCCATTGAACGACGGCTTCCTGTTCAGCTTGAGCAGCGACCTGAAGCAAGGAAGTGCATCGATCGCCAGTCCAGTCCGGGATCACGGCATTGACGCCTCCAAGGATCTCGCCCTCACGATCCCAGAATAGTTTAAGAGGTTCGAGCCGTCCTTTTGTGACCATCTCGAAAAGACGGTGCCATGTCTCGCGCGACTGTTCCTCTTCCTTAGAGAGACGCGGCTGCTTGGGTTTTTCGGGCTCGGCAGTCTTTGGTACAGAGGGAGGGGGTTTCGGTTTCGGGAGGGAGGCGAGGTACGCTTCGTCTTGCGCGCGCAAGGCATCTTCTGTGAAGTGCGAGACTTTGACTTGAATAAGTTCGTTGAGGCAACGAGAGAGTTCTGACTGCGTCTGTGAGGACGTCATCAGCTTTGACCGAGTGGTACATGTGAACAGCAGTTACCGGCCTGTTCGTTGGGAAGGGAAATGTACGTAGTCGATCGTCACCTTGGGTAATGTGAGCTTAAAAGCAACGCGAAATGAAGTTATGGCGCACCTTTCTGAATGACAGAGCCTTCGTAATCCAGGAAAATCCTCCGGTTTGAAACACTCGCGCGGATCCATATGCGTTCACATTGGTGGATTTCGTCGGCCCATGCCTCTATTAGACCCCGGATGTCCTTCAGCAATTAAGAATATCGTCAAAAACACGTCTAAGGCAAAGATGCTTCAACTTACGTCTCGAAGAGCTCGCTCGCCATATCGGCGAAGCATGGCACCAGCACTAATAGCCGCACCCTTGGCATTGTCATTCAGACCCTGCGATCCACCCTGCTTTTTACGCGCTGGATGTGAGGTTTAGTTGAAGCACCGCATCGCAAAAGAATGTCACTCACTAGTATATCTATGAAATGTTTTGTGAAGCAGTATTTCGGTTTCAGGCTTAGGCTTTGGAGGTTTCTTTTTCGCTTTAGCTGACGGCGCAGGCTCTTCCTCTCCAGAAGGATGGCTGACGCGCACGATGGCCCCGGCAAAGTGGCCGCCCGCGGTCATGAATAAGGCCCACTTCCTTCCGCCTTCCACGGGAGCTTGCATCTCCTTCAGCGACGACAGGTACGATGATGCCGGTGCATCCTGAGGAAATAGTAGCCGGTATACACCAATCTGAGTTGCTGGGGGAGTGTGGAACCAAACAATAGCGGTTCGAGGAGCGTTGGGTTTCTCTGATGGAGAGGGAGACCTAGATATCCGCTTGTTTTTGTTCACCAGAGCCTTGACAGCATCAGACTCCGACGAATCGTCATCGGAGGATGCGGAACCGGATAAAGAGTCGTCAAGCCCTGACGATCATGAGTTGATATACACATCAATGACCTAAAAACACACCATCCACCAGCTCATCAAAAGCAGCCTCGGTTACAGGGTTTCCTCCATTCAAACGAATCTTGACATTGTATCGATGCCAGTCGGAGCGAAAGTGGGATCGCTGTGCGTTAACGTCTTCAAAGGCAGCAGAGAGGCAAATGTTGCAAGCGCGCGCGTTACCAGTTGATGAGGGGAGGACAGGTTCGGGAGAGGGTGCGGGTGGTGGTGTCTGACTGATCAGATTTCGAGGTGTGAGCGCCTCTAACAGTGAGTCTGGCAGAGAGAACAGGTGATAGCGCTGCGCCATGAACAGTCTAGAGGTGCCTGAGTAAATGGTGGGGAGTGTTGGGCTGCGGGTAGGTGCTATTTCTCATCGGAGGGCTTTGAATTTGTAGATCTGAGTCTGGGGCAATGGCCGCCTCCGATGACGATGACTTGAACAGGAGTCAAAAGTCGCGTCTCGCTTCTGGCTCGTTCGGAGATGACCGAACTTGTCAAACGTACATCCAACCAGTGCGAGTAAATCAGATGGTTCGCTAGCAGGACAACGTGCCTCTTCTCTGCGTCTTGTAGCTCTCAAACTAGGCGTTGCTTGCATAATGACTTCCAGCGAATTCGCCAACAGGAAGAAGGTCGCATTATTTGATGTCGATGACACCCTTACTCGTCCAAGACAGGTGACTGCCCTCGTCTCGTCTGTATCACTGATGTCGAACCCATGAGTAGAAAGGATCCCCAGAAATGCTCGAGCTTCTGAGGAAAGTCAGGAATAACGTCGCGATTGGCTTCGTTAGTGGATCAGACCTTGTCAAGATCACTGAGCAACTGACGATTTCCGGAAACAATGGTGCGCGTGTTCGAACCTTTGTCACCCCTTTCTGGCCCTTATGTTGTTCAAGTGTTGGAGGACTTTGATTTTGCCTTTGCGGAGAACGGTCTTACTGCTTATCGGCTTGGGAAACCTCTTGAGTCCCAGTCATACATCAAAAGCATTGGCGAGGACAATCACAAGAAACTTGTCAACTTCATTCTGCACTACATAGCCGACCTCGACATCCCTGTCAAGAGGTGAGTAAACGATCACAGTCAATGTCCTCCACAAGCTGGATGGTGGCTATCTAGAGGCACATTTATTGAATTCCGGAATGGCATGATCAACGTGAGCCCTCTTGGTCGCAACGCTACGTAGGTTGTCGCCCAGCCGTTTTTCCAGTGTTGACATTAACATCCTTCAGCTTGCAAGAGCGCCACGACTTTGAGGCCTATGACAAAGTATGAAAAACCTTGATTATTTGGCTTTATTCTAACCTAGGCTAGATCCATGGTGTTCGAGTTGCATTTGTCAAGGTTCTGCGAGAGAAGTTCGCGGACCTCGACTTGACTTTTTCTATTGGCGGCAAAATCTCTTTCGACGTCTTCCCGAGAGGGTGGGACAAGAGGTATTCTCTGCGTCACGTTGAGAAGGAAGGCTTTGAAGAAATCCACTTCTTTGGTGATAGCACTCAGCAGGTACGGAGTCTGACTTTGAGTGCTATTACTGTTGTTCTGAACGATTTATTAGGGAGGGAACGACTACGAAATCTTCGCTGATCCCCGTACGATTGGGCATACTGTTACTTGTCCCGAAGATACGATGCGCATCCTCACGGAGCTCTTCCTTTAAAATCTTCAGTTATACTATATACCCCAAATAGGGAGGCCATGGATATAGAGTACCATGTAGGATATATGATAGCAGAATCCACTCCTTGGTGCAGTCAGAGGGTCGTTAGGTATCTTCAAGGCTTTAGCACAGGCGGTATTGCAGGCGAGACCCCAAACACCACTGCACAAATAGGAGCATACGCGTTTTCGACGTGACCGCGCCGCGTCCATCATATTAAGTTACGACGCGCTACGACAAGCCTTCGACAATACGCTTGTCTGCCCCAGCACCTTTTTCATCAAACTCAAGTAAAGATTACATCTCTACTTCTGTGTGACGTGCACAGAACATTGCTGTGTCTTTGCTAGGACCTCTTCAGTACATTTGTCTGCTCATGGCACCCTCAGTATTGTCTGCGCGCGAAAACCAGCCTCTGGCCCGGACACGGTACGTCCCTTTGAATGGTAGTCCTGTGCGACAACACCTGACTCTCCTTAGGACCAAGCCCGATGGCGAGTCCGAACCGACATCCAAACGACGCAAGGTTGAGCCTATTCCGACGACCACGCCTTCTCAGTCGCAGCCGCATACTCAGAGCAAGGTCCCAGCACAGTCGTCATTCGCTGATGTGCTACAGCGCCTTCAGGAGACGAAGAAGGGCTCAGGTGCGCGATCTCGAACAGACACCACGAAAAAATACTGAACCCGTACCATGATATTTCTTTAGCCGCTGCTGAAGGTGGGGCTGATTGCTGGGCACGCCCACAGCTCCCGCCTATCAACGAAAGCAAAGACACTATTGGTCAGCCCAGCCTGAACGACGTCTTTAGATGCTTGGCTCATTGACCCCAGTTTTCCAGCAGTTAGACGTTGAGGAGGGCTTCCACGACCGTTCAAATGGCACCGTTGGACTGAGGATGTATGGTGTCACTGAGGTGAGATCCCCTGGTGCACATCTTTGTGCGACTAATAGAGATTATAGGGCGGCCATAGTGTCTGTGCGACCATTACCCATTTTGCGCCTTACTTCTACATCCCTGCTCCGCGAGGCTTCACAAATGATGACATCGACGCCTTTAAGGATGAGCTGAATGTGCGTTGAGATATCGTTATGCATAGTTTTTGGCTAAGTATGTGCATGGATGCAGCGTCTAGTTGGCCAGGAACCTGATGCAGTAATGCGAATTGAACCCGTACAACGGCGAAGTCTCTGGGGCTTCAGAGGAGACGACTGGGTATCCTTCCTCAAGATTTTCACGTTAGAGCCCAAGGCAGTTCCTAAAGTCCGAGATACGTGGTTAATCTAGGCTCATTGAAATCAAGGCTAATTTTTTATTTTCCATCGAATGATTACGCTTGTTCGAAAGGGGCGAATGTCAGTTTCGAGACCTGTTCGCGGCTGGGGAGGTTTATCCGACGTTCGAGAGTAATGTTGCTTATGTGCTCCGGTTTATGATCGATACCAAAGTACGTCCAGCGTTTGTCGTGGTGTTGCCATTCATTGATGTTTGTTAAGGTTGTGGGCATGAACTGGATTGAAATACCAGCAGGGAAATACAAGCTTGTGCCACAAAAGGACAAGAAATCGACTTGCCAACTGGAACTGACCACGCGGTAGGGTCTAGTTCTCGTCCGATCAGTAGCAGCTATGCTAACGCCTTGTTAGACACGATTCTTTCATATCTCATCCTCCTGACGGGAAATGGCAGACCATTGCTCCCCTGCGTGTCCTCAGTTTCGATATCGAGTGCGCAGGTCGAAAGGGTATCTTTCCTGAAGCGCAGGTAGACCCAGTCATCCAGATCGCGAACATGGTAACGATCCAAGGTAATTTGTCTGTATCGCCGCCATGTTAACACGGGTCGCTCACCGTGAACGCAGGCGAAAGCCAGCCATTCATCCGCAACATCTTCACCCTCAACACATGTTCCCATATCGTTGGCTCTCAAGTGATGTCCTTCAACGATGAAGCGGAGATGCTCAACGCCTGGTCACAGTTTATTGCTGAGGTCGACCCCGATGTCATCATTGGGTATAACATTTCAAATTTCGATTTTCCTTACTTGTTCGACCGGGCGAAGCATTTGGGAGCCAAGCAATTCCCCCAATTTGGACGCATGAAAGGTATTAACCCTCATACAACATGCAAGACCATATTGCTATAACGTTCTTAGGTTGGGCGGCCGCGATCAAGGACACGCATTTCTCTTCAAAAGCATTCGGGCAGCGGGATTCGAAGGAGGCGTTGATTCACGGTCGTCTGCAACTCGATGTGCTGCAATTCATGCAGCGGGAGCACAAACTACGAAGTTACACCCTCAACTCTGTCTGTGCCCAGTTCCTAGGTGAACAGAAGGAAGACGTGCATCATTCCGTCATCACCGAACTGCAGAACGGTGGTCCGGAATCTCGTCGCCGTCTCGCCGTCTATTGTTTGAAGGTTGGCCGTTGCAATGTCTTTCCTTGAATATCTCTGACGAGGTTTTCAGGATGCTTATCTTCCACAACGTCTCATGGATAAGCTCATGTGCTTCGTCAACTACATCGAGATGGCTCGTGTCACTGGAGTACCTTTCAATTATCTTCTAAGCCGTGGTCAATCCATCAAGGTGTTGTCTCAGTTGTACCGCCGAGCCAATGAAGAGGGGTATGCGATTCCGGCCTTCAAGGGTGAAGGTACTATCACTTTCCCATCTCATGAAGGAGACCCTTGACAATTTTACGTAGGCAGCGACGAACAGTACGAAGGTGCCACCGTCATTGAACCCAAAAAGGGCTACTACGATGCACCCATTGCGACGCTGGATTTCAGCTCCTTGTATCCCTCTATCATGATGGCTCACAACTTATGCTATACGACCCTCCTGGATAAAAAGACCATTGACCGACTAGAGCTCGTCAAAGACGTTGACTACATTCAGACACCAAACAACGGTACGCCCTACATCTTCTTGGTGGGCACTTTCGTTGATAGTGCATCACCAGACTTCTTCGCGACCGCAAAGATGCGCAAAGGTCTACTTCCCAGTATTCTGGAAGACCTGATCGGTGCCCGAAAGCGAGCTAAGGCTGATCTGAAGAAAGAAACAGATACTTTCAAGCGCGCCGTGTTGGATGGCAGGCAGCTTGCCTTGAAGGTCGGTTTACCGTCCCTCACGTAAAAACCATATTTCTCTCAGTTTGCATAGATCAGCGCCAACTCTGTGTACGGGTTTACGGGAGCGACCATCGGAAAACTTCCTTGTTTGCCAATCTCATCCAGTACGACTTCGTATGGTCGACAAATGATTGAGAAGACGAAACAGGTTTGTGCAGCTTATTACGACTTCATTTCGAGGAATCTCATTTAATATTGTAGGAAGTCGAAGCCGAGTTCTGCATCGCAAACGGCCACGCACACAATGCAGAAGTCATCTACGGTGATACTGATTCTGTCATGGTAAAATTTGGCCCCTCCGACCTCAGAGAAGTTATGGCCATGGGTGAGCATCCTCCACAACATAAGTTTCGTTGTTTTGTAATGGCCATACAGGAGCCCAAGCTGCCGACTTCGTGACAGCTAAGTTTATAAAGCCCATTAAACTGGAATTCGAGAAGGTCTACTTTCCCTATTTGCTGATCAGCAAGAAACGATATGCTGGACTCTATTGGACGAAACCCGAGAAATATGATAAGATGGACTCTAAAGGTATCGAGGTGCGTCGTGTCACGCAAGTCGTTGCGTTGTGATTGACAGACAAATTCAGACTGTTCGACGTGATAATTGTCGACTGGTCTCTACGGTTATCGAGACTTGTCTCCACAAGATGCTTATTGACCGAGATGTCAAAGGAGCAGAAGAGTGCGTCGCTCTTACAATATATCTTCAGGATCGGATATGCTCATAGCTTCGAAGCTATACCAAGAAGATGATATCAGACCTTCTGCTGAACAAGGTCGACATGTCTCAGCTTGTCATCACAAAAGCGTTGGCTAAGGCTGGTATGCCCTTTCCATGCTATTTTCACCGCAGGGTTCGCTCACTACTTGTGAAGATTATGCCGCAAAGCAAGCTCATGTTGAGCTAGCGGAGCGTATGAGACAACGAGACGCGGGTATGTATCTTGTTCATCTTTAACATACAACACCTGACGATGCTGTTCTAGGTTCCGCACCTGCTCTCGGAGATCGTGTCGCCTATGTCATCATTAAGGGAATGAAAGGTATGTTTAATTTCTCTGATAAAAAGCTTTTCGTTGATTTTGTATTAGGTGCTGCTGCATATGAGAAGTCTGAAGATCCCTTGTTCGTTTTGGAGAACAACATTCCCATTGATACCAAGTACTACCTGGAAAATCAGCTTTCGAAGCCTCTTATGAGAATTTTCGAGCCCATTCTTGGGGAGAAAGCAAACTCACTTTGTGAGCCCCATCTTTACCCAATACGCCGAGGCGAGACTGATTCTTTCAAGTGGCTGGTGAACATACAAGAACTATTCAGATAGCCACGCCAAGCGTTGGCGGCCTCATGAAATTCGCTGTCAAAACTGTGACATGTCTAGGATGTAAAACACAGCTGAGACCCAACAACAGTGTGAAGAGTACGTATCAATCACACGATAATAAACATTAACTGACGATACTGTCCAGACGGTGCTGTCTGCAACAACTGCCGACCCCGCATCGGCGAATTGTACCAGAAGCAAATCATGCAAGCATCACAATCACAAGTACGGTTTTCTCGTTTGTGGACTCAGTGTCAGCGGTGTCAAGGATCCCTGCATCAAGTAAGCGACAGCCTTTTTATTAGAGCTTGATTACTCAACTACCATATAGGACGTGCTCTGCTCGAGCAAGGATTGTCCAATCTTCTACATGAGGAAAAAGGCTCAGAAAGACGTCGAGGACGCAAACGCTGTCCTAGAGCGATTTGACGAAGACCTGTGGTAATCGAGTGGTAACTTACGGGAGTTACAGGAGTTCCATGCGCTTTTGTTTATTTCATTGGTTTGGACTTTGTACTTTTACGGATTCAGATGTATTCTACTACAACATTAATAACGAGGTGCTCCTTCAGTTTCACCACCTAAACTCACTCCAACAATCACTTCATTCTAACATGACTAGGGACGCGTCGCGATCAGATCACGTGAACAGAGTTCTTGGAAATACACCTTTGTTGAACGTCAACGACGACCAGCACGCGTCCCGTCCTTGCCAAGTTGCCAACGCACCCCCAGCTAAACAACTCTCGCGGAGCGGCTTGGAACATAACTTTTCAACCATGGTCCAACAGAGACATGCCAGAATCGCCGAAAGCGCGGTCAATTACTATTCGGATTCGGGAGAAGACACCGAGGCGGAGACTCCTCGTACAACGCGTCCTAATCTCAAGAAGCGTCTCAGCGAACGATTTGTCGGCGGTGACGATGGATCGTATGAACCGGACACCAGACAACCTCTTCAGACAGTCAACATCAATGATGATGCGGCAGAGAAACGACGGCGAAGGAAGAGTGTTAAACCTTCTGGTCTCGAGGGGTCACTCGCGGGCCCTTCGTCGGAAGGCGACACCATGGCTCAGGATCAACCGGAAAGCTCTCGTGCAGCGCAAATGAAGCAACGACAGCAGCAGCTTAATGCTGTCGCCGCCCCTCAGCCTCCTGTTATCAATGTCCCTCACGACGTGATGGCAATCAACTTTGACGAATGGATGAAGCTAGTCACTGATAACGTACGCGTTTTAGTGCTTGTTTGCCTTTTCAGCTGATGAATTACTTCTGGTTTGTAGAAAATCAATGCAGGCAACGCATGGAATGTCGCTCTCATCGACTACTTCCATGACCTGTCCCTCATGCGCAACGACGGCGACAAGTCAATCAACTTCCAGCGAGCGTCTGCTACACTAGACGGGTGTGTCAAAATCTGGACGAATCGCGTGGATAGCGTCGGAACCGAGACGGGAAAGCTCCTTAGCAATCTGGCGAACGAGGGCGGAGCTGCCGAGGAGGAGGACGAGCCCACATCAGACAACCCGGACGGACAGGACCCCTCTCAGGCGAAGAAGCGCAAGAAAACGCATCGTCACGAAGCTACATTGGCAAAAGATGTGTCTCAGCTGAAGAAGAAGGTGGACACCGAGTTCAAGGTCGATCCCTTGTTCCGCAAGACTTGCGCCGACTTCGACGAGGGCGGAGCACAAGGCCTTCTTATGAACCACCTCAGTCTAGGTATGGGGTCGAGTGGTGGGCTTCGAGTTGTCTTCGATGCCAGTGACGCGATGGGTCGCGTCGCAGAAGACGAAGAAGACGAACAGGAGCCCGAAGAGGACGTTGACCTCTCGTACCTGCGACGTGAGTGCTACATCACAAGCGCCTTTATGATTCTCACTCGCGCTTCTCAGAGCACTTCCTGCCTGACTTGGACGACCTCGAGGACAAGGAAATCACGCATTCAATAACTGGCTTCTCGTTCTCTCAAGCTAACACTCCTCTCGAACAATCTCTTTATGCTGAGAACTCACAACATGCATTCGACGATGATGATGATGACAACGAGCAAATAACATTCGATCGTTACGGTGGAGCAAGTGCAGGCAGCGCTGGCGGCGGTGATGCCCCCATGGATATCGACACTATGGGGGCCGCCGAACCGCCACCAGTAGAAGAAGACTTCTTCCAAGGTGATCAGGCGGCCGACAACGATTGGGACGGCGGGTTTGGAGGTGGTGACGACTATGGTGGCGGTGAGGAAGGTTCACCAGATGCCGAAGTTACCCAGCAAACAGATGCACGCCCTGGTGGCTTTGTACCATTTGATCCTCGTCGTGCTGCACCCAACGAGCGAGATTTGATTCTGGCTATGACGGATGCCGATGACGGGGGGATGGCAGGTTACTTCGACGCCAACTTGCTCAAGAACTGGGCAGGCCCGGAACACTGGAAACTCCGGAAAGTCATCAAAAAACGTGAGTTTCTTTTCTGCCGCTTGAGTCAAGCCAGCTTGAAATTCATGGTTGGTCCCCACCAGCCGAAGCACCCGAGGGTACTGCTGCCAAGCCTCGGCGAGAAAAGAAGGAGGCTTTTAAGATTGATTTTCTCACTCCCGCCGAAAAGGACATCAAGGCGACCGCGAAGGAGCTCTTTGCTCCTGTAACGCGTGGCGCTGGCATTACTCTACCTAACTATGGCTCATCAAGAACTTCCTCGAAGAAAGGTGGTCGAGGCAAAAAATCCAAGGATGAGAAGCGGGACGAACATACCTTGCCCGATGACATGCACTTCGCAAGTACGCAACTTGTTACGCTATTCCTCAAGCCCAAATTTTCTGTATGTGCGCTGTATGTATTGGTCAGGATATTTCACTGACGTCTTCTTGAAGCTCAAAATGCGTGGTCAACGTGTTCGATATAATGAGAACGGCGACGGTGAAATTGACGAGAAATTCTGGGCCCAAACGGCAGCTGATGAGGCTGCTGGACGAGTACCGGAGGGCGACGAAAGTGTGTAGTCTCCTAGTTCATAACCCCCCTTTGGCTCATCGCTGTTCTCATAGCTGGCGACGTAGCTCCTTTCAACACCCAGTTCCTCCAGGATGATTACGATGATGGACCCGGCTTTGACGACATTTACGAGGGCGATGCTCCTGCCGTCGAGGACGCCGGTGAACAAGATCTACTTGCTGCAACCGCAGGCCGAATACGGCGAGTACGGCCAGAAACTGTCAATTATGCGAAGCGCGCCAAGCGGGTCGATGTTCGTAAGCTCAAGGAGAACATCTGGAAGGGCTTGGACATCAAGCTGGCCGAAAAGAAAGAAGAAGATGAGGATGAGGATGACATGGTTCGTATACTCGAATAGTATAGACGTTCTAGAACTGACTGACTGTCCTTTTATAGGATGTGGACGATGACCCGGAGGCTACAGACCCTACTGAAGCACGAACATTCGACAACGTCATCTCGTCTTTGCAGCAATCGTATCCCAAGGACAAGATGGAAGAAATCAGCACCAGCTTTTGTTTCATTTGTCTTCTCCACCTTGCCAACGAACAAGGCCTAAAGATCAGGACGAATGAACCAATCCCCGACGATGAAGAGGAAGAGGAGGAAGATGAGTCCCACGAGGACCGGAAGAACATTGGTGATATATGGGGCCTACAGGTTTGTACCACATTCGCCACAATTCCTGAGAGGTTTAACTGACACTTGGCTCGTGACAGATATATAGAGACCCGAACGCCACACGTTCGGCATAATTTTATCAGTCGTAGCGACATCATGACTTTTCCATCGTTTCTATGATAGTGGACAAGATAGTTTAATCTCAACCTTTTACCCTATGTTGATCTTGATCACTTCTTGCTTTTGATGTACCTGTACCATATCTTGTCGATTCTCTTTTTGTTGTAAATTATTCCGCGCGGGTGATTTGGACGAATCCTAGCGCCTTCATCGGATAGAAGGCAGCAAAAAGCTGAGGTGGAACCATAAAAGAGCTTAAGATCTCTAAGAGTAAATGGTAATGTTACATGTGATACTAAGGCTACAGTGGATGGGGGTATCTACCAATCCGAAGAAATTCGGGACGCGGTACAGAAATTTGCGCGTCTCTAACGCGTCGTAAAGGTCGTCTATGAAAAGGGCATGTATCGTGGGTGAGAAGAACAAGCATATAGTCGCATGAGATTAGGAATATGGGGAGAGCATCTAACGGAGCCTGGTCTTGAGCGACTTCCACAGGGATTCCTTCTGCTTCTGGTGTTTGGCACTAAGCGCCAAGTAATCTTCGTAGGCCTTGTCGGGCAACTCAATCATGTCGATTGTCTCCGAAGGGAAGGGGAAGACAGCGAGGATGTCCGAAGGTGCAATGCGCGCCCGCGGGACACAAGATGCCAAGAAAAGGTGGTCGCCAAACGGCGTGTAGGTGTATACGTCGAGCCAGTTATCGCGGCAGCTGTGATCGCGTGCGGCTAGAAAAGCATACAGTTAGTGTGAATATTCACTTGAAGGATACTTGAAAAGAAAGCCTACCTTGGACAACGACGACTTGGTGTTGGACAATGGCAATTGCGACAGATCCGTGGTTCATGATGGATTCGAGGGATGCTTGATACAAAACTTTATGGATACAGAGGAGAGAGCGAGCTCGAAAAGAAAGGGAAGAGACAGCGAGAGACTGCTGCTGCGGGAAGCTGCTGGAGTGTAGACTGAGTACTGACTTGAGTGCAGCAGCGCACAAGCTTTATGTATGCTCAGGCATGAAACGGGACCATTGTTCTGTGAGGACTTGTACTTGGGATAACAAGAACGTGAGTCCTCGTGTTCCCGTTAGTCAATAAGCCATTGGCTTAAACAGTGGTATGGTACAAGACCGCGTAGAGTGCGGCTCAAGTCGGACAACGTGAGGGTATGATCGACCGACTGACCCCAGCCTCCAAATGATAGTCGCGTTGTTCTCCTTTGTGCCATTTTCGCTAGTCTTCATTCCCGATTTGGCTGGTACTTTGCAACTCACTTGTGCCTGGCCCTGTCCAGTGTCCAACTCCGGCGCTTGTCTCCGTCGGCATTACTGTACTCTGGTGCTGAAACCTCCAGTTTTCATTAGCCAGCTCCTCGCAATTGTGACGCAACAGGGACAAAGACGATGGTATGTATCTGCTGCGTAGCATCCTACTGGAACACCTTTTGGCTGCGGCTCTGGTTGGTGGCACTAAGTTGGTAATAAGTAGGAGTGTCGGGCCCGAATCGTCTCGCTTGTTCTAGTAGCAAATGTTGTGCCTTCTATGCAATACAACCGACCTTAAACGCATATGCCACCTGTACTCCCACTTTCAACGATTTACAACGAGCACCTGCAAGTCATCGGACTTCACGACTAGCTAAACAATAGCTTACCTAAAGCCTGGATGAGCTGATAAATTCCAAAGGGATTGCACCTACGACAAGGTTCTCTGGTGTCATTTCATACTTCTTCTCAAGAATCGTGAAATGAGCTACTGGGATGCGTCAGTCTCAAGTTTGAGACGAAGGGAACACGGCTTTAGGTGGTCAACAACGCGCCAAGCTTGGATAATACCTTATATCGTAGAACACTACGAAATGGGAATGAGTTGAGAGCGTTGCTGAGCTCACCAACGTTAGAACATGTTCATATGTGCAGATTACCCTCCGTCCAGGAAATCCGAGCCTATGTCAGAGCCTATCTCGAAATTACCGAAAGGGTACCCCATGGGCTGGTTATACCCGCTCACAGACGTATGTGGAATAATACACCATGACATGTTGAGAAAAGCCAGCAGTGCGGATGCACTCTTTACTACGCGGATACGAAACAATCCACAGGAAAGCACTCTCACCTTGACACCAAGCTTGTCTAAGACACTGGTAACACTCATAATGTTTGCTACTCAGCCCGGATGCTGGCGATACATCAAGCTGGTAGGCAAGATGCATTGTATGTGTTGCCAACATGCTTTGATACATTGCAATGGTGGACGTCAGGAACCAGAGTGAGGGCATAGCCGATGCTTCGCCCGTGAGAAGTCGAAAATATTGACTATGTTAGCGGTGATCGAATAAGCGACATGAGTTTTACGTTGTTCTAAAGACAAGTGCTTTGGTGCTTGAGATCAAAGGATTAGCCACATAGGACTCCATGGATCATGCAGTGATTCCTGCAACACATGAAACGATAGAGCCAGTATTCGGAGGGCTGACAATCGTGTTGAGACAATTGATACAAAAGCCCCAAAATAATGATCTGCGCCGAGACGTGCATGGGCTGGATGACTCAGTATAAGGACATAGTTTGCACGATGCTGACATGTTGCATTCTTGCTTAATTTCCACCTTAGCGAGCGGTAGCGTGCTGTTGTCATCGTTGGCGGCATCATAATGCTGCCATAGTTTGGTAGTGTTGCAAGGGGAAAAGAGAGCTTAGCAAGAGCATGAAGGTCTCGACTCTCGTCATGCGCCATTAAGCCGCAGACTTGTCTGAGTCTAAGCTGTTGGCGGGTCGGTACGCGGCGAATGCATGCGAGGAAAGCCGAGGCGTTCAGAAGGTCGAAAGGAAACACAATAATCAAACGCGCTGCACCAAGCTGAAGCCGGAAGGCAGAGGGTCACTGCAGGTGCTGGCTCCCTTTGCCGACAATTCCAGCTTGGGCCAGCGGTCTTGATTCTAATGGGGATGAACACACGCCATACAAGCGTGCGCATGTTGTATTCTTTCCTAGTCGAATGACTTGTGTCGCTGATGAGGTGGTAAGTCGACGGTAGGGGTCGAGGTGCAACCCACACAATACGCTGGAGCGGAGCATAAAGTGCATTCGGCATTTTCCGAGAGTAGGTGAATTACCAAAACTTCGAAAATTTCAAGTGCGGCTTAAAGTACGATATTAAGCGCCAATTCGGTAGACTCACAGTCGACCTGCCGGCAATTCGTATTGCAGATGTTATAAAGCCACATAAATTTGGAAACATATTTACACCGCCAGTCATGCAACTTAACATCATTAAGTACTATATCTCCCTAAGCCTTCTCAAAGCAAACGGTCAAACTTACAAAGAAAGTAGCAAAATTAGTACCGGGCAAAGCAAATCTCAAGTTTGCACACAAAGAAAAGCGCAGCTAATCCTGTGCCGCTGCCTTGGCCGTTGCAGTGGATTAGAGAGGACGGCGCATTCTCAACTGAGGCTGCCAGCTTCCCTGGCTGACATGATGGACGCTGACGAGGATAAGATCCTCAAGCTTGATGCTGTTTCTACCGCCAACCCGCCATTTCGGGTCCTCGTCATCCTCCATCGGCTTCTTCTCCATTCCCTGGCGGAAGTAATACGTAAGCTGAGAATAAAGGCTGGAAACCCCTCCAAAACATACCTCGATGAATCGCTTGACGCAGTTCGCAATGTTCTTCGCGAGCTTCTCCCGAGTGATGGGTTGCTTCGGGGTGCGGAAGTCCTTGGTAGGAATCTGACGCGTCCAGGAGGCATAGCCAGGCCACTGGATGCGGATCGACACAGACGGTCCTTCGCCTTCGAACACTACATCTTCTTTGTCAATCAGATGTTTGCAGCTGGAACGCAGTGCATCGATAAGAGGCACTCCTGACTCCCGGGGATGCTGGTTCTCGAAGGCGATGTATCCCATGAGCTCAGCCTCTTCGATGCACCGACGCTGGTCGGCGACAGTGTGAGGTTTATAGATCTTCTGTGGAATAAAAATCGATGTCCCCGTGGCCATGATAGTGGTGTCTTGTATACTTTTCCACTCCTCGATATGCCTGCGGCGAGCGCGCCGATGACCGACCTGTCGAAGACGCATCTTCAGTCATTATGATATGTAGTTAAATCCGCAACTTACGTGCTGCTCATGCGACGATTGCTGGTCGGGATCGAAGTTATAAGACTCGCATGCAGGTGAGTGCGAGTGAGAGATTCGTGAAGACGGACTAGCCAGCTGAGACTGACTCATCAGAAACATGTAGGCAAGCAACCTGTATATTCACCATTATTGGGAAACGCACGTCGATTGGGTGCAAACCATACGATGATACGAGACCTTGAATTGGCTTCGCCTCTGCATAGCCGAAGGGCGCTGCGGGTGCCGAGGAGGTGAGCATGCTGTAGTTACCCATGGGCTGGAATGGACGTCAGTGACATAGAAGCTTACAGCAAATTTGCAGCAAATATACAGCACGACACTTGCCATTCCGCTTACACCGGCCTGCAGTGTGGCTGTCGAAGAGACATGAGAGATGCTTTGAAAATGCGTTACGCTAGGAATGACTGTAACACTGGGAAATCCACTATCCGGTGAGTTGCTGGACCCCGATAACTTGAAAGAACCGTACTCATTGTCAGCAAAATGGATGTCGATGCGGGGAACCTGAGGGTTTCGCTGCGAACTTGAATGACTCGGCATAAACCTTGTATACGAATGTATCCCAGAAGGCTGACAATTGTTATGGTCAGAAAAACGACATACATGGCAAGCTGCATTACTCACTAAATCCAAAGTGTTGGCAGTATCGTTCAGGGAATCCATGGGCGGCGCATCTTCCACGTCAAACGAAGATGGCGAGAAAATATTGTCTTGAGGCCAGTTGATATCCGACATGAGGTGCTGGTAATTGGAGGGTGATACACAGGGTTTGAAAGTCACCGGCTTATGTACCACAGTCCAGCGAAGGTTCGATGGTGGTGAGATGAGATAAGTGCGAACGCCCCAAGCGCTTGTGCGACCAAGGTTTATAAACCGTTGATGACTAGCCACATCGAGCTCCACTGAGTCGCATTCCTACTGTCTTGTAGCGCCCCTGCACCGGATGTGATCTTGATGCAATACTTTTGGACCTGCTTGATCAGTTTTCCTGGAAAGCAGTTCACTTGTTAAATGGCACTGTAGGGTTTGGATGATGTGAATTTTGCACTACTCATTTGCACTATTTATGCGTGAAAATTGCATCCTTTCAGTGTAATTTTTGCTTACAGTAATGCAATTTTTGCTATAAACCGAGTTGCAAATTTTGCCGGGAAAAGTTAAGATTTTGCTTATCGATTTTGGGTACCCAAAGTGCAAAATTTGCCGCATTTTAGTGCAAATTAGCTAGCATAGACCCCTTACCCTTGGATATTGATCAACCGGTATTCACGCGTTCACGCAGTGTAAATCGAGCACACGGCAATATATTGAGGCAATGACTACAATACAGGGATGGTGTGGTTCTATGTACAGTACACCATGGCATGGGTAACACATAATGCCCTGGGAAGGTGGCGAAAAGGGGGAACAGGGAGAGGTGAGAGGTAGGATAGACCGAGGAGGGGACGGATAAGGCACCAACAGCATGTTGGTAGTACTATTAAAGACGGGGCAGGGCACATATGTCAAGTAAAGTATGGGGTGCTTACTTTAGTGCGGCAGTCGCAAAATGTTCTAAGACAGGGAGAGTGTAGCGTCAGCACATGCATCAGGCAGGCAGCGAGAGCAGAGCACTTACCATTACGGTTTGAAGAGTGCTTCGGCACAATGTACGGGCACGGAAGTGATGGTGACTGATGGAACGGGAAGGGGACGGAAAGGTAACGATGGAGGTGGGACGCGGAAGAAGGGAGAACTCGAGTGCGTCATAAGTATCTACGCTTAGTCATCGATGCCCATCAGCACAGCCGATGCCACAATCGCGCTCCACGCCGCGAAGTCACAAAATTCGCATTGCTCTATCAGGTATCCAAATCTGATTTACATCATTTTGCTGCAAACCAATCGATTTAGGTACCGGTAGTGCAAATTTTGCATCAATTACTTTTCATCGTGTGGGAGACGTAGGAGCTTTGAAAGTAAAGACTTCTATGCCTGAGATTCAGACCCGAAATTCTTCAATCGAGGTACTGGCAGGGCATACGTCATGAGCGTTTCGTGGCAAGTTTCGCGGTTCGTTTTATCTTGACTAAATAGGCTTTAGTATGGATGAAGTCCACCAGACTAAGACAGCAGTTCAGGCAGAAGTAACACGCCCTGATCTGATCTTGATACGGTCTCCATTTGATCGTTTCCTTTTACTTACGTCCAAACCATCTTCTTGAAAACCCTGTGACAAGGTCAGTGTAAAGACAGGTCGCGTCACGATCATGAGCACTGAGCGAATCGCGTATTCGGTGTATTCCGATAGCACGCGTAGATGGAGATATTCAGGGGTATACAACAGGTGGGTCGCATGTAGGGACAAGAAAACAGACACATTTATTCGTTCACAAAAAAATACAGGCGCTTGTACATTGGTCCTTCAATACAAAACTTGTTGAGAAAGACGAGCAAAAGGGACACAGCAAAGTCAGGGAGAGCAAAAGAGATACTACATACTTCGACCAAACCCACGACAGCAGACAGCAATTTCAATGCAGAAAGTTCAGAGAAAGTTCACGAAAACAGTTTACAAAAATGAGAGTGTAAGAGCTTGGTAAGAGCCTTTTAGGAATGCTATGACTCTAGTCTGAAAGAGGAAATGAAGGCGTAAATTGTAATGCAAGAACAGTCCTAGATATGGCCCATAAAAAGGGAAACACCGTGAGGCAATACTGGCTCAGGTGGTCCACAAAGAAAGAGTGTATCAAGTGGGTGAACCAAGTTTGCAAGAAAAATCGCAGGTAAATCTGACTGAAACGTGTCGGAGACAGGAACCTGAGGGAGGTGGTATACTCCAGCACGCGCTGCCCAGGCCCGTAAGGAACATGCAAAAACAACGCCAAGCCTGGGCGTGCTAAAGCTTGTTGCTGGGGCATCGAGCTAGGCAGTGACGAACATCAAAACGACGAAGCCGCAGTTATCTCCTTGGGAGGTAGCGGGTGGTGGACGGCGTCGATGCTGGTGCTAGTTGATGTTATCAATAACGAGGGTGAGATCGAAGACAGAAAGCCAAAAGACTGAGGGGAGAGCGTGTGCCGTAAAAGTCCGGCTCAAGAACGAGGATGGTGGTATGCTGGAATTGATACGTCAAGAAACGAAGGAGAGACGGTAATGAAGCAAGAAGTCTTTGTGGCCGTGCTGTCTTCGAGTCCCGCACCGCGTTGGCAGTGACAGGACCCCAAGCCATTGCAACAAGAAGCAGTGTGGGTGCTCGTTGCTGTAGATCAGAGAGGGCGACGCAACCTCAGCTGAGGCTGCCAGCTGCCCTGGCTGACATGATGGAGGCTGACGAGGATCAGATCCTCAAGCCTGATGCCATTCCTGCTATGAACCCGCCATTTCGGGTCCTCGTCATCCTCCATCGGCTTCTTCTCCATCGCCTGACGCAAGTAATATGCAGGATGAGAATATTGGCTGGATATCTCTTGAAGGAACACTTACCTCGATGAATCGCTTGACGCAGTTCGCAATGTTCTTCGCGAGCTTCTCCCGAGTGATGGGTTGCTTCGGGGTGCGGAAGTCCTTGGTGGGGATCTGACGCGTCCAGGAGGCATAGCCAGGCCACTGGATGCGGATCGACACAGACGGACCCGCGCCATCAAACATCGCATCTTCCTTGTTGACGAGGTGCTTGCAGCTCGATCGGAGTGCGTCGATGAGAGGCACACCGCTCTCCTGGGGATGCTGATTCTCAAAAGTAACGCATCTCATGAGTTCAGCCTCCTCGATATATCGACGTTGGTCAGCAACGGTATGAGGCTTGTAGATCTTTTGTGGAATGAAGATATCTGTTCCTGTGACTATGACTGCGTTGTGCTGCATGCTCTTCCACTCGTTAATATGTCTACGTTGCGCCTGCCTATGAACGACCTGCTAAATTATGCATCTTCAGATGATATAACACAGCAAGACTGTTAACTTACCTGCTGTTCATGCGATGGCTCTTGGTTGATATCAAAGAGGTAAGGATCGTATACAGGCGAGTGAGAGCTCATTGGAGATGGGCTAGCCAGCTGGAAACCGACTCGTTAGAACCGCACAACCAAACAGCCGATATAATCACCAGTACAGGGGAGTGCAACTCGATCGGTGACGGAGTCGATGGTGCACTGGCTACATGAATATTTTGCGTGGACAGACCATACCACGGTCCAAGACCTTGAGCTAACTTAGCCTCGTCGAGGCCGAAGCCTGACGGAACGGGCATGCTGTAGCCAGCCAGAGACTAAACCGGGTATCAGGGAAACTGCAGCATACAGCAAATATACAGCACAACACTTGCCATTCCGTTCACTCCATCCTGTAGTGTGGCGGTAGGAGAGGCATGTGAGATGTATTGGGAATACCCCACGCTGGGAGTCACGTTCGGAAATCCACTGTCTGGTGAGTTGCTGGATCCTGACAAAGAACCATACTCATTCTCAGCGAATTGCGTATCGATACGGGGAACTTGAGGGGTTCGCTGTGAATGACTCGGTGTTGAACCCATGTATGAAGGCATCCCGGAAGACTGCCATTTTTTGTTCAGACAAGTGACATACATGGCGAGGCTGGATGACTCACTAAATCCATGGCATCGTTCGCGGAATGCAAGGATGGCGCATTTTCCACATCGAATGCAGATGGCCAGAAAACGTTGTTTTGAGACCAATTGCTGTCAGACATGAGGTGCTGGGTATTTCTGGGTCGGGAGGGTGATACACAGGGTTTAGGAGCCTAGCTTATGTATCACAGTTTGGCACAGGTTAGATGAGAGCAAGAAACAACCTGCGCTCGCTCGTCTAAATAGTAAACAGCAACAAGTACAGGAAGTTGCTGTCACAGATCTGAACAAGGTTACGTAACTGGGTAGTTTTCGAGAAGGACTGAAACCGCCACACTTCTGGCCGCTACACCATGCTCTGGGCTAGTAGTAAAGGAATTGCTAATGCAATAATCGCAACCCCGTCCACCATGCAGGGGGATAGTAGGATCTCTGGAAAAGTCAAAGTATGACATTGTGAGAATCATACCGGAGGGAGAGCTCTGATTAAGTCACTAGGAAAGCTATTTTGGCCGCAGGCGCCGCCGACGAGGCTTGAACCGCTCAAGTGGGAACTGAATATAGATCTTGTTCCGTTACATCGCGCAGATAATCGTCCCAATGTCAGAGTGGTCCACGTCGAACGGCACAAGAACGCGTAACCGTCTTCAGCAACATCGGTGGACTGGGAAGGGGATGGGAATCGAATGCCTGCGTAGAACCTATCCAAAAGACCGGAAAAGGATCGCCCCGAATCTCGACGACGAGTGCGTTTCAAGTGGTAGACACACCAAGAGACACACTGAGCATTTCGTCATTTGCGTAATGAAGACATCGTGATGGACGCATTATGGTAGCGACGGCATCGCAGATGTCCGCAACGAACGGTCAACGGAGGACTTTGCCGTAGAATAAGATTAGGACACGAGAGACTGGTGGACAACATGGACCCATATAGAATTCGGATTACTTCCCTGAGTTGCGACCGCTGGCGGCGCTGAAGACTTTGACGCGCCGCGGAGTCTGAACGCAACGTCCAATACGCGTGGTCCACTGTCCGCTCGCGCTCGCCATTGCACCTCGTCCGCCAGCTGGACATCCGCTGATACCACCCGTCACACTACAACATGTCTACCGAGCTCTTTGAAGGAGCCGTCGTCACGGGTGCAAATATGACCTTGCCCCCTTCGGAAGACGTAGCCATGCAGCCTCCAAGTCCACATACCGACTCCAAAGAGGATCTCACTCCCAACGCCAGCGTAAATGGACATGACGCTTCCGAAGAAAATGCCGACGAGGAAATGGATGATCTCTTCGGCAACGACGCCGAGGCGGAGGATGCTCGTGCAGAACGCCCAGATACCAAGACGGAAAGGTGCGCGCCTCCAAATCCACCCAGTTGCTGTATGCCGCGCTCCCGCCCCCGACACCTTGACTCACAGCCCCCTTCAGCGTTGTAGAGACACCCGCAGAATCAGCCTATGACTCAGACCAGCTGTCTCAGGGGGAACGAGAGCGGCGGAGGGCCCTCGAATACTTGGAGCCAGATGAGCCCGGCGAGGTGGTGGAGGAGGTCCGGGAAGCCGATGTTGCCATCCCGGACATACCCCTTCCTCAGAGCTCGAGCGGTGAGGTACGCGAACCTTCATACTAGCGTCGGTAGGATACGCCTGATGCACAATTCCTCTCTCTTCAGCACTGGGTAATCCGTATGCCCAATTTCGTGAGGGTCGATTCAAAGCCATATCACCCGGACACATACATGGGTCCTGAGCATGACGAGGACGACGCTCAGATGGAAAGCGTACGTGAGAAGAGCATGTCGATAAAACTCAAAGTAGAAAACACCGTTCGCTGGCGTTGGGTTAAGGATGAGTTTGGCCAAGAGGTATGCACATGTCTAACTAAAGCGCTTAATCGAACTCATAGTTCCTCCTGTAGAAACGTCAATCTAACAGCCGTGTAATCCGCTGGTCTGATGGAAGCCTTAGCCTTCGCCTAGGAAAAGAGCTATTCGATATCAACCAACAGGTGGACACCTCCGGCGGCGTCGCCCGTTCCTCACTGGGTGGCTCCCAGCCCTCCCAGTCCCAGTCCCAACCTCAGTCCCAACCCTCAAATTCAAGTGTCAGGTCCCAGGGACTCACATACCTCGTCGCGCAGCACAAGCGCTCCGAGGTACTCCAGGCCGAGACCGTCATCACTGGCTTCATGTCCCTCCGGCCGACGGGAATGCAGTCGGAGACGCACCGCATGCTCGTGCGCGCAGTCGGGCAGAAACACAATAAAGTCGCGCGCCTGCGCATGGCGCCCGAGCCGACCATGGACCCCGCACGCGAGCAGGCCGAGCTCGCGAGGCAGTCGGCGAAAAAATCGCGAAAAAAGGCGGACGACGGCGGGTACGGCGGGCGATCCAGGCGGCGGTCAGGATACGGCGGTGGCCGCAGCAAGCGGACGAACCACGATGTCTGGTCGGACGACGATGAACCCGAGTACGCCGAGGGTTCGGAGGACGAGGATGACATGGGAATGCGCAAAAGAAGGGTAGATGAGCAGAAGCGCGGGCCAGGGGAGTATCAGGAAGACGATTTCGTCGTTGCGGATGAATCGGAAGAGGACGGCGACTTTGCCCCGCCGCCCAGGCCTAAGAAAAAGAAGAGTCGCGACGAGGATGAGGAAGAGGATCCGCTTGATAGGTTGGACGCCAAAATTAGCCAGCAAACATCAGATAGGAAACGGAAACACAGGGATGACGACGACGAAGACGCCGTTGGTGAGGATGCTGGTATGGATTTAGAAAGCGAAGACGAGGAAGAGTACAAGGTTCGCAAGAGCGGCTCGAGCTCTCGACGAAAGCGAGCCATAGATTCCGATGATGAAGAGGAAGAGTAATTAAAATGTAGTATAGTAGCTATTAGTATCTGCGATGTCTCTCCGGCTTTGGGTTAATTATACTATAGCAAACGGTGCTTTCAACGGCTATGGGAGAGTTGCACTATCCTTGGACTATTTTCAATTAGGTTGACGTCTGCACAGGCTGTATCTCGTTGACAACACTTTGGTTTTCCACATTGTCTGCGGTGAGATTGCGAATAGCTAATATAGCATGCTCGCGAAGATCTACAGCATGAATCACGTCAATCGAAGCGTTTGCGGTACCGTCGCTGCGCCACATACATGGATTCCGCTCGTCGATTACACACATATTCATGACAACCGGGATGCCCCCGCACGTACGGACGAGATCCTGGACTCTTCTATCGTTGTGACACAGGACGCCGAGCAGTCGGACGAGATCGCGCTTGAGGTATACGAAGCCCGCTGGGTCAGCTGCAGCAGGAAGCTGAGGTCCGCCATATGGAGAATCAACCGGCTTTCCAAAATTTATCCGCGGTAAAAATGCATCTAGGCGGCGGAGAAGTTCTGTCGAGAAAATAGTCTTATCAACATCCTGAGCGAGGCAATTGCGCGTGCGACGGCTCCGCATACCTACGATGTTTTCGACAACGTACCGCCCCGTTGCATCGCGGAAACTGTTGACGTCTCGCTGCAGGTCCTCGTTTGAAATATTGTCTATCCGGACTGCCTCGGAGTGCAGTATCATCGTCGCGAGGCACTGTGTAACTAGCACCAGCGCTTCGCAGACCTTCGGCAACAGAACGTCGAGTTCTCGAGGAGCATGATCATCCTCCGACCCTGACGGAGGCGGTGGCCCAAGCGCGCGTGCGATCGACCCCTGCGCGTACGTGGAAAGTTCGAAGAAGGTCGCCGTCAGCGTCACGCAGAGATGCTTATGGATCGAATGAGGATGCGAAGACTGCAAGTGCGAGTCCAGGAGCTTGAGCAGAACAGTCTGGTGAGGTGAGATGACCTCGTCGGCCCTGCGTGCCCGAATTCCGTCAGCATACAGCATGACAGGATGCGGAGAGGTGGCCGGCACATTGCAATCTAAACTTACACTGATAACCGTGTGTATAGCTCGGAAGCAAATCCGTTATTGAATAGATGGGCGAAGAGATGATACCTCAGGTGACCGTATCAGACCTCCACTGAACCGAATAAAGCGGAATTGGTAGTCACCCGTAGTCAAATGCGTGAGCCCATTCGGTGTTCTCATCTGCATCATACAAATCGACCATACGATCCAGAATCAGGATGCAGATGCGGGCACCTGCCGGTGTTCTAACGAGGGCCGCACTAGCGAAAAATCCCTAAGTGATGAGCTGCGCTAGTATGAGGAGGTTACTCACCACCTCTGCTGGTCTTCGTGTACACAGTTCATTATGAATACTAGTACGGAGAGTATAATCTTGGCGTCGGGACAGGCCAATAGCCGACTGAGGCCACATCAGAACCCGAGATGTAAAAGGACTAATTGCACAGACACTAGGATGGATTGTTCATCTGGGAGACTTGTGTATGTGCCCCAGATGGCGTTCAAAAGTTGTTCATTTGCGGTAACGATGTTTGACATGGCTTGCACCATCATCCGAGTGCACGCAAACGCTGGAGGTGGAGTTAACTTTGAGCTGAAGACGATGGCAGTCCAGGGCTCCCATACTCACAGGATGAGTCCTGCATAACGGACCATGATGTTGCGCTATGAATGAGCTTTCGAATGAAAGGCTCGCTCTCGCTGCAAAAAGATTATCAGGATAGGGGCAATGGCGCGCCCTCGAGAAAACTTACAACGCGTGAACTTGATTGGATGGTACGTTAGCGACAATGTTTCTGGTGAACCTTGCAACACTGAGTGCAAGTGTGCGTTGCCCTTCTTTTTCGCTCTCGGAGAAGACGCGCTGGGAGAGAAACTCCCATAGCTGCTGGAGAAGGGGCCAGAGTGAGGGATGGCCCTGCCCCATTTCGTGCCTTGCTCCGTTTGCAATGAGCATCACGGTGTCGCACTCAGGGCGGAGCGGGCGTACCTGAGATCCTCGTTCTGAGCAAGCTCACTGGCAGTCCCATCTAGGAGCCTCGTAAGATGGGCAATAGTGGACCCCCTGGGTTGCTCGAGGAAGGAGGAGCTCTCCTCGCAGAAGCGCTGGTTGTAAGTGATAGTGGGCATGTTGGCAGGTGAAGAAGAAAGTGGCGAACAGACGCTGTGAGCTGAAGAAAGCCGCCCTATCGGATGTGCGTGCAATGTTATGTCAATGTTTTCTCTTAGCCGATGTCGATGATCGGCGCTTGTGCCGTACAGCATCCGCGCAATTCGGAGGCGCGCTGCCAGTCGATCGCTGTGCAACTCCGCCCCCGCTTCTCAATCGTCGCGCGCCGCGGGCACATCGCCACCGTCGACGACCCCCTAAGCTCTCTCAACGCCAGCCATCTTTCATATCCGAATGAGAGGGTACCACATACGCATCGCACTGCAGAAGGAAACCGTGTTTCCGTCCCAGTTTATCCCAAACTCTCTGTTTCAGCAGCTGCCGTCCCACCCTCCCAAGTCAACTGCGCGTAGAAACGCCACTTTCAACCCGAAGCACAGGGACTATAGGTGTGGACCAGTCCGCATCGACTGGACAGACTTCGACAACATGAAACCTGTCGCAACGACGGCCGCTAGCAAGGTCAAGAACGCGACGAAGACAGGTGAGCAGACTAGGATGGTCAACATTTCAGTGCTTTAACCATATCACGTATCTATTAATCACAGGGGGTCCTGCCAGAGCAAGTTTCGTAGAAACTGCACGAACCAAGGCGGGTTCCACCAACTTGCCCGAGGGGATCGTCCACATATACCGGGATGCGGTCGAAGGACCGCACAATGGACAGTCCTCAACCGACACGAGTCCAAATGTAAACCAGTCCATCTCAGAGGGCGGTGTGATGCTCGCCGTCCTGGCTGTACCATCTTGGATGACGCCTTCCGATTTCTTGGAGTTTGTGGAACCTGCAGCAGACTCTCTGGTGTACCTTAGGATCATACAGTGCGGCGGTGACCATTCTTGTAATCCGACTCATCTCAACCTGTATTCAGTGACTTCGCCCCCAATCGCGCGATGGCCGTCATGAGGTTTCGAGAACCTGCACATGCAGCCGACTTTATAGAAGCGTACAATGGCAAACCTTTCAACTCAATAGCTGTATGTATGCGCCCTTCCGAGACCGCAATTCCACATTTGACCCTATCGTTTCAGCCTGAAACTTGCCATGTCGTGCGCGTGCTATCAGTCGAGATCGATACCGAGGATATATTATCGACTGCGGCGTCACGATTGGGCAGCACAATCCCTCATACCTTTGAGCTACCGACATGTCCAGTCTGCCTCGAGCGCATGGATGCAGCCGTGACTGGCTTGATTTCGGTTCCCTGTTCTCATGCTTTCCACTGCACATGCTTGAGAAAGTGGGGCGATAGTCGGTGAGTTTCGTGTGCTTGCATGCGCGCCGGGTGAAACTTACTGCATCAAACAGCTGTCCAGTATGTCGATACTCCCAGAACTTGATGACATCCCATCCTAGCACGTCCAGTTCAAGTTCACGCCCCATACCATTTTCCAACCCTTCGTCGACATCCTTATCGACATGCGCTGACTGCGCATCAACTACGAACCTGTGGATATGTCTCATATGTGGAAACATCGGCTGCGGCCGATATGGGCGGGCTCACGCCCATGCTCACTACCAGCAGACAACCCATCTGTATGCCCTTGAACTTGAAACACAGCGTGTATGGGATTATGCAGGGGACGGCTACGTGCACCGGCTCATTCAAAACCGGGCCGACGGCAAAATTGTCGAACTGCCTTCCGCAGCGTCTTCTATGGGTGCTTTGCCCCGCGATGACGGCACACTCGGGCCCAGCCACGCTGACTCCCTCAGCGCAGAGAAGATCGAAGCTATTGGAATCGAATATTCCTACCTCTTGACTTCGCAGCTGGACTCACAACGTCAATACTACGAGGAGCAGACTTCACATCTGAACATGCAACTTGAAGAGCTCCAGGTGTCCGTGGCTCGCCTCTCCACAGAGATGGAGAGGGAACGAGTAGACTACAAACAACGGGAAGAGCTCAAGCGCCGCGAACATGAGGAGAAAATCGATGGGTTGATCAGGGATAAGCTTAAGGCTGAAAGGAAAGCCGAAAAAGCGACTGAGCTGGCGCGTAGGTTCGAAAAGGAGCTCAAGGAGGAGAGGGCCGTGAGCGAGGGTTTGATGAAGAATGTGGGCAAGCTCAAGGAGCGGACGGAACAGCTGGACAAGCAGAGGCAGGAGAGCGAAGCGACCATCGCCGAACTGAAGGATCAAGTTCGGGATGTGATGTTCTTCTTGGAGGCAAACTCCAAGATTGAGCAAGGGGGAGGTGCAGAAGCAGAAGCTGCAGGAGGATCAGTCGAGCTACCACAGCCTACGCCAGGTACACCGAGTAAAAAGAAAAAGGCGAAGAAACGATAGGATTTTCAAGGTAATGGCTGTCAAGTTGGGAGAGGGAGACCAAAGGGAGACTGTATTTTTTAAAGTCCTTGTACAATAATATTTGGATGTTGTACCTTCTATTGAAGTCCATAGCCTACGTCGTCAGAATGGTTACGTAGAGACGCGTCGAGAATGCATAAATGTCGCGTGAATATCCACGTCATTCTTTCACCACCTTCACGTCCGCCCCTGCTCGGTATCAGCCAAGTCAACCATCTAGCATCCACTACACCTACACCTAAGTTATCATGAATAGCACTCAAGACCTGAACGTCTCCTTGGAACCTCACTTGCTCGAGACATTACGACCTCTTCGTGACGTACTTCCCGACGACCTCTTCTCAGAACTCTCGCCATATCTCGTATCACGCAAACGCTCCAAGAAAGCTAAAGACGTACCTACGATCCCTTACGACCTTCTACGTAGGGTCTCGTTATGGTCGAGGACCGATGCCGGCTCAGCAGCCCTGCAAAACCATTCGCCTCCGCTCGACCCCGCATCGTATTCCATGATATCACTACTGGCTGGCACACGCACGTCACCCGAGAAGAAGTTTCCTGCATGGACGCCTAGTGATCCGCTTGCAGAGAGAAGGCGCAAGATTGACGACAGAAAAGCCATCTCAAATGTGGTGAACGGGTTCGTCAGCGTCATCGGCATTGGTATTGCGACGTGGTGGGCTAGCGAGCGGACGGGGCTCGCGCTCGAATGGGTGCGTTTCCACCGCCAATCGATTCGCTTTGCAATGTTGAACATGTTTTGCTCACTCTTCAGAGAACGCTCCTTTCGGTTCTTGCAGCAATACTGGTTGCTGTTGCTGAGGTCGGACTGTACATGATCTGGGACACCAGGCGGACAGCCAAGCTAGATAATCCTACGAAAGCTGCAGTCAAGTCAATACCGGAAACCACCGATGTTCCCGAAAACGATGTCAAAAATATCCAGCTCATGCCAAGTGCAAGCAATGGCGATAATGCACCAGAGGGTCCGCAGCTGAGGCACCGCACCGTCAATCTGCCAGAGGCCCAATAATCGCTCAATGGGGTTGTTAGCTACTCAAGAGGCGTGTCTACAAACGTTGTTGGTTGCCTTCGGATTTATGATTGCTTCTCACTACTCACATCAAGGACCGCGCTCTCCGAGTGTGAACCTGCTCTAGCACATCCTTGGTTCATAGCAGCCCAGACGGATGCGCCTACAACTTTGTGACGTGGGTCTTGCAGTTTTTACCACAACCTCTGTCACAGAAGTAGGACCTTGTACTCCGTGTCCACATTGACAGCTGTGAGTACCGCACAAGTCACACCCACCGACTATCACACGGTGACTTGTGGCCATTTCCAAGTCACTTGTCTGTGAAGGAGCTACAGGCACTTATGGGGGCAAAGGTACAACAATCTCATAATATGCTACCTTGAGTACCGCAACAGTCACCACGCCATATGTATCATCTTTAAATTGCTCCAACATGACTCATTCGATTCACCTCCTACAACGGACCCGCAAGCCACGATAGTCCTTTAAATACGGGCGAGGGCTGGCACCTGGCCCTGCGAAATTATACCCAATACAAAACTATCATGACTGCAGCAGAGCTAGTGATAACTATCCTCAACCCCGACCAGCATGCACACCTCTTCCCCTCACTCGCCCAGATTCACATGGACTGCATCATGAAGTCGCACACGATCGCGACCTTCCTGCCTCCCCTCGACCGTGCCGCCTTTGAGAAACACTGGAAAGCCAACGTGGACGAGACGCGTACTGGACGGCGCGACATCATCATGGCATTGCTCTCAGGCGCGGGAGAAAATGGCGTGGACCTGCTCGTCGGGTACGTCATGCTCATCGACCAGAGCGTCCAGACGGGGCCGTTCCGCGGACGGGTCGAGAAGTTGCTCGTCTCTCCCGACCATCGCCAGCGCGGGATCGCGCGTAAAATTATGGCGAAGCTTGAAGAGATCGCTTGGTCACGAGGACTCTGGTTGCTGGCAAGTTTTGTCTGCGCTTACCCCCGCTTCACCCTGTAACCGTTCACGGTCGCTCAGACACTTGACACCGAGGAAGACAGTCCGGCGGAGTTCGTGTATCCGCGGTTTGGATACGTCCGAGTACGCACACCGCTTCTTTGCTTTTAGTTTCTCTTTGACACCCTACAGTTGGGAAGGATACCTGATTACTTGATATCCCCAAAGGATGGCAGCTTTAAGGCTGGTATATTCTTCCACAAAGACCTACGACAGGGTCGGCTACAAGCTTAGGTCTGGAGACTTTTAGAAACGGAACAATGTCGTACTTTGTCACCTGTGTTGCTCCCTTGTTAGGGGATACAATCTGCCCCTATATTATCGGATCATAGATAGGCAAGTGCACCCATACGTTTCATCTGCCTTTGAATTTGGAGTGACTGCAGACCAAAACCTCGGTGATAAAAGTTTCATTGACAGTAAAGAGACAAATTATTCCATGAGATCACAAAAAGATGCCGTGCCCCTGCGATGACTAACCAAGATAAACAGGCGCTGTCCGCAGGCAGAGCGGTGCCCACTGATTCTACTCTCGCGCAGCTCTTGACAAGATTTGGCCAAGCTTACTACGCCGCAGTGGATAATTTGCTCGATCATGGTGGTCCCTCAGACTGCGGCTACGGATAGATGTATCCTCCACAGATTAACTGGTACGACGCGGAAAGGTTAACTTCTTCGGTCGGCACTTCAGGACACTCCACCTGCGGCGTAATTGTCGTATGAATATCAACACACCTTGCCTGTGGCAGAATATCTCCGGCGGAAAACACGAGGCGCGAATGACGAGAATGAAGGGGATCGGGACGTGACGAGCGACTGCTGCGAACCGCAGGCATCTAAGACGCTTTAAGACATCCAGTCCAGACGCCAGCTGCTCCGCGACCAGCCGTACCGCCTTCGCCGATTGCTACTAACTCACCATGAGCACATCTCAAACCACCGGCTCTATCACATTCACGCTCTTCGACCCCAAGACGCACGTACACCTCCTCCCATCGTTCGTGCAGATCCACATCGACTGCATCACCCATTCGCACACGGTCGCGTCCTTCCTTCCCCCGCTTGACCGCGATGCCCTCACGACATATTGGACGAGCAAAGTCGACGAGGTGCGCGCAGGCAAGCGCGATATCATCCTTGCACTGGCCCCGGGCACAGATGGCGACGGCGATGACGGCGTCCTCGCGGGATACGTCATGCTTGCGGACCACCGCGTCCAGGCGGCGCCGACGGCTGGCGTCGAGAAGCTGCTCGTCTCGCTCGACTTTCGGCGGCGCGGGGTTGCGCGGAAGCTCATCGTAAAGCTGGAGGAGATCGCGTGGTCAAAGGGCTTGACTTCACTGGTAAGTGGGTCTTCGCATGAATAACCACATTATGCTTATGCATGTCGTAATGTAGGTGCTCGACACGGAAGAAGGCAGCACGGCCGAGCTCATATATCTTCGCTTCGGATATACTGCAGTAAGCATGACCCCTTTGATCCACGATAATACCAGCTAACGAAGCTAAACCATCACTTTGTCTCCCTTCAGTTCGGCAAAATACCCAACCACGCTATCTCCCCCAAAGACGGGTCCAAAAAGACGCTCACATACTTTTACAAGCATCTTGAAGACGGGCGGCTGGAGGCGTAGTAATGATCGTAGCAAATGCGCTATCCAAAATGCAGAAACGCCGCGGCTTCGTCAGAACACCGCACTAGAAACAGACACATCAGAAATTCAGGTCGTCGATGATAGCACGTTAATACACACCGCAATGTCAATCAAATCATTGTACACAGATGAAGGCGGCGGATTCGTAAAATCTGGGAGCGAGCTTATCGCCTTAGACTCTTAGAGCACTCTTTCCGCTCGATGCACACATCTAATACGCCGAGGCCCTCAGCCCATGGCCACCGGCCGTCGACGGACCCGTTCATCCATAATGACGATTTCTTGCCAAAGAGACCCAGAGCCTCGGTGTTGGCGCAATACTGCCATGCTCGAAGCATTATCATCACGCACACCTAAGCTTGAATGTAAAATCGAACTCCGGAGCGTCCTCGAGATCCGGATTTGATTAATGATTCACCCGTCGTTCGTCTCCCGAACAACAGCATGCCCCAAGCGCCGAACGAGCAATCGACCTTTCCCAAAGGATAAACGTGGGATTGATATTGTAGCTATTTACATCCGTTCATCAACGCGAACTCCGTCATCATGAATGTGATCGATCGACACCTCCCGCGCACATGCGTCGACGTGCCCTTCGCGGGATGGTGCCGGTCAAGTCCCAATAGCCTTTTACGCGCACAAGAGGACTCCGAACAAAGCGATCGTATGGCTGCATCGACAACAAGTCTTCACACACGCAAAAGCCCATACAACAGAAGGTCTTCTTTATTCCATCCAGCCAGGTATATTGCGTGGACTACTAAAATCCAGTAGATAAAGTATGTATACGTAGTACATATGCAATAGATTGCATCATCGCCATTATTCGCCTTCACGAAGCAAGACTGGCGTATGCAACTTCAAAGAAAAGCATCAAAGAAGTGAACGTTTTGCGAATCAAAAAATTAGTAAATAGAACGTGAAAAATCGTGGAGCTGGTTAAACGTTGAACATTGACGCTGTAAAAAACAGAACGCGCCAATAAGATCCAATGCTCCTGGTATTGTGTTTGCCGGTTGGTGCAGATGATAGATAGCGAGTATATCACGAGAGCGGAGAAAGGTATAGCGATGACAGGACGGTACACTGCACTGCACAGACCGAATAACAAGCGGTCCGGCGAATACGGAATTATTGAAACTGCGCGTGTTCCATTTTTTGATTTACGCAGAACTTTGGAATCCAAGTTGGTGACAGTTTGACGTTACACGGGCGGATGCATACATTCTGTCAAAGGCGCCGAATGAGCGTCTATAGCGAACAAGGTGGAAGAGAATAATACGCACCGCCCTTGAACCAGCACTTGCCCTTGCTAAGGTGGAAGCACTTGTTCCCATTAGGGCACACATGGCCCCAGCAGCACCGCTCGCCATATGGGCATGGCAGGCCATTCTTGAGGAAATTACACGGCGCCTTCCGGGCGTTTGCGCCGAGCGTTGCAAGTTGCTCGACAGTAAGCAGGTACTCGTGCGAATACTTGCAGCTCCCGCCTTTAGTACAAGACATAAGATAAAATTCGTTACAGGGCGGTGGCGTCTCTGTTATAACCATTGCTCAGAAACTTGATCTCTTCCGCGGATCACAATTGAGTACTTACGTTTATGAAGGGGCAAGGAGGGGTCAACGAAGCGGCTTCCGCTAATGGTTGGAGGTGCCGTGTTTGGAGGCGAGCGTGGAGTTGGCAGCCCTCCACTCATGCATACCATGCGTGACGGAGTTCCGACATCAATGTGAAGTGGGAGAGGTCCCTTGGTCGCGTTAAGCTCATCGCGCATGAAGAGCCCATCGAGGCGCAGGCGAGGCAGCGGTGGGAGAAAGGCTTCGTCCACTAGGCTGACAGGCGACAAGGGAAGCATCATCGAGGGACGCTCCTCCATGAGGACGAGTTTTCCGAGTAACTTGTCCTTGTTGAGCGCCATCAGCGTAGACTCATGTGCCGAGGATCGACCGCCTACAAAAGGCACAAACTCAATGATAATCAATTGCAAGCAAGAAAATCAACCCACCAGCGAAGAAGACACGCTGTGTCTGCGGGAAGCGAATATACGTCTGCAGGTACTCCGCAATCTTCGCATACGTCCCCTCCTTTCCGTAGCCGGTATCGACAAGCAGGAACCGGGGCGAAGCCTGACCGAAGCCCATGAGAAAGGCGTTAAACTGCTCCACACTGCATGTGCTGGTCCTCGCCAGAGAGTTGACGAGCGCCGAGCGGTTGAAATAGACAGAAACCCAGAAAGAGAGACGGCCGAGCACACACTCCTCCTCGAGGGTGAGGAAGTCCGCCACAGCCTTGGTGAGGCGCTGTGCGGCGAGGCGGCCGCCTTCGAGGCCCTGCTGGAGAAGAGCCTCGTCGAAGACGCACGCATCGCCGTCAATGACGCACAGCACGAGCTGGTTCTGGTTCTGTGGGGTTCGGGACGGAGCCGAGCAAGTCCGGAGGCGGAGACACAGGGAAGGTGACCACAGCGATCAGGGCGAACCGATGATAGGAGTAAATCAGGATGAATCACAGGAATATCAAGCTTATGAGTACGAACCATGAACGTCTCCATGCTCGCAACCTGGCCGTTGAGCGTGGCGAGGCGGGCCTTCATGGTCTTCGAGTCGCGGCTGGCGTCCTCAAGGGTGTTGGAGTGGGCCTGCTTCCAGACGGAGAGCTCGACCTCGAGATCAGCGACGCGGGCCTCGAGCTCGGCATTGCGTTTGCGCATAGAGTCCGATAAGCCTGCAAGAGAAGTAGGTAGCCATGAGCACGAGCCGTGGCAAGGTTGAGTCAGGGGCATGACTGACTCAGGAGTGTGGAGAGCGTGTCTTCCCTGTGAAGAGTCGGGCACAGATGTTGAGTTTGGCGAACGATAGTCGGTAAATATATACTGACCAGAGCTGGTGCTCGGAGACGCTGACGGCAGTGACAGAGGAGGTGGAGGACATGGATTACCTAAGAAAGTACAGGATGTATGTGTACAGGAAGAGGCACGAGGGAACGTGAAATGAGGGGCTGTAGCTTAGCGCTAAGCTTCCTCTGCTTGAGCGGGGAGACGTCGCGGGGGAGGGGCGGATGGGAAACTGCTCATAGGGCTGAAGTCTGCGGTTTTTATGTATGACATCGGGAGGAAGAGCAGGGGTGAGGGATGTCGTAAAGGCGAATAAGGTCCCAGATCCATCGCGCTACTGCCACCGATAGCAGGTCTCACAACCCACGAAGCTTGTCTCCGATACTAGCAAAGGCAACATCTATCCAGATCTACTCACCGCGGAACCTGGCACACACAAAGATCTTCCCACACTCTTGTTGCCTTCACTCCTTCGCAAACTGCCGGACTGCTAATCAACGCCAACACGCGCCGTAGCATAGAATGGTCCCAAGTTCCTGTTGAGCAGCGCAGCTAAGGACATGTTTCACCTCTCCTACAGCATAATCGATATCCCTCTCAAGCCGAATTACACCACTCCTTCGACGTGAATTTTGTGCGACACAGCAGTCATGGCTGACTAGAACCGACAGTCCGCTGACAGCCCAGACACCCATATGCGCGGGCGGCCCTTGACCCATCGGGCGTCCGAAACATGCCTTCAGGCGTGCCAGTACGCTCCAGTGCTAACTGGCTGACATGCGGAGCCAAATCTCTAGCCTCGCAACCTTTTGCGCGACCGGTCTCCTTCCCTGCTACTCCCGTCACCTTCTCGACCGTTTCTGCTCCCTTCTTCACTAGCGCTAGTAGCTCCTCCTTCCTTGCCTGATGACCCCGCGCCACCGTTGACCATCCGCTGCACCACCGCTTCCCACATCGCGTCATTGACTCCTTTGGCCTTGCCAAGTTCCTCCCGCAGCTTCGCCACCTCGCTCTCCAGTTCTGCAACCCGCGCCGGCATCGCTGCAGCGGCAGGTTCGGCGCCCTGGGGCCTTACGAAGCGCGCATAGTCTTCATCGAACTCGGGATAGCTGTATGATGCAGGCGGATCGCGGCCTTCCTGTTATCATTGAGTTTGTAGAGTAGCACCACGAGCGCCAACAGATTCGCCGTCGGATAAAGTTTGAAATTGGACACAAACGCCACCATTCCAGTGGCCGTTTGCAAAGGATCGGCAAGCACCACAGGCAAACACGAGGCAGACCAAGCACCGCCGAGATGCCAAAGAAACAGGTCCAAAGGAAATACGCGATAAAAAAGCAGGTCACATCAGTAATCTGTTTCACCTTGAGGCACGAAGATGGCAAGTAAAAAAGAAGCATCGCTCCGACGCGAGATGCGTCACGATAGAAGCCTCCGCAGGGCCCCCGAAGACGAAGGGCCAGACACCGAGGGCAGCGCGGCCAAGACAGAACACCCGTCGATGGCAGCAAGGAAAATAGACGAGAAGAGAAGCAGCTAGATAGACTCACCTCCCACGCACTCCCGGGCAGCATTACCGCCACATCATGCGCATCTCTAGCTTTTGTGTCGCGCATCCGCTGAAACGGCACGATAGGCCGCACCGGGATATTCTCGCTCGCACCAGACGCTGCGCCTGCGCTCATCGAGAGCGTGACATGCCCGACGAGGTCTGGTGGGCGGAGCATCGTCGACACGAACACAACGCCCATGTCGCGTTCTTTGTGCGCCGAGATCGTTCGCAGGAGCTGGTGCGACGCGACGTCGTACACGAGCACGCGCCCGCTCTTGGCCGTCCCGACGAGGAGCAACGTCGTCGTGAGCGAGAGTGCGAGCGATGCTATGGGCTCGCCCGCGCTGATGAGCCGCTTGCGCCTCGCACCGCCGGCCGTGTCAAAGTCCTCGATCCGGATCGTGTCGTTAATGCCTCCGCCACCGACGGCTTCCAGTGCGGGCCCACCCGGACGGTCGGCGCGCTCTCGGAAAAGGTTCACTTGGTGGACCGAGCCGTCTGCCGAGGCAGCGAAAAAGAGGCGCTCAGTGGGATCCAGAACGAGCGTCGATATCGGCTTGGGGAAGTGGAACGTGCACAAAAGTGATGATGACGAGAGGTCCCAAAACTGCGTCCGAAAAGTCAGTTTGCCAGCGCGTTCTGCCCGACGAAAAGTACTCTTACCTTTACTGTGTGGTCCACTGATGCGGTGAGCACCCGGCACGCTGGGAACGCGCCAATCCCACAGACAATGTCTGTTACTGGAAGTGTGTGGTCCGAGAGCGTACAATGCGGCTCGACAAGCTCGTTTTGTAGTTCGTCATCCAATATTCTAGTTTAGCTTACTTGTCAGCATTTTTCTTTCACAAATGATAGGGGTCAAACGTACCTCGCCATCGACCAAACGCCCACACCGGAATCTTCACTGCCAGAGAAGAGAGCCGAGCCATCGTGGCTGAAGCAGAGGACGTTGACCTGGCGATAGTGTGCGTCCCAGGCGTTGAAGAGGATGCCAGATGCGACCTACTGTCGTGGAGTCAGCTTAGCGGTCTTGGTCGCGTGAAATGCAAGGTGAGATACGCGCCTCCCAGAGATATATGCGTCCTTGAGCAGTGCCTCCTGCGCAGTACGCGCCTGAGCGGTCGAGTGCTATGCATGATAGCTTTTCGGGGAGGACGATCTTGAGCGCGAGCTGGTCCTGATTATCGCGCGACATGTCATTCAGCAGAACATTTGGTGCAGAAGGACAGCGATGCATACCTTTTGAAAGTTGTAGACGTTGAGGATAGACTTGTCTGCCTGTGCAGCGAGCATGAATCCTCCCTGCCCATTGTTGGTCTCGACATATGCGTTGCAGTGCCGCGGCGCGTTCGTTTGTTTGAAGGACGCTAGTGACGTTCCTGTTTTGATGTCGTGTACTGTCAGCGCGCCTGCGGTGACAGATGAACCCTCTGCCGGAGCAGTTGCGCAGAGGACGACCTCGTGGAGGTTCATGGGGAGCGGTAGGCAACTGGATAGGCGGCGTACTGGGAGGTGGTAGAATCTTCTCGGCAAGATGCCAGAAATAGCGGCCTTGCCACGCGAGCTGTCATTGCATACGTAAAGCGCGTCTGCCGCAAGCCGACCCAAAGCTCTTGTAACCAATTCCATGCTCAACTAATCACTCCCACCACTTCTTGTTCTTACTCCATCTTTGACGACTTAGCCGCCATCGACATCGGACAATGGCCACGAACTTGTACGACACCCTCGGCCTCGCCCGTGACGCCTCCCAAGAACACAGTACGTCTCCCTAGTCTTGGCCCATAGTAAGACACAACACTGACCCTTGTTGCACCGCAGTACGAAAAGCATATCGCCGCAAGGCCCTCGACACCCACCCCGACCGACTCCCGCCCGGTGCATCCTCGTCCCAGAAGTCAGCAGCGGAGGAGCAGTTCCGTCAGGTATGTCATCATGATCCACAGGGCCGGCCCAAACAAAGCGAAGTGGGCACCCCGACAAGACCCTGCAGTATCTCTGACAGCTGTCACCAATCATTAGGTAAACGCTGCTTATGAAGTCCTCAGCAACCCCAAGACTCGACAAGTGCGTACACTTTTCGTGCTTGCCATCCCAATTGCACCAGTACTAGTGCTGGTACTTACATCATAATCTCCACACAGGAATACGATGTAGCTGGCGTGTGGCCTTCCCAGAACCGCGCACCCGATCCTGGCCCGATGCCAAGCGCCAACGCTGGCGGCGACCCCTTCATGCACCCCTTCTTCAACGACCCCTTCTTTGGTGGACGCCACGATCCCTTCTTCAACTCTGCCTTCGGGGGCGGCGGTGGCTTCCCCTTCGGCCCTGGATTCCCCTTCGGTGGGCCGGGCGCGACCATGGGCTCGCGCAGCAGGCGATCGCCCGGCCATGATTCATTCTTTACGGACCCGTTTGAGCTCTTCAACTCCATGTTTGGCGACTTTGATCATGCGTTCCGCGACATGTCTGCCAGTCCGGCCCATGACGAGCCGTTCATGGGCGGACCTGTGTCTGGTTTCCCGTTCGGAGGCGGCCGGCAGCCGGGCAATGGCAACTTTACGAGTTTCCAGCAGTCAACGTCATATGGTGGGCGCGGGGGTGGTAGTAGTGGTCGCTGGGTGTCGGAGAGCACGAGCACGCGGACCGTCAATGGCGTGACGCATACAGTACACACGCGCCGAGATGCAGAGGTATGTCCTCCGATTATGGGGATCGCTTTCACAGAATGTAGGACTAACAAATGCCGATGACAGGGTAACGAGCACGTTACACACACCTACCCAGACGGCACCAAAAAGCGAGTTGTCAATGGCATCGAGCAGCCGTCTTCCTCATCTAGTAGGCGACACATCAGTGCCCCACCCCAAACATCGGCGCCCCCGGTGCCGCCTGTACCACATGCGCCACCTGTGCCACCTGTAGCCCCCGCTCCTCCTGCTATTCCTCCTCTCCCCCGTTCACCAATATCCACCGGCCCGCCCGGACCCACACCCGAGCAGTTCGACTACTACACGAACCCGTACGACGGCGAGCGCGACCGACGCCGCCACCGAAGCGCACGGGATGACTATTACAACGGGCGCGACCGCGACTACGACCGCGGGCACGACGACCGCAGCCGTCACCACCACCATCACAGCCACCACGGCGATCACCATCGCCCGCGGGCTTCAGCCGACACGAACCCGTCACCGGTGTATTCAGACCCGTACTACACCAGTGAGTCCTCTGTTAGTCCCAGCCGCCCAGCTGCTTTCTCTCCGCACCCCGCCGACCATGCTGACCGCGACGGTGCTGCTGCTTCTGCCGCTGCCGCTGGTCATGCAGGCTATCGCGCCGGCGTCGGTCCCGCGCACGCCGACGACCGCACGGAAAAGCGTTCCTCATGGAAGTTCTGGAAGTAATCACCAGACGCCCAAGAAGCGCCATCGTTCGATCGCGACCCCAAGTTCCGAGCAAAATCTGCCCACAGATTCTCACAAAGCCCATCGCCTAGATTGATTGAAAGCTCCATCGATGTTCATCTCGCTGCATATTTCTTTGCTTCTCGAATTCCCAAATGCCTGCTTCCCATTGTTTTGAGACACGCTGCGGGCTCGGCCTTCGCTCATAGATCGGGTTTCTTAATGCTGTCAAAGTTCACGTCTCACTTTTCATATTACTCGGATGCCTGTACCTACTTTTGTATCTTTGAGACCGCATTCCCGTGCTCCATATGTATTTTAAGTACTGCAATTCCACACTTGTCCAATCTCAAGCTGACATCCACATCGCGATCGAGCACCTTCTCAATATTAAACAATACATGCGTCTCGAAGGCTGATCATGCAAATCATTGAGCAAGGATTGCGAAAGCGTTGTATTACATTCAAAAAAGGGAACTAAACTGGAATATAGCTAAGTATCAAAGCACATAAATCGACTAAAGTGATGGAGAAAAGCGGAGAGCAAGTGTCGCGCGGAAGTCGAAAGTCGAAGTTGGAAGACGCGAAAAGTGAAGAGAGGTGACTAGTAGTGCAAATCACAGAGCCGAAGCTCATCGTGTCCAATCCATCAATATACAAGATGCATCCGGTACAATGGAGTATCAAAACTTAGTACCCTCCCTGCACACTTGAGACCGCGTGCTGGTGCTGCAGCTGCGGCGATGCCATCTTCATCGTTGGCGTCATCGACGGGCGCGGAGGTGACTGGTGGGCAGGCAGCTGCATCTGAGCTGGAAGAGGCGACGGGCTGCTGTGCGGCATATGTGGCGAATGTTGATAAGGCACGCCGATACTTGGCCGTCGACCATTCGCGGAGGGCGCTCGCACAGGCACGTTCGGCACTGCATGGCCTAGGTGTGGACTGGGCGACATCGAAGCATGGGTCATAGACTGGTCGCCGTTGCTGGGCACGGTGACGGGCTGCTGCATCGAAGCCCACTGGCGCCCTTGAGGAATCTTCAAGTTCATATTCTGCGCACCAGAATTAAGCTGAACGTTGAAGTGCGTTCCGTTAGGGTTAGGGATATACGCCGCGTTGATCTGTCGCCCCGGGCTATTGTGCATGTCTTGACTTTGAGCAAATGCGAGCTTGAGGTTTTGCATCTGCTGCATCGTCAACTGCGCAGGAGCTTGCCGCATGTACTGAGCATTCGACAGATTCGTGTAACCGTTCATTGCAACGTGGTAGCCGTTGGGCACATTAATGGCGGCGGTAGACTGGGGGCCGTCGACTTTCGGGCGATTCGGAGGGCTGGCTTGCTGAGACATGACAGTCCCATCTACCTGTGCGGTGCCCTGCGCATCGCCGTTCATTTGAGACACGGATGTAGAAGCAACACCATTCGTTTGCGCGCCATTCGCCTGGTTCAACTTGTCGATATCCGATACTGCAGGGGCCGAGGTGGATACGGCAGACGATGGGCGAGGCGGAGATGACTGGGTAGGAGGTACCAGGTTTCCTGGCGAGGCAGCACCAGCTGCGGAATGACGTCCGCTGGTCGAGATACGCATCTGGGCAAGTCCGTTCTGATTATGCAGAGGTTTGAATTGGGCTTGCATGGAGATTGGAACGCCGCCAGGGATCGACGACAACGGCATGCCGGCAGGAATCTGTCGCATGGCGCCCTGTTGTTGCTGAAAGGCACGTTGTGGGTATACCTGGTCTCGCCGAAGAGCGTAGGACGTCGGTCGATAGGGCTGGAAGGACTGCTGCCGCCCGTCGACAGAGATGGTGATGGTCGGGTCGCTACTAAGATGCTGTTGGTCTTGATCAGACAAAAGCCCCATGGAGTGACGAAGATATCTATAAAGGAACAGTCAGACAGATTCGACCACCAAAAAGAAGTAGCGAACCTTGGCTCGTAGTCGTCAACCAACATTCTGTCTTGCTCCTCAGGTCCATCGGGGCCAACTGGGGGAACGTCATCCTGGTCGAACCGCCACCGCTCACGAAGGCGTGTTGCAGTCTCCTCGTCTTCCTCATCGCTTGTCCCGGTCATAGCCAGACGTCGGGCAAACGCCTTACGCCGGCGTTCGAAAACGTCGTCACCGCTGCGAAGACCAGGCCTCGATAGATATGCGTCACGGCGATCGAGCAATGCCTGCCCACCGCGACCGTACCGTAGCCGTAAGAAGCGGACGTGACGATTGCTTTCATCCTCATCTTCATCATCGTTTGATGTAGTAGTTGATAGCGAGGAGTGAGCAGCTGCAGGGATAGCCTTCCACAGCCGACGATAACTTGGCACACCGGGACGCTGATAAGGATTCTGCAAAAAGGTGAGAACAATCCCAGCAGGCAAGCACAGAGACGAACTGCAGTAACATCCTCCCAGTGCATGTCCCGTTCCTTATGCCGAGCCATGTCCCTGTCGACGGCGCCATTAATGATTGCCAGGCGTTCTTTGGGTCGGAGAGGTGGCTCGGGTGCGACAGAAGGTGATGTCGATTCGCCAGTGCGAAGTTTTACACCGGGGATTCTGCTGAGACTATCAGAACGTGCGTGCCAAAACCGACAAACTTGCAACGAACCTCGCAGCCTCTGGCCTGCTTCTCTTCACCTTCTCCTTGTCTTGAAGCAACTCTTCGTCCTCCTTCGTGCCAAGCATCGGAAATTTACGCTTAAAGTCCATGAATTCTATCCGTTTCTCCCAGACCTTGAGGGACTCCTGGAGGTTGTCCCTCTTCATGTTTTCTCGCGTAAGGGTCAGTTGCGCAATGTCGTTCGATTGCACAAACTCCGCTTGCATCCGCAGGAGCTTGTCGGAAGACGTCGCCTGGGAGGCACGGGTCTTGCGCACCGCTTTGATTTCGCGCCGTCTGAAACAGATATATGACTCGTTCAACACGTCCGCTTCGTCGAACTAGAAGGAACTCAATCAGTCATCGAGCGAACAAAACCACAACAGTACGCACGTTCAAGGGAGGGATGATTCGATGCCCACCACGGTCCATTCGCCGTTCACGCCAGTGAGGATAAACACTTTTCGCAATTCGGAGGAGACTGGAGGATGTCGGGATCCATGATGGGACGGTGAAGGTGGCGAAGAGGGATGGTGAGAGGGGAGAAGAAAAAACATCTTGATAGTCTGTGAACGCGGGGAAAGCCATTCCTGTCTCGAGGCTCTGTTAGAGAAAAGGGCGTCAGTAGCTTGGACCATGCAAGGTAAAATTTGATGGACGTACATGGTGGAGGAACTCGGTCTTATCATGCGTCGTTTTCTCAAAGATGCCCATGACGAGCTCAAGTTCATCCTCGGAGATCGTGACGGGTTGGGTGCTTTCGGGCTCCTTGCCTTTGGCCTTCGCGCTACGTTGAGATACCCGCGTTGTGGTTCCGGGAGTGGAGAGTGCGCCCTGAGTGCTGGTGCCTTCGCCGCGTGCCTCTTCATTATTGCGATCGAGCCACTCCTTATCGCGCTCATCCATGATATAAGTGAAACCATCGATGAGCGCATTAGAACAAGCCTCATCAACGGTCTCGGACGAGCGAACGTAGGGAGCGGGATCTCTCCATTTGTTGGGGGTGTAAAGTTCAGCATAATTGTCAACGACGCCAGTCGAATCAGGGACGGGGATAAAAGCCGAGGGGGCGGGGGCGCTCGGCTTGCTGTCGGCGCGTGTGGTCCGGCTCACCGACGGGTGGCGGTGCTGTGCTGCGGAGAGGACAGCCTGCAAGTGATGCTCCTAAAAAACGTGAGAAAAAAGCGTGAGTCAGCCATCGATAATCGATCTCCCACGCGCACAACCAATGGCAGGGGGCCACGTCAGCCTGTTGGAAGGGCGGCAGACGACGCCCCCCTCCAGCGAGCAGCGGGAGGGACTCACGTTCGCATCCTCGGCGTCGACGCCCGCAGTGCTAACAATCCGAGCCTTCTCTTCATCCTCGTCGAGTACAAGGGGGTCGGCCTCAATGTTCCCTTGGATGATGCGGAGCCGAGTCTTGTTGGTAACTCGATTCCGGTTGCGGAGGGTCGAGGTACCCAGGTTGTGGTTTCGGGGCATATCATGGAGAGCGGAGGGGGAGAAATGGGCTGCAGAACTCGTCGACTGGTGAGCTTTGCCTTGTCGTTGAGGGGTCGGGGAATCGGCGGGGATGAGGCTACGCCAAAAAAGCGTGATGCTGACTAATCTGTATGGTGCCACCTTAATAGCGCCGGAAAGGAACGCTCTGACAGCGGCCGTCAATTCTTCCAGATCAGACAACAAAACTGATAGCGATGACAGAGACTCTCCAGACCATGCACAGGCGTCGAGTGGAGGGTGAATTTGAGTCGTAGGCGTTCGAGCCAGACGCATATGGCGTCTACAGCAAGTACGCCGCATGAAAAACAGGGGCCTGGGTGCCCGGAATGGCATCTGACGCAATCCGGGATTTACCCGACCGGGTTTCACCACACGCGCCGGCAACGGCGGGCAGGACACCTCCCTCGTCGACAGGCAAGAGGTCAATGTATGCATGCCAGAAAACGTCGCAGATGAGGTACTAGCTGCCGGGAGCTCATGAACTCCAGATAATCTCATCTGAGGTCGCTGTTCACGTTGCGGCCGTCGAGGAGGTCGACGGGAACAACGAAGCGTTACTCCTCCACGACACGACAGATTGGACGGCAACAACTGTCTCGACGTGGTGGAAGGCTGGAAGAAATGTAAGAACATAGTGATCCCTCGGAAAAGGGCTGCCACGCACCACCAGAAGACTCCCACTCTCAGCGCACGTCATCCACTCACACCTTTCATGCATCTCCAGCTGTACGCTATTCATCGAGGCATCGACATTACGAAAGTCAGCTAAGAAAGGACCGTAGGCTAGAGACCTTGTTCTAGCATAGTATAATCAGCGCTGAGGAAAGGCTGCGTAATTCCGCCTCGACGAACTCACCACGGGAGGGAAGATCCATGCATCGCATTAACCCATTCTGAACTCGAGCGGACTGCTGGAGGACGTTAGAAAACGAAGAGGAGCACTGAACGGGAGCGAGGACATCTCTCAAACAAGAGCCCTGGGACGAGGACGCGTGGTGGGTAGTAGGGAAAGTTTAAGCCGTAACTTGCAAGTTATTGCCCTGCGGCTATACGTGCCGGCGCCTCTCCTGATGCCCAATCTCGGTAACTCGCGTGGGGTTAGGGGTTACAGATCAGTTCTCTCACCACTGCATGCATCGTTTTCCGGATCCCATCGATAGTCCATGTACAACATTGCAATTTTTTTTTGGTATCTGACAACGAGCGGGTTTAATGAACCGCGGAGTACACATGCAAAGAGCATGTCAACCGCTGTGATACGTAGATACATTATGTAGTACGTAAAAACAAGGCATAAAATATGACTCTATAATATTATTCCCAGCGGATCCTACAGATAGGATTCATAGTCCCTCAAAAAATGACAGGTCCTGTGCAGACAGCCCGCCCTTACTGTTCGAGCTCGCAGAGGCGACAGCTTGCGAAGGAGCTGGTTTAGAAGACGCCGAAGAGAGAGACAACGACGTATTCATTTCCATGGGCAGAGGCGAAGGCGACAACGATGATACAGGCGACCTTGCATCTCGTACGGCACCGGTCGATGATGGCTGCGCTGCTGCCGCCGCGAAGGCATCACCAAGGAGATCGAACTCCGGTTGCTGAGTAGCAGTGTTGATTGAAGGTGGTGCCATACCTGGTGGGGGAGGTATCAGCCCTTGTTTCGACCCCGGTGGTGGTGGTAGGGTCGGTGTCCTCGAAGTAGGTGGAGGTGGCAACGTTGGAGTCCTCGAAACAGGCGGAGGAGGTAACGTAGGTGTCCTCGAAGTTGGTGGAGGAACGGCCCTAGTCGTGTTCGGCGGTGGCGGTATCATACCCATTGGCAAAGTTGCAGGTTTCTGCACTGGTGCTCGCGGCGGACCGGCAAGCGCCTTAGATAAGGGCGACCGAATCGACATACGTGTCGGTGAGGTAGGGTGCGCCATGGCGGGAAGTGTCTTAGCGGGAGGCAGAGGCGGCGACGGTGTCTGTATCGCAGACGAGGCGAAGTCGTTGAAGTCATCCCCAGCCCCACCAGCGAGCTCTTCCATTTCCTCGTCAAATTCCCAGCCTCGTTCGTTTTGCCTTGGTTTGGGCACCCGGTCAGGCATCTGATCGGGGCTATCAAAGCCAGTCAGCGACGAGAGCCTTGACCGTGACGGTCCAGCAACTCGTGTAAGTGGCTTTGAGGATGAAGACGATTGGAAGCTCGAGCTCGATGCAATAGTCGATGGGCTGCGGAAACTATCCAGGGAGTTGCTACTTCGCACCGGGGTTGCAGGACGTGGAGGGGCAGCAGCAGGAGCATCGAAGAAATCCGAGAAGTCATCACCATTTGCTGGTAGGTGGCCAGTTCTGGAGGTTCCTGATGGTCTCGCTTGACTGTCATTGACGCTATTGAGTGCTTTCGACGCGTCTGTAAAATCCATGAAATCGTCGAAGGCTGGTGCTTGAGTGGTAGGTGGCTTGGGAGTTGTGGGCGAAATTGGTACAGGATGTGTAGATTGCGGAGGCGGGAGGAGTGGTGCTGCCTTAAGAGGAGGAGGAAGGGAGTTCGACGGAGGCGGTGGAAATTGGAAGGGTGACTGGGCGCGCGATGCAGATTGCTGAGTCGACGAAGATGAAGGCGATATAGGTGAAAGAGGAACAGGCGTGCTCGAACGGGACGAAAGCGATGGCGCGAGAGGAGGCGGTAGGCTAGAGATGGAGGCCTGCCGCGACGCTGGTAACGAGCGTACGGGAGCAGATGGCGGAGGCGGAGGTGCGAGTCTGGGCGGTAAAGGCGTAGGTGCAGCGGGCTGAACTACCGGCTTATTGAACATTGCAGACCAGTCATTGTCATCCTTGCCGTCATCTCCATGGTATGGAACATCATCAAGGAATTCGAGGTCGTCTGATGACAGTGCAAGTGCCGAGCCTGTACGGGATTGGCGGCGAGAAAATCTGTTGAGGAAACGCGACACTGCCGATGGACCAGGCGCAGCAGGTGGGAAAACATCAATCGAGGGAGGATCAGGCGTAGTAGAATTGCTCGTCGACGCAGGTTGCTCTGGCTGTTTGGCGACAGACACTGGCGAAGCAGCGGTAGGTGATGCGGCTTTGTCCGAAAGCTGGGTTGTCTCCAGAGGCTGAGGCGATTTGACGGGCGCACTGTCCATACTAGAACGCGGTGAAGTTCGGCTCTTGGGAGAGTCAACCGAAGTTGCGGATGGGTTCCTGCGATTCCAATATGAAAGCCAACCGGTCTTCTTAGGTGCTGCAGCTGCCTTGGCTTCTTCCTCTGGCTTCTTCTCAAGAATACGCCATCCCGCTGGAGTAGCGTCCTCTTCAGTTATGGTAGTGGTGCCACGCCATCGTTGAGTTCCACGCGAGTCAAGATACCGAGTCAAAGGACTGCGCATTGCAACCGGCGTGTGGCGAGAGAGTCGAAGTGCCGTCGACATCTCTTTGTAAATGCCTGTCTGAGCGAACGGTGGAAGTGTCTCAAGAAACGGTCTTTCAGGAGGCAGAAGTTTATTGAGGGTGTCCGAACTAAAGAAGAATTTAGCCATATTGTAAGTAAAGCGTTGATGGACCCGGCTCACTAGCGCTCTATCGGTTCTGGTCCTTTCGTGCGCCAATTGTCAGCCTCAGATTCGGGGGTCTGCTCTTTGTCCGTAGGCCATAACTCCGATGTAACCTCTTCGCATCTCTGCAGTATAGAAGACAAAAGTTCCGGAGGCTAAGGACTGTTGAGTAAAAGTGCGAAGCTAAGACGATGTCCCGACGTACGACAGCACGGTCCATCCTCTCCCTCTCACGTCTGGCTGCTTCCCATTCGTCTGGTTGAACATGGTCGCGTGCTTCGCCTCCATCCGCTTCCCTGTCAGCCGCAGATCCCCAGGTGGAGCCCCAGTTGTCGTCCACATCGACGACAGTGGGTGGTCCCCAAGCATCGTCGTCAGCAGCTAAGGTAGCGGCAGTGTCAAAGGGTATGCTAGACTCGAAACCGCCGAAACCGCCGTCGAGTGTGGCTGCCGTAGGAAGTACAGGGGAGGTTGGCTCTGGGATCGTAATTTCCTGGTGATCATCCTCGCTGGGGATATCGTTTTCCGAAGCGGGTGAAACTGGCGCAGGGATATTAGCTGCCTCTAGCTCTGGTTTGGGTTCCTGGGGCTTGGGTTCAGGCTTAGGCTTGAGTGCAGGTGCATGTTCGGACCCAGGGCTTTTTGGATGCGAGGCAATGTCGGACTCCTCTCCCCAGGCAGGAGTCTGACCCCATGCGTCTGCACTGGCAGGAGCTGTCCATGATGGTGCGGTCCAGTTGGGTAGCTGGTCATCGAGTTTGGGCGGGGAGGGAGGTGGTTGGTCGTCGTGTACAGCCCAGGGATTGTCCATAGGGCAGGGTCTGCCTGTCCAAGGGGAAGTGCATCAAATCAAAAGATAGTAATGAATGGTTATGAAACAGGCAAAGGACGAGGCGAAGCGCGCGAACACGTGAGAGACAATATGTGGTTAACTGCGTCAATTGCAATTCTGTCCCTCACACAACCTCCCCCTTCTCCCCCCCTCCGTTCTCCCTACAGGCTGTAGGTCGCTCAGACAATCCAGCTAACCATCCTGGTCAGCACTCGCAATGGCCTTGGATTTTGAGACTGAGCGCAGTATCCTCGACTGGGACGAGAACCAGGTCCACCTCTGGTTCTCCTCTCTCGGCCTTCCCCAATATGAGGCACAGATCAGAGGTACGTGCCTCCTCGGGATTTGCTATTTTTTCGCCAATGTCAACTACTTCACATTACAGAGCACAACATATCGGGCGACATTCTCTGCACCCTAGACGCCGAGAATCTCAAGAACATCGGCATTTCCACCATCGGCCAGCGTCTCACCATACTCAAAGCAATATACCAGGTAAAACTGCAACATCATGTTCCCTTCGACGCGGATCATTACGTGCCACCCTGTTCGCCGCTTTCCTTATATAAATTGTCGCACCCGCTAATAAACTCGGCAGCCGAAGCTCAAGACCAGATTGTCTCAGCGGACAAGCTATTCGACGTGGTCAAGGAACACAGTCCGTCCATACTCTCAATTAATATTCCATTCATCTCACACGTCCCCAGACCATCGTGTCAAGTTCTTAGAGGAAGATAATCGACGATTGAACGAAACCCTCCAACTAGTACTCGACGAGCTCAATACGTTGCGATCACAACCATCTCACCGCCCCGTAAGTCCATACCGCCCTTCCACTGCCTCTTTGTTGCGCTTACAAGTTCCAATAGAACGACCATCCCCTCCGACACCAAGGTTCCTTCAAGTGGGAAAACTCTTCCAACCACACGTCCAAGTCGCCAACGAAGTCCGAGACCAACGGCGATTCACCCCAGAACTCCCCTGCACGCGTGCACAACACCGATCCCTCCTCAAGTGTACAACAACCGTCTGCAACGAAACGGCCCGAACCGTCGAGGAACGACAGCTATGGCACAGGTACCGACAACATGAAGAGCTTCAAGGTCAGCCTCGAGGACCCGACGTGGAAGGTCCTTCCCGCCGCACTGAAGAAGTACAAGATCAACAACGACAGTTGGCAGAACTACGCCATGTTCATATGCTACGGGTCTCCAGGTACGCTTCGTCTTTCAGTCTTTTGTTCCCACTGCGTTGCCGCTCGCATGAACATTCAAACTAACACGTTCGCACCGCAGGCAACCGCATCGAACGTTGCCTGTCCTACGACGAGAAACCGCTTCTCCTCTTCCAGAAGCTCAAGGACGCGAAGAAGAACCCCGTATTCATGCTCAAGCATATTAAAGATATCCGGTCGCCTATCGCCGTCGCGCAGCAGAAGCATGCCATGCGCAAAGCCAGCATCGGTGCCGAGGGCTCCAGTGGCGCCGGTCCTTCGGGCAGCGGCAGCGGGTCCTCCTCGCAAGCGATAAGCCCGAACCCCGGCGCGCCGTCCTCGGCAACGCTGCGTCCGAACCAGGCACCGCGCCCGACGCTCCGGCCGCCGAGACTCGAAGTGAACGATCTATCCAGTGCTGGTTCACAGCCAATGACGGGGACGAACCCGCAGGCAGGGTGGCCAGAGGTGATGTCGCCGTCGGTAGAGAAGAAGGAGAACGACCATCTCCGCGATACGATACAGTCGTCGACGTCTACACTGATTGAGCACGGTAGCGAGGAAGGAAGCGGGCGAGCGAGTGGCACGCACAGTTCAACGTCGACGTTGGTGAACTCGAATAATCATGCTAGTACCTCGAGCTCGCGAGAGATGCCGCCGAGGATGGACGGGGTTTCGTATGCGGTTGCTATATATCCGTATATGGCAGAACAGGACGACGAGTTTGACGTGGTTGTGTGCGTGTTTGACCTTTGTCTCAACGGGCGTTTGCTAACTTGAAACTCGAATTCTATACAGTGGTGATACTTTCGTTATTCTCTCGCGTGCACGGGGATGGTGGGTAGTCCAACGCGACCCAACGGGATCTGGTGCTGTCGACCCCGACACAAGTAACCAAGGTTGGGTCCCTGCCGGGTGTCTACTCGAGACAAATGTACCCGTTGCATCTGCAATTGCGGAGGCGAAGGCGTCCTTGGGCGGCGCCACTACCCCACCCGCAGGGGAGTCATCGGATGGCACGAAGAGCGTGACTCCGATCTTGCCGCTCAGCATTATCTCGACGAGCTATCCAGGTATTGCGCTCATGGACTATCAGAAGAAGGGCGAGGAGGAGCTGGATCTGGCCAAAGATGACGCACTGCGGGTATTCAAGCGGTATAACCATTGGTCGTATGCAGTCAAGGAGGACGGCGGAGATCGAGGTTGGGTACCGGTGAGCTATTCGCCTATGTGTACTCTGTATCAGGTGCTCATCAACTCTTTAGTCATGGTTCATTGGGAAGGTTCCTGCGCCAGGCGCAGTACCACCAACACCTATAGCTCAAGCTAGTACCAACCCGACGATCAACGTCGAGTCGGCGGACAGCACCCCTCAGAACCAAGTCTCGCCCATGTCCTCCGCATTCCCAGTCGCCAACCGAGGCGCCGTGCTATCAGGTTCCGCAGAGCAACGTTAACGGTTTCTCATGTACACACCCTTTTTCCTGCGCTGTTGTTTTCGTTTCGTACATTTTGATATTTGGATAACAGGCTACTTCGTGCTGACTTGTGCTGATTGATTTTCACCGTCGGTCTTACTTCATTGTATCTCTATTGTTTTCAAATGCATGGACTGATCACGTCTTTACCCCACCGTCACCCACCTTCTGTCCTATATAGTACGCATCCCGAGTCCATGCCCATGTCGACGTCATCTAGTTACTTGTGCAAATATCTAGTGAATGATATCACAACCTTCTCAGACACCAACGCCAAAGATCCGGCACAACCGCTCGCACTTCGCGCAAACCACAGATTCTCGTGTTACTACAACTTCGCCCTGTCCCCCGGCTCAGGACCGTGCTCACCGAACAGCCCAAGCACCCGCATGAGCAGTGACATATACCACCCCGTCAGGCCCCACACCTCCATGCGCCCCTCGCGCCCGCCGCCGACCTCGTCCTCGACGAACTCGCTGCGCACACCGCTCGGCGTCAGGTCCGAAACATCGATCGCCCAATAGGGACTCGAGTGCCGGAATAAATCGCGGTGCAGCCGCGACGCGTCGACGAGTGCAGCGAGCGGGAGGTGGAACGCGCATGCGACTTCGGGTTGGGAGACTGTGAGGGAAGATAGGGAAAGCGACGGGAGCGGCGCGTTTGGATCAGATATGGAGGTGGGGTTGTTCAGAGGATGGACGAAGCCCTGTACGCAAAGGTAAAAGTGGGCAGTTCCAGATAGTTAATCAGTAGCCAGTGTGCCTAGACGTACGACGAACGGCCAGACGCGCATGCCTCGCAGACTTAGTTCTGGAGGCCCGATCTGCCCAAGCATGTCTATCTGCCCGGGTAGAACGCCGACCTCTTCATGAGTTTCTCGAAGGGCTGCATCGAGAAGGGATGCATCTGTCTGGAGGAAGCACTAGTGTCAAATCTCTGACCATACACACCATCAGATCGTCAAGACGCGTACATTGTCTACTCTTCCGCCGGGGAAGCTGTGTGCCGTGCGGATTGGTGCCCTGGTGGTGAGGACTCGAGAATCAAGACAAATGCAGCAATCACAATCACCTTACTTCCCCCGAATGAGACCGTAGCTTCATTCCGCGTACCTCGAGCAAGACGCCCGGAACGCCATTAACATTGCACAGCGGTACCAGCACCGCCGCGTTCACCTCGCCGGAGCTGGGCTCAGGGTGTGTCGCTGGAGATGAACCGTGGTGCGCCGAGAGAGCACTGCGGATTGTCGCAAGACTAGCTTGCGTCAAGGGTGACGACAGCGATATGATCGCGCTCGAGGACGAGGGCAGAACATGGCCGCTCGCTGCTGTGAGCGTTCGAGACAACATTTGCTGGAGTAAACGCCATATTTCGGGCGCATGCACTGGGACTTACTCGCATCCGCCTGAACCCAGCGTGTCCGGGGCGTTGGCGCCGCGCCACGATGACGCTCTCACATGGCCAGGGTTATCAAATATCAAAGTACCCCACGACGTCGACTCGGACTCAAACCTCCTTCGATCATTTGCGGTGAGTACAACGCCGTGCATTTGATACAGTGCCGTTAATGTTGGTGCAAAATGCACCAAGCATGGTCCCATTCACTTCGAGACTTGGCCACTAGAATTGTCACTACTAACCTCTTCCATTATTGAACCAAATGTGTATGAGCAAAAATAAATAAATAGTGAACACGTCGCAAGCTACGACATAAAATCCAATAAACAATCATTGCTAATAGATCGAGCTTCGTGGTATTGCAGTGTCGCCGCTATTGATGCGTTGAGCTGTGTGCCATATTTTGGAATCTGCCAAAGCAATAATCCGAAGGTAGCTTTTCACCAGTGACCATCTTTCCCTCTGTTCAATAATCAGTTTCTTGGGCCTCACCAAATTCGGAGGTACCGCCCAGTAATCCAACTCGCAGAGCTTGGGCACCATTTGATTTATGATAAGGGCTACCGCTGAAGGATCCTCGACTGGCGAGTCCAGGACGTTGAGGGACGTAAGGGAAGTAATCCATGGTTCGTCTTGAAGTCGCCGCGGAAGGTTATCCAACTTGGTTGCATCAAATGCCATGGCCAGCTTCTTGAGCTTTGAACACGACTTTAAAAGTGCAATAACGCCATCCATCGTCACTTTGGTGACATGCCATCCGAATTCGATGTTGAGTTGCAGAGTCTGCAGGTGAGGCCAGCTGGTAGCAAGGGCTTGAATATCTGTGTTATCCAGATGGACTTTCCCTACGACACTGATGTTTAGTTCGCGGAGGTTGATGACATTGAGTACTGGGTCGATATATTGAATGGTGAGATCTGCTTCTCCCGAGCGATGAGTTGAATCAAAATTGGGTTGATTGCCGCCTAGATAAAACGTAAAGGATTCAAGCAAGCTCTTGTCACAAAAGTTGACAAGGTTGGCGAGAACCGTCGTTATGGGCAAACATTGGCCAAAGGCGAACTGCGAGTCCGGATACGTTGTACGGAAGATAAAGATCTTAGGCCGCGCCTCTTTAAGAAGAAGGGAGCTGGTTACTGCAGGAGATTGTGTTTCAAGAGTGATCGACTCGGAATTTGGGAAGAAAAGAGTAGGAAATGTTCGGGGAAGTTGAGTCGGATCAAACAGAAGTCTTATGGAGGTTAGAGTCGCAAGCTGACCCAAATGTGTCCATGCGTCGGGTGTAAGCGAATCGCATTTCAGAGACCGTAGCTGTTTGCAGGCGCATACTATTTCAGACACCATTACCATGAACGCGGCGGTAGAACCATAGCCCTGTATATCTAGTGTTGTGATGTTAGGACACTTTCGAGGGACAGGGGCAAATACAGGCAAGCTGTAGCTATCTGGGTTCAGACCTCCCAGGTTTATCTTCAGTGTCATTAAAGTCGAGGATAAGAAGAGCCCTAGGAATTGAAGGTTGTGATTGGACGTGCCGGACTCTTTCCAATATAGGTGCTGCAATGATGGCAAGACGGGAAGCTCAGCGAGTCCAATTTTCAGCGCCTGCTCCAGTGTTGCAAAAGCAGTCAGCTCCGATGGACGGTCAACTCTCAAAGTCTTGACAAGGGAAGCATATTTGCTCAAAGCTTGAGAATCAAACGCCGTAAATATTGGAGTAGGCTGGACATTCCATACGATCTGGAGCTATGTATTAACTTGGTGTCGGTAAAAGATATAACGGCCTACAAAACTCACTTGATTTGTTGCACTTCGGTTACTTTGGTACGATGGTAGCTGGTCAATCAGCTGGCGGGGGTCGTCAACCTCAGACCAGCAAATGATCTCAGCGGCAGACTTGAAATTGCGACATGTTTTCAGCAAAGCATGAAGAGATGATCCCTTGGCGTTGGAGCCGCTTTTGAGGTACTGAAAGATGTGTAAAAGAATCTCTTGAATGAGGAGGGCAGGGTGCATGACGGTAAGCTATCAAAAACACGTCCGGACAATTCCGAGCCCCTGTTTGGCTGCCGATGCGGATCTCGGCCCGTGTGTTCGGCTCCCAGTGTCTGGAGTTGCAGCAACATAGCCTCGTGGACATCTAGACAGAGAATCTGAGCCTGCCGCATGTCTCATATTCATTTGGACTTGTCCCAGCCACTCCGGTCTCACTAGAAATCCTCGAGCAGAGGACACAGGCTTCAGGCCTCAGGACTGAACGAGGTACGGTGACACACATTACTCCTTTGTGTAACGAGATTGTTTGATTTCAGGCTGATCATTGTTGCGCATGTCCTTTGGCAATCTGTGTGATGCCATGACTTCCATGTACCCATATATTCCCTTGTGTAGCCCCCGTGCCCGCCATGGACGTCGTCGAAAAGGCGAATGCTGAAAAGCAGAAACGATGGTATGTAAATCAAACCATTGTTGCCCCCCGGTGCGCTGATAGCATCCGTGGAACTGCGACAGGATGAAGGACCAGAAGGTCGGCGAGGGTGCTTATGCCGTTGTCTACCGCGGACGCGACTCGCTGTCGGCACGCAAAGTTGCCATCAAGAAGATCAAGGTTGGACTGTTCAAGGATGGGCTGGATATGTCTGCTATTCGGGAGGTCAAATACCTTCGCGAGCTGAAGCACCAGAACATTATTGAAGTGAGCGGCACGCCTCCTTTGTCCTAATTTTCTGGAGTTCGACCTTTTCTCTCCAGCTTGTGGACGTGTTTTCCTCGAAGAAAAACCTCAACCTTGTGCTCGAGTTCTTGGACAGTGATCTTGAAATGATCATTAGGGACCGTTCACTGGTCTTTCTACCTGCGGACATCAAGGCATGGATGGCAATGACCTTCCGCGGGCTCGAGTTTTGCCACCGAAATTGCATATTGCATCGGGTGAGTTCATCATTTCCCCATGTTACTCTTCAGCTGACGCCAACGCTCCTTCAGGACCTAAAACCAAACAACTTGTTGATAGCTTCAGATGGTCAGCTCAAGATTGCCGATTTCGGTCTCGCTCGCGACTTTGCAGATCCAGGGTACAAAATGACTTGTCAGGTCATCACAAGGTAAAATATAGTCATGTCTTCATCATTGGGAAGACGTTTGTCTTATCATGCTCTAGATGGTATCGACCTCCAGAACTGCTCTTTGGCTGCCGATACTACAGCACGAGTGCAGACGTATGGTCCGTAGGATGCATATTCGCTGAGCTGATGCTTAGGACGCCATACCTTCCCGGAGAATCAGACATGGACCAGCTAAAGACAATATTCCGTGCACTTGGAACACCGACGGAGGACGACTGGCCGGTGAGTATGTTATACCTTCATCTACATTGTACTCAACTCGTATGTCCAGGGGCACACAAAACTGCCCGATTACGTGCCAGTGGGCCAGTTCCCCAAAACTCCCCTGCGCGAACTCTTCACAGCCGCATCGGTCGATACGCTCAACCTGCTCGGAAAATGCCTCATTTATGAACCCCGGAAACGGATAACAGCCCGAGACGTACGTACAATTCGCAGCTTCTCCTATCTTCCCTTCTCTTTGGTGTAGTTTTGCTTATACAGTATTCCGGAGTAGGCCCTTAACCACTCGTATTTCTTTGCACTCCCGTACCCCACCCATCCCTCGAAGCTTCCCAAGCCCGCATCATCAGTACAGTCTTCCAGGCCACTGGAGGAAGTCGACGGCAATGTTGACCAGAACGCACCCGGGCCTGCGGTCAAGGCACTATCGGTGAACAAGCTCAAGCGCAAGCTGACCTCGCCAGACGAGCTTACTGGGCGTCCATTGGCACGGAGACTCGATTTCACCGCCCATACACGCTCTTAGAACCTCGCGGAATGCGTTTCGGTACCATGGGCACTCACAACGGTTTTCGAGTTTCCGGGCGCCTTGCTCTCGCTTTATTTCTGACAAGATTTCCGATCTCATTGCTATCTGTAATCTATGTTTTATGCATTTGCTGTGACACCGACATTGGTCCGTATAGCCTGAAACACGGTTGGTGAGCCTTACAAGAAAGGTCGAGATAAGATCAAGATGTTAGTCAAAGGTTTGTCGTCGATAATGGCGACGTAACATTGAGACAATGGCCCAGTCTCAACTTCGCGGGAGACCTCGATAGCAACTTTTCCGCTTGCTCGACAACGGTGACAAAGAGACGGACGAAAAAAAATCTGTGCCCATGGGAGCGATAGCAATGCAAGATGTTAAACTAACGGTGGACAAATCGAGAAAAACAAAGCGCCAAAGTAAAAATATGCTATGTACGTACTAATAGAGATGTTGTGCAGCAATTACCGTAAACTCGCATGTTTCAACCAACACAAAAATAACAAAGCAAACCATCACCATCACACCCGCTCCGCTTCACAAACCGTACACTTCTTCGCATTCGTCGGGTTCGACAGCATGCACGTCCCGCACGTCCACATCGCGTCACTCGATGCTGGCGGCGCCTTCAACCCCGCAGCGCCCCAGTTGAAGCCTACTACTTTGGGAGCAGCCGGAGCTGCGCCAGGACGTGCAGCTTCGCAGACCGTACATTTCTCCTTGGCCGAGTCCGGGTTCTGCAGCATACAAGTGTTGCATGTCCAAGTATTACTCGTGGGTACCGAAGGTGCTTTCATCCCCGCTGCGCCCCAGTTGAACCCGTCCATCTTGGGTGCGGGAGGAGCCGCACCGGGACGTGCAGCCTCGCAAACTGTGCACTTCTCCTTCGCAGAGTCCGGGTTCTGGAGCATACATGTGCTACAAGTCCATTTGTCGCCGCCCGGAGCAGAGGGTGCTTTCATGCCCGAAGCGCCCCAGTTGAAGCCGTTCGTCTTGGGGGCAGGCGGAGCTGCGCCGGGGCGAGGGGCCTCGCAAATCGTGCATTTTTCCTTGGCAGAGTCCGGGTTCTGGAGCATACAAGTAGCGCACTGCCAGGTTTCCGTGCTGGATGCCTTTGATGCACTCATACCAGCTCCAGACCAATCGAAAGTCTTCGGCGCAGAGGAAGGGGCGACGGCCGGTGGTGGGGGCGCAGGCTTGGAGAAGTCGTAGGTCGGTAGAGAAGACGCTGGAAGCACGAGAACAGCCTCCCGAGCTTTAACGTGACTCGGGCTGGCATCGTAACTACCCATGTTGAGATCGAAGGAGTACTTGGGAAGTTCACGAGCGTTCATCGCGAGTACGACTTCCTTAGGGCTGATAGTAACCTTGACATTAGGCTCAGCCTTTGCAGAAGCTGGAGGGGATGGTATCGGCTCAGGAACAGGCTTGGATTGGAACGAGGAAAAGGCAACTGGCGCAGCAACAGTAGCAGTAGCGGCAACGGCCGGAGCAGACAGGAAAGTGGATACAGGTGCGGGTTCAGCCGCTGGAGGTGCCACAGGCTCAGTTGATGGCTCCGCATCCGACCCCGACTCCGACTTGTCCGCTGCCTGGTAGCTGAACCGTAGCTTCGATGGTTCCCTCGGGACAGAGGACTTCACGCCTAGTGGCAATTTCGCTCCAGGTGGTGTCGAACCTCGTTTCACTGGCGAGCGTGGGGGCTCATCTCCCGGCTCGACAACTTCGGAGGGTCGAGTCGGTTCGGAACTACCAGTCTTTGATTTAGCGGAGGCATCATCATCGATCTCTTCTACAGTAACGGTTGAGCGCACAGGACGAGAGGCTTCGTTCGCTGGAGGAGACGTCTTCCGCTTCTTCTTCGGGCCGGTATCAGCGTCGTTGTCGGCTTCCTCCACAGATACAGTAGGTTTAGCCGACCGACCAACTCTAGAGCTGCCGTTCACTGCTGGCTGTGGCGGTTCAATGGCAGGAAAAGCCGAGCGAGTAGGCTTTTCGAGCTCTGGCGGAGGTCTTGAGCGTTTGCTTCCCTACGAATTTGGTCAACGAAAGTCTAAGAGAAGTTCGCGGCGCACTTGACTGACCTTTGGCACCGTAGCCTCAATGACGGCTTGGGCGGACATTTCGACGTCTGGCTCCGGCTCCTTAGGTTGCTCGACGGATCTGGCGGCCTTTACTCTCCTCGGCGGCGGCTTTCTGACGGGTTGCTTGACCGGACATGCAACTTGGTAAGGATTGGCGACTTCAAGTTTCTTCGGCGGTGTGACTTCCTTGATCAATCCTGACATAAAACTGGCTGCCTTCGTGGGTTTCGATGGCGGCGTAATCTGCGACTGCGATTGCGGAGGAGAGTCGCCATTCTTCCAAGTCTGTCGCAGGGGCGATGGAATGGCAGGCGCAGAAGGTGTATACGTGAGACCCGTAGTGCGTAAGCGAGGCGCCTGCGCGCCATTGACGCGCGAAGTAGATGGAGATGAAGACGAACCCTTGCCATTCACAGGCGGTGAAGGTGTGCTGGCAGGTCCAGGAGAGCCCTCACGTTCAAAGGGTTTGCTGGGAGCCAAAGAGGTTCGCTGAGCTTGGGAAGATCCGGCCTCCTCACCAACCCTCCTACGCTTTGTGTCCGTCACCGCTTTCGGCGGAGAAAGCTTAATGGATGGCTGCGGTTGTCGTGGCCTGAAAGCAGGTGATTGATAGCGATTTCGGGGACGAGAACTTCCACCGCCTTGCCACCTGTATACACCGTTCGGATTCTTGGACAATGTCTTCCGTGGAGCAGGAGCAACATCGTTATTGTCAGGTGCACCGCTGACGTCACCAGGAGTGAAGCCAGGCGATGAGTCGCGTGAGGATGTCGTGGAGAATCGGAACGGCTCGGGCTTTTCGGGGCCTGAGGAGAAGGCTCAGTCAATGGCGCATATGAATGAGATAATGGCCGCGTACTGTGGACGTTTTGAATATAGTTAAAAATGCCTGCGGCTTCAAAGTCGTTTAGAGGCTGGCCACGCTTTTCTGCTAGGAATTTGGTGACTGGTTCAAGGGATTGAGCCAAAGGTGTGGTGGGACGATTGTCATTCCTTGAGGCTTGGGATGACACCGCGGTGAGTGAGAGGAACGGAGACTGGTTTGGTGGGTTTTGCCATCCATTGCGTCCGGATCCGCTGGCCTCGGCGCTGCGAACTGTATGGTCTTGCAGGTTTCGGGAAATCTATCTAAGCAGTGAGTATAGCATTCAACAAGCGTTTTGAAGATTACGAGCCTGGTGTCCTCGTTGAGACAGAGACTGGGCGGGACCATTCACGCGTTGCGTGTCTGTATCCGTGCCGTGTTCGTGATTTGAGAGAGAATGCTCGTCGCCCGGCTCAGAAATGCCCATCTTGTCTTCCTCAGAATCATCCTCCGGGCTGTCCGGGCTAGTGTCATTAGAGCCAAAGCGGAATGGGTTGAGGAAGCTGAGAAGACTGGGCAAACCCCATGACTGTACAAGAGTTCAGAACACTTCGACTAAGAAATATTGAGAATCTCATACCGATTTTTTGGGAGGAAATGCCTTGGTGGGTCTCGCATAAGGAGAGGCGTGCGCATTACGCGCCGAACGCCGATCGCCCCGCCTGACAGCACCGCTCATAGTGACCTAGAAAAGCCTACACTTTCGCTTTGCTGGCTCAAAGGGATGGGAAGTGTCGTTAGCAAGTCGTAAAGGGCGTAGGAGGCGGGGGAGAGTAGGGTACAAGGGCAAGGAATGAAACCTGCTTGAGCCTATGGAGAGCGTTCTCTTGTGTCAACTTCCACCCATGACCAGGTGCAGTGCGCATTAGGGCCGGCCAAATCCCGTGCCCTCCCGGCCTGCAGCTTGCTTGTGCTCGACGGCAACACCTCACTAGCTCAACTCGACCACAATCACCTTTCATCATGCCGGAAAGGACTGTCGAGACCCCCTACCCGCTCATCGACGCGGACCCCCATGCCAGCCGCGTCGTCCGCTACATGCGCCCGTCCGACTACGCTACATGGGCTGCAGGCACCGCTGGTTTCCCCGCCGCACTCTACTTCTGGGGTAATATGCTCTTCTAATACTGCTCTACTCTGTACTGAGGTATTTGCAGATATGGCCGACCCTTCCAAGGTTCGCCTGCGGACAGGTCTGCGTCTCGGAGGTCTCCTTGGCTTCATTGGTGGATTCATGCTCGCGTACCAGCGCTCAAGTTGTGAGTATCCCATGAAACTACCAGTGGGCTCGGTTTGACTGTTTCAAGTCCGCTTCTGGGGCTTTACCGAGAACCGGAGAGAGCAGGAGAAGGACTTTGCTGAGCTCAGCCAGCGTGCTCAGGCAGGGAAGCCTCTCTATGGCGAGTCTACTCAACCAGGTTGGGTTCAGGACATCGCATACAGGAACTCTGCGTGGTCTCAACTCAAGTTTAGTACGTGTTACGCTATCATCACTACGTTAACCCGGTGCTGACTTGGCTCCTCAGACATGTTCCCAATGTAAGCAGACTTGACAGATAAGTCTCACCTCGATGCTAACCATATATCAGGTTTAACTTCGTGAACCACCCCCACCACGGCACGGACCCGGCCAAGTACGGCGTCCAGTCGAAGGAGACCAGCGAGTAGAATGCGAGAACCGGCATATGTTCACAAATCGTTTATTGAACCCGCTTCAGCTCTCTTTAGGGCTGGGTTCCTATGCGTTGCCTGCCTGGCTATAACAGGTCCCGATTGACGACCTGCAGAACTTCGTGGCAATAGACTAATGCATGCACTGCTATCTTCAAATGAAAAAAGGCCATCACAATACAAAATCTATCAGACAAAGTGTGCTTCAAACCTATACGATGAGTCACAGAGCTCCATGGTGAGGACTTTGGGAACACCTTCACCTGCCAGCAAGGGAGTGACGAAAAGCGTGAAGGTATATCCAAGTGACACTTCTATTTTACCTGTCCATCAGATCTTAGAATGACTCTGAGCAAGATCACGCTTCCAGCTGGCGCCAGAACCCACTAAACAGCCAGTTTTCTTCCGCGGGTAATGTCGTATGCTCCATGTCGCAGGTCCGACCCGATTGCGACGCAACCCTCAAGCTCAAATTCTATGCCTAAATGCCACATTGTATGGACAAATGTGCCACTCATACGAAGCAAATGACGTATAGACAACAAAGCTCGATAAAATCGCACTGGATAGATAAGACCCTGGGCTTGGTTCGCCCTAGTGTATCGTCACAAAAGAGTAAGTCAATCTTATCATCGCTAACACGAAAGGCCCTTAGGGGGCGACTAGGTCCAGAGCTAGAGTACGTATTCTACATTCGTAAGAAAATTACCAGTTTTCCGTGAATACCGCCGGTCGTACGCCGGACGGCCGCAGAACAAATTTCGGGTACCTTTCAGCGACCTGCTTTTCGAACTTTCGCTGACCTCATGAGGATTCCAGTCTAGGCAGAGAGCAAGGTGACAGCCATTATCTACCTACTGGAGATAAACTCATGCATGTTGGGAAGGCGGTCGAACGACCCGATGGCTGACTCAGAGCAATGACGCGATTTAATTTTGCGAAGACAAAACACGTGATCGTGTCCTGTGGTAAAATAACTGCTTTTGGCAGCGGGGATGTTCGTTTTGGTCCATCCATTGCAAGGTCCGCAGACTCGGTCATTTAAGCTATCTCTAACCTATCCTTCCTATCTTTCACTCCTTTTTCCTGCATCTTGAAACTTTGTACCCATATATCTATCAGTGTGTGCGCCTGAAGGGGCGCTGCCGCACTCAAAACATATACCCCAAATGATAGGTCTCACCCTGTACGACGTCCTTGGTTTGACCCCTACTGCAACAACGGATGATGGTCTGCCTTCCCATACGCTCGCTCGCAAGAGGAAAACACTAACTGCCTGAACACTAAACAGTTCGCAAAGCCTACAAGATGAAGGCGAGAGAAACACATCCGGACAAGTTAACCCCTAATGCCAGCGATCGCGAAAGGCGCGCGGCAGAGGGAAAGTTTCGCAATGTATAAGCGCCATCCTTCTCAGACTGTACTTGCTCTCTCAGTTACTCTTCTGCGCAGGTGTATGATGCATTTCAGGTGCTGAGCGACCCAGTGAAACGTAGGGTAGGGCACAGTCAGGCGCTATTCTACCGATCGATCTCTGCTAATGAGACCTAAACATTTGTAGGCGTACGACGGCCGCATACAGGCGGCGACAAACAACGCAAATAGGTGGGATGCTGAGCGTGAGCGGATAAAGCAAGAGAGAGAGGAATGGGCCCGACAGGCCAAAGAAAGAAGCGAAGCCCGACTCAAGCAACGAGCAGACTTGGCGTCCTCTATTCGGGACATGAAGGACGAGAAAGCGGTGTACAACGAAGTCGTAGATAAGATATATCAGGAGCTGGTGGATAGCAGCCCGGAATGGGCCATTCGAAAGAAGGAGGTTTTGCAGGCGAGTTATCGTTCCCTCCAGCCAATGCACGAAGGCACTGACTCTTACGCAGCGAAAAGCGATAGCTGAGAAGAACGCTTCCACTCGCGCTTTACCTCGGCGACAAACTACTTTATAAGGGGGCTTTGGTTTTCCAATATTTAACGGACTGACAAGAATTTCAACCAGGCTTGTTGTATTACATTCTTTCGCTTTCATTGTACATCATTGCTCGAGTGTTTTCAGTGTGTAGCTGGGAAGTCAGCTGCTTTAGTGAAGCTGACATGATCCAGGATAGTGATACCTTACATACCTTCCAACGAACGCAATCTACTCTTCGCTATCAAACCTACGTCCTGAATCGCACGGTCAAGTTCAGCTCTCCACTCCTCTGAATCTCGGTCGATGGGGGATATGGTCTCCAAGGAAGGGGAGTCAGGAGACAAGGAATGGTCAAGTCCCAGTGCGTCCTCCATGACCTCCGCCACCTCCGCCCGACTTCTTCCATTGACGAAGATGATGTACCGAAGCCCAGGGTACCTTTGTTCATAGCATGCATTCAAATGTTGTAACCGACTCAAGACTTCTGGAGGAGTTGAAGCCACTACGCCTGACTTCGATCCACCCTGCTCCTTGTTACTGAGAACTGAGAGATTCTTCGTCTCCCCGATTCGCGGGTGTCCTGCGATAAAGGCTGCACGCTCGCTGGCGTCCCATTGACTCATCAAGTTAACTGCCTCATCGATGAGATCGGAGTATGATTCGAACGATCCCTGGTGTGCTGTTGCTAGCTGGGGAACCAACTTGTCTTGGAGGATCTCGGAGGGCTCAAAGAGTAGCGAGAGGACACCTGAAAGGTTTTGTGTTCCATCAGATTTATCTGATAGAGCCGGGAGCGCGGACAGTGTGGTCATGTCGTGTGGCTCAGAAAGTAAGTGGAGATACAGGTTCTGAGTATTGCAATTAGGTTGCCATGCAAGCCTGCTGTCAAGTCTCGCCTTTGATTTTGTGATCCTTACGTTATGCGGTTTACGCTAGGAAGCGCTGAGCATGTTGCGCATGTTGACCCAACAGTCTCGAATGTTTACCCCGATAGTAACTATGATCGTGAATTGGCTTAGACTTGACCATACGGTACAACTCCAGCGGTGCGAGCGGTGCCGTCCAGTGAGTCACCTTACTATTGGCTTACTAATACAGTGTTCCGACGCCCGTCCGCTTCTCCGTCTGCGTCATCGTCCACTTTAAAGGTTATATAGCCCCTGTGACTATTATCTGCTCTCCCTCTCCATCCGCACACATTCTCTCTTTGAACTTTCCGTCAACCACTATCAGCCATGTCGACTCCTTACACCCTCCGATGGGGAATCATTTCCACTGGTTGGATCGCCAGCATGTTCGTCAAGGTCAGCGAGTCCGATCCCTATCCAAATAATTCAGCTTGCTTAAAGGTGTAACAATGCCTAGGACATCTTGATCAGCCCGACGACGTGAGTGAGCTTCGTTGCTATGAACTGATCGTGTTCTAACAGCCCCTAAGGCGAGATGTGAACGACGTTGTTCACAAAGTGGCAGCAGTTGGTTCTCGGGCAGTGAAAAGTGCTCAAGATTTCATCGACAAGTATGCATCTGGAGACTCGTCAATCAAGGCGTACGGCTCCTACAGCGAGGTCTATGCGGATAATGTGGGTTGCTGAGTACCCCAGGAAGGGATGTGCTAAATACTCATATTTTGCCAGAATGTTGATGCGATATACATCGGCGAGTAACGGTAGACCACATGATCCTGACCCAGTCAGCTGAGATATCTGCGCTTTTCTTAGGCACGCCCCACACATTCCACTATGAGAATGCTCTGGCTGCTATCAAGGCCAAGAAACACGTCCTGTGCGAGAAGCCTGTCACCTGCAATGGCGCTGAGCTTCGTTCTCTCATCGCTGCTGCAAAGCAGAACAATGTCTTCTTCATGGAGGCATTATGGACACGCTTCCAGCCCCTGGCTTTGGAAGTGAAGAAGATTTCAGAGAGTGGCGTTCTCGGTGATCCGGTCGCGTTGCATGCAGATCTTTCGGCCGACTTTGGCATTGATAGTAGGCATAGCTTGAAGAAGAGCATCATTCACTTGTGCTGACTGTATTGGCAGCTCTTGACAAGGGTCATCGCATACTGGCGCCTGAACTCGGGGGTGGTGGCCTTCTCGACTTGTAAGATCATAGTCCTGCTCGATCTTGTTCTCTGTCTCACAGATGTGTTCCAGGGGGCCTTATCCGACGATCTGGGTCAGTAAAGTTCTTGGTATATTCAAGTACGTTCTCACAACATTTAGGCCATCCTTGCTCTTTACGAGCACCCCTCGAACAAGAAGGCGCAGCCATCAAGCATCACTGGTGCTATGTTAAAAACCCCCATAACTGGCGTTGATCGAAGCACAACTTGGACCGTCACCTTTGCTCCCAACTCGCCCTCGGATCCCAACAAGCTTGCAGCCCAGGCCATCTTAAGCGTGAACATCAATGTCGCGTCGAACAACACCGGGGCTGCCATCAGATACGAAAAGGGCATCATTACTATCGACTCGCCCCTCTATCTCCCCAAGTCTTTTACTGTGCAATACTTCGAGAAGGGCGAGACTGTGAAGACGGAGACGAGAAAGTTTAGCCACGTCGGTCACGGATTGCACTTCCAAGCAGACGAGGTCGCTCGGTGTATCCGGGATGGGAAGACAGAAAGTGACAAGTGGGGCCACGACAAAAGCTTGCTGGAGATGGACATTTTTGACGAGGTATGAGCAATGTTCCTGACCTCCAATCGATTCTCATCAGTTTTTGCAGGTCCGGAAGCAAGGTGGTTACAAGTTCCCTCCCGGTGTGGAGAAAGTGCAGCTGTCTTAAGCGGCTGCTATTCGCCATAATTTCTTGTCATGTATAATATCCTGTATCTGCTAAAAAGAGCTGTTCATTGACTGCAGCATTATATACCGTCATCAAAAGTACGACAAATGTTCGCCTCCGGTGCAGTAAAGTCGTACGCGAGCGTCTATCAATAGCCTATGAAGTGTCAAGATAAGATAAGACAGAAATATCGAAATCAATTGAGGCCGAAAGCCTGGACACCGTATCTAGTTACCCCCCGATCATTAACATCTGTCCCTCGGTAGTGTGTCGATCGCCACTGCCACTCTCAAGGCAGATCTCGATCCGTTCCATTTACTCTGTTGACAAACTGCGAACCTTCAATATGCCCAACAGCACGGAACAAAGTAGTGAAACTTACATTCTGAAAGGTTAGATGCAGTGCGCAGCGCGCGGCGTCAAGGCATCCATCCATCGTACTGATTCGTTCATTATCAGGTTCTATCAAGGTCGTCGAACGGTTCTTCACTGTTCCTTTGGACCACTCCAACCCGAGCGGTCAAACGATCTGCGTCTTCGCTCGTAATCTTGTGTCCTTGGAGGAGCTGAAAGGGAAGAATGAGAAAGATTTGCCTTACTGTGAGTCTCTCAGGACGGCAGGTCAACTCATGAATTGCACGTACTGGCTAACACAGCACAGTGCTATATCTACAAGGTTCGCATCTAACGATACGTCCAGCTGGCGACCTCGTTTAAGCTCATACTACTCAAACAAACAGGGGGACCTGGATTCGAAGTGAACGTTTTCAGGCTAATGGGCGTCGCTGAGCAAGTGAGTTACTCCGAGTCTGTGTCATCTAGAACGTGATCCCTAACTGGACCACAAAATGTCACGAACAGTTCCACAAGAAAGGATACCAGGTACAGTGCGCCTGAGAGGTGACTACAATGAGACTAGACCTCTAATTTCTTCAGACGCTTTGGCTTGACCAACGAGGGACTGGCCTTAGCACCCCCGTTTCCACAGAACTGTTGGCGGACAAGAGTCCAGAAGAGCAAGCTGCTTACCTCAAATTCTTCCGTGCAGATAGCATCGGTTTGTCTTCCATCTCGACCAAGAGCTGTATTTCTTGCTCACGTTTAACATCAATCAGTCAAGGATTGCGAAGTTATTCGCAAAGAACTTATTGGCTCCGCCTCAGATTCAGAGGCTCGCAAGTGGTCGCTTTTAGGCCAGAGCTTTGGCGGCTTCTGTTCCTTAACATACCTCTCATTCTACCCGGAAGGTGTTAAAGAAGTATTTCTTACTGGTGGGCTAGCACCAGTCACGGTCAACGATCCAGATGATGCGTATATTAGATTGCTTGGTGAGTCAGGCTTGGTTTCTAGCATTGGGCAGCAATACGACAATCCTGGATACCTTGCAGACAGAGTCGCTCAAAGGAATGAAGTTTATTACAATAAGTACCCTCAGGATATTCCACGAGTGGGTCTTTTGCTCTTACTTCACAGTCTGCTCACATGGGAAGTGTTTTAGGTTCATCAAATTCTGTCTTATCTCGCTTCCAAGGCCGTCACACTGCCTGATGGAGGGACCCTCACGCCAGCCAGATTCTTACAGCTCGGTATGGCGTTCGGAGGACATGGTATGTGCCATATTCGTTTAAGTTCAGAACGTTAGGCTAACTATCACAGGCGGAATCGATACTGTACATCGTGGGTCGCTTCATTTTTCGGCGGATTGAGTTATAAACATTCTGATCTAGAAATCGTTCATCGCGCCTCGGTTGAGCTCGAAACGTTGAAAACTATCTCGTATAGCTGCCTGAGCACGATTCAAGGGCAACACGCATTTGACACCAATCCCATCTACGCCATCCTCCATGAACCTCTCTATTGCCAGGGGTAGGATTAAAATGCTCTGACTCCACATGGGAAATGTACTCACACAGGGGTTGCAGGCGTGCCTCGAATTGGTCAGCTGAGCGTATAACGAGCCAGGATTCACGGTTCAACTGGAAGAACGCCGTCGACAAGAAAGACATACCTGCATACTTCACAGGAGAAATGGTACGTTATACAAGATCGGTAATGCCGCTGATGGCTTGAGATCGTGTAGATTTATCCGAGCATGTTCGATGATTACGTGAACCTTCGTCCACTAAAGCAAGCCGCTGATATCCTTGCGAAGGATTCAGCTTGGGGTCCTCTGTACGACGTCAAAAGGCTGAAGGAGAACGCGGTCAAAGTCAATTCCGCTACTTACTACGATGACATGTATGTCGACTTCAATCTCGCACAAGAGACGGCCGCGTCTATAGGAAACATCAAACAATATATCACAAATCAAAGCTTCCATGACGGCATTCGCAACAGAACAGAGGACATATTCAAGAATTTGTTTGAGATCTCAAAGCGGGAGGAAGATTAGGTAGTGCAGTGGGCTTCAGTCAGGCTTCATGTCGTGTTGTACGATATCTAGTATACCACTACCTATATCTCGAAACATCTACCCGGGTTCGACATGCGAAATTGGCACATGCACAGTAGCATGAAGAGGTTCGGGAATGCCTTCGTCTTGTGGACTCTTATGGGCTCACCGAGAGTCCATTCGAACAACAAGGGTAAATAATACCTCGGAAAGAAGCGAAGAATGAACATGTTTGAACTGGACTTTCCCACGCCACCGCGCTCCCTTTTGAACTTTCTTACCAACTTGTTTGCAACCACCTAATACTGAGACAAACCAGAAAGGATGACATCAGGAATCATCAATGGTGCTCGTCATAGAAGCTGCAATTTACATTGGCGGATAGTCACTACACAAGAAGCTAAGCGCCTTCCATTCAAATGTGACCAAAGACTTCATCTGTAGCATCGACGCAGCTTAGTCCAGCTCCGGGGTTATGGGAGGAGCAACGGGCTGCTTTTCCATCCACCCCGCAGCCTTCATGATGAAGTTATGCTCGGAACCATTACCCTGTCAGCAGTGTCAGTGTCCGGGTTCATCCAGCCAAGCAGAACCAGTTTACTCACGAAGAAATCGTAAGGGAACCCGACGTTGAACGGAACGGCGTTCTCTAACTCCTTCATGTGTTCGGGGGTAAGACGGATAGACAGGCTCTCGATGTTGGCCTCCATATGCTCGATCTTACGGCCACCAATAATGGGGAAAACGTATGTCGTCTTGTGCAGCAAGTATGCGATGGCAACGGAGGTGATGTGTTTCGCTCCAACTTCCTTGGCGATCTTTTCCAGAGCAGCGCTCATTTTCTTCTCCGTCTCTGTACGCTCCCATCCGATGCCAAAAGGATCCCTGCCCTTTTCGCCGGTTTTTCGGCGGCGCTCCTCCTCTGCGTCAGTGCGCAGCTTCCCACCAGCTAGTACGTTCCAAGGCGCCAAAGCCATGCCTCGAAAATATTAGTATCATGCAATAAACAGAGTAATTTAAACAACTCACCCTCCGCCCTGGCCATGCCCACAATCTCGCGCTCAAAGTCGCGTTGCATGACACTCCATGCACCTTGGTAGATGACGAACTGGGTCTTGCCATGGTCTCGAGCCCATTGGTTCGCTCTGGCGACAACCCAGGCTGGCGTATCAGAGATACCCTTGAAGATCAAAAGACGTTATCTCCCGAGAATGAAAACAAGTTGAGCTTGTCACCTACCAGGTAAAGTACCTTGTGCTGCTGTACAAGACTATGCAGGCCATTCATTACTTCCTCGATTGAGGTTTCATAGTCCCACCAGTGAAGATAGATGATATCGATGTACGACGTCCTCAACTTCTTCAAGCTGGCCTCTACGCTCAAGTAAAGGGACTTGAAGTTGTTACCAGCGAATAGCTGCTGCTGCTTGACAGATGTGTCGCCGTCAAAGTAGTTGGTCGAATACTAACAAAGGCCAATAAACGAGAAACAGGTCCAATAATATGGACTAAAAATGATTTTTACCTTCGTCGCTATTACGAGCTGGTCTCGAATGCCGCGCGCCTCCGCCCACTACCCGATGAACTCTTCGGACGACTGCCACTGGTAGTTGTTGGCTGTGTCGATAAAGTTACCGCCGGCGTTGTAGAACGCGTCGAGAAGCCTGAAGGACGACTCCTTGTCCATGCTGCCGAAGCCGAAGTCAGCCCACTTGTCGCCGATGCTCATCGCACCGAGCTGCAGGGGTGAAACATGGACCGATGCAGAGGGAGCGAGAGCCCTGTACCGCGCAAGGCGGTTGTCAGGCTTAGGGACTGGAGCTTGGATCTGTGCAGGCATGATGCAGATTTTTGGGCTTTTGTAGGTGATGTCGAGGTAGGGCTGATTTCTTGGGGACTAAAGTGAGAGGATATACCGGGAAGTCTGCCTTTTATAATGGTCAGTGAGGGCTTACACGAGAGACAACGCGTCATGTTTTATTTTCAGAAAATCTTTGTCACTGAACAGTCGGAGAAATCCAATGACCACATGTTGTCAGCATTGGTGGCAAGAGATTCGCATCTACAGTGGGGAAATAGGCCCAAACTGTAGAACTCTTGGTGGGATCTTGCCTCGTATATCGAGGTTCTGAAGGCCAAGAAGGCGTGTTCGTCATGAAGCTTGCGTTGAAGACGAGAAAGCAAAATACTGCTGACGCTGTTTGAGTTGAGACTTACCAATGGACTCGTCATTCGTATGCTAGAAGTCTGATGATCAGGGCGTTGGCCTGCTCACGTCTGGGAGTGTCGTGTAGTCTGGACGCGTCATGGCACCACGAATGGTAGTTCGTCCAACACGCAACGGCAAAAGCGAGGACGTGTAGCATCGGCAGCTGCAAGAGCTCAAGTAGGCAATTTGACTTACTTCGAGCTTGTCGGACTTCTTTACGACTGCCGCCGACGGCTGGCGTTTATTAGCGCTACCATATCAATAACGTCATGATACTTGTCAAGGCCTGAGCTAATAAGTTCGCCGCTGGGCTGTTGTCTGAAACATGTGTATCATCGGCAGCATCATGGGCGGCGTTTCACGAAGCAGTTACCTATTTAATTCTATTGACTCACCTCCGAATCAGCGCGCTCAAGTATCTGGTCTCCGGGACCGAAGGTTGACCGACCCATGAGTCAAGGTATACCAATCTTCTGCTCAGCGCTATTCATTTTCCGAGGCTCGGAAAATCGCTAGGGTTTCTAACGTAAGTGTTCGTATTCTGGCGACTCTTCAAGGTGACACTAGCCCTAGACCTTCTGGCCCTTCCTACTGATAATCACCCTTGATGTCATCTGCTTCATTTGCAGAGCTGAGCGTCATTAAAACAATAAATAACGAGAGCCCTACATCATACATTTGCACATACAGTTTTGCGATGCTGTCATATATTTCCACTTTGCCTGGCAATGTCCTCAAAGCTTACCACTCCCCTTCGAGCATCATCCTGCGCACTGTCCCGCCCTTCTCACCGTCGCCTTCGCTCGTTTCTCGGTTCCTGTAAGCATATCGCTTCTCCCGGGGCTTGATTCCAAAGGCATCCATGAACTGCTGGTCGGAGGAGTGATCACGCCGGGGCGCTGGAGCTTCGTGAGAACTGTGTTTACCATCGGCGTGGCCAGATTCGAGCTGGGCAGACCGAATCCAAGGTGTGGCATCGGGAGAAGGTTCGCGATCGTGCACGGGTATGAAGCGAGGAGGCTCCGGGGGACCTATGGCAGAAGGTGGTCCGGTAGTCGTAGTCGGGGGAGGCGAGATGGTGCAATGAGGCGCTACTGGGGTCTGTACCACGACAGGAGGCGAGTTGACCGGCGGAGTTGGGAGTGCGCGAGACAGAGGGCGGGCAGGAGTGAGCCCCATCGTGCGGCGAGTTGGTATTACCCGGCCTTGAAAGTTACATAGCCGAGTCAATTGGCAGTCAAGACGATGGGATCACGAGGTGCGCACCTAGCCGCCTGAGAGCATCGTACGCCTTCAGTCTCTCCTTGTCAAAGGTTGGGTCTATTGAGGAGCCCTCTTCAAGAGCGACGTAGTCTATCCGATTTGACGAAAGCCATGACTGATCAACCAACCATGGTGCAGAGGGATGCACCTCATCCACCCAACGACATGCACGGACGACCTCGCAACGCTCCGCATGCGAGTAGTGCGCCAGCGGGGTTGACGTTGACGATTGGGGTGCACATATATCATCGGAGAAGACACCAACCACCAGGTGCGCACGGGGGAACGAGAGCTTCGCTTGACGAAGCTTGAGCGCGGCTCTATGCTCGCAAGTTATTGCCATTGGTCCCCATGGCTCTCTCCTCAGAAGCAAAGGACTCACCCGGCAGTCAAACCATCGAACACTCCATCCACATACACCCTCACGCGCTGCCCTGGCGGAAGATGCGCCGGTCCAATATTCACGACATAAGCCTGTATCTCGGCTGCGGTAAGCGAGACCGTGCTCAGTGCTGTCTTCGCGATATCTGCCGGTGGAGGCTCCGCCGGCCCTGTGGCATCAAGGGGCGCGGCAGAAGGAGAGAGTGCTAGATCCGCAATGGACGATTCGAGGGAGCGATGGGCAGGGTTGGAGATAACGTCGTAGTCTTCGTCAAGGCTGGTGACACTCTCGTTGTCGAAGCCGGCCATACTGTAAGCAGCGTCGCTTCACCGTGGTCCTTTCGTCTTGCCTAAGAGCAATACAGAGTGTGAATGGCACAGGTAAACACGAGGCAGGGGCATCTTATTGCCATTGGGAGCCTCAGCGTCGCAGCCACTCGTACTTACTGTACTGAGAAAAGAACAGACACCGCTCTACGCCCATTATACAGCTCCTGTAGCCCCTGTCTTCTCGACTCTCACCATGATCCAGTGTTTGAAGTCTGATGGCAGAATGGCGGCGCTGGCCAGCCATTTCCTGGCACGCCAGTGGCATGCCAATGGCATGCCATTGGCGGCTGGCAATGGGTATGACTAAGTTTCCTATTATGGAAGTCTATGTGAGCCTAAGTCGCGTTAGATCCGATGTATGTAGTCATATAGCTGTGAGTACAACAATTACCATAGCCTTCGTAGCCGGGCGGTTTTGGTTGCCATTGACATTATTTTGTTTCCAGCTCGCAAGTTCGATCCTCTCCCCTGCCATTTCCGAGCGCCATCGCCAAATGGCATGCCATGGCACTGCCATTGGCCGGATCATGGCATCCACTGGCATGCCACTGGCACTTCAAACACTGCCATGATCAGTCCTAAGTTGTCTTGAAACATCATTCATTGACATGCATTTCCGATACTACAGTTGATACAATCCAGTGCACATTATCATACACTTCTGCGTATTTCTGATTCCTTTTTCCCGTTTTGTTTTTGCAACAAATGACTTTCAACACTTGTTTCAACATCTACTTTTTGGCAGGAATCCTTCCCGGGAAATAATACGAGTCGTCGACGGCTTTGTGGGCAATCTGTACGTGTACTTTCGGCGTGTAATACATGATCCCGAGCTTCGCGATGGTTTCTCGGGCTTGTGTAGGATTAACGTGCATGCAAAAGGGTTTTCCGCACCCATCGTCAGCATGCTGCGCAATGTCGCGCTCGCCGGAAATGAGACGTTCATCGTGCGCCGCGTCCCCGGTAAGGACGATCCACGAGCCTTCCGCAGATGTCCTCGCCAGAAGGCAGATGTGACCTTGGAGATGGCCTGCAGTAGATGTTAGAATATATTTGCTAAGAAACAGAAGATATATGCTACCTGGCCCGTGCAGAATGTACGTGCTGCCGTCACCGAACAAATCGTGAGCCTTCTCCCATGGTCCTATGGGCGACGTCCAATCTCCGTCATGTTCTCCAATATATCGGGTACGGCCAGCAGGAACCAAGGACGATACAAAAGCGGAGTCTTTGTTCTGTGGGTATGCGTAGTCTAGAATCTCATGACTTTCAGAACCCACGATGAAAGTAGCCTTGGTAAAAGGACGCTGGTCGCCGATGCTATAGTCCCATTCAGCTAAAGAACCTAAGATCGGTGGTGGGTACTTACTGGTCCCAATGTGCATGGCTTAAAACAACGACATCGATTTCATCCGGGTCGATACCGCCGGCCTTCAAAGAGTCCTCTACTACACCATGGCTCACATCCACAGTTATGACTTTTCCCGGCCCGATCCTGTTCTGGGTGAGTGGTGACAGGATGGTAAGGTCCTTGGGAATGCCCAAGTCAAAAACGACTTTCTTGCCGGACTTGGAATGCTCAAGGTAAAACGAGAGTGAAGGGGTGTTGTACAGACCAGGTGCATGGGGCGGGATGCCGTTGACTATCCACCACTGCGGGAAAGTAAGAGAGCCTGCCTCGAGAGCGGAGACGCGCATATAGGCCTGATCTTCAGCTGGTGCAGGCAAGGATGCGTGTGTTGTTGAAGCCATGGTGATGGCAGATGGTGGCCCGATGGTGGTACTGGGGAGAGCAAGAACCAGATTCCGAGAAATTCATGATAAAGGCTGCCCGTGTGAGAGACCTATGCGTGGTCAAAACAGACGCTTTCCCTTGAAGTTATTTAGATGCCGGACTGGACTAAGTGCGGAACGAATGGGGAGTAGTTGCGTCATCTGGTGCCCGTCTATACGACCCCATGACTTCCCATGATAGTATCGTTCCCTTGTTCGTTGACTTGCCCTAATATCAAGAACGACTGTCTTCTGATATAGGGTCTGCCTAGGGGAGACTATTGACTTGCATGATCGTGAGTATCCCCACGTCGAATTCAGACTTCAGCACTTCAATTTCACTTACCGCAGATACGTGTAAGGAAGCGTGAATAAGGTGACCTGCCGATGTGCTCAAGACCATCATGTGATCCCTTGTGCTCCTGGGTCATCGATCCTCGGTGATGACATCGAAGCGACTTGGAGACCGAAGTAGTGATAAGTATGTCGTACGACCAATCCTGATTATTCCGAGTCATGGTGACGAGTTAGAGATTAAAGTACCCGAGGACTCTGCCTGGAGGAGCAAGATGGGGATTGTCGAGGATCACGCCCAGCTGCAGGATCGGGGCTTTGGTGAAACAAAAGGAAGCGGGGTAAAAATATCAGAGGTGCTCTTGCATTCAGTAGGTTGTGTTCACATCATGTGACATAGAGCGTGTCCGTTTCTGCGAATAATTAGCGCGTACGCGTTGTAGTCGAACATCGAAAGGAGACGCGTCCGGTGGCTGTCAGCGGCGAGGCTGTCATCCGTCTGGAAGTCATATCTGAGATCGCTGCGCCTTCCCCGGAAGAAAGTGACGTTTTTTACAATGGATCTGGCTTACATAACTCCGATAGAGCACAGCGGCAGGGGAGGATCCATATGCCGCTGACAGCCGCTGACAGAAACAAAGCCACTATCTGACGTCCGACAGCCGCCCGACTCCGATAAACAGCTTCAGACCAATAATTTGGCTTATATAAATCAGCACCATCCAACTCAGCTCGGCCCTTGCTTTTTTACAAGCCTCGTTTGCCCGCAACCCACTTTCACTTTCTTTTTCTTTCTCCATCACCATGTCTTTTGCCCTCCGTAGATTCCCCAAGACCGCCGCCCTCAGACGTGCTTCCGCCGTCCCGAAGCAGTCGACGCGTCTCCCATCCTTCCGTGCATACTCTACCGAGGGCGCCAACGCGAAGCCCAAGTCCAACAACGCCGCTCTTTACGGTATCGCAGCTGCCATCGCAGGCGGTGGTGCCTTTTACCTCTTCTCTGGCTCGGACGATGCGTCCACTGTCGCCAAGGGTGCCGTTCAGGTCGCTAAGGCTGGGGTTGGTTTTGTGCCCTCCAAGGCTGACTACCAGAAGGTACGTCCTGTCGACACTCAGCTATCACCAAACATGTTTTAAATCGTACATCACAGGTCTACAACCGGATTGCTGAGATCATCGACGATGCTGGTGAATACGACGGTACGTTTTCCCTGACACGATTCCCGACATGGATGACGAATATTTGCCACCCGCAGACGGCTCCTATGGCCCCGTCCTCCTCCGTCTCGCATGGCATGCGTCAGGTACCTACGATAAGGAGACCGGTACTGGCGGCAGGTTCGTTGTTTCATCTCTTCCTATCACCCCACGGTAGCTCATAGTTTCCCTTTCATGGCGGCTACTCGCTTCCTAAATCTGCTTAACCACATCCTCCTTATCTCTTGATGTTTTGTCCCCTATTTGTAATCCGGTTCATCTGTCGAACGCTGCTGGGCTTTGCACATGTCCGCACATTTTCCGCGCCACCATCTCGACGATCTATCCATGTTTCTCCCTTTGGCATCTTAATTCCCCCGACTCGGCCGACCTCGCGCTTCGCTTCCATGAACCTTCGCGGATCTTGTGAATCATGCATTCCGTCGCGACGGACAGCAACTATGCCACGATGCGCTTTGAGCCCGAGGCCCTGCATGGTGCCAACAACGGCCTGAACCTTGCCCGCGGCCTCATGGAGAAGGTCAAGCAGGAGTTCTCCTGGATCAGCTACGGTGATCTGTGGACGCTCGGTGGTGTCGTCGCTGTCCAGGAGATGGGTGGCCCCAAGATCCCCTGGCGTCCTGGACGCATTGATGGTTTCGCTAAGGATGCTACTCCGGATGGCCGTCTCCCCGATGCCAGCCAGGGATCTTCTCACGTTCGCAATGTAAGTTATCAGGCCCCTTTGCTACCGCTTGCCTTCTGACATGGCACACAGATCTTCTACCGCATGGGGTAAGCCATTCCACAACGGTAGACGCAATTATATCTGACCTTGCTGCAGCTTCAATGACCAGGAGATCGTAGCATTGGTTGGCGCTCATGCTCTTGGTCGCTGCCACACCTCTCGCTCCGGTTACGAGGGCCCTTGGACTTTCTCCCCGACTACGTTCACTAACGACTTCTACAAGCTCCTCTTTGACGAGACGTGAGTACCTTTCGAAAGGATGACTCGCTTCAACTCAACTTTGCCGTGTCAGGTGGGTGTGGAAGAAATGGTCTGGCCCTAAGCAGCTTGAGGATAAGAAGACGAAGAGCCTCATGATGCTTCCGTACGTTGTTTTCTGCACTGCGAGATTTGCGCGTGTACTGATTGATCCGCTCAGCACCGACTACGTGATGGTCTCGGACAAGAGCTTCAAGAAGTACGCCAAGGCTTACGCTGAAGACAACGATTTGTTCTTCAAGGAGTACGTGCCCTCGACTCTCACCCAGAAGGCGTTTACTAACTTGTCGACAGCTTCTCGGCCGCCTTCAGCCGTCTGCTTGAGCTCGGCGTACCCACCGCTCAGTTCACCAGCAGTGCCCCATGGGAGATGGGCAATGCCGACGAACAGAAGTAAACGCGCTCGGATTGCAATGCTGAAATCTAGATTTAGATGCGGAACTTAGACGTCTAGACATAGAAGTTGGCGCGTCGGCGTCGGCTTAGAATAAGCTAAAACGTCACTTAGTAGCTCACCAAGCGTGCGGAATAATTGGAATGCGGTTGATTGATTTTCATCACTCATAAGAACATGCACTTCGAGTGTGGAATTGGGATAGATGGCATGGAACGACGCGTCTGCACAGCCACACACGCGTCGAAGTGCAACAAGCGCGCGTCTGTTTGCGACCACTCCGTTTTTTGACGGTACCGGACACGCCTCCTCTCCATTAACATATACGAATGTTGGCCAGCTCTTCAAAGAGATAGCTACTCACGAACAACAGATAAACTTGTAGCGATACGCCTCGAGACACGTAGTATAGCGTCATTCCCAAGGTAAGTTCGAGGTGGCCAACGCGAAGATCTTGAAGGAGATGGCACTTGAACTTCTCAACGTCATAGAGGAGCTGCATGTCTCGGAAAAGATCGGCGAGGCTGCCGAGGGTGCTGTGGAACGGGACAATACCCAGTGCCCTCAATCCAGTCGCTTTGCAGAATCTCGAGAGCGGAAAGCAGGTTGCAGGATTGGTACAGCGAGGTGGCGAGGAAACAGGTCTAGGGGCACCACCAGACGCGTAGCATGGCACTGGAACAGCTGGGGGTTCGGTGTTTGAGCCGAGGTAGATGACTTTTAAACACCGGGATGTGCTTATCACACAGGCATCACGCTTATACGCCCCATCATACACTCGTACGCGATTCGATTCTGTAAGGATTATAAACAATATGGACGGCTGCTAGGAAGCTGTGGTGGCGGTATGGTGTTACGTAGTATGCTGTGTGGAAAAAATGAGAGTGATACACTGTGTAAATGCTTGGTTCGATCTGCTATCTTTGCTGCTCCCCGTTCATCGTAGGCTGTGATCAGGGCTGCGATGGCGCTGCCGCTGACTCTTCTACCTCTGCGCCGCTCTTCTCTTGCGTATCCACCATCCTACCCCTTGCATCAGCAGCAGTTCCCGCGTCGCCACCTGTGGCGGTTGCGGTGGCCGTCGCAGTAGCACGGCGTGTCTTTCGCGAGCGGGACGCCTGTCGGTCAGCTCGTCCACCACGCGTGCTGCTCCATACCACGCGCCCTCTGCCATCGGTCATGAACGGCGGATCGGCGTTATGCTCTACCGAGCCCTGGTTCGGAGCAGACGCAGAGGCAGGCAAGGAGGGTGGGGTCGGCGAAGTCTTCGACGATGCGGAAGGAGACTGCGCGGTAGCGGGTACTGACGGCGATGGCGGGATGGGGGGAGTGGAAGGTGTCTGAGGTGCAAAAGGATTGGCAGGTAACGAGGTCGATGAAGGTCGACTTGGCGCAGGAGAGGCTGGTCTGATGTTGGACGGATGAAGGATGAGAGCTTCGCCTTCAGACTCTGCTTCATCCTCCTCATCCTCGTCTAGGTTAATGACAACGCGCTCAACCTCCCTGTTCCGCGAGGCAACGACCGTGCTGAACCGCGATATCGATCCAGACGACACGTTCGCGGCCGGCGATGCTGCAGGCTGTGGGCTCGAACCAGATAATCCAGAAGTCAAAGAAAGAGAAGGAGCTCGGCGCCGAGAGGACGACGAGCCAGACGTGGGAGCTAAAGGCACGAGAGGAGGGAGCTCATCTTCGTCAAGCCCAGCGAGCAACAGAGGGACATTGAACTGAAGCGTCGCTTCGTTCGCCGAACCAGTGGGACGTTGGGATGTTGGTGTGTCAGAAGTGGGCTCCAGACGGGGAAGATCCTCTTCGTCGACCTGTGCGAGACCTGCCCGTATGGTCTCATCGTGCGAAAGGCTATCATCCTGATGGTCTGCCGGTGTCGGCCCCGGTCCGCCAGTGGACCGACCCCAGGACTGGGCAGCCCAAGGGTCGTTCCAGTCTACAACAGGGAATTCGCCAAGTCTCCATGTCATAGGCCGTGTGGCCTCGGTCTCATCAACTGGTATGGACTCATGACCACCTACCCTACCTGGGACGATGATCGTCTCGGTAGGGCCTGTTGGTGAGTGTGAGCGCGAGCCCGCGGTCGCTCCTCCGAACCCCCATTCACCCAAGGCATCGTTGTCCCTCTCCGAAGAATCAGCGGCCCAATCCAAACCTTCTCCAGGAGCCTCGGCCCCCCACCCGCTGGTCGCTTCCCAGCCTGAACCCGAGCCATCGTCAGCCCACGCTGTGGCATCATCCCAGTCTGTATCTGCTGCCCAAGCAGCTGCTCCCAGCTCAAAAGCCGCCAAGTCCTCCCGCCGGTCCAGGATGGCGGGGAGGCTGGCGCGAATGACATCAAGGGTTGTGTTCAGGTTGTTGATAGGGTTCTCAAAAACGTGGCGAAGAAACGAAACCGGGTCAGTAAATCCTGATCCCCCAGCCCCAAAGGGAATGTGTTGCTGCCTCCTGTTCCGCCGCTGGTTGCGGTAGATCTGTGCTCGAAGAAGGGGTGAGCTCGAAACTGGGTGGGAATGTAGACGAAGAAAGCAGGGACATACATGCATGGATTGAGCCACACCGTGCGGGAAGACATGGGGCGTGCCATCGGGCTTGAGATGTTGATAGAAACAGTCTCTCCCGAAAGGGCAGCAGGGTTTACCTTGCGCACTCGTTTCCACAAAATATCTGATTTCGGTGAGTTATGAAGACAGATTCGCAGACGACTCCATATGAGACATACTTGCAAGGTACACGAGCCATGCTAGCCTTGTAAGCATCGATCGCCAGCTGTTTGTTCTCATGGCCCTGGGGAAAGAAGTACGTGGAAGGCGTTATGAACCTGGAGGGACTTCGACATAGGGGGCATTTCTTGATGACGCCTGAAGAGATCATGTCGATGGATTTTGATTCTGGGTCACGCCACTGCTTGATGCACTGAGGATGATCGGTCAGCATTGAGTATTCCTCGGCGATGCATTGGCACATACCTGGAAGCAGAAGACATGACCACAATCGGCTAGATGCGATGTCAACACCTCGAAAGAAATTAACCCAGAATTTGCACATACTGAGGAGACCATATGTAGTGGGTACTTCAAGGCAGATATTGCACGAATCGTCGGCGGCACTGTCGGCGGGCTCCCCGTTGCCCGCGGAACGAAGCGCCAAGTCATGCTGGAACCAACACTTGTCGCCCTTCGAACAATGTCCTGTTGCGAACCATATGAGCTATATACCCCAAACATCAACACTGTCGGTCCATACCCTTTGCATAGAACTTGCAGGGTTTGGATTTGTCATAAGGGGTCAGCCGTTCGTCGGCGCCGTGGAGGAACTTGCACGTATCGCCGGCATAGCACCCCCGCCGTGTGTCGTAATATTTGCACACTCCTCTCGCCTTGGATGTCGCTGGGCGGTCCATGAACCGGGCAACGTGCGATTAACGAGGAGAAGATGGTGGTGGAGTGCAAGAGAGTATTCAAGATAGCCCCCGCAATTGTCAAGCACTGACTTGTCCGCGTCGGACTGGAGATTTCGCACTCTCCCACGCTCTCCGAACTTCGTACCCTCTTGTCCTTGCTCACAAGTTCTCAGTCCAACGCCAGACTACTTACATTCTCAGCCATAGATCTCGCATGTCGCTTGCGTCGACGCATACCATCAAGAACCAGCTCAACAATGCGCTAGGGCAGAAAGCGCCTATTTATTTTGACACCCTCAGCCAGTATGTCTCCGGTAAGATATCCCGGACAGAGTTCGAGGACACGGTCAGGCAAGTTCTTGACGCATCCAACCTCGGTAAGTGTTCATTTGAAAGGTGCCATCCACTTGGATTAACTATTTCTTTAGTCCAGCTGCATAATTCTCTGATTATCTCGTTGTTTGACCTTACGGCGCACCGGCGCCCACCAACCCCCTTGCCAGAGGCACCCAAGCCGCCGCCTCGCAAGCGGAGACGGCTACTGCCATACCAAGGACCGGACAGCTCTGATGATACCCTTCGCTCTTCACGGCTCAAGAGATGGGCGGTGTCTGTCGGGAAAGCTGAGCGCGACCGCATCAAGCAGCTTGCCATCTCTGGACCGGAACGACCACGACCTCGAATGGACACCGACGAAATTGCTCGTGAGCGTGGGGTTGTGCTGATGATGGAACGTGGTGGTACGTGACGCTTCCTCTATTGTCGAGTTGGTGATTGTTAAATATTGCATCAAGAACCTCCCGGAAGCCGCCTGCCACTAAACCTGGCTCAGATGTCCCGTGCACCCACTCTGCAGCATATTTCGGACCGGATAAATCTCATTTCTGCGCAACATAATTTGAACGCCCCAAATCGCACTGTTTCCTCTCTGTTGATGCTGGCATTTGAGGTACGTCTTCAGGCAGAATTCTGCGTGTTTCTTACTCACCTTCAACCCAGGCGAAGTTGAAACAGCTAATAACCCACGCCATTACCCTTACCTCCACTTCGCATGCCATCACCTCAATTACCCCCTCAGCACCACATTCGCACGCCCGTGTGCTGACTGCATCTTCCTTCGATACCCTGTTCAATATCTCCCCTGCTGTCCTCCCCAACCAGTCAGCCGCCGCCATGCGCCTTGCTATCGGTGATAACGAACCGGTGGATGAAGACGAGTATCGGATTCTCAAAGGCAAAGATACTCATGACCACCGGTGGCAACTTCTGGCTCTTCTTGGGGAGCAGCGGAGTACAGTCAGAGACGCCCTCCGGAATATGCGATAGCGCGAATGTCAGGTAGCAGCGTTACGTACCCAAGCACAGAACCGGCCCGATCGATGATTCGGTTTCTGTCAAATGGTTATTAGCAGCACGCGAGCACTTGGAGCTCCTGGTCCTTCTCATGATCTTTCCTGCTTCCTGATCGAGGATGAACAAACCTTGTCCAGGAGTACACTTTGACCTGGCTGAAGGCGCTCTTGCAAATGTCTGGGACGGTTATCTGCTTGCAGCGATGGCAACGGCATGGCACAGCTTTTATAACGTCTGCTGTATCGGGTTTCAAGGACATATTCGCCGACGGGAGCTGCGAGACTGTATCCACAGCCTGTTGATTTCTACATCGAATAGTCATTCATTGAGGAATATCATAGGATGTTGTAGAACAAGAGCAATATATATACAAGTTGATACAACCAATAGCGATAGTTGAGGACATAGATTGAGTCCAGACAAGTCTAGAGTCGGATTGATTAGGCGATGGACAGATGGATGCACAGCCCCTAGCTACTGAGCGGTAGTCTGGTCGCTATTTACACAGAGGTTGGAGCACAGCTAAACATACCACTGCCCCTCGACCCGGCGCCACCTCCCCATTCATCCTTTCCATCGTCACCTTTGTTCCTCACCACAACATCCAAGCGCGGACACGATCCCCATCGACAAGGCCCCCATGGCTGTCTTGTCCCTACCGCTCAACTTTACCAATTCCTTCTGGACTCAGGACTATCGCAAGGGTCTTGAGGTCCTCTACAACAAACTTGAGCAGGTATGTACCGTGTACTATCTTGGGAACGCTTCTCTCATCAGGCTGCGAACAGGGCACAGCGGAGAACGATGAGATCGTCGCGTTCATTCGGGTGAGCCATCCACGTACACACTCTGATCTGTTCGACTTCCATCTCATCGTCCAACTGCGTAGGCTCGCGCAGCAGCGGAGAATGAGATAGCTGCTTCCTTGGCCAGCTTGCCCGGTGGTACCAGTGCGTCACCTCCACGATCATATGCATGCATTATTCCACAATCTAATCACTCTCTGTCGTACCTCAGAATACGGCTTCGGCAAAGACGATGGTGCTTCCCTGCTCATGACGTTTCGTGGCCTCCAAGCCGAAAGCACCGCTCAAGGCAGAGCCCACAAAGACATCGCAAACGACCTGATCAAATTGGTCGCCGACCCGTTCAGTGATTGGGCCAAGGGTTACAAGGTCGGCGAGTGTTTGAAATATGTTGATCGGCGTTTCCGACCACGACCCTTTTCGCATCTTTAGGAGAGGTTGCTTAATAGCAAAGGGACCGTGCTCTACAACTGGCTCGTGGCATACGAAGATGCGCAGACAGAGGTAACCGCCTCCTACGTGTGTTATGTTCTGACCTCATGAAGCCATCCTACAGGTTTCAAAGCTGAGACAAGCATACCTTCAGAAGAACCGCAAAGCGGATGAAGCAGAGGATGAGTACGTCACAGAATGAAATAAGACTGATGACCTCGTTGAACAACATTACCTTTCCAGCGCTAAATTCGCTCCGAACAATGATTTTGACAAGTATACCACTTCGCCTCGTCTTGGCCCAAGAGACTCCCGAGCGCCTCCCCAGCGGACTGCAAGCGTCTCAGAACGTATCGCTGCGCGTTTCAGGGACATACAACGACGAGCTGGTGTGACGAAGACGGATAGCACTGAATCTCATTTCACCAATGAACCCACCGAGGAGAAACCCGACGAGGAGAAGGCAATCGTCACCGAGGAGCCTGAGTCTATCCTCGAACCAGTCGACAAGGGCAAGGGTAAGGCTGTAGAATCGCCGCCTACCCTTGCAATGTCCCCTCCGCCCATGTCCCCGGCCCTTCCGCCTCCATCCGTGAGCGTTCGGTCCCCGACTACGGAAGCGGAGACGACGTACGTACTGTCGGAGATTGCATTCAACCCGAAGGATCTCTCGCAGTTGCTCTACCGTGCAGCACACACCATGCCCCTTCGGCCTAAGCGCTTCCCTGTCATCGGTGAATACCAGGAGTGCTTCACTGGCGACGAGCTCGTCAGTTTCTTGGTCCAGAGTGTCCCTTCGTTTGAAGGTGACATGGGCCGCGCGGAAGATGCGGCCAAGGAGCTGTGTGAAGGTGAGGCCCTTGGCGTTCTGAGGAGGCTTGGAGAGTTCGGCAACCTGTGGGAGGCAGGAGACGACGTCTGGTATCAGTTCCGTCCCAAGGTAAGAACTTCTGCAGACTTGCGCCTGTGAGGTTGACATGTGCAAACGTTCTCAGGCCTTCAATTTAGAAGGGAAGCTTTCGGGAGATGTCCCCATGTCTCCCGGAGCGAACATAGCTGGTAACTTGTTCAAGCGCTCCAACAACTTCTACAGTGTCGTCCAGAAGGCACTAGTCACTAACACAAATGATGACGGGCCGGCCTATATTCGCCTACGTCAGGAGGCTGAAGAAGCAGATCAGGTCTACCGAGTCGCGGTCCGCAAACTCGATCGTCAGAGACTCGGAGTTGAGGAGAGAATTGAAGAGACGCTGAAAACGCTACAGAAGTGGGAGCATGAGAGGTTGAGAGCTGTCAAGACTGGTAAGCCACTTTGTTCCTGTGCTTGCCCGTGTTTTGGTGCATGTAACACCGCGTTATCCAGTGCTCCTTCAATACCACGGTACCTTGGCCAACCAGTCCAAGGCGCTTGAGCCTTCCCTGGAGCGGTCATCCACTCTAATTTCTGCCTACATTCCCGAGTCCGACCTCAGCGCACTCATCGAACGCTATCGCACAGGGCCCTTCCGGCCCGTCGCCCACCTCTACGAGTCCGTAGCGCACGACGAGTCCGATTCCGTATTCGGTATCGACTTGCGTAAGTGGGCCGAAGGTGGATGGGACGCCCTCACGACGGGCGAGGAGAAGAAGGACCTCGTCCCGCCCGTCCTCACTGCGATGCTCAGCTCCCTTCAAGAAAAATATGCGAGCATCTCGGACGACGGCGAAAAACGCAAAGCGTGGATCTATGATGTGCCTCTTCCTGTGCTGCACCATCTGCGGGAGAGCTTGAACGCGGTTCCTCCTGGTCAGCCGTTCACGTCTGAGCTGCTAGGCAAATACGATGTGCCGATTCTCGCGGGGGCTGTCAAGCTTTGGACGCTCGAGCTGAACCCCCCGATTGCTCTTTGGGAAGGCTGGGATGATGTCCGGAAGATATACCCTGTTGGTGAGTCTGAGTGACTGTATCGATCGATCAAAGAACTCTGATGCGTTCTCGAATAGTTGGCTCTGCTGCGAAGACCGAGAACAGCGAATCAACTAACCCGGAGCAGCAGCGGATTCAGGACCTCCAGTCCGCACTCCTGAAGTTCCCCAAGGTTCATCTCTCTGTCCTTGATGCTTTGGTCAGCCACTTGAAGAAGTACGGTTGTTGTTACTGCGTTTGATGGTGATATTCGTACTCACAACGCCTGCAGGCTCATTGACTCTACCAAGACTGACGAGGCTAATAATGTCTACATCAACAAACTGGCGTTGTCAGTTGGCAGGAGTATGTCTTCCAACATTCAGCTTGATTTGTGACCTGCCACTAACGTCTCTTCAATAGCGATAATTCGCCCCAAGCAGGAGACACACATCACTATCCAAGATCGTCATCCCACACTTCTTTTCATTGACCTGATCGAGCATTACGACGAAATACTGCCGCCGACGATCATCAAGAAGAAGCGCGAATCCGAGCGCCGTGTTCCTGTCCGTAAGCGAACGGCACCAATCGACATGCGCGTGAGCCGAGGCAAAATCTCGGTTGGCGCACCTTCTCGCGAGATTCTGGCTGCTCAGCAACAAGCGCAACAGAAACCACCGGTCTCGACACCGCAGCCTTCGCCTGCCACTCAGCCACCCCCGCCTCCAAAGCCCGTGACCTTGAGTGACCCACCCGTCCCTGCACCTCCGCCAGCTGCTGCTGCTCCAGCGGTCACTGCTACTCCATCTGCACCTGCCGCACCGCCTGCTGCTCCTGCCTCTAAACCTGCTGCTCCAGAGAAGCCCAAGGAAGAATCGTCCGACGAAGATGAAGACGATGATGACGATGATGACGACGACGACGACGATAGCGACGATGACGATGATGACGATGACGACGACGATAGCGATGAGGAGGAGGAGGAGAATGCGCGTCCAGCATTCAAGGAGCCTCCACCCGAAAGTGATCCTCCAAGGCCTAGCTTCAACGACCCTCCCCCGGAAGCAAGTGATGCTCCTGAGTCGAAGCCTCCTTCCTTCGTGACACCTCCGATGACACCGCTTGCCGAGGTTGACAAACCCTTGTCTCCAGCTTTGTCTCACGTTCCCGCTCCCGCTCCCACAGCGCCGCACAACCCGACACAGGCGATTCGCCGAAACTCGCGTCCCGCGAGCCCTTCTGTGCAGGCCACCGTGAATGAGGATCAACCACTAGGTAGCGGCAAATCCGGCCTCTCGCGGCACGGCTCCGGCCAAAACGCTCCCGTGGGCGTGCGCGGCCCGCGCATCTCGCGAGGACCCAGGGCGCCGGGAGGCGGTAGTGTGAGCTCGATGGTGTCCAACTTCAACAACCGGGTCGCGGGCGCTGCGTCGCCGCCGCCGTCTCCTGGACTGAACAGGCTGCCTGGACAGAGGCCCTCTTCGCGTGGGACGTGATGGCTAGGAGTGCGGCGGGCCGTCCACTCTCGACGCGGGCGATGGCCAGCGATGCTGAAGACCAGATCGTGGACCAGTAGACGAGGATTGGAATGGTGAAGAGATGCAAGATTTTTGAACTTGAGAGTATGTATAAACTGGAAGTCGAAATGTAGCACTATGATTTACTTGTTCGTAACGTTGATAACCGATTGGCTTTTAGGTAGTCTATGATATATGAATCGAAGATCATGATTCGCGTCCTCTCTTCACAATTTACACGATTAACTTCTGTCTGTTCTATTGTCCTTGCACAACCCAAGTGGTCCGCCTTTCTTGTATGCTCTGAGCTTCGTCGATTAATTCAAGCTCTGCGGCCTCAAAATCGTTACGCTTGCTTGGTTGGAATCCAAATATTTGGCTGATTGATTTGTCGGGGTTTGCAGCGCGGGAAAACGACGGTTCGCTATCACGGGCCGTGACGCGAACTGTCTCGTCCTGCGCGGGTGAAACCCCACTTCTTGTCTCCTTCACTCCGATCACTCTGTCTCCAAGATGCCCCTTGATTTTCAAAGCTTGATCATCGTATATCACTCTATCTCTAATCCCGAGACTTGTCCATCATCGGTCGAACGCTTGCTGCCATGCGTAGTACAATTGGACGTGCAGGTGTGTACTCGTCTGAGTCAACTAGGCTGGTTCATAGGTTCAGCGTGCTCAGGGTGGAAGTACGCCCCCTCCGACTCTCAATGAATCACGCGCCGCAAGCTCGGATGAACCACTGCAACTCGAACATCTAGTCGCTCATGCTGCGCGAACCTCCGTGCGGGACTTGTTCATTGTGTCAGCTACTGAGTTCCCTTCCACTGCTCTTAACTAACTCAATCTCACAGAGAGAATGCGTCTTTTGCAACGACACGACCTCCTCGCCCGGACTACGCTGACTTTGCTGCTTACTATCCCCTGGCGTATACGGCAAAAATGCTGGTAATGCAGCACACTCGACGCGGGCATCAACATGGACCAGCTCGATCAGCACGCGATGTTGGCCGAAGCGCCTCTTCATCCACGGATGTTAACGTCAGTGTTGTTTTCACTTCACTGTCGGCCAGCTGTCTGGCTGATTCACAAAACTGTTTACAGTACGAAATCCGATTTAACGGAAGAGAAAGCAGTGATCCCGAGGGCTCAAGGTCCAAGGCGTCGTCGGCAATGTCTGACAATCAAACGCAGTACTCATTCGCACTCTCAAGAGAGTCATCCCAGTCAAATGTTTCGCCACCGTCTATTCCAAGCTGCTGGGAACCTCTTGTAACTGTTGATCCAAGGTCTCAGCGCTCGCTGTTTGCGGATTATCGCGAATTTCCCACCTCCATCCCGCTCCTGTGCGTAGCAGAACATTCTTCAGCCGTAGAGTTGCTTCAAAGCTCAGTGTATCAACGCCTTGCCTGGGAAGTGAGAGAACCGATAGTGGGGGTGGCGTTTTCACCTTCGTCATCCGTTATACAAGTGCTCGTCGCGTGGCCGGATGTGAACACAGTGGACGATTTGGTATGTGCCACCTCCACATTGCGAGCAAACGCGCATGATGCTTACTCTAATCCGTTCCCTGCTCAGCCATTGGTTAATATCGCAAGCAACGAGTCACGATCCTGCAGTCCAGCCTCAGGTTGGTTCGACCTGAGCTCATCAGCGTCAGCACAGGCCTTTATGCGCTATCTCTCAGTCGCTATGGAGAATGCGGCGCAGGTTCAGCCACGTGCATCGATTATTGCTCCTTGGCCAAAGTGGCGGTTTGACTTCGTTGATGATGGCGGGGTACAAGAAACTCCAGAGGGGGCTTCGAGCTTTGTTGAAGATTGGGTTCACAGTACATCGACGTCCGAAATGTAGGTTTTATCTGTCCTAGCAATGAATACACGCGGCTAATTTCGCCCAAAGCAGTGATCGGGAGCCCTTGGTCTTCAACGAAGATGCCGACGCTGGAGATGAAGGCAAGAGACCACTTCGATCGATCTCTACTGAGTCCTTCACAGAGGACGCCGACATTGGAGACAACGCTGAAAGGTCAGGGCGAGTGACTTCCCCCGAATGTCACTAATCCTTTTTCTGAGATGCAGCTCGCAAGGTGATGGATCAAGCCGCAGATTCACGTATTTGGAGTAGGCCACACGTACCTGCATTTTGTCACCGCGCTCATTCGAGAATTAGCATCATCTCCGGTGTCTCCTCGCCTGACGAGGCGTATTCAACCATGAGACAATGGCTTTGGAATCGGTTTTCAATCCTACGGTCAACCCTTCTATTAACCCGATTAGGAGGTGTGCCCTCGGAGTACTCTTTCTATACTCGCTTTGTCTGGGATGATAGCTGGGACTGCCCTGTACGTATGTCTCGTAGGTCCTTTGACGTCATCCATGGGCTTATCGCATTTCTTTCAGAGAGCCGAACTGGCCACCCATAGCGAACTACATGGGCTATGGAAGGAACTCCTCAGTAGTAAAGCGAATTTTTGTTCCCATGTACAGCCAGGGTCGATCACGGGCGCCTCTGCTGCCGACGTCGGCCTCAACTTGGAGTACATTATGGCAACCTGCCAACAAGCACGGTTGCAAACCGACACTGCGAAGCGTTATGGCACTCCTGTGGCCTGCGCTCATATCTGGGACAATCTCGTTAGGAAACTGTCGTTCGGGGAATCCTTGAGTACACTGTATGTCGTTTCAGCATTCTCTTCACTGTTGCATCTTCGCATCTTGCTCATCACATCGACTCAGGGATTCACCCTCCATTGCACTCCCAAGAAACGTCTTGTCGGACCGCTTTGTCGAGACCGATTGGCGTTTGTTGGCCAAGTTTACAATCCAGCAAAGCAGAGAATGCAATGTTCGGCACTTCAACGCAATTGCAGCTCTTCATCTTAATGAATTTGCAAAGAACCAAGCGCTTGATGCTGCAGCCTCGCTACTTCACCCAGGCCTTAGTGACAATCATCAGGACGAAGTCAAAGCCCTCTCGGGTCTCGCCGAGAGCGATCCCGTTGATGCTATTTGTGATGTCGTAGTTACCGTTTCTGTGCCCAACTTCTTGGGAAATGATACGACACCAGCACTTCGTCGCGCTGCGAAATCGTTTTCTCTGCTGCAGAAGACCCCTTCGGCAAATGCAGCATTATCAAGCACCCCATTCTACTATGGCATGTGCGATCTTGCCTCCGCCCATCCACAGCTTGCCTTCACTTTCGATGTTTTTAGCGCAAACGTTTGCTCTGCAGGAGCTTCGCCAGAGGTGACAGGCGGTTTCGCTTACGAAACACTCTTTTCTTGCCCAAAGCCTACCGATACACCTACGGTCTCCGACAACAGACTGGAGCAAGCAAATGTGCTGAGACCACCTAATCTCCCTCCTCGTGATCTTACATGTGACGATGCTGACGTGCGAGACATGGTGGACGGGCTCGCGCTTGAGCTACCTCTGCTACTGGTCAACCACACCCCTCCCGAGCGAATCCTTTCCACAGTCGGCTCGCACAAGCATAGGATGTCTGCGACCGCCGCCGCCGCATACTTTGCTGCATTGGGACTAACAGGTGTACCCCTTTTCAGCCTGGTTACAAATGGTTGTTGTGGGGTCATCACGTGCGCATGGGCCGAGGTATTTGGTGGGTTTCAGGTTAGTCGTTACCTTATTTACATTTGACTACCCCTGCTCATCTTCTCCCTACAAATTCGTTCCTTGACTCATCTTGCCACAGCGAATCAAAATTGCAGAGCGTAACGCCATGGTTTTTGACCTTACAAACCCGCTTTCTGCCCTTCATCTCGCAACAGTCCTGGTTCGCCTGAAGCACGAACATGGCAAGATCCTGCGAGAGCGGTTTGACGAACGAGCATTAATGTGTTTGCGGAAGCGGTTGGAACTAGGTGAATGGGAGACGCGATGGACAATGGCACATTACATTGAAGAGTATGCAGGTCGGTAGTATCAGGTGTCTAGTACAAGGTATGTATATATAGAGCTTCAACGTGAGGGGAGTTACGTACTAACGGAAGGCCTTAGCTATAGGTAGCGCTCTTCTGGAGTCAGCCCCCCTACAAGCCGACTGGTCCGAAGAAATCAAACAAGTCATTCACTCTGACAATGGCACCTGTATGGTTACCCCGCACGAAGGAGACGAAGCCCGATTATACATTCAGTTGTCGGATCAGGACGTTATCGACCCAGCTATTGGGCGCGTAGACCAGAACCGGACTCTGAGCCCAGAGAAGTTGCTTGCGGTATGCCAGTAGGTCAAGTTATTCATTCTCTATCTTACGAGGGACGCAGGTCGGAAAGAAGATGCTTTATACATACACCCTCGAGAGCCGACATGGGTTTGACTGGTGGGCAATCTACACCAGTGCGTACCATCCGTCACTTGGGCATGTTGGTTTTGAGAAGCTAATGTGATGATGGGATTAGCTGGGCAGCGCGTGGCACCCAAGTTTTCCACTCATGAGCGCGTTTTTATAGCAGGTGACGCTTGCCATACTCATTCTCCCAAAGCAGTGAGTCGTCTGAGTGGTATCTTGAGCGCCGAAAGTGAGGGCGACCCGCAGGCCAGGGCATGAATGCAAGCGTGAGTGATACCCATAACTTAGGTATGTGCATATAATGAAATTACTTACCGTCTTTGACTCCTGATGCGATTCTTCGACTGTTCTTCAGCGTGGAAACTTGCGCATGTGTTACGGGGATGGGCAGACTTGTTCATGCTGAAAACCGTTGGTCACTTTGAGTGTTTTCGGAGATAAATAATTTGTTGACGCTTCCTATCCCTTGCTCAGTATGAACTCGAACGCCGACAATACGCTCAAGAGCTGATCAACTTTGACAAGAAACTCTCTGCTCTTTTCTCTGGAAAGCCTAGGAAGGAGGCGTTCCAAGGTGGTGTAACTCATGAGGAGTTTTTGAGGTAAGACGAAGGCGTGGCGTTGCAAATGCCCTCTCTGACATTCCAGTATAGCGCCTTCCAGGCGTATGAAGGATTCACCTCCGGAATTGGCGTGCACTATGCCGAATCGGCATTGGTCAACAGTAAGCACCAGCCATGTGCGCAAGGGCTCGTCGTCGGGGAGCGCATGCTGCCTCAGGAGTTCATCCGTGCAGCCGATTCTCGGCCATGCGAGATCCAGGACCTACTGCTCTCCGATGGACGTTTCAAGGTATTGCTTTTTGCTGGTAGGGCCGACGGACCAGAGCAGCCAGCCAAGATACACGCGATGGCCGGGGAACTTGACAAGCCAACGAGCTTTTTGAAACGGTATCTTGCGAAAGGAAAAGGAGTCGAGGGCATGTTCGACGTGATCACGATCATTGCTCGTGCGCAGGGGAACGGCAACGTCTTTGCTTTGCCGGATGTCTTCCGATCACACTGGTCGAAGTGAGTCATGTGTCACTATGAAGTTTTATTCGTGGTGTGCTCACTGCTACTCCGTCCACTCACAGGATTTTGATGGATAATATGGATGTCACAAGGAGCAAGGGTGGACACGCATACGAGAGGTTCGGTATCGGCTTGGATGAGTTGGCGCTGATCATCGTGCGGCCAGACGGGTATATCGGGATGGTTGCACCGCAGTCCTGTGAGCGCTTGCTCGTCATTGATATCTAGCCAGGAGGATTCCCTTTGTGTACATAGCTTGCTCGGACAAATTAAAGAACTTTAAATATTTACGTATGTACTGTGATTCACCGTCAGAATAGACAGACTTTTGTGCAACGCGTGTGGAATATTTTTCCTTCGCCCAACTTGCTTAAATTTAGGTTTGAGATGTCCTTGGTATGCGATCTACCTTACAAAAAATCGCTGAGTGACGCAAGCATAGGGTGCATGTGCAATGCACGAATCAGTGTTTTAGGCCGAATACCGTCAGAATAGACAGTCCGCGCGGGTGGCGATAATCCATATTAGGCAGGCCGTCCACCATAGCCGGTCTCAAAAAGGAAAGCCAGGGCGTTATCGCTGAGCCGAAGTCGCCGTTACAGCGGCTATAAGATTATGGCAAGGCTCGAGAGGACACTCATGTCATCGTTCCGACATATTGAGAGTTGTCGCCTTTTGCAGCGCCCAAAATTGTTTCAACGAAGGGTAAAGATGTCCTTAAAACATATAATAGCTCTATCATCCACACTGTGTCGCATGTTCACAGCTGGTTATCCGCCGAAGCTAAGAAATTTTTTACAACACCCTGTTTTTCATGCTTTGAGGCTTGCAGCTTCACATCCAGACATTCCCTCGCCAATCGCATGTACAGGCATAAAGTACAACATGTTCTCGTAATTACCATGAATTTAGTTTGAATGATTTGCCAAGGAAACGGGCACAAAAGCGAGTTGTCTATTCTGACGGTGGTGTCTACTCTGACGGTGAATCACAGTAATTATGATTTCCCCGTCGACAATCCTCTTCTCATGGTCTCCTTAAGATGACGAGCGCATGAAGCCCGCAAAGTACGCGTTCACTTCCTCGACATGTGATGATACTTTGAACCCGGTGTTAATGATCGCCAAACAATGACGACAAGAGAATCCGGCTTTAGGCAGCTTAGGACTGCTTAGGACCGTCTGATACTAATATTGCTGCCGGACAACCTTCTCCCTATCTCTGACTCCCACCATGTCGGACATCAAGTCATTCGGAAGAAAGTCCAAGGAGACGGCCTCACCACTTCTGCCAGGCGCCCCCCCTCAGAGCACGGCCTCGTCTAAGTGCAAGTTTTCCGCGCGCTACCCGTGGGCCAAGACCATCCTCTGCGTCGTTCTCGCTGCAACCGTGTTGTTGAAGTGGACCGACGCGTTCACGGCGTGCCATGAGTACCTCGCCCCGCCATCTGTGGATGAGGTTTGCTCCCAGGCTCAGGAGATTGTCCCGGAACAGAATGGTGCAATCTGGAAGAATCTTACCGATGTATTCGGCGCAGAGGCATTCAGGCTGGAATTGGCGGAGTCGCTTGGGGGTGCAGTGAGAATCCCGTGAGTCTTACGTTTTTGCAGCCTCGTCTTGTTCCTCACCTCCATGGACTCTGACATGCAGTACAGAGTCTTTCGATGACATGGGCCCCATAGGTGAAGACCCACGCTGGAACACCTTTGGTCCCCTGCATGATTACCTATACAGCAGGTTCCCTTTGGTGTGAGCCATTCTTTGTGTCTTTTCGGGCTTCACGATTTTGAACATCTTTTTCTGCATCTTCCTTTAGGCACTCGTCCCTCAAGTTGCGGAAGATCAATACCTACGGGCTACTGTATGAATGGGCAGGCTCAGACAGGTCACTCGACCCTTTCTTGCTCACTGCCCATCAGGGTTTGAATGCTTCCGTTGTCAGAGTATCTCCGATGCTTACGAGTTACTAGATGTTGTTCCGGTTGAGCCTAAGACTGCCGGGGACTGGGCGTATCCGCCTTTCTCAGGTCATTATGACGGTCAGTCATTACTATAGTTTAGTGGATATAGTATTAATCTGCTTTGCTGTTAGGCGAGCGTGTTTGGGGTCGCGGAGCGTCCGATGACAAGTCTGGCTTGATTGGCTTGATGTATGACTTACCTTAATCAAACCCCTCAACTATGGCTGAAATAGTCGACAGGACGACCATGGAGTATCTCTTGCAAAACAACTTCTCCCCTTCACGCACACTTGTTCTCGCCATTGGCTTTGACGAGGAGATCAGCGGTCCGCGTGTACGTATAGCACAGTCCATGCATGGTTACTTGTGATCTCAACCTTACGAAGGGAGCGCAAAGTCTGGCAGATGCTATGCGCGAGACATACGGCGAGAAGGGCTTTGCCATGATTTTGGATGAAGGAGGTGCGCTAGTTAACCCAGCCCTCGTTCGAGTTGACCGATGTCAATTATAGCTGGCTACGGCGATCTCTACGGCCAAGCTATCGCCAGTCCGGGCATTGCTGAGAAGGGTTATGTGGATGTCCGTGTCGAAGTTAACACACCGGGCGGTCACTCTAGCATTCCGCCTCCTCATACGGTTAGTCGATTGTATTTCTTCCCATAGCTGCGCACGATGATCTAACCTAATTTAGAGCATCGGTATGCTATCCGAAATGTTGGTACACCTTGAGAAAAATCCCTTTGAAGCGCAACTGGTAAGCATGCGTTACTACGAGCGTTGTGAGACCGGAGCTAAATGCCCGACGTCAGGCTCGCGGCTCACCCATGTACAAGAACGTGCAGTGCATTGCTCGCTGGTCACCTGGCCTTGATCCGGACCTGAGGAAACAAATATTGCGGTCCGAGAATTCGGACCGCGCTCTACACGCGGCTGAAAAGGTTCTATTCAACAACTACTTGTTCAAGAACATGGTTGGCACGACCCAGGCTATTGATCTGATTCATGGCGGTGTGAAAGTCAACGCGCTTCCAGAGCAGGTGTATGCGATAGTAAACCATCGCATCTCGACTGAAAGGTTAGTCCCCACTTGTTGGCAAAAACCATTCGTCTCTCAAACCTGGTTCGCAGCTCGGTTGCTGTTACGCAAGCGCATGACCGAGATCTACTTTATGATTTCGCCCAGCAATTCAATCTATCTTATGTCGCGTTCGGCGAGCAGCTAACAGACGACAACCTACCAACATTCGGTACCTTAGTCGTCCAGAACAACCACGGAGATGGCCTCGAGCCTGCACCTACGACGCCGACGGACGCCGACGCTCTGCCTTATCGCGTCCTTTCCGGCTCTATCAAGGCGGCCTACAACTCCCACCGAAACATTGAAGGGGATGACAATGTTATAGTTAGCCCTGGAATCATGTCCGGAAACTCAGGTTCGTATTAGGGGTTTGTCTGAACTGCTGTTGCCCATGCATTGAATCTACAGACACACGCTATTATTGGGACCTCTCCGACCACATCTTCCGCTACCGCCATACCGCATTGGCTGTCGGCGGTTCCTTGCTGAAGGGCGTCCACACAGTCAACGAGTGTAAGCCCATGTCAGTTTTGCACAGATGTTTTCAGCGACTGACTGCTACATGATACAGCGCTTGAGATGGATAACTACGTGGAGATGGTCCGGTTCATGGTCGCAGTTGTGCTCAATGCAGATGAAACTGCTCTGTCTTGAACATACCAAGCTTGTAGGCTCAATTGTGTATGCGGTTTCACGGAAATCGAAGTTATCCTGCTGGTTTCATAATGAACTCAAGATAAGGTGCTTCGTCTACTGATTGGCCAGTTCGAGGGACGCTGTGGGGAAGAGGTTCGCAACTGAGAATCGAGGTGTCCTTACTCCCAGTGGAGTGTGACAGATCAATGTACTTCCGAATGCGACCGAACGCATTCTGACTCCGCGCAACTTCATTTTGGGGTTCCGCGAGACCCTGGCAGGTGCTCTGACATTTGTAAGTACTACCGTCATGCTGGGCGGTGTACGGGTCGCGACGAGCCTTCAAGCTTCAAGTGCCGACATAACATGACTGTTGCTTTGCTACGCCACTACGGGCCAGCGAGATATTTTACCCCGCATTTCGCTTTACCCCACACTCAAACAGGGGCTTGTGCAGGTCCGCTCTTCCGTCCTTTCTCACTAGAAGCAAGACTTTTCTTTCTTGGGTTGTCCATATGACCTCTGGCTCAAAACTCTGTCTTCTTCAGGCCGTTGTAGCGGCCCACAGGGTTTGAACGCACCACCCATTTGCTACTTTCCAGCCTCTCTCCTTCACACCGGCGGAAGCCTGAGACGTGACTGTGTCCATCGGCGACAGCGTTCTCTCCATGTGCACAGTAAAGAAGTCTCGAAATGTGCATTCACGATCAAGAATCCGGCGCTTCTGTCTTCTGATTCGCCACAACCGTCACCTTATGAGATCACACTTTCTTTGTGAGGGCATTTGCACCTCTCGGAAAGCCGCCCACCGGCAAAGGCTTCTTTCTGTTGCGTCTCAATATGTCTATGAGAATGCGTCGTGCACTGCCTGGTTATGTTTTTCCGTGCCTACGCCGCCCTGATTGGTTAATATCAGTCAGCCTATGGCCATGTGAGGATGTTGTCTCCCACTGAACCGCAGGCAAGGGGCGCGGACCTAGTTTGCGTCCCGCTCACCTGCTCCATGAAAAGGTCTCATGGAATATCATCTGACGTCCGCCGGCCTCGCACAATTGGCTTGGAAGTCCGAACAGATGACCCCTTTTTCGTTCAAGAAGCAGGGGCTTGGTGTATAAAACGACTCTCGAGCACCCCGCCAAAACTAACGACTCTTCTTTCATTCTCAACGGGTCGAGACAAACATGGTGCATCCTCAGGAAGTCGACGTTATCGTAGCTGGGTACGTTCTTCTGGATTTGATTATTAATCTCATCTCAATAATATCCAAAATTGCAGGGGCGGTCCAGCAGGTATGCTGAATGGATTGCTGGATTCTTTGCGTCGACTTATTCGTCTGCAGGATGTGTTATGGCCGGAAGATTGGCCTATGCGGACCCCAACTTGAAGGTTATGCTGATCGAAGGTGCTTTCATATGCTCGAGATACCTCGCATGGAGCTCATGCGTCTATTCCCAGGTGGTGCGAACAACCGTGACGACCCCTGGGTCTACAGGTCGAAGAGTTTCTTTAATTTAAAGGCACTGTACTCATTCAGATGCTAGGCCGGGGATCTATGTCCGTAACATGCAACGGGACGGGATGTGAGTAGCCACTCGGCTGGCATTAGACGAATCTCATTGCTGTGCAGCAACGAAAAGGCTACGTTTTATACCGACAGCATGGAGTCTTCCTACATGCGTGGCAGGAAGAGTATTGTACCGTAGGCTTATCCCTTTTACTCTAAGGCCATCACGACCAACGCCTGTACAGATGCGCAAACATTCTTGGTGGTGGTAGCAGCATCAACTTCCAGGTTTGTTTTGCTTAGGTTCCTGAACTTGATAACAATAACTCAGTTCACTCCAATTTGAATGTAGATGTACACTAGGGTGAGTGAAGTCGTCTATTCTTAGCAGCAGCCTTTAAGTGGTCGGTGCTATTTAGGCATCCGTTTCTGATTGGGGTATGATCGACGCCTTTTAATGACGATGACTGCTTATTGGCCACAACATAGATGACTTCAAGATGGAGGGCTGGACTGGCCAGGGTAAGCTTTCGTTTATTATGACCCATGCATCTTTTTTATGCATGATTGCAGATCTCATGCCACTCATGAAGCGTGTACGTCTCACTCATAAAAGAGCTCAAGTATACTAGGTCGTGCGATGGCCTAATCCTTCATTCCCAGCTCGAAAACTACCAGAAGCCGACAAACAACGATACTCACGGTTACGACGGTCCCATTGCTATCAGCAACGGCGGACAGATCAACCCGCTGGCTCAGGACTTCCTCAGAGCCTCTCACGCTATCGGCATTCCTTTTAGCGACGATATCCAAGGTGCGCTACACTTGTACGGGGAGGCTTGTGTATTGAGTGCACTCTTAGACTGTACCACGTCCCACGGTGCTGAAATCTGGGCCAAGTATATCAACCGCGAGACAGGCCGTCGCAGCGATGCCGCCACTGGTATGCGGCACTTTGTTAGTGACACTGGATCATATTATCTAACCCTTCCTTAGCCTACGTGCACAGCGTCATGGATGTCCAGAACAACCTGTACCTCCGTACCAATGCCCGTGTTTCTCGCGTCATCTTCGAAGGCAACAAGGCCGTCGGTGTTGCCTATGTTCCATCGCGCAACCGCGCAAACAACGGGCAGGTCCAAGAGACCATTGTGAGGGCACGCAAGTGCGTCGTGCTGAGCTCAGGCACCCTCGGGACTCCTCAAATTCTCGAGCGCTCTGGCGTTGGCTCCGGCGATCTCCTTCGGCAACTTGATATAAAGGTTGTCAGTGACCTCCCAGGGGTTGGGTACGTTTGACATATTGCATCCGTCCATGAGCTTCCGCTGAATAGAAATCATGCAGCGAACAATATCAGGATCATTATACCACGCTGTCTAGTACGCCGTATTGAAGAATACTTATCGCACACGCACTAACTATTCACCCAGTCTTCCGCGTATCAAATGAGAGCTCGACGACTGACGCATTTCTTCGTGGAGACCCGGCTGCTCAGAAAGAGGTAAAAGGAGAATCTGGCCGCTGATATTTAGGTACTAACATCGTTGTCAGCTGTTCACGGAATGGGAAACCAGCCCTGAGAAGGCACGCCTGTCGTCCAACTCGATTGACGCTGGGTTTAAGGTGTGTACGAGTAGATCCGAGGATTTATACCCATGGTGCTTAAGACTGATTCTCTCAAGATCCGTCCCACTGAAGAGGAGTTGAAGGAGATGGGCCCTGAGTTCAAACAACTTTGGGACACCTATTTCAAGGACAAGCCCGACAAGCCTGTTATGTTTGGCTCCATTGTCAACGGAGGTAAATATACCTACTTATTGAATTATTTACTCTCATTAACGTCACGTTCTATAGCGTACGCGGACCACGCTCTGTTGCCCCCCGGAAAGTATATCACCATGTACGTTATTGATGTTTACTCTTGTTTCGTTTCAGTAGTCACTGTACTTACTCGGTGCATCAGGTTCCAGTACCTCGTGCGTTGTTTAAACGTCAGTAGTGAATGATGTACTAACCCGTTTCTCAGGAATACCCCGCAAGCCGTGGCAAGGTAGGCAGCACCCCGTTTTTCTGTTTTCGTCTATGATTGGGAAGGATGCTGATTCGTCGTCAACACCAGATTCACATCAAGTCTACCAATCCTTACGTCGAGCCCTTCTTTGACAGTGGCTTCATGAACAACAAGGCCGACTTCGCCCCGATCAGGTGGAGCTACAAGAAGACCAGAGAAGTGGCTAGGAGGATGGACGGTAAACTACAGTTCCTCCAATTGGTCCTGCCGATGCTGATAGGGGGTCGGTGTGTTAGCCTTCCGTGGCGAGCTGACTTCGCACCATCCCCACTTCCACCCTGCCTCTCCGGCCGCGTGTAGGGACATCGACATCCAGACGGCGAAGCAGATGATGCCAGATGGTCTGACTGTTGGTATCCACATGGGAACTTGGCACAGGCCCTCGGAACCCTACGACGCCAGCAAGGTTCACGATGACATCAAGTACACGAAGGAGGACGACGCCGCCATCGATGACTGGATTGCCGGTTTGTCATCCTCTGTCAAACTGGCTTGTGACGTCCCTCTCATCGGCCCTTGCAGATCACGTTGAAACAACCTGGCACAGTCTGGGAACTTGCGGTTCGTCCCTTCCTTGTCCCTGATCAGTCTCGAATAGCCCAGCTCATTGTGAGATTTTCAGCGATGAAGCCTCGTGAGCAGGGCGGTGTTGTCGACAAGAGATTAAACGTCTACGGTACGTATCCCTGTCAATATTACCCTTGGGTCCTCGCGTTAACGCCCTTCTAAAGGCACTGAGAACCTCAAGTGTGTTGACCTTAGTATCTGCCCTGACAACCTCGGGACCAACACCTACTCCTCTGCCCTGCTCGTGGGTGAGAAGGGAGCAGACTTGCTTTGCGAGGAACTTGGTATGTAACGTTGGGAGTTTTCTACCGCTCTCGTATTAATGGATACCTTTTTCAGGCATCAAAGTCAGGACGCCGCACGCCCCTGTTCCTCATGCACCCGCCCCGCGAGGTGTTGCGGCTACTCAGGTTCGGTAAAGTAGGGCGTGGAAGCACACAGAGGAACGCCAACAGAAAAAGTTGCCGTTTGCGCCTTGTACTATGTACCCTGTTGTAAAGCATCGTGATGTATTTTTGTGTAAGCTCGCCGCGATTTGTGTACCTAAATGTATGATAGCGTATTGCAATCAAACTTTCTCTTGGACATTCCATATCTCTGTTTCCGTCTGAATGTGGCATCGCCAAATTGGCCTTGATAATTTTTACGGAATCAAGCACAAGTGGACCAACGCTGCCATTGGTTACTAGAAATGAAAGAGCGTCTAACGCAATCTACTTATAAGCTTATATTGATCAGTATAAGTGGTCCCATGAGTGATATATGTGATGTCATACATGCATGCTACAACGCTACAGAAATAAAGTGCAAGAAGCTCCGTGGCACATGAGCAGTCCACAATGTTCATATAAAAACACGAGGTCTATAGAAAACTTAATGTTACAACCCGGATCGACGTCATGCCAATAGTGAAACGCAGATCAGTCATGGACTGCAACTAGAACATCACTAATGCTGTCCGGCGGCGAAGGACGAACACTAGGACCCCCTTTTCGGTGAATAGCTCCGTGCCGGGCGAGCTGATCTGGTCTTGCGAACGACTTGCCGCACCCTGGTTCCGCGCAAACGTAAGGACGAGCGCCTGTGTGCGTTCGCAGCTGTTTACACGCTGTCAATCGTGGCCTTGGATGAGGAAGAAAAAACAATTTGGGAACTTACATGCTTGGCGAGGTTCGATGACTCTGCGAATGCTCTTACAAAGGAAGAAAATTAGATCCCCCTACCAACGTGGGATAGTCAGGGGGTAATGAAACGATGGTAACTTACTTGTCGCAGTAGGTGCATTTGAACGGTCGTAAACCGAAATGGGTGCGTTTGTGAATAGTCAAGGCACCCGTGATCGCGAACGCCTTGCCACACCCCGGGTAATCGCACGCGTATGGCTCTGAGAACGTATGAATCGATAAGACGAGCACGGACAAGCGAATCGCAAAGAAAATGATCGTGGAGACAGACATCATGATCAGTCACATTGTCAGAAGGAACGCGCTAGGCACTCACTCTCTTTGGTATGCCGCCGCATGTGCTGCTGAAGCGTCGCTGCTTCAGAGAAGTTCTGCTTACATACAGAGCACTGGAACGGCCGATGGCCAGTGTGTGACTGCCGGGGGATTATAGGCGTCAGAAATGATCAGCGCACGACGTCACGGGGCTTTCAACGAACTTGGATGTGTCGCATGATCTTCTGCTTGCTTCCAAAGCCTTCGTTCTCTCCGCTACCTCCTGTACCGTCTCCCAGCCCGCTGTTGCGGTTGCAGCCCTGCCAGAAGCATTCGTACCGCGCCTTCCCGGAACCGACGTGCGCTTCAGCGATGTGTTGGGTGAGAGCAGCGGATGTAGGGAATGTCTTGTAACAAGCCCAGGTGCGGAACTGGTGGTGAGACGAGGAAGGGTGCGAATGGAGGGGACAAGAAGTCATCCAGAGGCATTCGTGCACATCAATAGAGTCTGCGCTTGGCTGTTCTTGTGCATGTGACGACGGAGTAGTCTTGGCGCCGCCAGGTAGTCCGGCAAATACCTCACGTTCCTGATCGTCCGTAGAGGGACTGAGCTGGTGTTGTGGGGGCGGCGACTCTTGAAGCGCAACAGCAAGCGAAGGTGGTGAAGCATATACCGAAACCGCTGCCGACGGAGAAGGTGCCGACGAAAAAGGAGAGGACGACAGGGAAGACACGCTTTGGTCATATCCGCCCTGAGTAGGTGCCGAAGGAGGGGCCGACCATGTGACATCATTCTGAGCCGCCGTGTACTCCATATTCTGCTGCTGAACGTAACCGGGCTGCACACCAGGTTGGCTTCGATCAGCACCGGCCTGGAAAGGAACCTCTGTGGGCATAGCCGTTTGAGTTTCGTTGGAGCCTGGGGAATGGCGCGCATGATGATTTTGGGGCTGACTCGAGTGCTGAGGAAAGCCGTAGTATTCGACAGTTTCTCGGGTGCTGGAGACAGCATAGGAATGTGCTCCGTGAGGCTGAGACTGTTGGAATGGATGGTCAAGAGATGGGTCGTACTGTTGATGTTGCAGAGACGGTGCCGAATGGTGGTGTGTTGCATTGGCTTGGAACGCATACGATGGTGAGGGTGCATGATGGTAGTTTTGTTGGCTTCGCTGAAGACCATGTCCGTAGCTTTGGCCGAGACTGGGGGCGACGTCGTGCAATGCTTGACGAGGGAACATGTGAGGAGATGCTTGGGTGTATAGCGAGGATTCGTACTGGGCACTACGATGATGATCCATGTCGGGTTCTGACCGGTTTAAAGGCTGCGAGGTAAAGTTCATATCAGGAGGCGTATGCGGGGGCTGGTTTAAATAGCCGTTGGAAGTTTGGGTCGTGTGTAAATACGCAGATCCACGGGTCAGATCTCCATCTCCGTGAGCATGATCGGGGATGTTAAGGTGATGCAATAGTAGATGGGGGGCTAGAGCATCCGGGTTGGCTGCGCAATCTCCCCAATGGCAAGAAGCCGCAGTGGCAGCAAGATGGGTCGAGTTTACGTGTTCGATGAGTTCGTCCAGACAGCCAAAAGTTGCAGTACATGTAGCCCACATACACGGATGCGCCCGGATGCTACCGTTTGGAGGATCATGGGGCAGCTCTTCGGGACCGTTGGAGAGATGAACTGTCTGAGAAGCACTGAGAGGAGGGAGCATGTCAAGAACGGGGAGTGGGTGGGACTCTGTTCCCGAATGAATGCAGCAACAGTCGATATCAGTCAGCGAAGTATACCAGGGGTGCTCAGCAATGTAGTCTGTGCAGCACTTGAGCTGCAATGAAGAGGGGCCACTGTGAGGGAGAACGAGATGGCTGGGGTTGATGGTTGCTCACCAAATCGTCTAGAGCGGGGCATTTTGTGCAAGGTTCTGTTGCACAGTCCTGGCATTCAAGGGTCGGACAGTCATCTTTCCTGCAGTCTGATGATTCAGAGCAGCTGGCAATGTCATCGCAGGAGTGATTGCTAGGACATGGCCGGAGAGGGTGCGATGGGTCTGTGCAGGCGACGACGACGCATTGGTCTGTACACTCGGATGAGAGGCCGAATTCCGCGTCCATTGACAAGCTATAGCTAGCTCGCGGAGTCAAAGACAAGCACTAGTGTATCGTTCACGTTCAGCTCGGTCAGCGAGCCTCCGTCAGTTGCCTGGTCCAGTTGTGTGTGCAGGGGCTACTCGGTCACTCGGAGCTCTGCGCCAAACCACCTGTCCTAATTACCGGAGCGGTCCCCAGTGTCACGTGCACACACCATATAAAGCACTAGGAACGGTACAGACTTCGACACGGTTGTCACGTTGTCCCAAACGCTTGTTCCCAACGTTGGACTGTGGACACGTTTCCGCTCTCCACGCCCTCCACGCACTCGATCCAGCACAACCATCCTCCGTGTCGGGATAGTGATCTCGCTTAAACAACGTCTTCGTCACATCGAGGCAGTCGGTTCCACGCGCGCACCAGAATTAGTCCCATGCTATTATAAGACCACGGTCTTTCCTGATCTAATCGTAACCATCATGATCAAAACGACTAGCCGGTTCCTTGAGCGAGGCCGCTTGCACTCGTGTATCCGCAACCTGAAGAAGAAGTGCCTTATGATGCAAAGAGGCGCTTTTTGGAACGAAACACTCACGCAAGTGCCTGAAGCGAGCCCTTTCGGTCCAATGCTGCATTGTAGCAACACACCAAGGTCGTCGAATGCATTCGCGACTCCTAGCAAACATCTGTGGTGACACCCAAAACATCAAGCTAAAGAAGGACGCGCCGCTCGGTTTACACGTCCATACGTTACCATGTCTTGTGGTCTCCGCAGATAAAGTTAGGTTACAGTGACCCTACAACGTTGAAATAAACCGACTGAGCGTATCCTGCACACGACCAATTAAGACGGCTCCGTTTCAAGTACGGCTGGTGTTGTGTTCCATATATCCCGCCTCCCTGCAATTACGCTTTGTTGCCGGACTCAACGGCAGTACATTCCCAAATACCTGGTTATAGGACCTTACGTATCAGTGCTAGCAGGCTGTCATTTCCCCTGTGAATAATCAGGGTTACAGGCCGCTCCAGCGTCTAGCAGGATGACGGAATGATATTGGCCAGTAGCAAGTTAGACTAAAGTAAGCTATCTTACCTTTATGGCATAATAGCACAGCGTGCGAAACTTCTACTAGTCAATCAGCTTCGGCAGGATCAGTGCCTGGGAAACCTTAGCCGCTCCTGATTCCTACCTAGTAAACTTTACCAGCGTTGTGGCACTGGCAGACGCCAAAGTTGTGCAGCGGCGGAATAGATTGAAAACGGCGAGATCCGGACCACGAAACACGACGTGACACTTGTTTCGCTCAACCAGGTAATGAAGTCGCGGTGGCTGGTCGTATTGTGACCAGAGCGTTGGTTGTGTCAGTTTCTCACTCGTATTTTTACAGAAGCGACTTGGAGCGACCCGACCGGCGTTCTCGCTTCATTTGTAAGGAATGAGAATATACAGACCCCTAACTTTTCGAGCTATCTAGGATCGCTTTGGATTTTTTTAAAATCCATTTGTTGTCCTCTGAGGGCTGCGCCCTATATGTGAGACAAGATACATAACCGGCGCGGAGGACGTGTGTACTACGATTTTAGCGATAATGTAACAATGGCTTGCTTTGGATACCGCCCTTGCGCCCCCGATGCAACAGGGTGAAATTGTCCCTTGCCCTATCCAACATCCACGCTGTGGTTTCTTGTAGGCTAATAGAACACATCCATACGGGTCTACCGACCATATACTGGTCTATTTTGCTAAGGTACAGGGCGAGGAAGGCTCATTTAGCACATGTTGCATCGAGGGTGTCATGTTGCATCTGGGGTGCAAGGGCGGGATGGAACGGCAAATATGGTGCATCATGAAGCAATCGTTCTAATGCCAAGGCAAGCAATCACCTTCTAGCTCCCTTAATTACGGCAGCTCATGCTATAGCGTCGGCGATATACACACCGAGTGATCCTACAAGCAACTCATTACCTTAAGAACCAGCCAAGACAGTCATTATCGCTGTTATTATTTATTTGCGGCTCAAAGCCACTCCGACGTTCGAGGAACGCCGAGGAGAAATGCCAAGCAATTTGCTTCTGTGCTTCATGCTCTACCCATTGACAATCCTTCCTGCAAACCTCTCATTGCTATATGCACTCACTGTATCGAATGGGACTCGGAGTTTTCCATAACTTTTTTATATCCACAACGGTCAAGTCATAAATGGAGTGGGATATCAGGAGATAGGCGTTCGCTGAAGACATGAAGTCTAAAAATGTCACCGAGAAAACAAGCATGAGACACAAACGTAAGTGGCGTTGATTCCACTGAAATAGTCGTATGCGATTTTTAGGTAGTCAGCATCCTGCTCCGAGCAACTATGCATGAAATAAACTTTACCCATAGTGTTGGTGTCTGAGAAACTCTGGTGATAGCTTTTTTTTGTTTGATACGGAAGATCGGGGTGCCGGGAGCAGCCAGCGCAAGAAATAGCTTGCCGCAAGGTCGCACTCCGAAGGGAGGGGTCGATTACAAAATTGTAAATAAAGGATAGCAGCGAATCCACGAGGGCGTCATGGATGTAGTATCCGGCTCATAAGGGCAGGTTTGATCGGTCAGCGCTACCAACCTCGGCACTTTTGTAACACGCAACGAGCAAAGAAGCTGACCGTGAGCCAGGAGAAGATAAAACAACACGGACTTGGGGTTGGCTCGGTTCCGCCACCTTCCCGCCAGTGTTCGAAGCTGGGCGCGTCGGAGCTGAGTTTCTGCATTTGCGGAGACTACCGTTCCCACGCATTGAGGCCTTTGTTCTTCTCCACCCCGACGATCACCAGTGATTCTTTCTATGCCAAGATGCGTGCTCGTCGCTGCGGCCAGGGTGCACAATCCCGCCGGCACTTCTTCGTGACATAGCATCATGGCTCCTAGTTCCATACTCTCACAGTCGAAAGAGACATATCTTCTAGCTGACAGAAGATCTTTAGCTTTGATTTTGGTGACCAAAATCACCACTGGCAGTCTCATGAACGAATGGAGCCACTTGGCGTCTTCTTCAACCTTGACCCAACTGCATCTTTGATGCATCCAAACCAGCCTCTCGTACCCACCGGACATACCCGATTCCGAGCCCTGTCTCAACCACGGCCAAGTACTCGTCGTGAGTCATGAATTTGCAGTCATGCCCCTATTCATACGAGCTTCGATAGTCTGGCAAAGTCCGCTCTGTGTGAAGCCCGAGCAACTCCAGGGCAGCGCTTTGTCGGAACGTTCCCTCGCGTGCGACCCGATCCACCTCCAGGGCATCAACATTAAGTACCGCAACCCTCTCTGCTGAGGCCGTCGGGACCAGCTTCACCGCACCAACACCCCCATGGGTATCTCACGCCTGAGCGCCTCAAAGACGTTCCTAGGTTAGACACGGTTATTTATGGACGCGCATTCACGGCCATTGAAGACCGCGTCCACACTTCCATCTCAGCATTCAGTACTGCAGTACTCAGTCCCTACGCTATTAGATGCTCAATAGCCTTGATTGACCTTTTAATAACTATGACTTGTGCGGACAGGTCGGGTCAATGAACTTTTGTGCCCTGGGCCTTGATCAACACTTGCTGTGAGCAGTTTCACAGTTTATGCCTCAATACGTCTTCCAGTGAGTCAGACAGCAACTTCGAGCGTTCCTTGACAACACCAAGCCCTGACGTGCACGTTCCTTGAGTGAGTCATTTAGGTTTGGATGTCATGTGGCAGATAATTATGCAGGTATGCAGCTTTGCGCGGCGCCGCGGCGGGCACGAGAGTCGCGTACGTGCGCGCCTGCGGGCGGCTCTCAGCCAATCATAGGGGCCGGGCGTCTAATTGATATTGAGCACTGTACCTCGCACACCGTGTGATTGCGCATCAATGACTCGCTCGGTCTCCACCCTCAGCTCCGTCGCCGTCGCATAGAATGGGTGAGATTAGAACAACCAATGCCTATTCAGACATAGCCAGCGCACAGCAGTTGTTTTCAGAGTGTATAAAGAGCAGGCGGAGGGATGGCGAACTTCAGCATCAACCATTTGCTTTGCTATCACCTCACTCGCAGTTCTAAATCTTCACCATGTTCTCCTTCACCGGTGTTGCCATCGCTTCAGCCTTTGTTGCGTCTAGCATGTATGCTGGTAGGGCTTCTCTTCTACAGCACCTTGCTGCAGCGTTGGCTGATTGATTATTACGCAGTGACCGCGTTGCCCTCCGGCTGCGATCGTACTTACGTTGTCCAAGTCAACGACACTTGCGATTCCATCTGTGCTGCGAACAACGTCTCTAGGTAAGACCGTATTGCTACTCACAACACGTACTATAACATTGACAACGATCAAAACAGTTACCAGCTTTCCGCGGTCAACAGCGGCGTCATTGACCCTAACTGCTACGACATCTATCCCGCGGAGGTGAGCAAGAAGCCTCATCTCGCAGAGAAAATATAGACTCAACACTGCTGTGGATGTATTTTTAGACCATCTGCCTCGGCATCACCGGTCAGGACTGCAACGTGACCTACACCATGCAGTCAAGCGATACTTGCGCAACTATCGCTGCGGCTGCCAGCATCTCGCTGAACACCTTCCTCACGAACAACCCGAACGTTAACCCGATCTGCTCCAACATTTACCCGGGCGAGGTATGTACCTGCTCCGTCGGCTGTTTGACGTGAATGGGAGGCTTACGCATAGTTATTGTAGACTTTCTGCACGAGCCCCACGATCTACGTGAACCTGACGAGCTCCGAGTAAAGCACGGGACATATTGCATTCTGGGATGTGTCCATTTCTTTCGGGTAACAAGTGACACTTTAGAAGTTCTGGGTTTGTTTTGGGATGTTGGGGCATAGTTTGCAGATCTTACCGGGCTTTAGGCGGAGAAGTACTAGTTTGGGTTGATTTTCCATTCGTGTACAGATAGTTAGTGTGGTTTGGGATAAAATAATCGAAGTAAAGCTTGTGTTGATCAAGAGTACCGACTTGTGCGCATGAGCAAATAAACGAGTCTATGAGTTTGTACCGCTGCGAGTCCATGCTAGCTGCGTTAAAGAAAAGTCCAGTAAGTGTTATATTAAGAACGTCCTTGTTCGTAATAATGTATGATTTGATCTATCAGATAGTCCTTCACCCTGGCAATTGAGGCTCAAGCGCCAGACCCCGCGAGCTTTGCTTGCGCGTACTTCAACCTAGGCAACGGCATCTTCTGCACTGCCGAGGGTGCACCGTCAAAGCCCATCAACAGCGCGTTCGACGCGAGAGAGCCGCCTTGCTGGTCCTGTGTAACGTTAAGATGGGACGCAGTGACGTTGCGATAGTACGTGTTTCCGCTCGTGTCGTTGTAAGCGAAGGTGTTCTGGTTCGTCACGTTCAGCGAGTTGTACTCGCCCGCTACGGAATTCGAGAGTCAGTACATGATGCACGGAATGGCATGACGACAAGCTGCGTACAGGCTATTTGCCGCTCTTGGATGCTTGAGCCAAGGATGAAAGGGGCCGGGGAGACCTGGCGGTCGTAAGAGTGGTCGATGATAGTGTAGACTAATCGCTGGATTCAGTACAAGCCCAATTCAGCTCGATACAAAGACGTACAGGATCCGGAGGGGTATGTCATGTTAATGGCAAGCGGGTATTGAAAGCTATCCGAAACGATAATCTTCCCATTGTGCGTCGACTGCATAGTCCCCTGGGCATTCTGCAGGATATTCTGCCCTCTCGAAGTCAGAGGGTGCTCAACTTCCATCCACGACTTCCGGGCGTACCTGCGTATTGGCACCATCGAGGTACCACTGCTGATTCTCAAACTCGAAGTTCTGCTCCCAGACCACGCTGGTCGTGTTCCCGCTCCCACTCACAATCGTCGACTCGATCTTCAGCGAGCGCGTCGCGCTCACCGTCACGTTCACGTCCTTCCCGCCGACGCTGCCGTTCGTGTGGGCCACCGCGTACGGCTGTACGTCGTACGCCGTCATGTTGCCCGTCGTAGGTTTGCCCGAGGGATCGGTTACGACCTGCAGCAGACCCGAGACGTACCAGTTCGAGTTGATCTTGTGGTCCGACTCGGCAGAGACGACGTCGAGCGAGACCTTGTGCGGAAGGCCGTCGGCGAAGACAGGTACGAAGGGCGTCAGGTCGAGGAAGTAGGTGGGCAGGTCGAGGGCGCCGTATGAAGTGATAGGTCTGAGAAAATCCGGCCGTCAATAAGCGATTCATAAGTAAGAACCGGTCGCGGACTGACTGCCAAAGTGACGGGTTAATGCCTCCCGTGAAGATCGTGGCGTAGGGCAAGGCGACGCCGGCAACTTTATCATCGACGAGGAGACGAAGCTCCCGGAATGGCCCGTTGCCGTAGGTGGCGTCAGACGAGACGTTCTTCAGATACTTGTTCGCAATGCTTGTGTACTGCGGACCGTCAGTCAAGCGTCAGTGGTAAAGGCAAGCAGGTTGCCTCATAGTACCTACCCAGAACTCCTCATCTCCGTTTCCAGAAGCGTACAGCTCAGCGTAGATTTCCACCGTGTTCTTCGGTAGGGTGACGTTGCGTGAAAATTGAGGGGGTACAGAGGCATCATCTGAAGACTTGTTGCTCATAGTGGAGATTGGCACGATGATGTTGGACTGGCCGGCAGTCGGATATTGGGAACTCGCCGCATAGAAGGTCGCATACACGGTCGCTAATCTTGGAGTGAATAGGTAGGCCAATAAACTGGGGGCAGGAGAATTACCTGCGTACTCCCCGTCATACTGCTGGTTCACGATGTTCTGTATCTCGAACATAAAGGTACCGTTTTCTTTGAAGAGAGGGGTATAGCGGGTGACGTCCTTGGTGTACGTCCAGTAGATACCGCCTGCAGTAGGCTCTGGAGTCGACGTACGCCAGACTATGATTAATGTCACAGTCAATATCTCGTACGCGAGGCTTAACGGCCGATGAACCCCGCTTACTCTCGGTGTTCTGGAACGTGAAGGTGCCGAAGCGGTCATACTGGGTGCCGTTCGAGGTGACTGTGAGGTTAAGCGTTATACCCGCCCACGAATCGATATCACCGCAATCGGTGGGCGGACTGGTGTTCAGCATAAAACATGAGCGCTTATCCAAAATAACATGATCTGACTGACCTATACTGGACCATTGCGGGGCTTTGTAAAGCGCACTATCGTGAGCATGTGATACAAGATGCGGATAACAGAACGCTGACGACTTACTGTCCCCAGGAGCTACCAAACGTATGTCTGAACAGCAAAGAGCAATGCCGAATCCATGAGTTTCAACCTGCACCATTGCAAAGATGGAGGAATACTGACTCGAGTAGCTTTACGCTACATTTATGAGCGTCGGCTGCAGAGACAGGCGCTGGCTCCGCGACCTGGAAATCTTGAATGACATGGCCTGTCGTAAGGCCTGCGAGCGTGGCCAGAGGAAGAAGAACGACAAGTGGAGAAAGCATGAAGAGCGACGACAGTTTGGTGAGATGCGAAAACATGATCACCTCCCCTCCTTTTATACCCTGTTGTCAATCTGAGAGACCTGTACTGTAACGTGTATTCACATGAGTTCGGGCACAGGTCAGTGGATCTTGTTGTGATTTCCCTGTACACGCACTCCAGTTAAAAGCTGTTGACCGAGCGCCCGAGATTCACGCACAGGAGAGTTCGTTCCGCACTGTGATCTGCATCCACTTACCTGATTGTGACTTGTCAAAGTAAAGTTTCTCTTAAATACCCGCCTCTCACTCGCCATGCTCAGACGTCTGGGAACTGGATTGAGCTTTCTTGCAAGTCCTCAGAGTTGAGATTTAGGAGAAGAAAAAGAGATTAGGAGTAGCCATCCCTGAATTCTCATTGTTGACCGACTGATCCGTGACTTACTCCACATGCCCACTGCCACTAGTATGGGCGATGCAGGACTTGGGAGGTAGTTAATGTCAGGTTTGGATAGACATTGTTTGACGTGAACGTTGGCACGCACCGCTTGAATACATTGCCACTTCGATGAAGAGTCAGAGCAACCACTGAGTTAAGGTCGTCGCGCCAGTGGACGCGTCTCGGCTAAGAGAGGAGAAGACGACCTTGCCGTATATGGAGCGCGTCGGGCGGGAGTTGCCGAGGATAGAGGGCCTGTCCAATTTTTTGGGAAGTAACTTGGTGAAGTACCTGGGACTTGTGCGCATTCGACTGAGCAGCCCCAATGAGCCGTGTGCATGGACGACGAGTGTACAGCAGCGCGGCGACCGCAACAAAACTCGCCATCGCCGCCTCGCACGTGAAGAACTTTCCCCCAAAGGAGGCCATCGTCCCCATCGCACAACCGCGCTCAAAGTCGGCGCGCTCGAGCAAGTCCCCGCGCATTCCAAACACGAACGCCGCCTTCCCCGGCTCCTTCTTCAACGCAGCGGAATGGGCTTCTCTCCAGCCACCGCCGTCCACCGCCGTCTCCGCTTTTGCGCACAGAACCGGTCTCGCCGACATTCTCCCCGCCGACACGCTCGAGACCACACTCCGCACGGCCTGCACCCACTCCTCCTTCCTCAGCCTCCATAGCAGGTACTACCCCACCAGCCCAGCACCGGTCCACAATGCGAACCTCTCTACCCTTGGGAACACACTCCTGGGTCTCTTCGCGAGCGAGTACATACACGCGAGCTACCCCCACCTCCCCCTTCGCGTTCTGAAGGCCTCAGTCAGCGCATATGTCGGCCCGCTGACCTGTGCAAGCATAGCACAGGAGATGGGTGCCGTTTCTCTCCTCCGGTGGTATCGACGGGTGAGCCCCGTTTTTCATTTTCCATAGTATACGTGTTCACGTGCGCCCTATGCTCGTCCAACTCCCATCCAAAAAACCAGTCAAACACGCCAAATGCACCTGCCTTGCTCCATTCCGACGCGCTTGCATCTATTCCAAGAGCACTGGTCGCCCTCATTTTCACCCATGGCTCAATAGACGCCGCCCGCAAGTTTGCACACTCGTTCTTCCTCTCGCGTGAGGTCGACCTACGCGCCATGATCAAATTCAGAAACCCGAAGCGTGCTCTCCTCGAGACTGTTGACAAGTTTGGACGTGAGCGTCCAAAAAGCAGGTTAGTCATCGTCGTTTCCAACCATCGGCTATTGGCCGGCGCTTACAAACGACCCTGCACAGACTACTGAAAGAAACCGGTCGTTTCTCCCAGTCGCCTGTCTTTGTCGTAGGCATTTACTCGGGTCAGGACAAGCTAGGCGAAGGGTTTGGTAGCTCGCTGAAAATGGCAGAGTATCGCGTATGTGCCTTCTTCCATAAGTTCTACCTGTGCATTTGCTTAGACTCTGTCTCCAGGCGGCAGAAGATTCTCTGCATAGACTCTACCTGACGTGCACGCCTCCGCACCTGCTTTCTCTTCCGTCTTCTACCCTCCCTACCTCCTTCCCCCGCTCGCTCGCTTCTCTTGCATCCAACATATCTGCAGCCTCCTCGCAGCCACCAGCCTCTTCAGAATTGACACCCGACCCCAACGCACCTGTGTTTGCCGAGGAAGACGCGTTCGAGGCCGCATACGTGCCTGGACCGCTAGGCGAGCCCGAGGTCCTCTATGCGAGCGGCGGCAAGAGCGGCGTGGTTATGCCCAAGCGCAAGCCGGACGCGGGCTGGGACGGGGATGTTCTTGAAGACGAGGTATCCAGCCGACGGAGCGCAGAGGACGACGAGTCATAGGGTATTGACACTGTTTACTGCACCATTGCTTGTGCTAGGCTCTGGCAAGATGCATCAGTCCTCTAATCCGCTGTCTGACTTAGACACCATTATAAACGTATATACGCTAGCTAGATCATTACACGAACTGTTAATCGCACTGGTCACTCAATTCGCAGCAGGAAGTCAAGATGAATGTGCGAGCGTTTTGGTGAAAGTTAGCACATTGCAAGTAGGAAATAACATGCCTTCCTAAATGTTATGGCTCCTTCGAGGTTGCATACCTTTTGGCACAGAGCACAGAGCAGACCAATGGGTCGATGTGCAGTCCCATAAATAAAGAAACCTAATAGTGCATATAATAAGGCGAACCGCAGATATTTGCCTTGATAACCGCACATTAACATTAACGTACAACATTCCATATATCACTACCACCATGCACGCCTAGGAGCCCCTCTTCACGTCTCGCAGCGACACCCCGCCTTGTGGACCCGGTGTTGGCGGGAGCAATCGTGGTGCCCCCCGTGGTCTCTGGATGCTCTGAGTTTCGCTCGAATGGGAACCTACGCTCCCTTGCCACGCGGGGTTGTACGACGGCGGGAGCGTCTCGAGACCTTCGTTCAGCGGACCCGAGTCCTCCTCGCGCAGAACGGGCACGGACACCATCCTCCCCTTCCCACGCACGCGCGGGCTCCTGGGCGACGCGGGGGGTACGGGGGACAAGGGGGACGACGGCGCGTACGACGTCGGCCGCTGCGATACCTCGGATGGCGGTGGCGGCGGCGGCGCTCCTCCGCCCCGGCCGTGGATTGGGCTAGCCGCGTCGCCGCCGCCGTGGCTGAATATGGACTGGCTGAATGTGGAACGCGCGCCGTACTCGGACTGCACGGCGCTCGAGGTGTACACCGAGGGTGGGCGTCGGTCGAACTCGAAGGGTTCGCCGTTGGTGTTGCTGCCGCTGGAGCCGTGGGTATAGGATGAGCTGCGGTCGAAGCCCGTGTTGGCGGCGTATTCGGTGAGCTGGTTCGGGTATGTGCGCTCGGTCATGGACACGCTCGAGCTGTAGCCGTGCGCGCTCCGGGGAGGGGACCATGTCGAGCTCGGGCTACGCTGGGGTGGTGGGTATCGTGGTTCGGCAGAGAAGGGGTCAAGGTCCGTGGTGGTCGACGAGCTATCGCCTACTACGTGTGTTGTCGTTTCAGCGGGCTGCATTCGAGAACATATTAACTTGAGATAAAAAGCGAGAAACGCACCGTACGCTGGGTACCTTCCCCGAGACTTCTTGCTTGCACTGAGGCTCATCACAGTGCTCTTCCACCCCTTCCGCGTCTTTGATACATAGACTCCGATACCAATGAGACCTACGAGCGCAGCAATCCCACCGATCGTAGCGCCGACCGTGGTGGCTGTGTCCGAAGAGCCCGACGATGACGACGACGACGTATCTCCGCTGACAAGCGGGCCGTTCGTCGAGGTACCGGAAGTAGGTGAGCTCGGACCAGCGGACACGGAAATGTTTGGGGACACCGTTGGACAGCCTTGAGCAGTGAAGAGCGACGACTTGTTTGATCCCGCGGAAGCCACCGACGCTACGGCCGTATCCATCGTATATACGCTGTCGCATCAAAAGCACGATGACTGACGAAATTCGTGCGAAGCGGTGTCAAGACTCACTAGTACCAGTCACCAGTGACCCAGAACAGCGTGTACAAGAAATTGGGTAGCTTCAAGCCTTTGTTGCACGTCGCGGGCTGTATGCTCCCGGGGAGGGTCTGGTTGACGTTAGGGGTGCACTCTTGAATGCCATTGCTCATGTATATCTCGTAGGCGCCCTTTCCGGCGTCGATCCCATTAGGCGCCTGTGGAGTGCCGAGCTGGCAACTAAAAGAGGCGTCGGTGGCACGGCGACAAAAAAAAAGGGAGACACGAGCCAGTAGGGAAGACGTACTTCATGCACAACATGCTCAATGCCCATGCTACTGAGTTGCAACAACAGTCGGCTGAAGACGTGGTGCGTCAATAGCTAATGCCGAGTTGAATGTTGGAACTAACCTAGCTGATCATCACAATTATCTCCCGGCGTGTTGGGACGAAATGTAGGGACCTCATCTTAGGAGGTGAATCAGATGAGAGTAAGCTACGGAGATGTATAGGAACATACACTGTGGGTTGCATATGGATCGCAACCTCCAGTATGTCATACCTGCATTCAAAAGCCCCTCATGGTCGGCAAAATTTGGTTGATTGAAGGGATGAAACTCGCGTACAAGGTGTTTCTCCAACAAGGTCGTGATACCAATCGGTTGTATTGCTAGCACATGTAACGTTGCCCTGGGCGGCGGCAAATTCGAAAGAGCTGCCGAGGGCAGTGGCGGCGGCGGCGGCAAGGAGTAAGTTTCGCGTTCTTTTCATGATGAGTCGTGTAGAGTAATGAGCGGGGAGAGTTACAGAGAGTAGCAAAAGGTAAGGGAAATGAAGAGGGAAGTATTCCCAGGGACGCGACGGACGGCTTGGAAGGCCTCAAGTTCTCTCGGTGTTGTTACCCCAGTCGGCAGCAGTAGAGCGGAAAAGCAGTCGATCATCTCCTCATCATGATGCGTCAATATCGATCCCTGCAGTGTCCTGTTACGATATTATCTTAGCCCCCGGGCCCAAAGGAGGGCACGAGAACCCACCGACGTCGAGGAGTCTGGCACCCCACCAAAGCATGGCAGTGGGGACCGAACCAGCACATACCTGTTCATACGCAGGAACCCGCCTTGACGACGGTTGGCCACGGGACTACGCGCCGCTCCGCCGCTGCAATCTCCCAGCCAATCAAAGCCGATGCTGCTCTACGGCGCGGACGGCACGGCTACCACGTGCGAACATCTGGTGTCAGCGTCTTTCTATTTCCTTCAATCGCCCCTCACCTTGACAGCGTTTTGACAACACCTTGCATCCAGGAGCACCAGCACAAGCATGTACCCACATTTTGGCCAGTTTCATTCAAGTTGGTTTTCATTCATATACGTGGGGATGCATCCAAAACCCCACTTGCCTGTGGCTGGCTCAAAGCCAAAGGCACTCAAGGAAAAGGGCCGTCACTGGGCATGATGCATGATGATCAAACGAATTACAAGCAAACAGCAAGTCATCGTTGATATTCTCACGCTCAAAGGATGGTAGTCTCCCTTTGGTGGCGCTCGGATGGTTCAGCCAGCTGCGCTTCCAGTTGCGGTTGCACTCATTGCAACGTTATGGTGATATTTACCTTGAGATGATGTCCCCTACGGTGGAAAACCCAGGTATAGCGAGTCTAACATTGTTGGGATCCTCGGAACGATATCGACGTTGCGTTATCGTGTTCGCGTTTTATGCATGTGAACCTGGTCTCGTTATCTCGCTACAAGATTTGCTTCGTTTTGTCTATGTACTATGGTGTGGTGTACGAATAGTACGATTATATAGTGATTACGATGCTGCAACTGGCGCCAGGGAGCGGCACCTGCCAAAAGTACTGTGATGGGATTTTGCCTGTATACGGCAATATTTATGTCTGGGTCCCCTTCGATCTCAGGCGGTGCATAGAAAGCTTGGTCAAACTTCCTGCGCGCGAGGGTGGCAAGTTTTGCGAATCTCTCACCAAGTTAAGATCCCATTAGTTGGTCTTACATGCTATCATTTGGCTAGAGTCACGGCGGAATTGTTCCACTTCACTGGTGGCTTCCTCGAGCATGATGCTCCCGTAGGCTATGCATCGGATATCTTGCTGACCCACATCCATGGATGTGCTTCCATACCCCAGAAGTTTCGTGATGGACAATCGGTGTGTTTGGCTCTCATTTTGCTTTCATTTTGCGTGTGTATTCTTTCCAATCAGCCTGAGTGTGTCATCAAACATGCACTCGGTCCTCTGCTTTAATGTGATTATAGGAATCAGGGTTTCTTCAGCATACTGTAGTACCTGGAGTCCGCGAGAGCATCCTTCTACTGGCCAAACAGAATGGAGCTGACAGCGCCTTCTGAGCTCTGATTCGTCTCAACGCTCACACTTGAAGGGACATCGGTAGGATCCCTCTGGGTACCACCCATATCGAATGAAACTGCACCGTAGGTCTTTCTGGTGCCCAAAACGATTGACGCGAGCTGAAAACCTCTACTTATGATGCTTCGTTAGTTTGGGCACTAGTTGCATCATCGTCACCCAGATCATTGGGGTAGTGTATTGGTTTCATGCGTACCCTCGCTGATCGCGAGATACCCCGTGCCAAAAGGGTCGAAGGACGTCAGTCTTTTAAGCCATTGGCCTAGACGAGTAGGATGGCCGCGTTTTTGGGGCCTGCAGGGAGGATGGGATGCTCGGACTTGGAGACTTGCGTCCCGCGGACCATTCTCCCGCGGGCAGAACGAAGGCTCAGCACGGTTCCGACACGCACAGTGCGGCCATTGTGCGCACCATCACTTTTCTTCTGTGTTCACCTTCATCGCGCGGTCGCTTCGCCGGTCTGCACCTCCAGGCCAACTCCATGCCCCATCTGCTTCGACCATTGAGAAGTAGCCGAGAAGCACAAGGTCTCCCGCCGCGCCATCGGACCGGACCCGACTGGATTATTGCAACTTAAATAGCGTCCCGGTCTCTTCCGGTTGCGGTCACCCTCATTTTTACTGAAAATCCTCACACCTGGGGCTCTCGTTGACGCGCGTTAACAGGCTAAAGAAAGCCCATCGTTGCATTACCATCGACTCCAGGTCTGCAAGCTGATGTGTCTTTTGCGACATGCCCCTTGGAATGAATTGATCGGATGCAGCGTCCGTCGTGACAACTTCTAGGGTGGGGCCTTGAGGACGATACTGTACTTCTGCTGATGGCCCAGTGCCGGGACGACCCTTCATTCCTCAGTCTTCAGATCCAATGCGATGATCACAAACCATATTTTATGACACAGCTTACTTGCGCCCAAGCAACCTCCCTGCGACCCTTAGCCTCAGCGAGACACAGCCCAGAATCAAACCATATGTTCTGTCTATAAGCGATTGATGAGGTCTCGTCGACGCATCTTTCGCGTAGCTCCGCTGTGCTTCTGAAGCCTAATTGGGGCTAGGTTGCTTCATGATTTGCGGTCTGAGCTTTTGGCGTCGAGCTTTCTCTGCTAGATTCCAGCTCTCACGCGCCTTTTTCTCAGTGCAGAAACGCCTCACTCTGAGTAACGTCGTACTGATTCAACCTTCTACGGTCTCTTGCTAGTTGGGTCGGTCCCGCACTCGCCGGGCAGGCGGCAGGTCTGTGATGTCATTGTTGTAGCAAATACCGGCAATACATTAGCGATCACGGTAAGCACCACCTCATGATCTGCAGACATCCTGGTCGCACCTAGTCGCACACGACAAGCCTCGGCCACTGAGTGACCGCCTGGCTCCCTCTGCGCTCAAACGGCCAATCCCGCCGGTTAATCACCATATGACAACGCTAGTGCGTGCGGGACTCCACCGCGGCACAAGGAAGTCAATCATAGATCAACATCACCGAAATATCGGTGGCCCTTCTCTCGGCCTGTCTATGATTCACTCCTCCGTCCGGGGATAGTACTTATACTCCTTCCCATCTTCCCATTCGTTCACCATTCACACTTTTCACATTTTCCCCCGCACCCCCACTTGGGACTTTAGGCCTTCTTCTTCTATTTAATCGGCTTGTAGGCCAGCCGAATTCTACCCCGCTTTCCCCACTGCCCCCACCTAGGCGCACCATGGAGAAGACAGAATCCGACACGAGGATTGAGAGGAAGGAGTCCGACGGTTCACTGGGCTCCGACCCTCAGAAGAAAGCTCTGCGCCAGGCGGGCGAGGGCGAGAAGGTTCATGCCATTGCACGTGCACGCGCTGAGGGCAAAATTGTCCTCACCGAGGATGACTGCTACGAAGCGCTCGGTTATTGTTTCCCGACGTGGAAGAAGTGGACCATTCTCACCGTCATCTTCATCGTGCAGTGTTCAATGGTGGGTGTCTTCGCAAATAAATTTCTCGCATTTTTCGGGTCTAATCTATGATGTATAGAACATTAACACTTCTCTCTACTCAAACAATTTGGAGAACATCCAGGAGAAGTTTGGTGTCAGTGCTCAAGCTGCGCGATGTGGTGCCATGATCTTCCTTATCTTCTATGCCTTCGGTTGCGAGCTTTGGGCGCCCTGGAGTGAAGAGCTCGGACGCAAGCCTGTTTTGCAGATCTCCCTACTCTTCGTCAACATCTGGCAGATTCCTGCTGCGCTCACTCCCACATTCAGCGGCCTGCTCGTCGCTCGCGCACTGGGCGGTCTGAGCTCCGCCGGTGGTTCTGTCACCCTCGGAATGGTCGCCGATTTGTTTGAGGTAAGAATATAAGCCCACCCGCGCGAATAAATTGGGCTAAATTGCATTTTAGCCTGATGACCAGCAGTACGCCGTTGCATACATCGTGCTTTCATCCGTCGGCGGTTCCATTTTGGGTCCTATTGTCGGTGCCTTCACGGAGGCATACCTCGGGTACAAATGGAACTTCTGGATCCAGCTTATGTTCGGCGTCTTCACCCAGATTTGTCACCTATTCCTTGTCCCCGAGACCCGCGCTTCTGTTCTTGTCGACAAGGAGGCTCAGCGTCGCCGTAAGGCCGGAGAGACGAACGTTTACGGTCCCAATGAAGTTACTCCATACAGCGAACGGTTTGCGCTCAAGGAGGTGGTTTCCATCTGGACCCGTCCCTTCCACATGTTCGCGACCGAGCCCATCGTTCTGTTCTTGTCCCTCCTCAGTGGTTTCTCGGACGCCTTGATCTTCATGTTCCTCCAGTCGTACTCTCTCGTATACCAGGGCATATACGGCTTCGGAACCATCGCCACCAACATGGCCTTCCTTCCCATCCTCGTTGGATATATCATCGCCTGGCTTTCGTTCATGCCGTTCATCCGCAAGAACCGCAGGGACCGCGCTGCGAATCCGCACGACGAACGCGTGCAGTACGAATCCCGTCTTTGGTGGCTCCTCTTTACGGCTCCTTGCTTGTGGATCGGCCTCTTCGGCTTCGCGTGGACCACCCTTCCCAACGTCCACTGGATTGCTTCCATGGTTTTCACCGCCATCATTGGTATTGCCAACTACTCTATCTATGTGAGTTTCGATTCATATAACGAAGAAATAACGCAACTGACACTTCGAACAGATGGCCACCATCGACTACATGATTTGCGCTTACGGCCCGTACTCCGCATCCGCAACCGGCGGCAACGGTTTCTCCCGCGACTTCCTGGCTGGTGTTCTCACGCTCCCAGCCACGCCCTTCTTCCAGAACGTGTCGAAGACGCACGCCGTCAACTACGCTTGCACCATCCTCGGGTGCATTGCGTTCCTTGTCACAATCCCCGTCTACATCTTCTACTTCTATGGCGAGTGGTTCCGCAAGCGTTCGCCGTTCGCCTGCTCGCTCGCCGACGCAGCGAAGGAGAACGAGATGCGCCGTGTCGAGTCGATTGCCCAGACTTCTGAGCGCCGGAGGAGCCGGGCATAAAACATCCTCACCTTCCTTTGTCTATACCCTTTCAGCTTAATACCCTCCGAAGCGGCGAGTAACAGTGCAGCAAGTGCATTGGACACGCTCGGGGCAGGTTGTTTATGTTAATAGTCCCATTCTTTCCAGACAGGTGTTAGAAACGGGTACAACACAACAATTGCTTTCGGGTTACATATTTATTTCGCATATAATCGTGTTGTAGACATACAATATGCTCTACTGTAGGGCAGTTCCCCGCTGAGACTGCGGTACCTCGTTAGCCTTGCTTCTCAATGCAACGCGTGCGTTTACTGGAACACTTGGTGCGAACAGATTGAGGGAGGCCAACATTGGGCTAGAAGAGTGCATGGGGTGTTTCCGCTCTACCGGGCCGAATTAGGCCGAGCGCCGAAGAAGACGGAGGCTATTGCAGTTTTGCACGGAGGCTGGGTTGTGCACTTACCGCGACGGTGGGGTCGGTTTTGGCGCCGGGGGAGGCAAACACGTTTCAAACATCGCGCACACTTTGCCGCATCGTCCAACGATCCCATCCATCAGACCTGCACGTTTTGTTCTCGATCGTCTCTGCCTGTTCTTGGCCTGCTCACGATAAATCACGCCTCTGACAACACACACTCCCTGACTCGTTCTAAACAGCAACATCGACATACCCCTGCACGCACCACCGCCAGCTAATTCTTGACAGCTCCCTGCGTACGAACCCGACGAGCTCGCTGTCTGTTAATTCAGTGAACTTTGGTTGGCGATGGCGCCACGAGTCCCCATTGCTCCTCCTGCGCCATATGTGCCGCCTCTCACTCCAGAGTACGACCAGGTATGTCATCTTGACTCCCCTTCGCACACTGAATGTCGATATTGAGGGTACCGCGGACAGGTAGTCGTCCTATACGTCGTAAGTGACAGCACCCGCCGACCTCGCCCGTCTGACGTGTGTCTCACTGCGACGAAACGCAGACCGCTGTATACACCGTCGTGATATTCGGGCTCTGGAATATACCTGGCGCGCGGATATTAATCACCCCCTTGAAACTCTTCACCATTGGCTGGCACGAACTCTGTCACATTGTCGCGGTAAGTTCTGCTCGTCTGTCGAGTTGTTCATCCCACGTCCATGCTACCTACACGTGTAAATCCAACATACACACTGGACTCCTGTGTCGAGTTTTGACAATACTGAATATTAAACTGTGTTCTAGGCTGTCCTTACTGGCGGATCAGTGTACCATGTTACGATAGACCCAAATTTGGGCGGCGCTACTCGTGTGGAGGGCGGCTGGCCAAAGTTTATACTCCCCGCTGGCTATTTTGGCTCAACGCTCTTCGGTGGCGTCTTCATCCTCGGGGGCTTCGACGTCCTCGTCGCGAAGGTCCTCAGCTTTGTGCTCGGCGTTGGCCTCATCATACCTTTAGCCCTTGTGCGAGATAAACTGTACGCCGTTTTCTTTCGCGTGATGTCACGATCAGGCTCTTGACATGATTAATGTACAGGACAATATTGCTGACAGTTCTGTACGAAGGACTTCTGATTGGGTTTTGGTTTATAGGCCATGCGTGAGTGAGATGATACAGGCCTCTAGAAGCTTCCGCTCATGAGGCACCGTTTTAAGTCAAGCTCTACGTTGGTACTGCCTCTTCGTTGGAGTCATGAAGTAAGCGTAGGGATCATGCACAGTGGAGCGCACAACTTATCCTCGCAGCGTCTTCTACGCCATATGGGACTTGACCGATGACAAGTTCTTTCGAAAACAAAATGATTCTGACTGCACGCAGTACTTCATCATGTTTCCCAGGACTGCACCCCAATGTATGTTCTTTTTCTTTCTTTCTCGTCCTTCCGGGCATATTCATCAAATCGTTGCAGTCTGGGCGATTGCCTGGATTGTCTTCGAGGCTGGCGTGTGCATCAGTTTCCTGTTTCTTGGTCTTGCCAAGTTCAAGGTAAAACACCGTTAATCCAAAAGGGGTCGATGGTTGACTGTTCACTAGTTATCGCCTGAGGCTATGAATGAGCAAGCTGGCGAGTGAAACCATACAACGATGGTACTAGTGCTAACGTCCTTTTTAGCCAGCTTTTTGCCAACATGAGCGATTGGAATCAACTATTTATACAACATTCAGGCTGGACCTTGCTATGGATTATAACTTGAGGAATAAACAGTCGTCGTGATATTGCATTCTGTAACGAACTCTTGCTGTCAAGTACACTAACTTTCACTTGCAACGTGAAGGCTTTATTGCATCACAATTATAACACTCAGGAATATTCAGAGATTCAAATGATCAGACACACTACATACTGATATTTGAATACGGCTTTCCAAGAAATCTTCCCACTTAATGTTCCCGAGGACTGTTCAGGGCCCCATTCCCGTTGGAAGGTGTATTGTGCGAGGTGATATTTCAGAGGAATAATTCATGGATTATGATAGTGTTTGAAGATGACCCGTGAAAGGACGACGATGCATGGCGGAAGAATGCGGTACGAGAAGTTAGCACAAGTGACAGCTAATCGCGTGTTGCTCGCCGTATGATGCCCGCCACAAGGATTGCACCCAAAGCTGCGGCACCTCCTGCGAGAGCCATGCCAACGTATCCTTCTGGTAAGAGTCAGTAAATGGACGGAGCAGGTATGGGACGGTACACACCTCGCGCCACGCCCTTTTCGATGAGTGAACCCAACGACTGTGCCTGCAGGTTATGGGGTTCCTTCTCCAGGAGAAGGTCTGCGGAGATAACGTGAGCCTTGTTCACAGCAACGGCGGATGACGGAACTCTCACCATTGAACTTGCGGGCATCCTGGTAATTGCCCAGCTTATAGTATCCTAATGAGAGATAGTAGAGACATTCTCTTCGCCGCGTTGGCTCTGCACGGTATATCTCTTAAGGACAGCAAGGAAGACAAGGTGAAGGTCAGCCTCCCCGTAATTGGAAGGAACCATACGAAACGCCTCGGTATGGCACGCACCCTGCAATAGCCGTACGCCCTCAACCTGGAGATCACGTAGTGGGCTCTTCACGAGGCCCCATGCATAGTTGAACTTGGTCTGGACTGTAACGTGCGATTGGGCGACTTCTTTCTGGTATTGCAGGCGGAGCACCTAGAAAGCACGCATATGAACTCGGCTACCGAAGCTGCGAGCGAATAGGAGCAAACCTCTAGCTCGTCGTAAGAGAGAGACACCTCGGCGTCTGCAGCGTAAGGGAGTTCGGTAGGCATGGCGAAGAGGGACAAGGGGGTTGTTAAGATATAACTCTGGCAGCTGCAGGGCGGCACTTGCAGTACTTGCTCAGTATCGCGCGCACGCAGTCACTTAGGCCGAGAGGGTGCCAGAGGGTCGGAGGAGCTGACGTAATATTTTTCCACAGCCTCAGCGCAGCCTTCATGCAACTTTCCGCGTCTAACAGTTGGAGCAGACGCATTCACCCAACCACTCAACCACCCAAACCTACACTCAGAGGTTGTACGGCAAGCACGATGGCAGACATGGCAGGTAAGCATAGCTTGATTTTATCTGCTTCGTGACTTTTACGTTTGGCCTTCCAAGGCAATTCGTACTCGTCCAGAGATGGCAGAGGTACTCGTCGTTCTCTCCCTCTCCCCCACTTCCCGTCAGAGACAATAAACTCATGGTGCACTCCTCTTTCTCCCGCACCATGCTGTTTTTATAGCTAGCTAGCAGTCTAACTATGGTTACGCGAGACACCGATGCCATCGCCACCTTGCACTGACGGAGTCGTGTCGCAGCTCTGACAACTTATACTCACATCCCTGGTTTTTTTCTGCTTTTCACTTTTAGACCGCGGACACAGAGAAGAACGCGAACATCGAAGGCGTGACGATGGATACCGTGAACGTGACCATCCCGGTCACAGAGAGTTCAGGGAGCGTGGCGACAGGGATAGGGAAAGAGATGCCTTCAGGGACAGGGACCGGGACAGAGAACGCTACGGCAGGAGAGATGAGAGACGGGAACGTGACCACGGCGGCGGCCGAGGAGGGCACCACGAAGACCACGGTCGGCGCGGGTTCGAAGATGACAGGCGCCCACCCCGCGAGGACGGCGGCGGACGGTTTGCCGGTCGGGGCCGCCGCGATGAGGGCGGTTCCCCGCGACGAGGCGGTGGACGTGGCAGGAGGGACGGCCCTGGTACACCCGAGCGGAGGTCACCCACTCCCGAGGGCATTGCTCCCCTTTTCCAGAGGAAGCGCAAGGCCTCTGGTTGGGATGTCCATGCTCCAGGGTACGAACAGTACAGTGCCATGCAGGCTAAACAGACAGGTACTTTTACTAATATCTCGACTGCGTGGGTCTAATATCTCACCACGTCCGCAGGTCTTTTCAACCTCCCGGGCGCTAACCGCACGCAGGTGCCACCCATCCTCGGCATTGCCGGATTGCCTCCCCCTATTCCTGTGCAAACCTTTGGAATGGGTATTGGCAGCAACCCTAACCTCTCAAGGCAATCACGTCGCCTTTACATCGGCAGCATCACTCCAGATGTCAATGAACAGAACCTTGCCGACTTCTTTAACGGCAAGATGATCGAAATGAGCATTGGAACGGGCGGCCCTGGAAACCCCGTTCTTGCGGTTCAGTGCAACTACGAAAAGAACTACGCATTTGTTGAGGTGAGTTACCTTTCTCCTTGTCAGTGATAATCTTATCAATATTTTTTCTTCAGTTCCGCAGTGCTGAAGATGCCACTGCTGCTATGGCTTTCGATGGTATTATTTTCATCAATGGTCCACTCAAAATTCGCAGACCCAAGGACTATGGTGGTGATGCCATTATGGCTCCTAACTTCCACGTACCTGGTGTCGTCTCGACCAACGTCCCAGACTCCATCCACAAGATTTTCGTCGGCGGACTTCCCCCTTATCTAAACGAAGAACAGGTCATGGAGTTATTGAAGAGTTTTGGCGAGCTCAAGGCCTTCAATCTTGTCCGAGAAAACGGAAATGGCCCTTCCAAGGTGATTCATACTTTGGAATGCCTTCTGACCAGATATTAACAAGAGCATCTAGGGTTTCGCCTTCTTCGAGTATGTTGACAGCTCGGTCACTGACGTTGCTATTCAAAGCTTGAACGGCATGGAACTTGGAGACCGCTACCTGGTTGTTCAGCGGGCGTCTGTTGGCGCGAAGCCCGGAACTCCAGGCATGATCCCCAACTTGCCCTACGATCAGTTCCCTGAAATTCCTCGCCCTATCATGCCCGCCGGCGATGGGAGCACCGAGGATGCACGTATCTTGCTTATGCTTAACATGGTAACTGTCGACGACCTGCAAGATGACGACGAGTACGGCGACATCTACGAGGATGTCAAAGAGGAATGCTCCAAGCACGGCGCAGTCGAAGACTTGCGCATTCCGCGCCCGATCAAGAAGGACAAGTCCAAGTGGGGGGATGCTGGACAGCAATCGCAGACTGACGCTGCGCGCGCTGACGAGGCTGCCGGTGTTGGGAGGGTGTATGTCAAGTTTGTAGATGGCGACGGGGCGCAAAGAGCGATGAAGTCACTCGCTGGACGTTCGTTTGCTGGACGGTCAATCATTGCCACGGTCCTCAGCGAGGACAGCCAGACCACGCCGCCTCTCAATCTCATCTTCGCACCTCAGCCTGAGGCACCGCCGCCGCTTCCTATTGAGAACTAGCCTAGTACAAGGCCGCTGTAATGATGTCTCCGATATAGTTCTGTTCGATTTATCTTGCCCATGCGTGCATATATGCTGCGTCCGCTAGCGCCTATTAGCTAAGTTACTTAGTGTGCATGCTGGGTTGAATGAACGAATTGCAACGGTGTCTCATCCCGAATAAAATCTGTCGGGCCTAAGAATGGGGGAAGTAGACATGTCATACCATCCATTGTAACTCGGAAATTTGCGAGTATGGTAAGAACATTGTTTATATGGGTACATCGCGACCTGACCTTCGATCTGTCCTCTTCTTCTCGAGCTGAAGGCAAATGAGCGAGATGAACAAGACAAGCTATGCAACCTAGCACACACCCATGTCTTCTTGCAGTCTCTGTATGCTTGGAAGAAGTCCAAGCACTTGTCGCGGTCATAATTGTTTTTGTCCATGCATTTCATCGAGGCCTTGGCCGCACCTTCACAAGGACTGCCCACGTTAGTTGAGGTTACCACCTCGTTGAGTGCCGGTGGAAATACTGCAAAAGATTGGCCTACGCACTCAGTATGCTTCGTGTATGTCTCTCGTTTCTGGGTAATGGAAACATGTCAAACTCCAAAGTACAAGGACGACGTGAGACTAACGGAGAACTTCTTGTGATAATCTTCGGGTTGGACATTGTCCACCGGCAATGGAAGCTCTTTGCTTGACATGACGGCGGAAGAGGAGGATCTCCTTAGTCCGGCTCGCACGACCTCGCGAACTACGCCGACGTCACTGTTCCGTCGCGGTACCGCGGGCTTGGAGCGGCCCGCCGTCCGCGGTTTTGTATTCATTACTTAGCCCGACACATGGAAGTCGACCAATGGATGAGAACAGCGGCACAATTATACTACAACAATAGGGCCAAAACGTATCTAATGAACGAGTACTACAGGAAGAACGTCCGTCTGGTAGTTTCCAGCTCGGGCTGAGAATGATAATCAGCACAAGGTAGTTTACAGTCCAATGTCGCCGCCTCACCTTCCACATCCACAGATAGTCGTTTTCTTTTGGCGGTTGTATGGGTTGGGAGGGCTGCGCTGTGGACTCGTGGGGAGTGTGTTCTTCAGCCTCATCAACCTCATCGTTTTGTGCATCTTCGGGCTTTTCCTCGTCCTTGTCTTCTGCCTGCTCATCCTCATTCACGTGTTCCGCTTGCTCATCCTCGTCTGTAGCTGGCGCTGTATCGATCTGCAGTGATGCTGGCGACGCGCCAAAGTTCATAACAGCCGGAAGCCCGTTCTTGAGCCAACGAAGTTTCAGCGTGAACCGGGGGCCAATTTCCTGCAGCGCGACCTTTTCCGTGGAGCGGAAGGCATATCTAGGCCAACTCAGCAAGCGACCACAGACTATCGTCAGATACTAACCGGTGTCTTCGGAAGAATAAGAAATCACGCTGATTATGGAGCGTTACAACTTGTCTTCCTTGAAACTCTGGTAGTGGAGGGAAGAGTGTCTGGAACATGCGTCCGACGGCATGTCCAAGGCTGGTGGAGAAGTTGTTTAAAACCAGCTCTGGGTTGTGTGGAGTGGCTCGGGCATGGCCCTAATCCAAACGTTAGGCAGCAAAGATGGTGTCATGAGATGAAAACGCACATAGATCTGTTTCGTGAGCTCAACAGATGTAAGCTTGAAATATGCCATGGGACCATTAGGCAGGTATATGAGGGTTATAGCATCTATGAAGGGTCAGTCCCGTCATGTATCAAGTGAAAGCAACACCCACTCGGTTTTTTCATGTCTTCGTTAACGACCACCATATGCTTGTATCCTCGCCCTGCAGCCCAACCCGCTATTCTGCCCACTTCGAAACCTTTTCCCTTTTTTCGTCTGATGTACTCAGCCCCGGGGAAGATCCCAACGAGCTCGTCACAGAATTCATGGGTTCCCTTGGATACTTTTGGAGAGGTCGTAATCAACACTTTTGGCGGAACCGTCGGATCGACGTCCGTGAAGGTGAAATATTCGGCGAAGGGATCAGATGCTATATCCGAAGAGAATTCATGGGACAAGGGGCCATCCGTGCTAACGACTGTAGATGGATCATGTTCACGAGTATTGTCTAGAGTGCGAGGGACATTCTCCAGCAAACGTCTCTGTTCTTCGATTAGATATGACATGCCTAAAGTTTCGCAGGGGTGCACACACCTTCTTTGCGGCTGGGTTTGTAGACTCGAGCTTGGCCTGCTCTAGTCGTTTTTGGAGTTTCTGCTGGTTCTTAGCCTTTTTCTGTTTGTTGGTTACTTCCTCTCTTTTGATTTTGTTCTTGATCTGAGACGGCTGGAAACGAGCGGGAGGCATTTTGGTGAGCCGGAGGAAAGTGATTTCTGAAGAGATCCGGTCCAGAAATAGTAGACGCGCTTTCGGAAATTCACACTCTGACCTTGACCTCGACACGTCTGGGCTGTTGCCCATAATGCTTTCCTTTCAACCCCGCGCTTTGTTCCTTTCTCTTTTACTCTTCCTAACTGCTGCAAACGCCCTTCACTTCTACTTGGACGCCAACGAGAAGAAATGCTTCATTGAGGAGTTGCCGACTGACACCGTTGTTGAGGGTACGCTTCTTTACGCGTGTGCACCCATTGTGTTTTAACGAGTCGGCTTTAGCTCACTACAGGGCACTCGAATGGTCGGACAAGACTCAGTCATACGGAATCAATGATGAACTTGGTATCACCGTTGACGTCGAGGTTCGTTGTTTAGTCGGTTTTGTGTACAGCTACACTCATTGCTGCACCAGGAACTTGACACCAATCATGTCGTCACCAAAACCAGGGGACCAAGCGACGGTCGCTTCACCTTCACGTCCCACGTTGCAGGCGACCACTTGATCTGCATTTCTACCAACTACACGTCATGGTTTTCGAGCACCCACATCCGCTTCTACCTGGATATCGCCGTCGGAACGACCAAGGGCGACTACGAGAAGGATCGGTCTCACATTGCGACGCTCGCAAACAAGATTCGAGACCTTAACATAAAACTGGAGGAGGTCAGGCGCGAGCAGCAGTACCAGCGGGAGAGAGAAGCATCATTCAGAGACCTAAGCGAGGCGACGAACTCCAAGGCTGTCTGGTACAGTATCGTCCAGATTGGTGTTCTCATCCTCACTTGTACGTGGCAATTACGACACCTAAGAGTGAGTGTTTTTAACCATTACAAACATGAGATAACTGCTGATAAGCGTGTAGCGATTCTTCTCAGACAGGAAGCTCCAGTAGTGGAAGCTATCCTCAGTCTGTCGAATCATGTACTTGGAACTTAATTGAAGAATGGACGTAATATGGATCTCCATAACGGTGGAATTGTGTCACGGTGGTGCTCTTGAGCTTGAAGTTTGACCTCTTGAGGTTTCCTCCTTCCGTAAGGAACGTTGGGAGTTTGGCCGCTTCAGTTTTTTATGGCGTGACTTACAGCTGTGCCATGATTGAAACATTGAGTGTCCACACTCAACATGTGAGGCCTATAGGCTAAAGTGGTTAACTTGAATATTTGTCGGACTACTTGCACGTTCTGTGAATACTGTACAGGCTTTCCTAATAGGCTCAACCCCTAAGTTATGAGATGGCTGACCACAAGCTGACCGATCAATCTGACGTTGCAGACGATCCCGTTCATCCTCCGTCCAACTTGCTCTACATACTTTTCCTTCATCCTGTGGCCCTGCCAGGAATGATTGTCACCCAACGGGCAGCACAAGCTACTGATCCCCTCTCAGTTCCTTCGAATGCACCTGAACATTGTCCAGTACGTACATGTCATGCTCTCCCTTACCACTTGAAAGACACTTACCGTTATTTGGCCTCAGGGAACCGAATCTGAGCAAGCCGGAAAGGCAGACGCTTGCAATGGATGTGCAAACCAAGAGATATGTGCCTCCAACACGCCCAAGGGACCCGACCCTGCTCTCCCGTTCATCCGCGCTCGCATGGCCTCCGTGAAGCGCAAGCTTCTCGTCCTCTCAGGCAAGGGCGGCGTCGGCAAGAGTACCTTCACCGCCCAGCTCGGCTGGGCCTTTGCTGCCGACGATAGCACGCAGACCGGCGTCATGGACGTCGACATTTCAGGCCCGTCTATTCCGACCATCCTCGGTATCGCCGCTGAGCAGGTCCACTCTTCTGCCCAGGGCTGGTCACCCGTATACGTGCAGGACAACCTCGGCGTCATGTCTGTCGGGTTTATGCTTCCTTCGTCCAAGGACGCAGTCATGTGGCGTGGACCGAAAAAGAATGGACTGATCGCTCAGTTCCTCAAGGACGTCGACTGGGGCGAACTCGACTACCTCGTCATCGATACCCCACCTGGCACATCCGACGAACATCTAAGCGTTGTTCAATACCTCAAAGAGAGCGGGATCGACGGTGCAATTCTCATTACTACGCCTCAAGAGGTGGCTCTGCAGGACGTACGAAGAGAGTTTGACTTCTGTCGCAAGGTTGGAGTGAAAGTGTTGGGTCTGGTGGAGAACATGTCAGGTTTCGTATGTCCAAGTTGTAAAGGCGAGAGTCAGATCTTCAAGCCCAGTACTGGTGGTGCGGAGAGGCTAGCGAAGGAGCTGTCAATACCACTACTAGGCAAAGTCCCTCTCGACCCTCGAATAGGTAAGAGTGCCGACTACGGCGTAAGCTTTTTGGATGAATATCCGGAAAGCCCTGCGAGTATTGCATACATAGACATAATAGAGAGTGCGTTCATCACTTCATTTCGTCTATGGATGGTGTGCTGATATAAACGCGTCCATCTAGAGATCAGAGAAGCACTCGGCGACGCTTAGCCATCAATGGTTCATCTATGATCTGTATTATGGTTGACTATGTATCCACTAGATTCTAGCCGGGGCGATGATGATAACATGTCGTGCTCGTGTACTGATGTCTAAATGAACTGCATGCAAGAATACGATCAGCCAGCATAAGGCCAGCGTTGAGATGGCAAGAAAACATGGGCATGACAATTATGGTCCTGGTTTAGGTATGGGAATGGGTATTTGATCACTGTTCGTCCTCTCCACCGAATTCGGGGACCTCGCTAACGGATACCTCAGCGTCCGATGCAGGCTCCGTGATGTACTTACCGATCGGTGCATATCCCTCGAGTCCGCCGGGTAGTCCTTCTCGGCTCTCGTGGATTGATACCGTCGATAGGGTACGTAGTAGATTTCGGATCGACGCATCGCCAATTATTGTCGAGGAGGCTCGAGAACGTGCAGGTACCACATAGCCTTCTGTCTGGGTTGGGAACATGATGGCATTAGTACTAGGTGGTGGAAGTCCGTCCACGGATGAAAGCGGGCGATGGTTGGTGAAAGGTGACTGGAATGAGGACATTGAGTTTTGCCGGCTGGGCAGGATGATGCTTGTCCGTCTGGAATATGTCACAACTGGATCTGTCGGTGCTACCGAGACTGGCCGTTCTCCGAAGCACGAAAACGTAGTGGTTTCCGGTGAAATGGTTCTTTCCCTTGCGTGCGTCATTTCTTCGCGGGATGGGAAAGGTTCTGTTGCCTTCTGCTCTGGTGAAGACCCTACCTTCATCTTCTCGGGTTGCTCGTCTTCCGTGGAGGGAAGAATGGATGGCTTAGGAGTGACGGTGTCATCAACTTCCGTTGTTTCCACGGCCTCTACCTTGAGCCCTCTGACCTCTGCCCTGTAGTCTTCGATCTCATTCCAGAGTGCTTCACGGAACTCCTGCAGCGTCTCGAGTTGCTCGATTTGTCGCCACTTATCAAACACTGCATGACAATCCGGTTCGTCGCCCTCGTCATGGTAAGATGCCAGCCATGGATGTTGCAGAGCCTCAGTGACCGAGATTCGGGTGGCTGGATCAAACGATAGCATCTTCGTCAAGAGATCGAGCGCTGGATCAACCAATGGTAAGTGAAATCCAGGAATGCAGGGCGTGAGCATAGATCATAATTCACCTTGAGCATCAGCACTAGGTATTATTTTCCGCAGAGGTACCTTCCTCTTAACTGGCAATGACCGAACGTAGGCTACAGCCTAGCATAAATGTTAATAATCCGGCGAGTAGGTTATCAACTAGTTCTCGGACCAACCTTCTCACTCTTGACCTGAGCGTATATACTCTCGTCGGGGGTGCCTGGGCAACGGGGTCAGGATATAATGTAAATGACTGGCAAATCTGATCTCACCAAGAACCTCAAGGATCTTGTTCAACTGATCAACTGAAGAGGGATTGACAGTAATTATCAGTGGTCCTTCTCAGACATTGGGACTATGCTAACCATAACTTGGTTGATATGAGTCTCAAGACAAAATGGAGACTAGCTTACTTACTCTTTGCCCTTGAAGAGCGGTCTTCCGAGAAGCAACTCGGCAAAAATACACCCTATTGACCAAACGTCGACTGTATATACTGTGAGAATGCAAAGCACATAAGCTTTGCACCAGTTACTCACTCGCGGTCGTGTAGTTCCTGGGGGAAGGGAACGATTTAGAACGTCACGTGCCCAATTCCGATGTGACGCACTTAAATGCCAACATGATCTCTGGAGCTCGGTACCATCGGGTTGCAACGTATTCCGTCAGATTACCCACTTGTTCGTCAGCATTGGCTTCAAAGCCCCTACTTAGGCCGAAATCACAAATCTTCAGCTCGCAGTCAGAGTTGACAAGGAGATTCCCCGGTTTGAGGTCGCGGTGAATCACATTCGCGGAATGAATATATTTGACGCCTAGTAGGCGCTGTTAGGTTGTCTTGCATCTGGCATCTTTGCATATGGCTTGCCTCGAAGCACCTGATACAGGAAGTATTGGACGTGCTCGTTGGAGAGATGTTGACCAGATTTGATGATTTGGTGTAAGTCAGCTACGAAAGACGTTTGATTTGAAATGAAAGCAGAGTGAAATAGGTCTGATGCATACCTTCCATGGGCTGCATGTGTATGTTAGCCGCAGAATTTAGCATGTTTGAAATATGAACAACTGTATTACCTCCATGAATATGTATCTGTACGTTCGAAGAACATCTGAGCTCATTATACTGATGCTACGGGGCCCAAAATAAAACGTACATCTCCTGAAAGTCCGGCGAGATTGCATCGACGTCGATCATCCCAGTGATGTTCTCGTGGTTGGCGAAATGGCGGAGGAGAGTGATTTCGCGCAGAGCCCGCTTAGCGAGCTGAACACGCTCAAAGATACGCGTAACGAGCTTGATAGCGACCGTCTCGCCCGAGATCTCGTCCGCTGCTGAGCTGCACCCGCGGGTCAATATATGCTCCGGGTGTCTGGAAGAGTGGTGACAAGATGTCACTCACACCACGTAGCCGTAAGCACCTGAACCCATCTCTCGTACAAGTTTCCAGCGTTTCTCGACATAGAAAACCTTTCCAAACGAGGACATGAAAGAATGGTAGCCACTGCGGTTTATTAACTGACAGTGCTGAGAGCACGGGCAACAACGACAACGACAAACCTCTTACGCATGTTCTGCTCGGCCATTTGAATAGACGGTCGCCGTGTCCTTGATCGACCGCGATCTACAACCTCGTCTGTGGGAGAAGGAACGGGCGAGGACGACTTCTCCTTATCAGAGTCTGAACTGCCGTAGCGGGGAGCATGTGGCATGGCCGAGCTCAGCGAGTTCGCCAAGAGATCGTCTGGGTCGTCGTACGATACGCTGGCGGTGAATGTTGGGAGCAAGGACGGTGCGAGAGCTGCTGGATTATGTATTGGGTAGGGTCGTCGGCAAACCCGCACAAGCCGAGTTTTATGTAAATCGCATAGCGGATGACGGAATCAAATGGCTTGTCTAGCATCTAACAACGCACTTCTATAATCATTGCTGTGGCAGTGAAAGCCACCCTGTCACGCGAATCCATGATAGCTGGTTAACGTCAACTTGAATACGAATACGAACCTCACGGTTGTACATGCTGAGAAATATACTACTATACACTATGATAAATAGCATGCCGTCCTAAACCTTAAGGCCCGTCAGTCGACTAATCACTCATGCAGGGGCAGCAACCATGGTCGTATCTTGTGTTTGGTTTTGAGCACTATCATCCTCTCCAAATATGTCAAGGAACCCAGCAACCCTGGCCTTATTTCCGGCCTTTTTGGTGACATAGTCACGCAGCCCAGACTTGAGGCTGGGCTGTTTGTCAACTAACTCTCGCAGCTGTTCCTTCGGTAGCTGCAATAATGCTCCGAAGCTAGCAGGAGCGATAGCCTTGGCGCAACGAATAAATCCTTCCCACAGGTGCGGATTTTGCCAGATCTTCTTCGTGATCAAACGCGATAGTAGTGTTGTCGAAACAAATCCAACCAGGGATTTGTAAGTTGTCACCGCTTGAATGACCTGCTCAAAGTTTAGCTCTTCCTGTAATCATTTTCGAGAAACACAACTCTCACGGTTCTCAAAAAGAGTACAGGAAGGACAGGCTCGTCCACAATCTGTTGCATGACGACAGCCAAGATCTCAGAACGGAAAACATCGGTCATGGCGAAACAGATGTTGATAGCTATTAGGAGGGGGTGTCAACCAGTTAACTATTGCGGGTCGGGGTCGATCTTACCTTCGATAGCAGCCTTCAGGCCGATTTCCTTCTCCGACTCATGCAGCAAAACCATCAACTCCGCTGGCGTAAGCAACTCACTCTGCCTGACACGAGGTAAATTCGAGGTGACACTCCCAAATGTTTGAGGTGGTGTGGTAACCACCGAGTTGAACACGGAGCGGACCAGGTTCTTCGGCTCGGCCTCTCCATTGAGAATAGATACGATGCGTGGTAGATATCGTAGGATATCAGACTGTTGGTCCAATCGGGGTCAATTAATGAAGAGTGCGGGCGTTGATAGAAAGCACCAACCTTATCCATTTCCGCAATAATAGGAATAAGAAAGCGTGCATCGAGGTCACGTTCACTAATAAGACCCTTGACCAGTGCCACAAGTTGAGCACTTGGCCTTCCGGACTCCGTGAAGATCGCCAAGACACGAAGCGCCAACGACTCCGAACCAGCGGGACAAGTTCTCATCAGAGTAAGGAGCTTGCCGTTGCTCGATCCGAGCGACTTCACCAACGGCGTAATGAGATTCTGGATAACTTCTTGCGTGCTCGAGTCCATGTGTCCGTATGCCTCAAAGATTCTGCGGGTGCAAAATTAGCAGGTCGCCGGTGTGCATCACGCAGAACTTACTCGTCCAAGAAGTCGGGAACCTTCACGGATAGAGCGAAGAGCAGCTCGACATGTTGCAAAACATGCGCCTTCTGGGCCGGAAGCTCCATCTCCTCCGGCAGATAAGGTGTCTGTTCGATGTCATCTGCGGCCAACTGACCGTCTTCCATGGGTTGATCTTCCGACGCGCCGTTCACATGAGTTTCGCCGCCTTTGCGGTCATCCTTCGCAGGCCGCTTTTGCAGACGCCGCAAAATTCGAAGCGCAAAGCCGCGGACCTTGCCTTCAATGAAGTCATTGCCGGGAATCCACCGCTTCACTGTGTTGATGGCGGCACGTCGAGTCACAGGCTCTAAGGTGCATGTCAGTCAACCTGAATCATCACACGATTAATGGGTTCTACCTGGATGCGTGGTTAGTTCGAGAAGGACTTGCAGTGACTCAGATCTCAGTGATGGCCGCTCTACTACAAATTCACGCAGACTCGTGAAACCGACATGCATCCTAAAAAAATGAATCAACTTCGTCAAGTTGCAAATGAAAATGGCTCACTTATCCGTTTCGACGGATAAGTCTCGCAGTAGCTCGAAAACATCCGGTGGAACGGCAGGGAGGTCCAGTAAAAATCGGGCGAATGCCTTGTCTTTACTATCTGGCCTGCCGTCAGCTTTTGTGTCAAGGATCGTTTGGTACGTTGAGACAATTTGATTTAGCCAGGAGTCATAGTTGGGAGGCTGGAGAATCGTCAGTAGGCTTTTATAACAAGAATGCCGGTACATACCCGGTTCAAATCTCCGTTCCGATTTATCCGGTCATTGTACCACTCTTCGTTCATCCAAAACGTCGCAAGGCGTAACCTACAAAAATATTAGCACAGCAGTATATCAACTATAAAACGTGCTCGCCTTCCTGCGAAGTCTTCCATGATATAGTCACAGAGACTCTGTCGAATCTTATCCTGCCGAGTGTAGTTCGCCGTAATGACATCCTGATCTTGAGGTCGCTTTCCAGCTTCTTCATCACGCCCAGAAGACTCACTATGGGGATGCGACACACGGCTAAACATGCGTATGACGAGAAGCATCCACATGTCGACGGCGGAGGTCTCCATCTTCACCGACGAATCATCCAGGCCGATCTTGAGCTCATCCGCGCCGTCAGATATTCGTGTTATCGACTTTCGCATCAACACTATTCGCTCGTCCTCGGGAAGGTCCGTGGGTGGAGGCAGCCGGAAGTCTTCTAGGGTTAAGCTAATATCCGCTTCCGCGGTTTCCTCAGCCCCTGCGTCTTCGCCCGCGGCCGCTGTACCCAGCTATTGGTCTAGGTCAGCCGCGAGGCAGAACACTGGCGGATAATTAGCGCACCTCTTGGTTTAATTTATCCGGTTCGTACTCCATTTCTTCTTCGTCGATGTCCATTTTCAAGGGATCGACTGGCTCCTGTTTGACTGGCGGAGGGGTGATTTCCGCGGCTTTGCCCTTGTCATGGGCCCGGGGTGCTATTGGTGGAACTGCTGGGACAGGCGTACTCGCAGTCGGCACGGTAGGTGTTCCTTGGCGTTGCCTGTAGGCATTGACAAGGTCCGTCAAAGTTGGCTCTGAGAACGCGGCAAGGTTGGCCACTATGATCTCAATGATAAGTGCAATTGGCAATGTATTGAAATCAAAGCCAGCCAAGAACGCGGCAGAGTTTGAGTTCGAAGTAGATGGCCCGGCTTCCATCCGCACGCGCTTGACGTCTGAAGGTGCTTCTACGCTTGCTGAGGGTGGTCTCTTCTTTGCCGCCTCCGTGGCAGTTGCTGATGCTGCCGCTTTCCTGGCCTTTTCTTCTGCGGATGCTCGCTCCATGCGAGTGCCCTGCACTGAAAGGGCCTCACTGATCTGAGCGCCAAACGCAGAACCATGTGGACCTCTTCAAAAACATGAGCTACATCCCAGACGAATGGGGCGAAGGGAAGCATACCGAGATATGTGAACCAATAATATCCGGATGCCCTTCTCCACGCTCTTGATGGCCGAAGCAGAAAGGCCACTCAAGGTGTTTGGAGTCCATGATGCCAAGGACGATACCACCAGTTGTACGTAGGTGGGGCGGAGTTTGACCAAATTTGACCAACTGTTGAGAATTGCTGAGATGATGTCCGGGTTCCTGGCAGAGCTTAGTGTTCGTGCGGCAATCTCTCAGAGCGCTGACTACTTACGGGCTCGTATAAAGCAGCGTCACCAGTCCTTCAAGGAGCTTGTTAGCTTCCTGTTCCAGCGTTTGCGAGGAAAGTATGGGGTGATCGGCAGGGATTGACGAGATGTTCGGGTCGTCTCTATTCTGAAGCTGTATAGACACAACCAGCTGGTCACGGATTGTGAGCTAGCGATGTACATGACGCTCACCCTCGGGTCTGGATTTCCCCGTGTCTGGAGAAGAATAATCTTCTGCATAAACTTGACGGCAGCTAGCTTTACACCGCTGGGGGTGGTCGGGGACCACACGAACTCCAATATGCGGGACTTGCACTGCAAAACAATATCCCATTCTTGTCGTTGTGAGCGTATGGTAAACCTGTTCCAAGAAGCATGAATACAGGTAAGTTTGACACGCGAGGTGACGCACATCTGGCGGAACACAAGGGGATACACGCCCGTGAGGATGGACACGACGAGCTTCGCGATCCTCGGCGCTGGGTCGTTCAGCATTGCGGCAAGCGTCTGCACGGATGTGGTCGCAACTGTAGAAAAACGAGAGGAACATCATTGGTCTTTAGAACACGGTTGTATAGTCAAGTGCACAAGACTGACGGTTCGTACGCACGTCGAGCGCGAGACTCGAGCGAGATATGCCAAAGTGTAATAGCTCGAGAACCCATCTTTTCAAAAGGGAGTCAGCTGCACCGGACACGGTTCTAACAAGCGTCGAGCAGAGGATGGGTATGGGATTCGGGTGGGCCTCGAGTGACTCGCGCAGCGCGGCTAGGAGGGTGGCCTGCTCGTCCGAGTCTGCAGGCACGTTCAGAGCGGCGGCCAGCATCTGGAGCGGGTCTGCAGTGGCGGCCATTGTACTGAATATGTGCGCTGTCGACGCGCCGTAGAGCTTGGATTGAAAGGAGGAAGTCTGTATCAAGTGTACCAAAGTACTACTTGTTCGCACTTGCCCGCTCCCGGCCAATTGCAAGTATTACCGACCGCGGCATACGTCGGAGTTTTAATCCGCGTTCCTGCCTTTCCAATGGTACGTCGCGCTACTGCTGGGCAGGGGCCCATCGCTCACCGTATTGCACAGGCCGCTCAGCACTCTCAGGGAATCCAAACTTTGCTTGAGGCAGAGAAGGAAGCTGCCAAGGTCGTGCAGCAGGCCCGTCAGTGTAAGATCTTATTTGACAACTTCAGTGACACCGCTACATGGCCAATACCTGTTACTTCCAGATCGTGTTCAGCGTCTCAAGGATGCACGCACGGAGGCTAACAAGGAGATAGAGGAGTATCGCAAGTCCAAGGAGGACGAATTCAAGAATTTTGAATCTTCCGTACGACTCGCTTAGCTCGATCTTCACAATGCATGGCGGTACTGACCATCTCTACAGCACGCGGGCACAACATCCAATGCCCAATCAGCCGTGGATAAAGAGACTGACGCCAAGCTCGAGACTATTACTAATGCCTACGACGAGAACAAAGAGCAGGTAGTCAAGAAGTTGCTTGATCGTGTCGTCCTTGTCAAGCCTGAACTCCATCGCAACCTCAAGAAGGTCGGCGGCGGCGCAGAAGCACAATGATCAACTCTTACCCTTGTACCTACGCGATCATGCATATCCTATCTTGTCTCCCATAATGATAGTGCGGCAATCGTACGCGAGCAAAGTATCATTCGTATTAGAGATACACAACTAGCAAAGACAAGCTAACGCCAAACATGAGCAAGACAGATCAAACGGAATGCAAAGAACGAGCCGAGTCATCAACGGGCAGGCAATAATAAACATAGCACAAAAGCGGGAACTAACTAGCAGAACTAGAGTATTCAATTGGTTCTCTTGACTGAAGATTCGCTCGCCAACCACGGAAGTCCGACCGGCATACCTGCTGAAGAAGTAGTGTTTCGAGAAGAGGACGAATCAGAATAAGGAGAGGTGACAAGAGGAGATCGAGGTGTGTCTCGAGGAGAATGCCGAGGCGGGGCACGATGCTGCGATGAGCCGGCCCAACTATTTGTTGCTGAATGTGTAGTGTCGGAGGTGCTTGGGGCACTCCACGAATCCAAAAGACCGCTAGCTTTGAGAGAAGGCAGAGAAGGCAGTCCCTCCAAGATAGAGGGAATACGAGCCCCTGTGGAAGTCTGGAGAACTGGATCAATATTCGAATCATTGATGAGCTTTCTCAGCTCCTTGTCTCGTGTTTCTGCGTTCCCTGAGCTGCTAACTTTACGATCCAAATCCAACAGACTGGACAGCCGAATCTCTCCACTTGAGCGGCTGGACACAGGCTTCACAGCGCCCGCAGAATCAACCTTCGACTGAGAAGCGGGGTTTGCAAGAGCCTTGTATGTCGGTGGCGAAGGAGGGCAATTGTAAACTGCCGCATGGTGAGGTGGGTGATGGACGGGCGGGAGTAACCTGTAGTCAGGTGCCGGAGTGCACAGGTCCTGGATACGAATGCCCCAATAATGCTCAAACTCTGCTGCCCACGCCCGTACGTGCGGATGCTCTCCGTAGCAATACTTGAATAAGGACTGATAGGGAAGACCAGGTCGTTAGCACGTAAGATTTCTGCTGTTTAATAGTCGCTTACCCAACATGCAATGCCAACTGTCAAAATGCCCAATCAGCATCAGCAGCACCCAGAAGGACTGAGGAAGATTAACTTACGCAGCTGCGAATTCCTTGCTCTTGGTCCAAGGGTCGTCACTATGGATTCTAGCTTCCCATGAGCCCATTGAGGACCTCCTGGTTCAGCAGTTCGACAACGTTGGCGAGCCTAGGCGAGAGCAAATTGCATCCATCATCAGATAACATGGTCGAAGGTGTTTGATGACGTCGCCAACAAGTGGAAGCTGCCCACGCACCTGGTTAAGTCCAATAGCTGCGGTCGCGTGCACCACGTGCATGAAGCAGAAGCACCAAGCCCCCAAACTCGAACCCGTCTCGAACATGGACATTTGGGTTTGTAGATTCTCATCAGTATACCGGAGATGATCGGGAAGAGTCCCTGCCCAGTGCTAGCCGATGGTAATTTTAGCCACGTTGCATGAGAAATCGATCAAGGGATTGACGTACCGTCAAGGAATTCTCCAAATCCAGCAAGATGGCCACAGGCTCAGATCCCGAGTTGGGTGCTAGAATCAAAATGTAACCAATCATGTCAAGTAAGGGCCTTCATGGGTACTTACTGTGGAATTCGTCCATGGCTCGTTCGATTTTTGACCACAAGGAAAGCACCCGGAGAACGTGACCAGTCTCGGAAGCATACGGTGACAGTGGAGATGGACCGCCCATATATTCTGCCGACGTCATGTTAGCAATAGAAGGAATAGACCTCAGCGACAGTCTCTCACCAGGCACTGTCGAATGAACAGAAAGCTCGAAGCTGGTTTCGTCAACAGGCAGGCGGAGATGCAGCTGGCTCTCAGAGGCCTTGATAGGTCGCTTGTAGAGTACTGAAGCCATGAGATCCGAGATGTGGATGTGCCAGAAAACACGTCGCAGGCATTCTTGATTGATGGCGGCATCAATATACTCAGCAGACGGGGCAGAAGTAACAGGAGGACTGCTTGTCTTGAAGATGCTCAGTGTATCAAGAACTTCAATGGCCACTTCTATACCAGATAGCTCAGTAAAGGACTATCAACGAAAGGAGAATGGTACCATAGTAGGTCGCATTCCAAGCGGACTTGGCCATCCTTTCGTGGAACTGCAGCAGAACAAGTGCCTGCGAGACTTCCAAACAAGGCTCGCACTTCAGGTGCATGTTCCCATCAAACAGTATAGAGACCGCTTCCTGAGCAAATTGGTCTCCAACCAGCCGCGGCTGAGCTACCCGGGCAGTGAGGCGGCGTGAGAGGGGTGCGGCAACGGCGCAAACGGAAAACAGCAGATAAGATGGTACCCGCCCATGGCTTAAAGCTGCATAAAACTTGGCCTTGTGAAACATCATTGTTTGGGAGTGACGGTGCGCGAAAAATACTGTAACACAGCGCACGTTAGATTAGTATAAAGTGAGATAATGTATAATAAACGTACGATTCACAAGCTCGCGAGTGAGGGAGGGATCTAACTCTCGAGAGCGGTCCACAACTGAGACAACCGGAAGAGCCAGCGCGTGGGGAAGGTCCTCTGAACCTGAACGGAATCTCTTCCTCAAACCGCCAGTATCATCGTCCAAGGTGGAACGAGATAGTGGGCCTTCTCCGATCCCCGGCAGATGTTGAGCATTCTGAAAGAGGTCAGGGTAAGAAGGATATGATGCCTGCCGGCCATCTGGTGCCGTATCAGATCTATCTTGTTTGAGAAGCCGGGGCGCTGGGACGGGTCGACCGGAAGCATCTGTATACGAGCATTTCTTTGAGGCAAAGTAACTGTATGGACGCGAAGTTAGCGCGAGCACTGAGCACATTACACATGGACAAACCAATTGCTGCACGGTGCTTCGTGGATGAAAGATGTGTCAGCAGACGAGAATTTTGTAAAAACAAACACCTGACTCACCAGTGCCATCACACCGACGTTTACTTTTGTGACAGGCATCGCATGCCTTTAATGGTGGCGTTGATGGGTATTCATTTTGATGGGAGACCGGCACATACCTTGGCAAGCCGCTTGCGTTTGGGACCTTTCATGAAGGCAATAGCGCTCGACTCCGCCTTGTCTTGGGATGCGACGGAATCGGACTGGAAACGGGCGCTGTCTGGTAGAGGTTGACTGGGAGGAGCAAAGGTGATTGGATGCAAGGTAGTGGGGGGCTCGCGGTTGCGCGAGAAGTGGTTCATTATACTGGTGCGTAGGATAGAAGATGGGGGGTATTATGCGATGGGCCGACGGAGTGTGCAGCGGCGGGGTGACGAAATATCAACGATGGGGATGGGCACGTCACAGGGGGGCTGGGCTGGTGGCAACGGAAGACGTTGGCGTGGTGGGTGTGGTGCTGTGAGAGAGGAGGGGGACAGCACAATCGGCGGTGTCGGAAGGAGAGGAGCAGACGGAGGAAAGGGAGAAAGGGAGATGGTCGTGGCGGAGAGTGAAGCTAGCTCGGGGCGAGAGAGAGGGAAGTCGGGTCAGCGAAGAGGGGATCCAGTAATAAAATCTTTTTACGACCATACTATACCATGCCCATATGCATATATCTGTATATATCTGGAGTCGATCTCTCGCTTCTTGTCTATAATTCCTTCCGGTCCAACAGTGCAGCACGCACGGCGCGCGCTACAAAGCTTAAGCTTGTCGACCGCAGCATTTTCTCACAATATCCCTTCGGCTTGGATCTTGGCCCCGGCGGGCGGTCTCTTCCCCACTGTGTCCCCGTGGCAGCGGGCCGCCGGCTTCATCTTCCGCCGCGGCATCCCTCCTCCCTCTGCCCTGTTTGCCCCATGGTCATCGTCACTGTCTCCGTCTCCGTTCTTTTTCGGCCACGGCTCACGGCATCCGCAGCTCCTGACCCTTAGGTCTGCCGTGGTAAAAACAGCGAAAAAAGAAGTCTTCATGTGTCCCAGGCTGTCCCCATCATAACCCCGGCCTCAGTTCGCAATCAGTTCAGCTTTGCCCCCCGTCAATGGTAATATACGGTAATGTCATCTTTACGTATGTGCCGTCGGCAACGGCCCACTGTGATAAATCACGCCGCCGGGTTACTATTTCAGTGATTCGGAAATTGAAACCCATCCAGTAACCGTCTGCATCGCCCCGACAACGTTCCTGGCTCTCCCTCTCTTGAGTCTCTTCGTCGCCATCTTCCGCGCAACCGAACTCCTTCCGGTTTCCAGAAGACCTTGTGCTTGAAAGTATTAATAGCACACTCATTAGGCCACTTTGTTTCGCGATCTTTTCGTCTCCAACTGATGCTGGCGGCCAAACATAGCGATACATTATCACGAAATGCCATGGCGTTCCTAACGTAGAAATAGCTACACAATTGCTTAATCGAACAGACCGAAGCCCATATCGTCGTCGGATTCTTCCTGCAAACGTGTACTTGCTTGTCAAAAGATGAAGTCTGAAAGTGGACCAAACCCCTACGAACCTTTTCTTCTTCCTTCTTTTCCTCCTTCTTCTCCTCGGCAGCAGCAGGCGCACCGGCAGCGGCAGCACCGCCCGAAGCAACAGCAATAGCACCGCCCGAAGGGACCTGAGTTACAAAGTCTATTCAGTGACATGATTCTAAGCCATCATATGGCGCACTTACGGATGCCAGCTTAGAGGAGCCCTCAGAGATAAGCTATCCAGAAAATTCATCAGCTTCTCATCTACTCCACAGTGTGTGGACCATCCGGAAGTGGACTTACAGCAGCGACATCCTTGCCCTCAAGCTCAGAGATGAGCTTGTCGAGGCGCTCGTCGTCTGCCTCAATACCAACGGCGCCAAGAACCTTCTTGACGTCAGCGGCAGAGGGAGAGGCGTTGCCGCCGACTTGAAGGAGGAGGTAAGCAGCGATATGACGCATCTGCAGAAAGGTCTGAGTCAATGGATATAGCAAAGTTAAGGGGGAGTTGGCGAACTTTTAGATTTTAATTGGAGTCGTAAGGTGGAAGGGTTCCGGGCAGCCACAAATCACTGTAAGTTGATATGAGCATTTGCGCTCTGCGTTGAAGCCGCGATGCGTTCGATGCGCACGGCCTCATACGCCAACGAAGATACACACCTTTAATCCGCAAGGGAAGACCTGTGGATTCTATCCGATGTGCGTTAGTCGATACAATACCCCTGGAGTGGTGAAAGTGACCGGATGGCAACTGTACAGTTTCACGTGAGCAAGGTTCAGCCACGTTTCCACTTTCGGACTCGCGACGTGGGACAGCCGAATCTCCACCGTATCGCTGTTTACGACAACCGCAAGACCTCAAAACTATGGTACGCATGCTCGGCGTATGGCTTGCATGCTGAATGGGGTGCTGAATACGATCTATGGATAGGCTGACTCTAGCGTTACCGACCCGAATGTTGCCGCCGAGCTCAAGAAGAGGAGAACCTTCCGCACCTTCTCCTACCGCGGTGTTGAGCTTGACAAGCTTCTGGACCTGAGCAACGAAGAGGTATGGTTTCTGCAGTCTTATTAAAGCCAAGTGATGGTCTGATCCCTGTTTTGCATTAGTTTGTCGAAGTATGTCATTCACGTTGATCCCGCACACGCTCGGATTAAACTGATCTCCTTATCTCAGCTCGTCCACGCTCGTGCTCGCAGACGGTTCGGTCGTGGCCTCAAGCGCCGCCCAATGGGCCTCATCAAGAAGCTGCGTAAGGCCAAGAAGGAGGCTCCTCCCAATGAGAAGCCCTCTGTTGTGAAGACGCACCTCCGGGACATGATCATTGTCCCCGAGATGATTGGTAGTGTTGTCGGCATCTACAACGGCAAGGTACGGCTTTCTCTTCATCGAAAATTCCGCTGAGGCTGATTGCCATCCATTCAGGTCTTCAACTCCGTTGAAATCAAGCCTGAGATGACTGGTCACTACCTCGGCGAGTTCTCTTGCTCGTACAAGCCTGTCAAACACGGTCGCCCGGGTGTATGTCTCATGACATCAGCTAACTCTTGCTTTTCTGATCATTGTTCTCCAGATTGGTGCAACCCACTCGTCTCGTTTCATTCCTCTGAAGTAAAGCACTGGATCTGGCATTATTCATTGTTGTTACCTTATGTCATCATCGCTGTTTCTGCTACGTATCAAAATATTATGCAGCATGCTACCATATGCTCATGCTCCATTGGCGACAACTTTGTGCGAACCGACACTAACTGGGCAAGAACTGTTCGCATGAGCGATGCCAAAAAAACGCCATTTCGGAATGATATGCGTTTTTGGATTATTTATGTTTTCTATTCGTGACCATTTTTCTTTGCCATCTTTCTCCTGATGTTTTCAACGTAGCACGACTGATGAACTCGTCGGCGTTTCGTTCTCAGCCGTCACAGGGCCATTCAGAAAGCGCATTTGAGTAAATGCACGGGGTATCATGAGTATACTGCGAAGTTAATTTGTCCATGTCATAATGTGGAAGCGTACGGTAAACTACAGATAGCGCGAAAAATCAGAAGATGCAACGAAAGGAAGGACCAGGATTAGACGGAGGTATAGGCGGGGGTCAGAAAAAAGAACAGGGAGGGCGATTGGTGGTATCGCGGAAGGGCATACTACAGCTCTACAGATCATGGCCGAGGCTGGTGCCCATTGACTGATGGCGGCGCCGAGTGCTCACCACTCAACCGCGCAGGTACGTAAGAGGCCGGCCGTGGAGACGAATTCGAGCTATTCGTATCAGGCCACGGCGGCTGCACGGTCGTCCAGTCACCTTCAATAGGGTGTGGGCTCCGGAGCTGTTGCTGCTGTTGCTGCTGACCATGGATGAACGCAGCGTTCTGCGAGAAGGAGGCGGAGTTGTTTGGCGACGGATAGGACATCGGGGCATGTACGGCCCCAGGGTGAGGGTGAGGCGATTGTTGCCGACCGTTCCGTATCTGAGGTTCACTGGGGGCTGTAACCAGAATCGGCCTATCGGGTTGAGGTGGTAATTTAGGTGACGTTGCGCCGGGAGGGTTCGCAAAACCTGCCGTCGGTGTTCGCCCACTTGCCTTCAGCCGCATGTACGTGTCGCACTTCTTGAGGAAATCCTTGCTTGGCATGTCCATGCTACTAGCGAAGTAGTCCTGGTCGTTTAAGATGGGCAAGAACTCTTCTGGGACAGTGTAAAACTCGTCTTGGTTTTCAAGAAGTGACGTGACCACCCGGATAGCACCAAAACTTTCATCACGAACTGCATCTCTGCCCCTTGCGTACAAGATACTTGGACAGATGACAGTCGCCAAGTTCGGGAGGTCCATCTTACTGCCAGTCGACTCATCCAGATGCGAGAACGAGGCAACCCATTTCAAGAAAACGAAGATTACCTCCATTGTGTCCCGGTGGGCCTTGGGTAATAGAATGGAGACGAGGTGAAGGAGACGTAGGCGTTCTTCTTCCTGCAGAACAACTGAATAACCATGTAAGCATTATCGCGATTGTAGATGTACTCTGCTCACTTTGAGAGGACTGAGAAGCAATCAATAGCCGGTGAAGTTTAAATGTCAGAAGCGGCTCGGGCATCTCTCGCAAAAACTTCTTCAGCAAAGCTGCGAGCTGCACAGGGTTGTCTTGGGATAGATCCACCGATGATGGATCGTGGTCAATGGCATCAGCGAGATCTTTGAGCCTCCGAATGTTGCCGTTTCTCCGGAAGATACCTTCGACTGACATATCTACAACAAAGCTCAGCATCGGGAAGTGGGTTTATCCCAACAATTCGCTTACCCATCTGTCGCATAGCTGAAACAACATCATCAACAAAACTCGGAACCCGCAGCGTGGCACGAGTAGCTCCCAGCAATGAATCAGCTCCCTCCCTCTCCACGAGAAGTTCTAACGGCATGTTGAAGGTACCTAGATCTTATGTCAGACCCACCATCATAGTGGATCCAAATAACTCACCCTTCTTCTTGACGTTCTTCTTGTCACCAGACTTAAACAACTGCTTCCAAAATCCAGGCCGTTTCGTCTCGATTAAATCCAAGATTTCGTCAAGGTCGAACAGATCCTTCAAGGGAGACCTTTGCAACGCAAGTACCGCAGAATATTTGACGATCGCGAGTTCCAGCGCACTCAGCTCGGCGATGTGCGGGATTGTCGACTGCCTTGGCAGTGACCGCTGCTGCTCACGCGCCTGCGCTGCTTCCATTAGCTGTGGAATATCCGCGAGCGTAATACCATCGTCAGCAGCCCGTAATGGCGGGCCTTCCTCGTACTGGCCAGCTGGCGAATTTGGCGCCGACTCTTCCACAATCTTAACCTCTGTGTTACTCCGAGCAAATGATGGTCGAAGCACTTGACCCACTGATGTTGTGTCAAGCATTCCTGGAGAGCGAATTTGTGCCCGCGAGGGCGGCTGCGATGAAGTAGGTGCGGGTCCAACGGCCATCTGCTGTGCATGACGGCCAGGAACAAGTTGACCTGGAACGGCGGCCCGCTGGGGTTGTGGTGCCCGAACTTCTTGAGGAGCGGGAGCGGAACGCTGGACTGCAGCGTCTGTGGGATGGACAGTTCGGCCTGCTGGGCTCTCAATGACCATTGAACGCTTTGGCAAACGCGCTGTGGCGGACAACTTGCGATCAAGGTGTACTGATTTCATACGCATTATATCGCCAGAGTTGCGGTAAGGATCTTCGTCTGCCCTTTGGCTCGTGTTAGTCGCCGTAGACGCGACTGGCACAGTGGTTAGAACACAGACACAAAGTGTGCAATAGGTAGCTTCACTCACCGGGAGATAGCGGCACTACGCCCTGTTGTTTTAGGACAAGATACAATCGCCGGAGCGCAATATTCAGCAAAAACGCATATTGCTCCAACCGCGACACCGCTTGAAATCCGCTTCGGCAGCCTTGATGAGCGTGTTCAGTGCAGAGAATGAGCGTAGGAATCTTGCCGAATGAGGCTGAGTCTGTCATCTTGTCCACATCATACAGATAGTCATCGACAATTGGGGGTTGCTTCCGGCTAGAAGAAGGCTTTGGCACAGACTCTCCCTGCTCCTTCATTTTTTCCTTCTCTTCCGGCGTCAGCTTTGGGGGAGGCGGCTCCTTGACCGCGGCAGGCTTGCCACACGCGCTGCACTGGAGACAGTGTGAGTGCCACCGCTGGTATGTACCAAGACGCGCGCAGTCCTCTTCTACAGCTTGCGTGCACTTAATGCACCGATCCGAAGGTGGGTTGTTGACAGAAAGACGAGGAGGTGATGCTGAAGAGAAAGGGCTCTCGCCAGCGAGTTCTGGCGCAAGGCTCTTATAGCCATATGTAACACCCTGTGTGCCTGAGTTTGAAGTTCTGCCCACACCAACCACCTCTCCGTGCCCGCTTCTGATGATACGCCGGGCGGCCGGGTCACCACCTTGAACGGCCAAAAGATGCAACTTATCGAGGAATGACGGCATCGCATCACGGACGCTTTGCTCACGCTCGAGCTTAAGCGCACCAGTGAGCGCGATACGAATGAGAATCTTCAGGTAGTGGGCAATGCCTGTCACGAGCGCGAGTAGTTCCTGTGTCATCCCCATCCTTCGTGAACCCGTCTCCTGCGTGCGTGATAACAGCGTGAAGAGGTCGACAGTCTTACGACACAGCATTCTGGCCTCTCGGACATGCGACATGCCTTCGTTTGAAATGAGAAGTGTTGTACCGAACGAAAACAAAACCGCTTCACCTTTCAAATTAAGACGGGCCGAATGATACTCGAGATCGTCGATGGTGCCAAAGAGGACTTCAACGTGAAGGATAAACTTCTCGGCCATGCGAATGGCATCCAGATACTGGCCATTGCTGACCTGCCGCAACATATCAGAGATGCATGCAGCACTGGATTCCTCATATGCCGACAATACACTATCGACTACAGGTCAGGCGTGCACATGGCAATCGTGGGGGAAATCACTCACGTCCAGATGCGGTATACCAATTGCTCCATCCTCACTTGCTTATCTTTCAAAGTAACTGCTGTCTCGCGTTTTTCATCCTCCACGTAGGGTGGTTCCACCTCCGCTCCGTCGGGCAAGACGGTACTCTGCCGGCGCGAGACAACTTTGACGTTCCAGAACTAGGTAAGGTCAATACTTACAGAAACGGACGTAGGATGGATTCACAAACCTTGTTGATCATATAACACTCCGGATGCCAGCATTCGTCCCTATTGTTGCGGTTGATCTCAACAAATTGTTTGAGGATTGCACTACTACAACCTGCGCATTTCGTTGCGAAGCGAGTCGAGTAGTGAAAGTGGCAATAGACATCTCCGTCGTGTTCATAATAGGAATCCTGGGGGCCGAAGAGTGTCGAACATAGAGAGCAAGTGAAGTGCTCGACATGATACTTCTTGTCTGATAACAGTCATAAGGGGATGAACCAAACAACACCACAGCTCATAGGACACTCACTGCACGCCGTAATGTAGCTTCCACGCAGTGCTTGCCCACATTTAGCACATATAAGGTTCAAGCGGCGGAAGTAGTCTCTCTCGCAGAGAGGTTGCTGTTTGCCATCGGGGCCATCAATGGGAAAGAACTTGGATGCGACGACTTCTCCACAATCCTTGAATAGTCTTTAGTCAGAATTTCATAGCGCTGACAGGGATAGCGCACCATGCATTTGAAGCACTGAAGGTGAAACATGGTTCCTAGTGCACGAACAAAGGCACCGGTCATAGAGCCACCACATGCCGCACACGTTCTGTGTAAATCATAATTTAGAGCGGTCGTAAAGCAAGATCCCAAGCGCGAGGTGATAAGAATGAAAAACGTAAGATACTCACGAAGAAGCCATGTTGGCTGAGGTGGAGGATGAAACGGAGGTCGCGCCTGCCTTGGTGGGAGAACTCGAGTTGGATGTGTTAGAAATCGATGAGGATTGTGAGGTTGTGCTAGTGCGACGGCCGCGCGGCTCGAACACGGCTCCTGCGATGGAGGCCTGCGGGCTCGAACCTCCAGGGGTAGTAGGCCGACTGCCGGACCTGAACGCGGGAGAAGGCATTGGAAGAGAGCCCGCCATAGTTGCGGGGTCGTACTTGACCATGGTATGGTTCAAGTCCTCGCTGTGAGCATGGGCGGCGAGATCATGTTTTGAGGAAGCATGATTACGGTTGAGATCGTGTGTGGAGCTGACCGTCGACGCTCTCGTTGGGTAGTTGGAGCGCTCAAGAACGCGAGGAGAGGGGACGGCTGGGGCGGATGTAGGTCCTTGCAGGGGGCTGGCGTCGATTTCGAGCTGATCTTTACGAGAATGAGCTGTTTCCAACTCGAAAGCCATGGTATTAACCCCAGAGATCGTAGAGCCGGAGATGGTTGATTGAAGCCAGGTAGAGATCCCTACTGTCCCCGTTCAAATATGTGGCATTCGCAGACACAGGGTTAACCTTTCCGCAACAGAGCGAGCAGAGGATAATCGTCTAGGATGAGGAAGAAGGCTTGTCACCAGACGAGGTGAGGACGCTCAGCCAACGACTCGCACCGCTCAATGCCTCTGGCACCCGTCACGCCCGTCACGGAGTCACACGTGACTGTAACCGTAACCATCTCCCCTGAACGCCTGTTGATCTGAGCCCGGTTAACGTTGCTCCTCTGCCTTGCATTTACAAACGGTCATCTGCTTGTCCTTGCGAATTTTCTACGCATGTAATCGCCGGCGAGGGTTTCGTTTTCGTAGGGCCAACGTAGGGCCATGGCTTATCGTCTACTCTTTCCGTGCCCTATCCTCGGACATTCACAAGCCACACGAGATTTACTGAGAAGTCACTGGTGATGATATCATCGGACCCCTTAGCGACACCGATCCGACAAAATCGACAACGCCCCCAACTGTTCCTTCTCGCTCTATCTGATTTACAAGTCACAACACTTGCCGCGACATGTCACCTTCAGCAATATTGACCCGTTCATAATCTCGTTCCAGCTCCATGTCAATTCGCCTCGACAAAGATTGCATATCTAGCGCCAATTGGACCTCGTTAAGCACTACAGTATAAGATCTCAGGACAAAAAAGATTTACGCTCCAGACCGCCGTGGATTACATATATATCCATAATGTTTGTGCTCGCACGACCGGTTGAAGCTAGATCTGGCCCGCATCCACCTTGTTGACATGATACGACACAGACAGTGCCTAAGCCCTCGTGCCCCTTTTGGACCAATCATGACGTGCAATTTAGCTGACGTTTTCCGGTGTCTTAGAGGTCTTAGGTGGGTCAGGGTGGATCGGCCTCCATGGCTAATTAGAGGCTGCTATAAGGATCGGAACCATGCCGAGTGTAAGGCGCGTCCCTTCACGTCCGCGTCATCCCTGCTTATTGTTGCGTGTACACAGCCACTCGGAAGATATCCAGTAAGCCTCTCGGCTTCGCTCGTCTCGGGCTAATTCTCGTCTGTATCCTCGCCGAATGTATTCGTTAGCCTCTGATTAGCTTCTTATTTATACCGGTCTTACCGCCCACCATGGTTCCCCATCCAAACTCACCAGCCAACCGCTTAGTTTCCCCGACTTAAGCCTCCTACTCAACTTGATCTAGCCAACAACCACAATGCATCCCTTCCACCACGGATTCTTCCACCATCATCACTTCCGCCGGGGTGGGCCGTCTCGCTTGCTTTGGTTCATTATCGGTGCTGGCGCTGCCACATATTGGCATCGCTCGCACGAGATGCACGCTCATGGTCACTACTGGCATTGTGTCTCGCACGCCAACCGCCGTCGCATCGAAGACGTGCAAGCACAGCAACAGGCTGCTGCCACCATCCAATCTGATGCGTCTGTGCCCTCGGGCAACGCACCCGCACCTTCTCTTTCAACCTCTGCTGCCTTCCCTTCGCAATTTGGTAACGGTATGCAGCCAACCCCCCCTCAGCCACCACGCTGGGCATGGGCAAACACCGGCCAGAGCTCAGATGGTACGTTCGGCTGGAACCAAAAGGAATGGGAGGAGGATAAGGAGCGCCTGCGTGAGCTACAGCGCCGCGCCCAAGACACTGTAAGTCGCTCATATTTCCTTTGTTCGATCCTTACTGACTTCAGCTTACGTAGATGGTCGAGATGTCAGAATCGACGCTCGACTCCATTTTGTCCACCGTCGAATCAATGAAGGGGGTAGGTACTCATTTCCAAGACTGGCTGTCCTGTTTTCATGGCTCACTCCCTCTCCAGAAACTCGCCGAACATCGTGCTCTGAGAGAACAGCAGCAGAAGCAATACGAGGACGAGCTCGAGCGTGCCAAGAAAGAGCCCCGCCGATATGTCTAAATTACCTTTCGGAACCTGCATTCTGCAAGGTCGTCGACCGTCCACAGCCATTGCTTTACTGGATCTTGAATTGACTCGTGAAGAATCCGTATTACACGCATTGTTTACTATCATCTCTTTACATGACATGTCGTTGTGCCATCGGTGGCGCTGCCGTTCATTGTTCTCGCTGTTATGAGTTTCGCTTTCACCATTGTACGTTGTACTTCAGATAGCATTAGGAGCCTCGATAGTCCCTACCCACTGAAACGCGGAAGATATACAGACACCATGATATGTGCTTTTAGATCTATCTACATTCTGTGGATATATAGTCCCTCCCTTAAACATGTCCTGCTGATTCAGAGTCCACCTGCAGCCGATTGACATATGCGGGACGTTGGGGGTTAAGCTTCCCTTGCTCTTCCGCTGCGAATACCATCAGTTCACGTGGTGAATCAGGACATCTATGACGTATCAACGTACGCGTAGCATGCCAGAAGTAGATGACAAGGCCAAAAAGAACAACCACAAAAGCAGGGAAGTACAGCCAGAAAGGATGGTAGTGCTGAGAGTAATATTAGTTTTATCGTATCATAGCTAGAGTGAGCATACTTACGAAGAGGATGAGACCTGAACACATGAGCATATCAAGGTGAGCAAGCCTGAAACTAAACTGAAGAAAAAGAGTGTTACCGAAGATCAGCCCATAGAAGTCACTGGTCAGCAAGCTGATATTGTAGAACGAAGATGACGCCATGCGATACAGCAGTGGGGCAGTAGTGTAAAGTATGAACATTGCTGTTGTGGCGTCAGCTTATCTCAGACCTTTGTGTGATGTACGCAATTACCTGCAGTGTACGCGACGAGGAATCCGACTATGAAGAATAATAGAATTGATATTCATGAATGGGTCCAACCATCCAATTTTACGCACTAGTGGCGCCGTTCCAAGTGGCGGTCTTCATTGCGGCATGCTCGAGACCGGCAGCCTGAATGCCGTTGATGAGCGTGCCCCACATTCCAAGTTGTCCGACCACCTATTCGCGTTTGGAATCTTTACCCACAAACACCGGTGACGGATGCTCACCTCGTACAAAGGGCGTCTCCTCACGAAAAACTCCTCTGTTGCATTAGCTAGCAACCCGTTAGCATCAGAATCTTTGAGGGTCGATGAACACAAACTGAATCCGTATAGGGTAGCACCAACGATCATGAAGGCGTCACCCTTGCCACGACTGAGAGCAGGATAGTTTTTGTCTGTAAGCATGTCAGATGCAACAAGCATTCCGAGTCCTCCTATGCACACAAGGACACCCTGAAGGTCATTCAGATGAAAGGATAGCCGAGAATGATTGCAAGCTTACGAGCAGCTGAGTCCAGTGGTACTTGGTTCGCATATATATCCAGCAGAAGAAAAGACAAACTGGTATGGCCCAACTATTGACAAGTGGATTAGATTAGCAACAAGGGCCAGCGTTATGGGGTCACTCACGCGTCCAAGAGCATGCACGATAACAGATCTGTGTAGTTATACGCCTGTTTTGGGTGTGAGCGATGAATCGCACGCATGTCAATGCCTCACCTTGACCACAAGGAAGTTGCCTTCCACATCACAGGCTGCCAAAATGAAGTCTGCGGTTTAACTTCTCGTTAGTCTCCGAAGCAGTCGGGTGCCAATATAGCGCACATTTCCACCCATCCTTCGCAATCATACGGCCCCAGCCCTTGAGCCCATCTACTGGAATTAGAACCTGACCTTTCTCAGGCTTTGGACGTGACGTACACTGATAGATTGTATATGGCGTGTAGACGGAGAAGATGGAGAAGTACCTGCGAACCGTCAGCATGACCTCTCACTGAACATGAATGAGGGGTCAACATACAAGAACCAGGTCTGAGTCGTCGATAAAGTCCAATTGCGATTGACAAGCTCGGTGGTGGTGATATTCGTGACTGTGATGCAGAATGAAACGAGCTGGCCGGCTAACAAGGACAGGATGAACCGTTTCGTCCAGATACTCTCCCAGCGGTCCCAAATCGTACGAGTGAAGGCATCGAACGACGACCAGTCAATGGGAGGGCGGATATCCCAGTTGTCGGTGTCTCTGGCTTCCTGAGAGTGGACTGAGATACCACCCGCAAGATCCTGCTTGGAAGTCCTTGAGGTGACCGAGCGTGTATCGAGGGACATGTTGCCGGGTGATCAAATTGCTGAGAGTAAATTATGTGTGACAAAAGTCCAGGGGCAAGGGCAGGAAGCAACAGGTTCACTTGGACTCAGTACTTGAAGCTCGGAGGCCCACAGACTCGGAGGCTGAAGTCGACCAGATAGCTATAGGTAGGTAAAGTTTGAAAGGTTCGATAAGACGCTTATAAGATGGGCAAATTGTTCCGATCAATATTGCTCCCTCATGCACATGGTTGTGCCTGGCCAGACTTTAGAGATGTCGCCGACCGCTTCACATCTTCACACTGACACAAACACCGATGCCTTCTCCCGAGAGCAATCCTAACGCTGATGAAGTATACGCAAAAAAAAACAGCGTTTGACTTGATCAAGCGCTGATGTTGTCGGTCTCGCATGTGGAATAAACTCGCACTTTGGGAGTGCCTGAGCGCTTGGACGGAACCAAACCTTGATTAATTGGACTTTACTTCTTTGGTGTCCACACAGTGAGTGCCTTTGGTGCCTTCGGGATGAAGTCTAGCCCCGCTCAACGAGAGTTGCTGTGCGAGCAAGGGTACACACATGCTTAAGCCCGCGCGCAAGCCGTTTACATATCCGTTTGACGGCATGCCTAAGCTCTTGTAGGTTGCGTGTGTAGAGCGTCTGTTATATGCGAAAGGAGATATACAATACTAAAATATACAGGGCGTGAAAAAAGGGTGTCTTCAGAGGTAAAACTCTGGCTTTCTAGAGTTGATGCCATACTCTCCCAGCGCAGCACTAAGATCCTCCATTGTGAGAGTGGTCCGAGTCTTATCCTGTAATGTTAGAATTGTGAGAATTGAAAGTCTTACAAAGACATGAATGAAGCTCGACCTTAACAGAACTTGGACCAGTCAGGGGTCCACGTGTGCGACCCCCAGCCGCGTTGGTACGTATACGTGCGTGCTGATAGGCGTCCGCTGCAATGTCTGACACAAACTTCTGCGCAGCTAGAGAAACCAGACGCTTGCTAGTAAATTGAGGAATCAATGTGAGGGTGACACATCTGACACATCCAAGGTGCACATACAGTCGAACATCCTCGCATTCAAACCCCACTCTTTGGAGGTAATAGTCCGTCACCTCATTGGGTATCTGATAACAATGAGCAAATGTCTGGCAATGACACCTTATACATACAAGAGGCTCGTAATCGTCCAGCATGACGAGGAACTCAGCCAATGTTCTGTCCTTGCGTGCATCCTCCGCTGCCTGGCGAGTTTGTGACTGTGCCGCGGTGGTCGTACTTGAGCTCGCAGCAGTGCTCGTGGGAGCTACCGTAGTAGATGTCTGGGACTGGGACGACTCTGTATATGCCTGGGGCGGATAGTAGCCATATGATTGAGCGGGAGAGTTATGTGATTCAGTGTACCCTGGAGTTGCCATGTTGTAGTTGAGGTGATTGTGGGTGGAATGGTTCAACAGACTCCGCTGGGCGGCAATTGCCGTGCTCATATATATATCTCCGCTCTGAAGCTGAAAACTTTGATATGCCTTGTCCTCTTTGTCTGACCTGCGGCTCACTCGCAAGAGCACATCTCTGGTAAGTCTTTCACGAAATACTTTGATCCCTTTCAGTTTCAACATTCTTTCCTTTCCTTACATGATGTTTGAGGCATTTGGCTTTACGCAGGAGCGCACCCTGCACTGCAGAAAACCAACTCAGCTACCTTCGGGATTCAATCCCGCTTTTTCTGACACTCTTTCCTCTTCCAATCCTGTCACCGCTTTTCTTGACAGTTACTAACACATCCCAAAATTATAGACTTGAACTCAGCATATTGTGCCTGCGCTGAACAAGCTATTCAGGCACTAGGACGTATGAGCTTTAGTTGGCTAGACGAGCCCGGGCCCGGTTTGCAAAATACAAGCGCGTTTATCTTTTCCCTCTACTGCATCTAAGTCTGCTGGTGCTGCCCGTAAGATCTGCGCAAGCTCATCGCTCAGCGCTCAGTACTAGTATAAGTCGGAACTAATCGGTTCAGCAAATTCATCCTCGTTGACTAGCGAATATGGAGGCACATTTGCAAATCTAAGAGCTACTGTACAACATTCACCTGAGCTATACGAATTAGGAAAAAAATCGATAAACGTAAACATTCAAACTTAGTTTGAATAGGAGTTAAAATAATGTAACAACAGAGTGTGTGAGAGTATTGCACTGTAAGGGGTGCTCAATGGGCTGGTCATGCACATGCCTGAGGCGTGATGCAGATGCGCGATGCTGGGTGTGCGACGTTGGGTCCGGGTCCAGGAGCTAGCAGCACCTGCCGTTACATATTGTGAGGCGCTGAAGGGGTCTCCTCTGTACTCTCATCGGAACGAACTTTTGAGGGAAGGTGCAACCAACCGTACGGCGCTGCTCGCGAGAAAAATCATTATTGGCTGCTCGCTCAATCCGATTACTTTTAGGGAAAGTTTAAACGAGCGCTGACAACATAACCCGTCATTGTCTGTAATCAACTCTCGAGACATTAATAGCCGCACCAGACCGCACGGAGTTCATGTCGTCTGCACTAGACTCAGGAGCGGACAAAAGCAAAATAGGCCGCTCGTGTGCGGAATGCCGCAGGTACGCGATTAATCCCTCGGTCGCTGAGGATTTAGAATAGAGAACCCATGCTTGGTTGACCGTCCGACATCTAGGTCAAAACTCAAATGTGATAGGCAAGTCTCGGTTGTTTAGCTGATAGCCTTGGGTTGCGACGTGATGCACCTAACCACAACGCCGGTACACAGGACCTTCCCCTGTCAATCGTGCATACGCCGAGGATGTGCAAATATCTGTCCAGATGGTAGGCTTCTTGAGCAACCGACACTTATGACTACATCTTACCGAAATTTCCTTCGCCGTGTTCTATGACGGGATTCTACAGGCACATTAGCTGCTACGAAAGGTAACAAGTGCGTAAATCATGTCCTGTGAAAGGATGACGTTCGCCTCCGACTCGGAGGCTCGCTCACACATGTCCTCAGGGTGCTTATAGCACGTGCGCAGCAGCTCGCCGAAGAGGTAGCGAGCCAGACAGAACGTATACAGCAACTCGAGAAGGCTCTTGAAGAAGCGCGCAGGGCACATGGAGATATCTCTCGCTCACCGCCGTCTACGTCAAATCAACCCACGCCGTTTCCCGACCTCGACAAGATTGAGACACTGTTTGACCAGGACGTTATTGAGACGTCCGACGCTATCGGTTCGCTCTCAATAGGGGTTGATGGGCAAGCCAAGTACCATGGCGAAAGTGCGAGCTCCGAGGTATTTATGCTTCCGCCTGTGACTGCCACAATCGCCTGACCTCAGGAAAATGCAGTACTTTCAACAGCTGCTACCGGTGTGTACTCACCAGTATGCTATCACATCTCTTCTGACTTTCGTGCTCTCGCAGGAACACAGCGAGAAATGCACCCCCGATCTTCATGATCTCGGACTGCCTTGGGAAATAATGGACCTCTGCAACGCCTATCCATTTGGATTAAGGGACACTGCGTACAATAAATGGCAATTCGCTTCATACATACCTCCGAGAGCCAGGGCCTTGAGACTGGCAGATCTGTACTACGAGAATGTAGCCTGGATGTATGTATGGTTCAAAACTGCCATCCAGTTTTACTGACGACATGTCATCCACAGGTATGACCCCATTGTACGCCAGGACTTTATGTCGAGCATCATGGAGCCAATATATGGAACGCCGGGCCCGCCTAGAGTCGATCACATTACGCCACACCGTCTTTCAGTCTTCTTTGTCGCTCTTGCCTCAGGGGCAATGTATGAAGACAACACTTCTGCGGCGATGATTTCGGAAAAGTATTTTGCGTTATCCCGAGCTGTGTTTTCCCTAGATTCGATCACTCAAGAAGTATCCATTGCTGGCGTAACGGCCATTTTCATGGCGGTCCGTTATTCCTACCAAATTGATCGGTCAGGTGGGGAGAATAGGTGGCTACTGCTCGGTCTGTGCACCCGTCTGGGTCAAATCGTAAGTGTCTATAGTAGCTGTCAACCTATTAAACGCTGGATCATCGATTGCAGATTGGTCTGCGTACGTTCTGTGTCCAACCTAACCTCGACAACCACTAATCGCTAATAGAGAGAGACAGTGCTGGGTGGAACTTAAACGAGGAGGAGATACAGCGAAGGCGAACTCTCTTCTGGGAGATATTCACATATGATCAATGGACGGTCAGAACATAAACAGTACATATGCATTTTTGCTGAACAAGCTGATAGAGTATTGTCAACGGAAGACCGCCTTCCATCAATATTCATCAAACAGACACCAAATTTCCCAAAGACATCGACGCCAGCCTATCTGCAAATGGAGCGTCTGATTATGGCTGCAAGTTTTCCTTGCTTCTCTTCGACAATCTTCCTCCTTAATGTTTGGTGTGATTCAGGGCACGCATGGAAATACAGATATTCTGCCTCTTGCTTATCGATATCCACACAGCAGGTCTTCAGTATCCGAGGTCACAACTACTCGATAATGCTGCATATGGACCGAAAAATTCGAGAGTTCAGCATCCCTTCTCATTTGGAGGCTCCAATACAAGCACTCGACAGGCACCGCAGCTGGCATCCAGAAGCTTATCGTGCGATGCAACAGTATTGTTGCTTGACCGAGCGAGAATGCAGTTCGTCATTCCCCAGTGTAGTATAAGTTGACAATCGACATTTGTTCCGCAGACCTGCTTTACATACACCGAAGTTACTTCGCACAAGCAATCCAGGAGCTTCCGGAAAACCCGCTCTCACACAAATTTGCTCCGTCCATTCTTGCGACATTCCGGAGTGCATGCCGTTTAATATCGAGTTTGGACAGTTTGTATGCAACGCACCCTATACAGACGAGTCATGAATGGTTCTTCTGGTCTGGTGTGTTCTCTGCTTGCGTAAGAGGTGGTTCAGGGTGTGCTTTACAGCATGTTGACCGTTGTATAGATCGTCTTGGGGGCCCTGGTCGTGGAAAGCCCGCAATGTCACCTGGCTCAAGAGGCTCTACAGGAGCTCGACAAGGGCCTGTGCTTGTTCGAGAAAGGGTCGACGCCGTGTCGGGCCTCTATGACAGTGGTTCGTTCGATGGTACTAGAACTGAAACCGTCAGTGGAAGCTGATTCTCACCTGTAGAGTGTGTTGATCAAGCTCTCGCAGCGTGCACACGCCGCCTTAGATGCGGCACAGGCTGGTATTATGCTAGAGTCTTCGGCCAAATCCTCCAGTCCCTACAACCCCGACGAGTTGCAAGTGCTTGGTGGGCGCAAGAGCGTCATCGCAAAACCCTCGCGTGACAGCTCCCCGCAGGTTGCACAAGAGCAGCCAACTTCATTTAATAGGCTCCGCGCACAGAGTACCGACTTCCGTGAGCAATTTGGAAGCTCGCACCCAGCGGTGATGGAGTATTACGGCGCTTTGGGTAACCCGGGGCTCATTCTGCCCATCACAAGAGAGTTCGCCTACACCGTTAGCGGAGGGGTGACCGATGCCGCGGAGTGGACAGGCATGTATCCCAATGACCCGACGAACGGTCTACCCTCGGGCCTCATGGGTATGCCGATGTCAAACGACCTGCAGTTGCAAGCCATAGCAACCTTGCAGCAGGCGTGTTTTCCCGAGGAACAATCACAATACCCGCCCAACGACCAGAACGGGATCTGGAGTGACTTCATCGGCCAGCTTGGGCTTAGGCCTTCGTAGTTTATCTTGTTCAAGTTTTGTTTCGTGCCATAACATAATGTTGCAATGTGACCGCAGCTCTCGACATAACAATAACATCTACGTGATATCCATCTTGGGTTCAACGAGCCGCTGGTGATCGGAGATCTCCATTGCAGATAGCAGTGAATCAAGGTCTGGGGAGACAACAAAACGCTTGTTAACTTCGCCAATAACATTGATGCGTCCTTTTTCTTGGTCCAAGTGAACAACTTGCTGCAGGAACGACGGCTGTGTTGCGCCTGAAACCTACAAACACAAGTTGGCGTGAAAATGTTTTGTACAAAGTGCAAACTTACATCAAATAGCATTCCATTGTTTAGCCTCATTTTCACCTTACCGCTGCGGTATACTTCGAGCTGTCCAATAACACCGTCAACCAGGGCATTGGCGGATTCATCATTCTCCGTCGAATTTTCCTTTCCTAATGGATCGGGGGTTGCTGGTTTGGTATCTTCAGAGAATGAGACACGTTTTTGTGGAGGGTTAGTTTCTGCGCTAGTCGGGTCCGCCCATGAGTCATCAAAATGCGCTGGCTGTGGGGGAACAAATGAAGGGAATGGTTCTGGAAATTGGAAGAAGAACACGCGTTCTTGTTGAAGATCTAGTTCCTGCAGAGATATCTCAGTAAGAGAGCCCACAGCTCTCTATGGCATCGTACCTGATCCGCATCGCCTTGGGCCGCGAAGTCCTCGATCAGGTCTTCCATTTCCTCCTCCTCTTCACTTTCCTCGAGATCTACGGCATTCGCCAAATCGACCTCGCCTACAGCAGCAGCTTCCTCGACATCCATAACTTGTACTTTGGCTAAACACAATATTAACCTCTGCTCTGTTACCAAATGGGAGGAGACAGTCGCACCTTTACCCTTTGCCTCTGGAGGAAATACAGAGCCATCCGTAGCAATCTTGATCTTCTTTTTCTTTGTCTGGTGTTTGTCCTTCAAGAGCGTTTCAGGCGCCATCCAGTCCATGCGACGGACATCATCCATGTCGACAATTTCTACGCCCTCATCGGGATCTGAATACACCTCGTCATCTTCTTCCTTCTTCACCGATAGCGGAAGTGGTTCCCCTTGCTCCTGCTTCAGACTGGGAGCTGGCGTCTGAGATAGACCTGCCCCTAGCGAAGACTTCATGCTTGGGCCCATGGGAGCAATGGGGGTAAAGTTTGAGCGAGGAACTGTGCGTCGTGCAGATGTTCCCGCAAGAGCAGGACCCATAGCAAACGGACCACTTGCAGTCATCTCTGTAGGAGGGCGTGGGGCACCTCCTCGTCCATCAGCTCCACGACCTCTTCCTCGGCCACGTCCACGAGTAGGTGCGGTAGGGGCCGGTGTACTTGATGTGGGTGCAGTAGATGAGTCCTGCATTCATAGTCAGCGGGGTAGCCTTGACGCACCGAAGACATGAGTTCTCACTGCTGGCGTCTCTCTGAGGATATGGTAGAAGAAGATCAGCGTCAAATGAAGTTATTGTGAGCAACATAAAGATAACGCACTCTTTCTTCCTGCGGGCAGGGATAGTCGGTACGAATTTGAGCTTCTGTGTGCCTTGCCTTGTCACATCAGACTGCTTTTTGGCAAAGCTTCCAATAGCTTTCGGTTGGGCTGATGGGCCTGAAGTTGCATTTGACCCACTATGCTGAAGGTTGGGAGGAGTCTGGTCTGACATGTTCTGGCTAGGGTTAAGGAAGGCTCATCCAGGGTCGAAACGCGTTGGTAGCTGGTATGATCCTATATAAACGTTTTGCGTCCGAGGCCGATCCGCGTGGCGAGTGCGCGTGATATCTCTGCTTGGTCGATTATCAGCACTTAGATTTCATATCTAATACAAAGGTAGCGTAATACTGGCTGTTGCACAGGTATCTTAAGAAATCGAGCCTTTCTAGTACATCTCAGCTTACAGCTTCGTTTCTCTCCTAGACATACATCAACTCACCATGGGAGATCCCCCGCATCTTCGGGCCACGTATAATGATATCCACAACATCATCAAGGCTTCTGCGGTTCAGATAGCAGAGTTCAAACCTGACATGCTCATCGCGATCGGTAAGTGCACACCGACCTTCCAAAGTATCATTCATTGACCTCGAGGCGTCCAGGTGGAGGGTCAGTGTGTCGTGCCCATCTTATTCAATATCATCTTATGTCCACTAAAACAGCGGCTTCTTCCCGGCCCGTGTCCTCGTAAGACTCCGTGGCTTCTTCGTCTTTTGGAGCACTCACGTTATCTGGCCGGCACCAGCGAACTTTCCTCAAAGATCCTTCCACCAAGCGCAACATCCCGATTCAGGCCATTGGCCTCTCCTTGTACGAGTCATTGCCAGGAACGACTGCAGAGCAAATAGGAAACGAGGTTATCCGTACCCAATGGCTGTAAGGCACACTCCCTCTAGTGTATCGAAGGTGTCGTCGAACTAACACAAGCTCATGGAAGGGGTCCTAATCCGGGCCAAGCTCTGCTTGGTAGGCGCGCACTAATCGTGGTGCGTATAAATTTTATAGTCTTTTTATGCAACCTGGGAACGTAATTTGGTTAGGACGAAGTCGATGACTCCCGGAAAACACTGCAGTAGGTTAATATGCCTCGCCTCCAAACGATAACAAGCTAAATATGGCTGTCAGATACGCACTGTCGGAACTGCAGAAGGACGTAGAGCTTGAACTACAAAATGTGCCAGTGTCAGAACGCGAAGCGAAGCGAACGAAGTTCGCTATCTTCGTTGTACACAACAAGCTTAAGCCAAAATTGGGTACTTTGCCCACAAATGTCCCGTGAGTGCAACGATTAGTGGCGTTTGAACTCACTGTCAACTGTTCCAGATACTACGCGGGTGCCAACGTGGAAGACCTATGGTAAGCTGCCCATGTCATTGAGAGATGTCAAAAATATCTTGACTCTGAATCCAGGATGGACTATCCGTGGGAAGCAATGTGAGTGTATCCCATATGGCGGTATCGTCCGCCAAGTAAAGGCTGCGGACTTAAATCCCAAATTTCATCAGCGACATCGAGGAGCACGATAGACTGGCGGCAGCAGGCAAAACGAGTTCCTAAAACCCAAAGAAACCACATGGGACAGCTCCTGGGGTCTAACATAGTGTTTTACAAGCAGGTGCAGGTGTACGCATGTATGACGCTGATGTCTCAATTAGCATGACGTGTAATATACGAGATAGACTGTTGCGGATCCGGCGCGGACAGAGCATCGTCGATATCGGGAATGCTAGAAAAATCGGTGACGCGTACGGCCGAAGGACGAGGCATTGAAAGGCTCGCGAGACGTTGATCCGTTGTTAGTGAGCTAGTGAACGCCAGCCTCTTTGCAGCGTGCTTGTATTGCCTTCCTGCCCCGTTTATTATTTTTACGAGGGGCCAGGTCCGGGAAGCAGCGTGAGCGATCTTCTGCTTGTCTCCTTCCACCATCTCTCCGGAAGCACGACGCCCAAGTCCTGCGTTAAACCTCATTCCCTAACTTTCGGCACGTTTCGGATTTCGTCGGCTTGTCATCCCACGCTACCTCTCTTGCTCTCAACGCCAACTCGCCCAGTTCATTTGTATGGCCGAGGAAATCGACTATGAGGCGCTAGGGTCCAAGGCTGGTCTCGGGGTGAGTCGAAAATCCTATCTGTAGCCCTGCGCATGCTCAGAAGACATTAAAACAGGTCAACATGCTAGCTGGAGCACTGGTGAGCCTTTTACATATGACGTTGAGCTCCTCCAGACAGTTTTTACAGGCTGGCATTACGGAGCATGCAGTTATGTTCCCCATAGACACCATGAAGGTATGCCCCAACCTTCCAATGAACCGTCGCGAGCTGACGGCACTGTTGGGATAGACGCGTATGCAAGTCTTTGCAACGTCCCCAGCAGCGGTGTACACTGGCATAGGCAATGCGTTCACGCGAATATCATCTACTGAGGGCATGCGGGCATTGTGGAGGGGCGTTTCTTCGGTCATTCTGGGTGCCGGCCCAGCTCATGCTGTTCACTTCGGAATGTATGAGGCCATTAAGGAGCTGGCGGGGGGCAACGACGAGGCGAAAAACCAGTGGCTGGCGACATGTAAGCAGCAACCGCGATTTTGTGTTTTATTTGACGAGTCCGAAATGGGCTCGGACTGACCGAATTCTTGCGCTCCAGCATTTGCCGGTGCTTCGGCTACGATGGCCAGTGATGCCCTCATGAACCCATTCGATGGTACAACATACACATCTTCGGCGTCTGAATTGCCCCTGACGAACTTGGCTTTTTCTAGTGATTAAGCAGCGAATGCAAGTTCACGACTCACAATTTCGTTCCGTGTTCACTGCCATGAAAACCATCTACCGGTCCGAGGGTCTATCTGCGTTCTACGTCTCATACCCGACGACTTTGACAATGTCTGTTCCATTCACGGCGATCCAGTTCACAGTGTACGAACAGATCAAAAAGATGCTCAATCCTTCCAACCAGTACTCTCCGGTGACCCATATGATTGCCGGTGGACTTGCCGGTGGTGTCGCTGCTGGGGCGACAACGCCATTGGATGTCGCAAAGACGTTGCTCCAGACACGAGGATCGTCGAAAGACCCAGAAATCCGGAGAGTTGGTGGCATGGTCGACGCTTTCCGGATTATCTTGAAGAGGGACGGGCTTAAAGGCTTTAGCCGGGGTTTTACTCCACGAGTTTTGGCGCATATGCCGAGCAACGCATTATGCTGGCTGTCATATGAGTTCTTCAGTGAGTCATAATTGTGCCATAGCTATACAATGAATGGCTAATGTGGTTTGCAGAGGTCGCTATGCGGGAGTGATATGTCTCTACCCGACTTGCATCATTTTGCTGCATCATACTCATCATTTTACTTACTATTACTACATTACCATAGACTCAATCTTTACTTCCTCATGCAACAAGGCTATTGGGACATCATGAAACTCGTACACACCCTAGTAGAAATCCACGATTATGATCATCGTTAGTACGCAGGACCCATCAAAGTTGGGATCCAAGGATAAGCACTGCTCACGCCGTTGTTTTGCTTCTTTCTCTCAACATTCCCCAAGTTGTCCACCAATTTTCCGCAGCCTCGCGAGCATTGTACCCAAAGGCCGCCCATAATCCATCGAACTGCTGTTGTAGCATGCTCTCGTCCCAGTCCCCGTCGTCTTGCTGTTTTCGAAGCATCTCATCTCTCGCTTTCTGTTCAGGGCCTGGAGCAAGCCACATGGACTCGACTGACTGCCACCACGATTTGTCCTGGACGAAACGATATTTGGGCTTTCGAAGTTCTTGAAAGCCTTCAATCAACACTGGCAGCTGGTCAATGTCGTTGATGTGTGACAGCAAAACTCCCAAAGTTTCGGCATCCTCTAGATTTATAGCACATGATTGGGACCAGCAAGGCTTTTTGGCCTCGACATCAGCGTGTGTGTGATAAGGTGTCGGTATATAATACACGTACTAGTACCGGGTGAGCGGCGTTGCCAATTAGAAGCAATCTGCTGGATTCGTCTATCCAATCTTCGAGTTCTTCGCGGATGTATAGCTTTAGACGGCGCATATCCGGACATAGTTCTATCAAGCGCTGCAGCCTGCAACGTGATGTTTTCAGTATTGGAAACCAGCACAAATAAATGACCGCCTACACTGGATCGTTCGATCTCGGGCGCCACCCTTGCATAGGTTCACCTTCCCAGGTATCCTCTGCGTCGATGGGTATCTCAGAATCAGGATAAAAAATGTTAAGAGCAATTTCGGTCCCGTCACGCTGCTCAAAGAGTTGTCGAACGGAGACAGATTATACGCAAATGCAAAAATACGAACCATCAACATGGCCTCACCATGTCGCGATGAGCCTAGCCAAAGTGGGAACTGCATTTCGTTAGAAGGAGGCCACTGCTCAATTGAGGGGAGGATTCACCTCTAGAAGACTAGGGTTAATAGAATTTCCTACCAATGCGTCGTCCTCCACCAATTTTCTGGGTACCACCGCTCTAGTAGTTAGACGCCAGCGTGTAAGCTAAGGTGATCTAGAACGAAGTGACCAGGCAAGACTTACGTGAATAGAGAATGACCTTCTAGTTTAATGCGTTCCTCACCGAATAGAGTCCTACGGGTAATACTTCGGGGACCGTCAGCGCCAATTACCAAGTCAGCTTTCAGCACATTTTGGTTGGTAAGTGTGACACGAGGAGGGTACGTTTCCACGTTCACGGCGCCGGCGTCGAATTGTACGATGGCACCAGCCTTGACCGCTGCATCATGCAGCATGGCGTATAGATCATGATACTTGGAAGGGTGTTACAGAAGATGCGAGCGGACTGAGTTTCACCGCCAACTCACATGAATAAAATAATAGTCCGCGCCTATCTCGCGAATAACCTCTTCTCTCCACCTCTGACTTCCGATGAGCTCGCCATTCTCCACTGGTAAGGCACGGTGAATGCCCAACAAGGGTGTTATATTTCTAACGACATACTGGAATAGAACCTTGAATTTTTGATCAAGTGCCCAAGGGATTGGATCTGATCGCGGAAACCCCAGTCTGTTAAGATCCTGGTAGCATTTGGAGGGAGATGAGCTGCTGTGCACCCCTGAGAAAATCAATCATTAGAGTAGGTCACAGTCTCAGCTTATAACTTACTCTCTCACCGCGGTCATGTTCATCTAAGACACGTACATGATGACCAGCTTGGCTCAGCCTTAACGCTGCCGCAATTCCAGCTAGCCCTATCGGAAGCACCGCGATCCGTCAAAAGGCTGGAAGTCACAGATCAAAAGATATCGCTCACCAGCCCCGATAATTATAATGTCTAGCTTGAAGCTCGCCACCATGTCAGATGATACGCGACGGTGATGACCAAGAGAAAAAAGAAAATAGGTCCTAGCATTCGCCTGGCGCCATACTACGCCGCCGTTTTATGCATTATACTGATCGGCTGGATTTGGAGAATTCTCTCAAGGCCTTGGATGAAAATAGCCCAGCTGGCGCATCAGTTGCTTGCGGAAGCCGGTCCAATGAATAAGCTTTGGAGAACGCCCACCGTGGACGTAAAACCTAGTATTAGAGCGCCGTGAATGATAGTGAGTGTAAGATGTGCGCATGAATAGACCAGCCTGAGCTGCCTGTACTAGTGTTTAGAACATGTCGGAACCAGGCTCGGAGTCCAATGATCACTTTAGCAAGAGCGTGCCACCTCCCAAGTGTATGACATTATACCCAGGTGGGCTAAAGTCAAGGCGGCTGACAAAGTGGAAAACTTTGCGAGCCTAAATGAGAAGCGTTCTTCGTGGAAGGCGACAGCGAATATCTTCAAACAAAGTTGTGAATATAAGCATCACTGCCACAAGTGCCACAAGCTGCAGGTCTTGTCTACCTCGGTATATAGAGAACAAACCGGGCTTTGTGGCAACCTTACGCTTGTGGTAGCTGACCCAAATGATAAATCCAGACGTAAATCAGATGGTATTCTAATATCAGAAAGCGAGCATCCAAATCTCCCAACGAGGGGTATAGCAACGTCCCCACTAAAATAGACAAGGTGGTCGACCCTTCACTCCATGTTCAAAGAGGTGACATGCATGAAGATCTCAGCCGGCCACACAGGGAGGGTAGCCGAATCTGACCTTCACTCCGCATTGATAGAGTTGACATGTGTCGAGACACCAGAGATCTCAGGCGGCCCCGCTAGACAAATGCTGACGCTCCGTCCTTTGCTCCTCTCTCTGAGCATGCCCCAGTTTACCCACCACTCTTCAGCAGCCTCCCGCGCGTTGTAGCCAACCTCCTTCCAGACCTCTTCAAACTGCGCTAGCATCATCTCGTCATCTAGTGGTTCGCCTTTCTGTTCCAGCTGGCGGCGAAATTGAGTGTCCCTGCCCTGCTGTGAAGGGCCTGGAGGAAGCCACAAAGAATAGTTCGTTCGATGCCATGAATCTTCGTTTTGTTGGAAACGAGGCTCGCGTATCTCCTGGTATCCTCGAATCAGATGCGATAGCTGCTCCCAGCTGGTCAACCGAGAAAGTAGGACGCCGAGAATCTCGATGTCTTCCAGGTGGACTGCAGCCGATTGCACTAGACCAGGCTATCATACGGATGAGATAATACATGGCATCAGGGATCGCGTGGTCACTCACGGGAAAGTAGTGGACAGCGTCTCCAACTAGTAATATTCTGTCGGTGTCATCTGCCCATTCTTCGGGACAGTCTGGTTTAAAAACTTTTACGCGCCGCATGTCTGTGCACAGATCAACCAGACGTTGAAGCCTAGGTAATTGTCGACGTCAGATTAAGTCGTCAAATGATATTACCCTAGTATGTCACGTACCTGAGATCACCGACTTTTGGACGTGGACCGGTGTATGCTGCGTCCCAGCCCTCTGCTCCTTCATCGGGAATGTCGTCGTTCAGTTGCCACACTTGTACGACGTATTCGGCTCCATTCAGCTAAGGGCAGAGATGTTTAGAAAATTTCCGTGATCAAATGTGTTGATGAACCATACGGACCATGGGCATGCCGATGCAATGTCGCGAAGTTCCGGCCCAAATTTGGAACTAATTCTCGTTAGAAAGGGAACAGGGGATAATCGCTGTTGTTGAGATGCGTACATTGCCATTTGAAGGATCAGTTAGGTCCAAAAGTTCTGGATGATTAGCCAGCTCATCCCTAGAGACCGTTCCCCTATCATCTGATTAGCCAGCAGCTTTAGCTTTAGCTATAGACATACGTATATATGGTGTGCCCTTCAGGCTCGAGCATGGCTTCACCGAAGAGCAACGCGCGTACGATGCCGTTGGGCCCATCCGTGCCTATGATGAAGTCCGCAGTGATTGTTTTCCCGCCGGCCAATTCGACTCGAGGTGGTTCGTTAAGCACACCAACGACATTTGTGTTATAGTGAAATTGAACACCGGCGTCAGTGGCGGCAACGTAAAGCATGGTATACAGATCCCTCCACTGTAGTCATTGGACTCGTTACCGCAGCGCTTCATACCAGAATGGATATTCTTACTTGGATGATATGGTATGGGGCACCGATCTCGTCAATGAGGTCGTCAGGCCACTCCGCGCAGCCAAGCAGCTCTCCTGAATCCACTGAGAAGCTGTCAATATGGATTTCCTCGGCCTGCCGCGCCTTGCTTACGGGAGTGAAAGTTGATGTTTTTGACGTTGAAGGCGAGAGCGTCGATTTGCTCCTTGAACCCCCACTCGTGCAGAATTCTTGCAAGGTTGCATGGCAAGTGTACTGCGGTGCACCCCTATCCAACGAGAGGCTAGCACCATAGTCGCGAAAAGGATGAAGGAGTAAAGTCACATACTCGTGAGGTCTCGTCTCGATCATCAAAAACGGTTACTCTGTGGCCAGCCCTCTGCAGTCTGTAAGCAGTGGCGATGCCCGAGAGGCCTGGGAAACGGAGCCAATCAGTGATCGGTGTGCTTGTGGCCACCGGACGGTCATCTTCTAATCGGGAGGAACATACCAGCGCCAACGACGATGACATCGAGGGTCAATGGTGCAGTCATACTCGAAGAACTTAGGATGGTGGGTAGTGAAAAGGTTAAAGCTGGCACCTATAGAGTCTGAATTCTTCCTTTTGAGAGCGAAGGGCCGCCTTATGGCAGCTAACGGCTACATTAGCGTCAATATACATTTGAATCCGCCTCGGCTGGCAGTAATTACCAGCCGCAACGGCCTGACGCCAACAGGGACGGCGGCCCTTACAGCCTATACAAACACCGAAAACAGTTGTTACATCCACGTGTAGCCGCATCTTTGAAACAAGCTCAGGCAGTGCACTGGCGAACCTAGGATAGTATTAGCATCGGCGCAGTCTCAAAAGGCCAATCCACGGTGTATGCTAGGAAATATCCGTAGAGGTGAGACATATCCTACCCAAAACCAAATGCAAGGGGAGCCTTGACGTGTGAAGTTTGTTAGGAACCTCAACACAACACTTTCTGCAGAATTTCTCAGCCTCTATAGAACACTTCTCGCTTGCGATCCTACACGCAGGAGCGCGTATGAATCGAGACTATGATGCGTGATGCATTGATGGGCCGCACACAAAATGAAAAGGTTTTAGTGAGTGATTATAATAAGTAACTAGTAACGAGGCGCGTTCCCTAAGACCGAGCCATCAAAAACAAAAGAAGCATCAAGGATACCGCGAGAATATGGGAGATTATGAAGAGCGTATCATAAGCGACCATCTTAAAGTTTGTCCACACGAATGAATGCAAATCCGATCACATCGCTTTCCTCTTGTGGGGCGGACTGCCCTCATGTCCAATTTCGTTTCTCTGCCTCTTCCTGTTATCAATGTTGAGGATAAGGGGAGAGTTCTGTGCATCTGTAAATGGGTTTGGACGAGCAAGATCCCTTTCAGATAGAGACCCGAGACTGAGATTGCGAGAGAATGTCCGTTTGTTTTGACGAGGAGTGGAGGGCGGCTCGGGTGTGGGAGTGAGAACACCCGAGGGCTCCGGAAACCATATGTCTTCTGTTTCGTTGAAGGCCGTCTGCACTAACTCCCTATATGCACGCTGGATAATGCCGAAGAAGCGTGCCTCCTTCGTGAAGATTCGCAAGAGAACTTCACCGAAGGAATCTGGCATTAACGATGATATCGTATCTCGACTGCCTGGGTGTGCAACTGCAAACAGTTAGAGATAGGAAAAATGGTGTATGAAGCTATCCTACCCATGGGACTATGCTTAGAGTAAAAGCGAACGAACTCCAATGGATTTTTATCCTCCATACCATAATGGAGGGGCGACAGGTTCACTATCACGTGGGATGGACTGAGCTCTCCAACAAGTGTGTTGTCAGAGCCAGACGCTACTTTGCGTGCCGCTTCTACAATCCGTTCTGGTGTGATGTTCTTGCGACATCGTTCCCTGTAGTCCCAGGGATACACCTTGTAGTCCACGACTTTGTAGAGATTACGAACACGTATGCGTTCAATAATGTCCCGGGCTTCTTGAAGGGTCTTTGGAAAGGTCAGACACTGTTTCGTATTACACGGCGCACACGTACATCCTCAGTGGACATTTCTATCCGGGTCAGGACATCGTCTGTCAGGAAAAGATACCTGTCAGGCTTGTCAATCAAGTCAATAATCTTCATGTGGTGTTCAGCTGCCAAGAGCGCGTCGATAATCATATATTCAATGGCCTTCGCTGGAGACAAATTAGACAGGCGCGTAGTTCAAGTACTGTTGATCCAACCTGTTTTATGATTATATATGCGTTTGTGCAGGCTGAATCGGGTATAGCAAAGTTCGTAGATCTGGTTCGCATCCTTGATGTCGAAGCAGATTTCGTGTTTGATAACGCGCGCTGAGTGAATGAGACTGGACTGGTAAACTCGGTTGCTTGAGCCGGGGCACAGATATAGAGATGGACCCACCGAGTGAGTGACAAGTTGTTCCTGTCGCCAATAGCATGAGCGTCACGTGCGATGTAGTCAAACCTATCAGTAGTGGGCGGTCAGCCAAGTTTAAGGAAAGAAAACGGACGCTCTCACTTGTCGACATCGATTCCATTCCTCTTATTCGCAACGATCTCGAACAAGAATGGCATTGTCGTGCCTAACCTGCTCGGAATTCAACAAACAACTCAGCATCACGCTTAAAAACTCACTCGCATCTCGTCACATCCCCTGCGATAAGGGCTTTGACGAGGATAACTTCGTCCGGACTGATATCCAGATTATACTTGTTGACCATATCGTCAAACATCATCTCAGAAGCATCCTCGTGCTTCCATTTCTTCTTGCCATTCCTACGAACGACGTCAAGAACAGGTTCGGGAACCCAGATGTTTGCAGTACGTTGCCTTGGGTATGAACATCCCATCCCATACGTGGCTCCAAGGGCCATGGCCCAAGTCATGGCAGAGTCCAGCAAGCTCGACACAAAGTATGTGCCGGTTAGTGATTCCAAGAGAGGGCTGCGTCTTTTGCAAATGCTCTGCAAGCTTGCGGGCCAAATATGCAACGCCTGTGAATCTATCAGGTTTTCGGCTCTTGGTCAAGCGTGAAAAGTAACCACAGACCTAGACAGTGCTCGAATCGATTATGTGATGCACCTGGCCACACATAGTAGGATACACCGAGTTGCTTGATGTATCTCAGCCTTTGGAAATGTCCGCTAGCTAAGCATTAGACGATGAGGATGCAGCACACAGTTCCGGGAGCATACGTGTCTATGAATGTGCAAACTAGCGAGCTGAAAGGAACTGTCGCGGATTATGAGTTCATAAGGACTGATGCAAGGAACTGAAGACGCACTGTAGTCATGGATGGGATCGTTGAATCGGCGAAGGGTCTCCGGCGCCTCCATCGTTTCTGCTGGCTCATCCATGGGTGCATAAAGAGCAAAAAAATGGTGGCGAAGAGTTGGAGATCTAGAGTCACGGTATGAGCATATATGCGCGCCTGGGCGGCGGCTTGTCCCGAGATAGGACTGTGAACGCCGTCTTCGAGCCACTCTACAGGCTCAGGGTCGCCCTGCACACGTGAAGAGGGTGTATTTCTTTCGGTCCCCGGAATGCGGACCCGGAATCCCTTCTGATTTTTTGCAGATCTCCAGCGCTAGCCTGGTCGACTGGGTACTGTGATCCCACGTCAGAATACACACCCACGTCAGGATGCACACTTCGCTTTCTAGCCCGTTTCCCGTGCAAAACTCTCAAAGTAAATTCATGACAATTATGTTTGGATCATATTCAATGTGCCATAACGTTTGTAGGGCCGGGTAACATCTGGATGACGAGCTATGAGTACTAGAAGGTGAAAAATGGGCTACTTTGAAAAAATTTAGAGCTTTATCAAACTTTACGCGCTCATACAGTTGCGCTATACAGCTTGAATAGGCCAAGGGTGCTAAGTACGCCTCTTGAGCTGACTTTAAGATACAATTGGGCATATCATAAGGGCAGGAACTCTCTATAACTTCAAATAGCTGAAGAACTCGCTCTCGGGATGTTATCACGCCCAATAGCCACCGTAACGCCATTAGCGACACGCGATTAATCGTGTTTAAATCAAGATATTTACGTGAATCTAATCATGGCCGGAAAGTCGTAGCGCGCACGTGCGCCTACTCCAGCGTTCCTACTAGGATCGCGCGCGAAGTTCGTCCTCGACGAACTTCCTCAGCGTACCAATCGGACGCGCACAAGGAGCTCCCAGAGAGCCTCCTTAGCGGGACCGTCTTTCGGCCTGCGCACAGGGGGCGTGTTCACTCAGGTGAAACGCGCCCTTAGCATTCATTTCGAACGCGCCAGCCCCGCTAGCAGTTCAGACCGGAGGCCAAACCTCGGCGCGTCATCGCGGCGTCGAGTTCCCCTGTGCGGTCCAAGCGATATAAAAAAGCGAGGTAGGGCGCCCTGATTCGACACCTGCTCATCAGCGCGCCCCGCCTCGGTAAGTGTCCAACCTTCGTTTCTTCGAAGTCTGCTCATTGTCGTGCTGTGCTAGTCAGCTCTTATCTTTTTTGCTACTCTAGTCGCGGCGCTCCCATCACTCCGCTTCATTGTTTTCATGTCCGGTCGCCATCACTCTCATGACCATGAAAACCGCTCACCCAGGCATGACTCGCCGGAGCGAGAAGAGGACCTCACACAGGCCCAGCTCATCGAGAGAGCATGTCAAGGGATCGTCGACGAATACGTTCGAGGCGATATCGCGAATAAAGCGCTTGCTATCAGAGAGATACAAGGGTACCTCGACCCCGATGAGACAGGCGACAGTGACCAAGAGTACCTTGAAACCCTCAACAACTACCTTAAGATCCTCGACAACCATGACTATAGCCTGCTTCTCGCCGAGGAAAGGGCCCGGGCTCGTCGCTCTCCCAGTCCGGTTGACCGCCGGGTCCCCAACCATCGTCGACGCCCTCGCCCTCGGTCCGCGGATGCGCCCAGACGCCCGGCCAAACGACCGCGTTTTGACCCCAAAACTCACCGGCGCCAACGTCGCGAGGACTCTGGAGACGAAGACGAGGAAGGTGGTGATGACAACGAGGGTGAGGATGAGGTCGACGAAGAACGCGACGCGTTCGAGGACACGTTCCACTGGGAACAAACACGATCTTATCGCACGGCTTGCGCCCTTGATGAAGACCTTGTCCACACCCTCTATTGCTATCGACTCTGGTCGCGCCGATACAGAGACGTCGCTGATTCTGTCGTCAACGCTCCCGATTGTCCGCCTTTCCCCTACAAGGAATTGGCCAATATCGTACGCGGAAAGGCGGTCGACCTCGATTCCGTCCTCAGCGGGCTTCATTCCTTCATCATTGACGATGGGCGCTCAACCTCCCTGGGCGACGGGTTCGAACTTCGGGTTAGACAACCCAAGAATAACCGACCTGTTACAACCTCAGGAGAATGGGTGGCTGCGTGGAATCAAGCTGTCGCCATGTACGTCTACATCTTCCCGTACCGGCGGGGTGAACTCAACCGGTACACCGACCACATCAACGAGCTTTTCGGGGTGGTCGGACCAAAGCACCACGATCGTGTCCTTGCCTACGACAAAGCCGTCAGACTCCTTGTTGAGAAACGTCGCAGTATCTCCCTCGACAACCTTGCCGCTTTCGAGAGCACTAAGATCTCCTGCCTCACCAGTATCGGCATCCATGGAGCTTCGGCTTCAGGTTCCGGGAGTCGTTCGGAAGGCAATCGAGGGCGAAGCAACGGACGAAAGCGTTCCAACGAGCCCTGTCACCGATGGAACAACGGGACCTGCCCGAACACCGATCGAACCTGTGACTATAAGCACCACTGCGAGAAGTGCCACGGGAGTCACCTCAAGACCGATTGCCCTAGGGGCAAAGGTTCAAACTGAGCACGACACTGTTGTGCCCTCGGCTCGGCGAGGAATGGTTTGGAAGGACGTGCCGAGCTACGCAAGCAAAACCGCTTTGTGGACTGAGACCGCCAGACCACTTCCACGGCCTCCGGATTCTGAATTTCGGAACAAACTCGCAACCGACACCATCCGGCAGCACCCCGAACTGTTCAAAATCGTATCCCCAATCAATGTGGAACGGTTTGAAAAGTTGCTCGAAGGCCATCCAAACCGCGCCTTTGTGCAGTCGGTGTGCGCCGGTTTCCGAAATGGCTTCTGGCCGTTCGCTCGAGACCGACCGGACGGCTACCCAGACACCTGGGACGAATCCCAGTCGGATATCAACAACCCAGAGCACCTAGAGTTTCTGAACTCACAGATTCTCGAGGAAGTCGGGTTGGGACGTTTCTCACCGGCCTTTGGGCCCGATCTTCTTCCTGGCATGTACAGCTCGCCGGTGCATGTTGTCCCTAAGCCGGGCTCGTCGAAGCTTCGCCTAGTCACGGACCAGAGCGCGGGAGACTTCTCCCCGAACTCACTCATAGACAAGCGGGATATCGCAGGGGCTTGCCTGGACAACATAAGGGACCTCGGTTACGCGCTGAGGGACGCGAAAAAGCGGTGGCCGCACGAGGTGCCAGTGCTATACAAATCGGACGTCAAAGGCGCGTACCGTTTAATCCCCATGCATCCGTTATGGCAAATCAAACAGGTTGTTTCGATTGGTGGCATTCGCCGCATCGATCACTGCAACTGTTTCGGAGGACGAGGATCTCAGATCCTCTGGTTGGCTTTCATGTCCTTAGTTCTCTGGATCCAGATCTTTGTGCGCCATGTTCGTTCCTCATTCCTCTATGTGGATGACAACTTTGGTTCCGAACGCCCGGGGCACGTGTTATTCTATGCCCCTTACGGTACCTGGTTGCCTGCCAGTCAGGCCCGTATTCTCGAACTTTGGGACGAACTGGGCATTCCGCATGAAGAAAAGAAGCAGCTCTATGGCACATCGCTCCCCATCATCGGCTTTCTCGTGGACACCGCCGCAATGTCCGCTACCATGACTGCGGAATCTCGAGACGCCTTAATCGAGTTTATTCATGAGTTCACTTCACGACTTCATCGCCGTTGTCTGCGCGACTTTCAACGTTTAGCCGGGTACGTCAATTGGGCACTAAATGTTTACCCTCTGCTCCGGCCGGGCCTCACCACCGCATATGACAAAACTCGAGGGAAACACCATGCCTTCGCCAAAATTTGGCTCAACAAGGCGCTCATCACGGAGCTCAATTGGCTCGTGACACATCTAGCTCGATCACAGGGCGTCTTCTTTTTTCGCTCCATCTTCTGGGATCGAGCAGCCCACCAATCCGCACTTGTCGTTTACACCGATGCGTGCCTCGATGGTATGGGAATTTGGGTTCCTGCGTTGGGCACAGGGTTCTATGCCCCAGTAGAAGCCAATGATCGTGGTATTTTCTATTTCGAGGCCTTGGCGGTTCTCTGCGCCTTGCGGATTCTGTCGGCATCTCTTCCCAAAGGTTCACGCGTTCTGGTCTATTGCGACAACCAGAACTCAGTCTACCTTTTCTCGTCCTTTGCCCCAAAGCCTGCCTACAACATTATCACCCGCTCTGTCGTGGACATTCTACTTGGCAACAATTGGGACCTCCGAGTCAAGTGGCTACCCTCTGAAGATAACGCCGTCGCGGACGCCATCTCCAGAGCAGATTTCCCGCGCGCCCGTAATTTAATTCCCTCCATCCTGCTTGACGACTTCATTCCTCCCGACGGCTTTTGAGTCTCATCATGAGCAGTCGACGTCTAGCACCGGCGGACAGGCCCACGTGGTCTCATGAACAGCTAGATCGTGAGCTTGCCATAACACTCGGATTTGCCCTTGACGCTTCCTCGGCTCTCGCTTATTCCTCTGCCCTTAACGCCTACACCACCTTCTGCCGTAAACACGAGTTTCCTATTAAACCTGCCCCAGAGACTTTTGCCCGGTTCATCGTCTATATGCAACACTTTGTATCTCCAAAAACGATTAATTCATATCTTTCTGGAATCTGCAACCAACTCGAGAATCTCTATCCCGACGTCCGCTCAATTCGCCGCTCTCCCATGGTTGCCAAGACCATGAAAGGCTCTTTTCGTCGTTTTCAAACGCCTTCGAACCGCAAAGATCCGTTATCTCGCGCGGATCTGCTCCGTGCTTGCACCACTCTGAACCCGGCCACCGTTTTCGACGACGCGCTGTTTATCGCTCAGCTTCTTGTTGGTTTCTACGCGTTGATGCGCTCCGGCGAACTTGTACGTCCCGATCGTAGGGAGCTACATGATTACAACAAACTATCCATGCGACACTCTGTCAAAATGTCAACTTCCTCGATTTCGTTCACTCTCCCGCGTCACAAGGCGGATACTACCTTCGAAGGTGACAAAATCTTAGTACAGGCAATCGCAAACAGTCCTTGCCCTGTCGTGGCATTCACGCGTTACATCGAATACCGTGACTCCAAGTTTCGTTTTCGCCCTCTCTTGTGGCTACGCGAAAGCGGCTCTCCGCCATCTCGTTCATGGTTCATGTCCTATATTCACCGTCTTTTCCCTGCTAACATCGCCGGCCACTCTCTCAGAGCCGGTGGCGCCACAGCTCTCGCCGAAGATGGCGTGCCGTTTGACCAGATTCAAGCGCTAGGGAGATGGTCTTCTGATGCTTTCAAGATTTACATCAGGAAGCACCCCGCCCTTCTCGCGTCTGCCATGCTCGCGCGCTAGCCCGTTGCCCTCGCCTCGGCTCTTCCTCCACATCGCCCTACTCGCGCTCATACTATTCAAAAAAAAAAAAAACAAAGCCATATCAGCCTTAACAGGGTCGGAGGATTTCGAGCCTCACCTCAGAGTTACGTCAACCCCTTCATTGCGCATTATTCAGTGTTTCCTACTTCTTACGTTACATGTTTCGGCCATAGTTCTACTCTACACTAGTCCCATGCCCTCAATATTATCGGGCTCCCGAAATCATCGGGAGCCGCGTTGGCTCTAGTTTTGGTGCGAACCAACCGAAGACTCCGGCCTGATTAGTCGTGTTTAAATCAAGATATTTACGTGAATCTAATCATGGCCGGAAAGTCGTAGCGCGCACATGCGCCTACTCCAGCGTTCCTACTAGGATCGCGCGCGAAGTTCGTCCTCGACGAACTTCCTCAGCGTACCAATCGGACGCGCACAAGGAGCTCCCAGAGAGCCTCCTTAGCGGGACCGTCTTTCGGCCTGCGCACAGGGGGCGTGTTCACTCAGGTGAAACGCGCCCTTAGCATTCATTTCGAACGCGCCAGCCCCGCTAGCAGTTCAGACCGGAGGCCAAACCTCGGCGCGTCATCGCGGCGTCGAGTTCCCCTGTGCGGTCCAAGCGATATAAAAAAGCGAGGTAGGGCGCCCTGATTCGACACCTGCTCATCAGCGCGCCCCGCCTCGGTAAGTGTCCAACCTTCGTTTCTTCGAAGTCTGCTCATTGTCGTGCTGTGCTAGTCAGCTCTTATCTTTTTTGCTACCCACCCTCCTTCCCCCGAGCCTCACCTCAGAGTTACGTCAACCCCTTCATTGCGCATTATTCAGTGTTTCCTACTTCTTACGTTACATGTTTCGGCCATAGTTCTACTCTACACTAGTCCCATGCCCTCAATATTATCGGGCTCCCGAAATCATCGGGAGCCGCGTTGGCTCTAGTTTTGGTGCGAACCAACCGAAGACTCCGGCCTGATTAGTGAACCCGTATTCCCTTTTTGGGGCTCGCCTAAGCCGCCTTCCTTCCCAATTTGGCGTGAACCACCGCCACCGGAAGCATTACAAGCCGTGCATTCTGACGTGGGTCCCCGATAACGTCCAAATTCACCGATCCTTGAATCAAGAGGGATCCTGCAACTTTGACACTTCAGGGATTTTTTGGATGAGAGCTTATGTCCGGACGGGTTTCCAAACCTAAATTTAGCACGATTGCATGTAGTGTTGCCGCGGTTCGGGCGGCCAACGGTTTGGAACCGTGAACCGAACCAAGGATGCCCTCGGTTCCGTCCGAGTTGGTTTCCAGGGACAGGCAGCTCCCCGAACCTAGTTTCGGTCCGTAGACCAGTTCGAACCCCATAACAAGGACAACAAAATCTATAATGAATTTGTAGTAGAAGTATACTAATATCACGACTGTGGTCCCGAGCACAATGAATGTGCATCAGGTGCAAAAGTGCTGCTTACAAGAGAAACTCGCCTTTAATAATCCTTGTATTAACAGAGCCTGCGTAATTCAGCATCAATGGTACTGTCTGACCTGTTTTGTCTGGGATATCCCTGAAGATGCATCTTGAACATGACATAGCTGACCCGCAGACCCAAAGATGCAGCAGTGGGCTGCCCGGGTCAGTGGAGAAGGCCGAAGGTTGACTACAATTACGTCAATAAAATCATAAGCGAAATCAAAGCTAAAAGGTTTCCATGGCGTCTTGGCTCCCAGGGGTTCCAAACCGAGAACTAACCCTCTGAAACCCTAACAAATGGTTTGGTCCCTGAAACCGAACCATGTTTGCCAAAAAACCGGTCCCTATGGGACTGGTCCCGGTTATACGAACTGCGGCAACACTAATTGCATGTCTCAAAAATATTCCAGGCATTTTAGAAATTTGGCCGTGTATTCTGACGTGGGATCACAGTACTGTACGTACTTACGGCAGCATGCAACGACTCTGCAGGGCACGGCGGCACGCACCTGCACGCACACAGCAATTGCATCATCGATTGCGTCACCGTTGACAAAACATTCCAGAGCTGGAGTTCAGTTTGGCGCGGCAGGAGCTGCCATGGAATTCACCAGTTTTATCTACCACCTGTAAGGCTACCCCACGTTGAAGTCACCAAGCCAGTAATATCCTTGAATGAACCCGAACTCTTGCTGCGCCTTAATATCCACTGGCGCCTGTACTTTCGCTCTTATCGATACCACCCTCGTATATGCGGACAGTGCGAAACAAGCCAAGAAACTCCAGCCTAAGATCGCGATTTAAAGGCCGTCACGGTGCTTCGTGCCGCTTCAACATTTCGTTTTCTTCAGCAATAGTCATGCTTCTAGCTTGTGCGCTTCTGATCTTGCTCTGGTCTGGTAAACGAAGTAATGCTATTCAAGGTCAACCTCAGGACAGCTTTGACAGCAACATGATATTTTTTCCTTTACCAGAGCCTCCATTCAGTCCACCCACAACATTTGATGAACTGGCTTTCGTACTTGATAAAGCAGACTTGGCTCTAGAGCACTCGGTGGTTGCAATTCTCCCAGTCTCGCCTCGCACAGTGGTTGATCTAGAAAGAATACTCTCATCTCTTGTCGACTCTGAGCACAAACTAGGTAGCATCTCGCTTGTCTTCGCAGATGAAATCGTTCTCGATGTCCGTCAAACAGTATCAAAGCACATCTCCGAACGCGTTGAGTGTAACCACGCGATGTCAGTGGAAATTACCTTACATCCATGCGGGCGGTGCACCGATACAGCTCTCATGGTATTTTCCGCTCTACCCCGCCTGAATGCAGAGGTGGCTTTAGTCCTAGATGAAGATGGTCTTCTACAGACAACTAGTTATGCTCGACATTATCTTCTCAATCCACGCCTTGTGGATCTTCCGGTGGGTCCAATAGGCTTCCAGACCTTGCTTGGCAACACCACCTCTGTCATTCCCACTGACGGGCCCATTTCAGCCTCTTACCTCTCACCTCCATTCGTCATGTCGATCCACACTATGCGCGGTTTTTATCCTTTCGGGCCCTCGCTCATCTGGCATGCACTAGGTTCTTACGTAGCAGTCAATCGCCTGGACATGATTGGAGGCGTTGTCATCCCTCAAGTCGTAGACAACAACCAACATTCCGAAAGCTTACCTGCAGTGGACGGACCTTCTCTCATCGACAATGATACACATGTCTCGACTGCTGGAACCTTCGTCTTGGTGTTCGCCAAAGTGGAAGATTTGAAGGCTTTTTCTACTGTCGCGTGCGGGCTCCAAAATGACGGCCACGTCGTTCGTGCCTTTATCTACGACGAATCCGATTTTTATGGCGAACATAGCTCTTTGACGATATCTGAGACTTGCGTCTTGCTCTTTTATTCTCGGTCAGATGACTTGCGCGCCTTCAGGAATTGGATGAAGTCTCTTCTAGGTGCACCGGACGTGATGATTGGACTGTCAGATAGCGACTTCATCTCTGCGACTCTCTCCCAAGTGGTACAGGAACACCCTTACCTTGACACGACTTTGATTCGCTTACCAAGAGCCGACCTTCCTTATTCCTCTTGGATGAAGGCGCTGGCTCTCGAGGACTGGATAAGTCGGTACTCGCCACAAAGCACTCCATATGGTAGCTGACAGGAATATCAGACTGGAACGCTCCCGAGGTAACGGTCAGCGTTATCACTAATGATCGCCCTGCTTCCCTGCGACGACTCCTCAATTCTTTGAACAACGCCCGATACTTCGGTGACGACCTGTTACTCAGGATCAACGTCGAGCAGGCGGCCGATGACGAGACACTGCGCATTGTCGATGGCTTTGAGTGGGGGTATGGAAATGTGTTCGTTCACCGGCGGGTCATTCACGGCGGTCTGCTTCCCGCTGTGGTTGAGTCTTGGTACCCTCGTGACAACAATTCCTTTGGTATTCTCCTAGAAGACGACACAGAAGTTTCGCCCCTTTTCTACGCTTGGACCAAGATGAACATCTTGCATTTTCGGTATGTCATCTCAGGACACCATTTCTTCGCTAGGCAGGTGCCAATTCCAGTGACAGGTATGGTTCGCAGAATCTATACTCAAAAAGGCTCTTTGGAGTGAGCTTGTATCAACAGAAAAACATTGAACTCAAGCCAGAGGGACGAGTACCATTTAACCCTAGACGGCTTTTCAAAGACACTGGTTTCATTGATTACGCTACTCCGTACCTTTCCCAAGTTCCCTGTAGCTGGGGCGCCGTGTATTTCCCGGAGCACTGGAGGGAGTTTCATGACTACCTCGCCATGCGGCTATCAGAGCACGTCTTGGACATACATCTTGACGTTGTGCCTGACGTTCGGTCAAACCACTGGCCGCGGTCGTGGAAGAAGTACTTCATCGAAGTCGCTTACCTGCGTGGCTACGTGATGCTCTATCCTAACTACGAGGACTTTCTGTCGCTCTCGACCAATCACCTTGAGATAGGCTCTCATGTTAAGGCTCAGCCTCAGGAAGCATTCCTCAAGAAGCGAGAGCTCTTTTTACTCCCTCTAATGCCTTTGCCAGATCCATGTTCAGCGGATCCTGGTCTCCTCTCTGGACTCCCCGGTCAGAAACTTCCTAAGTGGAATCACCTTCCGGTCTTGGACTTCATAGGACACACCACTTCTCTAGAAGAATTAGTTCGCCGGGGCTTACAGCGACGCTCTGAAATCATCTCTTGTCCAACCAGAAACACTGCCCCTTTCGATATTCGTGGATACTTGTGTCTGTACGAAGTGGATTCCGAAAGCCAGAAGCAAGCATGATCTCAATATCTCTTGTTGCCCTACTACAAGTTTTTCCTGTGTTGTTGCATTGCCATAAAACCAAACCATGTCAGATGTATGAAGCGAACCAAAGATTAAGTACAGAGCAAGACGGCCCTCTCAGATGTCATAAACTTCATACAGATATTTGCGAACTATCTAAGCCGAGTGCATTGAGGAAAAGGTTGACATTGGCCAGCTTAGTTTGACGCTCCGCTTCACTCTGGACCCAGCCTTTGTTGGCGGAGGTGACGTTTTCCAGGATTTTCTCGCGCAGACCGGAAACAAGTACGGACTGCTGATGTTGCGAGGCATGTAGGGAAAGCGCGGCGAGGAACTGCCAGACCGGTTGGTCGACAATGTCAACATGTTGGTAAATACTGGTCATGTCGACTTCAGCGAGCTGAGCGAGTTGGGGAGCAAGGCGGGTCGACGGGAACAGTTCGTTAAAATGGGGAGCGAGCATCTGGAATAGATGGTCAAACATGAATTGCCTGTAACCAGTAGATTAGGACAACGTTAAATCTAGACTTATGCATGGGACAGTACCATTGCTGAGCTTCGTCTTGCAGCGCAGGGTCAACAGCTTCAGGAGACGATACCATCTCCTGCTTGATCACCTCAACTCTACTCAGGAACAAGGTCAAGAGGGCGATGCCCGGCTATATGACCGTAAGTTTATATTGGCCAATGCAGAAACCATATGCTGACCCTCGTCTGTGAGACATGGATGACGTCACAACGTTCCATGAAGAGGCCAATCAAGCCCCGAACCAGTCTCAATTCGGCCTTCGCAACGACAGGTAGTATGCTCTGCAACACGCTACCCAGGAATGCCTGAGTCTGGCGCTCAATCTCTTCCTTTTCAGGTGAGTCTTCAAGCAGATCCAGGTAGTGCGCTTTCTTCACAACCTCAAGCTGTGAGAAGCAGGCAACCAGAAGCGTTAGAAGTGTCAGCATACGTTGCCCTGAGATATGTCTACTGAGCCGAGGAAGAATCTTCTTTCCCTTGACTGGAGTGAGCAGGGAGATGAAGGGATGGGGGTTGCTTGTTTCTAGGGGGACCATGACTTTCAGCCCTTCCCAGATCTCTTCCACTCTTTGTCCATACTGCTGAGACCTGCGCCAATATATCAAAGAAGCTAGCCGGTACAAATGCGCAACTTACCAAACAAGATGCGCTTCTTCTTCCTCAGGAGGTGGTTGGTCACGGCGAAGCTGCTCGACATCTAGGACAAGATCATAGAGACTCTCCAATAACACAAGGACTTGGCGGTGAGTAAGGGGATCTTTGTGGATCACACCATTTCCCTGTAGTTTCAGTGAGTCAGTGGCCCAACCATTGAGAGAGAAAAGCTGCTTACGGTACCAAAGTCGCCAAGGGCCTCCCTTCCAAGCTTTGCAGCTTCTCGTGCAACACCTGCTCCATCAGCGGTTGCGGCTGCAACCTCGTCCTTGGAAATGTGGGGATGTGCCCCGGACAAAGTAGGGGAAGCAGAAGCAGCATCGACTTGGAGTAACTGACGAGGAGCAGCCTTGTAACTCCGTCCTGAGGTCTTGCCGAGAGCGCCTTGAAGACTGTGCAAGGCTACACCGCGATTGGCAACAAGTCAGAACGAAGACATGCAAGCTTACAATGCAGCCCCTTTTCCTTCTCTCTCACCCGAGCATTGCTGACGATACGCTCAACCTGCGCTTCCATCTTCTGCATCGCACTCTGGCGTCGACCACCTGCCTTCTGACTGAGACCAAGACCAACGCCACCGCTGGCGCCGAACTTCAAGACACGTTCATCCTCAGACTGCAAACCCATACGAGAGCGAATAATTGCTCCATAGACCTGTGCATAGAAGTCTTCTGCGTAAGGGTCCTGCGTGACTAGTTGAGAGACCTGTATCCGCGTAATGAAATCCTTGTCAGATCGGGTCATGAGGTCATTGTAGCGAGACTGGTTAGCGTCGTTAGCTCAGCAATTAATTCATGGGGTGATATGATTGCAGGCCTACCATGTGCGCAATCTTGGCAGCCCTTCGGCGTCGCCTTTCCTCCATCCGTTCAGTTTCCATGATCTTTCGCATGGCCTCCATCCTCAATGCCTCTTGCTCAGCCTGAGAAGCAGGATTAGCGCCTTGCATTTCTCGAAGGAACTCCGCTTGTGCCATTTCAGACAGCAGGCGCTGTTGCATCTGTATGTTCTGAGGAAGGTACGGCTGAGAGTTTTGATGGTTGAGGAGAACCTGCTGCGAATCAACGAGGCGGGATGGAGATTGCGTGCGATGCTGGGGGCTACCTATGTTCTGGTAGCTGGGGTGGCGTCGAAGATCCTGTTGGTGAGCAGCAGCGATCTTCTGAGCCCGAAATTGACGTTCCATCTCCTCAAGGCGTAGTTGTTCTTGTAGCTCGCGAAGCCGAAGTTGCTGCTGCCGCTCCTGTTCCTGTTGCATAAGGAGGATCTGTTGCTGGTGCTGGTGGAAGCGCGGAGAATGCGATTGCATGCCCATCCGTGGTGGTGGCGTGCGCTGCTGTTGCCCTTGCTGTTGTAGGCGAAGCTGCTGCTCACGTTGGAATCGCATATGCTCTTGCTGTTCCATCATCAAGTGCTCTTGTTTTATACGCCTCTGGTCCTCTTGCTGGATGGCAAGCTGACGTTGGACCATCTCCTCTTGTTGACGTTGGCGTTGCAGCTTTGCAGCGGTCTGCATCTCAGCCTCGATTTCCTGCAGAGTCCTAAGTCCCGTCTGTCTGTTCATATGAAGTTCTGGGGATGGCACCGCAGAATGTTGATCTATGGTTAGGTGAGACGAGTACGGAGACTTCGACGTCGTTCGCTGATGGTCCGCGACGTGCGACGCTCCGTTTGCGCGAGGGAGCATGGAGAAGGGAGACCTATCATCCCATATTGATTCCAAGGATGGAACATTCGATGCTTGTGCTAAACACATAACCAATGGTGTGATTAGTGATCGACGTCATTACGGCTACTGCTGCACTCACAACGCACACCCGACTTCAAACTAGGGCCCCCGGACTGCTGCAGAGGAGACTTCTCGCGAATCGGTCTTGAAGACACCTCGGGAGTAACTTGTGAGCTTCGTGATCGCGCAGTAGCATTGGGCAGGGCTTGGTGGGAGAAATCAAAATCTTTGCCTGGCGTTCTCTTCAATGAATGTTCATCCGCAGTACAGTGCTATCCTCTCACCAACTGCACTAGTGCCGCCAAATGTCTCATCGTTGAGCTCATCGCCACCTTCGACCAGCGCATCCCCGAGCCCATCATAACTCTCCTCCCCCCATGTGTACACCGCGAGATCCTCGGTCTCACCCAGACCACCTTCGAGGAACTTTCTCTTCTCTTGTTCTAGGTCGTTATTTTCGTATCCGAAGAAAGACATGAAGTGGGTGAGCCCCGTCTGCCCAGTCGATTTCGTTGGATAAGAGCTCAGAGCAAAGACAAAGTCGACTTGCCCATTCCGCGTCCTGCAAATGGCAAACAGGACCACACACATAGACGCTCACATTAGGCGCCCGCACTGAATCGCTGAACGTCATACACACACAATTCTATATGTCAGCATAGGCATATAAGCTCAATATAAGACATGAGCTACGTATGACCCGATCTAATTATAACGTACGTTAAAGAATGTCCCCCTGTCTAATCAGTGTTCGTTAGATCCCATCATATGAACCGCCTCCAAGAAGTCAAGCAGCGTGCTAGAACTCCACGCCTGAGTGTTGCACGAGTCAGCGCAATAGGCGCCATCCTTGTTTGTCAATTCAGGGATACCAGCCCAAGGGTCATTGATGATATGTTCTCGCAAACTGAGCAGAGCCTTATGCAGGTGATGAAGGGTGTTGGTGGGATCATCTTTACCCGATCCCACCTGCGTATCAAAATGAAGGTATGCTTGGAGGAAGTAGCCTAGTGGCCAACCCCACTCAGGTCCCTGCGGGCGTTATCCTTTGAGGTTATGAGATGAAGTTTAAGAGTGACGACTTACGTTATGATAGTTCCGGCCTTTGGCGGTGGCAGCATCATCGGAATCGTTGGAATTATCATATGTTGGACGGTACTGCATGTCGCCAGGATCAAGGGTCTTCATGCCCAATGGGCTCCGCAACCATTCATCGGCAATACGCAATGCACCCAAGGCATGCTCTTCATTGAACAGCTCAGGGGCCACTACCATGGCGATCGGGAAGTTAGGACGCAGCTGGTAGTCCGACCATTCGCGCCCAGCCCCCGACCCATAAACATCCTTGTAGATACCCCGCCGATTCACAAGCTTGGGATCAAGGTTGTACGCCGAGTCTGCGGAGCGGTCTGAAGGAAGATGGGTTAACTTCATATCCTTTTGGTAGTTAATAAAGCTTACCCGCAGGGATATAATAGCATTTCTCGAAGGATTCTTGTAAGAGGTTATTCCACTCCTCATAAGTGACAAGGACGCGTTTTCCAGAGACTGGTCATGACCGTCAGCTTACATGCGTAAATCCCCGATAACTCGCTCACTCTTAGCCTCTACGCCCTTGAAAGGGAATTTATTGGCTGTTGAAAGCTCTGCTAGCCACCTCAGCGTGCTCTTGAGGAGACCAGTGATTTCAATTGGTGCACCGTCACGAGGGCTACCGGGAAGCCCCTTTGTCCCTGCCTTCTCCGACTCGCCCATCTTATCCATCCAGGTCCCGCAGTTGAACGCATTGCCGCCAAAGATAATGCCTGTTGACCAGTCTACCTTGATGTCGATATTGAAGCCCTCGTCTCTCATTTGCATGTCGAGGTTTGGGCCAGCATTGTGTTCGCGGAAAGAAATGCCATCGGCATGGCGCTGGAGAATCTCTTGGAGGATCTCGGCGATGGTGCTTGAGTAGGCATAGGCCTTCGGATCGTTCCAAGGCACCCAGGTGTCATCCTTCGGAAAGCGACGCTTGACAGACTCAAACAGAATTGAAATGCCATCAGGCGCTTTGTTCACATAATCCTGGATGTTTTGGACCATCCACCAGGGCGAGTCACGAGAGTTATACCTGCTTCATTTTTAGACTAGTAAAACATAAACCGTGTGATAAACTTGCCTGGGGTTGCGAACGGAGTCCAGCAGATTAGGAATCAACCCATGCTTCAGCGTTGACGCGAATGCGAGAATGTGCTTCCTCGCTCCCTCAAAGTTACCAGTGGTCAGGAATAAACCTCTCAGCGAAATGAAAACGTCCCGACCCCAACACCTCGCCCAGCTGGTAGTGAAATGAGGTAGCCCGGCAGCCAACGAGGGTGTAGGCTTGCTTGGATCAAGAGAGGCAGAATGAACCATACCATGCATCTGGACAGAACACAGGGCAAGCGCCTGCGTGAAGTCATGCCCGGTGGATACAAACTCAGAACACTGTTCAATAGCGCAGCGTCGCGCGGTCTTGTAAGCTTCTGAGATCACCAGAGCAAAGTATTTCGGCCGCATGAAAGGGGGAACACTAGCTTTAATCCGGTCAAAGCGAGCTTTGAACCATTCAGCCGGTTTCGTAAGTCGAGGAAAGTTGTAGACTTGTCTACAATCAGGGTCAACATGCAGTGTTGTCAAGAAAGGATGATAACTGACTTGACTAATCTTGATTGAATGTAGTCAAACGACCACGTCCCGTCTCTAAGGTGGGCGCACAGGGGGTGACCAAGATCATTGAACTGCATGATACGTCTGAGCGGGTGAATCCACCCTTCCAGACCGCAGTACGTGAACTTTCCAAGCCCAGGGACATTATAGACACCAAACTCCCCTCCGGTGGCGTCTCTCTCCTCCCCATCAGCACGATATAGAATCACGTTGAGATCGACAAGATCAAGCTCATCAAACGCCTCTTGGGCACCAGATGCGCAGAATGAATCGAGGTCCTGATCGTATCCTTGGAGCTGTGTTTCAAAGATCATGATGCTTCCGGGCGGGAAATATTCGGGGACAATAATCTCGCAGTAGGGGCCCTCTTCATCGAGCCCTTGAGGTACAACCACCTTAGCTATGTCGAGCAGCTGGCTGGGAAGACCCTTAAGGAGCTTGTCATCCTTCGGGGTATCATACGAAGATATGCCAACTGAGGCACCGAAGATGAAATTGGCTTTGGTGCGACGCAGCTTGATGGGGTTTACTGTCTTTCCGCATCAGCATTGATATTAAGAACCATCGACCCACGTACTGAAGCCCCTATCCTTCGACCCCTTTGAGAACGCGGTGTGAGCAACGAGCACATAGCCCTTCTGAGTACTGGGCTGAACCCGGTGCATGACAATGTACTGAACAGCCGTTCGTCAGATCAACGTGCCCAATCCGCATGAATGATACTGCACTAACATCGTTTTCTTGGTGTACATGGCCCTCATAGTAGTCACCAAGGATCATCTCCCGTCTCAAGTTGTTAAGAAGGCGTTTAGCCCTTGCAATGCCTGAGGTCACTTCTTGATTGGTGAGCTCGTACTGGCGCTTCTCGGCAACGAGATGCAGCAACTTCGGATAGAGATCGTCGAAGCCCTTCACCGACCCAATAGCACAGCTTGCGAAGGTCACCAGGCCAGCTGTAGACAAAGCATCTTCCGCCGAACGTTTATCAAGATACGACTCGTTGTCGTGTGTCAAGTCGTACAGGAGGGCGTGTGGCATGGACCCATTCAAGGGGCTAACCTCGCACTGGCGTGTGGGACCGCTTCCAAAGGGTGGTTGGAGTTCTTCCTTGCTCAGAAGGCAAGCACCGTCCATAGACCCTGCTCACATCAGCTTAACGATGGTTCTGATGAAGCTGCAACCTACCGATAGGCTTGCCGAGTCCATAGCGATATAGAATCCTTGAGAATTCTTTGGGGTCCCATGCATTGCCAGCTTCTCTCACCAAGCTGTTAATACCAAGTTGGCGGACGAAGACAAGGTCCATGTCCTCGCTTCCAGTAAAAAGCTCGGCACAAACATAGAGGTTCGGGTTAACAACGCGGGCAGCATCCAACATGTGGATGCCGACGTTCAGAGGTGTCGAATGGCAGTTATCGATGCGGAAGCCCTGGAATCCTTGAGCGAGGCTCTCAACGTAGGACTGCATGTGAGACCAGAGCCAAGGGTTGTCTGAAGGGCTATCCCCATAGCGCAGTTTGACGCAGTCGCCCCAGACAATAACCTCGCGACGGAGGTACGCTTTCGATGGTGGCAATGCAAAGTTCTGCAAGGGATCGGCGTTCCATATCCAGCCATTGTTAGCGAGCGAATAAGTGAAGGGATCCGACTCGACCCCCGGCGAGATACGAGTAAAGTACGCCTCGACCAAAGGTAGCCTGCAAGTTTGTTAGGAGAGGACAGCAGCTTATTAGAACCTCCAACTTACTCTCGAGTGATTTCACCTAAATTGGGTCCATTCTTATCCAACCTAGTATATCGTACGCGGTTTTTGATACTTTCAATAGCAATCTTTGTGTCTTCTTTCCACTCTGCGTATAAATCCACGTTGATGACGTCAACAATACGCCCCCATGCCTCGGCCAGAGCCTCAGCGTCATCGCCCAAATTGACGAAGGCCGCTTTCGTGAGGCCAGCAGCGGTTGCACCGTTAGTCTTTGTCCCGAAGCGGGATCCAAGCGCACGGTAGCCATCGATGATACCAGACGCAATGACAGATTGTGCGAGAGAGACAACTGAGTTGCCCGCAACATCGTCTCCTTTCCAGGCAGTGACTTTCCCATCCTCGATAGCAGTCCTGACAGACTTCTTCTCGGCTGTGACGTCCAAGGCGTAATACTGCCACATATCAAGGGACTCCAAGTGCTTTTCAAGAGCAGTTATGAGCTTGTCGATATCATCTGAGGAAGCAATCTGGGTGGGAAGACCATTGGCGGCCAATGTTGCAGAGAATTCGATGATAGCAGTGTCGAGTTCAAGCGCAGGTGCGAGGTGAGGAGTGTTCTTGGGACTGTAACCTATGCAGAGTCGGTAGCAGAACTAAAGCTCAATAAAGTGAATGCACACACCAGCTTCTGGGTGATCCTTTAGCCAAGGTGTATCATCTGCGGTATGGTTAAGCACGACGTCAGTCAAGCCTAGAAGGCCATATTCGTCTTGAGCTATCTTGAGAATTCTCTCCATATCAGCTTTACCGCCATCCGCGCCTAAGTTATCTTCAAAGGCGGAGGGATCATACTTGAGCTGGTCACGTATTGAGTAAGGGCTATCGCTATGTCCACGCTCTTGCAGAGGTGTCCAGTGGATCATCGTGTAACCACGATCGCTCGCCTCCGCGAAGTGCTTGTGCCAGCCAGAAATAGGACCCATCCATTTGGAAACCAGAGTTACGATTGCGAGGCCGTCTAAGGGGAGGTTGGTCTTCTCAAAAGTCACCTTCGCGCCTCCATCGGTAGGTGATAGTGGTTTGAGGTCTGGGGAAAGGATAGGCTTGCGTACCGAGGTCCGCAGGATAGGGTCGATGTTAAAATAACCTTCTCGCCCTCGGATACGCTCGCCAGGAGCAGCGCCATCATCGTATTCGACCCAGTATTTAAACGCACCAGCATGGGAAATGGGAAGATCAACGCGTATGGGCTTGGAAAAGTCAGTTGGTAGCCTATGACATGGAAGAGATCAGGGGGTTTGGCAGGAACGCGTAGCGTTAGTATACTCACTTGCGTTCGCAAAATTTGTCGCGACCGAAGGCACCGCCGTCCAAAGGGAAGTTGGTTTTGAAAAGACCGTTCCTAGATGCCGGCGTCCCTGCATCAAGGGAGACGCGCAGAATGTATGGTACGTAAGCTGGAGGCAGCCTTATGTACTAATGAAATATCGAAATCGGTGTCAGCTCGAAAGCGATAAGAAATCAGCGTACCGATCTATCTCTGTTGGGACCACCATCAGGATCTAAGCGAAGCTCGTAGACGCGTATCGGCTCGTCCGACACGCCCACATCACTCATGAAGAACTCCTTGCCCTCATCTGCGGGTGTCTTGGGCGTCGCGAGGGGAGCTGTCACAGGCGTGATCGGTTGGGAGTTATCTGTCTGGAGGGAGAGACCCGCTTTGCCTGCATTGCTCCTCGCCATCGAAAGAGAATGGGAGGGAGGGAATGAAAAGGTGTGGGTATAGATTTGAACGGAAGGGAATATAAAGAGTGTTTATGAACATCTGCTCTGTCTCGTCCAGACCGTCTATGACGTCAAAACACCCTCGTTCCTCTGCCGCGGTGCCTTTTCTGGACAGCGTATTGCTGGCCAACTTCGCGCGCGTCTATTAGTAGTGCCTAGCCCATGGACCGAACAGAGCTGCAGGAGCGCTGGCGCTGCGTACTCAGTACTGCAGCTTTACGCCCACTCGACTCCCCTTCGGTTGTTCACAAGAGCTTCACGTACAAGCGAGTCTCGGTCGCTCGAGCCTTCGCTACCATTTCTCGTCTGATCATTCTGGATAAAAGCACGGTCCGTCAGAAAAACCAGTGCCGATATCTAGAGTAAGTAAACCTACCGGCGTAAGTTCGCGGATCACTAGGTACCACTGTGGCGTTGTGGGCTGTCAAAATAGCATTCACATATTTCCCCAACGGGCCACCTGTTCTTGCCAGAAAATTTCCGAGAACTGAGGCCTGAGGCCTGAGGAGAGTCAAGCATTGGGACGAGTAAATCAGTCAGCATGTTCGATTGCATTTGTTGAAAACCCTATGAGATGCTGCAGTACTAGTGCAATCTGTGTTATGAATATATGTCGTGCAAGTACACCTAATACGACTTGAGCATCATCTAAAATATGTTGACCAAAATTGCAACACCTCACTGAAAGACAAAGTCAAAGTAATGTTTCATGCTTTCCTCGGTCTTCACCAAATCTCCCACCACTCCGTCAGGTCTTACAACAGCGATTCGCAAACTATCGTCCCGAGAGACTCCATAGTTCGTGAGCGTATGACCCTCCTTGTCCTCGAGCTGCAAGTCGGCGCCTTCAACCGAGCCCGTGCCTGGTTGAGGATGGATCACCACCACGCGCACAAGATGTTTTGGATAGCCAGAGAGCGCACAGACAACGGATTCCGCCTTGCTCTCTTGAGGGATGAAGATGAGGACTGTATGGTGATATGATCTAAATATCCCGAAAAGAGTATGCTGATTGTGATCCGGATACGAGATCAAACCACGAGAGTCTGGTGCTCTATCACCAGCATGCAGTGAGCCGGTGGAAAGGTATCCGTAAGGATCAGATCCGAGCTCGCCCTTGTCAATGGGCCAATCGTCGATGACGCCACGACTCCCCCTGTAGTTGATTCCAAGCATCAGCCCATGCCATAGGTTCAGAGGCGATGGTGTCGGACGGGCGGACTTCTGAGAGGCGACAGGTGTCGAGTCAGCGGACAATCAGCTCATTTGGCGAGGCTGTCGAGTGAGCTGACATCTGGTGGGACAGTAAGTAAGAGGACGCGGATGGTCATTAGAATAGTAGTGTGGCGGGGAACAGTGAAGATAATGCAACAGGCTCGAGTGAGCTGAGTAGGCCAGGAGGAAGAAAATAAGCAGCGGATGGGCAACTAAATAATAGCATAGTGAGGGTAGTTAAAGTAAGATGAGGGCATCGGGTGAGCTGACTGCGTGGGAGGGGAGGGGGAGGCCTGCGCGCGGATTGATAATATAATAGTACAGTGAGGCTGGTTAAGTTAACCAATGGCGTCGAGTGAGCTGACTGTCAGGAAGAGAGGCGGGCGGATAACCATTGCATCAGAATGACAGCGGTATGCTGCGGACTACAAACTG